TAAAGGATAAGACAACCTCCGATCTATCGGGATGAACAAAATGTTAGATAATAAGACAAATAAATTGCGTTGATATTTTGTAAATGAGTTCATAATTTATGTATTTGCTGTCGGATATAGTTATCCTTGAGTTATTTTTTGTCAGTTTGTGTTGATGGAACTTTAGTTGGAACTGAACGTGGGTAGGGATATAATGTTTTGGTTATACAAAGTATATGTAATATACTAGTAGTAATCCGGCAAAGTTTAGGCAAGTGCGTTCGATTTTTTATTACCAAATGATTTTTGTACTATAAATTTTCTATGGACTTTTTCTTGCTAATATACGGCGAAATATATAAAACTCTAGTCTAGTGCATAATTATAGCAATTGGCAGTGAATATGAGACAACTACAAGGCTAGGTTGGCAGTGGCAAACGAGACAACTACAAGGCTAGGTTGGCAGTGACAAAAGAGACAACTACAAGGCTAGGTTGGCAGTGACAAACGAGACAACTACAAGGCTAGGTTGGCAGTGACAAAAGAGACTACTACAAGGCTAGGTTGGCAGTGACAAAAGAGACAACTACAAGGCTAGGTTGGCAGTGGCAAACGAGACAACTACAAGGCTAGGTTGGCAGTGACAAACGAGACAACTACAAGGCTAGGTTGGCAGTGACAAACGAGACAACTACAAGGCTAGGTTGGCAGTGACAAACGAGACAACTACAAGGCTAGGTTGGCAGTGACAAACGAGACAACTACAAGGCTAGGTTGGCAGTGACAAACGAGACAACTACAAGGCTAGGTTGGCAGTGACAAACGAGACAACTACAAGGCTAGGTTGGCAGTGACAAAAGAGACAACTACAAGGCTAGGTTGGCAGTGACAAACGAGACAACTACAAGGCTAGGTTTGCAGTGACAAACGAGACAACTACAAGGCTAAGTTGGCAGTGACAAAAGAGACAACTACAAGGCTAGGTTGGCAGTGACAAACGAGACAACTGCAAGGCTAGGTTGGCAGTGACAAAAGAGACAACTACAAGGCTTGGTTGAAGTTTCTTTAAGGCGAATAACAAAACATTGAAAAAAAATTACGATTGCAGAAAGAGTGCAGAACAAAATGTGAACAACTTGTGCTAGAGTTAATGTTCAGAAATAGCAACGTGAGACATACTCCATCCAAGATGGCGTCAAAGTCTAAAATCGAATAGCATGCAAAACCACGCGGGACACCGCGCGTGTCACAATTAGAATGCCTTCTTCTTTGTCGAACGCAATTAGCAGCCATGTTGAATACCGCAGGTTCAGTTTTTAGGCGCGTATATTGTATAATTTTTATATCATTTTTTTATATTAGATTTTAAGAAATATGATAACTTGCTTTGTATTTTGCATGCCAGCTAGCTCCTGGCGAGCTGGCCAATTTTTAGTTGGTCATAAATGCAAACTAATGTGTAATAAGTGATGTAAATGTTTGTTGCATTTTAGTTCAATTCAAGTATTTTCAATCAAAATTGTTTAATCAATAAAACCACACTGTGATAAAACCAGGGCATCAGACTACTCCGGCTCAATCATTTCATTCTCGGCTTTACACAAAATATATGCAACCACGCCTTAAAAGATTATTCATGTTCATGATTTGTACAATTCTACAATTCTTTAGCGGCTTTTTCGCCTGAACTTATTTTGTAAGAATTATTTATGCTACTGTAAGCACTTTCGTCGCTTCACTTTATCACTACATGTGGTACATTATTCATTATATTTACGAAAAATAACAGCGAAGAAAAATACCATTTCATATTTTACTAATAAAGTACGAGAAAAACAAATGTAATATACATAATAAAGCATCTAACTTTTACCTTTTATGGAGCAAGGTAGTGATGATTGTTGGAACTCCTTCAATGCACTTGAATTTTTCAGTCTTGAATATAGCCACTTGACAAGCGATTTATTTTGCTCGCTATAAGCCTAAAACGACAGAAATGAACAGTTATTGTAAAGCAATTTCAACCTAAAGCACAACCAGAATATCATATCCGTGCATTTCTTTGCGAATAACAAAAAACATTGCTGAAGATTTAACGTTGAAAATTTTTAACACGGGCGCAGCCAAAATATGGCCGAATACGAAGTCGAATTCAACACAGAAATTTAATCACTTTTAGGCCATGAATGTGGAGTACTTTACAATAAAACACAAGAACATACCTCTTTTCTTTGTCAGGTTTAAAAAAAACGGTTTAAAAAACTGAATTTAATGAATTTATTAAACTTTTTACAGTAATTCCGTTCTCAAACAGCAAACCAGAGCTTACAACAAAATTTTGAAAATACCGGCGCGCCCTCGTGCTGTCACATGACAACGAATCACTAATCCTATTGGACAAAAAAAATTACCCACTGTGAAGAGGTGGGACGGTCGGAATCAGTGGTGGAAATTTTGTCTGCGCTGGTGAAAAAATTGCGGGCGTAAAGCTTCTTTTTAGTTTTTACAATATTACGTTCGAAGTGGGTTTTTGCTGTTTTCTGTTTCAATGTGGCAACTCAACGAGATTTTGCTGAAATTTGTTTTCAACAGGCAATTTTTTTTTAAGTTCAGACCAACGAATGTGCATCCTCCCCTTCCTGGCCTCCTCCCCTCCCCTCTCCTCCAGGGTGATTCATCGAGATTATGGTCTGCCATTGGGATATAACCTGGATTACCATACTGCACTGATATACCCAACAATGCTGAAGTCTTCAGTTCAAACTATCTCATGGATCAGTACTAATGAATAAAATAAGTCCGCAATTAGTAAAAAAACTTGAGTTGTTTTCAATGTCAGATATTTTGAAATATGAATTTGAAAACTCGCAGGGAAAGCCAGGGGATTTATCCAGACTTTTGATTGACAGTTCTTGGGGCTGAAGGTACTAACGAGAACGCAGAGTTGACTGTCTGAATATCTTTGTCTCTGTTTTACTGCTGTGAGGTTGATGAAGATGTTTGATGTTTATGAATGATTTGTGGTATTGTACTATTGTTTAATTCAGAGACTCAGTAATGCAGAGACTGGGGAGAGTATTCAGGGATTAATTAAGGTCGTTTTTAGTCCATATAAATTTTTTTTTCAAACCCTATCTGCTCCATATATGTTTAATACCAGTATTTTTTTGTATGTAAAAGAAAAATTTGGAAAGTTTGCCAAAAAAAAAATTGGGGGAAAAACACCCAAAAGAGATCATCCAGCCTATGCCACAATCTAACCTGGTTATACAACCGGCTGCAATATTCAGCATAGTTACGACTACGAAAGGTGCAAGGCGGTTGCTATAGGAAGAACTCCCCTCCATAACTCACATCTTAACGGCCGTCTAAGGGGGAGATGCACTACGGCCCCCAGACCATGATGTATGTGCACCTAACCGTTACGTCTCAGTGAGAAACAGAGTATGCATCGCCACAAGCCTAGCGTCATAGACGAATCAGCTACAGTGGCTAGCCCTGAGAGCGAAGATAAATTTAACGTATTTAAGCTTTTCCTGGTCTTGGGGGGGCGGTCCCTAACAAGTATATGCACAGAAAACGACTAATAAGGCACACGCTTGGAAATGACAAGATTTAAACGCCTAAAGGTTTTTTAAGTGTTTTTAGCGAGAAATTTTAGTGTTTTGATATTCTTTTAGAAATTTTAGTGTTTTAAACTACAATCCTTGCTGCTTTTTAACGTCCAAATAGTCATTTTCTCGAAAAGAAACTCACTATAAATAACTGAACGACTTAGTTTACTAAAATGTTTTGTTTATTTTGTGTTTAGTATACGCCGATTACAGTCAAGTCCGCCGGAAAACGGCTTATTCGACCATCGTCATATATTTGCAATTTTCCGGCGAATATGACCATGGTCGTATTTGCAATTTTCCGGCGAATATGACCATGGTCGTATATTTGCCATTTTCCGGCGAATATGACCATATCTCTTAACTCGACTTAAAACCCCGGAAAACGGCGTATAGGCACTAACGAGAAGGCACTAACGAGAATGCAGAGTTGACTGTCTGAATGTCTTTGTTGCCGTTTTACTGCTGTAAGGTTGATGAAAACGTTGATCTAAAAAAATAAATGTTTGATGTTTACGAATGATCTCTGGTATTGTTTCATTTAGAGACTCAAGTCATGCAGAGACTGGGGAGAGTATTCAATGGTTAATTAAGGTGATTTTTAGTCGATATAAATTTTTTTTTAAACCCTATCTGTTCCATATATGTTTAATACCAGTATTTTTTTTGTATGTAAAAGAAAAATTTGAAAAGCATTCCAAAAAAAAAAATTGGGGAAAAACACCCAAAAGAGATCATCCAGCCTATGCCACAATCTAACCTGGTTGTACAACCGGCTGCAATATTCAGCATAGTTACAACTACGAAAGGTGCAAGGCGGTTGCTATAGGAAGAACTCCCCCCCATAACTCACATCTTAACGGCCGTCTAAGGGGGAGATGCACTACGGCCCCCAGACCATGATGTATGTGCACCTAACCGTTACGTCTCAGTGAGAAACAGAGTATGCATCGCCACAAGCCTAGCGTCATAGACGAATCAGCTACGTGGCTAGCCCTGAGAGCGAAGATAAATTTAAGGTATTTAAGCTCTTCCTGGTCTCGGGAGGCGGTCCCTAATAACAAGTATACGCACAGAAAACGACTAATAAGGCACACGATTGGAAACGCCTAAACGTTTTTTAAGTGTTTTTAGCGAGAAATTTTAGTGTTTTTAAATTCTTTTAGAAATTTTAGTGTTTTGAAACAACCCTTGTTGGTTTTTAACGTCAAAATGGTCATCATTCTCGAAAGGAAACTCAATACAAATGACTGAACGGCTTAGTTTACTAAAATGTTTGTTAATTTTGTTATCTTAGTTGATTCTGTTTCATTTCTGGGGAAATTTCGATCTTCTCATATTATAGCTCAGTGGATCTTCTTCTTTGTTTCTTTTGACGCGCATGCTCAGACAAAATTCTCATCGCATTCAAAATGGCGGCCTTTTCTGATCAAGAAGCATGTTTGTGGCAAAATGGTCCAATTCCAGGCAGATTTCACGACTTTCCTCGTCAAAGTCCAACCACCTCACACGGACCTTCAAAAAGGAGCATGTAAGTGTGATTCTGGTTACAATTAAAGTATGGTTTATACATGAATTTATAATAAAGAAGAAAACCTTATTTTAGAATTTAGACGTTTATAGTTTTGAACCAAAACCTGAATGAAAGGATATTTTTGCAGGTATCCAGTCACACAAGGCACATCAGTTCTTGGTGTTTGTTTTGATGGAGGAGTAGCTATAGCTGCTGATACCTTAGGTAACCCAAAACGAATTGAAATTTTTTTAAAAAGAAATTTGTTATTTTTATTAAATATGTTCAATTATGTTCCTAGGTTCTTATGGTTCATTGGCCAGGTTTAGAAACTTGTCTCGTCTAATGAAAGTCAATGAAAACACAGTAATTGGAGCTTCTGGTGACATTGCTGATTTTCAATATATTCAAGATGTACTAAAGCAAAAAGTGTAAGCAAAACGGGCCAGTCCTGTGCTGGTGTAACAATCAAAGATTCAAGATTTCTAATGCTATTTGAAAATAAATTTTAGGATTGATGATGCATGCTATGATGACGGCCATGGATACACCCCGAAATCAATTTTTTCATGGCTAACAAGGGTTTTATATTACAGGTGGGGTATTTCATTATAATCCCTGCACTTAAAATAATAGTTGGTCAACAAAGAATGACCATTATTGAATCCTGAACATTGCCACATTTTTGAAATAGCACTTTTACAAAATTTTTTTGGAACTATAACTAAATGTTATCCAGTTTTTTAATTGGATGCCTAATTGTCATCATTAGATGTTTTATTAGTGCTTATCATGTGTTCTATTAGTGTAATTAGATGTGCAACATACACAATTTGCATTCAATTATGGTTAATTATTGTTCAGTAAATTCAATTAGTTACTGATTAATATGTGTTCTTTAAATTACTTCTAATTAACATGTGTTCCGAATTTTTTAGACGATCGAAATTTGATCCACTTTGGAATCAAATTGTTGTTGCTGGGCATTACCAGGGGCAAAAGTAAGAGAAATAAAAATTCCTATTCATCCAGATCATTCTTGACTTTGCTCTGAATGAATGAATAAATGAATGAATAACTTTATTTCACAAGGGTAAAACACATTACAGCCAGGGGCTGACAAACTTGTGGCCCTCAGAATAAAATATTAGAATCATGCAAGTATATACAATAAGATATATAAAATATACAATAATACATTAGACAGTCCATTCTAAGACTATATAAAAACATGCGACTAGAACACTAGAATTAAGAAAGGTTAAAATGATCGAGATCTATATACTGTTGTAATAAAAATGTACGATAGCTTTTCTTAAAAGTTTTGATATTGGAGGTAGATTTAACAGTCACGGGAATACTGTTCCATAATTTTATTGCTGATACAGCAAACGATTTTCCACCTTCTTTTTCTCTATTGTACTTTGGACAAACAAATGTTATATCGCCATATCTTGAGTTACGCTGTGATATGTCACTTGCTCTTTTTTAAATTTCTTTGTTTTATAATTTTAGCTTTCTTGGATATGTTGACAGACTTGGAATTGCGTATGAAGCACCATCAGTTGCTACTGGATATGGTGCATATATTGCACAGGTACCATGAAAGAGTACCACACTACTCTATACCATACACAGCGATATAGCATAGAGAGGCTCATCCTCGGTGCTTTGGAGAAGAAAGAATTATGTTCATGTGATTTTATAATTTCAGCCACTTCTCCGTGATGCTCTAGAAAAAAATCCACATCTTACTGCGGAAGATGCTGAAAAACTACTTGTGAAATGTCTTGAAGTTCTTTACTATCGTGATGCAAGATCTCTTAACAGAGTGAGTACTTAACATCATTGGAAATTCAATGAATTCCTCGTAGCAATGAATGCAAGCATGCTATTTTTTCTCTTCAGTATGAAATAGCGGTTGTTAAAGATGATGCAGAACCTGTCATATCAAATGTTAAAACCATTGAAACTAATTGGGATGTCGCTCATTATGTAAAGTAAGTAATTGAATTTATGACTTGGGTGATGCTCTGATATATTGCTGTTTCTTCAGGCTTTATATTTTGATTAGAATATTTTGCATAGAATAACATTGTCACATGTGTCCAAGGCCCAGAGAATCACTCTCTTGATATCTTTTAAGCCCCGTTTACACGGTCACACTTAATCTGGTTTAACTTGATCTTTGATTTTTCGATTCGGTGTAAATTAAGCGGGATTACTTTGCACTACCTGTATGAGGTGGATTAAATTACGCGGATTATTTTGAAATTTCTTGAAGTGGTCATGTCAACGCAGCTATGGTGCTAGTTGAACGAGTTCAATTTAAACTGGTTTAAGTTTGTACCATGTAAAGTAAGGGGAGCATTTTATGCAGATCCAGCCTTATCCCATCCCGTATCTATCATATCTTCTCTTGACATTTTTGCTCAAAAATGCCAGGAATTTGAAAGTTCTAGTGTGAAATTTTTTTGAAAATTTTTGTGAGGGTGCTCATTCTTCCAGCTATGCTTGTATAATTGATGAAAGGTCTTACAAAACCTTTGCTAATCTGAACACCCTTTTAGACAACAAACCGTCTAGGCTACAATGCTGGAAGAAATGTCACATCATTGACATTGTCCTTTTTATTTTATCACAGAGGATATGAATAACTCAGATGCACTTTCAAAATCTGGAAGAGATTTTCTTTGGTAAAAGTTATCTCTACGAGTAAGAAACATTTTTTCGTTGAGAAAACATTCAATTATTATGTAAGTGAATACTATTTTCACAATATAAATAGATATGAAATGATTCTGTAAGAGTGGTTTATTATTACTGTTTGTTTACATTCACCATGGAGACCTTGCTCATATTTCATCAATATGGCAATGTTTCACTTTCAAACTCAGGGAGAACCATGAGATATAGTCAACGTTTCTTTTACATATATGATATGCTATTTCGCCGCGCGACACCATTCTTTGTAAGAGTTTAGCAAACAATTTACAACAACACGCGAAGTGCAATCCTTTTGAAAATATGCAAAGTTTCTTTTTTTTTGCTTCATGAATATTCTGGATGCTATTGATGTCGAAATGACAACGTTTTTAGCATCATTTTTTCGCTCCATAACAACGGGAATTGTTGAAGCCTCGTTTGAAGCGATCCACGGGCCGCCTAATTTAGGATTTTGTCGTTGCATTCGATGAAAAAGATATGTACTTTTTATAAGCTGACAGCTTAAGAACACTTGGGTTATTTCCTTGAAATGAATACACTCAAAATTGAGAAATATGAGAGGGCAAACTCTTCCAGTTCATCTGCCTTCGACATTCACGAACTCTCAGCATGCAGTCAGCAAAACAAGTCGATGCAAAATTGTGAACAATGATCCCGTCTTGAGGATGAAGACTCCTTTATTTAACTCTTTATCTAACTCTATTTAGACCCTTTATTTAAAATAATTAAATGAATATATTCCTATTAGCAACGCTTTTTGCGTAAAAATAATGATATAAACCTGCTTCTCAATTGTCAATATATAAAAAAAAAATAATATATCGAGTATGAAAAAAAAAATAAACCTGAAGCCAAAAATCTAACTCCACTCACAAATCAGATGAAAAACCTCTTTTGATCAATGTGGCTACGTGAATATTTTACAATATTTTACAATAAACTAAACATCGCGATTTCCTGTGAGAAAAATCATGCTATTTAAAGATTCTCGTGTCTTCGTGGGTAAGTCAGCTAACGCGTCTTAAAGTGAAACAAAGTTTTTGGCATTCTTGGTATTTCCTGAATAGTTTGTGTTTTTATTGGCTACCCTTTAACCCCATTGTCTTCCATCTTTTAAATGTGTTAAAATTATCCATAAATTAATAATAATGTTTTTGTGCTTGTAAACACCTTGACGTGTGTTAAGTGAGTGCCTCTTCAAAAGTGAAAACATCGTCTTTATTTAAAGGCGACGCGCTCTACGAATATGGCCGCTTCTCGACAGCATCTATGTGGCTTAGCTTTCACGTCAATCTGCTGTATTTTATTTGGCGGCGCGATAGCTGCTTGCGGACTTTTATTCCAGTTTCACGATGATTACAACGACGAAAATACAAACGGTATGAAAGATTATTACTATTACTACACTCAGTACTGGCTTGGAGCTCCGGTAAGTGCTGGCTGATCTTTTGAGTTTTGACGTCTCTTGTACGAACACATAAAGCTTCTTGCATTTTTGAACGAAATTTTAATTCCATGTTAATTTGATCTCGCGGTAATTCCCTGTTTACAGCGAAGGAAGTAGGCAATAGAAATAAATCCATATTATTAAACGAACCGTGTGAACAACTTTTCATTCATTGTCACTGACGTAAATACAAACTTATTTTCTGGAATATACAATAATCAGTATATATTTGTCTCTGCACCAAAGTCTCTGCTTCTATCATTTGAATTTTCTAGACGGTTTCAAATTTTTTTCAAAACGATATTGAACACACTGCATGCATAGACTTTCTTTATGAAATATGTACAAACACACTCAGTACTTAAAATATTACTACTTTATAGTACTCTATATTCATCTGTGTTGTGTCTATTCTGGGATGGTTTGGTATTACTTTAATTTATAACAGCGTTCTTCTAATCTGCTCAGTTTTTCCTGTGAGAAAAAGGCTGTAAGTTCATGACGGATGACGCTGTCATATGCATATTGACAGACCTTCAGTTTAGCTCATAATTTCATTTCGTTAGCCAATATATTGTTTACAAAGTGTTGAAAATGGACAGGTCTTATATCATGAGAATTATTTTATTTACACGAGAAAAGAAATAGATAATCGATACAGCTTCTATCATTTCAACTTTGAGCTTATCTTAGGACTTTATTTCATTACAATATAAATAATTTCCACATATATATCTTCAATTAGACACCCTATAGTTCTCTGACAAAGGATAACAAAATAAAATAATATAATTTAAACATTTTTCCCCAGTGTGAAGCTGTGAAACGTTGGATTGGAATTAATTTTTAGCTAATTTTCAGTTTAAAATGAATGAACGCAGTTACAGACAAACTTCAGTCTGAGGTCTATATGGCGTCATTTTCATAGAAGAACTATAAATATCTACAGCTGGTATTTTGTGTATGAGCAGATGTAATGAGTTTTTAATGTTAAATTCTTGAATATAGCCGAATTTTGTTGAACTCCGGTATATAACAGCATGCTGTTTGGTTTGAAAGTTGACATGCTGTGTACCTTGAGAAAAGAATATTAGAAGTTTATCTCGTTCATTATAGAGATGAAATTCGGGCTGTGACGAGACCTTTTTAGCTGCGGGGGCGTTTGCTCCAAAAATCCAATAATTGGCGGGGTTTTATCAATATTTCCGGTCGAAATAAATGTTTCGCTTAGTTTTCATCCAATTGCAAGAATTCGACCGAAGCTGATTCCATCAAAAAGCGATATTATAGAATTACCGACATCACCACCCTGTCCCCTCCTACCAGTACGCCCCTTGCATGAGGGGTGGGGCATTCGTTTAGTTAGGTCTGGCTAGTGTGCAGATGAGGAAGATCTAGGATGATTGGAATCAGACCTTCTTTGTGCAAGATATTATCGACTAACCAGTGAACTGAAGAGACCCAAGAGAGTAAATGTTTAGTTCCTCGTACGTGTATTATTAAATGTTTAATTATTGTTACAGCACTTCTTACTTTACGTAATAAATCTTCTTCTATATTTTAGTTGATTGTTCTCGGAGTTGTAATTCTTCTGTTCCTCTGTTCAAAAGTCAAACAACTGGTAGGTTTATCAACTGTAGTTCGGTATTAACTGATCCTTTTACAGTTTTACTATCGTACGAACATCTCTCGTTCAGTACAGGGAATGCCGGCGATACAGATACAAATATACAAACCATGTTTTCTTATATTTCTTTGTAGTTGTACGTGTGTGTTTTTATGTCTTCTCTGACTCTCACGCTGGCTATAACTGCAGTTGTCCTCGAAGGACCGAAATGGGGAGTGTGGCTACAATTGCAACAAAGAGTTGATGATCATGAGACTGAAGATGTTAATGGCGTTTGCACCTTAAAAGGTATCGATCGCATCAACCTGTCTATCGGTTTCATTCCTGAGGATCCATGATTATTATTGTATTTCTAACGGTCCTTAAAACTCCAATTTTCGAACTAGATTCAACATTCCCAGTAGCAGTGCCAGTACGTAGTCCCTTATCATGTCAAGAGATTCTCTTTGCAACCTTGATGCAAAGCATCGTTGTTGGTTGTTCGATTCTATCAATTGTAGTCAGCCAATTTGTGGTGTTCATCTCCATTCGGGCTATCAGCCGTATGGCGCAGGTTCGTCACTTCATTGATACATTGCTTTTTCAATACATTTTTCAAAACATTTTGCCTAGGCAAAATTTGAACTAGTTATGGGATGAATAACTTCGTAATTATGTAGTGTTGTTGATGCGTAAAAATGATCTTTTGCAGGAATCCTATAAATTTTCAAAGAATCAGCATGGTGGCCCCGGGCAGTATGAAAACAATTCAAGTATGAATATCATGTCGTCACAGATGTAGTCCACTACTTTTTTCGTGTAAATCTGCATGGGTTCATCAGCGGAACATGAATTATCATTAATTTCATTTCCTCCATCCGTAGATTACGTTTAGTTATAATTCATATTTACTAACGAACTTAACCAGTCATGAGCCATTGGCTTTGGCAACGTCTTGAGACGAGTCATGGACCATGGTTAATTCTTTTCTCACTTTTGTGCCTTGAAAACTCCTCTTTAGCAGGTCTAATGGAAAAGGTAGAATAAGTAATAAGCGCCAGTGGATAGAACCTCAGGACTGGAAGGTGACTTTCAAGCATTTATCATAAAAGCGAGACAAGGATTGGCAATTCCGTTGCTTCTCAGAAAAGAATGAAAACAATTTCGAAAGACAAGGCAGTATGGTAGTCCATATGCGCTGGTTAATTCAAAGGACAAGACGAAGCGAGTTATCAATCATTTGATGATCGCCAAACGGTGCATAAATTTCCACGAACGAGAAGAGAAACATCGACCAATGAGTTGCGTGTGTTTGTCTAGCTTCTAGGATCTATGATTTAGGGGGGAATAATGATATTTATATTTGTAGAATTTAGAGAGAACTATATATCATGCCTGGCTAAGATTCGTGGTAGGGATTTGAATAATACATTAGAAAGTGGTTTACAAAAACGAGTTAAATATACATTAATTTTATGTGAAGTCAACTATTCAATTAAAAAGCATATTTCTCGTTGACTTGTTCACAATTGATTAGATTTCTGAAACTTGAACACATGCCTGCGTGCATTGAGAACAGGCGGATCACTGATCCAGGGGCGTTGGATTGATGACGTCATACGAAAGCACGGAGAATACTTCATGTAATGTGACTTCTAATCTGGAAAGTTGAAATTCAAAATGGCTTCCCTGACTCACGCTCAGAGAGTTACTCGTCTTTACAGAAGATCCATGAAAAATCTTCTTTCTTGGTGCGTGGAGAGGGAAGTGTGGAGGAAAGAAGCAATTAAATTAAGAGCTGAATTTGATCATTTCAAACACGAAACAGACCGGAATAAAATCGCTGCAATACTGGAAGAAGGCGAGGAAAGATTTCGCCGTCAACAGCACCCTGATCCTTATATAAGTGAGTTTGTTTTTAATAATGCGTTTGGGAGAGATCGCATTTTAAAATTTTAACTTATACATATGGAGGGACCAAAGGATTTAATATCAGGCCTTGTGGTGTATAGATTGTATACACAGACATACATTTCGTTAATATTGTTCAAATATAATAATTCAGATAAAATTAAAGCTAAATATAGTTATAAATTTTTAGATCCTAATGCACCAGAAGGTGGAAAGTGGGAAAGGAATATGCCACCACCATTGCATGTAAGTTGCAAAATAAAGGTCATATTGGGTTTATCTGACACCACTACCTGTATAAGTGTCCTGTGACCTGTGTCATAAAGATTGTATATGGATGCTCTAAGCTCTATGTGAAATTTTTTTTTAAATGCATATATATTTTTAGAGCCTAATAATGACCCCAGATGAAGATCAGTGGTATGAGGCAAGCAAAAAGTGGGCCAATTGATAGAACTCAAATTATTAACACCATATTTGAGAACTGTTAAATATTATTGTTTTCAACTTTTTTGGAGTGGCTGCACTTAAAATTTTCTTATTGTGCCATTTGGCAGTGAGAAACCTGAAAGATTTTGTACATTAACAATTATAATACTTATGATTATATTAACTATGACTATATTCTGGACTATTGTCTTTTTTCTATTGCTAGTATGATGTATCAACTCAAGGACCAGGTCACTAAGACTTATATTGTAATATTATAACAAGAGTCTCCATAACCTGTCTTCATATTTAGGTGGGGCACTCTGGGCGTGGTCTTCTAACATGTGTAACATTCACCCTGGTTTTAAGACTTTAAGTTTAAGAAATACATTCTCTTTTGTAAGGATCAAACAGATTTGGTTTGAAAATAAATTTCACCGGCTCACAACCACCTTAATTAATCTCATGTGAACACTCGCCCTAGTCCCTGCCCAGCGAAATTCAAAATGTGGCAGCTTTTTGATAAAATATACTTTTGTTTGTAAATGTTATACGTTCACTGCGCATGTGCGACAATCGGCCTCTTTGATGCCATGCAAGCTGCGGCTGCAGTCTGATATTTGCGGTTGTATTTCTTGCCATACTTGATGTACGTTTTTATAAAAAGTTTTCAAAATTTTTCTGGATTCTGGATTTCAAATGTGTCAAATCTTTAATATTTTTATTTATATATTTTTTCGTGTAACGATACTATATTATAAAAATGGTGACGATGAATACAAACAAATTCGTATTCTTGAAGACTAGAAGTGTTTTTAGTTGATACAAAAGTTGTCAGCGATATTTATTTTATATTTGGTCAAATGCTACAATTTATGGACATTTTAAAACGGCTTTTAACATGCATTTTGATCATATTATTTTGCTGCGAGTATTTGATATACAAAGTTGTCATATATCAATGTTCGTGGCCGCTTTTGGAAAGCAAAGACAGTTTTAGAAACGGTAAATTCGTGGATAAGAGTCAGAATGTCCATGCAATATTGCTGTCAGATCCTCATCTCCTGGGACCGCGATATGGTCATTGGTTTGATAAACTACGACGGGAGTGGCAGATGAGACGAAGTTTCCAGACAGCAATGAATTATTTTGATCCTGAAGTGGTGTTTATATTAGGAGATGTTTTTGATGAGGGAATGATTTGCACTGATAATGTGAGTAGAGCCACTTTAATAGAGAACAACAAAGTCAACCCCCCTGGATAGTCTCAACTTCTACCAAGATCCCCTCAGTGTCATTTGCCTCAGCGTTTGCATCATTGATCATTCATTCATCTATCATCTAACAAACTCTTCGTTCTTTAGTAATTCTTTCAGATGTCTGTCATCTTGCACTCTATCGGTGAATGGTCTCACAATTTAATGTTTAATATTTCTCAGGAGTGGGAGCATTATGTTTCACGCTTTCATGATATATTCCACCATCCTGAAGATGTTCAGTTACACATAATTCCAGGGAATCATGATATTGGCTTCCATTACAGGTATTGTGATGACAAACATGTATATTATATGAAACCCAAAACAATTTTATATACAAACTTACTCCAATTATTACTTGTTTTTTACTCAATACAGGATGCTTGGCAGGTCTGAATTAAGCAAAAGATTTCAAAGAGATTTTAATATTACTGGAGTGAATTTTGTTAATTTGAAAGGAAATGTGTGAGTGTCAAAGTTCTTGGTTATTATCAGAGGAGTGGATTGCTTAAATCTTATTTGGACAGCTTCTAATATAAAGTTCATTCCAATGTTAGGTTCATTCTGGTGAACTCGATGGCACTAGAACAAGATGGGTGTTCATTGTGTACAAAAGCCGAGGAAAACTTAAAGTCAATTTCCAGCAAATTAAAATGTCTTCATAAAGATAAAATTACTTTGAATTTTTGGAAAAAGAAATGTGAATTGGAGCCTTTCATGTCGGACCCAATTCTTTTACAGGTATTTTATGCTCATGTTTACTATCTTAATGAAAAGAGGTGCATAATATTTGGTGCACATTACTCTACCCTACTATACATAATAATACAGTTACTCTACAATGGTATACATTACTATTAAATATGTCTGGATAAACTAACAGTTGAAGGAATTAAGAAATCTTCAAGGCCTAAAAGTTCAAAATGTTTTTTAGCATTTTCCATTGTATCGATCCTCTGAGGTGAACTGCACGGGTCGCGATTCACCTCCAGCCGAACGCCGCCAATTGAGAAACCGAGATGGTTGGGAGGTTCTATCCCAGGATGCATCAGAACTCTTGATGACATCACTTCAACCTAGAGCTATCTTTAGCGGTCATACACATCACAGTTGTCATGTTATTCACAATGAAGATATCCATGAATTCACATTGCCTTCCTTCAGCTGGAGAAACAGAAATGATCCAAGTTTCATTTTGGTAAGTAAATAATCACTACCTATACAGTATTCATTGAAATGTGCTTTATTGGATTTAGCACCTTTGGTCATACAATAGAAATATTCAGAGGTCCAGATGATTTTGATGTTATGGTATTATCAAGGTTAATGGATGGGTAACCTTGAGAAACCTTTCTCTCTTCAGGCGGTTTTCAACCCAAATACCTATTCAATTCAAAAGTGTTTTCTTCCTGAAGAAAATTCTGTCATCTTTCTTTACATCTTGTTGGGAGTTTGCAGTTTGTTTTACACATTTTGGAACAGTTTTAGAAGGAACTTTCATCGCTCGCAAATTTGCAAAATGAGGATATTTTATCACAGAGAACCTGTGAAAATATGCTAGATAATTCAGTCATTTTATATTGATATATTGGTATAATAAATATAAGGAATCATGCAAGATTGAAAGTCAAGAAAACATTCTCCCAAGAGCAGCTTGGCAGAAGGTTATTGGAATGGTTCTTTTCCATGTACGCAGTAAAAACCAATAATTTAAACTGCAGTGTGCAAGCTACATATGTTGTTGGACATTACAAGAGCCACGCAAACACCAGTTAATTTTAAACTCTACGAAACAATATTAATTTAATGAACAACAAATGTACAGAAGAGATTACACTGTTTAGTTTAAAGACTTCTTTTCTACACTTCGTACTATCTAAACTTGGTACGTATCTAATCTTATCACCAAGTTTCCAAGCAATAACCGAATATTTACAATGATCATGCCAGCTGGGGTTTATCGTACACATCTAGACGTTTTTGTTTTCCAGATACTGTCAAATGTTATGTTTTTTATCTTGTATTAATGCAGGCAAGTGGTGAATGCAAAATGTGGTAGATTTTTGGCCCAAACACACTGGTTGAACCTAGTTTTAGGTTATCATTGAGTTACATTTCAGTTATAGCTTGATGTACAGTATATCATGAGCATGTTCAGATGAAAGGTTTGACCAGACTGTCCAGACATGAAGATTGGTTTTCGAACCACAACCAGAGATGATTCTTGAGAGGCCAAATAGTTTTAAGGTAGAAATGGTTTTGTTACAGCATGTCTTTCTACTGAAACAATACGCAATTCTACATAGCTTTAAAACAAACCCAATTTATCTCTGGAACCAATTTTCATTGGAACAACAAAAATATAACTGTTTTAGCAGTTTTGTTTTACAACAATATGTCCATAGTAAAGCTACCCATTGTTTCTTTATACTGATGATATTGTCCCCAAGGTTCAACTGTGATCATGCTGATGGCTTCAGAGCCTTCATGGCAGAGGCAGCATTGGGAAACATTGTGTGATACTGTGATAATGGCACTGTTTGAGCCAAGAGTTGCTTTCCTGAAAGAGAGATACCTATCTTAGTTCTATAACCAATGAATAAGAGCTGACTTTAGTCTTTAAACAACTGGTGGCAAATTTAAAGTTGATATTCAACCAACCTGCAAACCATCTTCCTTGCATCGTCTTAACAGCAGCAACAGCAACATCCGGAGTGAGACATTTCACATAAACATTACCCTGAGGATAGAGCAAAAGGAGTTGAACCTCCATCTTGAAAAAAACAAATGAAGGAGAGAACAGTAGTTGGTTACAAACCTGGACTGAGGTCTGATCAACGTGGATGTGAACAATGCCACCAAACTTGGACAACTCGTCCAGGACATCATCCTGAATGTCTAAATGCCAGTCTCTGTCTTTCTCTCTGTTTCAAGAAAGATACAAGATATCTTCAAATCAATATGATGGTGGTGTGTCAAAGAGTTTAAGGACCTCAGGTAAAATGGAAGACTTCAGGTAAAATGGAAGACCTGAGGTAAAATTGAAGACTTGAGGTAAAATTGAAGACTTGAGGTAAAATTGAAGACTTACTTGGTAGGGTCAAACATGTTGCTTATCATTAGACACGGAGTGGGGAGTGGAATGTTTACAGGTGTGTGAAGAATGGAGATGGCTGGGTTTGCAGGGGGCACACCAGGTACAGACAAACCTAAAGAAACAGAAAAGTATTACAGTATTACCTCACCAGGCATAAGATTCTCACTCGTGGATTACTGATATTTTGGATCCAAATTTTTGTGCTTTGATTATAATCTTGATACCTGCTGAATGTGTCTGGGACAACTTCTGCATCAGAGCGGCTCTGGCTGCAGCGTTCATCTCAATACCACCCTTCTCATATTCCTCATCATCAAGGAAAGACATTCCACCAGAATCACTCCGCTCCGTCACAGGACCCACCTAAAAATTGAGCAGATATCAATGACAAGTTTGCTAGCAAGGAGAGGGCCAGTCCAACTTTGGCAAAACTCCCGGAATTTTGCAAAGAAGGAACCCATCAACAGTTGAGAGATCTAACCCCAAAAAATTGCACTCCTTGCAAAAATTCTCAAAAAATGGATCTGCTTGTGATGGATCTATACAAGACAGATTTAGTCTGAAAATCACCTTGATCGGTCTTCCAGCCAATTCAAATCCATTCATCTGTTCCATTGCCCTCTTGGCGCTATCAGGATCTCGGAATTGTATGAAACAATACCCCTTTGATCTGCCTGACTCTGAGTCATGGATCATTTGAACAGTATCAATGATACCAAATGGTTCAAATATTGCCTTGATCATTTGCTCTGTGATATTGAAATGAAGTGATCCGACGTAAATACGAGTAGGTCCTATAGGCCGTTTCAGTTTCTCTGCTTCTGCTGCTAATCTGTTCTTCTCTGCTTGGGTTTCCTGTACGATGATCGGAGCGTTGAGCAGTTTTTGACCAGTCAATTTGATTGCCTTTAAAAAGAGAAATGTTCAGTTTTATGCATTACTCGAGTATGGCCGAATTTGGACAAAGGGGTTTAGGACAGAACTTGGAAGGCAGGAAACAAGTTGGAAGGTGTTTTTAAAGAACTACAGTTCTTTAAAGAACTATACAGAGCGCGTGACATACCAACGGAACAGCAGAGGCATCTGTGAATTCCACGTAAGCAATTCCTTTTGATCGTCGCGAGTTACGATCTGAGATAATTCTCACATCTCGCACCTGAAATATAAGAGAGGATGTTACAGTTTGCAGATGAAAATATTCACAAATTTCGATAGCACATACAGTACCTGTCCAACTTTGGAGAAGAATTCCTCTAAATCCCGTGGTCTTATGTTTCTTGCTAGCTGCATGCAGAATACGGTTCTCCTGTCTCGTTCCTCAGCTGAGATTGTTTCATCGCGAGGTAGCACTTGCCAATGACCACTGCAAAATCAAGATATTTCAGGACTAATTCTCTCTTCACCTCTGGCGAAGGTGATGGAGTGAGACAGTAACATCTGAGCTCTAGAATCTATACACCCTCTCCAGGAAACACACTGGGATTGTACAGCGTTAGAATTCAGGGTTAGGGCGTTGCCACTGGAAATTCCAATTCCCAAAAGTTACTGGATTTAATTAGCATACACCGCGGGAACCACTGGATGATTTAAAGCTATCATACCACACCTGTCATCACTGCCACTTCTTGATCGTCTCTTTCTATCCCGATCTCTTCTTTCGTCATTCCTACTCGGGCGTCTTCGTGGGCTTCCACTCCTGCTTCGTCGTCGTCTATCGGGGCTGCTTCGGCGTCTCTCGTTGCTCCGACTTCGCCTTCTCTCTCCACTACGACTTCGTCTTCTACGTCGTTCATTGCTACGAGATCTAGAGGAGAAGCAGAGTTTGTTCCGAGACCATCTTCTGGATGATGAAAGGCAGGATTTTCAGTGAATATTTACCTTCGTCGTCTTCTTCTTTCTCCACTTCTGCTGCGACTTTTACTCCGACTTTTGCTTCGTCTACGTCGAGATCTAAAGAGAAAAACATATGTTCTCAACTCATGGATTGAAGATATCATTTGCACATGGTTCATTATTGATTGCTTGGGTATCTTCTTTCCACGAAACTCCTCTACTGGTGAGCAATATCTCGATTTTACAGGAGTTCACACTTTACGGTGCGTATATCTCTGCATTTTTCCCACCAAATTAAACTTACAGCCACACTGGATTTTGCAAAGCAATAATTCAAGAACCTCGTATTTAATCATTTCTAGCAACACTGCTATCGCTATGAAAAGGAATCGTTAAGGGCGTGGCTGCGAACAACGTTGATTGGGGTAGTGTCGTTTTTTTTTGTTTCTCCTTTTGGATAATGCGCGTAAAATGACAGGCCCTAGTTACCTTTACACCACGAAATTTATACATGTATCTATTTAAAACAAGAGAAAACTCCGTTATTTCACAAGATATTGGCTGTGCATCCCTAAGGTAACAAGAAGATTCTCGCAAAAACTTATTCAAGTTGTTTCATAATGTATTTTTTATACCAACAACACCCTATATCTTTGGCGCTAAATTTTATATATTGGTGATAATCTTTGATACAGTTCATATTTGCTTAGAATTTTTCTGACATTCATATGATTATGAGGCAGGTTTTTCAAAGTCGTCTTTTTTAAATGGATTAAATGTTTGAACAACTCAAAAGTTATTTGTTAAAGGACAAAGTCAAAAATCGGATTTAAAAGCATGAGTTATGATTGCTGATGTGGTTCTTGATGTCCAGTCAAGCAGCGTGGTAATTGGAAGCTTGGTTCAACTAGATAGGATCTAAAAAATTTGTTCTACCTAGGGTGAAAGAAGAAACATTGGCTCAGATATGGAGCTGTAATCCTTCCGCAGTGAAAGACACGTTATCTTACAACTATGGAGTGATGTTTTGACTACTGTTCAGATGGGTAAGGCATGTACACACTTCAGTCATATTATGAAAGAGATTCTGGGAGAATTGGTTAAAAAACAAAATCATTTTAAGCAATATAAGAATACAAAGCATTTGTGGATGAAGTGGTCAAAATATCACTCCACTTTTGAAGATTCGAGTGCTTCGAATGAGATGCTCTGAAACATTATTCTGAGTACAGTAAACCATTTCTTTCAAATCGACAACAGATCCAGTCCATCCAGGTTAGAGAATTGATCCATTTATCACTTTAGATCTTTTCTTAATATCTTACCGTCTGCTCTTTCCCTCGTCATCAGAATCATCCTTCTTTGACTTTCCATTTGTTGTGCTCTAAAACAGAGAACTTGATTAAAAAAACTTGCATAGAAGCACAAAGTCAGTGTTTTGTAAAGGTCGATGGTCGTTAGGGTATCATCTCTGCATTTTAATACCATTACCTAAACCAAAACAAATGCTTTGTTAAACCAATTGAAAGATTGCAAATTAACATGGAGTATATACCCACATTTAGTTATGAAGGGGCATTTAAGATGCTGATAGTTATGATTTATAGAAAACTTGCTTGTAAACAGAAAGTTAAAGGAATTTTGATGGTAAGAAGGCAATGCATGATTTACACATTTGGAACTACAGGATTTTTAAACACATTGAGTAATTATCGGGGAAGGCAGGGGTGCACACGCTCAAAGAAAATTCAGGAAACATCATTGAGAGTTCAACCTGCAAAAAACAAGCGTTCAAAATTCATAGAAATTTTAGACTTTTTGTGTGCATTTGATGTCTACCTCTTCAAGGTTGTAGTTGAACCCACAAACCAAATGTCTACAAAAAACAACAGAGTACTTAGAGAGATGGATACTTAGAGATGATAAACTGGAGTCTTCCCTCCCTTTGTCACAGAAGATGAGTTGGACCGCAGTTGAGTAATTCTTCTAGCAGTTTTTAATAGGTCGTTATTGTTTTAAATGCATCATAATTATAAATTTAGGTGGTTTTAAAGTTATCTTTTGACTTGAAAATAACAGGGTTAGGTGGGCTGAAGCTTTTTGACAAAGATCTCCATCAGTGTGTGACTTACCATTAACTTAAAATCACTTTAAAATCACATCAGTTTCCAGTAAAATGCTTTATAAGAATAGGCAGGCTACATGCTCTTAAAAGCCTGAATTGTTTTAACTTTATGAATTATTTTTAGTATATGTTTTTTGCCTATGCTGTGATTTATACCTTTACCATAGTTTTGAAGTTGTAAAATCAGTTGTAATCAAATAATTTGTTAACAGCATGTAACATAGAAACTACCTCATTTCTGAAAGGTGCCTCAAGCATCGCCTCTATGTCAAATTCATCAGTCATTTTCTTTCACTTTTGTGCAGAGAGAATCAGAACCTTGAAATAAAATTTAAGCTAATGTAAGTGATTGTGATCGAACTTAGGATTAGGTATTTCCTTGCATAGGTTTAGGGATTTATTGATGTAGGATTAGGGATTTCATTACGTAGAGTTAGAAAATCTTCCTGTAAAAAATCTTGCAGGTATTTCACTATAATTATGCAATATTTATCATAAATGACTGTTTATTAAAATAAAACCAGTAATTTCCCCAAAAAATTCGGCTGTGAGTTGGAGCGGGGGGGGGGGAGGCGGTTCTTCTACAAACGAGTCATTTCCAAATCGAAAAAATTTCAACGTTTTCATTGACTTTTGCATATTTTTTTTCGAAAAGCATAATTTCAGCATATATTTGTTTAGACCAACACTCTACTATGATAGAAAACCAAATTTTTCCATAAATTACTTTATTACAAAGCATTCTACTTCAGAGCGTAAATATACTCGCAAATGATTCTGGCGCCTTTTGATCCAATTCAAAGCCAAAAATTATCGATCTCCCTTGAGGCCGATTTAGCGCAATTTTTTGATATATGAGTTGAAGTTTGTTTTAAATCACAAAAATCGACGTATTCGTTACACGGCAGAAAAAATTCACGTGCAAAAAATAGCTAATATTTAGACAAACACCAGGCAAAATAGTTACACAAAATTAAGAGAATTTCAAGCGATAATAGAGGGGAATAATGCTTTTAAAATTATCCGTACTAACCTTGAAAAAAAGAAGAACAACTAAGCAAAAGAACTGCGTATTTCTTGTACGAAATACCAGGAAAAATCCCACAAGAAAGTTCAGAAAAGGTTTCTAGGAGGTCTTCAGATGAAATACAACACGCTGTCTACACGCGGGCAAATTTGGGCGAAATATTGATGTCGGGGGGGGGAAAAGTACGCCCAATTTATATCACCGCTCTGGATTTTAATTCTATTTGACATTTCAGCGCTCCAAAAATTGATTTTTTTCAAATTGCTGTTGCAAAAGGTTTGATAGAAATTTAAAAATATTGTGATATAAATTAAAAGGAGGTAGTTTATAGTTTATTAAAAAAAGACTTGATTTTTTTTACTCTACCTAAAAGAAAAGTAACTGTAGCAAGTGGAAACAAGAAACCTGTAAAACTTGTTTTATATTATAACGAATGTTCACAGTTCACGATGACTTGGCGAAAAATTCCGATACGCGACGAAGGTTCTGTTTTGCTGTTTACTTTCAAAAATATTCTCAAGTTGATCTAGTTTTGGAATAGAGAATTTTCTTGAAGTATTCTTCACTTTTGCAAGGGATTTTACTAAGTTAAACTAATCAAATGATTGTCTGAAAAGCCATTTATCAACTGCAGGTTCACCTCACCGCCTTCAAAATGCCGTCTATGGAAGGTAGATCTATATTAATTCTATATACTTCATAATTTTATCACATCAAGATTTTATATTTACAGTAATGTAAATATGTACAAAAATTCACAATTCAATCCATCTCTAACAAGATGAAATATTTCATACAACGGGGAAACAAGGGTCGTACATTTGTATTAGAAATTAGCATCAGCAATTTCATACATTTCTATTTATAGAAATTGTGTAATTATTGTTTTTGTACATTTTTTACATTATGTGTTAAGAATATTTGGTAAAACTTTTTATCTTCTAAGGCAAGTATAGGTCTGTCTGCAATAACCAATGCACCTCTCTTATGAAGACGTAAAACATGGAAAGTCTAATGTTACACAAAATTTCATTGACTCAATACTAACGAGCCAATAACACTTTGTGTATAAACATTAAACTTTCTGTGCATGACATCATTATCAGAAGCTCCATTGAACGCTAAAATATTTCCCTTTTTTTCTTAGATACAATCTTCCAATTGAAGGTAAGATATCTTGCAAGTTGTAAAGCATACAGAGCAGTTTATTTGTTCAGGAATATTTTAAACTGATCATGATATTTGAAATTCTTTGTAGTTCACAACAAAACAACTTGAACGTTTTGCAAAGAAATCTGAGAAGGATCAGAAAGTTCAACAGGGAAAGATCAAGAAAGCGCTTCAACAAAAAAATGTTGAAGGAGCCAGGATTTATGCAGAGAATGCAATCAGAAAGAAAAACGAATCTCTTAATTACCTTCGACTTGCTTCACGAGTTGATGCAGTCGCATCCAAAGTTCAATCAGCGATGCAAATGAAGCAGGTGAGACGTCTTTTAATTGAGATCTTTGGATGGTTTTCAAGTGCTTGTAGTGGCTCACAATAACCATGATCATGATGCAAAATGAAATGCAAAATGTTTTAAAAAGTTCTTTCAATATGCAGGTGACAAAGAATATGGCTGGAGTTGTGAAAGGTTTAGATAAAGCTGTACAGTCTATGGAACTACAAAAGGTTGGATATACGAATTGTATAATCCTGCACAAAACAAGTGCTGAAACTCTTACTCTTTACTTTTATTTAATAGATTACAGCAACAATGGAGAAGTTTGAATCACTTTTTGAAGACCTTGATGTTCACTCACAGGTTAGCAATTATACACAACTTTTTTTGTTTGATGGACATCCATCCATGTCAAATGTTTTGATCTAAATTTTGGCATCATAAGAACAATCTGTATTGAATACTTCATCAATTAATTAAACAACAGGTTCTTGACACAGCGATGGGTGATGCAACAACCATCTCCACACCAACAAACCAGGTAATTGCCAGATATTTTATAATATTTAATGAAAGATGGTTTACTAGTCTTGTGAAAACAATTGATTTCCAATAATTATTCTAGGTTGATGCTTTAATTAATCAAGTTGCTGAAGAGAATGGTTTGGAAATGCTGGAACAAATGGAAGCAGCGAAACCTGGAACATCCTCTTTGAGAGACACAGCCTCAGGGGAACGAACACAGGCACAAGAAGATCAACTTTCGAAAAGGTTTGTTTGTTGAATATAAATTCAATTCATTCTGTTAAAGAAATGTCAATTTTGAGTTGAAATTTTAGTTAAATCTGGTGAAATTCATCTTTTCCAGATTGGCAGCATTAAGAAGTTGATAGAGGGATGCAAGTAAAATCAATGAAAGCAATCTCTTTTATCCATTTCTACTTAAAAAGTACAACTCTAGTTATTGATCAGTTTAGCATCTTTTGTACAAATATATAAGCAATCAATATAAATTTACATCAAGGGAACAAAAAAACTCCAATGGTAAAAACAATATACATCTTTACCATTTTATTTTACAGTACGAAAATGCACATGCGGAGACACCATTATCACTTTGTATTCATTAAGAATTAGGACTATAATGATTTTATTGTAAATACAATTTCCTTATATTTTGTAGTTTTTGCTGTATATTAGGTTCTAGCCAATGGTAACACATTTGGGGCTTCTCTACAAAGCTTAAGAGATTGAATCCCCAGGATTTGATGGTTTTTTCTCATCAACTTCTTTCAGATATTGCATGATACGTTCCTATAAGAAAGAATCAGGTTTAGTAAACAGATTGAAGGATAACCATGACTTCAAACCACTGTGTATCTTACAGACTCTCTATGTCTGGTATTTTGTCTTTTCTTTCGTCTCTTGCTTTCTGGAGATGGTTGTCCATCTTTAAGGTAGTAAAATATGAATTATATTTAGACATTAATGGGGTAGTTAGGACATGAATTGCCAACAATTGTCAAATCTTCAATTACCAATGTATGACCAGTCTGGTAGATCTGTAAGTGGACCACTGGCCAAACCATCTCCTGCTAAACCATTCCTTTACAAAAGATGGAATAAAGGATATTTAAAATCTTACTTACATTTAATGTGAATGTCAATTTGATGAATTATTGTAGGTGTAACATTACTGTTCGTTTAAAGTCTATCTTATATTTTAAATAAATAAATAAATACATATCTTACTCCAGTTACTATATTGAGTACCTGATTCGCCATTTTTGACCACCTGCTATTGCAGAGGAGATTGAAATAAAATTGATTTTCACACAGGTTGGCGTGACTACCGATAGTGAAACTAAAAAATTGAAGTATATTGCATGTAAATTAACCGGTTGTGTTGTTATTTTGGCTATGAATATATTCAAAATGTGTAAAAATGCTTACAAAAGCGTGAAATATATTTTCCTGCAAAAACTGCGGCCATATTGCTGATTAATATTCAATCTCCCCATACCTCCGTCCACGCGCGGTTTTAATCATGGCTGCGCAAATTGTCTACAACGTCCTACGACTGTAAGTTTTTTCTACGAGTTCAAAGTGATATTCTCGGACAATGGCCTTTTTACCAGTCAGATCTTCTTCCTTAGGCATATATCTCCGGAGAAATTTCACATCGAGCCTCGAGATTCGAAGCACACGGGAGAAAAAGTCTTGGAGATAGATCGCGTCAGTCAAGAGCTGGTTCTGGCAGGTTTGAAACGGGTCCTATATTTTAACATCGATTTTTAGTTTATATTTGTTTCTGGCATGAATATCAAAATTTGTGATTACATAAAATGGGTTATTCATCAACATAGGATAAATGTAGGAAACTTTCCTATTTAATATTTATCCTAACTCAAGCAATACAAATTCAATATTTGCATATTTAATAAAATAATTTTTCGGATTACGATTTGGTTAGAAAAATATATTGCGAATGTGTTTAATAATCTAGTCTGAAGTCTTTTAAAATTTTTATTTGGGAAGTAAAATTAGTTTTTTCTATTGCAAAATAGGGTTTTGCAATTAATTTTTTTCCAGACAATTTAATATTCAATTACTGTCAGAGTGTCAGAGTGTCAGGCCATTACAGAAGTTCAAAGTTTAAAACTGACTAAACAGATGTTCAATAGTCAGTGATAACACCCTGCATTATTCAATTTTAACTCCGCCTTTAATACTCTGCTCTAATTTTAAATTTCCCAAAGCATTTCACTGCTACAATGGGCTGAGACATGACTGCCAAAATACAGAGGAAAACTTGTGAACTAATTAAAGTGGCTTTTAGATGACCCCTGTAGCCATATCCCTATAGCAACCTAGGCAATTTTTAAGGTTATCTTCTCCCTGTGTATGTTATTAAGTAAATTTAACTGAGTAGATATTAATAATTCACTCTGCAAAGTTTATACAAGTGTTTCAGCTGCTGCCTGGTTGGATTTATTATGACTTATCTTCAACTGACTGAAGGAGATAAAATTGTTCTTTTTTAAAACAATTACTTCAACCAATTACCTCAAGAAGTGCTGCATAAAATATTCATAATATGCACAATTTTCATTAGATAACAATGGACAAATTCCTCCTATGTCAGAGGCAAAAGATATTTTTGGAATCTTAGGAGTTATCAACTTGATTGCAGGTTAGCCAATCTCTTTAATTAACAGACTTATTCTAACAATATTTTATCATATATTCAACTTAATGGAAACCATTCAGTTCTGTATTAATGATTTTATCTTTTCAAAGGTCCATACTTGGTTGTCATAACGAAAAGAAAGTTTGTTGGTCGAATCAATAATCATGAAATTTGGAAAATCCAAGCAACAGAAACTTTACCGTTTCCCAAGACACTGATGCATTTGAGTGAGACACAGGTATGTTATTAATGGTACACCACAAAACACCATCTCTTTGGAAATCAATATTACACCTTTTGTGCTCAGGTTACTAGTACAAAGTAGATACAATTGGTAAGAGTACCTATTTTAGCCTTGCCTGCAATACTACTAATTGAGTGTAGTGTAAACAGCACTTATGTCAATGAAATTATCTTTTTTTAGGAAAGAGATAACAAAACATACTTAAGCATGATTGAACAAGTCTTGCTGACAGATGGTTTTTATTATTCCACATCGTATGATCTGACTCATACATTACAAAGATTATCAAAGACAAGTCCAGACTTCTTACAAATGCCTCTTCATGAGCGGGTAAAGATGACACTTTGCTGTGATGACCTCTAATAACATTTTTTATTGATGTATTAATGTAATGAAAACAAATGTTTTTTACCAGGCAGATCAACGATTTCTGTGGAATAACCATTTCTTAAGGATGTTTTCAGTGCAGCCAGAGGTAACTAGCTATAGTTGATTTAAATTACAGTCTGCTAGCACCTGACTGTTTGTCAAGGATTTGTGATAAGGTGGAACGAATGGTAATTGACAGGCTGTTATGGTTTCCTGACATTTTAAAACAGTAAAATGTTTTCCTTTGTAGCTTAGCAAGTTTATCCTTCCAGTTATTCATGGGTTTATTGAAATTCAAAAATGTTCCATCAAGAATAAGTCATTTGAATTCATTTTAATATCAAGACGAAGCTGTTTTAGAGCAGGTAAAGTGAAATACGAAAATCATTGGTTTGTGAAGAGATGTTTGCAGGAGCATTTAAATTTCTTGTTGGAATACCCTCTCTCCTGTCAAGCCAGGGACCAGGGGTATGCCTTCCCCATGTGATGTGAGAGTCTTTAGATTAAAGTAAAGGTGTGTTTTGCAGGTGTCCGTTATTATTTACGAGGGTTGGACGTAGAGGGTCATCCTGCAAACTATGTTGAGACAGAACAGATCATACAATACGATGGGGAATGTACATCTTTTGTTCAGGTACTGTTATATTTTATATTGTTATTTTATATTGTTATATTAATACATCTTTTGTTCAGGTACTGTTATATTCAGGTACTGTTATACTATTAGACTATGGTTACAAAGATGACAAGAGGGGTTTTCGATTGAATTCATCCAGCTCTTGTGCAAAACAGTGATATATTTGCCATTGCGCACAAGTGTAGCCATTATATAGCTCATAAATATCGCCTTTGATTCTAAATGGTTTAGATTAACTCACAGAAAAATCATGCTTTTGAAACATCTTTCAATATAGATTCGAGGCTCTATTCCACTCTACTGGTCACAGAGGCCAACACTACAGTACAAACCAAGACCACAGTTGCATCAAGCTAATCATGTAAGCATATTTTGAGCAAAGGTTGTTGATCATGTAAAAATAACTATGTTAAGCTCTTTCTCCCCAACATTTTTAATTGCTTGTGATTGCAGGAGGAACCGGATGCATCAATCCAGCCATGACATTCATCATTTTGAGTATTTGCATGTGGGGGCAGTGTTTCACCATTCATCTCCTTGATGTTACCTTTCTTTAGAATACAGGCTTCCAACAGCATATGGAGAATTTAATGTTCCATTACAATGAAATTGTTCTCGTTGATTTGGTGAGATTTACTTTCATTGTTTTTTTCCCAGTCGTGAACTCATCCTGTTATTAATGTGTTGTAATTCGATGATTTATATCAATGTATTTTTTATTAAAGTTTTATTTCACATTCCTATTCCTCGCTTACAATACTAATGTCATTTTCCCAATCCTTATCTTAATCATATGCATGCACTGTTCACATGTCCGTCATTTCTAAATATAATTAATTTTCACTATACAACATAATGTCAGCCTGTTTTCTTTTTGTCTACTCAGATTGACCACAAAGGCCCTGAAAAAGAGATTGGTGATCATCTTACAACCGTTGTTCGGGGCTCTCCTTACTCTGGAAAACAACTGAGACTGGAAAGATTTGATTTTCACAAAGAATGCAGCAAGTTGCGGTGGCATCGATTGTCAATTCTTATGGACAGATTGAGAGAAGATCAAGATAAATTTGGGTGAGATGATCAATTAAGTTTGGGTTTGTAAATTTAGCCTCTATAGGAGTTCTTTCTTGCTAATCTCTAACCTCTTGAATTTTGAATTTTTAGATTCTTCAAAATGGCAAGAGATAAGTCACAGCTATCGGAACAGACGGGTGTGTTTAGGACAAACTGTATGGATTGTCTTGACAGGTAGGGGGAACTTTGTTGGTAAACAGAGAAGTTTTCATTTTAATTTATACAAGCTGATCACCGAGCTGTGGTGGCTTCTTATTGTCAGAAAATATGGTTTCTTTCAGAACCAATGTGGTGCAGAGTATGTTGGCAAGAGAGAGTCTTCAACACCAATTTGAGGTAAGCTGGTTGCCGAGGTATTAAAGTATATTTATATATTTATTTCATCATGATTAACCCTTCAACGATTGTCATAAAATGGGAGTTTGCGAAGCTACACAGAGTTGCTCATGTCAAGTTCTGTTTTAGGGTTTTGGCATTTTGGTTAAAGGCGAGAAAGTTCAGGACTGCTCAAGCTTCGAGTACACTTACAAGAACGGTAAGTTGTGGCAGTTAACTTGTCTTGTCTTTTGTGCTATTATCTGTTTGCCTTTCAGATCCATTTCAGAATTCATTTGATCATTAAGTTTATCTTCTGTGTTTTTTATTAGCTTGGGCAGACAATGCTGATGCCTGCTCCAATCAATACGCAGGCACAGGAGCATTGAAGACAGACTACACAAGGTGTGCATGACTTCAAATATTGAACATACATTTTAGGGCTATTATAATTTGTTAATCTTTTCTATCTTTGTTCTTCCAGGACTGGTAAACGGACAAGATGGGGCCTCTTACAAGATGGTTATAACTCAATGATTCGTTATTATAAAAACAATTTTTCTGATGGCTTTAGACAGGTGCGTGTAGAGTTAGTTTCATGCTTGATGTCAAAACGACATGACCATATGTTTCAATCAAAATAACCACATGTTTCAGGATTCTATTGATTTATTTCTTGGAAACTACATTGTTGAACCTTCAGAAGGAATTTCTAAACCTTCACCACTTCAAAAAGCAAAGGATTGGAAATACATGTTGGTAAGATCATGTTTACGTTTACAACCAAGTCAAGTCAATCAGTATTTTCATCTTTGTGAAACCAGTGTGGAGTATGATTTTGCTAATGATAAACAATGTCTTTTCTTTAGCTTCCATTCATTCTTCTAATTGGCTTCTCAATGTTCATCATGAGTGCAATGATTTCAGCCAGTAAGTGATAAGATCCATATATGATCCATATTATCCAACATATGTTCATAATAATCCTGATTGATCCAAAGGATACTTCATAAGTCGTTAGATGTAGTTAGACATATTGTCACCTATGGCCATGTCTTGACAAACTGTGAAAGCTTGTGCATGCTCAAGCCTGGAAACACTGAAAAACACTGAAAGCTTGCGCAAACGTTCCTTGGCAGTTGCAATACTGCTTTACAGCAGGCAAATATTTTTTCAACAAATTTATATGGCAGATTTCCGCTTCATAAACATGGTTGATTTAGTGTGAGAGCATTTTTCCAGGTTGGAGGTAGGAAATATAATCATTAAACACCTTTCCTCTATTTTAGCGGATCCTGGATTTCAATTCCTCTATGTCTTATTCTGGGGATCAGCAGTCGTGTTTACACTTTCTGTTGTATTTTATTATGGACAAGAGTTTGTTGATGAACCAAGGTTAGTTCACAAGAGATTGAAAGACAAGAATGTGTGACTACAAGATAGCATTATTGTGTAGCTTAGGTAAGGTAATTTTATTGTCAGTTTAAATCATGTTCAAATATACTATCCCCTTATACTATGATAATCAATAAACAGTGCATACGTAATCAGTGGCCAGTTGTATCAAGCCCATTTAGCTTTATTAAACGGTGGATAAGTTCAAAATAGAAAGCAACTCTATCGTTTTATTCAACAAGCGAAATAAATGTTTTTGACCATAATACAACGATCATGTTTTCAACTACATATTTAGTGCATAATATTCTAGGTGACTCATTCAAGAGAATTGTAAGAGTATTGTTTATTTTGACTTATCCACCGTTTAAGCTAAACAAGCTTCATACAACTGGCCCTAGGAAAAGACTACTTGCAATATTTCTCAAATTGATCAATTTTCTTATACAGTAACCTTTGCTGTTTTAAAACCTTGTACAGTAACACTAAACCTGCCAGAAACAAAATGAAAAAATTGTATTATTTGCTTGCTCTTTTCAAAAGATTAGAAGTTAGCCACACTTTAAAAAACAGGTTCAAGGGTTATAGGAATACATCTCTAGAATATATAGTTTCCTTTACCTTTCTAATTAGGATGCCTTAGAATTTTATTGAAATTTAAATCCAATCGGTATATACTCATTATGGTAGAAGATAAATATTACTAAATTATGAATGTTATTTAATATGAAATAGCTTTGAACTTTGTAATGGTCATTATATACATCGTCACCAAAATCTTTTGTGATGATATTGTATGTTTTATCATTCAAACTCAATGTTATATCATCCTGGAACAAGGTGCATCTATTCTGGCTGAACATTTTCAATTTTTCCTGATCCTTTGCAATTTTCGCTACTCTGGTTTATAATTAATGAAAGTAATCTCCACCAAAGATTACATTCCCGACCCAACCTTTTCGACACTTCGGTCTAGTGTCTTGAACAGGGGTGATTTGATGTTGAGACTCAGATCATTATTTGGAGTGTTGAAATGTTCAGTCAGGGGCATAACTAGAACGATAATTGGGGGGGGGGGTGAATATTCATATATCGAGTTCTGCTCTAAGGATTTCTTTTGTAATTGCAATAGCTTAATTACAATAGAAATCCTTCAGGCAGAACTGAATATATGAATATTCACCCACCCATTTATCGTTCTAGTTAGCCCCTGCGTTGGGTCTTGAATCTTTGTGTGGTGATTACTTTCATTAAACCAGAGTAGCGAAAATTGCCAATGGATTATATACCATGAACTTATTAACTTTTTCTGATGCTATTGGACATGTAAAATGTTTAAGGTATTTTTAATTTATTTTCTTTTATTAGTATATAGCAGGCTATAGCATTACTAAAACAATGAAACAACATATATTTTTTCCTTAGCTAGTACAAAAACTGCATCCCTGCATGCTTGTACCCCTATTATCCCTTCTGATCCTACATTATCAAGCTGTAATAACTTTTGCTGCGCATGTACAGCATCTTGTTTTGAATGGCGATGATATGTGAAGATGTGATTTCTAACATCACAGATAACTGCGTAGGACATATCAGGTGAACATGATGTAAACTTTTGCTCTTTCTTTGACGCAAGTACAAAGCCAAACGCGTCCAAGGTACCAATGTGGTTCCATGTAATTTGTCCATCTACCTCCTTTGGCAACCAAACAAGGGCATCCACGTCATGCCTGATGCAGAAGGAAGGTGGCTCACTTGGGTTTATCATTTTGGTAAATAGCCATTGATGGGTTGACAAGCTGGTCTGAAATTGAGGAAATAGGTGGGGAGGAAGAGAAAAGTATTAATTTAGTTTGGGAACTAATCTTGATGAAGATCTCTTACTTTTTGGGTGATTCTACCATCCTTCAAGTCCATTCTCACAATGTATAACACATCTTCAGGCAGAGAATCGCATTCTTCCAACTCCTCTTGATTACACAGTTTACTTGCTTTGTCCTTCGTCGACTGTTGGTATTTTTCTTGTGTGCCTGAACAGATGTCTTCAAATCCTTGATCTGGGCAATCTAAGATACGGTAATGTCACAATATGTCTGGGGGCATTCAAACACACCATTCTCCTTAGTTTAGTAGAACAAGTGATTGGTATAAGCAACACATAGTACCTTCATCTTTATCAGAAACCAAGAAAAATGGTTTCTCAGTTGCCACCAAGATTTTCTGATTGCCGGGCTCAATAGCTCCATACAAGGGCACCACATGGCTCTGAAATTCTTTTTGTGTTTCAAAACTAAACTTCACCGCACCATTCTCTCCAACTTCACCAGCAAATACAAGAACAGTCAGCAGGACTCTGTGTTTAACGTGAAAGGAACCACTGTCTTCATCAGGGGTGACACTCAATAAAACAGCAGCCAAAGAGCTAGAGGTTGGCTCAAGGTTAGTGTGCAAAATAGAAAACGGCTTGCCAACACTTTGCATTTGAGCAACCTTCCAGGTGTGCTTATCAAGACGATTGCCGGTGTGGATGACATAGAGTTCTCCCTGACCATCTGATACGACAGCATGTGTTTTACTGGGAAATGCTACATATGCATTAAGATTGTGTGGTGTGCCTTGATTCGCTGGAGGGATGTTGAAGGTCTTGTACACCTCTTGAACTTTATTATCCTGACAAAAAAGTGTCTCCAGTTAGTAAATTTCAATCCTTTGTGTATTTTTGGCTATCTGCTGACTGTGGAAACCAGGTTATAGGACTAGGGATTACTGACTTTGATAAAAAAGACAACAACTACAAAGTACAAGCTAAGTTAGCTAACCCTCAACACAAGCCAACATCCAGTACCTTCACAGTAACTTGATTTACGGCGAAATTCTCGTCCACAAAATACAGCAATATTCTCCCGTTGTCCGCCGTCCAGTTATCCAACACGAGATGGTTCGTCCAGGCGAACGCTTTGACGTGTAGATGGGAAAATATATCTTCTTTAAGACGGACAGTATTTACTTGTTCTGGCAATGAGGAGACTTCCACTGCAAGCTGATCTGGGGATAGTTTATAACCATCAAATTTTGGATTTAAAAGTTCCCGGTTTGGACGCAAACTTGCAGCTAAATCCTGGATATCCATATTGGCGGCCATATTAGATTTTACTCCAGTCAGTGTGTCAGTTCAGTGCCCGAAATATGGCGGCGAATTCCGGAATATAACGACTTTTAATTTTTTCTTTTAATTTTTTTTTTAAATGTGTTGATTGTTGAAACTTGAAAATGGCTTCAAATATTTACAGGGACCGCGGAGCAGGGTGGCTCGCTGGGCTTTAGCCCCATCAATGATTTTTCCGTAATTAGTCTTTAATTTTGTCCATTGTTCTTTAAAACTAAGGGGTAAGCCTTACCATTATGGTCAATTTTGACGACTTTTTCAATGTTCCAAAAACCAACCAATATGCTCTAAAATGAAAGATATTAGTCTTAGGAAGCCATTTTTAGCATTTTAAGACGCTTTTTGAACCGTTGAAAATATCGTCAAAATCGACAAAAATGGTAAGGGGTAAGCCTTGGTCAATTTTGACGACTTTTTCAATGTTCCAAAAACCAACCAAATATGCTCTAAAATGAAAGATATTAGTCTTACCAAGCCATTTTTAGCATTTTAAGACACTTTTTGAACAGTTGAAAAAGTCGTCAAAATTGACCAAAATGGTAAGGGTTAAGTCTTGGTCAATTTTAACGACTTTTTCAATGTTCCTAACACCAACCAAATATGTTCTAAAGTGAAAGATATTAGTCTTAGGAAGCCATTTTTAGCATTTTAAGACACTTTTTAAACAGTTGAAAAAGTCGTCAAAATTGACCAAAATGGTAAGGGGTAAGCCTTGGTCAATTTTGTCGACTTTTTCAACTGTTCAAAAAGTGTCTTAAAATGCTAAAAATGGTTTCCTAAGACTAATATCTTTCATTTTAGAGCATATTTGGTTGGTTTTTTGGACATTGAAAAAATTGTCAAAATTGACCATAATGGTAAGGCTTACCCCTTACCATTTTGGTCAATTTTGACGACTTTTTCAACTGTTCAAAAAGTGTCTTAAAATGCTAAAAATGGCTTCCTAAGACTAACATCTTTCATTTTAAAGCATATTTTGTTTGTTTTTGGGACATTGAAAAAATCGTCAAAATTGACCAAGGCTTACCCCTTACCATTTTGGTCAATTTTGACGACTTTTTGAACTCTTCAAAAAGTTTCTTAAAATGCTAAAAATGGCTTCCTAAGACTAATATCTTTCATTTTAAAGCATATTTTGTTTGTTTTTGGGACATTGAAAAAATCGTCAAAAATGACCAAGGCTTACCCCTTATCATTCTGGTGAATTTTGACGACTTTTTGAACTCTTCAAAAAGTTTCTTAAAATGCTAAAAATGGCTTCCTAAGACTAATATCTTTCATTTTAAAGCATATTTTGTTTGTTTTTGGGACATTGAAAAAGTCGTCAAAATTGACCAAGGCTTACCCCTTACCATTTTGGTCAATTTTGACGACTTTTTCAATTGTTCAAAAAGTGTCTTAAAATGCTAAAAATGGTTTCCTACGACTAATATCTTTTATTTTAGAGCATGTTATTTTGGTTTTTGGAACATTGAAAAAGTCGTCAAAATTGACCGAAATGGTAAGGCTTACCATTTTGGTCAATTTTGGCGACTTTTTCAACTGTTCAAAAAGTGTCTTAAAATGCTAAAAATGGCTTCCTAATACTAATATCTTTTATTTTAGAGCATATTATGTTGGTTTTTGGAACATTGAAAAAGTGTCAAAATTGACCAAATGGTAAGGCTTACCCCTTACCATTTTTGTCAATTTTGACGACTTTTTCAATTGTTCAAAAAGTGTCTTAAAATGCTAAAAATGGTTTCCTGAGACTAATATCTTTTATTTTAGAGCATATTATGTTGGTTTTTGGAACATTGAAAAAGTCATCAAAATTGACCGAAATGGTAAGGCTTACCCCTTACCATTTTGGTCAATTTTGACGACTTTTTCAATTGTTCAAAAAGTGTCTTAAAATGCTAAAAATGGTTTCCTAAGACTAATATCTTTTACTTTAGAGCATATTATGTTGGTTTTTGGAACATTGAAAAAGTCGTTAGAATTGACCGAAATGGTAAGGCTTACCCCTTACCATTTTGGTCAATTTTGAAGACTTTTTGAACTGTTCAAAAAGTGTCTTAGAATGCTAGAAATGGCTTCGTTTGACTAATATCTTTTAATTTAGAGCATGTTTGGTTGGTTTTTGGAACATTCAAAAAGTCGTCAAAATTGAGCAAAATGGTAAGGCTTACCCTTTACCATTTTGGTCAATTTTGACGACTTTTTGAACTTTTCAAAAACTGTCTTAAAAAGCTAAAAACGGCTTCTTAAGACTAAAATCTTTCATTTTATGGCATTTTGAGACACTTTTTGAAAAATTGAAAAAGTCGTCAAAATTGATCAAAAGGGTAAGGCTTACCCCTTACCATTTTGGTCAATTTTGACGACTTTTTGAACTTTTCAAAAATTGTCTTAAAATGCTAAAAATGGCTTCCTATGACTAATATGTTTCATTTTAGATCATTTTTAGGCAGTTTTTAAAAAGTTGAAAAAGTGGTCAAAATTGACCGAAATGGTAAGGCTTACCCCTTACCATTTTGGTCAATTTTGGCGACTTTTTCAACTGTTCAAAAAGTGTCTTAAAATGCTAAAAATGGCTTCCTAATACTAATATCTTTTATTTTAGAGCATATTATGTTGGTTTTTGGAACATTGAAAAAGTCATCAAAATTGACCGAAATGGTAAGGCTTACCCCTTACCATTTTGGTCAATTTTGACGACTTTTTCAACTGTTCAAAAAGTGTCTTAAAATGCTAAAAATGGTTTCCTAAGACTAATATCTTTCATTTTAGAGCATATTTGGTTGGTTTTTGGAACATTGAAAAAGTCATCAAAATTGACCGAAATGGTAAGGCTTACCCCTTACCATTTTGGTCAATTTTGACGACTTTTTCAATTGTTCAAAAAGTGTCTTAAAATGCTAAAAATGGTTTCCTAAGACTAATATCTTTTACTTTAGAGCATATTATGTTGGTTTTTGGAACATTGAAAAAGTCGTTAAAATTGACCGAAATGGTAAGGCTTACCCCTTACCATTTTGGTCAATTTTGACGACTTTTTCAATTGTTCAAAAAGTGTCTTAAAATGCTAAAAATGGTTTCCTAAGACTAATATCTTTTATTTTAGAGCATATTATGTTGGTTTTTGGAACATTGAAAAGTCATCAAAATTGACCGAAATGGTAAGGCTTACCCCTTACCATTTTGGTCAATTTGACGACTTTTTCTTGTTCAAAAAGTGTCTTAAAATGCTAAAAATGGTTTCCTAAGACTAATATCTTTTACTTTAGAGCATATTATGTTGGTTTTTGGAACATTGAAAAAGTCGTTAAAATTGACCGAAATGGTAAGGCTTACCCCTTACCATTTTGGTCAATTTTGACGACTTTTTGAACTTTTCAAAAACTGTCTTAAAATGCTAAAAATGGCTTCCTAAGACTAATATCTTTCATTTTAGATGATTTTAGGCAGTTTTTAAAAGTTGAAAAAGTGGTCAAAATTGACCAAATGGTAAGGCTTACCCCTTACCATTTTGGTCAATTTTGACGACTTTTCAATTGTTCAAAAAGTGTCTTAAAATGCTAAAAATGGCTTCCTAAGACTAATATCTTTCTTTAGAGCATATTTTGGTTTTTGAACATTGAAAAAGTCGTTAAAATTGACCGAAATGGTAAGGCTTACCCCTTACCTTTTTGGTCAATTTTGACGACTTTTTGAACTTTTCAAAAACTGTCTTAAAATGCTAAAAATGGCTTCCTATGACTAATATGTTTCATTTTAGATCATTTTTAGGCAGTTTTTAAAAAGTTGAAAAAGTGGTCAAAATTGACCGAAATGGTAAGGCTTACCCCTTACCATTTTGGTCAATTTTGGCGACTTTTTCAACTGTTCAAAAAGTGTCTTAAAATGCTAAAAATGGCTTCCTAAGACTAATATCTTTCATTTTAGAGTATATTTGGTTGGTTTTTGGAACATCGAAAAAGTCGTCAAAATTGAGCAAATTGGTAAGGCTTACCCCTTACCATTTTGTTCAATTTTGACGACTTTTTCAACTGTTCAAGAACTGTTTTAAAATGCTAAAATTAGCTTCTTAAACTACTATCTTTCATTTTAGAGTATATTTGGTTGGTTTTTGGAACATTGAAAAAGTCGTCAATTTTGTCTTCAAGCATTAAAATGTATTATTTTATGGCAAGTATCAGCACAGGATGCGGTGGCGCAGTGGTTAAGGCTACCGCCCTACCAAGTTGTGAGCGTAGGTTCGAATCCTGCAAGGGAGAGGTGCAATTTTTCGCCCCTAAAAATTGCTATTTAATTTAAAATTCTGCGAATAGGATTTAAGTCGAATAAAGCACAAGAGCTGTTGATGAATGATGCTGTGGCCTTGTGGTTAAGGCTACGGCCTACCAGGTTGTAAGCCTAGGTTCAAATCCTGCATGGGAAAGGTGCGATTTTTCCCACCGAAATTATTCTTTAATTTAAACTTCATCGAAAAGGATTAGGTCAAATAAAGAACAATAGCTTTCGACAAATGACGCGGTGGTCTAGTGGTTAAGACCCTGGTCTTTCAATCCCAGGACAAGGGTTCAAGTCCTGGCAATGCAAAAAAATTAGCCTTGAAAATTTCGGTATGATTTGTAAGCTTGAAAAAGTTAAGACTCTCAGCTTTCATAAAGGCTGTAAATTTGAAAGAATTTGGAAGTAAAAAAAAATTGAGAAACATTTGAACAATTTTCGCTTCATAAAAGTACGTGAAAATTGACAAAAAAACGCAAGTCAAAAAAAAATTAAAAACATGTGGCTTCTAAAAACACTGAAAATTAAAAAATGTCCGACTAAAACTTTAAAAAAAGTTTAAAAATTTCCCGCCTTTAATGCTAATGTTTACTTACCTCAATAATTTTTTTTCACGAAAATTTGACAGGGTGATTTTCACGAGACTGAAAAAATTTACATTTTTTCACTTTTTTGAAATTCTCTTAGATATTTTTTTATCAAGAAGTATTATGTCTTGAGCTACCTGTGTCAAGCCAGACACAGGTAGCCCAAGACAGACACAGGTAGCCCAAGACATAATACTTCGTCTAAAAAAATTTTCGGAGAATTTTAAAAAAGTGAAAAATCTTTTTGAGGACGAAAATTTCTTTTTAGACGAAGTATTATGTCTTGGGCTACCTGTGTCTGTCTTGGGCTACCTGTGTCTGGCTTGACACAGGTAGCCCAAGACATAATACTTCTTGATAAAAAAAATATCTAAGAGAATTTCAAAAAAGTGAAAAAATGTAAATTTTTTCAGTCTCGTGAAAATCACCCTGTCAAATTTTCGTGAAAAAAAATTATTGAGGTAAGTAAACATTAGCATTAAAGGCGGGAAATTTTTAAACTTTTTTTAAAGTTTTAGTCGGACATTTTTTAATTTTCAGTGTTTTTAGAAGCCACATGTTTTTAATTTTTTTTTGACTTGCGTTTTTTTGTCAATTTTCACGTACTTTTATGAAGCGAAAATTGTTCAAATGTTTCTCAATTTTTTTTTACTTCCAAATTCTTTCAAATTTACAGCCTTTATGAAAGCTGAGAGTCTTAACTTTTTCAAGCTTACAAATCATACCGAAATTTTCCAGGCTAATTTTTTTGCATTGCCAGGACTTGAACCCTTGTCCTGAGATTGAAAGACCAGGGTCTTAACCACAAGACCACCGCGTCATTTGTCGAAAGCTATTGTTCTTTATTTGACCTAATCCTTTTCGATGAAGTTTAAATTAAAGAATAATTTCGGTGGGAAAAATCGCACCTTTCCCATGCAGGATTTGAACCTAGGCTTACAACCTGGTAGGCCGTAGCCTTAACCACTAGGCCACAGCATCATTCATCAACAGCTCTTGTGCTTTATTCGACTTAAATCCTATTCGCAGAATTTTAAATTAAATAGCAATTTTTAGGGGCGAAAAATTGCACCTCTCCCTTGCAGGATTCGAACCTACGCTCACAACTTGGTAGGGCGGTAGCCTTAACCACTGCGCCACCGCATCCTGTGCTGATACTTGCCATAAAATAATACATTTTAATGCTTGAAGACAAAATTGACGACTTTTTCAATGTTCCAAAAACCAACCAAATATACTCTAAAATGAAAGATAGTAGTTTAAGAAGCTAATTTTAGCATTTTAAAACAGTTTTTGAACAGTTGAAAAAGTCGTCAAAATTGAACAAAATGGTAAGGGGTAAGCCTTACCAATTTGCTCAATTTTGACGACTTTTTCGATATTCCAAAAACCAACCAAATATACTCTAAAATGAAACATATTAGTCATACGAAGCAATTTTTAGCATTTTAAGACAGTTTTTGAAAAGTTCAAAAAGTCGTCAAAATTGACCAAAATGGTAAGGGGTAAGCCTTACCATTTCGGTCAATTTTGACGACTTTTTCAATTTATCAAAAAGTGTCTCAAAATGCTCTAAAAAGAAAGATTTTAGTCTTAAGAAGCCGTTTTTAGCTTTTTAAGACAGTTTTTAAAAAGTTCAAAAAGTCGTCAAAATTGACCGCAATGGTAAAGGTTACGTAACCCTTACCATTTCAGTCAATTTTGACCACTTTTTCGACTTTTCAAAAACTGCCTAAAAATCATCTAAAATGAAAGATTTTAGTCATAGGAAGCCATTTTTAGCATTTTCAGACAGTTTTTGAAAAGTTCAAAAAGTCGTCAAAATTGACCAAAATGGTAAGGGGTAAGCCTTACCACTTTGATCAATTTTGACGACTTTTTCAACTTTTCAAAAGGTGTCTCAAAATTCTCTAAAATACAAGATTTTAGTCTTAGGAAGCCATTTTTAGCATTTTAAGACAGTTTTTGAAAAGTTCAAAAAGTCGTCAAGATTGACCAAAATGGTAAGGAGTAAGCTTTGGTCAATTTTGACGACTTTTTCAATGTTCCAAAAACCAACCAAATATGCTATAAAATGAAAGATATTAGTCTTAGGAAGCCATTTTTAGCATTTTAAGACACTTTTTGAACAGTTGAAAAAGTCGTCAAAATTGACCAAAATGGTAAGGGGTAAGCCTTACCATTTCGGTCAATTTTAACGACTTTTTCAATGTTCCAAAAACCAACATAATATGCTCTAAAGTAAAAGATATTAGTCTTAGGAAACCATTTTTAGCATTTTAAGACACTTTTTGAACAATTGAAAAAGTCGTCAAAATTGACCAAAATGGTAAGGGGTAAGCCTTACCATTTCGGTCAATTTTGATGACTTTTTCAATGTTCCAAAAACCAACATAATATGCTCTAAAATAAAAGATATTAGTCTTAGGAAACCATTTTTAGCATTTTAAGACACTTTTTGAACAATTGAAAAAGTCGTCAAAATTGACCAAAATGGTAAGGGGTAAGCCTTACCATTTCGGTCAATTTTGACCACTTTTTCAACTTTTTAAAAACTGCCTAAAAATGATCTAAAATGAAACATATTAGTCATAGGAAGCCATTTTTAGCATTTTCAGACAGTTTTTGAAAAGTTCAAAAAGTCGTCAAAATTGACCAAAATGGAGGTGTCTCAAAATTCTCTAAAATACAAGATTTTAGTCTTAGGAAGCCATTTTTAGCATTTTAAGACAGTTTTTGAAAAGTTCAAAAAGTCGTCAAGATTGACCAAAATGGTAAGGGGTAAGCCTTGGTCAATTTTGACGACTTTTTCAATGTTCCAAAAACCAACCAAATATGCTATAAAATGAAAGATATTAGTCTTAGGAAGCCATTTTTAGCATTTTAAGACAGTTTTTGAAAAGTTCAAAAAGTCGTCAAGATTGACCAAAATGGTAAGGGGTAAGCCTTGGTCAATTTTGACGACTTTTTCAATGTTCCAAAAACCGACCAAATATGCTCTAAAATGAAAGATATTAGTCTTAGGAAGCCATTTTTAGCATTTTAAGACACTTTTTGAACAATTGAAAAAGTCGTCAAAATTGACCAAAATGGAAAGGCTTACTACCCCTTACCATTTTGGTCAATTTTGACGACTTTTTCAACTGTTCCAAAAGTGTCTTAAAATGCTAAAAATGGCTTCCTAAGACAAATATCTTTCAGTTTAGATCATATTTGGTTGGTTTTTAGAACATGAAAAAAGTCGTCAAAATTGACCAAGGCTTACCCCTTACCATTTTGGTCAATTTTGACGACTTTTTCAAGTGTTCAAAAAGTGTCTTAAAATGCTAAAAATGGCTTCCTAAGACTAATATCTTTCATTTTAGATTATAATTGGTTGGTTTCTGGAACATTGAAAAAATCTTCAAAATTGACCAAAATTGTAACCATTTTGGTCAATTTTGACGACTTTTTCAACTGTTTAAGAAGTGTCTTAAAATGCTAAAAATGGCTTCCTAAGACTAATATCTTTCATTTTAGATTATAATTGGTTGGTTTTTGGAACATTGAAATAATCGTCAAAATTGACCATAATGGTAAGGCTTACCCCTTACCATTTTGGTCAATTTTGACGACTTTTTCAACTGTTCCAAAAGTGTCTTAAAACGCTAAAAATGGCTTCCTAAGACTAATATCTTTCATTTTAGAGCATATTTGGTTAGTTTTTTAAACATTCAAAAATTGGTCAAAATTGACCAAAATGGTAAGGCTTACCCTTACCATTTTGGTCAATTTTGACGACTTTTTCGACGGTTCAATAACTGTCTTAAAATGCTAAAAATGGCTTTGTAAGACTAATATCTTTCATTTTAGAGCATATTTGGTTGGTTTTTGAAACATTGAAAAATTGGTCAAAATTGACCAAAATGGTAAGGGGTAAGTCTTACCATTTTGGTCAATTTTGACCAATTTTTCAATGTTTCAAAAACCAACTAAATATGCTCTAAAATGAAAGATATTAGTCTTAGGAAGCTATTTTTAGCATTTTAAGACAGTTTTTGAACAGTTTAAACAGTCGTCAAAATTGGTCAAAATGGTAAGGGGTAAGTCTTACCATTTTGGTCAATTTTAACCAATTTTTCAATGTTTCAAAAACCAACAAAATATGCTCTAAAATGAAAGATATTAGTCTTACAAAGCAATTTTTAGCATTTTAAGTTAGTTTTTTAACAGTTGTAAAAGTCGTCAAAATTGACCAAAATGGTAAGGGGTAGCCTTACCATTTTGGTCAATTTTGACCAATTTTTCAATGTTCTAAAAAACAACCAAATATGCTCTATAAATGAAAGATGTTAGCCTTACGAAGCCATTTTTAGCATTTTAAGACACTTTTTGAACAGTTGAAAAAGTCGTCAAAATTGACCAAAATGGTAACGGGTAAGCCTTACCATTTTGGTCAATTTTGACCAATTTTTCAATGTTTCAAAAACCAACCAAATATGCTCTAAAATGAAAGATATTAGTCTTAGGAAGCCATTTTTAGCATTCTAAGACAGTTTTTGAACAGTCGAAAAAGTCGTCAAAATTGACCAAAATGTTAAGTTTTGTTGATTTATGGAACAGCACATGGTGTACGAGAAATAGAAAAAAACTATTAAAGATAATTGCACATTTGAAGTGCACAATGCAGAAAAATTTTGAACATTGATACAAAAACTTAAACGTCAAGTATTTAGCTAATTTCAAAGCATTTTTTTATTTGCAGGTCTGTCCAAACAGCCAGTTATCAAGATGAACGTGAAACACATGCAATACAAAAATTCTAAAACTGTATTCTTGTGAGATGAATGTATCACCCGCGTTAAATCCTCCCCAGATTTAGTAAAAGACTGATAGACACTTTGAGGTTAACGGCGACCGCTTACGAAAACAACAAACTAAAATTCGTATTTCTCATTTAACAATTAACTGTCTCAGTGTGGGGAAATCTCGACCATTAAAATCGAAGCATCAAATGCGAACTAAGCTGTCGAAATTTACTTTCAAATGTTTTAATTTAAAGTTTGCGTCTTCCGGCTAGAGGTTTGCCGTTAAACCGATGTCAATCTTAAGGTCTCTAATGTCCATCGTAATTATCGCTACTCCGGTTTTAATAAATTAAAGTAATCACCACACAAAGATTAACTTTCACTCGACCCAACGTTTCGACACTCCGGTCTCGTGTCCTCATCAGGAGTGATCTGATGTTAGACATAGACCGGAGTGTCAAACGTTGGGTCGTGAAAGTTAATCTTTGTGTGGTGATTACTTTAATTTATTAAAACCGGAGTAGCGATAATTACGATGGATTATATACCTGGTTGCCGTGAACTCATTAACTTCAATTCGTCTCTAATGTCGTTCAAATACTCAAACGCCGAGTTAGTGCAGGCGTTTTCGTACCTTCCTCAATGTTATTATTCGGCATACCTGGAAAATCACCATTAGCATGACCGTTAACCACAGGCGTCTCGATGTTATCAAACGAAAGTAACTCTGGAAAGTTAGCGTCAATACGGTCTAGGAGGATCTGTCCACCACCTTGATAACATTGCTGAACTTCCGCAAAGTCCTGAAGTTCGTATTCCTCTTGTTTGCGACACCAGTACCACAAGCGCTTCCAGAAATTATGACACATCTCGAAGAGTACGTGACGTGATTTTACCGAGTATACGATAAACACAGCAAATATTAAAACGAGAGGAACAACGCAGAATAGAGCGATCACACCATAGCACCATGAAGGATACAGAATATCCTGCATACCCTGGAGAAAAAATGAAATTGAGTTCATACCCGGTGTGAAAGCTAAAGAGAGTTCTTATACCAGAGGTCCAGTAAGGATCATCCAGTTTTACTACAGGACGAAACCTAAACTAAACTAACTTTATTTATACTGGATAGCTCTATCAGTTCTAAACTTTTCTTCCTAGAGGTCCAGTAAGGATCATTTTTTATTGATCCAGTGTTACTACAGGAGGAAACCTAAACTAAACTAACTTTATTTATACTGGATAACTCTATCAGTTCTAAACTGTTCTTCCTAGAGGTCCAGTAAGGATCATCTCTTATTGATCCAGTGTTACTACAGGAGGAAACCTGAACTAAACTAACTTTATTTATACTGGATAGCTCTATCAGTTCCAAACTGTTCTTCCTAAAGGTCCAGTAACTAAAGGATCATCTCCTATTGATCCAGTGCTACTACAGGAGGAAACCTAAACTAAACTAACTTTATTTATACTGGATAGCTCTATCAGTTCTAAACTGTTCTTCCTAGAGGTCCAGTAAAAATCATTTCTTATTTATTACTTACGGTAAAAGGTCGCCAAGTACTGTAAAGATATCCTTCCGTGGTGGACATATCGTACAAACTCAAAACAATCAAAGTTATCAATATTGCTGGAGAAATAATAAACCAACAAACAGACCAAGCAAAGTGAAGCCTTTCCCCAGTCATTTCTTCAACCATTGTACAAAAACTAAAATTAAAAAATGATTTCGTAATTTATATACATACATGCATACGGGTCAAGTCTTGTTGAACCATGCAGTCTTACTACAGAAGTAAGTCTAGAGATCAATCGACCAAACACCGCAGAAGTGCTTATGAAGTTTGGTGTTGTTGTTGGTAGTGAAGTTTGGAAGCCTAACTATTGAGAATTGCGGTTTTAAAGTCTTAGTAATTTCTGCGGTGTCGTTAATCGGCCACATCTTAAAAAGATTACTTTACATCCACTTACTTTTTTCTGCCAAAAAAACAGATAACTGACAGAATTTCAAGCAGCGCGATCCATTGTATTGAACATGAAGAGTAGCCGTGAAACAGGTTCACTAAATATAGTCCACTATCCGTCACAAATACCAGACCAATTATGCACGACACGAAACATACCAGACCTTGAGAAAATAGAAAATGGTTAGTCGTGAGAAAACCGAATAGTACCAATGTTGATGTTTTGCAGCAGCATGTATCATCTAGATCTCACGTGAATCAGGTTGGACTGATGCAATCATCTGATAATAATTCATCTTAGTAATATGCGAAGGTGCTTCTAGTTTACCTCAATTAGCTATATCGCATGATTTAGCAAATGACGCAAGTTCCATTCTATACGATATCACTGACAAATGAGAGACGAGATCCGGTGATAGCGCGTGTAGTTGAAGCTGAGCATGAAATGCAAATGGTGTCAAACTCACCTGTGGCATACTCGTGTTTCATCGAGGTTATTTCTCTCACAAACAGCACAACGACGAAGACCATCCCAGACATGCTTCCGAATCCAGAGAGAAAAAGTAAAAAGTAACTTAGCGAAGACCAGAGCGGAGGATACGCGATGTGAGTGAAACTTTCACTCCAGCTGATAAACGCCAGTGAAAATGCATCTGGAATCTGAGTATAAGAGATAAGAAAGAATTATGAGAATGAAGAAGAAGGAAAAATCATGTGAATGAAGAAGAAGATTCCATTCATCCATTGAAAGGTAACATACCGGTTGAGAAAGAAACGAAGCATTACATGACAGTTGACCACCGTCGCCGCCCTCAACTAAAGATCCGTTCAAACTCCTCATTTTTTCCAAGCATTCGGCATGTTTGATATGAGCTTGAAAACCTTGCAGTGAAAACACAATGATGCACGAGCAGATACCGACGGTAGTGTCGACGAGACCATAGCAGAGTGCTGCCGTTTTACATTTAAAGCTAGCCTTGTTGTAACTGGAATAAATAAATATTGTTCCATAGCCTATACCAAGACTGAAAAATACTTGGGTTGCAGCGTCACGCCAAATTTCAATGTTCAACAGTTTGTTGATCTGCGAGAAAAAATATATATTAGGATAGATTTCAACCGTGGTAAGTTTAATGCTTCCTTCGTTATTTACCTGATCCATCTTGAAATCAACCAAGATTGCCAAGCCTCGAGCCCAGTCTTCTAGATGCACAACAAGGAGAAACAATGCAACATACAGAACAACGGCAGTGATGAGGATGATATAGCCAGGCTGGAGTGATAAAAATTATTGAACAAAATGAGGGAAACAATTTTGGAGAGAAGAGCAAATGTTTGACAACTGAAGATGACGAGGGGCTCGGATATTTGCCAAGATAACGGAGATGTTTATTATAAATTAATTAACTTACTTTAACTGCACTTTTAACTCCCTTTATGTTGTACAATAAAACAAGAACCCATGAAATAAACACATAAAGATAAAGATCCCAATTCACGTCTGAAACGGAAAACAAGAATCCTTAGTTTTTTCTCCATTTTCCCTTTTCTTCTTTTAATACAAGAGATGATCCTTACTGGACCTCTAGGAAGAATAGTTTAGAACTGATAGAACTATCCAGTATAAATAAAGTTAGTTTAGTTTAGGTTTCCTCCTGTAGTAACACTGGATCAATAAGAGATAATCCTTACTGGACCTCTAGGAAGAACAGTTTAGAACTGATAGAGTTATCCAATATAAATAAAGTTAGTTTAGTTTAGGTTTTCTGTAGTAACACTGGATGAATAAGAAGAAATGATCCTTACTGGACCTCTAGGAAGAACAGTTTAGAACTGTCGGAACTGATAGAGCTATCCAGAGTTTTCTACTATCGTTAGTGTTGTTGTACCTTGAACAGAATTTATATCCTCAGCTACACCAAGTTTTGTCTTGTACCAATAATATTCAGATGGACTGGTGCTATTTGTGCATGCATCGACACCGTCTGGGCATGACGTCCATGGTAGACACCGCTGTAGGGAATACACGAAGTACGAGGCGCACCAACCAACGATGATATTGAAGTACACGATGGTGAGAAATGATATGAACACAGCGCTAAATCCTAAGCCAATCGTGCTGGGATGAACGTGTTTCCAAGTACGTAATAAAAACTTTTCTTGGAAATGCTGACCGATGGCTATTTCCACGCACACCAGGGGTATGCCCTCCAGAAATAACATGATCAAGTATGGTATGATAAATATTCCTGTAAAATAAATGAGAAATGAATGACAGCATTATGTTCTTTTGACTAAGATTGATTGACTTGACATACAACTGATTAACATACAACAGCTGGGTAAGTGTTTCTTTATGCATCGCATGCATCATGACGGACAGGGGGGGGGGGTTCAAAACAATTACAAAGATATAGGAAATTCTTGCCGAATTGTTAATGAATATTGATTCAGGCTTTCAGCAGCCAGCGATTTAGACGTTTCTCAAGTTGTGTCTGCGCTGTATTATATGACTGCACTTCATAAATGCTGGGATCACTTCAATATAGTGACATCTCCATTCAATAACATTTAATGACCTCGATTCTTAGTTGCCACCTGCTGCCGACGTCTTGCGAAAACCAATTAACAATATGGCGTCTGCATTAAGTCAGAATGAACTAATAACTTATTTCTATTCAATAATGTCTATTTCAAAACGAATTAAAGAATATTTAGGCTGCGTCATCTTGGCTGGGGGAAGGGAACTCGGTTGAAGCACGTTTGTCAAATTCGCCAACGTCATTTGATGACGATGTTTGCTCATGACTGGTGGACAGTTAACGTCATTGCTGCGCTGAAAATTTGTTATTTTGGCAGAAAATGCTAATTAGGTTTGTTTTACTGCAGGCAGAATTATTTCAAGAGTCTGACTCAGACGTGCGCCTCAACTGGGGGTCAGCAGGTGCACGGGCCCCCTCCTAGGATCTTAGCTACAACTAGGTAAATATCTCTTTCCATCTGAAGGATTTCCCCAACAAAATTTCACCAAAATCACAGTAGGAACTGAACCAAACCTGGAGGTGTTGTAATCCATGCATGCACATCGTAATCTATCATAGATGCCCCCGCCCCTACCCTCGCTACTGACCCCTCCTACAATAGAGGGAAGGTTACTATATGCAATGCAATAATCCATATTTTCTAACCTCCTCCGTGTTTATAACATAATCTTGGGAAGCCAAGAACAGTTCCAAATCCCAGCGAATAATTCAACATGGAGACGTAGAAATCTGATGGATACCATTGAAGACTCGCCTCTTCGGTTGACGATGCTGCTCCGCTCAGAACATCGCTTTGCAACGGACTGTTCGAGTCTTGAGCGTCTGTTAAAGTTTCATCCACGTCTGAAGGCGTCTCACGGGTCTTGTTGCAGGCATTCACGTATTTCTCAACATTGTTGGCGAACGCTGAATTGAGAACAAGACGAGCTCTCTCTTTGGGAGTCAGCAGGGTGTATTTCGTCGTTTCCATGAAAATTATTGTAATGACTACCAACCAACTGTTGTGAATTGAATTTGTCTATGAAAATCTTTGTAGATCGCTACACTGTTAACCTCAGAAGCGACAGAAGATAATTATTAAGTTCCTCTTGAAAGAAGCCAAAACTCGAAGCCTTCAAAACATTGGTATATATCGACTACGATTTTTAATCGATTTCCAAAAGCGACGCTGGTTGACGATGTTTATCAAAATATTATATCACAACACTGCCATTTTCATATAAAGTTACTTTTTTGCAATCAATAAACATCAAATTCACTTCGTTGCAGTTCGCTGAAACACTTCTTCCTTTTCGTCAATTCCTTTTAATCACGATGCAACAGGAATTCTATATGTGAAACAAATTATCTGAATATTATCCCTGCTTCAAAACACATTCAAAAGATGCTCTTATATTCGCCCTAAAAGCGTTTGACAACTTGTACTAAATCAACCTTGGTTGCCGTAAATGAAGTTGGGCAGTTAAGTAGAAAATATTTCATAAAATTCTCACTTCGCATGCAAGATCCTATATTTACAAAAAAGACAACGTATGGCGCATGATGCATCTTAAAATGTACTGAGATGTATATCATGCAGTTTAGAAAGAGCAAGGACAATTAAGGTTCTTTTTAATGAAGCTATAAAAAAGACTAAGCGTAGCTACACAAAAGGCCGACATGCTATAATCGTTCTATCAATCATAGCTATAATAAATCAAAAAGACAAGATGCGGTATTGATGTCCACGCAGATCTAACAAAGCGGGGAATTAATCATATCGGAATATGTGTTCAGTTATTACTTTAACACTAAACTAATATATCGGATATTAAAACACTCGGTTTTCGTACCATTAAAACGCTCAAACGCCTCCCTTTTTCTTGTCGAACTTAAATTGTTCGAAGTTTCTTTCACAAATGGTTTACATTGTGCCAATACAATTTATGATATTTCGCTGCGATATACCGTTATATATATAACTGTTAATTTTGTCATCGCGTCGTACATGCACGCAGGATACAAATAGGTCTTCATTAAATATTTATTGCCATTAAACGCAGAATCGTTATTATTTTTCGTGAAGCTTGCTTTAATTTTACCTGCTTTGAGAAAAATTCATTTTCTCATCAATTTATATTTTCTTCGTTTTTCCATCGTGAAAAGCGCTCGCGACGAATTAACAAAGGAGACGACTGCAAATATTAAAAGTAAATACCTGCCCAAAAAGTTAAACGAATGATTCTGGTTGCCGTGGATGGAGTGTACAGGAATAATTAAGAAATAATAACATTGCATTAAAGGGAAAAGGTGCGCAAAAATATGAATAAGAAATTAGACTTGATATTTTTTTATCAAACAAGCCAAGGCTATGATTGGATTACAGGAACTTACTATGCATCATAACATAGATTTTGAAAAAACTGCATGTTGAAAATTGTTGTATGACATGCATTAGCATCCAACGATTAATCCCACTGAACCAGATAAATATACACAAACATAAGCCTCACAAATAAAATGAATATAATTTTCTCATCCAATTCAGGAAAAGTATAATATATATAGCTATATATATGAATGCATGTTTCACATATGCTCCCCCAAAAACACTATATATTTGTTAGTTGATAGTTACATCGGCTTCTGCAAGTCAAAATATCTTTCAGGAGGTCTTTTATATATCTTTTATAATTATATATCAAAATATCTTCCAAAATATCTTTTATATTCCATACGCGTGTTTTGACTGTTTGATGGCAACATGCAGTTTTGATCTAATAACAAGTTGACGGAATTAATCAGCTTAAAAGCTCGTGGCTGTTGATTTTTATGCGAAACATATCATAATAGAACCTATACTCCATGGCACCGGGGGGTTTATCGCCAGAATCTCGCGTTTATCACTTTAGATTATATTTTTCATGTAATTCCTATCAAAATTTCCTCCATATGTTTCGAATTTGCAGTTTTAAAAGCGGTCTCCAAGTGACGCTGGGCAAAATGTAAAGCATCTAATTATAGATTTGAGCAGACACGAAGTTTTCATGGCTGAATTGAACGCGTTTTGAAACTAAACTTTCTCTTGCTTTGGGAAACGTCCTTTTAATAAAAGCTGATCAAACAATTATAACTGCCTGCTGAACAAACACGACTTATTTTTCACCTCAATATGAATATGAAACTCAAATTGATGACTCGAGCTCACAAAAGCGCGCGTTTTCTCTTTAGTGTTCTTCGTCTATTAACATTAGTGCATTGTCTTCTATTTTCAGCTGTCCCCGGCCAAACAGCGCGCAAACATAGCATGAAATACTCGTATATATAACATTTTTGACAAAATATATGTTGAAACATGCAACGTTAATTATTCATACAAAAAATACTGCGTTGTGGCGTAACAACTGACTAAAAAGAAAAATTCAGATGACAATTCAACTTAACGCTTAATTTGTGGGCATTTTAGGGCCAGCCCCTTGGAGAATCAAATTTGCCAGAACCAATACGATAATATATAATTTTAAGGTATATATTGTATTATCTTATGTATATAAAAAGGAATCTACAGGCAACTATATATAATTTAAAGTAAAACTAAAATAACATATTGTCATTATCGAGGTGATATATAGTAATATACGCTTATAGCCTTACCTTCATTTAAATGTGTTATATATATATGGTGTTAAACAATGAATAGGCTTCTCCACACCATTTTCCTGCATTTGACACCTCGCTTTTAGTTGCATCTGAAATACGCGCTGTTCTTTGTGAAAAATAATTAATTCGCAACTAACGGCTCATGCAAATGACGTACAAACACATGAGTACTCAAGAATATAAACACAATAAAACAAATAAAGTTTATTGCGCCAATAACCTCTCGTTCGCATATTAGAGATATTCAGTTTAAGCATTTCATCAAAACAGCATCAACGCGAGTTTAAATGCCTGAGTTAATTTGAATTGTTGTATTATTTTCTGAACTCTTAGAAAATTACTTTGAGAATGATCGACAAGATCGCAATATTTATTCACCGTTTTTGGCGGATATTCTCTCGATTAAAACGACCATTTCGAGGTCGTGTCTATTTCAGTGATAAAATCCACTCATTTTTTGAACAGTTCTACTTAAAAAACGTGTCTGAGAACTTCAAACATTTCCTGTAGCATTGAAAGACGTCGCGAGCATTTCAATCAAAAATCCTCAAGTATAAATCCGTTGTCGTGAATGATTTTCTTATAATAATAAGCAGAGAGTTTTGGCGTCCGTGTTTTCTGAGGACTTGTAAAATCTACTCTGTACAGTCCAAATCTTAACCTATATCCATCATCCCACTCAAAATTATCCATCAATGACCATGCCGCGTATCCCCTAACGTCCACTCTGTCCAACTTTATTGCCTTTAGTACCTACGCAAAATAAAAGCGTTCTCTCGACTGAGCAAGGATTGGCCAACCAGTGAACAGACTCATACATTTGCCAATACATGAAGTACTATAGTGAACAAACCTCGTTCAAGTATCGTCGATACCAGTCTACTCTGAAGTAATCCTCCAGAGCCCTCTCTCCGTCGGCGTCATGCTCGCCGGCCTGGGTACAACCGTTTTCCGTGATAATGATCCTAGGGTTCCTGTAATGTTCCTTAATGTACTTTAATATCCTGCGCATCCCAAACGACGTCATCCTCAACCAGGACGCATCGGTCCCAGGCCACGAGGGATCCATCACCTCAACACTATCGCGGTCAGTGTCAAAACTCTGCGGAGTTTTTGAACCATTTAAGAAAGACTTGTGTTTCACCAACTGACATCTGTAAAAGTTCAGGCCGAAGAAATCATAACTGCCTTTAATAAGTTCTCTTTCCATTTTAGTCATAGCTGGTAGTCTGGGTTTATTCCCGGCAGCTTTTGAGTGCGAACCAACTTGTTCTTTTAAAATGGGCGAGAAATCACCATCCACAAAAATTGGGTGCGCAAACAGGTCCAGATGGAAGGCTAAAAATCTCTCCGCAGCTTTTTTGTCCTCTTCGGAGCTCGTGTAAGGCTCGGGCCAGCTCGAATCGAGCGTTATTGATATTTGCCCTCGCTGTTTTGTGCGAAACTCCTTGTTGTACGTATGCCAGGCTTTGGCGTGAGATAAGATGAGGTTTTTCGCAGAAATATAAGCACCATTTCCAAGATCTTTGTGACCAGGCGCGGTCTGTCCACGGCAGTACCCAGGAATAGCGACTTCCCACGGCTCGTTCAGTGTTATCCAGTACCTCACGCGGTCGCCAAATCTCTCAAAACACAACCTTAAACGATGATGATAAACTTACTCTTTTTGAGTCGAGGGGGTGTCTATTCCGAAGGAGGGGTTTCTATTCCAAGGGGGGAGGAGTCTATTCATGTATTCGTCTTATGCTCGAAATCCAAATCTTAACCTATATCCATCGTCCCACTCAAAATTATCCATCAATGACCATGCCGCGTATCCCCTATGTATGCTGTTCTTCCTACGATGTGGAAACATGAATACATAAATATACAACCCCCTGGCAGTCTTGCTATGGCATTGCATCATGCTTCGATCCCCTGTGAGCTGTAAAGTAATTTCCAAAACTCTTTGCAGAAGGGCACAAAATACTGCAAAGACACCTTTTTTGTGTAAAAACAATTGAGAGTTGATAATCACCATTCATATCACTGCAGTTTGTAATCATATTTTTTATCATATATTTACTTTGCATTGGGGTTTCACCTATGATTGCAAGCAACTTCATTTGTTCATACTGGTCCGGACACTCACCTTGCATAATCAGTGAATAAATCTTGTATCTTTTCGCTAAGCCAACCGCCATATTTTGTTTGAAGAGCTTGTGGTAGATCCCAATGGTATAGAGTAACCATTGGTTGGATACTATTCTTAATAAGCTCATTGATCAGGTTGTTATAGTACTCAATACCTGTGTAATATTTAATGGCATATGTCATAATAACGCCCACTAAATATGATTTTGTAGCAAACCAGGCTATTCAGCCTATGATTATGGTCATTAAGCTTTGCCATTGGAGGAATCCAGATGACCAGTATAGATTCTCCACAGAAGATAGAAACTATTTTGCCACTTGCACAAATCGCATGTATATAGAGGGACATGCAACCTAGCTTTCACCCCTTCACATACAGACTGTATCTATTCCCCACCAATTGAGCTATGAGATTGTTAAAGAAGTTGTACATGCTGTGTATATTTGAATTGATCTTACTTCAAGGCTCATTTAGCAGAGCATCTGAGATTTAAACTACAAAATGAATGGTTGTTTTCAAAAGATTTGGAAAGACTTTGCTTTCTCTTTGGTTGAGCTTAGCAGTGTTCAAAATACGCCACAACAGACCAATGAAACAAGTGCTTACGCAATACCTTTCTCATTTACATGATGCAATGTACCATCAGGAAGGATCCTGGACCAGGAGATTGAGAATCTGTAGAAACCAACACCCAGCTGTCTTAACATCTCAACATCTCTTTCATAATGATTGTAACTATCACATGCAACATCACCAGTATCTTTGTTAAATATGGGACTTTCTTTTTGATGACAATAATGATCCCATATGCTCTCTCCCTTTCCTCCCTTGTTCCACGCACCCTCTATCTGATACGCTGCTGTCGCCACACCCCACATAAAGTCCTGGGGAAACTTTCCATGTATGAAATCATCCCTGGTTATTTTGTTCAGTATGTCGCCATCCATCTATAAAAGAACGATCTTGGAATAAAACACTGTTGCTTTGGAATGGAACTTTATACTACGACGTCATTGTGGATTAACTTTGTCAAGGATGAATACCATTCTGACTGTGTCTGATAAAAGCTTGACACTGACATGCACACAACTACACAAGTGAGTCTCAGAGTCAATGACCCCACATCAGAATTTGATAGACAGTTATTACTGAAGGAACCACAAGAGCAGGATATTTTTATCAATTATCATCATGAAATATCATTGGCCCATGTGATTTCTTCAATAACATGTAAACATATTTACAATTACATCGCATCCTGCTTTTCTTCTTGAAACCTTTACTTCTAACAACCATTTTTTGCCACGCGTACGTGACATATTTTTTATGAGCTATAGCTTACATTTATTATAAACATACATTAATTTCATCCACATTTAATAGTTCCTAAAGGTTTATAATCTTAAGAATTCACAAAATACACGTTGAACTAATAATAAACACGTAGTACTACTAATAATAGACACCTAAGTACGGAAGACGTGTTATCTAGCGTTGTATAAAAACAAATGATATAAATACCTCGTCCATATGCACAATACGTCCATTAACACCTTGATGTGGTATGAATTTCCACTGAAATAAAATAAGAAAAATAACAATTATCGACATTGTCTATCTGCAGGTTATCAACGATAACAAGTACTTGAAAAGAAACTAAAATTATTTTCATTAAAGTACCTGTAAATCGTTTTAAACTTAAATTTTTTTAATCTTTGAAATTTTTCTTTATTTTATTGAAAGTGAACTCGCGCCAGACTCCTCCTTCGCGTCGCAATATCACCGTTCATCAAATTTGCATACGACGCGTTCTTATCGTGTTGCGCAATATTGCCTTCGAAAGTGATAAGAATTGAAGACGATGTTTAAAATAACTTAATAACTGCAGATCGGTCCAATTTTTTTAATTAACGCATCATGCTCAAAATAGTTGTCACGTAATATTCAAAGTAATGAATTGTAGAATGGGACAATAACGACGACCCGACACCGACGACACGCAAAATCTTTGCTATGGATTGATGAAGAAAACAGTTCCATGGTAACATACTCTATTGTTATTTTCGTTACAAGTGCTCGAGTATTTCCATCAATGCGGAGCGATAATAAAATGATTAGTGACGGTTCAAACTCAGATAAAAAAAAATGGTTCACAACATTTGCCGGAGAAAAAAAGCTTGGTGATACGGTTATTTGCGTATGGTGTAGTAATTGTTTATCTAATGTCTATAGACTGATTGCTTATTACCTAATTCGGCACTGATAATATCTACATTCAAGGCGCATTGTGGTACTGAATTACTACCACATGCAGATTTTCAATCAATATTTTCAATCAGTCTTTTTACACAAACAACGATTTATGCCTTCAATCTGGTCACAGTAAGAGGAAGGGAGGGTCGTTTGAATAACCTTGATATCGTGCCGGGCGCATCATAGTAAACGAGAGATATTGAAATCATATGATTCGGATCCCATACTGTGTCCAGATATATTGTAATTAATGTAAGCTTTTTCACGTTTTATAATAGTACACAAACCACTAAAACCAGTAAACAACGACAGCGACTTGCTACAAAATGATACTTAAGGCTAATTTCCACTCAGGAAAAATCTCCAGTTTGGATCGGAACGGACAGGAAAATTTCCTTTGTCGGTGAGTTCTCAGGCGGCGTTTATTCAAAGGAAACTTTCCTGTCCTGTCCCATCCAAAGGAGAATTTTCCTGAGTGGAAACTAGCCTTTATTCTCCAGTCTGTATGTCAATAACAGATAACTACAACCTGTTGCCTTCTCGAGATAGCACGCTGGACAGCTTATTGTAGAATACTACCTACACTGGACCACCACGTTTGAGATATCTTTCTCAGGTAGTTCAGACACAAACCACGACAGCTTATAGTAGAATGCTACCTACACTGGACCACCACGTTTGAGATATCTTTCTCAGGTAGTTCAGACACAAACCAGGACCAACACCACGATGTCAAATGTTGAGAGTCCGACTCAACTATAGCCCTTCAGCACCACTTAAAAGGAAAATAAATTGTTGCACCAGATCTATTTAGGGTTATGTTTCTTTGATTTATACCAGGGCTGTCAAAACTAGCATTAGCGCTGGAAACTTCAGAGCATTCAAATGGACGTTAAGCTGTGTGATGACAGTAAAGTTTCGTGTTTTTTGTTACAACATTTCCTAATCCTATTTTCCTAATAGCAACCAAAGTACGTGAAGCAATGGCCATTTAAAGTTCAGTCAGACTTAAAAAAATCGCAACGCATTTTTTATTCTTCAGGTTGGCCCCACGTAGGAAAATTTGACACATGTGCACTATATGATTGTAGGGTTTTACACTTAATAGGATATCTTCAGTAAGTCTTCCGTCTTCTGTGCTTTCCAGAAAATTCTGATGTCCAACATTTTCAGACAAAATGCATTTAATAGTAACATTGATAAGGATGAGGCTGGCGTGGCAGTGTGGAGGCGGGGTAAATACCCCGCGAAAATAGCCCAGCGCTAGCTAACTGCGCATGCGTTCATAGGGGAATCAAATGAGAAGATAAATTTGAGTCTACGAAGCAACCGATTTATGAAAGTAATGGATATAAGAACCTGAGTCGAAAGAACCTGATTGCGAAGAGGTTTCTATGTGAAAATACTTTCTCGCTAAGTACCAACCATTTCTTTCCGCTGTGAGTGTCCCTCCTGTACATAGATAGTGGTACCCCCCATGTAACGCTAATTGTTACGCAACTGTTACGCCAAGCGGACGTGAAGTCGTGAACTCAAACATTGTCTTTGGGCTGGCTTTAGCCTCTCGACGAATCGTATCGTAGTCTAAAAAAATTGTCCCCTTTTGTCACACATTAGTTTGAAAAAAGCGTAGAGCCGTAAAGAGCGAAGTGTGCATAACGCAAAGTGTCAAAATACGAAGGTGTTGCTCGCTGTAGTATTAAAATAACTAAGTATTATCGTGTACGGGAATCACGAACTACATGTTATTATATTGCAGTTATTCCCTGAGGGAATATTTTGTCAAGACTGAAACTCTCTATCATTTTCTGCCTTTTATACTTTGATTGTTTTAATTCATCATTGAATTAACTCCTTTGAGTTGAATAGATACGTGTATCCAACCACCTACCACGAGTTAATAAATCTGCATTAAATTGTGTAGCAGTAATTCTACTGAGATATCGGCTCGATGAGTGAAGCTTTCTGGCTAGAAGCCTAAAATGATGAATGACTTTTAGGTTTTAATAATATGAGAAGATTTATAATAACATCTCAAAATAAGTGTCTGAAATCACAACTGACTGCCCGTGCCTATTTTGGTATTTATATATGAATTGTTTTGCAAATATATCTTTCAAAGGTCATGTTGAAATTTGCACTTTTTTTTAACATACCTTTAAATTATTCTCGAACAACAAAGAGCAATCAGATAAGCCTGATTGACCAATCAGGCAGCAGAAAGCCAAAACACGAGTCACGTGATAGGTGTCAATTTCATAAACACATGAGTACAACAAAAGCTGAAAGCATTTCGGGGACCGAAATTATGCCCGAAGGAGCTTTGAAACGCTATTAATCCATGGAAACAACATAAAATAGATGTTTACAGTTTCCAATCATTCAATACAAGCGAACGTCGCCCGGCTTTTGGCTACAAGATGTACATTTTAACGATATTCAACGCCATAATTTTGCTGGTTGTATACGTTTCAACTCGCAAGGGTGTCCATAGCGAATATACAAACACATGGGCTATCCAAACCGACAGCGAAGCGATGGCAAAACGGATCGCTAAAAAGTATAATTTTGAATACGGCGGAAAAATCGGCGCATTAGATGGGTACTTTCTACTTATTAAAAAGAGGGTTCCTCGTAGACGACGACGAAGGACCATCTACGAAACTCGTATATTAGATATGGACCCACATATCAGATGGAGTGAACAGCAGAAAGTTTTAAAAAGGGTGAAAAGACGCTTTAAAGATAACATGTATAAAGATCAGTGGTATTTAGAAAACAAAGGTAAGTCATGTCTTTTTTTTGAACAGCGCATATCGCACTTAAGTATTAAGACTTGAATATTCGAACACCGTTGTTGACAATGTTTGTTTTACAAAATAAATCATAGTTTTACAATATATAGCTGTAATCTACTGTAAATTGACCATACAGGTCCATACTTGGAGAATATTTTGAAAAATGAGGGTTTGGAATATAGCATTTGGTTTACCAATCAGCAATAATGCCAAAGATGCCGTGATAAGAATTTGTATAATTTTTTTGCTTTTTATTTGTGACAGCTGGCGTTTAATATAAAATCGCTGTGTATAGCTCCTATCCGCGATAACGGCTTCCCTACCGATCTGTGTTTGTTATTAAAATAAAGTCTCCCTAAACGCTTTTAATTGCGATCCTTGGAAAATTGTGAATTTGGCAGTGAATGATGAAATTTGATTGTGTATACATCGTCCATATGTGGCATATATACAATTGAACTTTCACACATTTGAAGAAAGAAACCATGCTCAGCTGTCATTTCTGTCTGGTTTTTGATGATAATTTAAAGCTACAAACTAAGTTTGTTTTAGTAACCTTTCAGCTTAACTTCTCAACCACTCGAAACTGTTAAATATAGAAGCACGATTTCAGTGATTTTTACTATAAATGTTTCATCAAATTTGTCATGATTAAGCGGATTAATTTTGAAGCACTTCCAATACGGAATTCCGTTGAAACGTAGCTTCACGAAAGCCCAGTTAATCTGATTTAGTAGATTTCCTAACTAAGCCATTTCTTAAGATTGATATTCAATGGTCTTTATGCCATCATTTCATCAAATTGCAAATGCTTTTTGCGAGCATTCCAAGCAGTTATTAATTAGTAAACGCAAAGGATTTGAATAGCGAAGGCTAAGCGGCTTGCCTTGATCTATTCATCTTCGTCTCAAGTAATGTTTGATTTGCATTTTAAAGGTGAATAATCGCTACGGATGCAAACGTAAACGGTTTAGGAATATCGGCGAATCTTCTTTTGTGATCTTCTTTCTATTTTTGCATACGAATTGAGTTACTGTAAAGTAATCTCAATGGGCACCGGAAAAACTTAATTCGTTGTTTTCACAGCTAAGTTATCACTTTCATAATAATCGTTTTCTTCGCATGCATGGTCAATGAACAGACAAAAGGTTGTCACGACACAAGCTGTTTCATTGTGTATAGAACATAAGAGAAAGAATTTCATATAATACTGCTAAAGGTGCCATTCTTTTAAATATATTACACCTTGCTCGCAAATAGTTCCTTGTTCTTCCGAGCAACTTGACCTCTGATAAAGACAAAGAGTTTAGGATGCGTACTGATAATTAAACTCTTGTTAAGTATGTCTGTACTTTGGACATATTCAAAAATAATCAAACCTCTTGGGTGAAGCAATTTGTTACAAATGAGCACTTATTGAGATACTTTATTTTGGTTTTTTAATACGAAAGTAGGAAGGATATTTGCTGAAATTATTAATAGCTTAATTTTTTTGCTCATAAATGCGTTACATTTTGATATATTGTTTCAGAAATCATTTTGAAACCTGTAAAACGCGTAGACAGTTTTTTATAAAGAATTTCCACATGTTGCTAATTTGCCTAATTTGTGACATTTTTATGCCAGGAAAATGTACAATATTTCGATATCATAAATATTTCACTGTTCAAATACATACGCCAATCTTAATCATGATTTAAATTCGTATAATTTCTCCTTGGGTTATAAATTTCAGCAGAGATTCATACTGCAATGATTAATATTATAATGAAAGAATGCTGTTTGAAATATTTGGGTTCTCACAACGTTAAGTTACGAAGCCCTAAGGTCAATACACCTCTAATTCAGCTTTTAAATTTTATCAATCGAACAATTTGTTCTAGGTAAGGGAGAGGTCTTGAATCCCCCCCGGCCTGATAGATATTTTCGAAGATGCCAGAGAATAGCTGTGTCTCGCAGATATCCTCCCCCAGGGCACGAAGTTAGGGATTTTAGAGATACACTGCTTTGGGTTCGTTAAATAATCTTCACTCAACTTCTAAATTCCCATTTCTGAATGTCAGCGATAGGTGTCATGAAATCAAAACAGAATCGTGGTTAAGGTCAAAGCGTTATATAAGTTCCTCAAATAGATACCACTCAGTCCAGCCACCTCTTTTCGCCTTTTCACACTTTGTTGTTTCAACGAGAGTTAGCTAGGTGACGCAAGGGCGTTTTATGTCTTAATTCAACAAGCCAGCTGTGTGTGTTATCTATCAGTCTAATCCTAAACGGATGGGAGTTCTCAATGCGCATTCAAAGCACTACCATTTAGAGTAGTGAAAAGAAGGGGGTTTTTCAACGAGATCTAGATCCTTATCAGGTTGAAAAATATCACGAGCTACGAATTATATTAAGAAATGATCGCTTTAGCTGCGAATGTACATCTGAACAGAGAACTTGGTCTACTATTAGGGTGATGACTTCGCAAGCTATATTAAAGGAATTCATGGCATTGATTAGTTGCCTGTCGATCAGGTTGAATTGCACACACATTGATCAAATTAAAAATTCCCATTCATCTACGGAACTTCGTCACAGCCTGGTTTGCTGGGTTCGTTCATGTTTTAGGTAAAGAATGTTCAGTTACGAGATTATACTCTCTGCCCAGAATAAATCGAAGTCAATGAATGGCAAACGACATACCTCTTATTTTAACATGTTTATAAATGCCTTTTGACAATATTTGTTTGCACTCAAAAACAAGATAAAAACAAGAGCATGACGTTTAAGAATTCTTTGCTATTATTAATCATTAATTTCCTTTGATGATGTATTGTCTAAACGGGTCTATGGTCGAGGGTCGTCGCTCTGTCGAGCTCTGCACGTCAAAACGACGACACATAAGTGGCAATGCAGACAATAAGTTGAAAAACACAGATAAATAGAATGTACTGAAGCTGATAATAAAAACATTAGCAAATGCGACCAACAAAATCGTTTTAATATAAGGCACAGTTTACACTGTCAAACGATCTGGGATGACTCTTAGAAATTTTTTTGATATTTCAGATAACAACAGCAAAACAGTGATTAATACTTTTCGCCCAGATATTCTTAAAAGTGAAATTTCAATAGTCAATGCCTTATGTGGAATGTTACAAATTCCAACTGTAACCACAAAATACTTCGAGTACATCTGGCCATAGCCTCGGCCATGGCGACAATAGAGAGTAACTAAGACCGCCATCTTGTGGTAAAACCAATCGATCGTAGGTTTAGAAAGAAGAGTTTTTTCAGTTAATTCAACTTTCGTATATTTCAGCCGCAAAAGGACACGACGTTAACGTGGTCCCCGTATGGAAGCGAGGCATCACAGGACGTGGTGTTGTTGTTACGATTCTGGATGATGGTATCGAGTACACTCATCCTGATTTGGAGGCGAATTACGACAAGAATGCGAGCTACGATTACAATGACGACGACCCCGACCCAGCGCCAAGATATACCACGCGAGATCTTAATAAACATGGCACCAGGTAAAGCAGATACCAGTTGAATACTGATATTTCTGTATGAAGTTACTATTGAACTTTTTTTTCCTAGAGATCCTGTAAGAATCCAGTGTTACTACAGGAGGAAACCTGAACTAAACTAACTTTATTTTTACTGGATAACTCTATCAGTTCTAAACTGTTCTTCCTAGAGGTCCAGTAAGATGCATTTTGCCACAGAGCCAGAAAATTGTAAATTTTTGCATTTTCCAGGTGTGCGGGCGAGGTGGCTGCGGCCGCAAACAATGAGGTATGCGGTGTCGGCGTCGCATACAACGCCAAAATTGGCGGAATACGTATGCTGGATGGAGATGTTACAGACGTTGTTGAAGGCCGCTCGCTGAGTCATGCTTACAATCATATTGATATATACAGCAGTAGCTGGGGGCCTGAGGACAAGGGTGTCAAGGTGGATGGACCAGGAAAGGTGGCAAAAGAGGCGCTTAGGAATGGTAGGTCAGAATAGATTTGCATGGAAAATAAAGTGGTAGTTGACGTCTCGCCCCAATACTCCTCAACAAAAATCACTGACAGACGTCGCTGTCGACATTTTGAGGATATTGATTGGGTCTCAAGTTTGTTGTTTTGTGCAGACACCGTGTCTGTTATCTTGTTTTGAAGGTACTCAAAACACTAGCATATTGAGGCGATAACCTTGATCAGCTCCACGAATCATCTTCTGAGTTGGTCCGTGGTTCATCCGTCATCATTAAGGAAGCCACTGTCTACTAGGTTGTTATCGACACACGAATATTACGTGTGTGTTTTTGTACTGACGAAACAACTCAGACATGCAAAATACCCCCAGTGACTCGCCAAAAGTCTTCATCTGGTACAACAGAAAGCATTGAAATGTTGGTGATGAAGTTATGAAAAATCACACTTTTTTACCATTCATATTTCTGTAGTTTGCGTGTGTTTTTGTCCCTATTTTTCTGAATATATTGGACCAACGTCTGGCTCGGAACCCAGAAGGGGATGGAATATTGAATAAATCTTTAAACAATTCATGACTGCAGACACCGCGTCTATAATTACAGCAATATTATCTATTTCATACCTTTGATATTTTGTGCTAATCATGAGAATACAAAACATCAAAATGCACGAAAATTCTTCAGAAAAACAGACAGCACATCCGTAAACATAGCCCAGTTTACGCAAAGAATCTCAGCGCTGAAGAATGTTAAAGATAATTTAAATTTGCTTGTGTGAATGATAAAAAGCTGGAAGCTTTTGTTTGGCAAATATATTTGCTGAAAACCTAAAAGGATCATGGTTTTTTTAGGTGTGAGTAGAGGACGGAACGGTAAAGGTTCGATTTTCGTTTGGGCGACAGGAAACGGCGGTGATTACAACGATTACTGTAACTGTGATGGTTATATCACGAGTATTTACACGATATCAATTGGTGCAGTCAATGACCTGGGGATATCACCGTGGTATGCAGAGCCATGCCCATCAACACTTGCGGTCACGTACAGTAGCGGCAAAAAGGGAGAAAATGTAAATAAGAAAATCGCTACGACCGACCTACATAAGGGATGTACAAAATCACATACGGGAACCTCAGCGGCAGCTCCGCTGGCTGCAGGTAAGCGAGGACTCGATTATCGTTCATTGATAATAGACCTAAGATGGTCTCATAGATCTCGACTGGGCATCGTAACTAGGAAAATGTCAAAATGAATTCAATTGACCACTGCAGTTCAGCCACAAGACACAGGGAAATTGACAGAATGAAGATAGGGCACCGAGAAAGCCTTGTATTTTACGTAATTCGCCTCATAAGCGTAGATAAGGAATCGTATTAATGAAAGCTTTTTGTCCACCTTTAGGAATATTTGCCCTGGTCTTGGAGGCCAACCCGAATCTGACGTGGCGTGACCTGCAACACCTGGTTGTTGAGACGTCACGTGTAACCGACGAGGGAGATATCAATTGGCGCAAAAATGGCGCTGGATACCCGGTGAATAATAAATATGGCTTTGGCCTCTTGGACACGGACGCCTTGGTCAGACTCGCTCAGAGTAGGACTTGGAAGACTGCGCCTCCTCAACACATCTGTCGTAGCGAGGATAAAACAGACAAGAGAAGAATCCAAGCGAAAAAGATATTTCGCTCAGAGATATTTACTGACGGCTGCGTTCGTGGACACACGCAAGCGTGCGTCACGAAACTTGAACACGTGATCGTTTACATCACACTACGTCACGAACGGCGCGGATCTTTAGAGATCAACCTGATTTCCCCCTCGGGAACGCGATCAAAATTACTCGGTTTGCGAAAGTTTGATCTTAGCTCGAAAGGTTTCAAACGATGGCCATTTATGACCGTGTTTCACTGGGGCGAGAGTCCGCGCGGGACTTGGAAACTTGAGATTGACAATACGGAAGATTTTTCAGGATATTTTGAACGATGGTCCGTGAAATTTTACGGCACTTGCTCGCACGAGCGTAATATTACGGAATACGAGACTAGCACTTGTGAGAAGAAATGTATGCAGGGCTGCCCCGTAGACTTCGCTACAGTCTGTAAGAATTGCGTCCAGCTTTGTGATTGTACCAGAGGAAAATGCACGAAGCGATGCGGCTGGGGACTGGAAACTGACGTACAACGTAATGAGTGTAGGAACAGTTCAAGCCCAGAACGAACTACAAAAGACAATGGTGACGTTGGCGGGAATAGGAAGGGAGGACCAGCAACTAGAGAAGAAAAACTACCACAATATGGTCTGTGGCTTCTTGTGGCAGCCGGAGTTGCCGTTGCCTTTGGTGTACTTGCAGGTGCTTGGCAGGGATGGTTGTATTACAAAACAAGAAAAAAGTTAAACCGCGCTCGCAAGCAAAACGAAGTTTTACGTTACCCTATAACAGTACCTCGGAGGACAGTTGTGGAGAACTTTGATATCAACAGATTAGCTGTTCATCAGCAGCGGACTACAGCGACCAAATTTGTTTGATCTTTGATTATGTATCAAACGTCTGAAAACATACCCTGAAATATTACTGCCTATCCAGCAGTGAGTTAACATTTATTCTGCAAATACCCTCGCGTACCCGTCCTATCCCTGGCAGCTAAAGATGATGTCATGGCAACGGTTCGAAGCGCCTTGCATGGGCAGTCTTATTTGGGGGAAAATTAAAATGTGCAAAAACAGAAATCTGTGCATTACCTTCGACCCCTTCAAATGACGGACATTTTATAAGTCGACTTTCTTTGTAACCTGAAACTCTTGATTCAGTTGTATTCTGTTCATTCTCAACGCCTAATAAAGTGTAAAATAAAATCTAAAAATACTTCAAAAACAAGACATCATAACGCGGTTTCCTTTTTGATCAAAAAACGTACAGAAATTTATTTATTTCCTATATTAAATGTATATATATATATCTATATATATTTTTACATCGGCGTCTTTTGAATTAAATCGTATATAATACACTACTCAGCAATATATCTCCTTGAAATTAAAAGTCTTTGCCAAACCATTCACCCGGTAATACAACATTTTTGTAAACTTACGCACATGCACCATCCCAGAATACTTGCGAGAGTTTAAAAGCCCGTCTACACTTGCGATTTTCTTCTTTTCATAGATGTAAACGAGTAATTAGTTAAGAATGCTCTGATGTGTACGAGCTCCAATTTGAACCTCAAATAACATCGGTAACTAATTCACTCGTTCACATCCATCAAAAGAAGAAATCGCACGTAAATCGCAGCAAAAATTGAAAGCGGACCTTACGCCCGTTTTCCAAGATCTGAAATTCGGTGATGTTAGTTGGTTTGCGAAAAAATTCGCCGCGAAAAAGTAGAATCGCTTTCTACTTCTTATCTATTCGCGCGAATAAATTTGCCTAGTGGAAAACACGCTTTAAAAGGATGTGGTAATATTGAGGATTGTTATATTCAGGTGAAGATTTGATTGGCGTTTCCAGACACTGTTTTACTGCACAGATTTTGCTCTTTGTAAAATCATGGGCAAACAGATGGACTAATATGTAGTTCAACAATGATACTAGCTGTGGGTGTATAAAGTATCATATATACAAGCTATCGTAAAATATTACTTGTGGAACAAAGATCTTTTAACGTTCCTGGAAAATTTAGATCTAAGTTCCAACCTCCACCCTTGCTGGAGATCTTCACCATGGTTAACGCTTTAGCGATGTGAATGTACAAAATGAGGGATCTCGTGACCTCCATGTATTACATTTTTACCAAAGTTAATATAAACGTTACGAGAAAACCGGAAAACGGTAATCACGTATCACGAAAAATTTTAACAAAACCTGCCATACATAAAACCTGGTTCACTTCACAAAACATCGTCCCGTTTTTTTTGTCCAAAAGCATTTGAATTTGAAAACCACATTCCCGCCTGAGGACTCCAGGGAAGATATTTTCTATTTCAATCAGTGGTTTCCATAGTAACGTAAGCTGGCGTCATCACCATAGCCAATCCGCTTCCAGTCTTCCGAAAGGATCACCGCTTCTCTCCGTAATGATGATAGTGATGATGAACGTGTTCGTGTCTGTGCACGATGGACGTTCCCCCGGGATAGGAAACCCCTGAGGGCTTTTCTCCGTTATCACGCTGTCTTCTGTGTTTACTCTTGTGTCGTCTCGTGTATTTTGGTTCTTCAAAAGGCGTCGTTCTGGGCGTGGCGTGCATATAAACATGGTTACTCTCCTCGGGGTGATAGGCATAACTTGGATCTAACGGCACTTCCCTGGAACCTCCGCTAATTGGTATCGGCGATGCGTACCCTGATAAACGCCCTACAGGAGAATGGCTGCCGGAAGTATGTACCGCCGGCGATACGCGTCCCCCAGGAGATGCGAAAATCCTGGCATATTTCCACCCGGAGATGCAGACCGACGTCGTGTACGACGCTGCGATCGAACTTTAAGTTTTTTCTCAGCCAATTGCGCCAGTTCTTGCGCAGGCTTCTGCTCCACGGTAAAACACCCGCCCGGCTCAGTTTTCCTCCTGGTCGAGATACTGGGCTTATCAGCTAAAAGATTACTGTTTTTCTCAGTTTGTGATCTCTTCTTATTTTCTCGCGTGCTTGAACAACATTTGCATTTGTTTGAGGCCAGCCGGGCATTACCTAAATCGTTATTCAAAACCTGCACAGTGGAATAACCATCTTTTCTTCGTCTTGATGGTTTCTTTGCAACGCCCTCTTGCGATGACGTATGCTCTTTTAATTTCAACCGCTCAAGCTGCTTCTCGGCCTCAGCCGTATGATCCTCGGCACCCACGACAACCTCACGACGAGGTACGACGGCAGCACCCCGCATCTCCCGCGATGATTTTTCTTTCGACAACGAGATATGAACTTTGACCTTCTTCACGGCTTCGCGTGAATGTTTCTTGTTTGCTGTGTCAACCGACTTTCCTAGCGCATCGTAAATTGACTTCACCAAATTTGTTAAATCCTAAACGATAATTTAAACATGGAAGATAAATCTGTTTTGATGGACGAGCCTAAAGATATTCAAAACTCCAGCAAATACTAATTACCAAACATGCAAACTAGCAATGCCTCGTGAAATGACTATATCAAAAAAGGTTGCAGACAAACTTGCCGGACTATCCTGAACAAAATCCTAATCCTATTACTCAGCTGGTTCACAAGTCAACAAAATAAACCAAATCCCAATATTGGTGTGAATATATTTACTTATAGTGATCTTTTGATTTACTTAGCAGGGAAAACAACCCTCCCGTGTCCTTGAAACGATATGCACGTGTTGACAGAGAAACTGTTGTCAACTTTTCTTCCAAAGATGAGCAATTCATCTTAAGTAGACAGACATATCCCATACTTTAAGATTTAGCTGTTTAAAGTATGCCGTTTCGGTTTGGAAATCCCAACTCTTGCTGTCAATATTCACATGAACTTTTAGTTAGAATCAAGATGTCCCAAACTAAAGCACTGACCATGAATGCAAGTTCCGTCAATGGTAAAAGCTCACATATGCTAAAGCAAGTTTAAGGATTTCTTTCCTATCACAATTTTGATGAATGTGATGACCATGGTAATCCCAAAGAGTGTGCAATGTTTGATGTTTTAGAGTGTTAGAACGCTTACCTCTTTGGAAATACGACCGTTTTCTTCAAAATTGTACAAAGAAAAGGACCACTGCTGTTTGTCTGAACCCATAGAGCGAATAGACACCCCACAATCAATATCCTGTTGGAAAATACCTGAGCTTAGAAATTTATAATCCTAAATAATCCCTATACGTAGGATCTCAGTTTCAAATCATATAAACATACATAAACAACTTCTACCATGCCAACATTATCCGCTCAATTCTCGTCCAGGCGTTGATGAAAAAAGAACAATGTTGATCCGCATCTTTTGGATTTTTAACAGCAGACAACGAGCATGAAACTTGCATGAAATAGACTTATCTTCTCAATAATTTCCGGTTCATATCACAAAAAGGCTTGAGAGTCTTAGAGGCGAGTTATTTTCGAACTTGTACTCATCCTTAATTTTTAGTCCGTGCAACGGTGAAACATGGACGATATTAAACTAGGACTATACTGGACTAGGTATCTTCACAAGTGTCTTTGTCTCAAAATATTTCATTCTCATTTCTCATCGTTAAAATGATCGTCGCGACATTTTCCAGCCTTCCAGCGGCCTGGAAATCCCTTCTTGATTAAATTCCTGGCCGCTAGTGCCAGACTAGACTTTTTCTTTCGTTTATAGAATTCATTTCCGACAAAGAATAAGTGTTAACCGCGCGACGTTTGTTGAACTTGCCCTTTGTTCGGTTCAAATCCGGCCGGCTATAACAAGTTTAGCTAGCTTGCTTGTGGTATAGATAACACTCCAGACAGGAATACAATATTTAAGATATATGGCAATGTCTGAGCATTTATATAATTGTAAAGTTTAAGTCTGTTTTCGAAGATGGAAATAAAAAGGCCCTGAAAAACACCAGATTGCGCATTTTCGAAGCAAGATTGTTGTTTATAGCAGTAAAACCTGATGTTATCGCAAAATAGACAGGTTTCAGCGGCGGTAACGATAATTAAAGGGAAGTGGACGCCATATTCCCCATAAACAGCCAGACAAAAGATATTGGTATCTTGAGGATAACATTAATTATTTATTTTAATGCATTTATTAGTGGCGGGAATTATCTAGTCAGTTCATTTGTCTCGGCTGGTAAAACTCAGTAAAACAAAAGCTGGTTTGTTCGACAGTTTCTTTGTTTATGAATGCGCTAAACAAGACAATCATTAAGGACATTATGCGTCTAGCCAAACTCTCTTTTGTCCACGGCATTAGAAGAGCATTAAGAAAGATGAGAAGAATAAGAATAGAGCTTTCATTCAGGAAAAAAAAAGGTATCTGTGTTAGTTTGACAAAGACATACATACTAGGAAAACATGAACGTGGCGAGAAAAAGCAACCTCTCCTAAGAACCTGTATACGCCATTAAGAGGAAAAAATATAGAAAACGAAGCCTTCAATGCAACGTTATAAAAGTTCAATGATCATAACGAACAAATTGAAGTATGCCTCTTATGCCGTGCTATTTAGAATAAAGCGCGCAGACCCGCAAGGAGTGAAGTCCCTCTTCACAATACTAACTCGCTTTCAGGTTTGAGAAAGAGAGTGGAGACGAGTCATTTTCGAGTGAAAATCAATCATTTTAGAGTTCAAATGGGCGCCAAGGAAAAAATCTTGGAATGGTTTCGTAGACATGTAGAAACAGGCCAAGTAAACTAAATCATCACAAAGGTGATTTGGGGGTCAAACAATCAGAAATTGTATACAACTTCCATACAATTGGTCACGTGTGTTTAGATTGGCGTGCTGATCTGAACTGAAACTGGACAGTGAAAACTGTACATTTGGTTCACATCAAAATATGTCCAGTAAATTTTCGAGTGTTTTATGCATCCCAAATATGATATATTCCTCTTGTGATAAAGCTTTCATACGCTTGTTTTTTTGAACGTTCATATGCAAGTGATTGATTGACAGTAATATTGTTACTAGTGACTTCTAAAGAGTTCCTTACATTTTAAAGCGAAAATACTGGATGCTTTTAGTGTTGAAATATCAAGTATATAAGCGGAATTAGGTGATATGTACTCACTTCAGGTTTCAATGCCGTCTGAGTTCTTTCATCCATATTTCCTTCCTTCACAAAATGAATGTCAATCTGCTTGCCATCTGGTTCCGCAGGCAAGTCTACAACTGAAATGAAAGAGTTTGAACCAATAAGTGGTGCGCCATTCGAATCGGTGCGCGCCTTCCTCACAAACATTGCTTGTATCTCGAGATTTGGAAAGATTGACCTGGGTCAAGTGTAGAGTGTCACGATGGCCATACGTATGGTGCATAGATGACCATTTTCCGGTCATTTCATAGCAAGATCGCTTACTAACGAGGAAGAAATACTTCAAATGTACATGGTGAAAACAACCATGTAGGTAAAAACAGTAAACACACCCTGTCTACTGTAGGTTTAACATAATAGGGGGCTGGATTTACTCTGCATGATAACTCTCTTGATTGCTTCAAAATGAGACCTTCACCTTGTCTACATATTCCAACTTAAAACTTGCACAACGGGGTGAAAAACCTGCCAGTTTTCAATGGTCTGTAATTTAAACCAATCAATTTTTGTTCCATTGCTTCCATTAACGTGCTCGATCGTTTCTAATTTGTAACATTTCGTCCAATTTGTTATGTTCCATTTGTTACATTGAGATAATTTGTCACATTCGCAATCAAATGGCGTCACACGATAATTGTGCGAATGGTTTGAAAATGCTCGATTGTGTGCGAACGCGTAGTTGGGGGCGCGCTAATTATGTGCCTAAACTTCGCCAGAACATTATCAAAATCCGCTTCACGACCGGCCCCTTTGACTTATTAAAACACAGAGGAACGCGAGCCATTGAGCAAACATTTAATGAATATCACAGACTCGGGTGCCCACAAATGGGACGCGAAATTAATTACTTACTTTCTAATGGAAAACTCTCCACCGACTTGCTCTTTGTGCTGTGATGACCTGTAAGAACGCCTGGGTCCAGATTGTCCTCCTGTGAGCAAAACAACAATTACAGCGAGATGAGTTGATTCGTTCGCATCAAACCATCAACAATGCAAGAAGCCGCAAACAATATGAGAAGATTGGGTCACGCGGGTGTTAGATTACAAATATGGAAGAAAATATACGTTTTTTATAGCACTACCATGAGAGCTTTGTCAGGATAAAAAAAAACACGCGCTGTAGAGAAAATTCTAATAATATCCCACGGCATAGCTTTTGAATGTTTCTAAAAGTGAGCTCAGCAGAATTCGTTATTCACGATGAATACATGTTTATTTACCATGGTTGTAGGCAGCAATTTGTCAATGATAACTCAATTGCGATAAGAACATTTTCATGGATACTTTGAAATTGTACAAAATGAACGATCGAACCTAATAAATAATGGTACTTTGGGGGACGTTCAAACATTTGTAATTGAACAAGAATTCTTCGTAGCTGCGAATAAGCTGTTCAAGTACGCCCAAGTGTAGACGAATGAAATATTGATTATTGATAATGAAACACATTCAAACTCGTTTATTTACGCTTACTCAAGAGGCGCGAATGCGATTTTAAAGTAGTGTTGGCCGTAAATGCCTGTCAATACTTGTGTTGCTGTCCATTAGAATTACACAGGAAACGCGTCGTCGTAAAGTTGACACTGGAGTACAAGTTAAACAAAAAAAAACAACAATTTATCCCCAGACAAGAATCTAACAACTTAAAGATAGTCGCAAGATTCGCATGTCTGATAAACACGATAACTCCCGCACGCGAGAAGCTGTCCATAAATAATTACAAAAGGGAAATTTTTGCAAAGAAATAGATTAAATATCACAGCCATTAGCCGCGTTACGTCCACCGTGAGCTTTCTGTTTGGATAAAGCATTTACTAACACGCATTAGAACGCCAAGTTGACATTCATTTTGCCGGGTTACATAGTTCAAACAAGGAACGAAAATTTCGGAATGTCGGTTAGATTTAAGTTAAAATATAAACGGCAAGCGCTTGTATGTGCTTGGAGATATTTAATACCCGCCTGAAAGACAAGCTTTTCGCGGCACAGCATGTTGGAAGCACAAACGAGAACCGACCGCATAAATATATCGGCTCTTGTCTGCACTCGACTTAAGAAGCTACTTCTCTCTATTAAAAAACACTAAAGAGCTAACGATTTAGTAAACTGCTGCACTGAGTGTACTTTGCCTAGAACTGCACGACTATTTCACAATATACAGACTTACTTCATTGACTAGATAGCCTTCATATGAGGTGACGGTTCGCTTTTGTTTTAAAATCTCTTCTAAAAGCCGCGTTTGTGAGCTGGTGTCGTTGATTATAACACAACCTCCTATTGAAAACATAGGATAATTATTATCGTTGTGAATTCACGCTTCTAAGCCACGCTACATGAACTCAAATAGCACACTATGCCTGCCAAAACATACGAAAAAACAGGACATAGCAATGTTGGAATTACATATATCATTTGTACTAACCTTCGGGCGATTCACGCGAAATCCATGCTACAAAAGAAACGATAAAATTTATAGAATGAATCGTGTGAAAATGAACACGTTCTAAATGAATTATAAAGTTGCAATTTGAACTCAGAGAATAATCGAATCTGCTAGAGACGTGAGAACGAAGTTTCGTACATTCTCAACCCCTGTTTACCTTGAATGGAAGGCCTACTATGTCGTTTCCCCATAATTTAGCTCTGAAAGACTCGCTGTCAAGCGGGTTACAACACTAGCGTGTTCTAAGCATAAATGATTGACCGACGATTACTGGGCAAGCGAGTTTCGCGAGACCACAGCTTGTAAACATCGGCAGTTTGCTCGCTGACGGTATCACGGCGGCGTTATTTACACCGATATTGTAGGCGGAATGTATTCCTCTGCTGTCATTGACATACAGTGAATTAATAATCACACTAATTGCTCGCATATATCCACCAATCACAAAGCGCTAAGCAAATTTCTTTCAGCGTTTAGTCTTCTTTGTTTTCCTCTGTCGGCTGCGCCAGGGATGGCGCGGCGGATGTGTAAATGTTATTAGATAGTTTAGGAAAAGCGGCGAGCCGTCCCGACCAGGGTGCTCATGAAGAACAACAACCAGGGACCAATAGCGATCCGCGTCCTAAAAATTATCTCCTCAACTCGCGCAAAACAATCAAACCAAATTTTTCATTGTGTTTTTGAGAGAAACGTATTTACGTATCGCACATATCAGTTTCACGTGTGTTATGTTTTGTACGTTTAAAAACTTCGCGAACTGATATCGCATGGTATATAAGTAAGATTAAACTCCTGACCTTTGTGTGTTCTCGTTTGTGTTTGCCAAGTCAGTGTGTTGGTTCCCTTCTTTTGTGTGGAAATTTTCCGGTCGTAAAATGCTTAGTGTGGTGAATAAAAATTTAACTTTGTACAATGATTAATACGAAGAACTAATGTTTACTCGGAAGTATAGTGCTGGTGTATTTGACAGTAGAATATGAATTCTTTTGTGCGAGCTCGTTTACCCTGACAGCCGCGAAAAATTCAAATCGGTTTAGTCAAGGTGTCCCAAGAGGGGATTGTCGGGGCGTTCCAGGGGAGGGAGTGTAAATAGAAAATATTACTGTATAACATGTTCATTCATGGTATTTGGTAAAGAATGAGTATCTTGGCTAAGTCTTATAAGATCAACTTATTCGCCAAACATTTGCTACAGGGGGAGAGTTAGGAGCTTCCCTGCGTGGATTCCGGACCCCCGCGGCCAAAAGGATGTATAAATTACTGTTATTCAACTTATTTTCTCACGAGAGTACAGGTGTTTGGAATAAATTCGGGTAAGGTTGAATTTAGTACGTTTCGAATCACCTTTTATTGTGTCTATTTCATTCTTTTGTTGCGTGTCAAGAAATTTAAAACGAAACACTGTTCAAGAGGTGCTCTCATTTTAGAGAAACTTGGCATTATGAAGGAGTTAGTTGCCATTATGGAGAAACCCAGAGTAGTTTACGGAGCGCATCAAAGAAAATTAACATGCAGATTTTTTCCAATACCCTGTAGTTTCTGCAATTCCTATTCCTAATTTGAATACCGTATTCTATGTCGGTAAAGTGACCTGAAAATTTGCTATATTTTCTCATTAATGTCGGTACTTTAAAAGGTAAATTGTTAACGATGCCACGCAATGTCACGACGAAAGTAGTTAACTCGTTCAGGTAGGATATATTTCGAACTGTAATTAACCCCCAACCCAATAACTTGACCTAACTTATTAAAACTCAAGTCTAAGCAAATTTAAAATGCCGTGGACGCCGATGAAAATAGTTGAAAACAGTCGAAGCAGTCGACTTATGCATGTATCTTCAGAAATTATCCTCTGGATCTATCCAGTGTAATTGTAAAGCTTGGCCTAGTTCAGGTTTTCCTTGTTGTAACATAAGATGAATGAAAATAGAGATCACTTACGAAGGAGAGTTTAGGATTAATCCTGCTATCTGCAGTCAGAAGTAATCCTTACACGATTTTAAAAAAAGAGTCTGAAACCCACTGAGCTGTCTAGCAAAGATAAGACTGCTTTTGTTTAGATGTTCCTCTAGTTCTTTGAAGTGGAGTGCAGCTTATGAAATAAAAAAATGAATGACCTTAATTGCTACGAGAATAGCTCTGATGGAGCTTCCTGTCTTGCAAATGTAAGTTGAGTTTATGGGTGAGGAGTTAGAATGAACTGCGTTGAAACAACTGGAATTTGATAGTCATTGAACGACTAAGATCTACTCCATGATCAAAGCAGAAACTGCCGGAGTTACGCGACTAAAATATGCAGTATTTTTTCCTCAGATCACAAAACAGATGTCGAACACATCAGAATATTAACGGATATCCGATGACGTCAAAATCACGAAAGAAGCACCGTTAGTGGCTTTTATTATTTAGAAACCGGTTTATTCCTTCAGGATGCGAGGCTATATAGCTCGTTGATATTATCAAAATAGTTTCATGAGATATTTATAGCGATAAGTGTTGTTTGTATGTTTTTGTATTATAGACATTGTATCTCACGGATCATCTGAAGTACAGTACATAGTTAATGTTCATATGGTTTATCATATACGAAAATCATTTAGAATGCACGGATAGCAATTTAAACTGCAAACTGTTCCTAAATCCTAGGTTATCCTACAGCGTATAAAGAATCTTCGTTTAAATCTTCTTTATAACAGAATGGATTCAACACACAACTGGATAGAAAAGCCTGACCAAGTTCCTGTTGAGCTTAAAAATTTCAACTTACTTTTTTCGGTGACTTCTTTCCAAATTTGTAGCAAATGACGTTGTGATACTGAAATAAACAGAATTGTCGAGACTGAGGAGCTGTGCGCATGTCTAACACAACACCAGATCACGTCGGCATTGTCCTGAAGAAATGGTAAAGCTAACTAACAGCGGGGTGGTGCCTTGAGTGTAACTTAACACTGATATATAGTTATAAATCTATTGTATTACAGATTGCTGTATTCAGATCAAACTAAAAGCATTAATTCATGTATAGTCGTATGTGACTGGTCCTAGAACCCACAGGAGATCCAGGGTAAACAATTTTGCCGTAAACTGAACTTACCGGATCTCTGACTCGGCGTTCGTCTTGATGAAACTTGTTCAGAAACCGTTCTCGATTTTGAAATGCAGTTTCCAGCCATTGCACGCTCACCAGTTCAAATGCAACCACCGAAATATCACCCAACTAAAAACACAGTTCATGATGACATTAAAACGAAAAACGTTCTGACATTATCTAGCGACTGAGAAGCGAGTAAAAACCCCAAGAGTTTGTTAGATTTTCGTTACGGAAAAAATACATTCACTTTCGTCTCCCGGTTTTAATTAGAAACCTTGCTGAGCAAAAGATAAAAATGTCGTAATATAAAGCAGCAACTTTTGCATCGTACATAATAAGTAACTGCGCAGCTAGCTTTCTACTCAGATGTGTGGAAACCACATTAAAATATACCCAAAACTAATTCTTAACGCGAACGACGGATATAATGAATTTGAAGATGATGATAGCCTTGTTCACCTGATTATCTGTGCAGATTTTCAGTTGGCAATCCAAACAAATCCTGATATATATTCTTATGAGAGCTCACCGAACATTAATCGCGTTGTTCGTATAGCCAGTGTCTGTCGGTTGTCTATGGAAAGACGGCGTTTTTGTGCTCTTTATAGTTATAAATATTCGGCGTTGGCAGAGCGCGGGGCTTTTTAACCTCCCGCGATTTGATTTAGCGCAGCGCGTCCAGGCAAACGCGCTATCTGTGCCGGCGCAGTACTTAAGGAAAGCGAATTAATATATTTCACTTGCAAGGCCGCTCGATCAGTTTTGACTCAATTAGATCGTCTTGTATTGTAGGAACGTAAAGAGACCGCTTCACTTAATGAGGATTGATAAAATATTTCGAGTTTACCACAGCTGAAAACAGCTTACTCCACGTATTGTTTGGGGGCATCGCGGCACCGCCAGCTTCCCAAAGATAAGCCAGCAAAAAGCGTGCGCAGTGTCGCAAACGAACTGCAAATATTGTCTTATGTAATCGTGATGTCGGTTCGACGTTCGTTTGTAATATTGTTGCTGCCGATTTGAACCAAACTAACTTTATTTACGACACCCCAGCTGGATGGCTGTTTCGCTTTTAAATCTTTCTTCCTAAAGGTCTTGCAATAGCGACTCTTATACAAGAACCTCTTTTCGTCTGCCCGTCGGTTTAAATAGTTGGAATGGTTGAAATGGGCTAAAATATCTAAATATATAAGACCAACTCTTTTATGATCTAATTGTCATGAGAATGAGAGAGAAATGAATGAAAAACTGAATTGATAGCGAAAAACAGAACAATCGGTGAACGCGACTTGTTCTTGCAAGTCGAAAACAGAAAATTGAAAATGCTGTCGTAATTATTATATGTCGGTATATGATGCATATTACCCATCAATATATATATGTTTAGAGCGGTCCATTGGTCCAATAACGAAATAATACGACGGTATATTGTATACCGAAAAGCCCGTCATTACAATATATCTCATTTTGTTTTATTTATTTAGGACAACTTTCTTCATATATACAAACATATTAAATCAAGGAAGGAGAATGAACGGCTGATTAGAAACGAGCATTTTTATCTTTAAAAGACGTCGTCTGTTCCGAAAAAGCAACGAGTTTTCACTTCGACTTTTTGTGAAAATGGACTGTTGTAATATCACGAAATAAACGGGAAAGCGTTCAGTCAATATATTCAAGCAATAACACGGTATATAACCACATTAGGCAAAGCGTTATCTGTATCGGTCTACAATCTAATTGTTTTTAACTTTGTTGACTAGCGCATATTAAAAACGGACTCGGATGATTTCGGAAAGATACTAACACCAGGCCGACGCATTCCTAATCCCTTCAACCACGGAAACTTAAGCGCAGTAATACCTCCATGTGCGGTTTGTGCGCTTTTAAGAAGCTTTAGAAAGCTGCCAGTTTAACCTTTTTTAGGCTGGATTTGGTCAAAAAAGAGATATATGAATTATGGACACTTATGATAGATTACTGTTCTTCTAAACTGTCTTCCTAGAGGTCCAGTAAGGATCATCTCTTATTGATCCAGTGTACAGGAGGAAACCTGAACTAAACTAACTTTATTTATACTGGATAGCTCTATCAGTTCTAAACTGTTCTTCCTTGAGGTCCAGTAAGGATCATCTCTTATTGATCCAGTGTTTCTACAGGAGAAAAGTTATTATACTTATTATTTTGTAAGCGTGTCCACAATGGTCGTATCTTATTCTAACAGGAAGTTATCGGCAATCTTCTAACGTATAACAAACCCAAAGGGAAAGTCACAAGAGAATCGTGTATATATTGCAGGAATCAAATTTCAGTCAGAAGGGATGAAAGACGCGCCCAACCAAATTTGTCAATGAAAAATGTTTGCGGAAAACGAGACTGGGTTTAATTTCCTGTGTAACTACTTGAAAATTTAAGATGGCGGTATAATGGTTTGAAGATAGAGAAACCAGTAAGTGAAACTAAGGAAGCAAGCAAAGCCATCATCAGTCATCACATAATGTGACGTCATTGATCACGAGTGTTGCCCTTATCAAACGATTGTCTTCGGGTTCGTGTTCCACGTCATTCAGCTAAGTGAGGTATACACAATAAAAATAGCCTTGTTTTAAACAAGAATGTTTGTCGCTAAGTTCCTCCAATATTCCTCAGCGATGTGGCGCGTTGAGTGCTGCGTGCAAACATTTGAACAAGCGTCATGTTTGTATGCATTGATTAGGTTGTGTTCAATTTCAACCCAAAAGCCGGTCAAGACAGACGACAAATGACAAAAACACACATGCTGTATTATATATTCAATCATGTCTTTGTTTCGGGGGTAATTTTCGGCGTATTTTTGATGCAAAACAGACCCTCTTACAAATCAGAAGATATAATCTGGATCATCTTGTTACAAATTCTATACACATCATAATTATATTAACGAAAGTAATACACAACGAATACTTGAGCCTAACACAATTCTTCATGACCGAAAATCTTGAATATAATAATAGGAAGAAGTCTTCCACAACTGATCTATGAATTATTCGATATTTCAGAAGATGAAACTCGATTCAAAGGGAAGCAATACTAGCAGAAAATTTTGAATTTTGTTGCAAGTCCATGCAACTGATGAAGGAATTGCAACGAAGCTCAGAACATTGCTGGCAATATAACTACTCCGAGTTCTTAGCATGTTTCGGACTCAAGATTTCTCTCCAAAAATATCACTAACGGCAATAATGTGTCACTAAAGGCCTACATTTCAGGACGTGTCGATCTGATCTTTGGCATATTAAAATCTGGAAAAAATTACCCCCAAATAGTGCAGCACTTTTAGTATGTCGGGTTTAGCAACTTTCAGGCTTTTTTAAGGATGTTTAATGCATCTTTTCCGCATGTAAGTTCCGCATTTAAATGATGAAACATGATATAAATTTTTAATACAGCATTTAGTGTTGTACTATTGAAATGTAAGTCCTATTCTTGTATCGCATTTATAAAAATCTTGTGAATATATCACTTTTGCGAATTTAGAGCGTTCGGTTTTCATATGATTTGTCAGTGTTGAACCCAAGTATATACCATGAGATGATTTTTATGGCACAAGCTGAACAATGGTGGTTTGTTTACATTGTATAAGAAGGTAGAAGTGAAAGTGAAAACTTCTCAATTAAAAGCGGAAGAACTAAAGCGAAGCTTGAAGCAAGAAAAATGAGCACCTGCCATTGTTTGAAACCGTCAACAACGATATGAAGTGATAACCCATTTGGAAGGCACCGACAGGCATCTGGCCCACCGCTCGCCGCCAAAAGCAAGACAATGTATTCTTCGGCTAGTCGGTCTAGAAAGCCCATCGAACACTGACAGTTATCGACGAGCCATTAACACAAATTGCACAGCAACACAGGTGCATGTCATTGACAATGAGGGGGCTAAAGTGTTTAGCATTAGCATGTACATGATTGTCTCACGTCTCTGGCAACGTCAAACAACAAATGCGTTGTAGTTTGACTTCTTTCTGAGGCAATACCCGTGCTTTGGTGCGTTCAAACCTACCGGTTTAATTATCAAAAAAGAATAAAGATCTCAAATCTGAACTCCAAATTCTCCTGTGTAACTCTGCCCCACCCAAATGAACCGATGATGTCCATCAAGATATAAACCGTAAAAAAAGATGATAAGATTCGATTCTTACAACAAATATCGGTAGGACCATAGGATATACTAGATATGCATGAAATCAAGCCAGGGTCTCGTGAATGGCCAACATCCTTCACCTCACTATACTTTTGTTACAAAAACACCTTGTGCAGACATTTTTCGTTGATGTACGCCATTGAATTTTTTTTTTTACGGATGCCCTTGCCTTGCATGCGGTGATTCTTCCAGATACATCCCACTGCGCACTACGGGAGTGATATCACTGATATGCGGGGTTGCTGACATTACCTTCATTACTGTTGCTTCACTAACACTATGCTTTACCATACGAGGTAGTTTTACACCAGACATGTTCTCACGAATCATGATTTACAATAAAATTGATCTAATAGTAGAACAAATATAACTCTATGTGGCTTAAAGGAATGAATATGCAACAGCAAACTCAGCTGTGAAGACCTAGCACTGTGCATGATAATAAAACGATGATCCTTGCTGGAATTCCAGTGAGGAAAATTTGGATAGTGTACTAGTTATCCAGTATCAATACACTTAGTCTAGTTTAGGTTTCCTCCTATAGATGTAGTAACAACTGGATCAATAAGTGATCTTTATTGGTACTTTAGGAACCTCAAACTAGAATATTTCCTACAGTTAATCGGATAACTCAAATTGTAGTCCATTATGCTAAGGTTTACCTAAGTGCTGTCTGGAGGAATATATATAGCGCTTTTAAAGTTCCGTATCGCTGCACGACATCTTCAGAGTTTTACAACCCAATAAGGAACACAATAAGCTCAATTTATACGAAAGAATAGAAAGCGGCCCCTTTTCCTGCTGTGAAATGGTCAACCCCGATGCAAAGTTATGACAAGTAGGAAGTACGATAAGTTCGACGGAACTTCTATTAAATAAGAAACAATTCAATTTATTCCACGTTACCTGCAAGTGAGCATATATATGTATATATATATAGACACGTTTCAAACTTCACGATGACATTTGAACTGATCTGCACACAAAAACGTGTGATCACGTTTTGAACCCACACGTGGCGGAACACTGATATTTAGAAGAAGATTTGTGAAGCTTGGCGGATCCAAATTTTACGTATTCCCGCAAACAAACGTTCAGGACAAGAAGCCGTACGTAAATATTGACGTGGGTTTCGTAAGTCAAGACAAAAGGGGTGAAAAGGAAGTAAACTAAGACAGTTTTTGCCGACACTCAAAGACGCCAGCATGTCTAGCAAAACTTTTGACAAGCCGTAAGCGAGAAATACAGTTTTAATATCGACAATATACTGAATTTAACAGAGGTATCGTTCCATGAGACGAAATACGGAATCTTTAGATAAATCATATAAACAAATTAAACAGTTTTAAGCTTTATACAAATTCATTAATTTGCTTGCTTGCCCTCAATCTTATTAATAATTCATCAGGTATTTGCAAGAGAATACTCGGCTAGACAGACAACATAGGTGCAATATATGTTGATTTTTTTAACGGATATTTAGGGAAGTCTGAAGCCTTATCAACAACCTTAGAACTATAAAGAATTCGCGTAACTGATATAGACAATGTTTTGCGGTTAAAAACACCGACTCTTTTGACTGGGATCTTCTGTTATTTCGCCGCCAAGGAAACAAATTCACCAATAGAGCGTATGCGCCAAAATTTATCATCGATCGTAATGCATTGTGGCATAAACGTTGTCAAGTATTTTCATTGAGTATCTAACATACGTTCCTCGGGGGGGAGGGGCTTTTGCCTCTCTGCTCCTCTTGGGGGGGGGAGGGCGAAGAAATGCGCTATTAATAAGATGCTCATTATAATTAAAAAAGGTGCCGAAGCTGGCGGATGACACTGGTCATAATGACTGTCTGATTTAGAGATAGGTTTGCAACACATGCGGCACAATACTGTGAAGAGTTTTAAACAAACTTTCCTCTAAAAATTCATTACTTTCTTAACGTGTTCCTCGTCACCAGATCACCTGGCTTGGATTGCGTTTCTTCAGAGGAGCTGGGACGCTGACTTCCTCACTGCAGTTTCTTCCATCAGTTTGGTTTCGGCTGCAACAGCAAGGACAGTGAGCAAGGATCATCTTCACTCAAAATTTCGCTGTCTCGAGTTTGAACATGCATGTATGCACTCCGTTAGTAACCCCATCACTCCGTCAGTAACCCCATCACTCCGTCTCGCTCATTTTCTTTCAGTTCCACACGACTTGAAATTCTCATGCATGCATTCATGGTATCACAATTCTCTGGACCATTTTTGTTAATCGTCGGTATCAAAAATTGATAAAAAAAACTTGTTTTGTGTCTAAGAATTGGAATTTAAATATTTGACCAATTGTCCGGCTTTGTGAGTTCAGGATACATTTCAATGACAAACCTTTTTTTCCATGACAATTTCCATGACAAAAATCGGCAGTTGTGATGCAAATTCTTAAACGTTAAGGTTAAAAAAAGGCCTGATTATATTCACGTTACTATAGGGAAGTAGCGAAAATATACATTTATTTCAATTTATTGTACTTGGTTTATTTCATTTATAATATACGTAGATTTATCATATCCGTTATACCTATTTATTCTAAAGATTCTACTAAAATTACTGTGAATACCATATATAATAATAATATATTACTAACTACAATGTCTACATTGATTTAAAGTGCCCATGTCATAAAATTGGAATTTAGATTTTTAGAATCTTTGTTTGAAATGAGTTAGTAAGTTCTAAATCAAAACTGAAATTGGATTTTTATTTTTCGAGTTATTGCCATCTAAACATTGATTTTGGTGGAATGAAAACTCTGAAAACCGCGCAAATGAGACTGGTGCGAAACAAGGTGTTTGACGTCACAATAGGAACTCGTTCGACGCGACAATTTAGTAACTCTATTGCATAGAGTAATAAGTAGAGGCTAACTGCGCAAAAAAGTGGTTGTTCTTACTTAACAGACAATTCTGTATAAAGTGACTCATATATTATCAAAATGTGTTGTGAAATGGCTTTAATAATTGTACGTTCCTAGCAACAGTCGTGCAATAATTGCAAATACGCCATGAGTCATGGCCAATTGAGTCACTGTGTTGTAAACACGTTAGGCAGTGTTTAAGTTAACAGATAAAGGATTTACCGAAGTAAATAACGTCTCAAAAGATGCGAGTGCGCACATTTTAGTAAAGACAGCTAAAGAATGTTGGTAAAAAAGATGCCATAATAAAAGCGAAATGTACTGGGTTATATTTATATACACATGATTTGATATGTTTCTTTTGCGCGAGACGTGTTAGATTTCTCAGTTAATATTGATAACTCTAAGTCTCTCATTGAACTATTTTTTTTGAAAGGGCATGGGAACTCCACTCATACTCTAGCTCAGTTGATTTGTAATGAAAATAAACCAGAGAATCACACAGGCATGCGTGATTTAACTACACATAAACACATTGTAGAAATACCGGCACTCATGAGCCACAGGAAAACCTCAATCATAATGCTATTAATATAACATTTATATAGGGCAGTAAAATGTATTAGGGGTCCGCGTCCGCCTTTTATCTACACCCGGGTGAACTGTATGTGCGCAATTACGAATGACGATCAACTAGGACGAAACTTTAGAATTAAGTTACCGTAAATGATCCAATAAACGCCCCCTATCAAATAAACGCCTCGTATCAAATAAACGCCCCCCTTGAAGTGTAAGTTTGTATTAGACGCCTCTCTCTAATAAACGCCCCAAGTCTAATAGACCCTCCCCCCCAAATCGCCTTAAGGCTTAAAGCAATTATAAAGGAAACGCTACACACAGTAACATTAAAGAATTTATTTATTTAGTGACATGTGCGGTTGTCGTGTTTAAGAGTGGTTTGCTTATAATCTCTTGTTCGATTTCAAGCTCAAAGTACGGATATCGCTCCTTAATTCTTTTGATTTCTGTATTCATTACGTCGGCAACTTTCTTTCGGTTTGTTCTAGCTTGAAAACATCCAGGAACAACAAGACCCACTTCACGTTTTCGGCTCAGAAACTATATAAAGTCTTATTACGCGAGCAAACTGCGCGTCTTAGTTTTGTTTTGTTTTGTTTCAGTAAAGTGATAGAAATGAAATAAACGCCTCTCTCTATTAAACGCCTCGTATCTATTAAACGCCTCCCTTAGAACTGGTAAAATTTATTAAACGCCCCGGGCGTTTATTAGATCATTTACGGTAAGTACAATTGCCAGATTACTACCATAGAATCTATTTGTAATTAAATACTGTATATCTAGCGTAATGATATTATGTTCTGGGGTCACGGAAAGCAAGTCGCGCAATCAAGATAATAAGAAAACATTTGCTATTTACTGACGCCTACGATCAAGTCTTCGTTGTAGTTTCGATGCCATGATCGTTGCACGATTGCTCCATTTCGCGATAGCTTTTCAGCTTATCATCGGCATCTGGTTCGTTAATGTATGGTCCGAAGTGTTCTTACTGCCTGACAAGGCTGAGCCGCGTTCATGGTCTTAACTTTTGTTTTTTCTTGGCATTGCATTGGCAGGAAAACATTCTGATCGGTGTCATTCCTTTGGTATATTCTCAATAGCTAAACTTGATGAAGACATATTTCTGCCAAGTTTAATAACCGAATTTAGCTGGCATAAAATCGCTGCTCTTGTACTACATACTATTATTTATCTAAAGGCGCAATATGCGAGTTCCTATTGTGACGTGTTAGTTACCAGTTTCCGACTGTCGCGGATTTCAAAAACTTTTGCCGTTAAAATTTGAAATTTTCAAACTTTATCGCTTTATTTCTCCGCGAAAACAAACTCAATTTCAAATGTGATTACTATTTTCGTAATCTACGTTTCACGGCGATTCTAATGAGATAAATTCCAATTTTATGACATGGGCACTTTAATAGAAAAATTACTAAACGTGAGTGACGACTTGGTTGTAGGCCCGCGATACATTCTCAGACGTCATGTAACTCAGTGATAAAGTCTTCCAAAGTCGTGGTCTTATGGAATCTATACGGTACCAGCCGTAGTTAACCGTCTGTACTTCCAGGCTACAAGAAGTGCAACACCAAGGACAGTCACACCGCTACCCACGATCAATGCAATATCCTTCCACCTTCCGTATGTAGCTTCACTACCAAGCACGTCTCCCTTCAAATACTTGAGCGCAGCATCTTTCCAAAATGGCATAGCTTTGTACAGCACAAAATCCGGATGCAAGTTCTCGATCGCTTTAATTAAAATTTCTGTTTCTCTACGAGGAAATTTCTTAAAATCCTCCAAGTACATCTGATAGGTACGTATGCTGAACACGATTGCGGTGCTTTTCTCGAGTTTCCTTAACGTTTGATATTCTGCACGAAACGTGAGATCGCGACCAGTCTTCTCCCCTTGATATAAGTAATCACTGTTTTCCTGAAAAACTGCCAGAGTTAACTCTATATCCACGAGCGACAACAAGTCATTGGCCCGTGGGATTTAAGCCCTAAGGCTAAGTTTATATTGCAAAGAACGAAAGCACAGCCGCCATGGGTTTACGAGATGATTTATAACCCAGCTATTCATAAAGTTAAAAAAGAATTTACCAGAAATTCGGAATATGCCTATAAATTCATAAAGAATTTACCAGAATATGCAACGCCAATCTCATTTCTCATCTTACGAGCTACGAATACTGATTTTCTTCTGAGAAATGATTAGCCTAGGAGTAGTTTTGCTGTACGTTCTCTGAGAAGTATCGCCACTTCATTCTATAGTGACTATACTATTTCAACACACTATCAATCGTGTATTACATAATACACTGTACGTAACACACTATAAATGCTCAGATTTAACTAAAATGCCGACAGACATTAAGGTTTGAAGAAAATCAATGATGATATTGGAATATAGTCAATATTCCTCGCGCTAAAGGTCACGTCAGCACGACTCCGGATATAAAATTTTGGAGATTCATTTTTATATTGCTTAAATTAGTTGGATGTATTTGAACATAACTGATATATTGTATGCTTTTACTGACAGTCTAGTTGGGTCAGTGAATTGGCTTCGCGGAAAATATGGCAAGAATGAGGGCTTTTCAGGCTTTCAGCGTCGGAATAGAACAGAAGTAACTCAAATAAGACGAGGTAATAAGTTGTTACATGAAATCTGAGGATAAACTTACATTATTACGATCGTCATGTCCCGTTGGCGTGTACAGATCAAGAGGACCATCCAGATCATGAAATATAGCCCAGTTGCCACGATATACCGGCGCATCTGGTGACATCGCTTTGAAGAGATCGTAAACTTTTGGAACGAGATGGTTGATGAAACTACAGCAAATGTGATCAAAGTTTGACGCGATTAACATTCGAATGGGAGAATGGAATATTTTATTGCAAATGATTTAGAAAGATTCCATGCGTATAAGGTAGGTACTTCATTTATCGTATAAACTCCGATAAAATTTGTTTCAAGATACGCAATTATCAATGTGTTCCTACCCTTTCACAGGCTGATGAATACTCTTCATGGGAAGGTTGAACTTCTGTTGAAGACCCCAACGCATGGGGAAAAATACCGTACCTATTAAAATGAAAATTTTTACGAAAAGTTACATCTCACCATAGCGTAATCTTTCAATCCACAATGAACAGAAGTATGCAACACTGGGTATCAGGTAGGAGAGGTTACTTCGAAATCTTCACATGCATGACAGACAAAGGCATGGGGGATCCTGGGGGATGGGGGTGAACCCCCAATTTTTTGAGTGGGGGATGAATATCTAACTACCCTCCGCCCCATGTTTTTTAAAAGTAAAATATTGAGGCTACGTAATCCATTTTTGCATTGCTTTGTTGGATTTGCTGGCGCAATCATTGGCCACAAACATATTCACATTCACTCTTTTATGACGGAATATAATGCATATTGCATTAATCTAGCTATCATATTCATTTTGAAAGTTCACCCCCCCCCCTCTTCAATTTTTAGATGGATCGATGCCCTTGCATTCAGGGCAGACATGGCAGAGATATGGCAGAGATATGGCAAAGATATGCCAGAGATATGGCAAGGTATTCCACCTCGTGAAGGAACAAACCTGCAGTCAGACAGTAAGCCTGGTGTTCTTCTTTCCATTCCATTATGCACCAGTCTTCCTGTGTCAGACGCGAGGCCTTAAAAAGTGGGTCGTCGTTCTCGTCAGCATTTGATGAAACAAATTCATCAAGCATCTTGTTGTAAACTCCTTGCTCTCGTGCCTCAAACTTGTCTGGAAATCGTTCTAGGATCATAATTGACAAACTGAAGTTAGTTGGATATTTGATTTATTGTCGTGAGGAAAGTGTAGGTAGGAATAAAAACAACAAAATGAGCAAAAATAGGCAATAAAAACAGTACTTGGTAAGTAATCACATAATAACTCCAACAGTTCCTGCTTTGCCGATATTGTTGATGGATCTTTGTTCGTGACGAACACCTTGTCCTTTTTAGTTTGCAGTAATCTTTGTTTTTCTCGCTGTTGAGAAGCATAAGTTCGATCAATCTTCACCCAGTTCGTCAGGTCTAATTTTTGCGTCATCATTTTGACTCGACCTACAAAAATTTGTAGAAGAACATTTTAAAATATGCTGCATGTTAAAACTAGGCTTTAACAGGGTTACTTTTCCTCAATTACAACTTCCAGTAAGTCTTTTGTTAACCAAGGCTTTGCATTACTACTTGGTCAGATAAAAAACTGTAAACCCTATCGCATCCTGATTTACTGTAAGCTTGATTATTGAGGTCAGGAATCAAGTGTTCCCATCTCTGTACTATCAGCTTTCCAAATATTTTATATCTTTATTATTATATCCAACCAGTTCTGTCAAGCACAGATTGAGTGGTAGCTAATTATTACCTGGTATTTCCAATTTGAAGGTTCCCAAGTACGGCAGTCCATTTTCAAATGTTTCCCAAGTAAAAGAGTTTTCAACATGTTCAACATTGATTGCCATTTTCACGCCTACATGTACAAAAAATTTCAGAAATGTACCAGCATTATTGTACCCTATTTGGTATTAAGAGTAAGATTAGATAATTCATTACTGTTGCAAATAATTGAGAAACAGGACAGGGTGTGGGGGTGATATTGATAAGCACATGATGTCAATCATGCTTTGGATTGAAGAACTTAAAGACATGAAATGAAAGACTGGAAATGTTGCCCAACCAAAATGAGCATTGCTTTGTAACTTGATCCTGAATACCAAAAGCATTGTTCCTTATGTTGAAACATCCAGATGTTCTTTTTGTCTATTTTGGGCAGTTGTTATACCACATTTGATGCAAAAATCACACGCACAGAGATAGGCAAAGCAGAACAGTTTCACAATAACGTGTTATCAAGGACTTGTGATAGTAAATACTTACTAGAGTAAATCCTTTAATACGTCTTAACAACCTCTCTTAACGCAGGTAGAGCGGAAATCTGGCGGTAAAAAATGACAATTACAAACGCAGTGAACGTATTTCTAGTCGTACTGTAAAGAATTTTGAAGGTTAAACATAAAAGATCATAATTCAATATTACCTAAATCTCCATACAAAGACATACATGATGTTTAATAACCTTGGTCTATTTGTTTATAATATTAATCGACTACCATAAATACTGTACACAAGTTCTTTGAAATAACGTACATAAAATATAAATTAAAGTATGAAAGTAAAGAAGTATTACTGATATCTTACCTATGCTTTAGTTGGTTTTAAATCCCAGGATTTGGATACTGAAAATCAACACTCCACAGAGGCTAAAATTTTTTTCTCGAATTCCTCAATCTTCGGTCGCTGGCCTTTTTTTAACTGACCTCTATACAATAACTGAATGCAACGTTATAGAGGATAATTAGAAAACAGAATACACACAAAAGATATCCTCGCTCGTTTCTAAGATTTTATTCTTGAATAAAAAAAACTTCAACACTTGGTTATGAACGCAACACAGGTTATATATGCAAAAGCCTGGCATTTTTGCCGCGCTTGAAATTACTCTATCATGCAAGAAATCGCCCTGTCACCTAGACCACACAAACTTCATGAAAAAAAAGTGGACATGGCCGCTCACCACAAGACATTACCTTGGACAAAGAGAATAATAACATATTTTGTTCCCCCAACACGATACTTAAACTTTGCATGGGGAACTTATAGCTTGAATCAGCAGTTCGTAGGAACATCGTGTGTATTTATTATATGCAGAGTTTCGGGTGATTAAATACACGTCGTGCTCCCACAAATTGTCGTCGTGTTTTTGGAATCATGCATGCATGCATGGGGACAAAAGCATAACAAAATATCAAAACCGTTTCATTCGATGCAAATTCAATACCTAAAGTTTCAGGAGTTTAATCACAGCCTCTCGATCACATCTTTTCCTCAATTTGTGATTCCTCTTTGGCAGAAACACTGGACCACTAGAAGTGCTAGTCTCGGCTTTGTCCACCAGTTTTCTACGCTTATGTTGAAGAAGGAGAGAAGGACATTTCCTCTTCCGTCTCTTGCGTTTTAATTCCTTTTTCTGATAAACACGATGAATACTACTGTTTCCTTTGGAATCTCGGAATTTTCTTTCCTGTGGTCCTAAATATTTCGCCGTTTTCCCGCCATCCGTTGACGATTCAGCATACAAGAAATCATCGCTGCTCGAGACTTCGGCATGCGAGCAACGTTCAGTGTTTGACCTCTGTGGAAAAATAAATGTTTCATTGGATTCTTCGTCGGAACTTCGTCCCAGGAAACCTGACCCAGAGCCAGAGGAAGTCGCTTCATCCGCACTGTAAGTCTCACAACCTGGAATTCCAGATATGTCTGTATTAACACCAATTTCCTTTGATGATGTCGTGTTTACGCTACCAGTCTTTTGAGAACATCCTTCATCGACAGATAATTTGTTTGTTGTTTTAGTTAGTTTCGGTGCTGACTCTTGCGAACTTTCGCTCGTACTGGAAAAGCGATTCTTTTCTGAGCATGTTTTGTTCGCAACTTGGTCGCGAATGCTCGGAGGACACACGGAAGACCGATCATCTGCCGATGTTGAACACCGCAATTCTGGTTTGACAATATTTTGCATCGTAGAAGAGGATTTAGGCGTGATGATTTTGGTAAAAGGAGCCGTGTTGTTCCTATCCACAGCTTCATTATTATTTCCCATATTTCTATTTTTACAAACCAGTCTTTGTCTGGCGGCTCGCTGGAGGTTTCGCGAACGCAGACTTAACGATAAAGACTTTTTCTTTTCTTTACGAGGAATGTATTTATCTATTTCAAAGTAGTAGGAGTGATCATGTTGGACATTTTTCAACACTAATTTCTCTAACTCTTTCCTTTCTTTTCGAATTTTAATACGACAGCTGGTTCGAACATTGAGCATCGCTGGAGACTGTGGAACGCTCACCCTAGGCTCATCTTTTCTCGTAATTTTGCTGTTATTCACGGCGTCCATTGTCACCCGTTCACCAGAAGATGAGGACTCGATGATGGCAGTGACGTCTTGCGAACATGTTCCTACCTTGTCATATATTTCAGTTTTCTCTCCATAAAATATTTTAACGATGTCTTCGTCGCTGTTTATGTAAATATGAACTGAGTCTTCCTCGTGTTTCCGTTCTCCAAACTCACATTCCTCGTCAACTATTTTGTCAACAGGATTCGACTTTTCCCCATGGGAATGTAGGTCCGAATCATGGTCAATGTGATTATTCAATTTTTGAGCTTGTTTCGCGGCCAAATCTTCAGGCGTTTCTATGAAGGTAGATGACAAGATTACTGAAGGTGGACACGTTCTCACAATATCGATATTTTCCCTACGATTAACGAGTGGGTTTTGACAAATACTTCGCAATGTTTTACCTGTTTGTTTTAGTGCTTCATTCACGGGTTTCACCCCATTCATTCTTGCAACATTGCCACCGTTACACCCTGCGACGGCTCTGTCAAATAGCATGAAATCTTGAGAACTGTCTGACGCTTCATCGCCACTCTGGTCCATCACATCTACTGCTTGTTCTCTCGTGATGTCACTCACAGCGAGAAAACAGCCCGAGGCAGCAGCAGATCTTGGATTTGAACTGACATTCAGAGAAACATTCTGAGAAACATTCTGAGAAAGATTCTGAGAAACATTTTTGTTGCCATCTTTTGTCGTCATATTTTCAGTAACTGTTTCGTTAATGTCATCGCTGTCTTCTGAGTCAAGATTTCTTCGATTCTCGTTATTTTCCACACATGAACTAGAAAGATGAAAATCATCTCTGTCGCTATCATCTCGGGTCATATCTTCAGTAATTTTTTCATCAACGTTGTTGCGTTTAAATTTATAGATTGAGCAAACAGATCTTGGATTTCCTTGATTCTCTAACGATGAAGCAATAATATCATCATCTTCTGTTTCCGCATCTTCAGTAATTTCTTTATTAACGTCGTTGTTCCTCGTCGATGGTTTCATCAACGCATCTTCATTCATATTATTCCCTTCACTATCGTCGCCTCTTTGGTTTACCAAGAAAGCATTGGAACAACTGTTCGTCTTCTCATCTTCACTGCTCGAGGTACCCAAGTCAATATCTTCTTTATCCATTTCTTCGCTATCAAAAAGTATAATACTACCCTCTCCTTCTGACAAAACATTCTCCTGAACCTTGGCATTGGATATATCTGCTATAGCTGACGTTGTTTCATCGCCTTTTCCAATCTCATTGCCACTTGGGTTATCCACTTTGCTGGACTGAACATTGTCAACATCCTTCACATCATCTTGAGAGCTGGAATAACTCTCCTGACCACCACAGGTCTTGAACAAACCGCTTTGATTATTCTGTCCGGATGTGGCCAAAGATTGATTTTGTTTTTCAATTTCTTGTTCCTTCAAACTTTCACTTGAAATGTATTGTTTCAATTGATTGTCATTACTCTGAGGAGATGTTTTTGCAGGACACTGACAACTGGTTGCTTTCGAAAATGTTTGATCTGCACCAGAAACAGGGTTCGTCTTATTGTGTGAAAGACATATTTTCTCTTTCTTACGATTCTCCTCCTCAATATGGAGGAACTAAACAAATGACAAGAATGCAATCAGTCTGTATTCTGGACAAAGAAGCAGAAAAAATGTATGTACGACCACCCCTTGGATAATGGTTAAATAAGATGTGAATCTTACCACTTGCAAGATAGGTTGACCAATTTCCTTATTAACTTTTTGAAGGTACGAATCAACTCTGGTCCACAGATTCACCCAAACACAATCACAGCGCATCAATTCAAAGAAGGATAATGTGAGATCTTGGCTTTCATCATTAACTATATCAATCAGTTTCTGGGAAATTGTCTTGTATTTGTTGAATAGCAGTGATCTATTCTCTTTACCCTAAAAATATTCATTGTTCAAAGGCACAACTTAAGAAACACATACAATACACAACAGAATAAGAGCTCAATTATCTAGCACTAAAAATTGACATACCAGTTCTTGTATAAATGGAGGTATTGTAAATAACTTCAAGATGTTATCAACCAGAATAGCAGAATCACAAGTATTTACCATTGCCAATAATATTTTCTATAAACAGAACCAAAACAAGCATATTTACTGTTGCTTTGTGATCCATATTTTCATCCGATTCACACAGTAATTTGCTGGTTTTTCAAATCATCTCTGTGATATGTGGGTTGCGTACATATTAATTATAACATATAGTCTGTAATCTAAACAAGTGTTTTGTTTGCATCAGAACATTTAAAATTATTTTGGTTCACAGTAATGCTAAATGCATGAACAGTAAATAAATACTATAATTTACATTTACAAGTGATCAAGTAGCTGCATGCAGTTACCTCTACTTATATAAGAAGAACTCACTGCACAGGCAAGGCTGTGACCCCTAGACCAGTCAAACGTAATAACAGGGATATAATTTCATGTCACTTACACAAATCAGAATATCAATCAATAAATTTCCAAAAGTTTCAAATGGAATCATATCTGGAGCGAATTCATACAAAGTCCATAGAATATCCACAGCTTTATCGAAGTTCTCCGACTCTCTGTTTTTGATGATAGATGAAAGAGTAGCGCACATCATAGGTATCTTTGGACACTCAATCTTTGACAGATTCTTGTTGGCCAATAATTCTTAAAGATCAAGAATAATATTTAGACGTAATGATAATACAAATTGTTATATAGGTGCTGTGTATTTTAAATGTGATTGGTTCATTCATAGTCACATGACTTGAAATAAATGCAATGTTTTCCGCCAGGGAAACAAGTGAAAAATTCTTGTCATAACAAAGTAAAGTGGGTTTTTTTAAATGAAATTGTTGTGTAACATGTATGTTTTTGTTCCTATATAACAAAACACTTAATGTACACTACCTCAGGAAAATAGTGAGTTTTGGTTTCCCTTGAGTCTCAATGTTTCCCTCGACTTCATCTTGGGAAAACAAAACTCACTATTTCCCTCGGAAGCATATATTAAGTGTATATTAAATCTCAAATACTGCATATCTCAGGGTGTTTTCATTTAAAGCTGAAAGCTGGCAAAATTTTCAAGCAGCTGGCGGGGTCAGCTAGGAAATATATATTTTGAAAGAGAGTGAACGTGCAGAATAGCAAGTATGTCAAATTGCAGTTTACAAAAAACAGTTTTAACGGGACAGCACATACGTAAAGCATTCATGGCGACAGATATGAGATATAACACGAGATATTCTAGAATCCGGACAGAATTTGATTCAATAATTTTGAAAAATAATGGTTAAAAAACACTTACTTGATAACAGATCCTCTTTTCTATGATACGCTGCATACTCCAGAGCTACGCATAGCGGCATTCCCTCAAGATTTTGCATTTCCATTGGAAAATAACAGTAAAAAGATACGAAGGTTATTATTTATAGCAAGGTGCTCCTCCATTTATTATCAATCACTTCAAAACTCTTCCATGAGTTCCATCCTTTGTATTTCCAATACTTCGAATGGCGATCGTTAATCCTTCGGTCGCGCGAGAAATTCCGACACGAGCATCAAAAACAAAAACTTTGATGGAAATTTCCATATTTTTTGGAAATTAATACTTTCTGGAAATTAATATTTTATGGCAATTGATATTTTATGGTGATTCTGATATATGGTGGCCGAAGACTGCCAACAAATTTCTCACAGAATAAATAAAAATTCTTTTAACACATTTTAGAAAATTTTAGAAAATCATCAATTTTGAAAGTGAATAAACAACTTAGTAATTGTTGGCATAATTTATTATGGAACACTATTGATAATTTGATATCTATAAAAACCTTAAAAAATACTGCTTTTATTTGAATTCTTTCCTGGAAATTCCAGCCCTACTTGATGGAAATTTCAAATTTGAAAGTGGCAGCACTGTCAGACAAACAGTGATTGTTTCAAATATATAATGTAATTGCCACATCACAGATATTTGTTTGGAAATTTATTCCGCAAATTTCAGGAAAGATATGGGAAAGAAAGACAACAGTTATGGACATACTAACATCGACAAATATAGAAGACAACTTGGTTAGTTGCAGTACTCCTGTACACACTTTGCCTCAGGATATGTTATATATGGCTACAGGTTACTGTGGACAACAAACAACCAGTTTCTTGTCAACCTTCATCAATAAAGCTTTCCAACCACTGAGCATAAACTTTTAATAGAAACTCCAGGCAACGTAGGGACAATTGCATTCCCTCCCTATAATCCCTAAAAGTGATCTACCTACCCCCTGACCAATACAAGCTTTACATCAGTGTGGTGTCATAAATGTAACCTTTAGCACAAGCTAGAGTTAAATATGTTTATGTTTCATTTACAATGGCAGGAAAACAGGAGTTCAAAGGAAGGAACAAAAAGCATACCTTAGCAGAAAAGAACAGAGCACAATCTCGAATGTCTAATAGCAGTTTGATGCAGGTACTGTAAATATTCTAATCACTGAACATCCTTTTAAATACACCCATGTATCATGATATTGTGTCATCTCTTGCAGACAATATTGTTATATAGCATGGTTATTATGGCCCTTCTCCTGGGTGTATATGCACTGTTCTACTTCATGTTAGAGAAACCTCCAGTCCACACAAAACAATAGTCAATTCAAGATAGAGGATTGGATGCTTACCAAGCGAGAGACAGAGAGAGATAATCTACACATCATGTGATTTCAGGATGAAATGCCAGTTTAATAAGACATCGTGTAGGAACAGAGAACTCAAAACTATCGATATTTAATCTCCTGCAGACAACTCTATAACTACAACTAGAAGATCACGAGGAAGGATTAGAAGGCGAGGATCTACTGTTCAGGATATGTTGTTCCAATGTTTTTGCATTTCCATTAGACTGCAGTGCATTATTGCAAATTAATTACAAATAACTGAATAATATGAGGCAATAATAATTGGTATTATACATTGTATGTATGTATGCATGTATGTATGTAGCAGACCAAGTAAATCTTGCAAGTATTATTGTGACAAATAAGATAATCAAATAAAATGAATCATTTTAACCATACTATGCTACATACGGCTTACTGTGTTTATGTTGTCAGTATGAAAATTTGAATCGTTTACATGTCTGTTCATGTTGCCCAATCTTGTTGGATCCAATCTACTCCTGGCATATGGAATATCTATCATTATTGCTGGTGCAGTAGTGCTGCATTGGCTTTAGTTAATCTGCTGCCCATATTTATTACAAGACAACCGACTGTATAAAACATCCTTCAGAAGTGAACTGAATCCGACAAGATTGAATTGCGTAAACTGTGAACAAATGTTTCCATTGTTATCTCAAGTAACCTCTTGCAGTCTTGCTGCTGATAATGCGCAATGGAACTTGCTTAACCAATGCTTAATATGTACTTCAGAGCATCTGATTTAATTACAATAATTCTTATGTAAAATGTTCATGAATGAATTTTAAAATATCTCTATTGTATATGCAACTCTAATTTTAAAACATATGTACAAAAGGAATGTATCAATTCCCAAATAAAGCACTATTTAATTCATAAATTAAAATAGTAGAATGAATGATTATTTAATAGTTTATTAGTAGATGCCTGATGATGAAACAGCGCTAGAGATTGACGCCAGCTCCCTGGAAACCCAACCAGGCCAGTTGTCAATATCTAAACCACTTGCCTTTGCACGATTGTATAAATTCTAAGATATTGAAAATGAAGTTTTAATGCTCACAGTAGAGCCATTTATCTGTTTTATTTTGAGGAAACAGTCTAGCCTCTGTGAGCAACCAGGACAATGGTAAGTGTTGTAGAAGATATGAATAAGAAAATTATAAGACTTACACCAAAAAAATTAGTCTTATTTTATATAACAAGATATCATACCTGAGGTTTCATAAAATTTATTTCACTCATAGAGAAGCCGCAAATCACCATGTTCAACTTCACTCCCAGCAGAAGGGCATAAAAATATTTCTTAAAATTGAAAAAAAATATATTTTTGAAAACAGTCGTTCGATTCTTTTCAAAAAGATTTCAAAGTCCGCGCGCGAAGCTCGCGATTTCGTTTCCGTGGCGCTCGCGCGTGCGATCGCGCGTGCATACACGAGTTTTATCAAACACTGACCTGTTCCATATTGATGTAACTGGACTGTGATTCGGCGAGTTGTCGTTTTTGATCATAAATTATTTTCTCTTTTTCCTGAACACAAAAAAAGGCTTTTCAAAATTGTGAATTGTGAAATTTTTCCTCCCCAGCTTCTTGCATCGCCCCCACCCTTCTCGCAGAAAGCACAATGGCGAGATTGTTACAACTTGCTTTGAAGAATGAAGATTGCAACAATTCAATACTTATTAACGGAGTGACGAGGCAGGAGGTTCATACCATGATATCATTTGCGTGCTTCGATTGTATTTCTTTCATTTCGCCTTTGAGTGTTTCAGCTTCTTGTGTTCTGGTCTATAAGAATGGTTGAGACAAAAAATAAACTCTTTACAAGAAAAAACTGCATCTCTTTTTCTGTTGCATTTCTTTTTCTGGAGCAACGCGAAGTCTTGCAATAAACTACGCTGTTGTTACCTGTGTTATGAAATCTTGCCTGGCAAGTTCGGCTTTCAATTCGTGTACCTCTTTGTTGTACATCTAGAATAAAGATTTTTCATGAATTATATAAAGTCTTTTGACTTGCAAATAAACTATAAGCAACAATCTTAAAATAATTTCAAAAGAAAGATTAGGAGCTTTATTTATAATGCGGTAAAATTCACCTCAACCATATTTTTATAAATGGATTCTTGTTGTTGCCTTGTTTTATCAATTGCCTGAAAAATCAAACGTGTGTGAAGCTGGTATATAGTACAATATATACATTCTTCACATGAACGATATAGATAATTACCTTTTTTAAATCTTCCGTATTTCCAACCATTGTTTCTGATGGTTTGAATTCTAAAAGGTCCAAGGTATAATCTCAGGTGATAACATTGCAGCAACGAATAAATGGTAAATTCTATTTATTAGGACCTTACCGAAACTTTTATCAGCAAAAGTAACATGGACATTTGATAACTGACTAAAAGACTTCAAAAGACTGTCTAAATGTGTGTTCACATCTTCTGTTCCACAACGAAATTCACTCCACTTGGTCTCCAGTGATTCTGCTTGTTTGTGTTTCTCGATATCTCTTGCGGCTCTAACATGCGCTCGTTCTGTTTGAATCTCTACTTTGAGCTCTTCAAGTTCAGTTTTTGCTTGATTTTCAGCTTGTTGTGCCATATTCACTTTGAGATTTAAATCCTGTTGAAAATGGTAAAAAAAAATCTTTCACCCTGTTGGTTCCCTGTTGTACCTTATTGCACCTTTTCTGATTATGCTGATTCTCAGAGACACACTTTCTTTATTATAGTTTAAAACCCTCAAATATTATAGTCTGAAATATGAGCCCTATTCAATACACCATGCTCAATTTTATTTATGGCTAGGTACTAATTTAAGAGAATGCTCTAGAATATTGAAAGACAGACATGACTAACTTTATCTACTGGATATAAAATGGAAATACCTCACCTGCAACTCTGATCCTTGATATGAGAATTGCATTTCATAATGAGAGGCCAAACCCTGAGCTTCTCGTTGGTAATGAACAGAATGATCTAACTCATTTTTCAAACTCTGTATTTCATCCTCAAGTTCCCGACAGTTGTGCCTTAGTTCAACAATTGTCTGTTCCAAGTCTTCGCAGTAGTTCTGACTTGCATCCAGGCTCTCATGTGGTTGTGGTGGGTTTTCAAATCGAAAGAAACGAACGACTGGTGCACTAAAACAAGCAAACACAACTTCTTTATGAAAATTTGGGGCTAGGATAATGATATATTCTAGAGACTTACCTTTGAGATATTTCATGGTGGTTTAAAATGTTTCTCACAAAATCATTGAGACCTTCTTGTCGCCTTTGAACAAAATCTAAGATAAAGATTGTCCTAAATTATCTAACAAAATAGCAATAAAACTGTCTGCAACCTATGAAAAAACCACATCTAAAAACATTGCAAACCAGTAATTGACCTCAAGTACTAACCTTTATTAAAATTATCACCAAAAACTCGTTTGGGAGGAAGTGTCAGCAAAAAGTTTGGAAATAATTTCTTCAACTAGAGCAAGCAGAAATTGTTTTTTATGTATTTATAGAAATTTGCATAGGCATGACTTGTAATTTTTTACCCAAAAAAAACATAAAAACTCAGTTTTCAAATTTCTTTATCTTTCTGCTGGAGGTGCACAAGCTATCAAAGTTTCATCAGACTCAATTTTGCTAGTAGACAGATGGTACCACAGATATGGTGTCTCAAAAGGCTAGCCAACTGTGGTATATTATTAACACATAATTAAACATCAGTGTTGTAATTTGATAAACACTCAGAAATCATGTGTTCTAAAATACCCAAAAAGTAGCATAACTTCTCACAAAATGATATAACAACTGCCCAAAAAAGGCAGTATTTACACCAGATTTGATAAAAAATAAGAAATAGTGATTGCATAATTCTGAAATAATATTTCACCATATCACATACTGGCAATTGTCTGGTATTTAATTGAGTTTGACCATACAAATAGCCTCGTATTGTATATTTTTTTTGTATTCCTACCTTCTTATTGAGCAAAACAAAATCTCTGTATCTTCGATAGATAACCCATTTCTTAAAACCTCCGTCAACTTCAATCTTGTACAGCTAAAATTATACGCAATACGTTCAAAACCCTTGGAGCCTTTTAACCCTTGAGACCAAGAGTCGCTTGTATTTGAATTCGCCATAGAACAAAATAATGATATTCAAATCGGCAGCCTCACGGAAGTAAAAAAGCCATACCGTGTGTCTTTTTTGTGGTTCAATTATCTCTCTTCCTAAAATACAGGTATCAAATCGTCCCATGCTCGTGGAAAAACTAGCAGTCTCGCTCTGTGGATACCGACCACTAGCCATCGTAAGCGAGCCATTTAAACCAGATTTCGGGGATCTTCCATACTTAGACGAAGCGACCGAACGCGTGTCTTCGTTGCCTGCCATTTGATTCATTTCTGATGCGATTTTAGATTAAAACTGCTTTAAAATACTTGGAAATATCTGTCATATGCGCAACAGCGCAAGCAAGCTCCCCTGGCCATTGTTTACAATCGTCATTTGAACGATGTTATTTAACTAATTTTTGTCATCAGCTGACCGACCTTGAGACTTGAACAGTTGATCTTGTCGTTATATTACATTGTGTAATGCAAATATCCTATATAATCATTTATAATCTTTCAATTTTCTTTTACCCCAGCGATGTTTATTTGGATCACATGATCTTCACGGTTTATAGGTGCACTACAAAAGACATTGTGTGACAGAACCCCACTGTGTTCATTAATTACCATTATGCAAGGCAGAGATATTTTGCAACTACCAGGCATAGACTTTTTGCATGCTCATATTATGACTTCAAACATATACTGTACAAAAATCCCTCCCTGTAACTCCCACTCAGTTAAAACCTCAAGTTCAAGTTCATATCTAACAACTATTGCCAACAGAACTGACAAATAGGCTAGGGGACATTCTACCTGATTGCTGCTCAGAACCTTCTTTGCAACAAACACAATTTTATTTTCTGATGTTAGCCCGCCTGTCAAAAGTTATGATTGTGAAATGTGGTATAGGTCTAACATTTCAATATCATAACATAGCATATACTGGGTTCAAAAAAGTTCACTAAAATCAAATGACCACAGATTTATATATTTCACAAAAAATCATATAATACATATATATATATGCAAACCATAGTATTATTACATATTTCTTCTGTATACTTTTATTTTCTTATAAATATTTAGTGAATTGAAAACCTTTCAACAAAATATTATACAGCCGTTTGTTCCTACCTCAACTTAATGAGAAAATTATTAAACGTTAACTGTTTTATCTACAGAACAAAATTATTAATAAAATCAATGTTTCAGCCAAGTTTCATGACTCCAGTCTCCAGACCTCTAAACAAGAGGGTAACTCGCAGTTGTAGCAATACCACATTGGTTATTGTCATTCCTTGTCATCCAGATGTATCCATCCAAACCCCAGCTAGGTCCCCAGCTGTTCTTAACAAGCCAATAGTCTTTACCACCAGATGTACCATACCCTACAACCAGTACGCCATGGTCAAGTTTGGTTGAGCTGCACATTGGCTCACTATAGACACCACGATGGTAGAATTGGAATGAGAAGTGGCTAGCATCAATTGCAACTGAGATAGGACCCACAGTACCAGCTGCAGTTTTTAGATCATCCTCAGAACCCTGTGTAATGTCAGTATAGCCTAAGAATATAGATATCAAAGCAAATTTAGTTATGTAATGATTTCTTTTCAACCTGTTTCAAAAATATTCACTATGTACCTGTACATGTTGCACCAACATTACTTGCGCTGAAATGGCAGGTTCCATCCCGCGCAGTGTAAGGGTAACTTGCTTCCGTGTCAATACCACCATTTGCCTTAATGTATCTGAAGGCATTGTCCATCAAACCACCTTCACAACCATTGTTGCCGTAATCCCTTGAGCAATCAACAAGATTCTGTTCGCTGAGTGAAACCAAGTTTCCTGTTTTCTTAAAATGCTGTCCCTCAAGAGATCCGGTTGCACTGAAGGCCCAGCAAGATCCACATTGAACTAGAATTAAAATTGAATATCAAATTAGACATTGAATAAACAAAAAGTTTAAAAGACTAGTCTGGAGTATAAAAAACACATTTTTACGTTGATTCTTTACTCCTGTGACGTATCCCTCTTTTCTCCAGTCAACAGACGCATTTAGTTTCACATTTGATGGCGGTAGGAAGGTTGAACCAGATCTCTTAGCACTAGGATCGTACTTTGTAGCAAGCATAAGATGCCTGTATTCTAAATTTGTGTAATCTCCAAAATGGTTCATGGCCAATTGGAACGGCTTTGCACCATTGTGCTCTTCAATTTTCTAAAATCCAGAAACAACCGTTTAAACAAATTAACTGCTATGTTATTAATTAAGCATGATTTTCACAACTGCATAAGAGATCAACCATTCAGACTTAAATAAAAAAAATAAAAAAAAGACAAAGCAGGAGATATATTCTTTTGAATTTTTTTGTCAAGTCTTGTTTATGCTCGAAGCTTTGTGTTTACATGCCATGTTGATGCTTGTGTTGCATGTTTCATTTCGTTTTATTGTTTTCTCTTTTGACTTTTCTCTTTTGATGCTTGCGCTTAGTCACAAATGAAAACCAGGTTTAATTAAATGAAATACCATTTCAACATTTCTCAAATGATTGACATCATATGTTACGTTACATAATTCTGTCACAAGTATTTTTCTTCAGACAGTTGATAAATTCTTTGTGTATTGTTAGTGTATTAAGGCCATAACCAACCCTGTTAACCTGGTATTTGAAAATGGCTAGCTTACGGGGCATTGACCAGTCATTGATAATACTTTGAAATACAAAAATACTTTAATAGCAACATAACTCATCAATTGTCAGAATTTATCATGATATGGTAATATTTACAAATGTCAGTTCATGACTGTACTGGCTAGTATTGGTTTAAAACAAACTAAATTTCCTTGAACGTACCTTCAAATTGTATACCCAAATAGCACGTCTGAATCCCTCTTCGTATTCGTCTTTATAGTTCTTTTTATGATACGTTTTCCAAGCGGCCCATTGAACATCTTCGCTTAATAGATTGAACGAGGCAGCATCAGCGGTATATACAACCACCAGGAGCAACACAAACGCAGGAAGACCATTCATTCTTGTTTGAATTTTGAAAGTTTACACCACAAACTACGAGATTCTGTGCGTCGATCTTCTAGCACAAAGCGGAGTATGGCTTACTCCAGTTGTGGTGGCAGGAAGAGATGTTGAAAGTTATGAAAGGACGCTCGACCACGCACTTTTATAATTTAAATTTTTGCACCACATGTTGGCCTCATGTGACTGTCATATGATGGCTTGTTGCTATAAGACGCAAGTCACAAGACTATGCGGTATTTCCTGTTGCTAGGGACAATATCCATATGACGTCATATATCACCCGCTCAAGCAGGGAACTGGCAAATATTTTGCATAATGAAGGCATAACGAAGCCAAACGTGATCTTTGCCAAAATTTAAATACCTAGTTGCTCGTACGTGCGTAGTTTGAATTTCATCAGCTTTCGAAAAATTGCCAAAGAAAATGATTTAAAAAAAACGGCTAGCTTGTTCGCGTTTGTTCTCCTTTTGGCCCATTGAATGCTGTCGTTATCTTAATTTGTAGTACAACATTCATTGATTTTTTTGTTCTGGAAACTGTGAATGGGAAGAGATTCTGCAAAAGTTATCTACTTTGGCCTTTGCCTTGGCCTTCCTGAAAGATCATTTCGTTACAACTTTGTTGCAGTTGATGATCGATGTCTCATTTTTCACTTAATCTGGCCTCTTTAATTTGATCTATAAGCATAAAATCCTCAGATAAAATCCTGTAGTAAGTCGCTTTATGAAGTGAAATGGTTCGAAAATCTATTTCAGTAACATAAAACTAACTTTCTTCGTAGAAACTATGAATGAGAAGCAGTTTAATCTCAGTATAAAGCACATTGCATTAGTATAGAGAGTAATCTGCCTCGTCTGGCCTTTCCTAAACGAAAAATTTATAGATATTTATAGGTTTAATACTGCAAAAGAGTTACAACTCGATTCCTCATTTTGATCGATGCCTCATTTTTCACTGGCTAATAACATAGTTTTATAGACTATAGTGATAAGTAATAATCTTCAGACTAGCTTCAACCACGCTACAAGCGTACGTACTTCCTCAGATAAACTGATCCTGTAATAAATCGCTTCTTGATGTGGAATGGTTCAAGGTCGCTAACAGTTTGACATCATCCATATGACATGGTCATGCCAAGTTACACAATAAAATATCCACATACAAAAAACATGAAAATAAAAATGAAACGAAACCTGTGTTGTGGTAAAGACAGCGCCAGTGTGTCTAGACGAAATGCAGGGGCCAGTGATTTGGTTATGCATAAAGAACGGTATATGAAAGGGCATTTAAAACACAGAAAAATATGGAGTGAATTTTCAGGTTACAACAGCAGTTCGCTTACGCAAGGAACAGTTGTAAATTTTGATTGTCATCTGATTAAGTCATGTGAAAAAAAGCGATTTCGAAACGCGTTCACTGCATGCTTAAAATAATTGAAATTCCACAGCTCCCATTGCTCTTTGACTTTTTTTCGTCTGTTTTGACTTGCATAAATCAATAAATGAATGCCAGTGTGTAAGGCAATGTTGCCGTGGCACGTTTTAACTCGTGTATTTCCTTAAATGATCTTAACTGACAGTCGTGTCATTATCTTATGTTTGTCTCTTGATTCTTGATATCCTGAAATGGTTCGTTATTTACTCTGTTCGTTTCACATTGCATCAGTCATTTGTAGTCCAGGCAATGTTGAGTTTAAATTTTAGCGATTGAACAGGGCAGAGCAGAACATGACAGAACAATATGACATGGCATCTCTAGTAGACTCTGATTTTGCCCTCACGGCTCACACATTGTCTAGCCATGATCTGTCTAGTCATGAAACACTGGTTGCATAAGAGACTATGTAAACAGGTTATTTAAAGAGCACTTTATTCAAAAGTTGAACGTAATAATAATCGTTTAATTACGATATGTTTTTCCATTGTAATCGAGTTTACTTTTAGTTAGTGTTTCATTGATGTGCCACTAGAATTTCAGTTCTCCGGTCACACCAGTAGGATAAGAGGCTAGTGATGCTATCCCGCATTGATTATCTTTATTCCTCGTCATCATTATATACCCTTTCATACCCCAGTTTACTCCCCAGCTATTCTTGACCAGCCAGTAGTCTTGACCATCTAAAGTACCATACCCTACTACCAACACCGAATGGTCAAGTCTGGTTGAACTACACAAAGGCTCGTCATAAACACCGCTGACATACATCTGGAAACTGGGATGGCTCGCGTCAATTGTAACTGACACTGGACCAACCAATGCCACTGTTTGTTGCAACGCAAATTCTGATCCAAGAGCTAAATCAATAAAGCCTATAGAAGAAGGAGAATACAACATTGAACTGGGGCCGGTTGTATCAAAACTTTCAGTTTAACTACACTTTGCATAGTTAAATCCTAGTTACTCTGAAAATTGATTGGCCAATTCTGTCCTTACTGACTACAGTTAAAAGTTAACTAGTGTTTTATACAACTCGCCCCTGGCCCCCCTGGTCTTAACTAGGATCCAGCGGACTGCTTCACTACACTCTCACAGTCTCACGTCCTGGTTTTCCCGACACTAGTCGGCATACACCGAGTTCATCACTCTTACGACGTTTCCTACATCATTCACCTGTCATGCTGGCTCCGTACGCTGCTTTTGAGAAATTGCAATTGTCATTTCTCGATGTTTCTGTGTTCACATCTTCGTCGACGCGGTTATGAGCGATCATATAGCGAAAACCATCATCAACAGAGAAACATGAACGGCAACACCTGGCTAGCTTCTTGATGTCCAACGACTTCAGTTGCTTTGTAGCGATACAGTGTTGTCCTTGCAATGACTCCACTGCACTTATAGCCCAGCTTCTAGACAACTCTAAAATCAGTGTATCAACTTTGCTTATAGCTACATTTGCCTAGTTATATCTCTTGTGATAATCTAAGAATTACCATGGGCCGGTTGTTCGAAAGGCATTTAGCTTAAACGGCGGATAAGTTTGAAATGCAAAACAACGATTATCCATTTATTGAACACCTGAGCTGTTGAACACCTGAGGTTCAGAGTTTAGACATTTACACTATGTATGAGAGTATTTTTAAACTTTGGCTTAATCACCGTTAAAGGTAAACGCCTTTCGAACAACCGACCTCATGACCTCATGTATCTTTCACCCACCTCCCTGATTAATCACAGGTGTAACACAGCCCTTCTTGCGCCAGTCAACCTCGGGTGGCAGTGTAGCGATGTCAATGCTATTTCTACTTCCTCTGTCATCCAGACGTGTGCTTCTCTGAAGCATTAAAAACCGAAACTCTATCGGCGTGAGATCAGACCAATAATTGAGTCGACCAACGGTGAAGTTTAGATTGTCCAAGTTGTAACTTTCAATTTTCTATTTGAAAAAAAAAACGAAAATGTAGAATTCGTATTATACTGGTTCATTTCACAGCAAGGGAGGACTGTAAAAGATATAAAATAGCTGCATGTATTTATAGTTCTGGGGCCGGTTGTTCAAAAGCCGGTTAACGCTAACCCAGGGTTAAATTTAACCCGCTTTTGAACAACCGGCCCCTGAAGTTATCGATGTACAAAGGGTATTTTGGAGTTCATATGCAAAATCGTATATTTTAGGATTTAACAACTGTTTCCAGAAGGTAATCATTGAAGAATATAACTTTCAGAATCCCAAATATTTTGTAATCACCGAAATACTTGCCTTGAGATTGTAACGCCATATTGCATGGCGGAAATTCTCCTCATACAGATCAGCATATGATTTCCCATGAAACTGTTTCCATTCCGACCACTTCGTGTTCTCGTCATCCACAAATGAGTCTGGACGGACTCTGGTTGCAAAAGCGAGCAACAAATACCCAGCTAGTGCAAAATAAAGTGAACTCTTCATAATCAAAGCTTGGAAAGCAGAGTAAAGATCGTAACAATTAAATTAGGCCGTAGCTTGTTAGCTGTTTTGATAAGATGTATTTTGAAAGTTGATATGATATGATATAATATGATATGATATGTTGTATTTTTCATAAGAGACGGAACAAACACATAAACATGCCTTAACATGTCCTCATCATCTATAAGCTCAAACTTGCGAGCAAGGTATTCTCAGTCAAGTCAGCTATAACGATTTGGACATGCACAAGAAACTGAAATTCTCCCCCACTATCACGACGGCACAAGATATTTACGATAAAAGGAATACATGACTAACGCTAAATCAATAAAAACAGATTATTTCCAAAATATTCTTTCTGTTTTTTTATTAAACCAGTGGATAACTTGCTGCTGTCGCTATCCCGCATTGATTGTTATAGTTCCGTGCCATCATGATGTATCCATCAATGCCCCATGCTGTGCCCCAGCTGTTCTTGACCAGCCAGTAATCTTCACCATTCAAAGTACCATACCCCACCACCAATACGGCATGATCAAGCTGGGTGCTGCTGCAGGTTGATTCGTAATAAACGCCATCACGGTAGAGCTGGAAGCTTTGGTGACTCGCGTCGATCGCGACGGAGATTGGGCCAACCGTTGCCACGGCAACCTGAAGATCTGCTTCGGAGTATTTCGTGATATCCATGTGACCTGGAACATTCACAAGCATTGTTGAGCATTCAGCGTTTATCGTTATGTAATGCACTCAATGTAAATTAAATTCTTATGACCATTATCATGCTCCAACATCCTGCTTCTAAACATCCCTCTTTTAGCTCCTTCTAAACTGAACTAAAGTAATGCGTATAGTCTATAGATCTGTACGTATGGCCATATTTTAATGAAACTTCCAAACGCTCAAGAGTCACATACCTGTGTCAGTTGCTCCAACGTTCGAGGGCTTGAAATAGCAATACCCCAACTCTCGTGCATAGTAAGGATAGCTTGACTCTGTGTCTATACCACCATTAGTTTTGATATAGTCAAACGCGTTGTCCATCCATCCACCTTTACAACCTTGATTTGTTTTGCAGCAGTCGACAAGATTTTGCTCGCTAAGCGACACAAGATTACCTGTCTTCTTGAAATGCTGTCCTTCGAGTGAACCAGTGCTGCTGAACGCCCAACACGAACCACATTGACCTACGGATGTGATCGACAATTCAGTCAACGATTGTAACTGGCCAATACATGCATTTAGCACGTTACTTGTGGTCTACAAATATTTGAACTTTAGACGACAGAAAATGAGGAGTTATGAACGATATCGTTTTGAATTGATTGATTGAAGTATTTTTTTCAGGAAATTTAACAAATACCAGCTTACCGCGAAACTTCAATAAAATTTTATTATCATACGTTATAAAAAGGCCTCTGGGTTAAGAAGACGCCGTAATCTTTGGGTTAAGATCTACCTTGATTTTTGACTGGCGTGACATATCCCTTGGTGCGCCAGTCCACAGAGTCAGGTAGAGTCACCTCACTGGGTGGTAGGAAGGTAGAACCACTATCCCTTGAATTATTGCCAGGATAGTTCGCACCCAGCATGAGTGAACGATATTCTGTTGGAGTCAAGTCTGCGAGTTGATTCATTCCCAATGAGAAATTGCTTTTGCCTTGATTGTGTTCTCTGATGAACTGTAAAGTACCGTTTGAAAAGAAATGACGAACGTATCATGCTCATTGTGAGGAACCGGTGGTCACGTCAGAGGGCTAGCGAAGTGTGTTACTGTGAAACTTCGACATATACCCCACACTTGAACTCAGAAAAGTTTGCTCTCTGCCTAACCGGGATACCACTCAAAAATCTAACGCCTTTACCGGTGAAGTCTATATCTACTTCTCTTATGACGCAGACTGACGCAGTACTTTGGGAATTCGGGCGGGATTTGGGAAGAGATGGGAATGTTGTTATTCGTCAGACTATATTCGGTGAAATCGAAAGAGTGTTTGATTTTAATGTTCCAAGCCAACGGCCTTCGTCTTGAAGCTAGTATTTCTCGCATAAAACAAATATTTGGCAACCGGCACCGGAATTAGATCTGCGTGTAATTATTCATGCTTCTTAGACAAATATATTATGCACAGGCAGACTTCGAGAGCTTTCGAATCAGCGAACTATCCATACACATGACTTCCTAGCCGGGAATATATAAACCTACATATAATCTTTATATTATTCAAGAGAAGGCTTTGCGAAGACTAGGCTAAGAACTTTTTTGCAAAGTTTTTATGCTGGCGAGTCAGCTCACTAACAGTCCCTAGAAATTATACAAATACAAAAGCATTACCTCCAAGTTAGATTGCCAGATAGCTTTACGATAGTTCTCCACGTACTGGTTCTCATAGTTCTTGCCATAAATTCTCTTCCATATTTCCCACTCAGCATCATTGCCCGGCAGATCTAACTTGCAGTGAATTTCAGAAACACACACAAGACAAACCAAACAGACAGCAAATAAAAAGGAAATCGCCATTTCAAAGCTCTTGTGAAGTCAGTGAAGCGCTCGCTCGAGTTTGCTCTAGTTCAATCACAAACTAAATGGTATCGTAGCTCTATCACCCTAAGAAATCAACTGTCAAAGTTGGTAAACCCTCGAGAACCTTCCTAGCGCGTGACCAGGAGTCAAAACATGTGAAAGCAAAGTTGAAAGACACGTGAAAGTTAACGCATACAAGCTCTCATCAAATTTGGTCAAGTGTTTATTATTTAAATGAAAATAGATCCGGTCACGAGAAAATCCTGTGCTAAGTATTGGCGCATTCTTTATGTAAGAGGTAATGAATGGTAACGAGTGTGATAGCACGTATTTAACATTGTCATTGGGGTCATTGCGAGTCAAGCTAAATGTGGCCCGCGGCGGTGTCACACTATGTAACTTTCTTGTAACTTGCAATGCAATTCGAATCCTGAGGCATCTAAAGTTGTCAAATAGGAACATTTCTTACGATTTGCTATTAACGTTTTCTGCAAGCATTTCGAACACTCTTTACAAATTAACATCCCTCAAAATTGTAATTGCATTGCAAGTTGCAAGAAAAATTGCGTAGTAAAGGTCTGTTCACATGAGGCAATTTTGTTGGATCCAATTCACCTCTGACGTATGGAATATAGTCAGTTATTGATAAAGCAGTACTGCATTTGCTTCAGTGGGTTTGCCGTCAATGTACATCATAAGACAACAAACCATAAAACATCCTTCAGAAGTGAATTGGATCGTGTGAACAGACCCTAACAGCGCCTTATTAAATAGCCATGAGCGCGGGGTTGGTTTATATGGAGGTAACCAGACCTGGTACCTGAGCTAGTTTGCTCTCCTTAGAGGAAATTAACCCCATGTTTACTGTTTATATAAAAGTCTTTGGACGAGGTGGATCTCAAGACAAGGCATTAATAGAATAGAGAAAAAAAAGGGGTTTTTTAATTCACAACACATGTCGTAAGTTAATACAAAGAAATCTACGTAGGAATCAGTGAAATTACAATAATAAACTACAAGATATATATACAAATTATAAGAAATACAATCATATACACTCAAGAATACTATTTACAAAGCATTAAAAACTTTGTCAGATACTACAAACACTCATTTACTTTTAAACAATGCAAACTGATTTATTAAATCTTTTTTGCCTTTTGGTAAGAAATTCAAATTGAAGTAGCTAATTATATTGTAAAAATATAGAATTTCCAATATATGTAATGACATTTTATCATTTTTTCCAATGTATATAATCAATAAAAATATTTGAGAGAAAATTTGCTCCTATAAATGAGTCTATAATTCACCTTCGAGAAATGGAAGAGAAGATAATTTCATAAAAAACTACGAGTAAAATACCGAATGTGTCATGAAGAAAAATATTAATATGATTTGCCTGCAATATACAGCTTAACAAAAACATTTCAAAATGTTTGACGCATTTTACAGGATTGCAGCTATTACGACTTTACATTTAGTAAATCAGTTTGCATTTGTCACTCATAGCATCACTTAAATATTTAGCATCTTCACTTCTTAAACCATTGTTTCTTACATTTAGTTTAGTAAGTTTACAGTTGTCAATCTTCAAAGCATCACTCAAATATTTAGCACCTTTAGTTTTTAAATGATTGTCACTTACATTTAGTTTCGTAAGTTTACAGTTGTCACCCTTCAAAGCATCGCTTAAATATTTAGCACCTTCAGTTTTTAAATCGTTGTTACTTACATCTAGTTCAGTAAGTTTACAGTTGTCACTCTTCAGAGCATCACTTAAATATTTAGCACCTTCAGTTTTTAAATCATTGTTACTTACATTTAGTTCAGTAAGTTTACAGTTGTGACTTTTCAAAGCATCACTTAAATATTTAGCACCTTCAGTTTTTAAAAAATTGCCAGCTACATCTAGTTCAGTAAGTTTACAGTTGTCACTCTTCAAAGCTTCACTTAAATATTTCACACCGTCAGTTTGTAAATCACTGTGTCTTACATTTAGTTTAGTAAGTTTACAGTTGTCACTCTTCAAAGCATCACTTAAATACTTACAACCTTCAGTTGTTAAACCAATACTGTTACTTACATGTAGTTCAGTAAGTTTACAGTTGTCACTCTTCAGAGCATCACTTAAATATTTAGCACCTTCAGTTTTTAAATCATTGTTACTTACATTTAGTTCAATAAGTTCACAGTTGTCACTCTTCAGAGCATCACTTAATAAATATTCCCAAGCTATAGTTGTTAAACCAATATTGCTACTTACATTTAGTTCAGAAAGTTCACAGTTGTCACTCTCCAGAGCATCATTTAAAAAATATTCCCAATCTATAGTTGTTAAACCAATATTGCTACTTACATTTAGTTCAGTAAGTTCACAGTTGTCACTCTCCAGGCCATGGTTATCTTTCTTCAAAAACTTAGCCAATTCACGGATAGTAATGTTCGTCACAGTACAACCAGTGATTTTAAGCTGATTCAAGTTCTTGATGTGGCTTAAAAATTTGAACAAAGCCGTAGATTCTGCTGGTTCAATATTTAATCCAATCAAAGCAAATGTTTCACGATCACCAACCTGAGACCCAAACGAGTCATCACCCTCAGACGCAAACGAGTCATCATCCTCAGACGCAAACGAGTCATCACCCTCAGACGCAAACGAGTTATCATTCTCAGACGTAAACGACGAAATCATTTTCATGACGCGATCTTCTTGCATTTCCCAAACACTTTTTATTACGAGTAAACCTTTGTCATTACTCTTGTCAATACCTAGTTTCTTTGGCATCCAGTCTTTAAATCTAGATTAAGATATTTTGAGAGAAAAGTTTAGAGGTTTAGGATTATATTTAGATAAAACTTCGTAGTATAAATGGCCATTTTATCAAAGAGAAAATTGATTCACACGAAAACGATAACAGACAAGTGATTTTGTTTTTCGTACAAACATATATAAAACCACAAAAGTATGAATTTCTCGTAAGAAAATACAAATTCTGTGACCGCTTGCTTTCTTCAAAATGGCATTAAAATGCTTTTTCCGTTTCATCTGCCAAAAAAAGAAGGTTTTCGACTTCGCATTTACGAAACAAAAACTAATGAATGTTAAATAAATTGATGAAAATCGTAAAATATCACCTCATATTTTGGAATTACGGCAACAAAACATCAATTAAATGTTTTTTGTTATATAGGTGCTTTGTATTTTAAATGTGATTGGTTCATTCGTAGTCACATGACTTTAAATAAATGCAATGTTTCCCGCCAGGGAAACAAGTGAAAAATTGTTGCGCTCTTCTTTTTATTTAAGAATTAAAAAACGAGTCGCGTGCCTTTATGGTGTAATAATGCACGATGGGGGAATATTGGGAGAATACGAGAGAAGCTTGTAAATACAAGCTTCTCGAGCTATAATATAATTCCTGGTATAACCAGCAGAATCTATAATATAATTCTCAGTGATTATTACACCATAAAGGCACGCGACGAGCTTTTTTAATTCTTTTATAATATAAGAAGAAATTATAGGGCAACAACAAAATTTATTTATTTGATCAATAATGAAATTCTCCTTACATGTTATTTAAGATGTTGCTTAGCAACAAAAACTTCAAAAGCCAGAAGCGTGCATAATATATAAATATATATATTAATATGTAAAATCCATATATATATATATATATATATATATATATATATATATATATATATATATATATATATATATATATATATATAATTGAGTAATTAGTACAGACAGCAGAAGCTGACCGTGCGCGTAAACAATGGAGTCGAAGACTGAGTATAAACAGATTTCTGAGCTGCCTATGGTTACACCAGTGGCACAGATTAACACCCAGATGTCTCACTTCTGACTAAAAAGCGTAAGCGATTCGTCACTGCGCATCGTTTGCTGCGCATGCTTAGCAAGTGACTAGAGGCATTCACCCCCCCGAAATGTAATCTGTGCCAGTGGGTTACACAACAATTTCATTTAATTAAAAAACACTTTACTTTGTTTTATAATATAAGTATGATATAACGAGCAATTTGATTGGCTACCGCGCGTGCATTGTGAGGCCATAATGCACGCTTCTGGCTTTTGAAGTTTTTGTTGCTAAGCAACATCTTAAATAACATGTAAGGAGAATTTCATTATTGATCAAATAAATAAATTTTGTTGTTGCCCTATAATTTCTTCTTATATTATAAAAGAATTAAAAAAGCTCGTCGCGTGCCTTTATGGTGTAATAATCACTGAGAATTATATTATAGATTCTGCTGGTTATACCAGGAATTATATTATAGCTCAAGAAGCTTGTAAAACACTCGGCTACGCCTCGTGTTTTACAAGCTTCTCTCGTATTCTCCCAACATTCCCCCATCGTGCATTATTACACCATAAAGGCACGCCACTCGTTTTTTAATTCTTAATTTCATTGTACAGCATGCAAAAAAACTATTGACTAGGAAACTGCACTGGAATCAATCAAAGTCATCAAAAGTTATAATTTCATTAAATCATTTGGTAACAGTTTTAATTATGTTAATAATTGTGTGAATAAAAAATAAGTACAGCAACCTTTCACAGAAATGGCTAATCAGAATCATTCATAATTTATACAACAGGCAGAGGTTTTATCAACTTTCGAAAATCCTCAATGTCGCTAATGCTAGGTAAGGAAGCTGTTGCAGATTTTTGTTGAGGCTTTTAAAAATTGATGCCAGCTAGCAACATGCATCAGCTATAATGCAATACAACCCAATACGCCTATAAATTGTAACAATTTTTTACCCTTTGCATATACATTCAATCACTTGACTCTCTGCACACCATGCTGACCTGATAAATAATTAAATGTGAATGAATACGAGATTATATAGACATTATAAAATGATACAACAATATTTAAATAATATAAGAAGATTCCTTTACATGCATAAGGCTACCAAATTGAGTTGTGACTATACAATATAACTGGCTACTTTATAATTTTATCTAATTTGAAGAAAAATTTGACAAATACCTTAACTCTCTCATTTTATCTCCAAGTAACCCAGCTACAAATTGGATCACCAAATGCCACCTGGGTTCATCAATGTGATTAGATAAAAATGATTCAACATTTTTGATATCATCAACCACATCTAGTGCAGCAAGAAACTCTTGAATTGTAAGATGAAGAAAAGAGAAAATATTTCGTCTTTTGTCGTCCAATTGATTGAACACACCAGAATCTGATAAGCCAGCCACAGATTCATCACTGCTTTTAAACTCGAAAACTAACTTGTCTTTTTCCATGCCATTTCTTGCAATTCCCTTCAACTTGTCCAGGTCCTTTTGAAGCAGCTCTGGAAGTTTGGCAGTCAGATAATCCTTTTTTACTGGTTTAATCCTGTGTTTTGAATTGTGTTTGAACAGCAAAATTCTTATAGCTCTTTTGTACAGTTCAGTTATTGTTTTAGGAATCTTGCTGTAGCTTTCATCCTCCACTTCTTCACCAAAATCAATACTTTCATATAATGTCAAGCAAATTATATAGGAGTTGACTGGTATGTAACAAAAGCTAATTAGTTCTGGCGAATCCTTGATTATGTTCCATATTTCAGAACTTTCCTTGGTGTCACCACCACAATTTTTTTTAACATACTCTTCTATTTGTTCCTCACTAAAACCCAATAACTCCACCTGTCTATTAAAATCAAGATTTTGGTAGATGTATTCTGCTGTGGGTCGAGATGTGGTTAACACAGTAATTCCAGGTAATAATTCATCATTCACCAGCTGTTTGAAAATCAGGAATATATGAGCACGTTCCTCTAGGCTGTTTACAGTTTTTCCTTCAGTTAAACACTCATCATCTACCTGGAGCTCATCTAAGCCATCAAAAACAAGGATGGTATTACTTGGGTTCTGATGGATATATTTATGGATAGAATCATTGTTGGACAGAGGTATTGCCTTATTGAGACCATGAGCCTTATTTAACATTTCTTGAAGACTTGTTTCTTGGTTGTTAAAATTACGAAATTTGATCAATAGTACAATTTTTTTATGCCAGAATTCATCAGGTTTTCCGCCCTTTTGCCACTCCTGAGATATTTTTTCAGTCAGCAAAGTTTTCCCAATGCCTGGTCTGCCCACTACAAGAACAGTTCTAGGTTGCTTCTCACCAGCTTTTGCTGCTTGAAATAATTCCACTGTATTCTCAAGTACTTTTGCATTAGGAGGCTTTTTCAATTGAATGTCATAAATCTCATGTCTAGTCTTCAAAAATTCCCTTCTCGAATAATTGACATGTTCTCTTCCATCTTGAATTATGACATTGATATAAATTTCATCCAGTTTTCGTTTCCCTCCTAAGACATCATTCACAGTAAATAAATGTTTGGATTTATTTTCCTGAATCATTTCTTGTACTTTTTGGTTTGCTTCTTGGTTAGGAGAGTTAGAGTTAGTTTCCTGAATTATCTCATGGATTTCCTGGTTTGCTTCTTGGTTAAGAGAGTTAGATTTGGTTTCCTGAGTTATCTCATGGATTTCCTGGTTTGCTTCTTGGTTAGGAGAGTTAAAGTTAGTTTTCTGAGTTACCTCATGGTTAGGAGAGTTAGACCTTGTTTCTTGAGTTATCTCATGGATTTCCTGGTTTACTTCTTGGTTAGGAGAGTTAGACTTGGTTTCCCGAGTTATTTCATGGATTTCCTGGTTTGCTTCTTGGTTAGGAGAGTTAGAGTTAGTTTCCTGAGTCTCATGTATTTCCTGGTTTGCTTCTTGGTTAGGAGAATTAGAGTTAGTTTCCTGAGTCTCATGTATTTCCTGGTTTACTTCTTGGTTAGGAGAGTTAGAGTTAGTTTCTTGAGTTACCTCATGGATTTCCTGGTTTGCTTCCTGGTTTGCTTCTTGGTTAGGAGAGTTAGAGTTAGTTTCCTGAGTTACCTCATGGATTTCCTGGTTTACTTCTTGGTTAGGAGAGTTAGAGTTAGTTTTCTGAGTTATCTCATGGATTTCCTTGTTTACCTCTTGGTTAGGAGAGTTAGAGGAGTGAGGGTTGGAGGTGTTAGGTGTTGCTTCTGCATGATTTTTTTCAAGGTACACGGTAATGAACTCCTGATCAGTTTTGAAAGTGGGTCTTTTCCATGCCGACCACAACAAATAAACAATCTCAACGAGTGTCACTGCATCGACGAGGAAATTAATCGTGATGAAGCCGACAACAACTTGTTGTTTCTTCCCACCCATTGAATAAGTGCAGTCCACAAATGAAGAATTCGTAGTTGGTCGTGTGACGTTCTTATGGAAAGTACTAGTTGTTGTTTTCATATTGGGCAAAGGACATTCAAAATGGGTCGGAAAATTGGACGAGGTTAAAAGAAATGCTGAGAATATTGTCAGTGGTATTATACGACAAACGAATAAATGGATTACGTAAGCCATAAATACAAAATAACGATTACTACCTGGATACGCCACTGGTGCGGCTGGCGATGCTTCAGACAATGGCCGGCTTTCTTCTACGCCCTCGTTCGTCGTTGTGTTTGGATTATTTGCGAAGAAGTCCACTCTATGTTTCACCAGGTAACCGTACACGACACTACATACAACCACAAGTCCAAAACTAATTCCAATCAAAGCAGTGAGAGGTAACGAAGGGAGAAACTGTTCTGCGTATTTCAGAAGACATCGTGCTTCGATGTACTTCCCTTTAAATAAAGTGCTCGCGAGAGACTTGTCTAGGTCACATTCCAGACTTGATTTCGTCTCGAAAACACTCGCGATTGTAAGGAGAACCACGCCGATTGCTACAAACAAAGCAAGAACTACTGAACTGTACGTATTGTAACAGTTACGAGGAATCAGTTTTAAACAGTTTTCCATGTCTGTAAGAGCACTTGATTCTTTGCCAAAATATTAGATTTGATCACTTGTCACTTGACTTGCCAGTTGACCACTTGACCATCCTGCTGTTATTCTGCACCAACAAGCACCAACACCCTCCAGGACTCATATGATTGCAGCTTATTGATTGGTTAAAAAACGACACCCCCTCCAAGAATGCGTAATTTATGCATTTCTGATCTCGATATAAACACTGGACAAAAGTCTTTCACGCTGTATCTCACTTACCTCCAGTATTTTACGGGGGGGGGGGGGGTGTGTGAACTACGGCCAAGTTTCAAGACTTTGTCGTATTGACTTTGTTTTCTCCCGAATCTGAGCCAATCTGTTGTTATGTGCGCATTCTGGACAAATACGAAACATCTGTCGTGTTTTATTCTGCCGCCTATACGCAGGTTATGGACTTATGGTAAGTGGTAAGACAGTTTAATCAAACTGAAGTTTACTATTGGAGAACTATTACTGTTTGTTATTAAAATCTCTCCTAGTTTTGGTCCTTCTTCGCAAAAGAGAGTATTAAAAGATTAAAAGTAACTACGATTTAGCAACAAAAAAATATAATTACTGTAAGTGTTTCAGAATTACTTGTTTCCCACGCTGGTCGACCGTTCATGACAACTTACATCAAGGGATAACTAGCAAGGCTGGCTATTCCACATTGATTACCCTTGTTCCTTGACATCATTATATACCCTTTGATACCCCAATCTGTACCCCAGCTATTTTTGACCAGCCAGTAGTCTTTACCATCCAAAGTACCATACCCTACTACCAACACACCGTGGTTTAAGTCTGTACTACTGCAGTCTGATTCATCGTACACACCGCTGTGGTAGAGCTGAAAGCTGGAGTGGTCAGCGTCCATAGCAGCAGATATAGGACCCACAGCCCCTACGGCAGATTGAAGCTGTCTCTCTGAACCATTCTTGATATCAACGTATCCTATAGTGAACACGTGTAGCTAATATTTACAAACCACGACATCTCAACGATGTGATACCGCTGATCAGTCAAGGCAATGCCGAACGTAATCACTAGACCGGTCAAACATCCAATTCAGTATTTTCATAATTCACATATGCCGTATATTTTTCACTAGAAAACTACTCTCAAACCTTCGATTCTCACAATCTCTGAACGCGATCGCATTTTTTTCATTCGATGCATGATTCCGGCAAGCTATGGCCTAAATTTTGGTCCAGACAAGGGGAGCGATATACAACCTTAGAGCTGGAAAGAGTATCTTAGAACGAACTGTTTGCTCGCGAATTCAGTTGTAAAATGGAAAAAATATCACTCTGTGAAGGTCTGGATCAAAATCCAGCCAGAATCATGATCAATCATCCATAATTTATCCACTTTACCTGAACACGTTGCGCCAACGTCAGCAGAGTTATAGAAACAGAATAACTTTGAACTCCTTTGTAAGGATAACTTTCTTCCGTATCAATGCCATAATCTTTAACATATCTGAATGCGTTATCCATTAAGCCACCAGAACATCCACGATTTCCATACCATAACGTACAGTCGACAAGATTTTGTTCGCTAAGTGAGATCAAGTTTCCTGTTTTCCTAAAATGTTGGCCCTCCAACGATCCTGTGGCACTGAAGGCCCAACACGAACCGCAAGAACCTATGAAGATGAACTCGTTTCAGCTTTGCGCTCATCTTATATTCATTTTGCATGATCCCATCTCTCATATATAGTATAAATAAAGTTAGTTTAGTTTAGGTCTCCGCCTGTAGTAACACTGGATGAATAAGAGATGATCCTTACTGGACCTCTAGGAAGAACAGTTTAGAACTGATTGACTATCCAGTATTAATAAAGTTAGTTTAGTTTAGGTTTCCTCCTGTAGTAACACTAGATCAATAAGAGATGATCCTTACTGGACCTCTAGGAAGAACACTTTAGAACTAATGGAGCTATCCAGTATAAATAAAGTTAGTTTAGTTTAGGTTTCCTCCTGTAGTAACACTGGATCAATACGAGATGATCCTTACTGGACCTCCAGGAAGAACAGTTTAGAACTGATAGAGCTATCCCGTATAAATAAAGCTAGTTTAGTTTGGGTTTCCTCCTGTAGTAACACTGGATCAATACGAGATGACCCTTTCTGGACCTCTAGGAAGAGCAGTTTAGAACTGATAGAGTAATCAAGAATATGTTAACGCTGGATCAGTGAGAGAGATGGATCAATATTTATATTTTGGTAATAACATGGATGAATATGTTCACACAACGCATTACCCTGATTCTTAACTCTTGTGACATAACCTTTGTCGCGCCAGTCCACAGAGGAAGGCAAACGCACGTTTGAAGGCGGTAGGAATGTCGACCCGTTGGTTCTTATACCCGGCCAGTATTTGGTACCCAGCATCAATGCCTTATATTCAATCTCCGTGAGATCACCCAAATGGTTGATAGCTAATCTGTAGCTGTTGTTGCCCTTATTATGATCCGCAACTTTCTAATAGAAAACATAGAAATATTAGACATCTTGTAGTTTTCACACAAAGCCATATCAAACTGACCCCAAAACTATTATACATTGTGCATGTCTAGGTTACATGTTATTAGTATAACTCTGTCATGCTTTACTTGCAAACAAACAAATAGTTTATAGGCGATGTATTCGCTTACCACTAAGGACAGGGAAGTGTTTAGTTATCCCAAGGTCTGGCGATATTGTATTCTTTAGTACTATGTGATAAGAGCACAAACCTTCAGGTTTGACCGCCATATTGCCTTGCGAAGATTATCTTCATTTGTATCTGCATATATTTTGCCATGTATATTTTTCCAGACTAGCCATTGTGCTTCGTTACCGAATGGTGTGTCGCTTTCTTCTGCCAGCGAGGCAGTGGTGATGAAAAGCCATGTATAGCCAAGAAACAAAAAATATATCCCTGCTTGTGTCATCACTCAGACCATGTTTCGTCACGATTGAAAACACTCATGACTGAGTCTTGAATTATCATTGACATTGTTGACTATTCAGGTTTAACTGCCGTTTTATGCATAACTTAAAACGTGGGCTAAAAATCATCTGATCAATAGCTGACATGGTGGCATGGTATCCTCAACCTCCCCGGCAGGGATTTAGCCAGAACTAACGATTTCAAAACAAAAAATGTCATAGTGCATTACGACAAAATTAGGAATGTCGAAAACTGACTTCACAGACAAGTTTCTACGACTTGTACTTGATTCGAATTCCCACACAAAATCCCAGCAGGATTGTAAAATATTAAATACTCTATCACTTCATGTGTTCCCAACCGTTTCGGAGGAACACTGAATGAAGATCTCAGATCTGTTCTGCATTTATTGCGAAAAATAAACCGAAATTTTATTAAAAATTATTTTACATTACAACATAACACTACCCAACCCAATTTGTTTCAATCGTGGTGGAGTAAAGTTACAAATTTTTCTACCAGTTACGGAAAACATCTGAATTATTATTCTGCCTGATAATGATATAAGTCCTTGCGAATGGTTTTTGGGTTCATATTTAGACCAACGGATAACTTGCGGCTGTCGCTATCCCACATTGGTTGTTTTTGTTCATAGACATCATGATGTATCCTTCCAAGCCCCAAGATGCACCCCAGCTGTTTTTGACCAGCCAGTAATCTTCACCATTCAGAGTACCATAGCCCACCACCAAGACACCATGGTCGAGCTGGGTGCTGCTACAATTTGGTTCGTCATAAACACCCTTATGATAGAGTTGGAAACTCGAATGACTGGCGTCAATCGCAACTGAAATAGGACCAACATTTGCCGTTGCATCTTGAAGCTCGGACTCTGAACCTTTTTCGATATCAGTGTGACCTTTGGAAGAGAAACACGATCATATGATTTAAGCAAAGTGATGTTAGTGTTTTGCCTCGCTTTTTTTTCACTCTCTTGTTTATTTTATTTTATTTCTCACTCTGTGTACCTTTTATTTGTTTTCGTGTTTCGTTTTCAACTTATTTCTTAAATTTTTTCATGTTTGCTTAGTGTGCTTTGTTTATGGAACAATACTCTTCTCTTTTCTTTTTCCCATTTCAAAAAACTAAATGATATTTACAACAACACGTACCACTGCAAGTTGCACCACTTTCAGAAGCACGATATTTGCATCTTCCGTCCTTGGCTTTGTACGGGTAACTGGCTTCGGTGTCAATACCACCATTAGCCTTGATGTAGTTGAAAGCATCGTCCATTAAACCACCTTCGCAGCCATTGTTGCCAAACTTTCCAGAGCAGTCGACAAGATTTTGCTCGCTGAGTGAGACAAGCTTGCCAGTTTTCTTAAAATGTTGTCCTTCAAGTGAAACGGTGGTGCTGAACGCCCAACATGCATACGTTCATCATGGACTATGGCTGTCCCGTCTTCCATGACGCCCTCTCAATATATGTGAGAGAAGATCTGGAGCGCATCCAGAAGAGAGCATTGAGGTGTATCTTTCCGGGTGTTCCGTACTCTACCGCCCTGGAGTTAGCCAATATTCAAACCATTGACGATCATCATGAAGCTCTCACCAACAAACTATTCCAGAATATAAAGGAAAGCCCAGATAATAAATTGAAACATCTACTGCAGGAAAGTCATGATTCTAAAGCTTATGACCTGCGGGTACAATACCCCCTAGTAGTACCAACAACTAGTACTAAACGTTTTTCTAACTCATTCATAATTACTGGTAGTAAAGTATATAATCAGTTGTATGTTAAATATTTTAGGAATTTTAGTAGCATGAGTAATTAATTAGTAGCACTAGATGACAGAGAAGATATAATGAGGTACGCCTGCGGCCTTACGCGATCTCTTTATCTGGAAGTCCTGACGAGCATGGAAACTAACGAGTTCTTGCAAAGTTTGAAACGCCTGATAGCACGTCGCGGTCGCCCGAAGAAAATCTATTCGGATAACGGTAGAACTTTCATTGCAGCAGCGAAATGGTTGAGAGCAGCGATGAAAGATGAGAGAGTGAACAACTTCTTATCGAAAGAAGGAATAAAGTGGCAATTCAACCTGAGTCGTGCTCCAGGGTGGGGTGGCCAATTTGAGAGGTTGATCGGGATCATAAAGCAATCCCTATACAAAACGATCGGAAACGGATTCCTCTCTTTGGAAAAGCTACGAGAAGTGGTATTGGACGTGGAAGTGACCCTCAACAACCGCCCAGTTATGTCGAGGACGATATCCAACTTCCCACCCTCACTCCAAATTCACTGCTATACGAACGATGCAATTTGGTGCCAGAGATAGAACCCTACCAACTTGAAACAAAGGACCTGCGAAAGCGAGCGAAACATCTCAGACGATGCAAGGAAACGGTGTGGCGTAGATGGACGGGTGAATATCTCAGCGGGTTACATGAACAGCACAACCTCAAACATGACGGGAAGTATCGATCGCCAGCGGTCGGCGAAATCGTAATTGTGAAATCGGACGAGAAAAGTCGCGGAAAATGGAGAATGGGAAAAGTAGTGAAGGTGATTCCGGGAGTAGACGGCGTTGTACGAGGAGCGAAAGTGCGAGTAGGAGAAACGGAGTTAGAAAGACCGGTGCAACACCTTTTCCCCCTGGAATTGTCATGTGATTCGGGACCAGAGAAAGAATCAGCGAAGCTCAATGCAAATGCAGTCGAGTTTCGACCGAGACCGAAGCGACAAGCGGCCGTCCAAGCAAGAGATCGGATCGCAGCAATTGAGTTTCAAGGACATGACGAGTTGTTTGACTGATAAGGAAACGTTCATTCAATTTACATAATTTAGTATAATCATATTGCATGACTTTAGTTCAATCATATATTATTTCTGTTTACGGAATTTTCTTCAAATTAGATAAAGTTATAAAGTAGCCAGTTATATTGTATAGTCACAACTCAATTTGATAGCCATATGCATGTAAGGGAATCTTCTTATATTATTTATCCATTGTTGTATCATTTAGTCTATATAATCTTGTATTCATTCACATTTAATTATTTATCAGGTCAGCAAAGCATGAAGACATTGAAGTAATCGAATATATATGCAAAAGGTAAAAATTTGTCACAATTTATGGGCGTATTGGGTAGTATTGCATTATAGCTGATGCATGTTGCTAGCTGGCATCAATTTAAAACCCTCAACAAAAATCTGCAACAGCTTCCTTACCTAGCATTAGCATCATTGAGGATTTTCCAAAGTTGATAAAACCTCTGCGCCTGTTGTATAAATTATGAATGATTTTGATTAGCCAATTCTGTGAAAAGTTGCTTTACTTATTTTTTATTCAAACAATTACAACAATTACAACTGTTATGAGATGATTTAATGAAATTATAACTTTTGATGACTATGATTGATTCCAGTGCAGTTTCCTAGTCAATAGTTTTGCATGCTGTACAATGAAATATTCATAATTCATCATAGGACAAGCACGTGTCAGTTGAGGTGGTTTGAAGCGATATGATTGGTTAATCAGTGATTCACGTGATCACAGATTAACACCTCTAGTCACTTGCTGAGCAAGCGCTTACGCTTTTTTAATCAGAAGTGAGACATCTGGGTAATCTGTGCCTCTAGTCACTTGCTGAGCAAGCGCTTACCTTTTTTTTAATCAATTTTTTTAATCAGAAGTGAGACATCTGGGTAATCTGTGACGTGATACTCTGCTGCTTCTCAATTTTTTATTTTCTATGATCCACGAAGACGAAGATGAGGAGAAAACTGAGTTAAAAACAAACAAAAAACCTTGAAAAACTATTCAAGATTATTAAAAAGAAAGAAAAGAAATCTGAAATTACCTGAATGGATATATTTAAAACATTTAATTGACGTTTTGTTGCCGTAATTCCAAAATATGAGGTGATATTTTACTGTTTTCAACAATTTATTTAACATTCATTAGTTTTTGTTTCGTAAATGCGAAGTCGAAAACCTTATATTTTTGGCAGACGAAACGGAAAAACCATTTTAATGCCATTTTGAAGAAAGCAAGCGGTCACAGAATTTGTATTTTCTTACGAGAAATTCATACTTTTGTGGTTTTATATATGTTTGTACGAAAAACAAAATCACTTGTCTGTTATCGTTTTCGTGTGAATCAATTTTCTCTTTGATAAAATGGCCATTTATACTAGGAAGTTTTCTCTAAATATAATCCCAAACTTCTAAACTTTTCTCTCAAAATATATCTTAATCTAGATTTCAAGACTTGATGCCAAAGAAACGACGTATTGCCAAGAGTAATGACAAAGGTTTACTCGTGATAAAATGTGTTTGGGAAATGCAAGAAGATAGCGTCATGAAAATGATTTCGTCGTTTGCGTCTGATGATGATGATGAAACATTTACTTTGAGAGAATTAAATATTGCACCAGCAGAATCTACAGCTTTGTTCAAATTTTTAAGCCACATCAAGAACTTGAAACAGCTTCGCATCAGTCGTTGTACTGTGACGAACATTGCTATCCGTGAATTGGCTAAGTTTTTGAAGAAAGATAACCATGACCTGGAGAATGACAACTGTGAACTTACTGAACTAGATGTAAGTAGCAATATTGGTTTAAAAACTGAAGGTGTTAAATGTTTAAGTGATGCTTTGAAGAGTGACAACTGTAAACTTACTGAACTAGATGTAAGTGGCAATGATTTAAAAACTGAAGCTGCTAGATATTTAAGTAATGCTCTGAAGAGTGACAACTGTAAACTTACTAAACTAAATGTAAGTCGCAATGATTTAAAAGCTGGAGGTGTTAAATATTTAAGTGATGCTTTGAAGAGTGACAATAGTAAACTTACTGAACTAGATGTAAGTTTCAATGATTTAAAAACTGAAGGTGCTAAATATTTAAGTAATGCTTTGAAGAGTGACAACGGTAAACTTACTAAACTAAATGTAAGAAGCAATGATTTAAAAACTGAAGGTGCTAAATATTTAAGTGATGCTTTGAAGAATGACAATTGTAAACTTACTAAACTAGATGTAAATAGCAATATTAGATTAACAACTGAAGATGTTAAATATTTAAGTGATGCTAAGAGTGACAACTTCGAACTGTTTCACTAAATGTAAAGTCGTAATGGCTGCAATCCTGTAAAACGCGACAAACGTTGTAAAATGATTTTGTGAAGCTGTATATTGCAGGCAAATCATATTAATATTTTTCTTCATGACACATTGGATATTTTACTCTCGTAGTTTTTTTATTAAATTATCTTCTCTTATCTTTATCTTCTTTTATTGATTATATACATTGGGAAAAATGATAAAATGTCAAAACATATATTGGAAAATCTATTTCAATTTGAATTTCCTACCAAAAGGCAAAAAAAATAAGATTTAATAAATCAGTTTGCATTGTTTAAAAGTAAATCAGTGTTTGTAGTATCTGATAAAGTTTTTAATGCTTTGTAAATAGTATTCTTGTATATGTGTATATGATTGTATTTCTTATAAGTATTTTGTAGTTTATTATTGTAATTTCACTGATTCCTACGTAGATTTCTTTGTGTTAACTTACGACATGTGTTGTGAATTAAAACAACCCTTTTTTTCTATACTCTTAATGTCTTGTCTTAAGATCCACCTCGTCGAAAGACTCGATCCTATATAAACACAGGGTTGATTTCCTCTATGGAAAGCAAACTAGCTCAGGTATCAGGTCTGGTTACCTCCATATAAACCAACCCCGCGCTTATGGCTATTTAATAAGGCGCTGTAAGGTCTGTTCACACGATCCAATTCACTTCTGAAGGATGTTTTATAGTTTGTTGTCTTATGATGTACATGGACAGCAAACCCACTGAAGCCAATGCTGTGCTGCTTATCAACAACTGACTATATTCCATACGTCACAAGTGAATTGGATCCAACAAAATTGCATCATGTGAACAGACCTTTACACTACGCAATTTTTCTTGCAACTTGCAATGCAATTATAGTTTTGAGGGATGTTAATTTGTAAAGAGTGTTCGAAATGCTTGCAGAAAACGTTAGCAGATCGTAAGAAATGTTCATATTTGACAACTTTAGATGCCTCAGGAGTAGGAAAAACTTTATTTATACTGGATAGCTCTATCAGTTCTAAACTGTTCTTCCTAGAGGTCCAGTAGGGATCATCTCTTATTGATCCAGTGTTACTACAGGAGGAAACCTAAACTAGACTAACTTTATTTATACTGGATAGCTCTATCAGTTCTAAACTGTTCTTCCTAGAGGTCCAGTAAGGATCATCTCTTATTCATCCAGTGTTACTACAGGAGTCAGGAGGAAACCTAAACTAAACCAACTTTATTTATACTGGATAGTTCTATCAGTTCTAAACTGTTCTTCCTAGAGATCAAGTAAGAATCATCTCTTATTGATCCAGTGTTACTACAGGAGGAAAGCTAAACTAAACTAACTTTCTTTATACTATATATGAGAGATGGGATCATGAAAAATGAATATAAGATGAGCGCAAAGCTGAAACGAGTTCATCTTCATAGGTTCTTGTGGTTCGTGTTGGGCCTTCAGTGCCACAGGATCGTTGGAAGGCCAACATTTTAAGAAAACAGGAAACCTGATCTCACTTAGCGAACAAAATCTTGTCGACTGTACGTTATGGTATGGAAATCGTGGATGTTCTGGTGGCTTAATGGATAACGCATTCAGATATGTTAAAGATTATGGCATTGATACGGAAGAAAGTTATCCTTACAAAGGAGTTCAAACTTTATAACTCTGCTGACGTTGGCGCAACGTGTTCAGGTAAAGTGGATAAATGATGGATGATTGATCATGATTCTGGCTGGATTTTGTCTACGGACATGAACTTACATGGACCAATACAAGAACATTTGTCTCTTTCGAGGCAAATGGGGGGAGTGTGTTAAATATTTTAGGAATTTTAGTAGCATGAGTAATTAATTAGTAGCACTAGATGACAGAGAAGATATAATGAGGTAGGAAACGAAAAGTAATTAATTGTGAAGTGATAGCGGAGCTCTAAGGACTGTGATCTATATTGTGAGAGAAAATCTAATATAAAAACCCAACAAAGTTGTGAATAGTGTTGCGAGCGCATCGAAACAAACAATTTCCAACATGTATAAGAAATGTACATCTTAGGTTATTGAAACCTTAAACATCCTATACAAGGTATTTTGTAAATATAATTATAGTAGAACCTTAAATATAGTAGTGTAACCAAGAATCTTGCATATATAATAATAGCAGAACATTTACTATACTAGTGTAAACATCCTATATAAGGAATTTTGTAAATATAATTATAGTGGATCTTTTAATATAGTAGTGTAACCAAGAACTCTTGTTGCTGCGGAGCGAGCGAGCCTGAAGCGAGCGAGCGTAGCAGCAGTCTAATTTGTGCAGAGAGGGGGTTCTGAACTAAATTTTATTTAGCGCAAGGAATTGTGGTCGTGCGCGTTTTTTATGCGTAGAACACACATTTTAAACTCGCTCATATACAGGATCTTCAAATTTTTGTTAAATTTCAAAGCTTCTGTTCTATTTTGACTATTCAAGGTAAGATATTTTCATCTTTCGTTCATATGTTACGTTTACAGTTGTTTACAATTCTAACTGGTATATTTATGAAACGCTAAAAGCATACAATCGATCACAGCTAGATTCATGCTGTATATATACGAACTATATAAATCATTCTAGAATATTAAGATGTATACTATCCAATTTGCTAATTCGCTTTACTTTAGCAGTTGAGCTGTCAGAGCTGTGAAGCAAATCAAGTCTTACATACAGATGCTTTAAAGTCTTTTTTATCCATTGACATTTGTATTCTTTTGCTGATTTCCATATTTTGCATCAAATGATGTTTTAAGTGCGAGTCGCAGATAAAATATGCAATTGAATTGATCGTCTAAATTGCCTGACTGAATCGCTCAGATTCGTGAAATGTTTGACTTATTTAAAATTAGGTTACTGTAAGCATAGGCATATGTTTTTATTCCTATTTTACAATGAGCTAAATGTTTTTGTTATTTAGTGCTTTCACCGGATCTTCACGTGGTTTCTGATTACACGTCTTCTCGAGCGCGTTCAAAGTTCAAAGTATTAAGTGATGTTTTGTTACTCTTCACATGAAGTCAAACATTTACATGGACACAACAAAGACAAATAGCATATTTAAAAAACAAATATCCATGTTACCAAAAAATGTTCTATTTTGTTAAACATGTGCTACTGGGCCTGTATTTTCGCTTTGTTGCGGGGAAAATGTCGCTACGCGCGCAAAATTCTACCTAATATTACTATTAGTGTTAATACTCCTGTTGTGATTCGTATGTTAAAATATTTTTAAAACTAGCTGCTTCTAAAGACTTTGATTAAACGAGCTGCAACTCGCAAGACAGCATTGATATAGCATATATTGACCTAAATATTGACGTCATTGATAGTGTTTTCGCTAATATGTATTAATTCATGTACAGCCCCCAGCGAGTTAACGCTCAATAGATCGAGGTTCACTTTGCGTTTTTTAAACCTGCTATTGCTATTAGTTAAAATGGATTTAGTTTACTAACATTTCATATAACAATTCACTTGGACCCTAAAATGCTCGCAGCAATCTCTACCTTGCAGGTAACCTAGTATATATAATAATAGTAGAAGTTTTACTATACTAGTGTAACCAACCCATGTAATAAGTCACACAATTCAGTTTCTGCTGCCATGTGATCTTAATTTTAATCAATCAATCAATTTTTTCATACCAGAATTCATCATGTTGTCGACTTTCTTGCCACCCAAGAAGCCGAAGGATTTTTTCAGTCAGCAAAGTTTTCCCAATACCTGGTCTGCCAACTACAAGAACAGTTCTAGGAGGTTTCTTACCAGCTTTTTCTGCTTGAAAAAATTCTGCTGTACTCTCAAGTACTTTTGAACTGGGGGGCTTTTCCAATTGAATGTCATCAATCTCATGTCTATCTTTCAAAATTTTCCTTCTTGAATAATTGACACATTCTGTTCCAACTTGAATTATGACATTGATATCAATTTTATCCAGTTTTCGTTTTCCTTCTAAGATATTCACAGTTAATACACGTTTGGTTTTATTTTCCTGAATCATCTCATGGATTTCCTGGTTTGCTTCTTGGTTAGGAGAGTTAGACTTGTTTTCCTGAGTTATCTCACTGATTTCCTTGTTTACTTCTTGGTTAGGAGAGTTAGAGTTAGTTTCCTGAGTTGTCTCATGGATTTCCTGGTTTGCTTCTTGGTTAGGAGAGTTAGTTTCCTGAGTCTCATGTATTTCCTGGTTTACTTCTTGGTTAAAAGAGTTAGAGTTAGTTTCCTGAGTTATCTCATGGATTTCCTGGTTTGCTTCTTGGTTAGGAGAGTTAGAGTTAGTTTTCTGAGTTATCTCATGGATTTCCTGGTTTACTTCTTGGTTAGGAGAGTTAGAGTTAGTTTCCCGAGTTATCTCATGGATTTCCTGGTTTGCTTTTTGGTTAGGAGAGTAAGAGGAGTAAGGGTTGGAGGTATTAGGGGTCGCTTCTGCATGCTTTTTTTCAAGGTACAAGGTAATGAATTCCTGATCAGTTTTGAAAGTGGGTCTCTTCCATGCCGACCACAATAGATAAACAATCTCAACGAGTGTCGCTGCATCGACGAGAAAATTTATCGTGATGAAGCCGGCAACAACTTGTTGTTTCTTCCCAGCCATTGAATAAGTGCAGTCCACAAATGAAGAATTCGTAGTTGACCCTGTGACGTTCTCATGGGAAGTACTAGTTGTTGTTTTCATATTGGGCAAAGGACATTCAAAATGGGTGGGAAAATTGGACGAGGTTAAGAGAAATGCTGAGAATATTGTCAGTGGTATCATACGACAAACGATTAAATGGATTACGTAAGCCATGAATACAAGATAACGATTACGACGTTGATACGCCACTGGCTGGCTTTCTTCTACGCCCTCGTTCGTCGTTATGCTTGGATTATTCGTGAAGATGTCGACTCTATGTTTCACCAGGTAACCATACACGACACTACATACAACCACAAGTCCAAAACTTATTGCAATGAAAGCAGTAAGAGGTAACGAAGGGAGAAACTGTTCTGCGTATTTCAGAAGACATCCTGCTTCAATGTACTTCCCTTTAAATATAGTGCTCGCGAGTCTCTTGTTCAGGTCACATTTCAGACTTGATTTCGCCTCGAAAACACTCGCGATTGTAAGGAGAACCACGCCAATTGCTACAAACAAAGCAAGAACTACTGAACTGTACGTATTGTAACAGTTACGAGGAACCAGTTTTAAACAACTATCCATGTTATTCATGTCTGTAAAAGAGCACTTGATTCTTTGCCAAAATATTAGATTTGATCACTTGACTTGCCAGTTCACCACCAACTGTTATTCTGCACCAACACCCTCCAGGAGTGCCATATGATTGGTTAAAAACTGACTAGTGCCACCCTCCAAGAATGCGTAATTATATAATAATTTATTCACATTATTAGTACTAGGGAAATTTACAATAATCAATCATGCATTAAAATTAAGTATAATAGTTCTACAGACTATTTACAAAAACAACTTAACTAGACTACTCGCTAATGTTGGAGTTCCATTCCGACAACGTAATGTCGTTAGTTGATGTGATGGACGCAGTCCTCCAACTTCGACTGCCACGAACACACACCACGCGAGCTCTAAGCAAAGCAAAGGCGATCTTTCGTCGTAACCAGCTAACCACCATAGATGTAGAATGATTCTTCTTGTCAGCCAGCTTCGCACCCAGGAAGGAAAGAAAATGTTGGGTCTCTCTTCCGCATCCGCCAAAGGCGCTGAAGACGACCGGTGTGAAGGAGCCATGCTCGACCTCAACAATCCGTTGGTTGTAATGTCGCTTCTTTTCCCGTTCGTTGGCTTTAAACGAGCTGCTCAACGTCTGGCGTCGATGTGTAGAGGCGTATGGGTTAAACACCCTTACATCAAAAAATGCCTTTTCACATCTCTGCCAGAAACCTCTCGCAGCAATGTCCACTCTGGCGTCATCGGCTGAGTTAGCACTGGATGGAAGAACCTCGCCAGTCAAAGGAGCAAGAGCAGGTTCAATTGAAACATCGTAAGCAACGTCATCGATAGCAGCAGCAAGTAGATCACGGATCTCATTATGTCTTCGATGGATAAAACCTCCTTTCAGGCACGACAGGGCATGATCTACCGTGAACGATTTTCCACAAGCGCAGAAAGATGGAAGGCGTTTCAAAGGCCATCGATAACGCATGTAGATTGCATCAAAGAACTCACGCTTGGTCAAGATGTAGCCCTCTTCAGCAAGTGGCAGAGCAGTTAGCCAAGCTGAGGATCCTTTCAACTGGGCGAGGTCATTTGCTCGAATCTGCTCTTCACTCATGCTCGATCTCAAGTTCTGTAGCAGCAACGAGTTCCTAGCTTGACGTTGTTTTGCAATCTCACGGCGAAGATCGTGGATGGAATCTCCATGTTCTGCTGATGGTGTACCATTCTGGTGGATGATTCTACTTGAGAGAAGATGACAGATGGTTGTGGAGTTCAAATGTTCTTCATCACAGATGTCGTTAAAGATCGGAATACCAAGACCTCCCATACGAGCTGGAAGCGAAACCAATTGTCGCTCATGGATGGACAAGCTACGGTTATCGAGGAGTGCAGGAAGGAGCTTCAGGTTGATGGTGTCGTCAACAAGCTGCATCGCGGTCTTGATACCTGGAACGGCACGAATGTGGTAAGTAAATCTGTGCCGAAAACCCGAGACAAACGCCGTGTATGCTGCTTGGGGTTGGAATTTGGCAATTTCACTCAAAACGTGAAGTTGCTGGCACCATTTACTAACTAAAGAACTAATATACTTATCTTTTCCGTCATCCGATCCAAGATATCCTCCAAGGTACTTATGCCCTTCACTTGAAATTCGTACATTAGTTCCAGCGAAGATCTCAATGGCAGTCTGCTCCAGGTGTGGCTTCACAATCAACCAGGATTTATCAGCTCGCGGGTAGTAACCAAGACTCGGACCATGCACGGCAATCTTCTCCCACCAGGCACGCAGTTGCATTAGCTTACCTGCCCCACTAAGGTCATCCGCGTACGCAACATGCCTTACATCACTAGCTTCACCAGATTTAATCATGAGCAGGAGTGGAGTAATGGCGACGGCGTATAACGGCATGGCTAACGGATCACCTTGCGTGGTACCTTCAGCTGATGCAATTTCTTTACCACCTTGCACGAACAATCTTGAAGCTGTTACATAACAATTGAACGTATAAACAGCCATTGCAGGACAAATGTACTGAATGTTATGTAACATGATCTTGCGGTTGATGGAATTGAACGCATTGGTGGCGTCTACCAGTAAGACAGCGTCTGTTTCTTCTTCTTCAAAAATCTTCGACATGGCGTGAACAGCAGCCTCGCAGCCTGATTGTTGTCCTGCACATAGCTGCAAGTCTCCTGCGCTATCCATGATTTGTGGTTTAATGGCAAAGACAATTGATTTTCCAATTATCCGTCGTAGAACCTCTCCAATCCCAATCGGTCTGACACCAGGGTTCTTGTCCAGAGGTATTAAGCGACACGCTAAGAAGGTCTCTAAGCTGGTGGTCTGATCTGCTCCAATAACGACCTTCTGGGTTGCAAGTGTTCTCGCCATTAACGCTATTGCGGATCGTAGATCTTTGCCAGCATCTCCATAGTTGCGAGACACCAAAATATGCCGCCATCCAAGTGCGTCAAGACCTGAAGGACCAGCAGCACCTTGAGTCCTCAATGCTGCTTTTGCTATGGCTGCCTCGTCGATGTTGGCGAATAACGATGGATCGACATATGGAATTTCACCATCAATCATGACGGAATGATCCTCAGGTTGTGCAGGTGGATGTTTCTGCAAGAGGTCCTTGTACACAGCGTCATTAAGAGGAAGAACTCCACCACATGATTGTTCATCCAACAAACGTAGAGCTGCGTTCACTTTGCCACGAAACATGAGACTAGCGAAGGTCTTGGAAAGCTGTTCATTCGAAACCTTTCTAGTAGCCAGTAGTGTCGACTGGATGGTTCTGCATTCCCGAAGTAACCCATCAAAGTTACCTTGTTGCCACAAAGCCATGCGCCGAGACAGACAAGTCACATGGTCTTTCGATCTCGATTTGAAACTCGGTTTTTGTAAGAGAAGAGCAGGCATGATCATAGTAAGTTTTAAAGAAATATCATGCAAGATCTCCGAGTTACTGTTCCAAGCGTTAACAAGTCTCTCCAGTTCCCTGACGTATGACTTTCCAGCAGCTCCACTCGGCAACATAAACAGATTTTTGCGCCAAAAAACCACCTCTTCATAGGCTGCGTTAACAACTTGCTTTAGATCGTCTTTAGTGAGGCTGCCCCAAACACATGGTGATCCGCTATTTTGAGAACTTGAGGGAGTAACCGGATCGACAACAATAGAACCAGGCATACTTGATGTTTGTCCATCTTGTTGACTCGCTCCACCAGTTGCGTGTTTTTTCCTGCATGAATTTAAATGTAGCGACCGTCCTCGTTCCGAACCAAATTGTCTCGGGCACAAATTACATTGAAATGCGCGCTCTCCGCCTTTGCTTTCTTGCGGCATAGTTTCTAATTAGCGTGCTTCGTCACCAACCAATTTACCAAATCACGTAGCACGCGGTTAACGGAATAACGTTCGCAAATATAATTTAACGGTCCAAACTCGAGAAATAGCAAAATATTTGCGTAAAAGTTCCAAAAATATATATAATATAACCAATTCGAACTCACAGAATTCACAGTTGAAGTAGCACTGGAAATTATTCACGCTAAAAGCAATGAACGCGTAACCACTCCAATGACCAATGTTCGATGTCCAAATCTTGATAAAGTCACAAAATGCGCGAAAAAACCAAGTTAACAAAAAATAACACCAACGTTGTTTTAAAGATATCCTTACTTAAGTAATAACGCAATAATGTTTCTAAAAATTTAGCAGTAATTGTGTAAAAATTTCAAATGTCACGGAGCACTATTTTTTAGCGTCTTTACGCCATAGTGCGCGTGCGCGTGCATAGAATGCGTAATTATTATGCATTTCTGATCTCGATATAAAAAACTGGACAAGACTTTGTCGTTTGACTTTGTTTTCTCCCGAATCTGAGTTAATCTGTTGTTATGTGCGCATTCTGGACAAATATGAAACATCTGTCGTGTTTTATTCTGCCACCTATACACAGGTTATGGTAAGTGGTAAGGCAGTTTAATCAAACTGATGTTTACTATTGGAGAACTATTACTGTTTGGTATTAAAATCTCTCCTAGTTTTGGTCCTTCTTCGCGAAAGAAAGTATTAAAAGATTAAAAGTAACTACGATTTAGCAACACAAAAATATAATTACTGTAAGTGTTTCAGAATTACTTGTTTCCCACGCTGGTCGACCGTTCATGACAACTTACAGCAAGGGATAACTAGCAAGGGTGGCTATTCCACATTGATTACCCTTGTTCCTTGACATCATTATATACCCTTTGATACCCCAATCTGTACCCCAGCTATTTTTGACCAGCCAGTAGTCTTTACCATCCAAAGTACCATACCCTACTACCAACACACCATGGTTTAAGTCTGTACTACAGCAGTCTGATTCATCGTACACACCGCTGTGGTAGAGCTGAAAGCTGGAGTGATCAGCGTCCATAGCAGCAGATATAGGACCCACAGTCCCTACGGCAGATTGAAGCTGTTTCTCCGAGCCATTCTTGATATCAACGTATCCTATAGTGAACACGTGTAGCTAATATTTACAAACCACGACATCTCAACGATGTGATACCGCTGGTCAGTCAAGCAATATCCAGGGGCGCCGGAAGCAGTTTAGGGCGGCGGGGGCAGAGTTAGAAAAGGGCACATTCATTTTACCTGAGCAACCACACGAATAGGAAACTCAAATTTACAAGTACATGCGAACATGGTAGCAAAGGGCACAGGGCTGCCCCTGTGGTTCCGGCGCCCCTGGCAATGCCGAACGTAATCACTAGACCGGTCAAACATCCAATTCAGTATTTTCATAATTCACATATGCCGTATATTTTTCACTAGAAAACTACTCTCAAACCTTCGATTCTCACACTCTCTGAACGCGGTTGCATTTTTTTCATTCAATGCATGATTCCGGCAAGCTATGGCCTAAATTTTGGTCCAGACAAGGGGAGCGATATACAACTTTAGAGCTGGAAAGAGTATTTTAGAATGAACTGTTTGCTCGCGAATTCAGTTGTAAAATGGGAAAAATATCACTCTGTGAAGATCTGGATCAAAATCCAGCCAGAATCATGATCAATCATCCATCATTTATCCACTTTACCTGAACACGTTGCGCCAACGTCAGCAGAGTTATAGAAACAGAATAAACTTTGAACTCCTTTGTAAGGATAACTTTCTTCCGTATCAATGCCATAATCTTTAACATATCTGAATGCATTATCCATTAAGCCACCAGAACATCCACGATTTCCATACCATAACGTACAGTCGACAAGATTTTGTTCGCTAAGTGAGATCAGGTTTCCTGTTTTCTTAAAATGTTGTCCCTCCAACGATCCTGTGGCACTGAAGGCCCAACACGAACCACAAGAACCTATGAAGATGAACTCGTTTCAGCTTTGTGCTCATCTTATATTCATTTTGCATGATCCCATCTCTCATATATAGTGTAAATAAAGTTAGTTTAGTTTAGGTTTACTCCTGTAGTAACGCTGGATCAATAAGAGATGATGCTTACTGGACCTCTAGGAAGAACAGTTTAGAACTGATAGAGCTATCCAGTATAAATAAAGTTAGTTTAGTTTAGGTTTCCTCCTGTAGTAACACTGGATCAATAAGAGATGATCCTTACTTGATCTCTAGGAAGAACAGTTTAGAACTGATTGACTATCCAGTATTAATAAAGTTAGTTCAGTTTAGGTTTCCTCCTGTAGTAACACTAGATCAATAAGAGATGATCCTTACTGGACCTCTAGGAAGAACACTTTAGAACTGATGGAGCTATCCAGTATAAATAAAGTTAGTTTAGTTTAGGTTTCCTCCTGTAGTAACACTGGATCAATACGAGATGATCCTTACTGGACCTCCAGGAAGAACAGTTTAGAACTGATAGAGCTATCCCGTATAAATAAAGCTAGTTTAGTTTGGGTTCCCTCCTGTAGTAACACTGGATCAATACGAGATGACCCTTTCTGGACCTCTAGGAAGAGCAGTTTAGAACTGATAGAGTAATCAAGAATATGTGAACGCTGGATCAGTGAGAGAGATGGATCAATATTTATATTTTGGTAATAACATGGATGAATATGTTCACACAACGCATTACCCTGATTCTTAACTCTTGTGACATAACCTTTTTCGCGCCAGTCCACAGAGGAAGGCAAACGCACGTTTGAAGGCGGTAGGAATGTCGACCCGTTGGTTCTTATACCCGGCCAGTATTTGGTACCCAGCATCAATGCCTTATATTCAATCTCCGTGAGATCACCCAAATGGTTGATAGCTAATCTGTAGCTGTTGTTGCCCTTATTGTGATCCGCAACTTTCTAATAGAAAACATAGAAATATTAGACATCTTGTAGTTTTCACACAAAGCCATATCAAACTGACCCCAAAACTATTATACATTGTGCATGTCTAGGTTACTTGTTATTAGTATAACTCTGTCATGCTTTATTTGCAAACAAACAAATAGTTTATAGGCGATGTAATTCGCTTACCACTAAGGACAGGGAAGTGTTTAGTTATCCCAAGGTCTGGCGATATTGTATTCTTTAGTACTGTGTGATAAGAGCACAAACCTTCAGATTTGACCGCCATATTGCCTTGCGAAGATTATCTTCATTTGTATCTGCATATATTTTGCCATGTATATTCTTCCAGACTAGCCATTGTGCTTCGTTACCGAATTTTGTGTCGCTCTCTTCTGCCAGCGAGGCAGTGGTGATAAAAAGCCATGTACAGCCAAGGAACAAAAAATATATCCCTGCTTGTATCATCACTCAGACCATGTTTCGTCACGATTGAAAACACTCATGACTGAGTCTTGAATTATCATTGACATTGTTGACAATTCAGGTTTAACTGCCGTTTTATGCATAACTTAAAACGTGGGCTAAAAATCATCTGATCAATGGCTGACATGATGGCCTGGATCCTCAACCTCCCCGGCAGGGATTTAGCCAGAACTAACGATTTCAAAACAAAAAAATATCATAGTGCATTACGACAAAATTAGGAATGTCGAAAACTGATTTCACAGACAAGTTGCTAGGACTTGTACTTGTTTACGTATTCCCACACAAAATTCCTACAGGATGGTAAAATATTAAACACTCTACCATTTCATGCGTTCCCAACCGTTTCGGAGGAACACTGAATGAAGATCTCAGATCTGTTCTGCATTTATTGCGAAAAATAAACCAAAATTTTATTAAAAATAATTTTACATTACAACATAACACTATACCCAACCCAATTTGTTTCAATCGTGGTGGAGTAAACTTACAATTTTTATACCAGTTACGAAAAACATCTGAATTATTATTCTGCCTAATAATGATTTTTGTCCTTGCGAATGGTTTTTTGGGTTCATATTTAGACCAACGGATAACTTGCGGCTGTCGCTATCCCACATTGGTTGTTTTTGTTCCTAGACATCATGATGTATCCTTCCAAACCCCAAGATGCACCCCAGCTGTTTTTGACCAGCCAGTAATCTTCACCATTCAGAGTACCATAACCCACCACCAAAACACCATGGTCGAGCTGGGTGCTGCTACAATTTGGTTCGTCATAAACACCCTTATGATAGAGTTGGAAACTCGAATGACTGGCGTCAATCGCAACTGAAATAGGACCAACATTTGCCGTTGCATCTTGAAGCTCGGACTCTGATCCTTTTTCGATATCAGTGTGACCTTTGGAAAAGAAACACGATCATATGATTTAAGCAAAGTGATGTTAGTGTTTTGCCTCGCTTTTTTTTCCCTCTTTTGTTTATTTTATTTTATTTCCCACTCTGTGTACCTTTTATTTGTTTTCGTGTTTCGTTTTCAACTTATTTCCTAAATCTTTTCATGTTTGCTTAGTGTGCTTTGCTTATGGAACAATACTCTTCTCTTTTCTATTTCCCATGTCAAAAAACTAAATTATATTTACAACAACACGTACCACTGCAAGTTGCACCACTTTCAGAAGCACGATACTTGCATCTTCCGTCCTTGGCTTTGTACGGGTAACTGGCTTCGGTGTCAATACCACCATTGGCCTTGATGTAGTCGAAAGCATCGTCCATCAAACCACCTTCGCAGCCATTGTTTCCAAACTTTCCAGAGCAGTCGACAAGATTTTGCTCGCTGAGCGAGACAAGTTTGCCAGTTTTCTTAAAATGTTGTCCTTCAAGTGAACCGGTGGTGCTGAACGCCCAGCACGAACCACATTGTTCTAAAAACGTTTAATTGTTACTACAGGAACTAAGCTATCTTCGTTTATACTGGATAGCTTTATCAGTACTGTTCTTCCTAGAGGTCCATTAAGGATCATCTCTTATAGATCCATTATAGAGGAAACCTGAATTAAACTAACTTTATTTATACTGGATAGCTCTATCAGTTCTAAACTGTTCTTCCTAGAGGTCCAGTAAAGATCATCTCTTATTGATCCAGTGTTACTACAGGAGAAAACCTAGGGCAAACTGTATCAAAGCGTTTTTCAATTCTAAATTGTTCTCTCTGGAAGCCATATATTGGACAAACGACATACTTTGATTTTTAACTGGAGTGACGTAGCCTTTTTTGCGCCAATCAACTTCGGTTGGGAGCTCAGCGTCGACACTGGGAGGAAGGTACGTTGTTCCGTTATCTCTTCTTTCCGGTCGATAGATAGTGCCCAGCATCAATGCCCGAAATTCAACCGCCGTGAGATCACCCAAATGATTCATGGCCAGGGTATAGCTGTGTTGGCCATTGTTGTGTTCCTCGACTTTCTACGAAATTCATTAAAATGGTTTTCAAACTCACTATGCAAGGTAGAAAACGCTGTCACCAGGGACCACTTTTATAGTAAATATCTATAGCGAGGCTTCTTTTCAAGAACCTTATTTTCTAAAGCATCCGCTGACGTCACGACAAGGGCAATCTAGTTGTGAACTAGTTGTGAACTTGAATGACACTTAGGGTATGTTTGTTTAAAAAGATGTTTATTTTGCGTGTTTATAGTAAACACTAAAGTTGTAAAATAAAATGACAAAATGAAATTCGATTTCAGCAAAGTCAGTTGAGAATGAAAGCAAAACGAACAGTTTTCGATTGCTGTGTATCGTCAGTTCCATTCAACTTAAGATTTCTTGAATAAATACATGACGACTATCTAAGTTATCTAATGTGTTGTAGGGAAAATTATTCATGAAAGATTTTCTCAAATGAACGAAACTGAGGGTGGTCAATCTGATGAGAAAACCCTGAGAAAGTTGAAGTTTGTGTATCATAGAAATGATAGAATCCATGCGATAAAACTAGATTTCAAAGATATTTTAGCTAATTACGTATATACAAATACAATAGCATTGATTAATATTGGCTATAATCTTACATCATGAAACATTCCACACATCATATTTTGGTAAAAAGTGGAAAATTATACCTTTAAATTGGCCCTCCAGATCTCTTTACGATAACTTTCCTCATCACGACCATACTTCTTGCTATATTTGGCTTTGTATGCGGACCATTCGTCATCGGTGCCAAGACTAGCGCAATGAACAACAGCAATGACACACGCAAAGATTATGACAAGAGATTTCATTGTCGACGTAGAAGCTCGACTTTGAGAGACAAAAATTGACGACGTGAACTCGAATTAAGAAAAACACACGAAGATTTGTGAAACGATGCGTCGTGTTCGAGGCAAGCAATACTGTGTGATCTTGTGTCAGAAGGACGCCGTGAAATATGCTAATTATTGTGAAACATGTCTTGTGACTGTGTTTTGTAATGTGATAGGCTTGTTTGAATGGTGACGAAAGAAGGGATTCCGGTCGGTAAAATAAGAAATTTTTGTTGAAAATATGCATAGGAAACGATGAACAAAGGATTTGATGCGAGGTGTTGCAGGCTGCAGACAAGTTAGACTTACAAAAACTTGTTAAATGTCGAGAGGTTATTATTCTGTTTCAGTAGAAGAACAATACCTTAAAAAATATTGAACATTTCAACAGTAAACAAACAATTATGAAGCTGAAAATTCAAATTTCACTTTAATTCGAAGCAAGATAAGAAATAATCGTCTGAGCTTTTCAGAGTGAGGAAAGGGAATCACTGTGTCTGCAATGTTCAGTGCAAAATGCCTTTTTTGGAAAACACCCTGATCTTAAAATAGATAAAGCAAAGCTATTTGCTTGAAATAAATAACAGCGAATCCGCGGTCCACAAAGGATATTAATTTGAGACTTGACTGTTTTCATTTGTCGCGATGTAACAAGCAGCTAGATTAATATTAGCATTGTTCCCTGTTCATGTTAAAACCTGCAAGCCGTATCATGATCACGGGACGCTGTGAAGTGTCGAAACTCAAGATTTTTTCATGAAATAGATAACGGATAAATTTAGGGAGAATATAGATAAAAAAATTAACCAATTTAACTATCGCATTCTCTGGTGCCTTGGAAAGCCTGACTCGTGACGGAGTTGATTGTAATCTTATCATGTTACATCATTCCGTGAGTGAGCACACGCTAGCTTTGTCAACAAAACTATAATAGTTGCACTGCTATATATAGCGAAAGAAATCTGTTTGGCAAGCGAAGAGAATGAAAAATACAGAGAAGATGCGTTGTTGATAGTCTGTAGATAAGGATACGAAATTTTATTGAATGTACCGCCTATTCGGGGGACGAAGTGGGACCCCTGAGTTGAAGAAAAACTAAGAAAATCCGTGTACCTTAATTTCCTGTAGTGTTCTACTCTGTTCCTCGATGTTCAGACTTTCTGCTAGGGATTTTGTTAGGATTAGCAGTTACACCGCTTAGAAAACCTCGTGTAACGTGGGTAAATGTCATGCTCTATCGCTCCCCCTGGGTCTGGGTTGTGCTGACCCTTTTTCCACTCCCCTGGCGGTGGGGATAATTCGCGGTTTTTCATTTGCTCTTCAATGTCAAGAAATTGTACTGGAAGAGTTTGTGTGACGCCAATTCTTGTAGAACAAAAAGAACCGAGGAGAATTCCATTGATTTCATGCGTCAACACGATTGATACAGCGCTGATCAATTCGCATTGATAGCAATAAAAAACCTAGTTCAGTTTTGAAGCTCTTAGCGTTGATTTCAGTTTACTAATCTGTCGAAATTACAGTATAAATGCCAATTTTTATTAAGATAAAAACTGAAGTTCGCGATATCATGATTGGCGACTCATTGTCGATCATCAAGTTTGATAATGTATACTTTGAAATTTAATTTATCAGATTTAAGACATTGCAACCTGAAGTGTTGATCAAGTCGAAGATGAAACAGCTGCAACGAGTCCTTGCTTGTTAAACACAGCACGTCTAAACTAATTTGTTGTTGAACTCTGAAAAATGTTCACTGTTTCTTTACCGTCAATATATATTTTAGATCTGTCAAAATATTATGTTTGTTCAGTATATTATATGTTCGGTGTTGTGTATGTGTTTCCAATATAAACGAAAAGGAAACTTAACAAATTTAGCAGGAACATTCTCTGACTTGAAACAAAAGCTTTTTTAAACATTGGCTTCTCGTATCAGCCGAGACTGGCCCGAGAGATGTTTTCCATTTGCACTAAAGTGCCCGCAACTAGCAGCAGAGTGCTGCATCATAATGTATTTAATGACATAAATCATTTATAGAATTCAATTCTGCGATATATTTAAAGGTGCAGAGCATATGCCAAGAAATTCATTCAAGACAGCTGTAAGTATGAAATGGAATTTCCTTATATACAGCACGAACGCCCAGTAATGCATCTACAAATTTCTGTATTATATAACAGACATAAATTTTAATGGAAAAACACGATACATCAAAATTTAGATCATTATAAACTTTACCCACAAAAAACATCAGTGCCCATACTGACCAACAAAAGCATGACTAAAGCGTAATAATAAGACCCCTGTCGTGTAAATATCTCATGCTTAATAAGTAAACAGATATGCTTCTTTTATAAGGAAGTTGGAAGGATTTAGACTAATCCAACTTAATTTACAATGTCTTTGTTCGAGCAGAGCTATATTTAACATACACTATCGCAGAGTTGTTGGCTGAATTCCAAATTCCGCTTTCACGAGAAAGTGTTAAAATCAAAGATCAATTAAATATATTTAAGGATGCCCAAACAAATTATCAAACTCGACTATAGTCGTTTCGTCAGTGTGAAAATATTCTTCTAGTCGTCTAGATGTTTCTTGTGTAAAAATCTTGAAATGAAAACATCACGGCTGTATATAACACCAGAACAGACACAGGTGAAAAGATATCTTTAAGATAGATAAATGTTTTTCATTTTTTAAATAAATCAAAAGAAAAAGTCAAAGAGACAAAGAACTAGTTCTCTCGAGTTCCTTTCCTCATACATCATCAGTCGCTTAAAAAACAAATAAAAATGTATTGTTTTGTCTCTTGAAAAATCATGATAAAGTATTTAAATAATTTCTGAACAACAGCCAGTTTCCAGTTTCAATATCAAACACATGGATTTCGCGCCAGTTATCGGTAGAAATTAAAACACTTTCCTAATACCGTAGAATCACTTTCTGTTTATCATATATATGCAGTATGCCACACATTTTTACCCGTCAATTGAATTGTTAAAGAAATTTCGGTTAATATAGGGAATATCAAGTTACAGATGCAAGCAAAAGTCATAAACACGCGGTTATTCCGTTATTAAATTATCTTCGAGTCCTGCAGATAAGATTAACGACAGACAAGAGTTGTCGACTAAGCCTAAGCATGCAGGTAGCAATATCACACGAGTATTTGAGTAATTTAATCAATGTTTTGGTATGGTAAATAGCTTGAGAGTTAAAGCTTAACGTTGAAGAGCGACAACTTCACCGCAGAATGATTCAGTTCCTTGCCAGAATTTAATCGCCAAAGTTTTCCCCTTATGCAACGGTCCAATATTAACCAAAATATGGTTACTGAAAGTTTGGGAGCGGTAAACCTTTCCCTTCCCACTTCCGAGATCAATATTCCGAGCTTGCGAATGTTCTCGACCCACCCTATGATGAGTAGGATTTTAAGCATCAAGAGAAAGAGCTAGGTATTAACCAATCACGATCCAGGACAAACTATTGTCAACCAATCATTTCCCAGTAAAGAAAAAGCTTTCATATTCGCATCGTTCAAAAAACGAATAGACCCGCTCCAAGTAAGGTGGATTTCTCCGGCAGGAATTATAGGATTGCAGGAACGGTGTTTTGAAGTAACTGGGTGACAAAATGAGCTTGTAAGGGTACTTAAAACATACATGAGTTGGCCCACGAATAAATTGCAATGAAATCATTCTATATCCATATATTATCTATTTTACATGACATTTTTCTATAATTTTACAACATTTGATAACAACGTTTCGTATAAGTTAACAATAAACATTCTTTATAGCAAAAAATAGCTTAAAATTAACATTATTTTTCCTCCGAGTCTATCCCATATAGAGTGATCAACCTTTCGTGCGCGTTTAAGTATATATTCCCTTAAAATTACCGTCCATATCTATATACATAGTATTATACGAATGCTTGCTTGCAACAAAACTGTTTGACAGTTTAAAATATATGAATTGTTGTTTCCCACGCCTTTCAAAAGAATGTTTAACATTCGTCAACATCGCTAACAGCTTGAACGAAGGCCTCTTTTAGTGCGTGGAATTTTATTGATGAAATTGTTATTAAAACGATACAGCATGTCTCAGGCTTCACAATAAAATAAAATGTTTTCACCACAGTTTGCATTGCCACGGAAGTAAATAAAAATCTCGTATATGTTAGGCTATTTCATCAAAAGACGTCAAATTTATTGTCTTGAGCAAGACGTGAACCTATAACTATTTCTTATTCGATATATAATTTCACTGATACAAGTTTTTATAAGGGCTTGATGCATAGCCATAGGAGACTTCGAGCAGGCCAGGGTGAAAATTAAAGAATTTACGATAAATATATGAAATTGAATCTTAAATTTCTCATGATTAAAAAGACAAATAATCATAGTAGGTTTCCATGGCAAGCTTCAGCTCGTTCTGGAAATATTTCGCGATAATTGACGATTTTTTTCTGCAGCAAATTGATCTAATGGACGTTGCTCGGTCAGACAGCGGATCCCTGCGGGCGAAACATGCAGGATTACTCATGACCCGACAAACTAGAAACACGCACAACGTTACGCGTGTAGACAAGAAGATTAAGGAATTCGGACTACAAAGATTTAAGATACCCTTCATGCTGGTTTTTGCAATCTTTAGTAGGTTTATTTAATAAAAGGCTGACAGCGTGTTTGGACAAGTTCCTACTCGATTTAATTTGGCCGCAAATGAGAAATCAACCTGTGGTTTTATCCAATCAAGACGGATACATTTTAGGAGATCGCGAGCAAAGTGGAATATTTCGTTGCTAATCGGTTCATACGATTTTTTAGGCGGTATTTTTAACTGCAATCTGTATTGTTTGCGATGGAACAAACAGTAAAGACTGCCCATGCACATCAAAGACAACCCAGGCCTCATACGAAAGCTGGCTTTTCATAATTCATGACTCTTTATGAACTGAAGAGCAATTTCCTGTGTCCTTGAATGGACAATATGGTGTGCCGGTATGGCGCGATGCAGGGGTCGGGTCTTGAGTGAAAATCATTAAGATTAATACTTGCTAAACGATTTTCGTAATGAATTAGGCAGGGCTGTCCTATTGTGTATATATGCATAACAACACTTGCTTACCATGAGACGTGAGCGAACTAATAGAATGTTCTATAGACTATATAATATATTGCTTGCTCATGCATTCTTCAAGGGTTTATAGTTGTTCCTATGCACACTAACAAGATGCAACGAGTTGAAACTCAGATTTAGTAATCTATTTCAGTTATACGAAGCTTTTATACTCTGGATAAAAGTGTTAAAACCAGGCAAGCAATGACCTGAACGTCGTCTTTGAAACAGTCGTGACAAAGCACGAAATATATCTTCTGTCAGAAATATTAATCAAACTAGTTGTAACCGAATGATATTCTTTTTCACTTTCTTTTTCCTTGAAGTCGTACGTTTAGCGTTGGCACAATAGATTAGAGCTAGGGGCAAATGTGGTCACAATTGGTTATGCTTATCATAATTGTCTTTTGCAATTTTTCGATTATTATTCATGCAAACTTTAAGCAGGGAAATTTCTTTAATGTAATAATTTGTTTACAGACAATGACAATCTGCCCGTTCAAAGCCCCACAACAAAGAAAAGATAAAACGTTGAAACATATGCAAAATATTTAATAATCGTTTGCGGTTTGACCGTTATTCCCATGGCTACATATCAAACTGGTTCTAAAGCTTGGTTTTAACACTTTTATAACAAGATTATTATTACCAGCAAAGAGAGCGAAACTAAGGCATCAATTACAGACCTTGATTAATCTTAATAGTTGAATCCGAAAAATCTGTCTTCTTTTGACAAAGTCCAGCATTTTTCTTTATTTGCACAGCCGTGGCTTACATTATCTTATGAAACACCGTCTGGTTCAGAGCCAAGGGAAACTGCATTAAGTTAAGGCAACTCCTTTTTCCAATTCGCATAATTTCTGGGTATTGCCTTCTTGTAAACACTCCGCCTATTTTTTACCAAACAAAAACTTTCGCAACGATGGCAAGGAAGCGGTTGATGGTTGATATCCTTTGGTTGTCAACAAACCGAGACCAGATTCATTACTGCAACAATATCTTTGTGCTTTGTCGTTTAACGACAAATAGCAAGTGGAAAGAATTCATATTTATATTAATCCGATTAAATTCGTGAATTTTGTATAACATTTTAACCCTCGTATTTCATCCCATGTCTGGGTCTCTATCAGTTTCGAAAGCAGGTATACCAACACGAAATGATATCCATACCCATGACTATATTGTCATTCGTCAACTTAGACCATTGTCTGTCTGCGTTGTGTTCCTATCTTTCGTTTACAAACATTTCACCAGCCATGTTGTAATTAACAGCCCATCATTCCACGCATCTCAAGGCTTCGAAAACATGCACAAATCGCAATGATGAAGAAATAATTGTTGTTTTATCATAAAATTTTCAACTACGATCAAATGTTCACGTGTGTAAGGCGCAGTTATACAACGGAAGGCAATGTATCGAATGCATTTCCGTAGGCTAAAATTGTACTCTAAATTCATGACAACGTTCAACGTATACAGATTCACACACGTAACCGCGGAGAATATGTATCGATGCGATACATAATGGGTGCAACTAAATATTCCTTTATCTTGCAAACACTGCTCAGCTTATCTTACAATAGTATTAATCCGTGGAATGGAGCCGGTTTTTCGGCTGCCGTCTGATATTTCTTTCATAGATTCTGGTCGCTCGGTCCTATCGTAGTAAACACTGCGTCTTGAGCGTTTCTTCATTGACAACTTCAACGCGCTTCGGAATTTCGGCAGCCTCCAGGCATAGACGAATGGATTAGCAGCGAAGAGAATAAGGTATATTCCCTCACTGAGATACGCGAATCGTATGAAGTCTAAATTCCCAGCACAATGTGCACAAAGGCCTTTCGCGAGCTTAATGATCATGTAAATTGTATGTGGTGTCACAGTACACACTAGTATAATCATTGTCAGTAGAATAGCCATGGCGAATTCCTTTTCAGATTTTAAATACTGTGCCTTTCGTTCTACATTCACCTTCCCGCTATTTCTTAGCTTTTTCCCGTGATTGCGAAGCGATTTAAACGACGCAATATAAAGAAGTGTCACTGCTAACAGTACCAGAACGATCTCAACGTGAGATACTAGATGCATATACGAAGCAGTATCTTTTAAAGTCTCATTGTCCTGTAGATCCAGAATGTTCACAATCGTGGTAAAGATAAAGGAATATCCCCATATTAACAACGTCCACAGAATGAGTTTCTTTCGTGTGACGATCTTCTTGTATCGCACAGCATAAGCGACCGCGATGTAGCGATCCACAGCCAAGGCGAGGACCGTCAGGAAGGCACACTGGCCTTTAACGTGGACAAAATTGAACACAAACACCATTGATGTCTTTTCTGTTACAGCACTTCGTGATAGATTAGCAATGTACCATATTGCGTAGACAAGACCAGTCAGCAAGTCAAACGCCGCTAAACTGATCGTGAAGACGCTGGATGCTCGCGTCTTGAAACACCGAAGTGGATCTCTTGCGACAGCGAAGAGCAACGCCGCATTACCAAAAAATGCTGTCAGGGAGATTGCCAAACAGAATATCCAAGCAAATGTCTTGAATATCTCCGAGACATCTGGTTCTTCGTCCATACCGACCGTTGTGGTGGACACGGTAGTCATTTGTTCTCCGTCGTTTGCTGTCTACGTCTTGATCAGGTACAAGGTTCCAAAGCTCTTAATTCGTTTGATTCTTGTGTTCACCGCTTGTGGATATATTGGTAAGTGTGTACAGGAAGGAGAAACAGTGTCATTAGGGTCGCTGCGATGATGACGCAGCTAGACCAAGCCCGCCCGAGCGTATCGGATGCGATTGAATTTCAAAACCACAGCTGCGGGAATTCACTTCAAAGCTTATAATCTTTAAAAAAAACAGTGGAAAAACCTCTGTGCTATCAATATTTCCAACCTTTGGTTTGGGCAACTAAAGTTTAAAACAACAACATATCAAAGCACTCAACCAAATATAGCCTTGTCAAAGAATACGAGAGATGCAACAATATGAATATTTATACCGTATATAAATACATTGGTATAGGATTATCAGGAGAATTTAATTATTTTAAAATTTTAATTCCTCAAGCCACGATTCCATTGGAACAATTAGAAGACCTTTATAAATTTCGTTATACCATATATATTGTTATTATTATTATTTTTCTTGACGTTCGGACTATTTCGAGACAACCAGAATATGGTTTTCTGAATGCGAAATGTTAGGTATGTTGTATTGCAAAGCAAAAGGCCGTCTGTAACTGATATCGCTGCATCAGTAGCCTAGTGTATATATTATCTTAAATTGCATCTTTCAGATCTCTTCCTTCGATCAAAACCTGATGATGGAGAGCAGTTAGTCTTTTGGATACAACCGTAATTATTATTGTAGTTTTTAATCATGATTGATTTAGTTGTAGTAATAAATGATTGTTTGCAGTTTAAAACCATCCTTGACTTCCTAAAGTCAGCTTTTACATCCCTGACTCGGCTGACTGTGATGAATATGCAGTTAAATGTTTTTAAAACGTTCACGATATCAAACAAAGCCCTCTTTTGACTTGTCTTGTTCACAACAGGATTCTTCGCATTTAAATTTCATGAAATTATCTCCGTTGTCAACTTAGATAAGTTACGTTTATGTTAATAAAGCATGTAAATTCGTAAACTGTGGTAATAATTACTTTTGATTAAAGATTCAATGTAGAAAATTAAAACGTTTTCACTGACAATCGTTTCACGGAGTACTACACAATAACATTGGTTTCTGCATGAAAAACAGATTTTTATCTGAAAAAACAAGGCTACTTTAAAATGATTTTTCAACAAAATCATTCAACAAAATCATTCATCAATCATTAGCGAGATATGTTGGGCTATACAAATTTGTCAATTTACTGTCCAAAACACTTCAAGTTTGCGTCAGTAAATAACATTTGACTTGTGAAAATACACTGCCAAACAGAGTGTATTTTTCGAAAGTTATATTGCATGAAAAAATAAGGCGGAAACAAGCTGATGTTTCCGCCTTTATGACGATTCAGACTTTATGACGTGCCCATACAATACAGATTCATTTTGAAATTTCATTTATTTTTTAAATTAACACAGATAAACATGCACAGAATTTGATTAAGATAGTTTATTGATTTCATGGAGCTCAAATCAGACATGTTTTGTCGTTCTTATGAATTCATTAAAATTATTTGTCATGTTTTGTGTCAACCGAGGGAATCCTAGTTTCTAAGTGAACGTTTGTTTACTTCGTTATTATACGAGTGAAATCAACGATCGTCCTGTATTAGTTGAAAAGGATGTCGATGGAAAAAGAACTTTCCACTTTCCTAAAGCGTGATCTCCAATCACGACATAAAATAATCTAATATTCACTGATATATACAACTTGGAAACAACAGCAGGTTTTTTTCTACGAATGCAGACTTTTCGTCAGTCGCTTTTGGCTTTACATAACAGGAGATGCATTGAGTTGGCGTTGAGACTGGCGATATTTTGGTTAAAACAAAATTTTTGATGAAGAAGGCCCTTTCCGCGCGCCGGAGGAAGTCAACGATTATTTACTGCGCAATTTATGCAAGCCGAGTGACTAACAGTTATGACGAATACATGCAAGAATGTCGTTTTAGCAGGCTATATCGTGGGCAGATATTAGGAATATATGACGATTGTTTACAAATCCTAAAACAAATCCGTAAAAAGCTCATTCGATATCGCCCATGCTGAAAATCACAATTGTGAGAAATATTTAGAGCCATGTATATTAATTAATATATCACATCAATTAAGCAACACAAGTGCCAATTAAACTAATAGAATCACGGCACTAATAGAATTGCAATTAAAAATAGCTATTTGGGGGTGGCAATAATGCAGTTTACTGGACAGTTTTTATATTTTTAAACCTTTTAGTCCAACAATTAAATTTCGGCGCCGAGATTACCTGAAAACGATATTCGTGATACTCAAGACAAATTTGCTAAAAAATGCAATCCACTCGAGGTCTTTAAGACCCAATTTTCCAAAGATTAAGCCCATAGTTTCGAAACATCAACTGGAAAATATTTTTTTTAAGCTGGGATTATATTCGTGGGTTTTACCGTTGATGACGCAATAGGTATTGTTGTCTGAGGGTTTAAATTCAAATTGAGCCCATAGTATGGCGTATTTACACACCGTGTCTAGCAGGTATTCAAAAATCTGTTTTGTTTCAATAACATTGGGATATTAAGGATGATTTAATTAACAAAATGGCTTCAGTTCTGGATTAGATCATTCTTGTTTGCGAACTGAAGCCAGGCAACATCTAAGATCAAAATATTTCGGTTGTCATGGTCTCCACGCAGTTCATTCGTTTCATTCTTTACGAAAACAATTGAAGACAATGATAAGATCAGATTAGAGCATCGCTGAATAACTCTGCAGTTGAAACTTCTTCTCCCCACAGCATGGAAAGTCCTATATTTCATTGGTCATATTATAATCATAACACTCCATGCATATAGACTTATATAGTCCTCAGAACTAAGCCTGGGTTAACGTAAGGTTACACTCTTCAATAAACTGCGGCAAATCTTGGGGAGGTATTTCCAGAATTCTTCCCAAAAATGTCCAGCTGTGTCTTCAAAATGACTATAATCTGTTTCGTATATATATGGATTTCTTTACAATATACTCCACAAGGAGTCAAAATAGGTTAAGTGCTTTCTAAGAGTGTTTTTATAAATCCATTTCGGAGAGGATGATTCGGTGTAAGAACATTTCGATTTTTGAGGAGGTTTCTCAGGGTTTCAATCCTAACTTCCGGATTAGATTGAAGATTTCCAAAATTATTAAACTTGTATTTTCTGAGGGTTCGCCGTTCTTTTTATGGCTAAATTTGCGGCTCAAAATAATGGTCTCATGTAGCGATATCTTTGCTTTCCTTTCAATTTTTTTACATGTCTAACAAAGAGAATGCTGGAACGGCAACTAGAAAGCATCACATGAAGGTATATCCCTCAACAATAGCAATAGTTCAGCGCTTTTATCTCACCGTTATCAAGCTCAGTTGCTTCTGAAAGCATATCGTGATATAGAGACGGCCCAGGTGACCAACCTCATCGCGGGCGGCAATCCTGGGGGGGGCGTAGATATCGCAGTTTTCTACCCCTGACTGGCCTGACATAATTAATTGCTGGCGAGAGAACACCATCTGTTCCGCTGTAAAAGGCCAATTATTCAAACCGCACACAGCCAAAATACTGCGATATGAGTATCGCGCTAGACGTACTTTATATAGGGTGACACATCAGTCGTAAACATGTAGAGTGAATCATTTAGGATCCACTGATGCCAATAATTTGAAGATACGGATCTTGCAAGGTCATAAGTATCAGTATTATCACAGGCAACCTTATAGTTTATCCCACAGGCCACATCCTCTTTTGACCACAAAACCTGAGATAGTGTTCTATAGATATCGTCCAAGATTTATATAGCCATGCTTCGCTGGCAAATTGAAACGGCAGGTTTCTTTGAGTATTTTACTGTTTTATTGTTCGTCAATAGGCGAGCTATCATGGAGTTGAAACAAATGCCCTAGTATTGCATGCTAACCTATTTTTAAAAAACTTTACCGATTTAGACAATTTCCACACGTCAAAGCATTTTTCAGTATTCTTCAGTAGTGTATCGAATCTCATCTCTATAATCAGACACCGCGCAAACTGTTTTAAAGAAACTATATAGCTACATATGTGAGCCACCGTTTGAAATTCAATATCTTGCTGTGTGAGAGAACCATTCAAGGGTTGATTAAATATCTAAGCGAGAAAGAACCGTCTCATCTTCACATGATAAGTGTTAAAAGTTAGTTAAGAACTCAGTATATCCCCTTCACGTTGAAGCTTTGCCCATATCGGCGGTATCGCTTTGGTTAGAGTGCAACCTACTAACTACTTCATAAGCCCCACGTCATTCCATTCCAAAAGTATGAAAATTGATTAATTTATCAAATCAATCATTTATCAAGGATGTCACTTAAAGTGTGGCTCTGCAAGATAACGTTTTCAAGATAAGAAATGGTTTTCCGCAAAGCCTTTGAGCGATTGCTGACTAAAGATGACTACCAGGTGCTCTTCGTCATTCAAACTTTCCTTTCCATTAGGGAGTCGTATTTTATGCATTGCGCTGGTACCAGCCATAAAACTTTCAAATTTTCGTGACACAACGTCAACAGCTAAAATAAATGTTTCATCTCGTCTCAAAGTAAACACTAGTATCGCGAAAAACGTGACTTTCTGATCATCGATAAATGTTTTTGCCTGTGTAAATTGAGAAATAAAACTCCAAAAGCAATGAACAAGAAGCGTAGCTACCTTGCACGGCGGTGTTTTTGACGAGACGATTTTTTTTTATCGCATCAACTTCCTTTTCAAATTCAGCCATGGATTAATATCGCAACTCTCTCACAACTTACAGAAACTCTTGGGAAATGAATTTTGCTTGATCGGAGAATTTCTCCTCGCGAAAAAACCGCATTTCATGACGTAGTAGTCGTACGTATAGGATAGAATCATTAGTTTTTATTGAAACCTTTTTTCCGTATGTAAAGATCTGGCAGAAAGCAAAAGCCTAAACAGTTATTTAAAGCAAGGACAAGGTTAACTTACCCTCAATGATCGGATAGTGGCCTCTGTGCTGTGAAATCGTGACTGAATACACAACAACAAAAGTATGTTTTGAATTTGTTTTGAGTTTTGAGTGCAGAATGTATGTTTCCCAGGAACACCTGACAAGCTCGACTATCAAATTGCCCGCATAAAAACAATGATATGATTAGACCAAAAAGCACTTAACAGGTCGCCAAAACACGTCTGTTTTTCTAATTATTAATTATTTCTATACAGAACTGCATTAATTGTTTATTGATATTCAAATGTCCATAATAGCATATTGCGAATTAGTGAATTTGCGTCAACTTTCGCAGTTTTAGCTTCAGTCGAAGGAAGAGACTTTGGAGGCTTGTTACAATGGCAATATCGGGCCAGCGCATTTCATAAAATCATATTATGAATGTTTAAGTAATTTGCAAAAAAATTGTGAACGGAAGTTGTTTTTATCATTCAATATACTGGCAGGTACTCGGAAGTATTTTTAGAGTTTCTTTGTAGGACGTAATAACATGAATTTGACTGACCCAAAATGTGACACTCTTCCTGGTAACTCTGAACCGGTCGCGACCATGTCCTTAACTCTCTACTTTTTCCAGATATTCAGACGAGCTTTCCACTTCATGTGGCAATTTAGTCACAATTATGAGGGCAGTAGGGTGCGGTGGGCCGGTGGGGCAGTGTGAGGTAATGCAACTAACAAACACACCAATAATCAACCCACTTGGTCCTAGTAGGTGTGTGTACGTTTGTACCACAAGTATTCAATTTCATAAAACAATACCAAAATATTGGAAAACAATGCAATAGAGTGGAGAGAATTGGACGTTTCCAAGTCAATTTCAGAGACCATTTAAAAGCATTTTCTTTGGCTAGTTTAACATGTCCCTCGAGACAGTTGGTCCCATAGTGTCATGTGTCAAGGCTTAGAGTCTTGTCTGTAAAACTACTATGATTACTAGAGATGACAGCTTCCTGATTTATAATGATCACAAAATATTGCAGACACATCCTAGTTCTCTTTCAATGTTTGAAACATACTAGTTTTGTTTCAATAAATGACTTTTCTTCATGAAACATTGTGAGCTTGAGAGTTGTCATCTTTCAAGCTAAGACTGTCAAGCATCACCCGACAGCACTCTTTGCCGCCAAAGACGGGTCAAAATTAATTAAATTATGATTAATTAACGAAACCCAAGATGCATGCAACCAAACACAGCTCATACTTGATGTAAGAAGTATCATAATCCTTTCTTTGATGTTGCATCCTCTTTCTTGTTTTTATTGATTATATATAATCCCAATACGATCAATGACGCCCCTAACCACCACTGTAATGATAAAGTTTCACCAAAAAAGAGCTTACCAAATAAAGCCTACAAAAAATAAAAGCACACAACTAGTTGCAAGCTTAAAACATTGAATATTGAGTTAATTAATCACCCAATTAAACATATCAAGATCAGTGTTGGTAACTGAAATGGAAGGATGGGGGGGGGTGATATTTTCAAGATTATGGGGGAGGTTAGAGATGGGGGTGACTGGGGATTAGTGATTGGTCTTTATTGCCGATATTATGTCATCATTAATGAGTGGTCAGTTGGGTGTTCTGTCTGCTATGGTGGGGGTGTTGCAGGTGAGGGCATATCGCTTGCAAGGAGGTGGGGAATAAACTGATTAAACTGTGTTTTTATATAGTGAACTTACACTGAATAAAAAGTTTGATGCACTGTTTGTGATCAGGGCTTGGGCAGAGGATGAGTTTCGCATTGATTTCACAAATAACGTCCACATAAGACCATTAAACAGAAATGTTAACCCGAAGATTACAATCCTTGATAGAAGGATAACCTAAAAAATTGGAATTTAGATCTTTAATCTTTTTAATGGCAAGTAAAGATCACGTTTATAAGCACAATAACACTGACCTTATCGCAATTCTCTACGCTGATCACAAGCCAAGGCTGGACAAACGTGCAAAGATCATTGTAAAACGCATGGTCTGAAGAGAATGCAAGCTTTGCACAGAGCGAGGCAATGGCTGCACAGAATCCCGCCGAAAGAGCAAAACCAACACTCAGCATTCTTATATTTGATTTCATGAGTATATTGCTGAGAAATGTTATGAAACAAAAACATTATTCAGTATTAAGATCTGCTACAAACTACGAAGCCATTTTTATGGTCTTTAAATAAATTTCCAAATTAAATTTACATGAAGTCTTCACACCTTTTCGAGGTATGTTTGCGGGCCCATCCGGTTCCATGGTGGGGCATTGGGTGGAGTTTCTGGCCTTTTTCCAGAGGGATTGATACACCCCCCCCTCTTTCACAAAGTCTTTCGTAGCGAGAACCTACGGGAAAATCCGCAAAGGCCTCTCTAAGTTTCCAAAAACTGATCAAACATGACGAAATTAGAAATCTTCACCGACTTCACGATCCAAGATCTATTGGATTTTCTCTTTCATCTTACATCGGAATAAATCGCGCTAAACCAGTCTCGTTTTTCGCTTTTTTGTCCCAACCAACACGAACATTATCCAACACACACAGCTCGCGAAGCAAATACTCAAGAAATTAGTTTCAAAATTATTATAATTTGAAAGCAAAAGAACATCGCATTATAAAGAGTCTAAATCTTAAAATACTCCGAGATTTGATTGACGGTAACGTCGCTACATATATACCATACTTTCAATCGACTTTTTAGTTATTATCTTTCAATATCTGAGAGCACTAGCGTCACCCAATTCATATACCAGGTCACAACTGTCGTTACAAAAACACGAGTTAGGAAAACTAAAGTCGTACATGAGCTTATTGATTGGTGAACTGGAGTTACCCGAGTATATCAGTTCCTATACGACAAGTTGTGAGAAGTTTTCATTCACAAAACTGCCAGTAAATTAAAAGATAAGCTCCTGGCATATTAAAAAAGCTCTCGACTTCGCCTCGTTGACTAACAGCTCATGTAAAACTCCAGCTAATGGAATAATCGCTAATCAGTTTGCACTAATCCTTGTTCTCGCAAATTAGAACAACAACTGGTATTCCTAATTTTCTGACACTACATTAACAAACGTCTTAAAATCCTACTGCCTTTCAATTTCACCTGATATTTATAGTTTACATTTCGGCAAATGATGCATTTACGCAAAGCTCTCGATAAACAATTAGTACTTTTTTGATATTTGCGAAAATATTGAATAAATATTTCTAAGTCTGCAACCATTAAAGAGTATCTTAATTTTCTTTTGCTAACCAGAAATTGAAGTGTGTCAGTTAGCCGGCCTCAATTTTAAATGATTCTACAGCAATCCATGGTTAAACGATTTAAACCATTTATGTGTGTAGAATTTATGTATATTGTTGTTTTATTAGGGTAGAAATACATCCACAGTTCAAAAGGGAAGGGGTTTGGAAGCTAGCAGCACCCGCCTCCATCATTTGATCGTCCGCCTCCCATGGGCATTGAGGGATTTGATGGCGAATGCTGTGGGCCTAGCTTGATACCATTAGCCTAAAGAAGACAGGATGTTATTTTAAAAAAGTTACAATTAAACATAAGAACTGGTTGTATTTCTTGAATAGTTAAAAATGATCAACTGGGACTCACCTCATTATTTATATCAAAGACTCCCTCCTGGATTTTCTTGTAGATTTCCTTCGCTGTGTCAATGAATGCCTGAAACAACAGACCACATCTTAAGAATACTCAAATAAAAAAAAGATCACCAATGCCAACCAAAAATACAGACGCAAAGCCGCACCTCTTCAACATTTGCTGCAGTTTTCGCTGAAGTTTCCATGAAAATAAGACCGTGCTCTCTGGCAAATGATTCACCCTAGAGAAGATGTTTGTTAGTTTGAGTTGAATGATCAAACTAGGGTTTATCAGGACAGAGACTAGTACCTCTTCCCTCTTCACTTCACGTCTTGCTTCAAGGTCACTAAAATCAACCAAAAAGATATCAAATGCATGTACAAATACAACGCAAGGTCAGTTGTGTGCAAAGCATACAATATTTTGATTACCTCTTATTTCCGATGAGCATAATGACCATATTTGAACTAGAGTGTTGTCTTGCATCTTCCAGCCATGTTGTGAGATGGTTGAAAGTGTCTCTTCTGGTAATGTCGTAAACTAATAATGCACCAGCGGCACCACGGTAGTAAGATCTTGTGATTGATCTAAACGACTCCTGTCCTGCCTGTGAAAGCACAATACAGGATGATCAATGAACTGCCTTTCCTTGCAACTGGATTTGAAAGCCTTTATGAATAAAGTCATGTCGAAATATGCTTTGTTTATCAAATGTATTGAATCTGACAAAGCCTGAAATAAATTACCTTGCTTGAAACAAGCTTTGAGACAATCAAATCATGTTTACCTGCCAATGACTTGGTAAACATGGCACAAGAAGCAATTATAGTAACCTTCATATATACGTTTTTTTATTTAATAAATGAAGTTTATATCTTGTTTGTTAAACAATGGCATAATAATGGGCAAGCATAAGAACTTACGGTGTCCCATATTTGTAGCTTGATTTGCTTGCTATCAATAGTTATCATTCGCGCACCAAACTCAACACCTAGACAGAGCATAGCAGAGAAGATTAGCGACGAAACAAGGACAAAGTTCATTCAAATCATTGCATGTGCATATATATATTTTAGGACTTTAAAAATACGAGGTAAATAAACACATTTATGCCGTCAAACCTACCTATAGTCAGATCGTGAACAGGCTGGAATCGTTTGTCCGTGAACTGTAGTAAAAGACACGACTTCCCAACGCCTGGAATGTGAAAAAAAACGACCACGATCGCATTAAAGAGAAAACGTAAGTGTTACTCAATCGAGTCAAAATGGCGATCGCCTGTCACCCATTGAGTCAAAGAACTATTTCATAATCGATACCCTGGGTTTCAGACAGGCAAAAAATACAGCGATATTAAAAAAATAGGTTTCATACCTGTATCCCCGATGATAATATATTTAAAAAGATAAGCGTAAGACATGTTTTTAGTCGATATTTTGAACAACAGGATCAAAGGTTCAAATCTTTTGATGTCTTTTCAGTTACTAATTTATGAATGACGTCATTGTGCGCATGTCAGGTTCTGTAGAATGCTACGTGTCAAATGCAAATTTTTCTCAGATTTTTTGGGAGTATCTTTTTAAAGTCATGAAGCTTCATGAAGCTTGTTTTTCACGCAAATTATTGGGTAAAATTTTTGTAGTTTTACTTATCGAAGAAGCATAGATTTTGCCTGATTCTTTCTAACAAGACGGTTAGCTTAGGGGCCTTTTCACTGAAATATTATTGAACCTCTACAATCAACCTAATCTTTAATGACTGATCTTTAATGCGCTAGCATTATGGCAGAGGAAATAAGCATCATGGACGAAAGCGGGACTTTCGAAAAATTATAGGCACAAGGACAAATGGGACATTCTGATCGCTGTGTAGCAGCTGGATGGATGATAAAGCTAAAGAGATACAATCATATAAATAGAAATTTCCACAGATAATTTAAAAATGTATTTAATTCACATTAATACACAGCATTCAAAAATGAAGTTAAAGTACTATAATTATTCCATATTAATTATTCACAATCTATTAACAAAGATATATAGAAAATTCCTGTGGGTTAGCATAAATAAGTACGGATGGTTAGAATTTAAAAAATATCATACATACGTGTTACAAATTCTTTCTACGGCAGCCGATAGTGTTTTCTATTAAATAGTAAATTCTATACATAAATGTCTTATTAAGGAAATTATGCAAAACCAAATTAAACGTTCAAATCTCCGTAGGAAGATATTTTATTTTACTTTCTTTACTTATATAGTTGTCGCCAAATAAATACTTTTGCCCAACCAACCAACCATCACCACTACCCACTGCCTTACCCAAAAACAACTCAAAAACCATCAAGATTTTCATGGAAATTCACCAAAGTAGGAAAATAGAGACTGGCAAGGCGATGCTGCTAAGCAAATTTTCAATAACTGCGAACGAGGCTACGATATTCAACTATCCCTATCCGCTGAAGACGATGGCAGCAAAGTTCTCTTCCATATTAAGATGGAGATTTCTAACTCCCTATTCAAAACATATCGCGCTCCAGTCTCTATTTTCCCGCTCAGTTGATAATTACAAGGGTGAAATTACGATGGCACGGGACTTGAAGGGGTGACGGTATCTTCTTCGCTAGCATCCAGACTATCGCTCGGCTCGTTCTCGCTATCACTGTTGAAGACCTTCATCTCCGAGTCATCTTCGAGATCTAATTGTTTCGTATACTTCGCCTCCGAAGATGTAGGTATAGCGGTTGGAAAGCCGTTAAATCCGAGGGACTCGCTCAATTTTGTGGTAGGTGGAAAACTGGACTCGTACGCATTCTTTTGAGCATTCGACCCAGTACTGCCTGACGAGCTGGTCGAGGTCGGGCTCGATACAGCCGAGGTTTTAGCTTGACCTGCGAAGCCCGAGCTAAAACCAGGTGAAGTGCTCGCGGGCGGATGAGGATAGCCAATGGGATTAGAATAGCCAGGGTAGTTCACAAATGGATTGCTACCGAAGGGGAACTCTGTGTTGTTAAATGGCGAGAGAAGAACAGGGGTTTTTGAAGTTGGGCTCAATACCGCCGGGTTGCTAGAGGATCTTAAGGGTGGTGGATGGTCATTATCGGGATGTGATGAGGTGGAACTATGGCGACGTTGAGGGACGTCCAGGTCTCCATCAGTACTTGAGGTAGTCTACAAGGGAAATAAAGGAGAGAGTGGTTAGGCCTGGTTTGTAACTCTGTCGTTACTTCACTGTACTTGTCCTTTACAATCCATACTTTACTTTATACGTCCCTATTGTGTCCTTACATGTCCACGCTGTACCCTTACTAGTCCTAACTCCTAACTGGACCGTGGGAATCACCGAGAACTACCATTTAAACAAATGCATGGTGAAAGGGAAGGACAGGAAAAGAAGGTTAGTATACCTTAAGTACGCTTGTTCTTACTGTGCTTGATGGTGAGGTCGCCTCGGTGTTTGCATGGGGAGGAACACGAGGAGGCTAGAAAAAAATAAAGCATTTTAATAGTGAAATACTTGGAGAAAGTGGAACGCAATCTGCGAGCCAGATTTTCAATACAAGATACATCAACTTATATATATATATTTAACTACCTCTGACAGTTGATTCTCAAGCGAAGCTCCCCTCAAATTGACATCTTTCACGATCACCGACTCATGAGGCTGTGGACCGTTCATCATTTCTCCTTGAATGAACGCGCCACCACCACTCTTGTGAGCGTGGGCCCACTCCACGCCCGGTTGCGATGCCAAGCCCGCGTGGATGGTATCAGCGGCCGCTTGCGCCATCAGCTTCTCCATTTTCGACTTTCGGCCGCGTTTCTTCTTTTCTGTCGGCAGTTTTTGCGGTTTTTCGGTTCTTCGTTGTCGCTTCCTTCGCTGTTTTGGCGCCGTTAACTGCGGCACCATTTCCGACGGCTCCATGCCCATGGGATAGTTGGCATCATTTTGATACGGTGGTTGTTGTAAGAGAGCATCAGGGGGTAGATTCATATCACTCAGTCCATCCATCATTGCACCTGCTAGAAGACGGGGGGAGGACCTTAATTTTATTGAACTACTCAGCGATTCTCAAAAACGAATGAATATGTACTCTGCATAGGCATAGTTTTGGGAACAATCGTTATGGATTAACTTGCAGTTAAATAGCAAGGTTTTGGCAGCTGTGTGGAGTGGACAGGGCTTAAGTCCAAGGGTGGTGACTTAAAAACTTTAAAAGATTTTAAACGAAAACATCATCAAACCTTCTTCATCTTTCTTCTTCCTCTTTCTGTTCTTCTTCAAGGTCACTTTCAATCCCTCGTGCTAAATACAAGAACATGGAAAGAGTTCGGTCAGGTTTGGGAAACATTTTTTGGCAACGCAAATCAAAGTTGGAAAACAACATTTTTGGAGCAATATTTACTCGGGAAGAAATTGCTTGACAACTACTTTATAATAAAACTAATACCTTTTTAACTTTGAAAGCCTTCGACACCGGGTCAACCAGAGCCTCTGGTCCCAAGCTGCCGTCCATTTCGCCCTCGGCGTACACAGGGAACCCACTCGGGGACATTGAAACATCGCTAGCGGCAGGAGCAGGTTGATCAATTAACCTTTCTGGTTTTTCCGGTTTTGCTGGCCACTCGCCGGTGAGCACTAACTGGCAGAGTTGCTGAACTCTGTGGAAAACCACGCGATCTTTTGGCCACCAGATCTTGATCGAAAGAGATTCGTTGACAACAGGATTCAGGTTGTTTACATCCGGGGGTAAACTTCCCTGGGAGTCAGCGTCCATGAATGTCGGCGGAATATCCGGTCGTCTTTCGGCACCTGGGTTGAAGTTACCGCTAGGATTAGCTGGATTGGACGGAAGCGAGGATACTTGTTTGACCAATGAGGAGAGCGCGTCTGATCCGGGTACAGAAGGCATGTCGTTGATGTAATTCTAAAAATTTAAATTCAAAACAAGTTTACATTGAGTTCGATTCGTACCAGTACTACACGGTGAAAGCTATTTTCCACAGGCTCACCTGTTTATTGTAGGGTGGTGCGGGTTGGGCGGGTGGTGCAGATGGCGCAGGTTCAGTATTTCTTGAAGTATCATCAGCTGTTGTAGCACTCGCTGTTGTCTGAGGGTTAGGTAGGATCACGCTGGTTGGTTTAGGGGTAACTGGGAATGTCTGTGTATCCAGAGAGCCTTCTCGACTCTCTAATGTCTCGATCTTATCTAGGACATTTTTATCCAGTCTTCGCTCGAACGACACAGGAGTTCCGCTGACACTTCGCGACGCAGACTCGGGACTGCCGCTGGCCAAATCCATTGAGTTGCCTGCAATAAACACGAACATAAAATGCGTTAATAAAATAAAACAATGTGATCTTCTCTACGATAAGTAAATAACCAACCTGCCAGTGCTATATGCTGTGTATCCATTTCAATTTTCAATTCATAAAACGACAGTTCAGGATCTTCAAGGATATTGAGATCAGTTCGTGTAAGACCGTGTTTCGAGACACCAATGAGGAGATCCTTGTCGTGTTTCTCACATTGCCACCACGAGGGAAGATCTGGGGTTAGCTGTGCCAGTTTCAACCTCTCATCAAGTTCCGGGTGATTGAGGACCTCCAAGCGCAGCATCGTCATGAGTTCAACACGTCGTAGACACCTGTTCGCTCGTTCCTCTGAGATAGCTTCTACGTTCTGACCTGAGGAAAACATTTGAAAATGTAAATAGTTTGAAGTCATGAGTATCGTTATCGGGTCAGCGCGGTCCTGTCGTTGAACTTGTTAGCAGTAGCCGGGTGACTGTTGAATAGGACTATCGCAATACGGGTGAAAACATTAGTCACGACAACCCAGATCAAACCAAGGGGACAACATTAAGCCAGAATAATCAAACATCTACAAACATATATTTGGAAATATGCTATGGATAGGAACGTGACGTGATTGTGAAAAGAAAGACACTCATTGTGTGATCTATTCCACTTCAACTACACGCGCCAAGAGCACCTCACCATCAGGCGACAAAGAGTAAAGGATTTTGTAGTGGGTAATCAGTTCTGATAAAAGTTGAAATACAATCATACCTAGAATAATCTCCTCGTCAGTGGCTCGACCGCACACTCGCTTACACATCGCCAGAAACTCGTTAAAGTACGCAGACAGACGATCATCATTTTTCTTGTCAAGACGAGCCATTTGTCTGGAAAAGAAACATGCGATATTCCATTATTAGAAGAGGGAGGGTGTATCATATTGGTCCGTTCGTTGCAATGAAGGTAAGATGTGATTTGCGAGCCTTATTGAGACTTACCTAAACTTCGTCCAATCGTACTCTCCCGTGCCTGGGTTGATGTGAACACCGTACGTTGAAACACAACGATAAAAATCGACTTCCTCACGTTTTGACCATCTACGAAAACAATGTATTTGAGAGTTATGCAATTGTCTGGAGTCTCTATATATGTATGTTTATTAACTGAACAACTATTTTTATGGAGCCTCGCCGAAAACTACAGCCAGCCCATGCAGAGAACATCAGAAGGAAGGCAGCAACATGGTTGGTTCATCAGAGACAATAAGATAAACGTGACCCATGCCTTTTCATCATTTGTCATGAAATAAAGAACAGGAAAGTTTTATTAAATATCAACTCACTTCTGAGCTTGTTCTGCTTTCTTTAATTCTTTCTGTCTGACAGCTTCTTCCACCTTTTCTTTTCGTCTGTTTTCCTAGAAATGCAATGAAACTCTAGACATTGTTTTCTTTCGTAATTCAGACACAAACCACGACAGCTTATTGTAGAATACTACCTACACTGGACCACCACGTTTGAGATATCTTTCTCAGGCAGTTTAGACACAAACCACGACAACTTATTGTACAATCCCCCCTCTCCCCGCCCCCCAACAAACCAATCCTAGTCTCTCACCTTCTCTACTGCAACTCTCTTCAGTTCCTCCTTCTTCAAAATGCGCTGAAATCCGGCGACAATTCTCCGTAGTCTGGTATTGAGGTCAGAAGGCGACGGCCAGGGAAGAAAGTTTGATGCGGGCGCAGGATTAGATTGAGAACCTGAGATCAACATCGAGAATTGTTTTCCTCAACATCGGCACAATTCAATTCACGCTCTCATTCATCAAGCCTCAACATTTGTGGAACATACCTTCAACAGCAGGTGGTTTCTCGGTCTTTACACTCTCCTTGCTTGCTTGTCGAGCGTCCTGAAAGTGAAAACGAAATATGAAGAGCGATGAAACCGAGATATTTTATTAATTAAACAAACAACGTCGGGATATAGAATACACTTTGATCAGTCGAGTGAGTATTGTCATCCGTTGTGTATCAGTAGTCTAACATGTAAAAAGCATCATTTCAAAGTGTCAAGGACTGAGATACAGAAGTCTCCAGTGTAAAATAAACTTGATTCATTGGTGGGAATCAAAGGATTAAAGGTGAGGATCAAGGGATTAAAGGTGAGGATCAAGGGATTAAAGGTGAGGATCAAGGGATTAAAGGTGGGATTAATGCTAACACATTCTGTGTTGAGAGATTAGACAAAATGGAGTTATATCCGATCGCTTTACCTTTCCTTCCATATCAAAGTCAACATCATCATCGGACTCTCCCTCTTCATTTTTATTATCCTGAGGAAGATGATAATCTGGATCATCTCTGCTGTCGTCTTCCTCCCTGTAAGAACGAAATAATATTTCTCCAGCATATTATGAATACAAGAGACAAGTGTGGTATCATTACTACAAACACTGACGCTACAAAACAAGCATACTTCACTAGTGAACAATACCCAGTCAAGCTTTTTTAATTACCTCATTCCTTCACCATCGATGGCGTCACCAGTGGTTGCGTCATCTGATGACGTAGGCGGGCCACATATCTTGAGGAATATCAAACAAGGATCAGCTCTGATGGCGTTGTAGCGTTCGTAACCTGCGAAATAAAACACAATCCGATCAGCATCCTGGAGTAGCCCGCGGTACGCTGCTTTTGTGCTTTTGCCACTTATCATGTTGGAATAAATGATGAATTACATGCAGTGTTGGTACTTCCTAAGCAGAAGTGAGCATCTAACCAGCTTTATTGCAGCGCATATGGATTCCCAATGATAGGTTACATACCATGTTTATAAACACCGATCACCAGAGATTTATCAGCGTCTTCGCTCCACCAGTCGATGGGAGGATCACCTTCCGTCACAGGAAGATTCACGTTGATATCACTGTAGAAGAGAAGCCTTACATGAAGTTTTTCAGATAGTTCAGACATCTAACTAGTCTTGTGTATTTGAATACCTTGCTAAGCAGTCATTCCGTACAGCGGCCTCCATAGCCCCAACAACTTCCACACGCATTATATACAATAATCTGACCCGTAGTAAAATTCTGAAATATAAAAGATAAACAAATGATCTCGCTGTTCATTGGAACAACGAAGGAATAAAGTATTCCAGAACACTGGATCAATACGAGATGGTCACTGTCGGTCTCGTAGGGGGAACTGCTCAAAACTAGAGAAATAATCTTGTGTCATGTGTGAATCTTAAATCAATCCCCACAACTTACTTGTTACAGTGATGTCGTAGATGTTTCTTATACCCCTCGTCCAGGATCAACAGCTCTGGATTAATACTCTTCCAGTCACCCAAAGCTTCAATCACGGCTATGGCGCTCTTGTTCACGTTCTTGCTGCTACCCTTGCCTTTCTTCGCGCTCTTCTTCGACTTCTTCCCACTCCCCTTCTGCACGGGCATGTAGGTCGCGTCCAGGTCCTCGCTCGCCAGCCTCTCGCGCGTCGTGAGCGGTTTGATCAGCTCGAGAATGAACGATCGTAACTTCTCGTCGCCGCGATACGCGTGCACACAAAACAAGAGAATCGATCGTGATATTGCTTCCACTTCACGCTCACTTAGCTTCCTCTTTCGAATGGCGTGGATAACATCTTTCCATCTTTGCCAGCTAAAAGTGGAAAATTACGTAATTCGGATATTTCGCATGGTAAGTTTAGAACGATGTGGGCAGGAATAGAATAAAGGTTGTCGAGAATTCAAATTGTGAACGGGATTGGCCTCATTAGCAGCCTCTTATGTGTAAAAACCTCGTCACAAAGCAAAGTCAGAACACTGTTTAAATCACTGGCCATCTCGTCGTTGATTGAAGAGTGAATTACAATAGAAATGAACTACCATACTTGATCTCGACCATGTTAGTTTAAATCTTATCTAAAAACCGTACGGGGTCATGAAGAGGATTGCCAACCACTGTTATCCATACTTGTCCATACTTACCCAAAAACGAGGAGGTTTTTCTCGACTTTGAAGCACTCGACTCGTGACCAGGCCTTACGTTTCGCCTGCGGTACCTCCTCGTCAGAGTCAAGGTCTGACAACTCAAAATCAACGTCATCTCCGCGGCCATATCTCTTGGTTTGTTTACGTTGACGAGGAGCGTCAATAATTCGCTCATCCTTGGAAGAAAAACAAAGATTCATTTCACTCAAAGAGCTGTCAAAAATGTGCAATCTACCAGAGATTTGGACGTCTTAGTTATTCCCCTGAGTACTTTCACGTGTTGTAATAGGGGATCAAGGAGGATTGGGGCTCACCTTATTCATGAGCTCATCGACATCAATATCAGCTTTCATCGCCCATTTTTTCCAGAAATCAGGGTCATCGATGTCTATTTCATCTCCCTTCTTCGTTGCCGTGAAACTTGCCTGAAGAATGGAGCAAAGATGTCAATTTTTAACCGCAAATGCAAAGCTATGCTTCCCCATGCGGACAAGACAAGTCACTTCGGCCAAGGTCCTCTATGGCAAAGCAAGGACCAAGCTAACCACATCTACCGAGAAATATCCTAATTCAAAGCTTTGGTAAATAAAGAAAGGAGAAATCAAGAAAGACATCAGAAGGAAGGCAGCAACATGGTTGGTTCATCAAAAATGATCAGATAAACGTGACTCATGCCTTTTCATCATTTGTCTCAACAAACAGTGTAACCTCGAACATGGCCTCGTTCAGGAACGAACTCTTCGCTTCTTCAAGTCGCTGTTATCGATTTCTTTATTTCACAACAACTTACCTTAGCAAACGTAGATCCCTGTCCCACTGAATCTATAGTAATGATTTGTGTTCGTCGCTCCAGAATCTGATCGATATCTTCTTCACAAAACCTAGTGAAGCCAGAGTGAAGAATAAGCGACTGATTTATCAACACATATCAGTCGTTGTTTTTGATATTGCCCTGTGTTACTCCTATATATCCCACATTCTCATACAAGGTGTTCAAAAGAAATCCAATGCATGGCCTCATTAGCAGCCTCTTATGTGTAAGAACCTCGTCAGGAAGTCAGAACACTGTTTAAATCACTGGCCAGATTGGTCAAAATGACAAGATTAAGTGAACATACTTCGAGCTGGCCTCGTCGTCGTCCATCACAGCGCCATAAGCACCTTTCCTCAAAAGATCTTCAATCTCCTTCTTAGACAGCGCTTGCTGCAGAATAAACAAAATAAACATCTACATTATAGGCAAACGATAAACAAAATTTGCTTTGAAGCTACGGAATATAACTGCGGTTTATAACTACCGAAAACACTAGTGAACAAAATTCTCTTTCTATCGGAAAATGATACAATGGGTCCACGATTCTTAGGAGCGAGTATGAATCAGGCCTATGTCAAGGCCCTGTAACACGGTGCAATTTTTCTTGCAACTTACAATGCAATTCTACTTTTGAGAGTTGTAAATTAGTGAAAAGGCTTCAAAATGTAAGTGTAAGAAACGCCATATGGAGTGTAATAAAAGACAAAAGTTTGGAAGTTGCCAAATTTACATCTCTCAAAAGAAGAATAGCATTGCAAGTTGCAAGAAAAATTGCACCGTGTAACACGGCCTTCGTCAGGTCGATGAGCAGATTCAGAGAAACACACTTGAAAAGGTTCACTTACGTTTTGTCCACCAGCGGCATTCGTGTTGCCCTCCTTGGCGTTCATTGATTGCAGGACAGCTTTGTCCAAGCCAAGCTTCAAACTAGCTCGATCAAACATCTCTCTTTCATAGGAGTTCCTGGTTATCAGGCGATAAACCTTCACCGATTTTGCCTGCCCAATACGATGACACCTGCAAGAAACGTGCAAGACACGTGTGTCACCTGATCGCTGAGCAAGTCAAAGCGCCTGGGCTCGAGCTTGATAGAAAAGCGGGAAAACAAATTCGAGAGTTAAAATACCTTGCTTGAGCCTGCAGGTCGTTTTGCGGATTCCAATCTGAGTCGAAGATGATCACAGTGTCAGCGGCAGTCAGATTAATCCCCAGGCCACCAGCGCGGGTACACAGCAAGAACACGAAGCGATCTGAGTCGGGTTTCGAGAAGCGATCAATCGCCGCCTGACGGAGATTACCACGAACACGACCGTCGATCCTCTCAAACAAATATTTCTTGCAAATAAGATAGTCCTCCAAGATGTCCAGACATCGCACCATTTGAGAGAAGATCAATACCTGTAATAACATGAGGTATTTCCAGTGTCAGACAATCTGGAGAAGGGAAAGTCTTTTTGATAAGTTGCTGTATCGAGCGTATTACCAGTTCAGTGAACTGCGGCAAAATTTTGTATTGTGAAGCAACCGGGAAGTGTTGAGCACCTTTGATAGGTACAGCTACGATGGTATGTATATCACCAGCTGAGTGAACTGTAGCGAGGAACTTACTTTGTGTCCTCCAATTTTCAGCTTCGGCAATAACTTGTCAATCAGCACCAACTTTCCTGAGGCCTCAATCAAGGATGTCAAATGAATGGATGTTCGATTATCTCCGGTGAAGTTCGCCTGATATTCACCGACGATCTTTTCCTCGGCGCCGTTGATGAGGAACGGATGATTGCAACATTTACGAAGTTCCATCATCGTGTTCATGAGGTTTGGTACGTTAGACGTGGACACGGCTCCTTTGTTCAGGAACGAGAAGTTTCGTTCAAGAATCGCTCGGTAGAATTTCTTCTGAACGGTTGTTAACTCGACCTGAAGAGAAGCAAATATTATTGTATTTTATATAACCATTGCTTGACCCTGGATAATTGACCCAAGATATGACAGTATTATAGGGTTTCTCCTGTGAAAATGACCAAAGATATTCATTTCTTTCATAGATTACCTCAACAATCGTCTCTTCTTTTGGCGCCAAACTCTTCTCCACATCTTCTTTCATTCGTCTCAACATCATCGGTCGTAACAACTACAAAACGAAAAAAGTTCAGTATTTCGTACGAAACCTGCATCCACACATACCCCAGTTATCAAGCCTGTCCCCAGTTATCAAGCTCAATCCCACACAACCCTCTCTCTCAACTTACGGCTTGCAGTCTTTCTACTTGAGCTTCTGTTCTGAGATTTCCAAACTCCATCAGGAAAGCTCCCTGTGATGGAAACTGAGCCGGCTCAAGAAAGTTCAACAAACTAAACAACTCGTCGACGTTGTTTTGCAGAGGTGTGCCCGTGAGTAGAATTCGATGCTCCTGGAATGATGAGAGAAGATGTTTGAGTCATACCCAAGCTAATAAACACTAACCTCAAACTAGCACTCTCTGAATGCTCATATCAAGGACGACCATATCACTATCGTTCATCCAACAGTCAAAACCTCACTTACCATCTGCAAGTTGTTCAATCCTTCTAATAATTTACAATTTCTGTTCTTCAACCTGTGAGCTTCATCTATCACCACGACCCTCCACGGGACGCTGCTCAACAATATATTATCGGCTACAGAAACATATTAGAAATGCTTATTTCTCATTCACAATATTATCCTTGGAGCAACATCTCATATTGCAACGGCACTAACCTATCAGAATTTCGTAGGTTGTGATCAGCACATTGAACTTGAAAATACCAATCAAAGGTTCACCCTAAAATATCAAGAACGTGTAAACTTCGCTCAAAAGCGTAAAGAAGGGTTTTGTCGATATACAGGCTCGTCGTCTGCAGGAGACCGGGCGAAGTCTGAAAGGTTGCTACCTGAGATCCACGGAAATAGAACTCGTATTGTTGAATGAGATGACGGCTTGCAGCGCTATTGAAGAGAATAAGATATAGCTTAAACCACGCATGCTAGGAGGACAACTGGGGTCATAAAGTATTTACAGGGTTCACCTCCCTCAGTCCCTATATATCCATCGTTGATCAAAATGATCGTTCGCTGTACCTGCCATGATGAACAACAACATTCATGTCGCCCCAGCCTTCAAATTCTCGCTGCCAGTTTGCGATGGTCGAGAGCGGAGCGATGACGAGAAACGGACCGCGGATACCGTATTGCTGAGGAAAGAACGGAAGAAGTATTGAATCCTCTCAACTCTACGAGCTCTCAACTGAGTTCATCTAACCCTTGCGAAACTTTCATAAAGGAAGGGTAGAAGGCGAGAAGGAGCAATCGTGGATCGTGGGACTCACCTGAACATGAAGTAGGAAGGTCAGACTTTGAATGGTCTTGCCAAGACCCATCTCATCGGCAAGAATACAGTTTTGTCTAAAAGACAAGACATAAACATTGCAGACAGTTTCATAATTTACTGCTCGTTATACAAGTGAGAGAATAATGAGGAAATATCCTCTATTTCTGCTCGAAATTCTCCGCATTTCCCGAGTCGATGATCACTTTAATGAAATGCACCATCACCACAGACGAAACTTACCCGTTATACCAGCAAAACGTCAGCCAATTCAATCCTTCCAGCTGATATTCCCGTAGAGTGTTCGAGTTCTTGAACACCGGAGATTGTTCCAGTTTTCGCCACTCGCTCGGGTGAGGACGGCGACGAAACTGCGGAGAATTAAACACATATTGGGAACAGAAAAATAAAACATTGCCGAGCGGAAATGCTAGATAAACCTCGCGGGAATCTTTCTAGGATAAAAACTCTGGCTCTTGATGGCAGCTTGGAGGCTGGCTTATTCGTAACTTATTCACTCGATCACATCTATTAAAAGATGGACGTGCTTCAGGACTGACCTGTCTCTCGTGTTGAGGAGGCGCAACTTGGACACTGCGAAACCTGGTGACGGACTGATCATCAACATCAGCCTGGGAAAGAAACGATTTGAAATTTCTGGAATATAATTGTTGTGATACAAACTCCCACACAAAGATAAACCCACCTCAACTTCCCAAGTACTTTCATCGTAAGGCAGTGATCTCCACTTCACTAAGTAATGACTGACGGGCTGAGAAATGAAACGTTTACAAAATGTTCAAAATACTATTTACATAGCTGCTACCAGTAAATATCAACGCAACATATCCAAATCATAGCTAAAAATTTGCCGATGAACACAAGCATTTTGCTTTAGCTATATTTCATGATGTATTATAACAATGGTAGAAGCATAACGACTCAGTCAAAACAGTTTTTGTCCGTAGAATTTTTATCATCATAGCGTAATCTTCGCTGAAAACACAGCTTACCGCGCCAGTGGCTTGATCAACTCCTGTTGAAACATCCAGAACACGATCAACTTCCACATAGTCTGGATTGAATGGTTCATCATCAATCTAACACAATTGATTGTAACAATGTATCAATTCCTCCTTATTTGTAACATTGCTATATATGTATGCATTTATAAGAGTACATAGAGTATACCATAGGTACATAAGAGTACATAGAATATACCATAGGTACATAAGAGTACATAGAATATACCATACGTACATAAGAGTACATAGAGTATAACATAGGTACATAAGAGTACTACTGACCTCATCAGGAAAGGGCATAGCATTTCTCTTAACGAAGAATCTCTTGATTTTCATTTGAACTCGTTTATCCAGCTGATTCAGTTTCTCAGCTGTTGCCCACTCAGCATGAAGATAAGAACTATGATAGGAGAACAAAGGGAGTGTAAGCATTGCACTTTGTTCAATCTCTCCTGGCAACTGTCTTTCATAATAAACCATGAAAAATAAAAATTTCTTACTAGTTTTTATACTTCACCAGAAACTCTTCTTGTGCGAACCCATCTTCCTGCAAAACAGAATACAATGTTGAATTGCACAGTAAACAACAAACATTGTTGATAAAGATAAAATAAGTTACATATAGAGGCAGGCACGAACCTAGAAGCTTAATAGGGGGGGAGGGGTGCATATTCATATATTCAAGTTTAAAAGAGGGTAAAAAATCGCTATCAAAAGAAATCAATCTGGCATAAGACGAATATATGAATATGCACCCCTCCATTTAAGCTTCTAGATCCGTCCCTGTATAGAAGGATAGCACCAAGATCATTGACTGCATCTTAATCAGGAAAACAGCATTAAGAACCCATAGTCAGTTAATAAAATCCTCACTAGTGAGCTCCGTACCTTGGTCTGAGTGCGTAGTGTAAGAATTTTCTCCACAATCAGATTCTCTTCTTGAAGTGGAATTTCCTCTGGTACAGGAAGGGCACCAGGGTCCAGCTCGCCTAATTCTGACTTGCTAGCATCACCACCACCCTTAGCAGCTCTGCTACCCCCTCCATCCTCTTCCTCGGAAAGATTATAGTCAAAGTCCTCCTTGTAGGTCTTTTTCCTTCGCTCTCGTAGGGACCGCCGCTAAAATATGACCCCCAAATATCCCATTAAAACGCCATACAAATAGCTTTCAATCTAGAAAGAAGTCGAGACTTACAGTAATACTGGCAGGATGATAGTCTTCTTGGTAAAAACTACCAGGAGAGTTTGGTGGTGACGGTTCATGATCTGACGAATCTCTGCGTTCACGCTTGATCACTGGCTTACTGAGCACGGTTGCAGGAGGCCTAAAAAATAACAATCAACTGTTAAATGACTACATAAAAATGACAAGTTCTTTAGTTCCTGGAGGTTGAACAGTTGAAAGTTCCTAATCTGACCAAATATAGATCTCATATGCACACTGACCAAGTAATCAGTCAGATGAACTTATATTAAACAAATTAAACCAGAAACACTTACTTAGACGAGGTTCGCACAGTCTTTGGCAAAGCATTTACAATTGGTGGCGGCAGAACAATGGGTTCGGCTGCTTTCCTCTGAGCTATTTTATCTTGTTGCATATCATAGTTCATAGGTCCTTTCACGGCTGGTCCAAATTGTTGTCCATAACATTTCATCTGCGATTCAGCTTGGTAGTTGTAACCGCTATTCATGAGCGCTGATTTAGCGATTGCCTCTGCAACAATTCTGTTCGCCTTGTCCTGGTGTTGTTGTTTTAAAATGTTTTCTTGATCAAATCTCATTTGTGCAACAGCTTGCTGCTGTTTCTTCTGCCTCTGTTGATCCATCAAATACATGTGATACAGACGACTGAACTGTTGTTGCAGCTGCTGCAGTGGTTGGTCTCGTGCTGGAGACGGGAGCTCTCGGACTTGTGAGATTTGTTGCTGCAATCTTTGAAGCTGATACAGCAAATGAGCGCTCTTCAGTTGACTCGACATTGGATTCTGGTTCATCATTTGTTGTTGAAACGGCATGTTTGGTCTCATCGGGTAGTTTCCATCTTGAAACTGCTGCGGTCGTCTCATCATGTAATCCTGTTGCATTGTGTTGGGCGGCGGAGTTTGGGTGAACGGATCTTGCGCTTGAATTTGTGTTTGGTTAGGCATTGACGTTTGTTGCGGCGGCGGTGGCTGTTGTTGTTGCTGTTGCATGTTGTTGTACATGGGTGTTAGGTTTTTGTTGGGTGAAAACGGATCTGGTGGTGGAGTGAATGATGAGCTGCTGGAGGGTGGGAAACCTGACACAGCCGAACTGGTGATGGTTCCTGCGTTCGATGTCGGTGATGATATTCCTCCTGAGACCAAGTGATGAAGTTTACTTAATTGTTCCTGTCTTCCCATCTCAGGGTTGAACTGTTGACCAGGGGACACAGTTTTATTCTGGTTGTTCATTTTTGGAGTGGAATTACTAATGTCCGTCAATGTGGAGGTGTTGTCTACCTGACCCATGAAAGGGTTTGGGGATTGGCTCAACATTGGGTTCGACTGTTTGTTTGTCATGAAATGTTGGAGTCTTTGCATATTGGTTTGCTGTGGACTCATGTAACCTTGAGGCATGGGCGTGCCAGGTACACCCTGCTCAGCGGTTGATTGGGGGGTTTGTTGCGGCATGAACGATCCAAAGGAGTTACCCATATTTGATTGGCCGCGCCAATTAGCACCGGGGGATGTGCTTTGTTGGGGGGTGAACTGCGAGGGAGATTGCATTCTTATCCCTTGCATTCTTGGAAACTGTTGATTCTGAGGTTTATTGGTTGGGGGATTTTGAAAAGCGTTACCTTGCTGACTGAGCATAGGGTTAGCAAAATGGCTCAACTTCTGAGAAAAAGGTTGAAATTGCTCCTGTGACGAAGACTGTCCCTCTAAATGATAGAGCTTCTGCTGCGGTGTGCCTTGTTGCTGATTTGGAAAACTTTGAAATGAGTCCATGTTAAAATACTGATCAGTTGTCGAGGTTTGAGGAAGAGATGACGAAGGCATACCACTTATGCCAATCTCGTCAAAAAGACTCCCTCCAGATCCAATTAAATTTAACAAGTCTGACGGGTCACTCATGCTGTAGACCAGCCATAATAATAGAAATACAACACATCAAAATTTTTTGTTGGAAAGCTAGAAGTTTTCACTTGCTGTCCATCGCAAGAGATGGCCTTTTGGTTGTCATTATTGTCCTGTCATCTCGTAGACAAAGTACAATACTTGCTGACTAGAATATTTCTTTGATGTAGCAGTTTGTCTAAAGACTTCCTCTGTAAAAAACAAAATTACGACACATTACTAAACCCTGCACATTGCAACACTCTTTGAAAACAATGTTGTATTTATAGTGCAATAACATGCAAATATCATGTTCTACTTCAAAGTACAATATTCAGTGGTACACAATATTATTCTGGTAGATGTTGAATAAAAAATCTTGTAACAAAAACACAAACAAGACAACATTTTGAAGGTAATTGAATGCTAACATTCATATTAGGTTACTGTGGTAAATATACAAGCGCTATACTTGGCTATTGTTCAGTAAAAATTGTTGTCTTCTAGACAAAAACTACAACTCTATGATAATGAAAGGGCATGTATTTCATTGAATGCTCAGATTAAATCAAGTGTCTTTGAATACTATCAATGAAACAAAATTGATACATTTAGTATCAAGTAAACGTTCTCGAATTCTAAGAAATATACATTTAAACGACATTCGGTAAACATGTCTTCAAGTTCGTTTTCGAATGAAAAAGACAAGGAAAATAACGAATGTAATTTCTGCTACGTAACGGTGAAAACCATAAGGAAATGAAAGGGAACGTTTGTAGTAAAATTCAATGGCACACACAAAGTTCGTTTTACAAACATTCTTGTACACAGACGATCTTAAATATCGAAAGAAAACATTTGAGTACTTTGGTGATGTCACGATAATACCGGAAGCCGAAATAACAAAATTTGTGTTGATGAAATTTTGCTTCATTTTAAAATCATCTCTGGTTCGATCCAGCGATTTCTTATCGCTCATTAAGAGCAAATCGCTACTTCTGAAGGGTCTCTGTGTAAAATAAAAAATCCTAGAACAAATAATGTTTTGAAAAGGTCATTGATTTCGCGGCTGTACGACACAGATGACAACGCTCAGATCCATGCACGGACTTCCCCCATTGACCATTGTGTAATATTTCCCATTTCCTCACACGTTTTTGGGCCGACATCAAAAGTTGTTATTTATTATTATCGCCCAGTTTGTTGCTCTTCACTTAGCTAATTAGCGGCAACAACTTTTCGATGTGTAAAACAAGACGAATAAAAACCAACCGCCTCGATTCGTGCACGAAAATCGACCACAGGATCCGGCAGAGTCGGGTATATAAATAACAATCGCATTTACGTGCCGGCCTAGTTTGCTCGCAGGTTGATTTGTATGTGCAAATTGATGCCGTCCGTAGACGTAAACCTAAACAAATTACCCCCTTAACTACTTGCCCTAAACACCTTCAGCAATAAAATTTGAAAAAAACCCATCAAATCGGCCTAAAATTTCAAAATTTCATACGTACGCCGAAGCGAAATTTCAACGAATTCGCGAGGCCGTGTCTGCCAAAGTTGATTTTTATGGCTCGGCGCGATGGACCCTTATGACGCTTAATAAGGGTAATACACTAAGTGTGAATAAGCCAAAAACATCAGTAATTGTCGAGGAAATATCCAGAGATTAAACATACCTCATCCAAATGCCTTGAGGAAGCCGATCCCTCGATAAAACGATGAAATTTTTTCACAAAAGTTGAATTACTCGAGCGATTTGCGAAGGCCTCGAACGAGACTATCATGCTTTCGCCTGAACCACGTTATGATTTCAACGCAGCCAATCAGAGCGCGCGATTTGTGCGTGTCCCGGATGTATTTAAATAACCGCCGTCAGCTGTTCGAAGACGACAGGTGAAGACAATGGTGCTGTGTGATAGGTCAAAAATACCACTTAACAATAGTCACCTGCTGAAGAATGAACCTTTTTGTATGTTAAAACAATGTGACCACATGCAAGCTGTAGCTTCGATCTATTTATTCAAAATCCTGGGATATTTTGGGGTGTCAACAACGCCAGTGCATCAGTGCATTATTAGTTTAGGGTGGGGCTGGGTTTAATGTGAAGATGTTCCATGTACCGGGAATTATGTCTCCAACGGGCGCCCATTACTCCGTAGCAAAGGATGGAAACTTGTGTACAACTTTAAACAAATATGAAAGATTTTATATTGTTCCTCATAACGGCGCTAATTAGGTGTGTAATTGAGGTCCAATTTGATCATCTAATTATGATCCTGCCAATCAGAACGAGCTTTACTTTCGTCCCAGTTACATGTCAAGGACATGGCGCTCATTCTGTTAACCCGAAAATTTTCATTCGAGATCTCATCTTGTATATAGTACAGCATGCACGCAGCACTCTTTCCCCCCGTATTTTGTGAAATCCCTGGAAACCCGTCTTGTTTGAAATCGTAGCTCCCCGGTACCGCCCGGCGTACCCCCCTCCGTGATTCCAATGCTATCGTTAATCGTCGCTCAAAAAATGCGTTTAAAAAGTAGTGGACGTAAAAAACGAGTTCATCAGAATGTAATCGTTATATTTAATAATTTCCTATTTCAATCATTACATAAAATAACATTGAATGTAACAGGCATTGCCTAAATCTCTTAACACTACGTAATATTAGAGATACAAAAATATCTTGAATTCTTAGAGTAGAAATCTCTTCGTCACAACAGCAGAAATCACTATAGCGCGGTACTAGTCTGAAACTTTCATCTGGGAAAAAATTGCAGTCCTAATTTCTCTAAGCTTCACATATAAGAACATATCTAAAGCGGACTTTCTACGAAAAAGGCAAAATCTAAAAATATGAAAAAAAATTAAAATTGGCGTGGTTTTAGCTTCTAATGATCTCAGAGTTACTACAGGAGGGCAGTACAAAAACAACGTTACAATTTAGGGCAAAACTAGCAAGAGTGAATTGATTGTAAACCAATTTCAGCAGGGAGTGAACGAGGTGAAGGACTCTTGAACGAAGTAAACTCTTGTTCTTGGTTAACTCACCTTTCTACTCTATATTTCGTTTAATAAATCAAGCGTCCTCTGCTGGTTTCTCTCCTTCGTCTTTGCTTTCATCTTCCTTCGGTTCTTCCTTGCTCTCTTCACCTGCATCTTCACTTGGTTTGTCTTCACTTGGTTTGTCTTCACTTGGTTTGTCTTCCACCTTCAAAACACGGAAGTTAGTTTCATAGGTTAGTCAACCACAGACGATACAACCACAGCAGGTCACCGAGTTTCCTGTATCAGTGAAAAACTACATTTAATCCAAAAAGCCTACATACATTTTCTTCGGGCTTTTCAGCCGGTTTTTCAGCTTCTTCAGCCGGTTTTTCTGGTTCTTCAGCCGGTTTTTCCGGTTCTTTGGCTGGTTTCTCGGGTTCTTTAGCTGGTTTTTCCGGTTCTTTCGGTGGTTCAGGAGGAGATTTCAATGGAGACAACAATACTTTACCAACATTTTTACGATCTTGCATACACTGCATCGCCGCTCGTATCTAAACAGACAGCAGAAAGCACATCTCAATGAACAAAATGCGCTCCGCATACCAAGAATCTGTACGATTCTTGTGGATTTTTTAGCACACATCTGTGCATTTCATTAAACTCGTATTTTCTACCTCTTCCAAAGAAAAGACTTGGTGTACTTCTGGTTTGATTTTTCCTTCTTCATGTAATTTGATAAGTGCTTCCATCGGAGCTCGAATTTTGTCTGGGTAATTCACTCCTAGCCTACCAGCATGGTAACCAGCGACAACTCTATTGTCAGTCATTAGTTTGAACGGAGAGAAATTGGAAGATTGATACCACTAGAAAAAATATTTTAAAGTTGCTCATAGCTGTTGATGCTGAGGTATCTTTTTCAGGTAGTTCAGACATAAACCACAACAGCATATTGTAGAATACCACAAACACTGGACAAAATTGAGAAATTAAATTCTCTTGAAAACCTACTATTTTTGCGGAGGAAAAAATGCTCTTAGACTGACCCTTCACAATATTTGCCATACCTAGAGAAAAGGAATTTGTTAGGACCATCAAAACTTGACATCAAGCACTCTACAATTTTGTGTTTTTATGGCCTATTTCTATAGTGAAGACTGTATTACCAAAGCAAATAATTCTTCCAAACGGTTTGAGTAAATCATATCCTTTCATTGTGTCTTTGCCTCCAAGAGGATCCATGACAATGTCCACCCCTTCAGGCTGAATTCTGAAATAAAAATCTTTAAAATGAAATGGTTTGTAGGTGTTGAGAGATCTACATGAAAAACATCAGTGTTTATTGCACAAGTTGCCATTTATTAATCTTAGGGGCTTTGTTGTTGCTGCCTTCACATAACTTTAATTTCATGTTTGATTATTGCTAAATTCACATGCAAAAAAATTGGAAAATATTAAAAAGGGAATAAGAAAGAATATACTAGGCTTACTTGCGCACTTCCTTTGCAAAGCAGTTGTTTCGATAATCAATAGGATGTGTTACGCCTTGTTCTTTGATTTTTTCATGCTGAGATAATACAAAAACAACATCAACTGCTAACGCCAGGCTTTCACAAGTGAAATGATAGAAAATGATGCAAAAAATAGGACTTGATATATCTTACTACCTTTGGTTGAGAAGCAGTCCCAAAAACAGTAACATTTGGCACCGTTTTACATAATTGAGTTGCAGCAACCCCCTAGAAGAATACATAAATATCCTGTTTGAAGTATAATATATTAAAGTAACCTTCCAATTGATGATCTGGCACGACGAATACTAGAATCTGAGCTTATTGTTTCAAAACATGCAAAGGGAATCATAGATTTTTCATTTCAACTATAATTTAATAACTTACTACGCCACCACCTGCCATTTGCACCAAGACACTTTCACCCTCGCTCAAGTGACCAAGATCAAATAATATTTGATAAGCTGTGAGATAATTTAAAGGAAGGGCTGCAGCATCTTCAAATGACATTGAATCTGGTATCACAAAGACTCCCACAACAGGAACACAGACATACTCCGCCATCATGCCCAGTGATGCTGACATCGCTATTACTCTTGCACCAACCTGATGAACACAAATTATATCAGCCAATGCAATGAATTTCACAGACAAACAGAGACATAACTTTTAGCTTTTTGTGACAACAAACTTAAGGGATGATAGTGTCCTGTGATTAATCAATAATGCCTGCTAGATATCTTGGTATTACTTGCCTCAAACTGTGTGACCCCTTCGCCAACAGCTTCAACAACTCCTGAACATTCATAACCCATGACATATGGAATTTGTGGGGCACCTGGATATAGACCTTGTCTCTGCATAATGTCAGCAAAATTCAAACCACTTCAAATGAGAAAGATAAGATAGTCATACAAAGTTGCCTATTTAGCATTAATAAAGAAGGCTTATTACATTAATTCCTACTTTAATACGCTATCATAAGTGCATAAAAGCTGGGCTAGATTACTTCAGCCAGATCTTGCTTGTTACTAATGGGTTAACCCAGTTCACATTAATGAAATCATCTCATACTTATAATAAAAGCTAGTTGATTTAATCACATTTAATTGGCCTAGAATAAAGCATGCCTGAACTGAAGTGAGTTGGAAAGCATAGGAACTGGTGATCAAGCAACTGAGTTTGACTTAAAAGAAAGGGGAACTTTTTTTGAAGTCAGCCTATTGATGCATATCGATAAAAAAGGGCTTATTTGACTTTTATAGGATACGTGTACCAATACCCGTGGTGAAAGATTTATGCACATTGCTAAAATGCTGGAAAATGCGTATGTGATGGTAGCATTTAATATGATGTGCATAAGGGTATTTACTTCCGTCGCAGTCTTTGTATTGGTGCTAAAGTACACGTTCCTTCAGATATGCAAGTTTGTTTTGAAACAGCGCTTTGAATATTTGTTTAAGTGATCGGTCACAAATATGCATAATGCCAGACTAATATTTTGTTTTGAATTGTACAATTCGTACACCATACTCTTCAAGTACTTCTTGGGCATGTTAAAAACACTAAAAACACAAAGACCTGGACATCACTCTACATATTTCAGAGACCGAGAAATATCTCGACATGAATATGCAAACTTTATACGTTTAGCATCAATATATGGGCGTGTGTCTTTGCTCTGGATCGATTCTATATCAATAGTTTACGCTTTAACTTTTGAGTACCAAGGAATTAAAGATTTCCCTTTTACCTAAACCTTTAAAACTAAAATCTACTTCACGAGTGTAATACCTGGCATGAACTTTTACCAATACATGACCTTCTTTGGGTTTGTGTTTGGGAATCTTTTGGACGTCAACTTTATTGAGACCTCCAGTTCCAGTCAACACAACAGCTCTCCTAACTTCTTTCTTTTCTTCCACAACTACAGGCGCTTCGGCCGGTGAGGCTTCCGCTTGTGCTTGTTCTTCGCTTGCCATAATGCTTTACAGTGTTGAAAAGCTTTTACATTTGAGGCAAAACCCACTCCTTGCTTGCAAAACAAGAATGAACGGAATGGACTGCAATTTATACAAAGGTTTTCCTGTACAGGAAATTGGGAAAGGTCACATGGGGGCAAATATTGAACGTAGTTCCGGCTCATGTGATCTTTCTGCCCAAGATCAAAACAAGTAATGAAAGAAACGCGTTTTTAGTTCTCATATTAAACTGACTGGAGATTCAAGCTTAGCGGAATTATTGCAATACTCTGCTGATTTTATTCAAGTTTTTACAACGCTACCGTGTATTTAAGACGAGGTTATACCAGTTCTAGGATTCTAGTCTTCGCAAATCAAAAAGTACTTTACAATTTTTCATTCCATGCACAAAAACAAAAGGGTTTTTCCCTCATAATGAAATTTACGAGCTTGATGATTTTATTGCCTTTTGGGGTTAGAAATAAACCATCTTGTTCCTTCCCACGTGAATTAATCTCGGATAATTTACATAGTCACGCGACATGATCTTGCAATAATGCTGTAATTAATTAATACCACCCAGAGACCGTTATCTTTCTATAAACAATTGTTTTTTTTGCTCATAAGTCATAAATAAGGTCTGGCCAAATTGCCTTTTCTTATTTTCGGTATTTAGAAGCACGGGTATAATTTGCACAGTTTATGTTGCAGATGCTGGGATGAATATCTCTAGACAGACAAAAAAATATTGTGCGCCGTCAATTTAATACTTCTAGTACTTCTGCTACAATAAAAACTAAACAGAATAAAATGTTTTTTACAGCAAGTTTTGCAAGCAACTGTAGACTGTCACGTACATATTACTATATATTATGATTTTGTTCATGATACATCTGCCGACCAGAGTGAAAATACGTGTATGTTCACAGTTAAAATTTTCAAAGTGAATTATCAGTTTTCAGATCATTAAGTGTTTAAATGAGTATGAGTTTGTTACTATATATGAGTATGGCTTGCACTAGTTATCAGGCAAAAGCATCATTTTATTGAATTTTGAGCCAATAGACAAAATTCAATTTCATGATCCCAACATATTTACAATGCTGACCACCTATATTTCCGATTAGGTAAATCCAGCATATTGTAAAACTTGTTAAAAAATCCAGGATGCCATTTCATTTTGTTATATAAAAAATTCATAAAATGTGTCATCGCAATCTGTACAAAGGTAGCAACTGCCTCGGGCAGTGACGTCAAAACATTTATACACACAAGTTGAATGTTAAATTGGTCCTTCCGTCTGGCTTACAGTCATTGTGCAATAGTAACAACTTCGAATAAGGTTTAATAGACCAGCAATAAATGCACCAACCCAGACAACATAGATACCTATCATAACAAAAAAGAATGGAGTGGTTTTATGTACACCTTCAGGCATGACCTGTTGTTATTAATTCAAAGAAACGGCAAGAAAATGAAGGAAAATGCATTCTTTATAAAACATACCTCCATTTTTCGAGGCCATTTCCATTGTGGCAACCTTGAAAGGGAGTAAGAAATGTTTGTTAATGGTTTTAAATAACAACACAATAAGCCATTATCCTTTTACCCTGACAAAAATTACTTTTTAGAGAAAGCAAAGCACAATAATTTAAGATTTATCTCATATAACAAACATACTGTGACTCCAACTCCAACAGCCAAGAATAGCAGGCCAATCATTGCAAACACCAAAGCTCTATTTCTTGCAAATGTTGACCCAACTGAAGAGCTATAATAAAAACAAAACAAAAATCAATCAGATGTAAAAACCATTTTATTTCCTGATATAATCGAATGAACTTCTTACATTCTGTGGCAATGCGGACATCGAGCCAAATGTGCTGTATTTCGGAACTGTAAAATAAAAGGTCATTTCAAAGTAATTAGATATGGAATTAGAAAGCATACATAATCCTCTATCGATATCCCTTATAAGGAAGATGTTTGCAAATATTTACTTACAACAAATATTTCATTACAATGCCCACAACTGACGCGTACTCTCATCTCATGCGCGAGATTTGGACTGGAGATGATGACATGTGACGTGCTTGGTACAGCAGAACCAACCGTGATGATACGTTTGCTGAAATATGAAAAACCATAAAAATGAGACTTCTTAGTGCGACTTGAGGCAAAAATATTTTTTTCAACTTGATCTAACCAGTCGGTTCGTGGGCAGGAAATCCTGGTTGACGTGACTTTACATGTCAACAAAGCGTTGCATGGACATCTGATGTACTTTTTTCCTTCTGGTGGTGGTTTGATTGGCTAAGGCATTGAAAAAAAAACGGTATTTTCAAGTGTTAGCATTAAGTGTGTTTGGCTGTTCTAATCCACTTTCTGGAAAATACTTACAGTTGCCTCTTGACAGTTTGAACATTTTATGACACGCTGGTTTTCTCGTCCTCTGATAGGTATTAGCTGCTGACATACCCGGCAGACGATTGTTGGGTCTGTGTTGTACAGGGCCGAGGGTGTATAGGGGGGAGGTTCGTCTGTGTATGGAGGTGGGGAGGCAACTGTATATGGGGGTACTAGGAGATAGAGTAAAATAACTCAAGATCATTACTTTTTAAATCCTTCATGAACAGTTTATAGAATAAAGGGCATCATAATCATTGATATTATTACGGTAATATACACCACAATGTTGTCATTATATGGCTTAATATTGCTCAATAATAACACCAGCAAATAACTACATATGAGTGATATGACAATATCACATACCACATTTATTTGAAAATTTAAGACAATTCAGGAAGTATAAAACCGGGCATTTTACGACAACATGCCATTTTACGAGCCATTTTATATCTAATCCTTTTCCACAATATTAGCGATTTTGTTTACAATTATTTTTCTCCGTAACTCCAAATATCATTTCACCACGAGCAATATGAAAAATTGAAACCTGAACAGCTCGAATGCTTGAAATATCATCTTTTATTTCAACAGAGGAGTTTGACAACCGTCGGTCATTTATATGCCGAAATAACATTTCAAGACAGACGTACAATTTTTTTTCTCAAACGCAATTTTAATGTCGTAAAATATTACGTAATTTAAAAACTCAAAACAATGGAACATACAGAACCGAACAAGAAGAAGATAAAAGGTGTTCTAATTGAAAAAGAACAGAGATCATGGAACGTATTTATTTCAAAGCAAAAAGCATGCTGATTTTGTCGTCACATATAAACTTTGTCAGATATTCTCTTTGGGACTTGGGCCAGTTTGAAAAATGTTCTGTTTTTAATCAACACGAAAAGAAATGATCGCTACAAAACCATTTTTCAGACTGTTAACGAAGCTACGATACTCAAGCTTCGAGCATTTTCAAGAAATGCATGTTTGACGTCGAATAATTGAGGTTATTCTATACAAGACTTCTGTGATATACCGACATAATTGCTGCGCCACGGCCAAAACAAAACATTAAGTATTCAGCCATAGAGCAGCTTGACAGGGACACGAAGTCTTTCGTCTGTCGTCCCAACTTACCCGCTCCATTGTCAGAAGCATTTTCATTCAATTCTTCGTTGTGATCCTGTAATAAAGGCGCAGTTTCGCCTGTGTTTATGCTGTGTCCTTCGTTTGTCTCGGCCATTTTTGCCTCATAACACCGCAAAAAATTTTCCTATCACGTGACGGTAGATTTCACCTGCTCCACTGAGCTCTACTGGAAAATACTGATGTGGATGGTTTTATCATATAGTTCGGTTTGGTATTATCATTACCTGGAAACCGGAAAAATTTTTTACTGCTCTCGAATGTGTCAATATATTCGCCAATCAAGGAAAGTGTACATGGTTTAATATGTGAAGTATAAAATTTCCCATGCTCCACCACAATCTACTAAGACTTCAACCACTTAAAGTACCGAATATAAATTTAGTCTAGAAGAGAACAAGACTTCTCTTTTCGAAATTCAAAGAATTATTTATTGAATTATGTATTGAAAATGCTGTTATAGTTCACCAAATTCTTGTACTTGTTTCATTCAGAGTAGTAAATAAGCCACAGTAAAATCGCTCGGTCATAGAGCTCAGTGGAATGAGCCTTCGACTTCCTGGATGCGGTGAACACCATGAGAGGAAATGAAAAATGCAAAGAAATGCAATATAATCTTTAACTTTTCAAATGAAAACACAATAATAGGGGAAAAAGGTAGAAAATTATGTCTTTTAGTAGCAGCGCTTTGGAAAAGAAACTTGGGGAGCTATCAAACTCACAACAGAGCATACAGACCTTATCATTATGGCTGATACATCATCGGAAACACGCCAAAACTGTCGTTGATGTTTGGTTGAAAATGCTCACTAAAGGTTTGGAAGCATTTCATACTGTTATACGAAAATAAATCAAAGCTGTGGCAGATACTCTCCATACGTGTGTAGGATATTTTATAAAATACTATTTGATCGGTCAATATTTATGAAAGACGATCAGTATCAGAAAGTATTGATATAAATTTGAATTAGACGGGCTGGTACTATCTGCTTGCCAACCCAGCACAACGATGGTACTGGTATAACCAACTTCCAGGCTTTATTGACTAGTGTAAATAACCTTATTTACACTAGAAATGAACAAGTCAAGATGAATGATTAAGTAAAAAATACTCTTCTCTTACCTCAGTGAAACCAGCGAAAAAATTGACATACATGTATCTCTGTAATGACGTTATCCAGAACAGTCGAAGGAAAGGAACAGAGTTTAATAAAGAGTTTGTCAATGTTCTGCCAAACGCCATCAGCATTTGTTCAAAGTAAGTTGCAAATTATGGCAGTCTATATCTGCCTCCCTTGCAAACATCTAATGGGAAAGCCATATCCTTGTAACTCACCTCTGGTTAAAAGTAGATCATCGATGAATATTTTATTTTGTAGAGAATTTACATCAGAAATGCAAAAATCTCTTGAAAGAATCATTGATATTTGGTCACAAAGAGGAGTGTACGATTCTGGTGTTATAGAGAAGCTACAAGCATCACTGGGTACCAATACTTTATATAAATAGAATTATAAAGCTTGTGTTAATGTGATTCCAACACAGTGGAAACAACTTATTTGAATCTTGTCATTTGTATATAGCCCTAGGAGGTTCAGGCAGCTCATCACCAGCAGCAAAACGCTCTCGAGTAGAGCCACCAGCAAAAAACGAAGACAATGAACGCAAAGAAGAAGAGGACAGCGAGTCAGAGAGTGATGGCTCAGTGGAGCCTCCTGAAGTATGGGATTTAGTGAAGTTTAGCAGACATTCATCACTGTTGAATACCAAATATATGTCTACTTAAGCGATTTGTTAACTATGAACAAGACTGCTGATTGTGTTATGATTAAAAATTCATTTTTTTCCTAGTCTGACTATTTGATCAAAGCGCTTCAAGATTTGGAGCGTAGTGCATCTCAGGATGCCGAGGTACGCGAGAGGATAGCAAATCTACCCACAGAAGTACAAGATGCCTCAGGCCTAGAGAAGATACAAGGTACATTGGAATTTCCACTGTGTGTAAAGTTGTGCACTGATCAAACAAGCTGTGCAAACAAGCCTCAAACACTTTTACTTAACAGTAATCATGCTTTGTTTAGATCGTGAAAGTGCAGAAAAACTAGCTAAAGTTGTGGAAAGTGCATGCGTGTTGCTTGCAGATTACAACGGAAGATTATCAGCTGAGCTAGAGGACAGAACCACAGTATGCAAGATGCTCAGGGCATATCTAGCTTCACAGAAGAAGAAAGTAACTGACTGTGATCAAAGAATAGAGGTATATGATTAGCCTATGTTATCTATATAGTTTGAAAGAATTTTGTATTTACTGACGTATGAAAGAATGCCTAAAAAAACAACAGTTTTGTGTTAATATTTGAACTTTGTTTGGCAGAAATACAAAGCAAAATTAGAAAAAGTGGCGTTGGTAAGAAAAGAGCTTCGAGCACACCTTGACAACCTCCCAGATCTCAGCCTGCTACCTGACGTCACAGGTGGGCTCGCTCCACTTCCATCCGCAGGTGATCTATTTGCAAGGTGACTGCTGTGGCACCATATACAACCGACGCTGACATTGGCTAAATGTTTAGCACCTAGTGTAAATAACTTAGATACTGCTGAACAAGATACAATTTTATGTAATAGATAGCACCACATAGGTATTCTTAGCTGTAAAATTTAATACCATTTTCATAAAAGCATTTCCTGGTTTGTCTACCTTTGAGAAACATAGCTAGAAACAATGTTTATTGTTACCTGGTTTGTCTCCCTTTTAAAACCCACAATATTTCCTTGGATTGCCCACCTTTATTGGAGCTTTAGAAGACATATTATGCTGGCCACACTGCAAAATAAACACATTTTATTTTCCCTTTTCATTTTCATTTCACTCCAATTAAATTAACATAACATTGATATGAATTCATTCGCTATACCACAAATTATAACTCTGTGTGTTCCTAGTTAAAATAGTTAAAAGTCATAATGCTTTTGTAACATAACTCTGTGATAAATTTAACATAAATGACTATCACCGAAACTTCTTTTTATAAAAAAACATCGCATTTCTGCCCGCGCAGAATAGATCCAATAGACCTATTCATCATGCTAAAATTGCTCGAATAAAAAACCTACAATATACATATATATATTCGTTATATTAAATCTAGTTCATTTCTTGCATAATTTGAGAAAAATACAACTGTAAATGTGGTGGTTAAAGGATAATTTTCACCATTTCACTGCAACATTTCACTACGAATCTTCATCGACCTGTTTTGGTGCATCTTTAAAAATTGTACTATCCTCGAATGTAGCTTTACGCTGCAGGTATTTCTTTGTGTTTTCCGTAGTTGTGTGACTTGATATATTATCAGCGGATGGATTCTCGGGGCTGTCACGACCGCTTGAAAAATTCTCCCCGGAACCGAAGTTGATATTTGCTTCACCCCTGGATTCATTTGAGAGTGTCCGTGGTCTCCATAACGATTCATCCACCTAAAGACAACCAGATGAGATGAAATGAAATTCATCGAGGAATTCAGTTGTACAGGTCGTGAATTTTTACATGCAACGAACCTCTTTCTCGACAATAAAATCTGCCCATTCAACGTCTTGGTTTAGGGCGAGAACGGGGGGTCTAACCCAGCTAAATCTCGACTTTGACTGTTGCAAAAGAAAGGATCTGCAGTAGCAACCTTTTAGACAATCCAAACACTCGCCACCACAGGCCTGACCCCAGTCGGTGATTGGGCAGGAAAGGCTGCGATGAAGGTGTCTGAAACCTGGGGGAAGAAATTATTAGCATCACACGATGACTGCGTTCAAATTGAAGAAAGACATTTCACAAACATACCTGATCTTGGGGCAGAACTAACACTCAGGCTCCTTGTGAGTGGTCTCTTCTCTGCATTGTCCACAAGTTTCATTATGAATTCGATCTTCTCCTTTGCTTTTCTGAGAAATAAATTCGTGAAGTAAAAAAGTGATGGTGTTGCAAAGTTAGATCACGTTTCCTCCTGTAGTAACACTGGATCAATAAGAGATGATCCTTACTGGACCTCTAGGAAGAACAGTTTAGAACTGATAGAGCTATCCAGTATAAATAAAGTTAGTTTAGTTTAGGTTTCCTCATGTAGTAACACTGGATCAATAAGAGATGATCCTTACTGGGCCTCTGGGAAAAACAGTTTAGAACTGATAGAGCTATAACTGAGGGTAAACTACCTAATGGTTTCATCTGTTCCGAGGATCTCAAAGTCATATTCATCATCTGCTTTGTCTTCGTGTTGTGTGTCCTTCGTTGTCTTGTCTGTTTTAAGCGATGCCTCGTCTTCATTCTTCAGCTCCTGATCTTGCTTTAAACAACTGTGTTCCTCTGTCCTCCTGTCCTTTTTAAACGTCACCTTTGCACCAGATTCTTCTTCAATTGTCATGATCATGCTTCCCCCGCTTCCGATCACTAGCAAAGAAATAAACATCCGTAGGTCAGACTTTAGGATACCCTCCATTAAATCTTCCAGCAGTAATGCAAAGTCTCGGGTAGCCCCGGATCTCGGGTAACCCGGCTCATGTGAATGAACCCAAAGTAAAAATCCTCCAAAACACAGCGGTTTTAAAACGATGAATCAGCATATACCTCTTCCGACATATTTCCGGCCAACTTTCATGATAACTTTTGTTCGATCCTGGTAAAAACTAAACACAAAATGTTTCATGAGGTGAATATCTAGAACATCAACATGAAATGTCATCCACTACAAACAAATATTCACCTCTTTCTGAAGCTGTTGGAGTTCAGTTTATCACCTAAAAAAAGTTGTAATTGTTTTAACAGAACTAGTTTAACGTTTGCTCTGAAAATTTGACCAACCATCGGAGAGGCTTCTTTTTAAATTTGCATGACTTTCTGAACTCTTTGCATGGCTGATGATACTTTCAATCTTCTGTTTTGCTTTCCTGCACAATCAGAAAGTAGAAAATTTAGATAATCTGGTTACGGAGACCATCAGGAGAACTGTGTTGCCTTGTTGTTCACTGAGATAAAAGAGTTTTTGTTTCAGAAGGCGAAGCCCCAACATGATGTTCACTTACTTTATGCTCTCGTCTGTTCCAATAATCTGGAATGCAGAATCTTCATCTTCGTCAATATTTTCACTGCTTTCATCTTTGCTCTTTTCACTTTTGCCTTCCTCCGTGGAATCGTCGTCTGAAACAGCGAATTTTTAATTCCACATCTTATTTTCACGGGAGGAGGAACACGATGTTTCTGTGAAAAGTTCTGTCGTACTGTACCTGCTGTTGAATTATTTTCCATCTTTAAACCTAGAGTGTTATGAATAATGTTCTTGACTGTGCTTGTTGAGAATCCTGACCCACCTGGGACTAGAAAATTTATAAAAAAAACTCTTTCTCAAAGGCTATAATATTTCTGAGAATTGAACTATCTTGAATTACTAAACTAATTTCATACCATTTTCCTTTCGCATAATGCTAACTCTTGCATCACTCTCATCTTGAATTGATTGAATTACACTACCCTGGGACCCAATCACTACAAAAACAATGTTCATAGTTACACCTTATGATAGCTTCAACACCTGTGCAAAACTGCATGGAAATATGTTGTATAACTTAAAAGAATATCAAATTATTATGACATATGTCTTGCTCTTCTTCAAAGACATGCAATGTGGAATCATCAAAAATAAAATGTTCCCTCACCTCTCCCAACATATTTCTTTGGAACTTTGATTATATCTTTTTTTCTGTCCAGTAGAAAACTATGAAAATTAAAGAACAAATTATGTTGCGCTTTAAATTTAACTGAAAGCTTCACATGAACTTCAATGTTTCAATGACTTTGGAACACCAGACAAATGTTCTGTAGGTAACTAATACACGTTCAGGAAGGTTTTTCCAGTCCCTATGCTAAAATGATCAAAGATATATATTTTAATGTCTTCATTACCTTCTGCGTTCTGAAATGACTTTTAAATATTTTGTTTCTCCATTCTCATTGTCTTTCTGTTTACACGTTTCATGTTCTGCTTATGAAATAAAAAATTGACAAAACTTTCAGAACAAAACTATTGAATCTAAAGTACACATACCATTCTCCAAACAATGATAACACTACCTTGTATATTCTCAAAGAAAGTATTCCTACAGCTATCAGTTGAACTGGCAGGTGAGAAAATGTTATCACTCTCATTCTGTTCAAGAGTCTCTTCGTTCACATCACTCAAAGTTTCAGAGCTATCACCAGATGAGGTTGAACATCTTTCATCACTCTCCTGACTTTCCTGGCTTAGTCTCCTTTTGAGAAAGTCAGCAGCAGACCTACCAGGCTTTGCTGTGAGTGACGTCTTACGTCTTGAAGATAGTAAGCCAAGAAAGGCTGAAATTTCCTTCTTCCTTGTGTCTGTATACTGAAGAACGTACAACAAAATTAAGCAAAATTTATAACTAGGTCTGCAAATTGACATTGGTTCTGTAGCAGAGGTTTTACTAGAATGGGGAGGGATTCCTCTGTAAAATAGAATGTGGGAGGTTTAGCCCACACCTTTAAATAGGTCAAAGAATCAACTTTTTTCCTAAATTCATCACCCTTACTCCCCTCCTAAAATAAAATGTGTACTGCTGCCTCCAGTCTGCAAGCACTCTTAAAACATCTTCTATGAAGTTATATAAATCAATCTCAAATACAATGAGATGACCTCACCTCATCATATTGTTCCCTAAAGAACTCTGTTACATCAGCAGGTAAACACCACCTTCTATGTCTATGCTCAAAGACAGCTAACAATCTTAATCTACTGTAATTGGACATTTTATCCTGGGAAAAAACAAGATGCTTCAAAATTTCTTTCCATGCAGCATTGAAGTTTTTTGGGTACAATTCCTCCAACTTTCCACCAATTGCTTCAAATATATCCGCAACAAAATCTACAAATGGTTCGCTATGCCACAACGGTCTCTTCAAATATGGCCAAATACTTCTGCCTATTTCAAGGAGCAAGTCAAAAAGAGTTGTGTTTTGATTGTGTGATTTGCATGAACTGCAAAGCAAGCATATCAGGTCTGCATCCAAGGAGCTCAGGTTTTCAATTGTTCCCATTCTCACTAGCAGTTGATTGCATTTACTGTGGAGTTGATCTTCCATTTGCCAAGAGTGCTTTCGTATATGCCTGTCTAAATCATGCATCGAGCAGGCAATGGTAGCCTTATTTTGGTAGCGATCAAGAAACGATAAACCGCAAAATGTTTGGAAAACGTCATTGGATTCTTTACCACAGGTAATGGTATCCGCAATCTTCATAATTTGTCCTGAATCTGCATTGTTTGAAATTGTTGCATGGTCCTTGGCGATATCCATCAAAATGGACAAAGACTTTTTATGGTAAGTGCAGGCAGATGGTCTTGTATCATCAATTACAACAACTGCTGGTTTCTCTAGGCGCCGTTTGCAAGCTGGTCTAATCATGCTGTTTAAAATTGGAGTGGTTGCCAACGCCATACTAAATAAAGAGTCATTAATCAATAGTTATAGTATGGATAACATTATTATTTGATGAGAAGATAATATATTTACCTGGGGTTCATTGAATTCTTACCAACTATGTAATAACCAATATTAATCACCTGCACTCGTCTCAGAGGAAATTGCATCTTAGATGTAACTCTGATGTTTACGATTCTGAGATTAAGTGCTTTTAATAATAATATCGTCAAGGTATATTACTAAATTCTCTTCGCAAGTGAATGTAAAAGGTTTTAGCAACAGTTAAAGGAACGAATTTCAAGCTACTCTATTGCATGAAAGACTGCAATATAAACATCGCTGAAAGCCAAAAAGGAAGGCAATCTTTTTCGCTTTTTACGACAAAACACGATAGTCGCATACCTAAATGGAGCAATATCACATAAACACAATAACCATTTCTACGCCTCTACGGCAATCGCGCGCTGCCTTTATCACTCTTGAAAGCGATTAAAGATCGTTTAGAAATGCCACATCCATGCAATGCAATATTAAAAGACTATATTTAAACAAATATGCCTGGAAACCTACCTCAAAATCTTGCAAAAAACACAAGTGAGTGGTCTGCCGCTCTTTTGCCTTGAAACACGCGAAACCTATATTGCGTGCCGTAATATGAAGTACCTCACACCTTCACGGAAATGACGTCAAATGACGCGTTTTCGCGACATCTTGACGCGCAAAATGAAAATTTTTGCGGTGCGGCAACCAATGAAAATCAACGTGATTTCTTATAAGAATATACATGTAAATCTGGGTGATTAATAAGGAGAACGACGGTTACGCTGGCCAAATAAGAGTTGCTAGAAATATTGCTGTTTTAAAAGTCATCATCGGTGAAATATAATGCTGAATATTAGAGCAAAGAATAAAAAAAAAAAAAAGAAAAAAAAAGAGTTTCCTGTCAATTTATGCGTTCTGGTTAATGTCCATCTTCCCCTAGTTGTCCGACAAACACTTTAAATTCCAAAGGCACAACAGTCGACTCAGAGTACTAAGACAAAAACAAATGTTCAAAATCAAAAGTGCTTTTTATTCTAGCGAATTGTTTGCAATCATATAATGAACGTAGATATTCGTGGCAATAAGTGTTTGACGAATCAAGTTAGTTAAATAACATAAACAGAATAATCAAGATGAAAAAAGCAGGTGAATACAGGCCGATACTCGCAGAACTAGGAACAATGTTCTTATTTTTACAAATACTAGCGATCTCGGGCTCATAGGCTGGGCATTCTCCACCATTGAGACAGCTGTGGATCACCTTAGCTTGCTTTAAACTACCGGAGTACCCAGCCTGGCTGTATCCCCAATAATTCTCGCTCGTCGCTTCCCCCGAGAAGAAAAGGTTACCCAGGCGTCCTTGTAAATTATTAAAGTCGGCTGAGGTAACACCAACCGCAGCATTGCTGAAGGAACCGCGGATGTACGGATTTTGACTGAAACTACCCACGGTCATCTCTAGAGGTGAATAATGATTGACTATGTTATTGATTGACTATGTTATTGATTGACTATGTTATACGGGATTCAATATTATGGTTAGGCTTCATTGCAACTTTCCACACCAATGTTATTCTCAAGTATATGCCAGAAAAAAGGAAACCTAATTAAGGTCCTCAGAATACCAGTGTCAGGACTAACGTGAAACATGTAGTCTCCACTTACCTAAAGGTTCTGGAATATTGACGTTGGGATACATTTCTCTCAAAGATTTCATGACCTCAGCTTTTGTCGCATTTTTGCTCTGTGCTTCAATGCGAAGAGAATTCTCACCAGTTGCACTGAATAACAACACATTTGAACCACGGTGAAAATCTTTTATGTTAAGGTTATACACGAGAGGAAATGTTTCAGTCAAGGAACCAGCATTCAAAATAAACTCGGTATCATCCCAAAACGCGCTCGGAAACTTCACGTAAATATTGGTGTAATAGGCAAGAGGCAATCTACTTATAGCAACTTTCTTCCATTTCGGTAATTCTGGTTCAAATGTTACCAAATCCGAAGCTAAGACACCCGTACTGAAAGTACAAAGAGCATATTTTGCCTTGAACGTTTCACCATCTCTTGTCCGAACTTCGATTCCGTTCGAAGTGTTTAACTTTATATGCGTTACGACCTTTTCTGTTTTAAATTTACCCGTGATGTTTTGGGATAAATAGTCAATGATACCTTTGAATCCACGATTGTCCGTGATATACTCATTTTCCAAGGGAATGCCTGAAAATTGTCGGAAAGAGGCCAGTGCAGGTTTCACAGAATATTCAAAATCAAGGTACCACCATTCGGCTGTTCGTTTCAAAGCTGTATCTGGGATCCAGCCGTGTTGGGCAAAAACTGAACTCAATGGCTCGTCCCCACTCAATTGCGCATTGTTCTCGTTTTGCTCAGTGAGTTTCATTCCCAATTCTTCGACGGTTTTATAAGCCTTGCCAAGATCATCATTCTGGTGGATAGAATTCCTGTAAACAAAAAGTTGACATGAACTTTATCACAACTAATTTTAGTCTACAGGGTGTCTCAAAAAAAACGCAACCACTTAAATATGCAAGAATATTAATATTGTTTGGGTTTGCACCATAGTTCAGCTAAAAGGACTTTTAGCATTTTAAATGAAGGGTTAAGAGCCATTTTCAATTCCCAAAGGTGCTTATCTATTGCGCTTCCGAGCTGCAATAATGTTCTCGCATATTTAGGTGGTTGCGGTTTTTTTTGAGACACCCTGTACATATAGTTTTGCGCATATTTTACTTGTATTCGACATTCTAGAAGACATCTTGAATGAATAAAGTGAGCTATATTCTGCAAACATGAAGCCTTGGTTTCTTACTATATTTAGTTATTGTTTTACTCGAATAACACATATATAAAGATTTTCTTAAACCGATAGAGCTGTTCAATTTAAACGAAGCAGCACTGGGTCGCGTACAAGAAGATATAATCTTGATCAGACCTTTGTTAGATAGAACAATAACAACTAGTCTGAATTCCTATCTGAAGAGTAGGATCATTGTTGGCATGAATAAACATACTGTAATGTCACGTTACCTCAGAGTGAAATCGCTGATGTTCATCGAATATCTCATGAGATTAATTTTATTTGCGATTACCAGAATTGGATTTTCATCTCCATCTTCGACGTAATGTACCCAGTTTGCACCTTCACCCACCGTCAAACCGCCGATTTTAACCTGCTTCACGCGACCACCGATGTAATCTTGTGCTTCGAGGATGAGAAAATTCGATTGTCCGTTGCTTTGGAGGTAACTTCCCGCGGTGATTCCTGAGATACCAGCTCCTAAGATGAGCACATCGACCTCAGTAACAGCGAAGCAAACTGTAGGACACGTTAACAAAATGCCGTAAAATACCAGCAAGAAATTGCACCGAACATACGAAAAAACGCCCATATTTAGTTCATGAGATGATGAAATAACAATCGAACTTAGATACGCCTTTTATTTGCCAGATTCCGTCGCAAATTAAATATTAATTTTTTGACATATTTAACCAAGGAACTTGTTACGCCTGTATTCTACCGGGTGTTGAAATACGATCACAGCAATTATATTGTTCTGTTCTAAGCGAATTCAAACTTTTTTTTCGCATTTTAGTGTGTCATGAACAAAACACAAAATATTTGCACATTTAGTAGGAATCGAAGCATCGCGGGGAGGCATAAGCGGAGCATTGCGCAAAATAAACAGATCTTCGATCTCGAAACCGGAGCCTGCGATCCATGCCAGGACCTTCATCAGAAGCCAAACACAAACAATATAAGAACAATTCAGCATTGACCAATATTGCTAATGATGCAATATATTCTCTAATTTTTGCAGAGTTTTTCTGTACGAATAAATAATAGTGCGTTATAGGTAGATTGCATCGTGGTACCCAGGGCCTAGCTCTCTTGGTAGACAGTAATCTGATATGCACAGCAAAAATAAATTAAAACCCCAATCGGTTAGTTGCCGGTGAAATGATTGTTTGCCATTCATCAGTGCCTGTCTTGAAACGATCATCAAATATAGTTGTGTAAACAGTGCATTACGCGTAATACGAATCATGATTACATTCAAGAGATGGAAAGTCAGTTCCGTACGAAAAAGAGTTTCCAGATAACAATGCGAGTGTTTGGCACGCAGATCTTGATGCAATAACGCAAATTTGGAGTCTGGTATTGACCATCCAAGAACATTAAACATATTATATCATTAAAGGATCGATTCATGTTTGTGCTTATGTAACACCTTGTGGGAAATTGATGTCGCAAATGTTAATTATATAAGAATGTTGAGAATAACTTGGGTATGGATGACCATTTGGTTAGTCAATGCTCAGGTGTGTATCAGGGTTGTATTTCTGCATAATGTACCGTTCAATTTATGGTATATATGTGACACGTTGTGTTGCTGCTAATATGGTATATGTGATGAAGTTGATTATTTTAAGAACGCCGGTTTAAACCATTAAATTTTATTTAAGGCTGCATGTTATCCTTGCTTACAGCACAGAAAAAGAGTTAATATTCAAGTTTATACATACGGTGAAAACATTTTTGAAATCACCACCAATGACTGAGTAATTCGCGTGTGGTGTGCTGTTTTTGCGAGATGAGATATTTCAGGTTGCATTGTTCGCTTTTCCACATCATTATTACACGCCAATTAAACTGCTGTATCCTAATTAAATCCTGCTGAGTAAATAAAAATTAAACCTCTTCTAATCCCGTCGCAATACTGCACCACACTGCATGTTAATTGTTGTGTGGATAAATAAATTCCTTATACTCGCTCTAAAGATCAGGAAATGCCTGAAGATGAATGATAATAATGATAATAAACATGAGAAAAGATTTACGAAGACGTTTTCGTCGTTTTGTAAAATGGTTCTCCAGCGCTGATCGTCGCAGGTCCGTCGTCCTTGAACTAATGCAATTATCTAACGCTAGATTATTTAATTTCAGTTTGATTGATGCCCAGATACTTTTGACAAAGATTAATTATTGCACAAGCTGCGATATTCCATTTATAAACGATTTGATACGATCAATAAGAGATTTATCTCTACTGGACCTCCAGGAAGAACATGCACAGTTTAGAACTGATAGAGCTATCCAGTATAGATAAAGTTAGTTTAGTTTAGGTTTCCTCCTGTAGTAACACTGGATCAATAAGAGATGATCCTTACTGGACCTCTAGGAAGAACAGTTTAGAACTGATAGAGTTATCCAGTATAAATAAAGTTAGTTTAGTTTAGACTTCCTCCTGTGGTAAAATTGAATCGAAAACATTCTGCATGAGACAGCATGACTGCATGCAACTGGTTGAAAATCAGTTCAGTAGTAATGCAGTTTTTTCTATTGCTCTAGTTGTGTGATTCATCAGGCAAACTCATTATTCGTTTTTTGCGATTAAAGAACAACAAAAGAGTAAACAATAACGCTTGTTGTGAAAGTATTCTTGCTATTTGTTGGGAAGCCTGCGACATATTTCTGGATATCTGCGTCACTGAAGTTGGCCAAGCCAGATGTAATTCTGAGAAATTTAAAACTAAGGTTTTAGGTAAAGGTAGTTTCACATTTAATGGAGATCTCGGAAATAGCAGGGCTAATCCACTGGAGTACAGTTTTCAAAAATGGCAGGTATGGTTCCTACTACGACGAATGTTTCTTCTCAATTGTTATATGCGTTCCGTAATCTGTAATATCACTCTGTCAAACCAGAGACTGTTTACACGATCCTGGCTAAATGCTGGTGGAACAAAAAAAAAAATAAAAATAAGCCTTTATTATTGGGATGGCTTCATCACTACCCAGATCATGTTAAATACTTCAATATATCATGTTAAATACTTCAATTTATCATATATTATAATACCTCAAAGTCATGTCACGCTACGTTCAATCACTGGTAACCAGGCTCATGGAAACAGCCTCCTTATAACTCCAGTTTCTATATCTTACTAGGGCTTCAGTCTCGCGATCGAAATTTGGGATTTCGACAGTGGCTTTCTGAAAGGCTCCAGCGACTTCGTAGATAATGTTCATTTGGATATTAAGGAGATGCCTCAACGAGACTCGGGTTCTGCGAGAAGCGTTGCGCACAAAATGAATTCATCTACCTCCCCGAATGAACGTTACATAGATCTCGAAATTAGCATATACTGCGATGACAACTTCTTGGTCCCAGACTGCGAAAAGGAATGTATAGCACGTGACGACGCACGTGGACACTATACGTGCGATTATGTCAGAGGTTTAGTTGTGTGTAATCAGTACTGGTATGGAGACCGCTGTACGCACTACTGCAAACCCGGAAATGATACCTTCGGTCATTACTCATGTGACAAATTTGGCGCTAAAATTTGTGCGGCGGATTGGTTTGGCGTCAATTGTTCAACGTTCTGCAAAAATACGGGCAATTCGAGCGTGCATTATAAGTGCGATACTTCCACCGGGGAAAAAATTTGCCAACCCAATTGGTACGGAGAAACTTGTGGGACTTTCTGTAAAGCCCAGGACCATAGAGACGGACATTATTCTTGTAACAAGACGAGTGGAGGGAGGGTCTGTTTGGAGAACTGGTTCGGGACTGAGTGTACAAAGCATTGTTCTCCACAAAACACTCCATTATTGGGTCATTTCAAATGTGACGTCAACGGGGACAAAGTTTGTCGCTCTGGATGGCGGGGGGTCAACTGCACTATAGGTAAGTTCCTAGTTTGATCATAATTCATCTATACCACAGTTATACCACGTAAAACTAAACTGAGCTGATTTATCCGACATTTTATGTTCATTTGTTTCTTTAAGAAATTTCAACAAGCGACAGAAGGAGGGTAATGACCAGGGTGACGACCAGAATAACGAATGGGGTGACAACCAGGGTGACGACTGGAGTGACGACCAGGGAGACGACTGGGGTGACGACCAGGGTGACGACCAGGGAGACGACTGGGGTGACGACGGTAGTTGAACCAAGCTACAACATGCAACATCCCCTGCTCTCAATGACAACGAAAAGACAAACGCCATCAATTTATGAGAAATCAACCTCAATGACAACATCCTCATCCATCACAATCAACCGCTCGTGGGGTATCAATCAACCAGACTCCTCTACCTCGCTGTATGTTGTCAATAATCCTATGACAAGCGAGCAAAACACTCACGAGGCTGTCGTGTCTCCTTCAGTGACAACCTCAAATGAACGTTATTCTACAACTTTTGAGGAATTTTTCCTTTCAAAAATGACACCATACAAACTGACTCAGACTGTATCTGAAAGTCCTTCTCAATATGAAGAATCTTTTCAGAAAACTGAAGCAACAAACGCGTATTTATCTTTTTCAACCATTGGAACACTCAAGCCGTGGAAACTGAGTAAAACTAACTCAATATTTAGTCCTCTTTCATTGACGCAATTGATAGAATACAGTCTCCATAACAGAGCAAGCATCGTCAAGACATCGATATCAAATATTTCCGGCCTATACTCGACAACCGTCTCAGAGAGAGCTGGAAATAACTTGATCTCTACACAAGTTACAACAACCCAAATACAGGGCGTTAGAGTGGCCAGTCCAGTTTTCATAACTAGGTCAGCAATAATGAGGTCATTTAGTCCAGCAAAGAGATCTGCGATTGGAGGAGCATCATCATCTTGTAGTCTGATTACACTTGGTCCAGTCTCAGTGAGGAGATCAGATGTGACGAGGATATCAAGTAGTCCAGGTTCACTAACAAGATCAGCAATAGTGACGTCATCAAGCGTCAAACCAACAAGAAGTAGCGGGAAGATTGCGAGGAAAAAAGAAAATCAGTTTGTTGTCGTATTTTTCCCCAGCGTGTGTTTCATGATCGTTGTTGGACTCGGAATATGCGTCAAGATTCGGCAAAAGTAAGTCACATTAATTACATTCGCGCATCAATACTGCGCAATCTCGTAACCAGGACCTGCGTGTGTACGCGGAATCTGTGGTACCCTCTCTAAAAATAGAGAGCTTTAGCAGTGACTACGAGTACGAGATTCGTCATTCTCGCGCGTTGTTTGCTTACGCCATCAGCCAAAACTCGTAGTCTTTGGGCTTTCGAGTACGAAATTTATCAAAAAACTCGTACTCAAAAGCTCAGCGACTACGAGTTTTGACTGATGGCGTAAGCAAACAACGCAAAAGAATGACGAATCTCGTAAATGTACTCGTAGTCGTACTCGTAGTCACTGCTAAAGCTCCCTAATAACACCAAGGCAACCGCAGAGTAATGAGTATCTTAAGATATTTTGCAATAATAGCGGCGAGATATAAGCGCGTATTGAATGTCCAGATTTGAGGCGTTTTTTGCTCGAAAACTTAACGCCTTCCTCACCTCTTTACCTCAGTATAAATCACCTTGAAATTAATTTTGACAAGAGGACGATGCGGAAGGGAGTGATTTGATACGTGCATTAAAACAGCGTTAAATATAAGGTTTGTCCGGACGATGACCACTTTTTATCCGGGTAGGTGGATACTGGGCGACAATATCAATTGTTCTAGCAGGGTCATCCCAGGAAATGCGACTCTTGAAGTTTGATGAATGATTGAATCACATGAGTTGTCGGCCATCTTTGGTGGCATCTCAACAAACTCTTTCACGACTCTGAACCAACAAATACAAAAACGTGAGCGAAATGAAATTATTGTATTTCATTTTTTAACGAAAAATGGAGGAAGGGCACTAGAAGAAAACTACGATGCCATCGGCAAAGACGTAAACGTAATCTCACTACGAAACGTAGAAAAGTAGGCAAGCCCGCTTGTCAGTCATTTCAATTGTATCCGGTCTCGAGTGTCATTTCTTTGTTTTCTGATCATGCTAGAAGCCTAGAAAGTATGATCTTAAGACAAACGCTTTGCATGACTGTTGGGCCTGTCGCAAACTGAGTAGCAACCCCATGTTGTGTTAATGCGTTGTAAGAAAAAAACCTTTTTTTACTAATTATACTCTACAGAAAACTAAAACGTGTCCAGATTGCTCCTATGAATGTGACTAGTGATGTCTCAGAGCACCCGGATGCAAGGTCAACACACATCTTAAGAAACCTTTCAGCAAAACAGGTAAAATGCAACCAAGACAAGTAAAATGTCCTCTGTTTGCTCCACGCAGACTTGGGCGAAAGTGATTTAAAGTTTGCCAGTTATTTTAGAAATAAACCAATTCATCTTCTTCTTCTTCTTTGAGAGAAGAATAACTCTTTGGCTTTCAAGCTTTAAGTGCATTGACTGAGCTTAGTATTTTAAAGAGGATTGCTGGGGTCTCAACGCTCTTTCCTTCACAAGACAAAGTGTTTGTTGACATTACAAATGCATGCATACACATTACACACAGTACCTTTACGATTGTTGTAGTGTATGTGACTGTACAAATATGTTGAAATAGCAATAATTCATGACTCAGTGACAGTTTTGAAGTGAAATAAACCAGGTTCAACGTATTAAAGATAACATCGAATCACTAAGGTGACGATAACAAATTATGAGATTATTGAGATGATTAGCGAGGTTTATCATTTTATTGCATGCAGTGAATGCCGGCGACCAAAATGCGACGTCTAAAGGCGGATTTCCACTTACAGCGAAATCGTTCGCTAGCGAAATATTAGCATATTTTCTTTTGAATTTAAACAGCATAAATAAATTAGTGCGACTTGAGTGCTCTCAATTCAAAAGAAAATATGCAAATATTTCGCCAGCGAACGATTTCGCTGTAAGTGGAAATCCGCCTTAACTGAACCAGGGGATGAAATTGGTTTAAACCAGGATTAAGATAATTTGCAGTTCATATTTTGTCGATACAATGATTGACGTTGTTGACGCAGGTGATATGGCAGGATATGACAAAGACGTGAAGGAATAGATTTATTGTAAATATAAAATATCGCGTTTTTTCGTTGCCAGGAAGTGATGGGAATGAGCAAAATCACAGCAAAGGGGAAATGAACTAGCTTCTCGCTAATTCAAAGAGATATACCTTCAAACAATGGAACTATTCTTGGATCATAGTATATTTGATCTTCATTGGTCATGATCTGTTACCTGATAGCTGACTGTCAGAGTTATAAATCAATATTTCTTACTTTTAGCCATAATATCGAATAATAAAACGCAATTTACATAACACGCCTTTTAGTCACTATGACGAAACTAACTAACAAAGGCGAATTGTAAATACAAACTTTCACGAAAAATTATTCCGACCCAGCTAAATAAAGATGTATTCTTGAAATTCAAAATTGGCGTGTCTTGAATTATAAAGGCTATTCGCATTTGTACCCGGAAAAGTCGGATTGGAAAACTATCAATATATGAGGTCAAAATACAAAGCAACTTATACTAGAATGTTTTTTTTAACTTAAATTTTAAACGCGGGGACCCTGGGTACGAGGTTGCTGCTCTGGGCCTCTGGCTATAAGATTCTGGCTGTAAGAATCTGCCAGACCTGTTCAAGACGTGAAGATGAACTTCGTATCGTGTGGTGTCTTTGTTGTGTTCCTTACCAGCCTCATTTCACAGGTACGAGTTCAAATGAACGAATGTGTTATTAATTACCGTAGAAAAACAATAGTTGCCGAAGGGCAGTTTGCCTGCATTGGCATGCTTCACTTGCATATTTGATTTGTTTACTTCAGTGCTAACTGCGATACAGATAATGTCTCAATGAAAGAAGCAATATGCCATTCCAATATTGTGATTTGTGACAAAGTTATCTCAGACTCTCAGTGCAACTACGTTTCTCGATTCGTAGAAATGATTTTATGGTAGTTCGTAGTTCATAAATTACTGCAAATATTTGATAGCTCAGCTGCGACTAAAATGATACAAAAATGCATATTTTATAAATGTTTCACTTTCGACAATCAGGACTTAAGTTACGTCTCAATCAAGTTACGTCTAATTTCCCATTTTGTCGTATTATAATTGTCGTGAACGTGTTAAGGTAGTTGTAGTGACGGTCTGACAGAATATTTCTATATAATTGTATATAAAGGGGCTTTTAATTACAACATCCCTCGACAGCCATTCCTTACTTCAACAATTTCAAGACTGGTATATATTTTGGGTTTGCTAAATAAAGTTATAGTGTTTTGTTTTCCACGGCATGCAGTAACCATGCAACTAGAGAGAAAGGCTGTGGCAGTGAAATAATCTAATGTTAATAATACCGAACTTTTGATCGGCAACGTTTTTAAACAGCAAGATTATTAAGCGAACTATCTTTCATCTTTGAATGGGTTTTGAACAGGTTTTCTAAACCGTGGATATTTGTCTGTCACGGCTTTGACACCGGCAAAGTTGATTCGGCCCTTGTATCACTCGGGACTTCAATCTTCTGCACCAGAACAGCAAAGTCAATATTCGCTATTATTTTCCAAAGTATGCTTCATTCTCTCCTCCCGCTTCTTCTTAATCTATTATATAATATATCAAGGTTGATCAGTTTTAAAAATTGGTGTTTTCTTTTCATTAGATTAAGACAGGGGTGGATCCAGCACTAGTGCACTAATTTGCATTACAAAACAAAATGGCTATTTTGAGCAGTTTTCTTGTGTCATGCAAATTAGTGCACTAGTGCTGGATCCACCCATGGATTAAGACCTCCTTCAAGTACGGTATATTTTTTATTAGAATCCGACAGAAGGAAGGTCTGGAAACTTTGGAGTTTCTGTGAAGAACATCACTCGTAAAGCAGAAAACGAAACGTGTCAAGGAGGAGGAAATGATTGCAAATATTTCCTGGAATTGTGTTATTCATATTCCCCGCACAGAAACTGTTCAATATTCCCCCTCCTAAAAACATTATCGTGGGTAATAAAACCCGGTACGAGCAAGATTCTCCGTCTTTGGCACGACGATCTTACAAGTACTGTCTATAACCCTATCATGGTGAATTTTGAAAGATGGCAAAATGTAAGTTACACTCTTCACACCTCACTTAATTATCTGGTTTTACGTGAGCCAATAAGAGAAAACTATAAAAGCATGCTTCAAGACCAATTGGTCAACTCTGTCTTTAACTACAGTTAAAAGTTAACTGTAGTCTTTTATACAATTGGCCCTTCATTTCATCTTAAATAGAAAGACGTTATTCTTGATGTGAACGTTTCAAGAGATGATACAAAGGACGTCTTAGTTGACAGAATTCAAATCAAAACAAGGTTACCGTATCCTATTAACGATGTTAAAAAAATTGACGTGCAAGAAAACTACAGATCAAACTGCGGTCAGTTTTTTTGTCTTGGCGTGCTTATCTATGCCTGGTGTGATGATGCCATTGCTTGTGCAGGTGGGTTCTTGTGAGAGGAAACAAGAGAAAAAGTATAAAATGGTGATTGCACCAACCGGCTGTGGACACGTCGGAAGGATCTAGTGTAAAAGGAATAATATTGATAAAATTTACGTCCCACTCCAAGGAACAGAAAACGAGAGAAAAAGGGGCAATATTTAGCTTCGTGAGGACAGCACGATTCTGTATGTCATTGTTTTCCTAGGTCCACCTCCAGCATCTTCTTCGTCAGTGATGTTCAGTATCTCATCGTCAACAAAATCATCAAGTCTGATGCCTTCCTTGCCATCTTCAACAAAAGTACAAAGTCTGATGACGCCTTTCGTGTCGTCTTCAACAAAAACATTTAGTCTGACGCCTTCACCCTCGTCCTCAACAAAAATATCAAGTCTGATGCATTCCTTATCATCTACAACAAAAACATTTAGTGTGACGCCTTCGCCCTCGTCTTCAACAAAAATATCAAGTCTGATGCATTCCTTATCATCTACAAAAAAAACATTTAGTGTGACGCCTTCACCCTCGTCCTCAACAAAAATATCAAGTCTGATGCATTCCTTATCATCTACAACAAAAACATTTACTCTGACACCTTCACCCTCATCTTCAGCAAAAATATCAGACCCAGCAGGTTCTTCAGAGCAATCCTCGCAAGGTTTTTCGGAGAAGACATGGTGGTTCTGGGTAGTGATAGTTTTCGTTATTGTTTTCTGTCTGTTGGTGACTTGGTTGGTGTATCAAAAGGCAAAAAGGTAAGAAGCAATAAATAATTCAGCCTAATTAAATCCATTGCCAAAGATAAAGTACATAAAGGCTCCGTGCGATTAATCAGAAACCCAGTCAGTCAGTTATTACGTCTGTCGTTCAACGGGAGAAAATCATCGTCAGGAAGAATGGAAGTATGACTATCTTCCACAATCTTTTATTTTATCAGGCGGAAGTCCCAAAGAATCTTCATCAATATGCCGGAATCGAAAACTACAGTCATAATGCAAAACCTGCATCAATCATGGCATCACTAAGCATGGAAACACTGTTATTTAACAATTAGACAACGAGTCCGAGTTGTCTATGAGCGAATAGTCAACGAGGCGAAGCCGAGTTGACTATTTGCTCATAGACAACGAGGCCGAGTTGTCTAATTGTTTTAGTATAAACTATAACATTAATTTACAACTAGGAAACACAATATAAAATTCTTGTTGGCTTGCAAACCATTCTGAAATTTATTTCGTATATTAAAGGAAGAAAATATTTTAATTGTTGTTCGCGTAAAATGTTTTAAAATTCAGTTTAAATATAAAAATTCAATTGAGTATACGTTATTTTTATGTATTTTCTTACCCTTAAAAATTGCAATTCCGTATTTTGTTGCTTTTTTTGTTTTTTCTGGTACGGAATTGTCCAACAAGTCGTCCAAAAAATCTTCAGATACTTCGGCGAAACGCGAATTTTCCGCCATTGTTTTGAATTTTGCTACTAGTAGGCTATCACTAATAGCCTACCAGTAGCGTAGCCAATCAGAACGCAGGAAAAGTGATAGCCTATTAGTCAGTTTATACTAATATCTAATAACAGAAGATTGGGTCTAGTTGATGAAGTTGTGATAGACGTCTGGAAAGAAAGAAGTTACAGCAAGCGAGATAAATATATTTAAAAACATCTCTCATTATGATTTCTAGATTTCACTGATCAAACAACTTGACTTCGCTTGCATGTTGTTCGTTTTCCCCCTCAAAAATAGAAGATTAGTTGATTGATATAGCTCCAAGCACATACATATACAAAAACAAAAACATGCATAGTCACAGTTGAGACATGGATAGTTCTTGATTATCTTTTTACCCCTTGGCAATAACATTGAAGTAAATTATGGCTACTAAATTATATTATGGTTCTAAAAGATTTTTGGGTAATTTCTTTGTGAATATCTTTATTACTTATTACTGAGCTTGTAAGATATGGAAAGAATATATTTTTTGTTAAATTAAGTTAACAGAGCTTGATTTTTTGACATCATTAATTAATATTGTTTAACAGGTCAAAAAATATTCTGTAGTTACCTAAAAATGCGAATGATTTTGCAAATCGAGAAGCATTGTTGAATTGCAAAGAATTTAGCAAACAACCGGATTAAAGGATTTCACAGAAACTGTATTTCAGACACAGATCAATTAAATATGACATGACTGATCCCTCAACACTGCTACTGGCTGGTTTAATATTGTTACGCGTAATTACTATTGTTACGCCCAAGTTTTTGATGCTTTTACGTCACACCAGAAATGTTTTAAAACAATAGTGAACCACGCAGTATCAAATTACTCATCAGGCGGTCAAAGTACGTGCCAATGTTTATATAAGACGAGAAATATTACACAGCATGACATTGACCACATCAACAATATTCTCGAACTATCTAAGAAAATGATGAAGTTGAAATTGTTGGTTCTCGTGGTGATTTTCACCATCTATGTTTCACAGGTACGCGTCAAGTTTTGGTCAAACATTCGTTCATTACTGTAGCCAGCCAGTAGCTAGCAGTGTTGAGGATCAGTTGATGCATGTCATATTTTATTGACCTGTGTCTGAAATACAGTTTCTGTGAAATCCTTTAATCCAGCTGTTTTCGATTTGTCAAAATCATTCGCATTTTTAGGTAACTACAGAATATTCTTTGACCTGTTAAACGTCCCCGTGAAACTCGTCCATTTATATAATTAATCAATTTGACTGTGTCGGTCTGTCTACGTGTTCTTCCGCATTCAACACAATTCCATTCAGCTGACACAAAATTTTACAGATGTACAGTTTGTAAACATTTTAGAAACTGGTGTTTCAAATAAATTATCACGGGGCACAAATTCCCAAGAGGAATTAGAAATTTGGGCTATATATTTTTTCGTACGTGACTATCGACTGTCAAGAAACGCTCTAACATGATCAAAATACAAGATGAACTTGTTTTCAAACGTCTTAAATCCAGTGGCGTAGCCAGCCTGACGAATGACGATGCAAATTTTATGTTGTTATCATTTTTCATTTCTTTAGAAATTCATTGTTTTCACATTCTCAAACCCTTTTCTTTTACCACTTTAAACAGTGTCTAACCAAGGACTGTACAGTCTGTAAATACTAATTTAAAAAAAATCTGCGGAATTTAATCGCGCAATTTCCGTCTTTCCTAAAGCCGGTTTTCCGACTAGCGGATATTTTCGCGCGAAGCGACATTTTACTTTTGTTTCAGGGCTCTCTACTGCAACCATCTGGAACGAATTGCTCAAATACAAAGGAATAAAGTCGCTTCGCGCGAAAAATATCGCTAGTGGAAAACCGGCTTAACACAAACATGAAGCAACATTATCCTTCAAGTTAAAACCAACATTTCCTGCATGCAAATGAATGATCAAGATAACTGGGGAAAATTATGGTAGTTTATGAGGATGTACACCCGTTTCCCTTCTGGCTGGTATTGGGGTCGAAATTGGTAGCGAGCACTGCCCGATTTCAATGGATGAAATATTTTCGAGGAGAGAATATTGAAACAAAACCCTCGTCAAGTGTACTTGAGTCAGATATTATCACCTAATCGTATATCATTGAAATAGCAGTGAAGAAATAATTTTGGGATTTTCTTTTAACATTGTCATGGAAGTTGATATTCATTGTGTTTTTATGAAATTCCCCTGAAAAACAAGGAAGTTATCTCGAGCATAGAATTGCTTTACTATTAGGCTTGTTTTAGGTTTCACAATTTTGTTGTGGATCTACTTGAAGCATTTATGACAACATGACAAGTCATAGACCGTTCAAAGATAATCGCAAATAGCCTTCTTTATCTTTTTTTAATCATCAATCAATCGCCATAGTCGCACTCCTCAGATTACGAAGATGGACTTTAAAAGGTCGTAAATTCCTTTATTGTCTTCCCCCGCCATTTTTTGTCTTCCGCCCCCCCCCCCCCATCAATAAAGATGTTTGGTATTTCCTCTCAGCATGACTTTCGTTTCGCAAAAATGCACAATCATGAATCCTCCACACTTAAATTCACCGTAATCCACCGTTTCTTCTTTTCCCACTGGCAACGGCTAGTTTTCTTAGGTTCTTGCTAACTTAGACTGGATTTCCACGGACAGTGAAATGGTCGACAGCGAATTATTTGCACAAATAACAGCAACTTAACAGCATGGATTACCTAAAATCGACTGTTCTCAATTCAAAAGAAAATATGCAAATAATTGAATAGCTGAACCAATTCTGTGCAAGTTGAGACAAGTTGAAATCCAGCCTTAATAGTTAGTAACACTTAATTCATCTCATTATTCAGAAAATATTCGCTTGCAAATTAATGCAAAATTCTGAAAATACAGTCCTACAAATATTCTAAACACCGTCTTCCTTGAAGTACGATATATTTTTTTATTAGAATCCGACAGGAGGGTCCCGAAACTTTGGAGTATCTGTGAAGAACATTACTCGAAAAGCAGAAAACGAAACGTGCCAAGGAGGTGGAAATGACTGCAAATATTTCCTGGATTTGTGTCTTTCATATTTCCCCGAAAAGTGTTCAATATTCAGCCCCCTACGAACATTTTCGTGGGTAATAAAACCCGGTACGAGCAAGATTCTCCGTCTTTGGCACGACGATCTTACAAGAACTGTCTATAACCCTATCATGGTGAATTTTGAAAGATGGCAAAATGTAAGTTATACTTTTTGTGTATGGGAAATGGTATAGCTAGAGTTTTATCTCAATAACCTTTGGGGGTTCTGAATATTTAATGAACCTTTCTCAGTATTTATCTCTTAAAATATACCTCACTTCGTTTTCAAATTTCTTTGTCAGAGCTATAGTTCTTTTAACTAAACATAATCACAAAATCTTGACTAGTTTGAAAAGATATAATTGATTAAATACTGCAGAATTGATTCCTTTTTGAACAACCCTTCTTGCTAAAATATATATAGAGCGAGATACAGTGCACAAAAACAGCCGACTTGATCAACCAATTTCGTCTTTTCTTTAAATAAATAGAAAGACGTTATTCTTGATGTGAACGTTTCAAGAGATGATACAAAGGACGTCTTAGTTGACAGAATTCAAATCAAAACAAGGTTACCGTATCCTATTAACGATGTTAAAAAAATTGACGTGCAAGAAAACTACAAATCAAACTGCGGTCAGTTTTTTTGTCTTGGCGTGCTTATCTATGCCTGGTGTGATGATGTCATTGCTTGTGCAGGTGGGTTCTTGTTAGCCGGGAAACAAGAGGACATTGTGAGGTATACCATGGATAATAAACTATCCATGGGTGTACCAAGGTCATGAAACAACATGTACATACATGTTGATGCATGGTTGTGTAGTAAAACCCAAATTGATTCAGTATTGCTATGGAAGAAGTTAAGAACTATACATTTATGCTAATAATTCAGCACTTCGTTGTTTTTCTAGGTCCGCGTCCAACATCGTCATCTTCAGTGTTGCCCACAACCTCATTTCCAAAAGAAACATCAAGTTTCACATCACTAACGGCTTCTCAATCATTTTTCAAATCTTCCCAAGCAGTCAACCAACCTTTCCAAGCAGCACCTAAGGAACACCCAAATGTTAATCCGACCAAGAGTTATGAAACGCGTTCCTGGGATAAAACATCTTCCCGAAGTAAAACCACGAAGCAGCCAGCTGTCCCCAGAGCAGGGGAGGCGAGGGGTAATGACGAGACCCAACACTGGTGGGTGTGGGTGGGGATAGCTTTTTTAATCGTGCTTTTTCTGGTCGTGGTGACTGGGTTCGTGTTTCTCAGAATCAAACGGTAAAAGTAATCAAATTATTCCGTCAAATCGTTAACACATGCATGCATGAAAAGTTTCATCTTGCAGTTGGTATAAGAAATGTGGTTCTTTTATCATTTTTCAACAGAAGGTCGAAGGCAAAGAAAGCAAAGATTTCTGTGGAGCTGAAGAAAACTGAAGCAAAAGAAAACTACGGATTTTCAGGATCAATGTGAGGGAAAACGTTTAAGAGAAATGGAAAGGTACAAACTGGTTTGTTCCCTCAAAACTCGCACTTGATGTAAACACAAGATGATTTATGTAATAGAGTAAAGCCCCGGTCAAACGGGAATGATAGTTGATGAAAGTTGAGAAGCGAGAGTTTGCACGAGAGTTTTCCAAACATTTTGCAGTATTGTTCTGTCACTAGTCAGAGTCTAGTCTGCTACGAAATGCAAACCGCTGGCGCTTTTGCAACTCTCATCAACTCTCATGACCGATCAAACGCGCCCAAACTCTCATCAACTCTCATCAAAATTTGAACCAGTTCAAAGTCTATGAGAGTTGATGAGAGTGCACGAGAGTGTATGAGAGTTCGCGGTCAAACGCAAGCGAGAGTTGCAACTCTCATCAACTCTCATCAACTCTCATCAACTCTCATTCTCGTTTGACCAGGGCTTAAAAAGAATACGAAAGCTTTTAAAACAGCATTCTTTTAGCATCTTCTACTGGGTAAATTATTGCATCATTACGTAGCTATATATGCCAGAACAAAATATTCAGTAAAATTCATAATTTCTGCTACGCAACGAACATATATTGATGTATAAAACTAGACGCATTTCTCTGCCCAATTGAGACAAAGTTAATCAACATATATAGCTCCAAGCATACGGTAAAAAAGTCAAGAAATAATTCTCAATCAACATTTCCAGTCGTGGGTAAAGGTGTCTATGTCTATAAACAATATTGCTAATCATTAGAGGTTTTGGCCGAACTGACTCCAAGGATATATTTGAGTTTAAATTGTCAGTTAGTCTAAGTTAATTACAAATAATAAACACCGTTCTATTTAAACTTTGCTATCAGTCCTTTCCTTCATGACGAAGTCACCAAGCAGTGTTACTAACACTAAGCCTTTCTCCTCTTCAAACTGATGGACGATTTTTATCAAATCAATTACGTAAAAATAACCGGCATCACGTCAACAACGGCTTATGAATGAATACCTCAGTGGAACCAAACTGCAGGAGAATCACGAGATATACGACTTCTTTAAAAGCAATTATGGTGAACGTTTGTACTTACATTCTGGATTTTATACAAGGTCCATTTTACGCTCAAGACCAACCGAGCTTTGCGCGAAGTTGCATGAGCCAGTTTGATTCACCAAGGTTTGTTTCTTTTAAAAAAAACTATTTCAAACATGCATTAGGCTGCGTTTCCAAGGGAGATAACCTGTCCGCGTGCTTAGACCTCAAAAGGACGAAGAACCTCGGCAATTGATGCAAATAGATTAAGTAGATTTGCAGGGATAAACTTTAATGTAATTTAAGTAGATTTGGGGCTAAAAAAACAACGCTCAGTTGAATATGCTGAGAACTACTGATGCGGCAAAGTATCTCGTGACTAATGTAACTTGATCACCCAAAAAAGATCTCTCACCGTGCATATGAGCAGATAGACTTGCTACACAGAATATTCAGTAATATTTATTATTATCAACTAATAACTCGCGCTGTCATCAGTGCATGCGAGTATTTATTTACTTAGTTTCATTCATCAAAGAAAACCCGAAGGGTAATGGACCTAGTTGTACAATACATGTCTTCTTTGACGAGGAATGCAGATAATTTGTTTGCCATCTGGATTTTCGTGTCCAAGCATCGACCTTATTTGATGTTCTGAAACAAAAGGGACCGACGCTGGTGTGTCAGGCAAATGGATAAATACTATGTTCAATCAACAATCTAAAAGCATATTAGTGTTCTGTCTTATCACACCTCCGGCGTATTCGCCATTCAATGCGTGATTGTGGTACGTATCAAACACAATCCCATCCATCACGATGCGCCGCACAGCAATAGCCCATATCTGTATCATATTATCCTCCGTTCTAGTAAGTACGTTTCATCATGTGAAAGATTATATCTATACATAGTTGTGTAGCCAGCTGATAATAGCGATTCATAATTAACCTTTTTAAGATGACATTACATATCAGTAATGGTTTGGCGTATTTTTCGTAACAACACTCTGAAGGTTTTGAGCATAGGAGATGATTTTTGTCGTGATTTATCATCAATAAGAGATGATCCTAACTGGATCTCTAGGAAGAACAGTTTAGAACAGATAGAGATATCCAGTATAAATAAAGTTAGTTTAGTTTAGGTTTCCTCCTGTAGTAACACTGGATCAATAAGAGATGATCCTTACTGGACCTCTAGGAAGAACAGTTTAGAACAGATAGAGCTATCCTGTATAAATAAAGTTAGCTTAGGTTTCCTCCTGGATCAATAAGAGATGATCCTCATACTGGACCTCTACAGCTATCCAGTAGAGTTGATTTACTTTAGGTTTACCCTCGAACTAAATGAATAAAGTTACATCCAAAATTAGACAAGAAAATTGTATAAGGTGTGATAACAATAACATTTCCATTCTTATATCGTCAACAGGCCGACTTCACGAGAGGAAAGTCCGGAGGTTTTGTACGAGTAAAACTAGTAAACTTTAAAAACAAAAATCACACGGACTTTTCAGGAGGATGTTGTGCTACGAAATGTCTTCCATGTGACTACAAGTTCTCAATATGGATCACTTGTGATGGTAAAACCACGGATTCATCGTGTTTATATGGTTGGGGGAAAACTGGAGTATTCTATGGTGTATCTGAAATATCTTTTACACAAGACCTCAGAAATGGCTTGCACAATCCGTTGACGTTTAACTTTACATCTTTCCAGGTAAAACCATGCATTAGCGATGAAAATTTGTTTTATTTCTACATGAGAGGGCAGGAGAAACTTGGGTAAAGGAAACTAAGGATAGTTTGTCGATAAAGTCAGACTTTCGTAGATAACTTCTCTTAATGAATGATTTGATAGTGCCCCCAAATCATGTATTTGATGTCTCCTTTCTTTCACTATTCTTTCTTTTAATAGTTTAAAATTTCTTCTTTCCAAAACTCACGTAGGGCAATCTTGGGATCAGAATTCTCGCCACAAACCCAAACGGATCCGAGATTCACAACTATCGATTTCATTACTCAGTTTACCCAACAATTTACAACAAGAAAACATGGAGAAATTCCACTTTACCTGCACGATATAGCCTCTCAAACTCACAGATACAACTGAGATATCAAGTTTATTGCAAAGAACATTATTATAGTCCCTCGTGTACCGTTGGATGCCTTCCTGGGCCTAATTATAAATGCGATGAAAATACTGGCAGAAAACTATGCATCAAAGGTTATGTGGGACAAAATTGTACCTGCAAACCAAGCCATCAGTATAACTGTGATATTACCACGGGAGACAGAATCTGTTATAAGCCCTGGTTTGGTGTAAATTGCGACGTGAAATGCCAGCCACGAAAGGACGCATTGAGTGGTTATAAATGTGATGGTAAAACTGGTGCAAAGGTTTGTTTGAAAGGTTGGTACGGTTCTGAGTGCAATGAGACTACACGAGTCACGAGCGAATTAGCTGAAAGATCTACAAAAATTCGTCCGAAGACACTGGCTCACAACTCTCAGCAAACGACATCAGGTTTCTTTCCATCCAAAAGTAGCAGACTTCAAAACATCATCCCAACATCCAAACTTATCATATCACCTTTGAAGATGTCACTTATAACGTCACCACTAATGACCTCGTCATCATCAACGCTATTACCACCAACAAAACTATTATCACGCCTAGTGCCTTTATTCACTACACCACCAATAACCCCATCATCAACAGTATTACCAGCAACAATGTTATCACGCCTAGCGCCTTCGTTCACTACACCACTAATGACGTCATCACATATGACGTCACTTTCTATGACGTCATCAGAAGTTACCTCACACTTCGCATCGTATGTCCTTTCAACATATATCGAGGGATCAAAGGCTACATCAAGCACGGTTAGGAACCTCACAGGGATAATAGAGGATAGGAACCTGGAGACAACTAGGGACAGCAGTCACAGGGTAAAACAAAGTAGAAATAATACGAAGCTGACTGTTCCAATATCCAGTGATAACACAGGTCGTGTTAAGGAAGACAAAGAACATGTAGCACAGTCAACAAAGCCCGGCGTGATTGAAGAAGACTTCGCCAGCATGTGTTGTGATGTCAAATTCACGTCTACATCACGTGTCACAACACCCAGCCCAGGAACAACGGATGAAAGAAAAGGAAGAAATGCATGGTGGATAATATTGATGACCTTATTAATCATTGCCATTATATTGATTGTCACAGGAATTTCAGTTTATAGAAAAAAATACAGGTGGGCAGGATGCAGTGTTTATATTCTGATCCAGTGTAGTAGGTCAGGTATTCTATAAGCTGATGACATTGTAGTATATTACATAACCATTTACAAAGAAGATATTAACTGCATTCATGGAATTGTTTGAATTTCATTTATCGTCTAGAAAACACAAAATCTTGCCACATTATGGAGCTTCTATGAAAGAGTTTCAGATCCAAGCAGAAAGCAATGGACTAGACAAGCAAAACTCAAACAATATGAAAAATAATTCAGCTGAAGAAGATTTAGATGCAATTTGGCGAGTTATGGTGACATCTCATGAGTAAATGGTTTTCATAACAAATCTGCCCAAACTTGAGGCAGGTGTTTGTCATATATGTTAAATATATGTCAGACAACATACTTTTGTAGAAAATTGTAAATAATGCGAGAGAATTAATATTTAAGCAATACTGGATTACACTAACCTAACCTTGATAATGAAGAAGCTTCGCTGTGAATTTATTTTAAGCGAGAATCCCAACCCTTGGTTAGTTTGGCCAGTAACTCGATCTGGGGTATAATCAAGTGATGACATTATCCACAAATACTAAAATGTAAAATGTACCATATTTTTTACTTGTGTGTGTTTCATCTGATCAACTGAAAATCATTTCTTGTCATCTTTCTTGTATTCGCTTGTTTTTTCAAATAGTCTCTCAGTTAGCGTGTGTAAATCTGGAAGCTAAACAATGCAAAGAAAAATGTTACTAAAAGTATATATAGCATAACAAAATTTATGATATCCTAATTACAACAAAATCCTAATTAAAAGCAAGCCAGGAATGATACAATATTCCTCGTTTGGGTTTAATAATCGTATATAAATTTCTGCCTTTACAACAAAGTGCAGATTACAAACAACTAATTCACCAATACTGAAAGAAATCCAATGTAGAAAATGATTATATACATACATTGTAGTTTTGAGCCAAATATAATCCCAAGATTCCACCACAGCCAAGTCCAACCTACAAAGGGCAAAATGCAAATCAAGTACAACTGTACAATTATATATTAAAAGTACAAGGTAGTTCTTTATTGCATTCACTGTCAAGCTAAAAGTTGGGTTGGTTGCTCTGTAACTGCTCTGCAAATCCTTTGGTTAGGAAATAGCATAATTAGGCACTCCAAAAAATACCCACCTACCCCCACCCAAATCAAGGGACCACTTTCTTTCATTTTGACCTGTACCATGGAATTTGGGGCTGAATAAACTGGTACTTTTTTTCTTTTTTTGTGATCAACTTAGTACCATCAAAATTATCGTTGATGGTGGGGTTCTAGAGATCTTACTGGGAAAGGCATGATGCACCTTATACCACCTGTAAAGATGGCAATACATACTGTCTATAGAGGATATTATTACCCAACACACAAGAGCCTACATATTCAGAAATAAAAGTACATATACATAGGTTGATTACCAATAATGAACCAAATCGTGAAATCTGAGACATTCTTTAAACCACTGTGATTGTCTTTAGCTTTTAAGTTTTAAAAAACTCAATTTTGTCATAAATTTAGTGTCGATGGACTCATTTGAGTGAAAAATGTAGTAATTTATTTGAAAGTTGAAAGTTGACTGAAGTTCTTCAACTCCGACTCGTATTTTGTTTCACGAAGGACGACCACAAACCGCAGAAAAGGTCGTTCTGGAAAATCCAAGATGGCAGCCCGGATAGCAAACTTTACACAAAGCAATATTTTGAGAAAATGTACAAATGATATTTTTCGTCGAAACGTGATTTTTAAGGAGGGAGCCCAGGCTGGGTCGTGCAACCGTTGTCTACGTTTTCAAAGTCAAACAGCGTCAAGTAAGTTGATTCCCAAAATTATTACAGAATTCTGAATTATGTATATTTCGTCAGAACAAGTCTGAAAAATTCACGGCTAAAATATCGGTGTGTTACATCACAATACGAGGGCAGGGACCCGGATTTTATTCCCGTGTCTGCCCGTAAAGTGCCAGGTAAGCGTGGGTATCGAAAATAGGTCTCTATGTTTTGAGGGGTTTGGGGTCCTGCAGAGTGTTTTAACCTTAGGCCATGTTTGGTACAAGTTTTGTTTATAAGAGTGTTTTCATGTGAGTATTGCAGGGTACAATGGGGAAAAGAGGAGCACAGACAAGCCTCGGAAGAGAAAGATTTTACGGAAAATCAAAGCTGAGATATGTTCGCAAAATATGGCCAACCCAGACATGGAGAAAGCCGCAAGATCACGGAAACGTGTGTTGATAATAAAATATGTTTAGTTATGCATCATGTACATGATCACAATGGATTTTTACTGTTTAATATTATAATATCAACATTCGATGCAGATACCTGTACACATGGAGTACCTATTTTTTATTAAGTAAAGCAAAACTTACTTTATTAGTTCTGATACCTTTGGATGAAGTGATGAAAGGATGGGCTCTTAAACAATACCCACATCAAGTCAAAACAATGGCTTCATATCTCGGGGTTTTTGACCATATGTTTGATGGTAGAAGCTTCACTCCTTTGGTAGCGATGAATGTGGACTACCCAGATGGTAGTTCGGTGCATTGTGGTAATTTTCTATCACCAGCACAGGTAATGGTCATTGGTTACTATCACCAGGAGTAAAGAATATGTCTTGGACAATAATACACCATACTTACTGTAGTCTAGTTTTATAGTTGTTTGTCATGCTGTTCACAACATATTACCAGAAATAAACTTTTGGTGCGAAAACTTACATCTGTGAACAAAAAACCATTGTTATTTTCTAGACATCTTGCGAACCAAAAGTGTCATTTCACACTGAAGATGACTCTCTGACCACATTATTGATGGTGGATTTAGGTTGGTTGAAAGTGTCTTTAATTTTCTCACAAGTAGTTAAACCCCTAACACAATTGATAACAAAAGAAAAGAAATGGTAAAAAAACTCTGAATCATAATTACTTATCATTCCTATAAAGATGGTAATATCTTGTCAAGAAATGATGAAATACTACACTGGATGGTGTAAGTTTGTTTACTTTTTGATGCAACATTTGACAAACCACAGACAAATTATCATCCATGATTTCCCTAGAACCAGTAGATTCTGTTTCTCTGACTTTTCAATCAGATAAGTCTTCATTGTTTATACTGACACGTGCCTATCACAGGATTGACATGAGATATGAAATATCACTGATTCATCTCCAAACAAAAGGATCTTGAAGTTCTTTCCAAATTGTTTTCATATTCGTACATTCAATATCTCATCCTGCTCTTTTCAGTGGTAATATTCCTAACGGAGATTTAACTCAGGGGGAGTCAGTCTGTCAGTATCTTCCACCATGCCCCGTTAAAGGAACTGGTTATCACAGGATTGTGTTTTGTCTTATGAAGCAAACAACACGCTATGATTACGAGGCTATTCACACAAGACATAACACAAGGTTAGAGCGTTTCTTGGAAGTCAAAATTGAGACAAACCAATAAAAGTTACAATATATAAAAACCGTGTTCTTTATTCCTTAAATTGTGTTTAGATGCCTCGTCAGCAGATCGTTTAAAACATCGACGTTTTTGGACAATTTTCAACTTGTTCCTCAGGCACTTTCTTTCTTTCAAGCAACCTGGGACATGTCCGTATCAAATAATTTCACAGAAATCTTGGGTAACAAAAAATAACGCGATCCTTACTGACCTTCAGTATTTATTATAACCAGTGTTTACTAGAATATTGAAAGAATCAGTTCGGTTTTGTTAAAAACATTTATCCTTCGTTCAGGTATAAAAGAACCCGTGTATGACCTGGAACCATTCTTGACACCGAACCAAAGAAAACGTTCACAAGTTAGAGAGATATTCGCAAAAAAATACACAAATATGTAACGAGTTTTGCTCTCTGTAAATCAGTCTAAATAAATTTTCACACAAAATAGCTTGGAGTGGTTATTTAGAGATGTGATGAGGTGGGTTGACTTGGAAATATTTCAAAAAAACTTTGAGCGGAGCGGAATTTTACACCGAAGTTGCGGCGTTTTTAAAGAGGCAGGATTACTAACAAAAACGTTGGTCTTTCTCGTAGAGAATATGAGAGATTTTGTGGGATCAGATCGATCAGTAGATAGGATACATGCTTTCTGCTTACATTGTTACATATTACATTCACGGGGATGCTTTTCTGAAACGAAATGGGAAACTTTGACCAGGTGGATCACTAAAAGTCTGTTCACACGATCCAATTTTGTTGGATTCAATTCACTTCTGATGGATGTTTTATAGTCTGTTGTATCGTAATGTATATCAGCAGCAAATCCACTGAAGCCAATGTACTACGGCTTCACCACTAGCCGACTATATTTCTACGTCAGAAGTGAATTGGATCCAACAAAATTGGATCTTGTGAACAGACCTTAAGACAGACGTAACCTTACGAACCAACATTGTTTGCTGGGCTGCCTTGGCTATGGACAAAGCATTAATACTAGCAGTGAAAAGTTTATTTTTAATACAAAGAAATCTTCCTACGAATTAGGGCCTGTTCATATGAGCCGGGCCAGCCCGGTTGAGCCGGGCTAGCTCGCTTTTGCTGTTTTCATATGAGCCCGTTAAAGGCGAGATCTCGCTTTGTTCAGGCGAGATCTCGCCAAAGCCGGGCTGGCCTGGTTCCATATGAATGCAATTTTACAAATAAAGTAAAATAATATGTGAGGCGAGGCGAGATCCCGCCACTGCCGTACTAGCCCGGCTAAACCGGGCTGGCCCGTCTCATATGAACAGGCCCTTAGTGAAATTACAATTATAAACTACAAGATATATATACAAATGATAAAAAATACAATCATATACACTCAAGAATACTATTTACAAAGCATTAAAAACTTCAGAAACTACAATCAGAAACTACAAACACTGATTGATTTTTAAACAATGCAAACTGATATATTAAATTTACATTCCTATAAACGTCTCATCCACACGGGCTAAATTTAATCAAAAACATTTGAAAGATAATTTGTTTCCTTAAAAGGAGTCTACAATTCATTGTCAACTGCACACAGATGAAACAATCACGTTCTCGCAACTTTTACCTTCGAGGTATGAATAAGTAAAAAACTACAAGAGTAATATACCGAATGTGTCATGAAGAAAAGTAATGATATGATTTGCCTGCAATATACAGCTTCACAAAAACATTTCACAACGTTTGGCGCGTTTTACAACGAATGCAGCCATTACTTTACATTTAGTAAATCAGTTTGCAGTTGTCACTCTTAGCATCACTTAAATATTTAACATCTTCAGTTGTTAAATCATTGTTACTTACATTTAGTTTAGTAAGTTTACAGTTGTCACTCTTCAAAGCATCACTTAAATATTTAACATCTTCAGTTTTTAAAATATTGTTACTTACATTTAGTTTAGTAAGTTTACAGTTGTCACTCTTCAAAACATCACTTAAATATTTAGCACCTTCAGTTTTCAAATAATTGTGACTTACATTTAGTTTAGTAAGTTTACAGTTGTCACTCTTCAAAGCATCACTTAAATATTTAACACCTTCAGTTTTTAAATTATTGCCACTTACATTTAGTTTAGTAAGTTTACAGTTGTCACTCTTCAAAGCATCACTTAAATATTTAACACCCTCAGTTTTTAAATTATTGCCACTCACATTTAGTTTAGTAAGTTTACAGTTGTCACTCTTCAAAGCATCACTTAAATATTTAGCACCTTCAGTTGTTAAATCATTGACTCTTACATTTAGTTTAGTAAGTTCACAGTTGTCACTCTTCAAAGCATCGCTTAAATATTTAACACCTTCAGTTTTTAAATCATTGTAACTTACATCTAGTTCAGTAAGTTTACAGTTGTCACTCTTCAAAGCATCACTTAAATATTTAAAATCTTCAGTTGTTAAACCATTGTTACTTACATCTAGTTCAGTGAGTTCACAGTTGTCACTCTCCAGGTCATGGTTATCTTTCTTCAAAAACTCAGCCAATTCACGGATAGTAATGTTCGTCACAGTACAAAGATTGATTTGAAGCTGTTTCAAGTTCTTGATGTGGCTTAAAAATTTGAACAAAGCCGTAGATTCTGCTGGTGCAATATTTAATCCAAACAAAGCAAATGTTTCATGATCATCCTCAGACGCAAACGACGAAATCATTTTCATGACGCGATCTTCTTGCATTTCCCAAACACTTTTTATCACGAGTAAACCTTTGTCATTACTCTCGTCAATACGTCGTTTCTTTGGCAACCAGTCTTGAAATCTAGATTAAGATATTTTGAGAGAAAAGTTTAGAAGTTAAAGATTATATTTAGAGAAAACTCGGTAGTAATGGCCATTTTATCAAAGAGAAAATTAATTCACGGCGTAAAAACGACAACACATGTACGTGTTTTTTGTAGAAACAAAACTGTAAAAGTAAGAATTTCTCAAAAGAAAATATAATTTTTATGACAGCTTTTTTCTTTAAAATGGTTTAAAATGGTTTTTCCGTTTCGTCTGCAAAAATTTGAAGGTTATCTTCACATGTACGAAACAAAAACTATTGAATTTGTACTAAGCTGTTTGATAAATTGTTGAAAACAGTAAAATATTACCTCATATTTTGAAATTACGCCAACAAAACGACATATAAATCTTTTAAATATATCCATTCAGGTAATTTTAGCTTTTCCTTCTTTTTAATAATTTTGAATAGTTTTTCAAGGTTTTTTGTTTGTTTTTAACTCAGTTTTCTCCTCATCTTCGCGGGTCATATTAAAAAAAACAAAAGTGAGCCGCAGCAGAGTATCACGTGAATCACTGATTAGCCAATCATATCGCTTCAAACCACCTCAACTGACACGTGCTTGTCCTATGAATATATTTCATTGTACAGCATGCAAAACTATTGACTAGAAAACTGCACTGGAATCAATCAAAGTCATCAAAAGTTAAACAGTAATTTCATTAAATCATCTGATAACAGTTATAATTATGTTAATAATTGTTTGAATAAAATATAAGTACAGCAACCTTTCACAGAATTGGCTAATCAGAATCATTCATAATTTATACAATAGGCGCAGAGGTTATATCAACTTTGGAATATCCTCAATGTTGCTAATGCTAGGTAAGGAAGCTGTTGCAGATTTTTGTTGAGGGTTTTAAATTGATGCCAGCTAGCAACATGCATCAGTTATAATGCAATACTACCCAATACACCTATAAATTGTAACAATTTTTTACCTTTTGCATATACGTTCAATCACTTCACTGTCTTCATGCTCTGCTGACCTGATAAATAATTAAATGTGAATAAATACAAGATTATATGGACTAAATGATACAACAGTGAATAAATAATATAAGGAGATTCCTTTACATGTATATGGCTATGAAATTGAGTTGTGACTATACAATATAACTGGCTACTTTATAACTTTATCTTAATTATCTAACTTGAAGAAAAATTAAGCATACCTTAACTCTCTCATCCTATCTCCAAGTAACCCAGCTACAAACTGGATCACCAAATGCCACCTGGGTTCATTAATGTGATCTTCTAAAAATCTTTCAACATTTTTGATATCATCAACCACATGTAGTGCAGCCAGAAACTCTTGAATTGTAAGATGAAGAAAAGAGAAAATATTTCGTCTTTTGTCTTTCAATTGATTGAACACACCAGAATCAGATAAGCCATCCACAGTGTTATTACTGCTCTCAAATTCAAAAACTAGCTTGTTTTCTTTCATTCCATCCCATGCAATTCCCTTTAATTTCTCCAGGTCCCCTTGCAAATGCTTTGGAAGTTTTGCAGTCAAGTAATCCTTTTTTACTGGTTCATTCTTGTATTTTAAATTGTGTTTGAGTAGCAAAATCTTTATAGCTCTATTGTACAGTTCAGTTATTGTTTTGGGGATATTAGTATAGTTTCCATCCTCCACTTGTTCACCAAAATCAATGCTCTCATATAATGTCAAGCACACTACATAGGAGTTGACTGGTATGTAACAGAAACTTAATAGTTCTGGGGAGCTCTTAATTACCTGCCATATCTCTGAACTTTTCATGTCATCATCACAAAACTTTTCAACATACTTTTCTATTTGTTCCTCATTAAAACCCAGTATCTCCACTTCCCGATTAAACTTAATTTGATCATGTTGATAAATATATTCTGCTGTAGGTCGAGATGTGATTAACACAGTGGCTCCAGGCAATAGTTTGCCTTTCACCAGCTGTTTAAGGATAAGCAACATATGACACTTTTTGTCAGGGCTGTTTATAATAATTTCACCAGTTAAACACTCTTGATCAACTTTAAGTTCATCCAAGCCATCAAAAACAAGAATGACATTTTTTGGGTATTTGCAAACAAATTGAAAGACAGTCATGCCACAATAAGATAATGACATTTTAAGACCATGAGCCTTGCTTAATACTTCTCGAAGGCTTGTTTTTCCTTTGTTAAAATCACGAAATTTAATCAATAGTATAAATTTTCCATGATAGAATCCAGGTCTTTCTTTGTCTTGTTGACACTCATGAAATATTTTTCTTGTCAGTAGAGTTTTTCCAATTCCAGGTCGGCCCACTACAAGAAACAGTTCTAGTGTTTCACCAAATTTTTCTGCTTGAAATAATTCTGCTGGACTCTTGAGGATTCTTGAATTAGGGGGTTTTTCCAATTGCACATGATAAATCTGATGTCGACTTTCAAATTCTCTTCTGGGATTGTAGGCATGTTCCCTTCCATCTTGAATTATAACATTGATATAGATCTCCTCAAGTCTTCGACGTGAAAAATCTTCCCTTCCAAAGTCGTCATGTACGTAAAATAAATCTTCGGATTGGTTTTTTTGAATAATTTGCAGCAACTCGGTTATCTCTAGAGTTATTTTAAACGTTTTCTAAAAGGTACACGCTAATGAACTCCTGATCAGTAGGAAAGTGGGTCTCTTCCATGCCGACCAACAACAGATAAACAATCTCAACGAGTGTCACTGCATCGACGAGAAAATTATCGTGATGAAGCCGACAACAACTGTTGTTCTTCCCAGCCATGAATAAGTGCAGTCCACAAATGAAGAATCGTAGTTGACCGTGTGACGTTCTCATGGGAAGTACTAGTGTGTTTCATATTGGGCAAAGGACATTCAAAATGGGTCGGAAAATTGGACGAGGTTAAGAGAAATGCTGAGAATATTGTCAGTGGTATTATACGACAAACGATTAAATGGATTATGTAAGCCATAAATACAAAATAACGTTTACTACCCTGATAAGCCACTGATGCGGCTGACGATGCTTCAGACAATGGCTGGCTTTCTTCTACGCCCTCGCTCGTCGTTGCGTTTGGATTATTGCGACGAAGTCGACTCTATGTTCACCAGGTAACCGTACACGATAGTACATACAACCACAAGTCCAAAACTTATCACAATCAGGACATTGAGAGATAACGAAGGGAGGAATTCTTGGGCATATTTCAAAAGACACTGTGTTTCAATATACTTCTGCTTCGATAGAGTACTTGTAACAGACTTGTTTGGGTCACATTCTAGACTTGATTTCGCCTCGTAATCACTCGCGATTGCAACCAGAACCACGCCAATTGCTACAAACAAAGCAAGAACTACTGAACTGTACGTATTGTAACAGTTACGAGAAACCAGTTTTAAGCAATTTTCCATGTCTGTAAAGGAGTACTTCAATGATTCTTTGCCAGTAAATTAGATTTGATCACATGGTAACCAGTGATTCTGCACCAACTGCTGTAGTGCTGTTTTTTTGCACCAACACCCTCCAAGACTCAAATGATTGGTTTAAAAAAACTGACCAGTAACCATAGGCAACCATAGGCATTACCATCATAGAGATTACCATAGGCAAAGGCAGCCCAGACTATGGCCCCCAGACATGTTTTCGTTCTCGTGGCGCTCGCGCGTGTACACGAGTCTACTTGGTCTATTATTATAAATATTATGACCAAGTAGACTCGTGTACACGCGCGAGCGCCACGAGAACGAAAACATGTCTGGGCTGCCTATGCAGTAACAGTAGTAATGACCAGTGGTAATGACCTCCTAGAATAACGTATGTATTTCTGACCTCGAGATAAAAGCTGGACAAAGGTCTTACACACATCTCAAACTGCATCTCACTTACCTAAGATATTTCACTGGCAAACTGCGGCCAAGTTTTCAAGACTGTCTTGCTGCGACGGGGTTGGGGTGTGCAGTCCTCCAATTATTTTTACATACCGTGAAATTTAACCCTAGTTTGTGTGATAGTTTGTTTCACTTTCACTCAAGCTGTGACCACGCACTTCCTTCCCAATTGACGCCGCCCCGAACCCCAATCTAAATTTTGTTCCGCAGTGATTTTGTTTTTTCTCCAAACTGTCAATGTGCGTATTCTGGGAAAATATCAAAAATCAGGCTTGTTTCATTTTGTCACCCATACACAGGTTGGGTAGCTATGGTAGAGCGGTTTTTAAACTGAAGGATTAACTCTGTAGGCTAATGTAGTGAAATACTACACTGGATGGTGTAAGTTTGTTTACTTTTTGATGCAACATTTGATAAACCGCAGACAAATTATCATCCATGACTTCCCTAGAACCAGTAGATTCTGTTTCCCTGATTTTTCAATCAGATAAGACTTCATTGTTTATATTCACACATGCCTGTCACAGGATTGACATGAGATATGAAATATCACTGATTCATCTCCAAACAAAAGGATCTTGAAGTTCTTTCCAACTTGTTTTCATATTCCTACATTCAATATCTCATCCTGCTCTTTTCAGCGGTAATATTCCTAACGGAGATTTAACTCTGGGGGAGTCAGTCTGCCAGTATCTTCCACCATGCCCTGTTAAAGGAACTGGTTATCACAGGATTGTGTTTTGTCTTCTGAAGCAAACAACACGCTATGATTACGAGGCTATTCACACAAGACACAGCACAAGGTTAGAGCGTTTCTTGGAAGTCAAAATTGAGACAAACCAATAAAAGTTACAATACATAAAAACCGTGTTCTTTATTCCTTAAATTGTGTTTTGATGTCTCGTCAGCAGATCGTTTAAAACATCGAGGTTTTTGGACAATTTTCAACTTGTTCCTCACGCACTTTCCTTCTTTCAAGCAACCTGGGACATGTCCGTATCAAATAATTTCACAGAAATTTTGGGTAACAAAAAATAACGCGGTCCTTACTGACCTTCAGTATTAACCAGTGTTTACTGGAATATTGAAAGAATCAGTTCGGTTTTGTTAAAAACATTTATCCTTCGTTCAGCTATAAAAGAACCCATGTATGACCTGGAACCATTCTTGACACCGAACCAAAGAAAACGTTCACAAGTTAGAGAGATATTCGCAAAAAAATACACAAATATGTAACGAATTTTGCTCTCTGTAAATCGGTCTAAATAAATTTTCACACAAAATAACTTGGAGTGGTTATTTAGAACGTGATGAGGTGGGTTGACTTGGAAATATTTCAAAGAAACTTTGAGCGGAGCCGAATTTTACACCGGAGTTGCGGCGCTTTTAAAGAGGCAGGATTACTAACAAAAACGTTGGTCGTTCTCGCAGAGAATATGAGAGATTTTGTGGGATCAGATCGATCAGTAGATAGGATACATGCTTTCTGCTTACATAGTTACATTAACGGGCTGACGGGGATGCTTTTCTGAAACGAAATGGGAAACTTTGACCAGGTGGATCACTAAAAGTCTGTTCATTGACACGATCTAATTTTGTTGGATTCAATTCACTTCTGATGGATGTTTTATAGTCTGTACCTTAAGGCAGACGTAACCTTACGAACCAACATTGTTTGCTGGGCTGCCTTGGCTATGGACAAAGCATTAATACTAGCAGTGAAAAGTTTATTTTTAATACAAAGAAATCTTCCTACAAATTAGTGAAATTACAATAATAAACTACAAGATATATATACAAATTATAAGAAATACAATCATATACACTCAAGAATACTATTTACAAAGCATTAAAAACTTCAGAAACTACAATCAGAAACTACAAAACCCTGATTTATTTTTAAACAATGCAAACTGATTTATTAAATTTACATTCCTATAAACCTCTCATCCACACGGGCTAAATTTATAAAAACATTTGAAAGATAATTATTTCCATAAAGGGAAGTCTATAATTCATTGTCAACTACACCCATGCTAGATGAAATAAGATTCACGTTCTCGCAAATTTTACCCTCGAGATAAAAATAAATAAAAAACTACGAGAGTAAAATACCCAATGTGTCATAAAGAAAAATATTAATATGATTTGCCTGCAACATACAGCTTCACAAAAACATTTCAAACGTTTGGCGCGTTTTACAGGATTGCAGCCATTATGACTTTACATTTAGTAAACCAGTTTGCAGTTGTCACTCTTAGCATCCCTTAAATAATTAGCATCTTCAGTTGTTAAATCATTGAGACCTAAACCCAGTTTAGTAAGTTTACAGTTGTCACTCTTCAAAGCATCACTTAAATATTTAACACCTTTAGTTTTTAAATCATTGAGACTTACATCTAGTTTAGTAAGTTTACAGTTGTCAGTTTTCAAAGCATCACTTAAATATTTAACAGCTTCAGTTTTTAAATCATTGCTATTTACATCTAGTTTAGTAAGTTTACAGTTGTCATTCTTCAAAGCATCACTTAAATATTTAGCACCTTCAGTTTTTAAATCATTGACACTTACATCTAGTTTAGTAAGTTTACAGTTGTCACTCTTCAAAGCATCACTTAAATATTTAGCACCTTCAGTTTTTAAAACATTGCCACTTACATCTAGTTTAGTAAGTTTACAGTTGTCACTCTTCAAAGCATCACTTAAATATTTAACATCTTCAGTTTTTAAATCATTGAGACTTACATCTAGTTTAGTAAGTTTACAGTTGTCACTCTTCAAAACATCACTTAAATATTTAACACCTTCAGTTTTTAAACCATTGTCACTTACATCTAGTTCAGTAAGTTTACAGTTGTCATTCTTCAAAGCATCACTTAAATATTTAACACCTTCAGTTTTTAAACCATTGACACTTACATCTAGTTTAGTAAGTTTACAGTTGTCACTCTTCAAAGCATCACTTAAATATTTAACACCTTCAGTTTTTAAATCATTGTTTCTTACATTTAGTTCAGTAAGTTTACAGTTGTCATTCTTCAAAGCATCACTTAAATATTTAACACCTTCAGTTGTTAAACCATTATTGCTACTTACATGTAGTTCAATAAGTTCACAGTTGTCACTCTCCAGGTCATGGTTATCTTTCTTCAAAAACTCAGCTAATTCACGGATAGCAATGTTCGTCACAGTACAAAGAATTATTTGAAGCTGTTTCAAGTTCTTGATGTGGCTTAAAAATTTGAACAAAGCCGTAGATTCTGCTGGTGCAATATTTAATTCATACAAAGTAAATGTTTCATCCTCATCCTCAGACGCAAACGACGAAATCATTTTCATGACGCAATCTTCTTGCATTTCCCAAACACTTTTTATCACGAGTAAACCTTTGTCATTACTCTCGTCAATACGTCGTTTCTTTGGCATCCAGTCTTGAAATCTAGATTAAGATATTTTAAGAGAAAAGTTTAGAAGTTAAGGATTCTATTTTACTATTTAGATAAAACTTGGTAGTAATGGCCGCATTTTATCAAAAGCCATGACCGGGCTGCTGTGCATATACAGACTAATAGTGATTTTGTTTTTTGTAGAAACAAAACTACAAAAGTAAGAATTTCTCAAAAGAAAATATAAGTTCTGTTACAGCTTTTTTTCTTTAAAATGGTGTTAAAATGGTTTTTTTGTTTCGTCTGCAAAAAATTGAAGGTTATCGTCTTCTCGTCTTCCCATGTAAGAAACAAAAACTATTGAATTCGTACTAAGCTTTTTGTTTGATAAATTGTTGAAAACAGTAAAATATTACCTTATATTTTTGAATTACGGCAACAAAACGTCACTTAAATATTTTAAATATATCCATTCAGGTAATTTTAGCCTTTTCTTCTTTCTTTTTAATAATTTTGAATAGTTTTTCAAGGTTTTTTGTTTGTTTTTAACTCAGTTTTCTCCTCATCTTCGCAGGTCATAAAAAATTCAAAAGTGAGCCGCAGCAGAGTATCACGTGAATCACTGATTAGCCAATCATATCGCTTCAAACCACCTCAACTGGCACGTGCTTGTCCTATAAAGTCTATAATCAGTATAATTAATATTTCATTGTACTCTTTTTACAGCATGCAAAACTATTGACTTGGAGACTACACTGGAATCAATCATAGTCATCAAAAGTTATAATTTCTTTAAATCATCTGATAACAGTTATAATTATGTTAATAATTGTTTGAATAAAAATAAGTACAGCAACCTTTCACAGAATTGGCTAATCAGAATCATTCATAATACATACAACAGGCAGAGGTCTTATCAACTTTGGAAAATCCTCAATGTCACTAATGCTAGGTAAGGAAGCTGTTGCAGATTTTGCCAGTTAGCAACATGCATCAGCTATAACGCAATACTACTCAATACGCCTATGAATTATAACAATTTTTTACCTTTTGCATATACATTCAATCACTTCACTGTCTTCACGCTTTGCTGACCTGATAAATAATTAAATGTGAATGAATACAAGATTTATATATAGACTAAATGATACAACAATGAATAAATAATATAAGAAGATTCCCTTACATGCACATGGCTATCAAATTGAGTTGTGACTATACCATATAACTGGCTACTTTATAACTTTATCTAATTTGAAGAAAAATTAGGCATACCTTAACTCTCTCATCCTATCTCCAAGTAACCCAGCTACAAACTGGATCACCAAATGCCACCTGGGTTCATTAATATGCTCTTCTAAAAATCTTTCAACATTTCTAATATCATCAACCACATGTAGTGCAGCCAGAAACTCTTGAATTGTAAGATGAAGAAAAGAGAAAATATTTCGTCTTTTGTCTTCCAATTGATTGAACACACCAGAATCAGATAAGCCAGCCACAGATTTATCACTGCTTTTAAACTCAAAAACTAACTTGTCTTCTTCCATTCCATTTCTTGCAATTCCCTTCAACTTGTCCAGGTCCCTTTGAAGCAGCTCTGGAAGTTCCACAGTCAGATAATCCTTTTCTACTGGTTTATTCTTGTATTTTGAATTGTGTTTGAACAGCAAAATCCTTATAGCTCTTTTGTACAATTCAGTTATTGTTTTAGGAATCTTGCTGTAGCATTCATCCTCCACGTCTTCACCAAAATCAATGCTTTCATATAATGTCAAGCAAATTATATAGGAGTTGACAGGTATGTAACAGAAGCTGATTAGTTCTGGGGAATCCTTGATTATGTTCCATATTTCTGAACTTTTCTGGGTGTCATCACCACAATTTTTTTTGACATACTCTTCTATTTGTTTCTCACTAAAACCCAACATTTCAACTTTTTGTTCAAAATCAAGCCTTTCGTAGATGTGTTCTGCTGTTGGTCGAGATGTGGTTAACACAGTGATTCCAGGTAATAGTTCATTATTCACCAGCTGTTTGAAAATCAGGAATATATGAGCATGTTCCTCTAGGCTGTTCACAGTTTTTCCATTAATTAAACACTCATCATCTACCTGGAGTTCATCTAAGCCATCAAAAACAAGGATTGTTTTACTTGGGTTCTGACGGATACGTTCATGGATAAACTCATTGTTGGACAGATCTATTGCCTTATTGAGACCATGAGCTTGATTTAATATTTCTTGAAGACTTGTGTCTTTCTTGCTAAAATTACGAAATTTGATCAATAGAACAATTTTTCCATGCCAGAATTCATCAGGTTTTCCGCCTTCTTGCCACTCCTGAGATATTTTTTCGGTTAATAGAGTTTTCCCAATGCCTGGTCTTCCAACTATAAGAACAGTTCTAGGTTGTTTCTTACCAGCTTTTCCTGCTTGAAATAATTCTGCTGTATTCTCAAGTACTTTTGCATTAGGGGGCTTTTCCAATTGAATGTCATAAATCTCATGTCTACCTTTCAAAAATTCATTTCTCAAATATTTGACAAGTTGTCTTCCATCTTGAATTATGACATTGATATAAATTTCATCCAGTTTTTGTTTCTCTCCTAAGACATCATTCATAGTAAATGAATGTTTGGTCTTATGTTCCTGAATTTGCTCTTGTACTTTCTGGTTTAGTTCTTGGTTAGGAGAGTTAGAGTTAGTTTCCTGAGATATCTCATGTACTTTTTGGTTTACCTCATGGTTAGGAGAGTTAGACTTGTTTTCCTGAGTTATCTCATGGATTTCCTGGTTTGCTTCTTGGTTAGGAAAGTAAGAGGAGTAAGGGTTGGAGGTGTTAGGGGTTGCTTCTGCATGCTTCTTTTCAAGGTACAGGTTAATGAACTCCTGATCAGTTTTGAAAGTGGGTCTCTTCCATGCGGACCACAACAGATAGACAATCTCAACGAGTGTCACTGCATCGACGAGGAAATTTATCGTGATGAAGCCAACAACAACTTGTTGTTTCTTCCCAGCCATTGCATAAGTGCAGACCACAAATGAAGAATTCGTAGTTGACCGTGTGACGTTCTCGTGGAAAGTACTAGTTGTTGTTTTCATATTGGGCAAAGGACATTCAAAATGGGTCGGAAAATTGGACGAGGTTAAGAGAAATGCTGAGAATATTGTCAGTGGTATTATACGACAAACGATTAAATGGATTACGTAAGCCATAAATACAAAATAACTATTTCTACCTCGATAGGCCACTGGTGCGGCTGGCGATGCTTCAGACTGTAGTGGCTGGCTTTCTTCTACGCCCTCGTTCGTCGTTGTGTTTGAATTATTTGCGAAGAAGTCGACTCTATGTTTCACCAGGTAACCGTACACGACACTACATACAATCACAAGTCCTAAACTTATCACAATCTGGACATTGAGAGGTAACGAAGGGAGGAATTCTTGGGCATATTGAAGACGACACTGTGTTTCAATGTACTTCCCCTCATATAAAGAGCTCGTGAGTTTACAATCCAGACTTGATTTCGACTCGTAATCACTCGCGATTCCAACCAGAACCACGCCAATTGCTACAAACAAAGCAAGAACAACTGAACTGTACGTATTGTAACAGTTACGAGGAATCAGTTTTAAACAATTTTCCATGTCTGTAAAGGAGTACTTCAATGATTCTTTGCCAGATTAGATTACAGGCAGCCCAGACTTTGACTTGCGCGTGTGATACTCGCGCGTGTGTCGCGCTTACGTTATATAGACGAAGTAAACAACGTAAGCGCGACACGCGCGCGAGTATCACACGCGCAAGTCAAAGTCTGGGCTGCCTATGATTAGATTTGATCACATAAGTTACTAGCCTCCTCCGCAGGCATCTCTTATGTATTTATATTAGGCATTTATATTTGGCTTGGGTTAGCTGCTCCCCGACACAGCTAACCCAAGCCAAATATAAATGCCTAATATAAATACATAAGAGATGCCTGCGGAGGAGGCTAATAAGTTACATAACCAATGACCACTATCCTGCTGTTATTCTGCACCAACACCCTCCGATCCAGGACTCATATGATTGGTTGAGAACTGACCACCCTTCAAGAATAACGTTATTATTTCTGACCTCGAGATAAAAGCTGGACAAAGGTGAAAGGTCTTACGCACATCTCAAACTGCATCTCATTTACGGCCTACCTCGGATATTTCACTGGTAAACTGCGCCCAAGTTTTCAAGACTGTCTTGCTGCAGACCCGTCGGGGTTAAGGTGTGCAGTCCCAGAATATTTTTACATACTGTGGAATTTAACACGAGTTTGTGTGATGGTTTGTTTCACTTTCACTCAAGCTGTGACCACGCCCTTTCTTCCCAATTGACGCAGCCCGACCCCCAATCAAAATTTTGTTCCGACACGGACAGGTCTGTACCGTCTTTGTCACAGTGATTTTATTTTTTTCTCCAAACTGTCAGTGTGCGTATTCTGGGCAAATATAAAAAATCGGGCTTGTTTCATTTTGTCTCCCATACACAGGTTGGGTAGCTATGGTAGAGCGGTTTTTAAACTGAAGGATTTACTCTGCAGGCTAATGTAGTGAAATACTACACTGGATGGTGTAAGTTTGTTTACTTTTTGATCTAACATTTGATAAACCACTGACAAATTATCATCCATGATTTCCCTAGAACCAGTAGATTCTGTCCCTCTGACTTTTCAATCAGGTAAGTCTTCATTGTTTATACTGACACATGCCTATCACAGGATTGACATGAGATATGAAATATCACTGATTCATCTCCAAACAAAAGGATCTTGAAGTTCATTCCAAATGTTTTCATATTCGTACATTCAATATCTCATCCTGCTCTTTTCAGCGGTAATATTCCTAACGGAGATTTAACTCAGGGGGAGTCAGTCTGCCAGTATCTTCCACCATGCCCTGTTAAAGGAACTGGTTATCACAGAATTGTGTTTTGTCTTCTGAAGCAAACAACACGCTATGATTACGAGGATATTCACACAAGACATAACACAAGGTTAGAGCGTTTCTTGGAAGTCAAAATTGAGACAAACCAATAAAAGTTACAATATATAAAAACCGTGTTCTTTATTCCTTAAATTGTGTTTAGATGTCTCGTCAGCAGATCGTTTAAAACATCGACGTTTTTGGACAATTTTCAACTTGTTCCTCAGGCACTTTCCTTCTTTCAAGCAACCTGGGACATGTCCGTATCAAATAATTTCACAAAAATCTTGGGTAACAAAAAATAACGCGATCCTTACTGACCTTCAGTATTAACCAGTGTTTACTGGAATATTGAAAGAATTAGTTCGGTTTTGTTAAAAACATTTATCCTTCGTTCAGGTATAAAAGAACCCGTGTATGACCTGGAGCCATTCTTGACACCGAACCAAAGAAAACGTTCACAAGTTAGAGAGATATTCGCAAAAAAATACACAAATATGTAACGAGTTTTGCTCTCTGTAAATCGGTCTAAATAAATTTTCACACAAAATAGCTGGGAGTGGTTATTTAGAGATGTGATGAGGTGGGTTGATTTGGAAATATTTCAAAGAAACTTTGAGCGGAGCCGAATTTTACACCGGAGTTGCGGCGCTTTTAAAGAGGCAGGATTACTAACAAAAACGTTGGTCGTTCTCGTAGAGAATATGAGAGATTTTGTGGGATCAGATCGATCAGTAGATAGGATACATGCTTTCTGCTTACATTGTTGCATTCACGGGCATGCTTTTCTGAAACGAAATTCATCCCGTATTTATATGGGAAACTTTGACCAGGTAGATCACTAAGACAGACGTAACTTTACGAACCAACATTGTTTGCTGGGCTGCCTATGGACAAAGCATTAAGACTAGCACTGAAAAGTTTATTTTTATCTCACAACGCTTGCCTTGAGTTAAACATGTCCATTGAGTTAATACAAAGAAATCTTCCTACGAATTAGTGAAATGACAATAATAAACTACAAAATATACAAATTATAAGAAATACAGTCATATACACTCAAGAATACTATTTGCAAAGTTTTAAAAACTTCAGAAACTACAAAACACTGATTGATTTTTAAACAATGCAAACTGATTTACTAAATTTACATTCCTATAAACGTCTCATCCTCGTGGTTAATCAAAAACATTTGAAAGATGAAACAAGAATCACGTTCTACAAATTTTACCTTCGAGATATGAATAAACAAAAAACTACGAGAGTAAAATACCAAATGTGTCACAAAGAAAAATATTAATACGATTTGCCTGCAATATACAGCTTAACAAAAACATTTCACAACGTTTGTCGCGTTTTACATGATTGCAGCCATTACGACTTTACATTTAGTAAATCAGTTTGCAGTTGTCACTCTTAGCATCACTTAAATATTTAACACCTTCAGTTGTTAAACCATTGACACTTACATTTAGTTCAGTAAGTTTACAGTTGTCATTCTTCAAAGCATCACTTAAATATTTAGCACCTTCAGTTTTTAAATCATTGTAACTTACATTTAGTTTAGTAAGTTTACAGTTGTCACTCTTCAAAGCATCACTTAAATATTTAGCACCTTCAGTTTCTAAATCATTGACACTTACATTTAGCTCAGTAAGTTTACAGTTGTCACTCTTCAAAGCATCACTTAAATATTTAACACCTTCAGTTTTTAAATCATTGACACTTACATTTAGTTCAGTAAGTTTACAGTTGTCACTCTTCAGAGCATCACTTAAATATTTAGCACCTTCAGTTTTTAAATCATTGCCTCCTACATCTAGTTTAGTAAGTTTACAGTTGTCATTCTTCAGAGCATCATATAAATATTTAAGACCTTCAGTTTTCAAATTATTGTCACTTACATCTAGTTTAGTAAGTTTACAGTTGTCACTCTTCAAAGCATCACTTAAATATTTAGCACCTTCAGTTTTTAAATCATTGTCACTTACATCTAGTTCAGAAAGTTCACAGTTGTCACTCTTCAAAGCATCACTTAAATATTTAGCACTTTCAGTTTTTAAAAAATTGCCTCCTACATTTAGTTCAGTAAGTTTACAGTTGTCACTCTTCAAAGCATCACTTAAATATTTAACACCTTCAGTTGTTAAACCTCCATTGTTACTTACATTTAGTTCAGTAAGTTTGCAGTTGTCACTCTTTAGGCCATGGTTATCTTTCTTCAAAAACTCAGCCAATTCACGGATAGTAGTGTTCGTCACAGTACAAAAAAGATTTTAAGCTGTTTCAAGTTCTTGATGTGGCTTAAAAATTTGAACAAAGCTGTAGATTCTGCTGGTGCAATATTCAATGCCCTCAAAGTAAACAATTCATCATCATCCTCAGACGCAAACGACGAAATCATTTTCATGACGCGATCTTCTTGCATTTCCCAAACACATTTTATCACGAGTAAAGCTTTGTCATTACTCTTGTCAATACATCGTTCCTTTGGCATCCAGTCTTGAAATCTAGATTAAGATATTTTGAGTATTTTGACTGGGCTCATTAGTAAAAGGTGGACTGGACTCATTAGTAAAAGGTGGACTGGACTCATTAGTAAAAGGTGGACTGGACTCATTAGTAAAAGGTGGACACTAACGAGCCCAGTCCACCTTTTACTAATGAGTCCAGTCCACCTTTTACTAGTCTAGTCCATACTTCGCAGCCAGCAGAGTATCACCTGAATCACTGATTAGCCAATCATATCGCTTCAAATCACCTCAATTGGCACGTGCTTGTCCCTGTCTCTCCAAAGTGATTGTCACTGACTGACTAGTTGGTGACGAGTGACTATGGCTTTTTGTTTTAGTTTTTTAATTAAATAAAAAATTTCAAGTAATTATAATTTTTATGAAATTATGTTGATTTTTATTTGTAAACACCTTGAAATTTATAAGTCGCCTGAGTGATTACAAGCCTATATTCTATACTTTGCATTCGGCTCAGTGAATATAGGCTTGCAATCACCTCACCTTCAGCAACTAATTGTAAAATAGAGTCCACTGGTACAGCACGGAAATCATCATCTCATTTTCAAGTCATAGGAGTCTGGTAGTTGTGTAATTTAACAATATGCAATACCAACAGCAACCTTTACATTCCTATAAATTATAACAATTTTTTACCTTTTGCATATACATTCAATCACTTCACTGTCTTCATCCTTTGATGACCTGATAAAAAAATTACATGTTAACTGATTTAGCACACTAAATAGTATGGCATTTATTATCCTGTACAACAGCTTATGAGGCATACTTTTGACTTTCCTATTCAATTTTTAAAAACCTAGCTTATTGTCTTTAGTTAGCATTGGTTATGACTTACAAGGTTATTCACATATAAGTCACCAAAGCCACTCAAGATTACGTACATCATTGAACAGGTATGATAATATTCCCTCACATATATATAGCAATTAAATTATGTTATATGATGAGTTGCTGCTATACAATATAACTGGCTACACTTATTACGTTATCTAATTTGAAGAAAAATTAGACGTACCTTAACTCTCTCATCCTATTTCCAAGTAACCCAGCTACAAATTGGATCACCAAATGCCACCTGGGTTCATCAATGTGATCTTCTAAAAATCTTTCAACATTTTTGATATCATCAACCACATCTAGTGCAGCCAAAAACTCTTGAATTGTAAGATGAAGAAAAGAGAAAATATTTCGTCTTTTGTCATCCAATTGATTGAACACACCAGAATCCGATAAGCCAGCCACAGATTTATCGCTGCTTTTAAACTCAAAAACTAACTTGTTTTCTTCCATTCCATTTCTTGCAATTCCCTTCAACTTGTCCAGGTCCTTTTGAAGCAGCTCTGGAAGTTCCGCAGTCAGATAATCCTTTTCTACTGGTTTATTCCTGTGTTTTGAATTGTGTTTGAACAGCAAAATCCTTATAGCTCTTTTGTACAGTTCAGTTATTGTTTTAGGAATCTCGCTGTAGCTTTCATCCTTCACATGTTGACCAAAATCAATGCTTTCATATAATGTCATGCAAATTATATAGGAGTTGACAGGTATGTAACAGAAGCTGATTAGTTCTGGGGAATCCTTGATTATGTTCCATATTTCAGAACTTTTCTGGGTGTCACCACCACAATTTTTTTTAACATACTCTTCTATTTCTTTTTCACTAAAACCCAACATTTCAACTTTTCGTTCAAAATCAAGCCTTTGATAGATACGTTCTGCTGTGGGTCGAGATGTGGTTAACACAGTGATTCCAGGTAATAGTTCATTATTCACCAGCTGTTTGAATATCAGGAATATATGAGCATGTTCCTTTAGGCTGTTTACAGTTTTTTCATTAATTAAACACTCATCATCTACCTGGAGTTCATCTAAGCCATCAAAAACAAGGATTGTTTTACTTGGGTTCTGATGGATATATTCATGGATAAACTCATTGTTGGACAGAGCTATTGCCTTATTGAGACCATGAGCCTGATCTAATATTTCTTGAAGACTTGTTTCTTGCTTGTTAAAATTACGAAATTTGATCAATAGTACAATTTTTTCATGCCAGAATTCATCAGGTTTTCCGCCTTCTTGCCACTCCTGAGATATTTTTTGGGTTAATAGAGTTTTCCCAATGCCTGGTCTGCCAACTACAAGAACAGTTCTAGGTTGTTCCTTACCAGCTTTTGCTGCTTGAAATAATTCTGCTGTATTCTCAAGTACTTTTGCATTAGAGGGCTTTTCCAATTGAATGTCATAAATCTCATGTCTACCTTTTAAAAATCCACTTCTTGAATAATTGACACATTCTCTTCCATCTTGAATTATGACATTGATATAAATTTCATCCAGTTTTTGTTTCTCTCCTAAGACATCATTCATAGTAAATAAATGTTTGGATTTATTTTTCTGAATCATCTCATGTACTTCATGGTTAGGAGAGTTAGAATTAGCTTCCTGAGTTATCTCATGGATTTCCTGGTTTAATTCTTGGTTAGGAGAGTAAGAGGAGTAAGGCTTGGAGGTATTAGGTGTTGCTTCTGCATGCTTTTTTTCAAGGTACACGCCAATGAACTCCTGATCAGTTTTGAAAGTGGGTCTCTTCCATGCGGACCACAACAGATAAACAATCTCAACGAGTGTCACTGCATCGACGAGGAAATTTATCGTGATAAAGCCGACAACAACTTGTTGTTTCTTTCCACCCATTGAATAAGTGCAGTCCACAAATGAAGAATTCGTAGTTGACCGTGTGACGTTCTCATGGAAAGTACTAGTTGTTGCTTTCATATTGGGCAAACGACATTCAAAATGGGTTGGAAAATTGGACGAGGTTAAGAGAAATGCTGAGAATATTGTCAGTGGTATTATACGACAAACGATTAAATGGATTACGTAAGCCATAAATACAAAATAACTATTTCTACCTCGATAGGCCACTGGTGCGGCTGGCGATGCTTCAGACTGTAGTGGCTGGCTTTCTTCTACGCCCTCGTTCGTCGTTGTGTTTGAATTATTTGCGAAGAAGTCGACTCTATGTTTCACCAGGTAACCGTACACGACACTACATACAATCACAAGTCCTAAACTTATCACAATCTGGACATTGAGAGGTAACGAAGGGAGGAATTCTTGGGCATATTGAAGACGACACTGTGTTTCAATGTACTTCCCCTCATATAAAGAGCTCGTGAGTTTACAATCCAGACTTGATTTCGACTCGTAATCACTCGCGATTCCAACCAGAACCACGCCAATTGCTACAAACAAAGCAAGAACAACTGAACTGTACGTATTGTAACAGTTACGAGGAATCAGTTTTAAACAATTTTCCATGTCTGTAAAGGAGTACTTCAATGATTCTTTGCCAGATTAGATTACAGGCAGCCCAGACTTTGACTTGCGCGTGTGATACTCGCGCGTGTGTCGCGCTTACGTTATATAGACGAAGTAAACAACGTAAGCGCGACACGCGCGCGAGTATCACACGCGCAAGTCAAAGTCTGGGCTGCCTATGATTAGATTTGATCACATAAGTTACTAGCCTCCTCCGCAGGCATCTCTTATGTATTTATATTAGGCATTTATATTTGGCTTGGGTTAGCTGCTCCCCGACACAGCTAACCCAAGCCAAATATAAATGCCTAATATAAATACATAAGAGATGCCTGCGGAGGAGGCTAATAAGTTACATAACCAATGACCACTATCCTGCTGTTATTCTGCACCAACACCCTCCGATCCAGGACTCATATGATTGGTCAAAAACTGACCACCCTCTAAGAATAACGTTATTATTTCTGACCTCGAGATAAAAGCTGGACAAAGGTGAAAGGTCTTACGCACATCTCAAACTGCATCTCATTTACGGCCTACCTCGGATATTTCACTGGTAAACTGCGCCCAAGTTTTCAAGACTGTCTTGCTGCAGACCCGTCGGGGTTAAGGTGTGCAGTCCCCAGAATATTTTTTACATACTGTGGAATTTAACACGAGTTTGTGTGATGGTTTGTTTCACTTTCACTCAAGCTGTGACCACGCCCTTTCTTCCCAATTGACGCAGCCCGACCCCCAATCAAAATTTTGTTCCGACACGGACAGGTCTGTACCGTCTTTGTCACAGTGATTTTATTTTTTTCTCCAAACTGTCAGTGTGCGTATTCTGGGCAAATATAAAAAATCGGGCTTGTTTCATTTTGTCTCCCATACACAGGTTGGGTAGCTATGGTAGAGCGGTTTTTAAACTGAAGGATTTACTCTGCAGGCTAATGTAGTGAAATACTACACTGGATGGTGTAAGTTTGTTTACTTTTTGATCTAACATTTGATAAACCACTGACAAATTATCATCCATGATTTCCCTAGAACCAGTAGATTCTGTCCCTCTGACTTTTCAATCAGGTAAGTCTTCATTGTTTATACTGACACATGCCTATCACAGGATTGACATGAGATATGAAATATCACTGATTCATCTCCAAACAAAAGGATCTTGAAGTTCATTCCAAATTGTTTTCATATTCGTACATTCAATATCTCATCCTGCTCTTTTCAGCGGTAATATTCCTAACGGAGATTTAACTCAGGGGGAGTCAGTCTGCCAGTATCTTCCACCATGCCCTGTTAAAGGAACTGGTTATCACAGAATTGTGTTTTGTCTTCTGAAGCAAACAACACGCTATGATTACGAGGCTATTCACACAAGACATAACACAAGGTTAGAGCGTTTCTTGGAAGTCAAAATTGAGACAAACCAATAAAAGTTACAATATATAAAAACCGTGTTCTTTATTCCTTAAATTGTGTTTAGATGTCTCGTCAGCAGATCGTTTAAAACATCGACGTTTTTGGACAATTTTCAACTTGTTCCTCAGGCACTTTCCTTCTTTCAAGCAACCTGGGACATGTCCGTATCAAATAATTTCACAAAAATCTTGGGTAACAAAAAATAACGCGATCCTTACTGACCTTCAGTATTAACCAGTGTTTACTGGAATATTGAAAGAATTAGTTCGGTTTTGTTAAAAACATTTATCCTTCGTTCAGGTATAAAAGAACCCGTGTATGACCTGGAGCCATTCTTGACACCGAACCAAAGAAAACGTTCACAAGTTAGAGAGATATTCGCAAAAAAATACACAAATATGTAACGAGTTTTGCTCTCTGTAAATCGGTCTAAATAAATTTTCACACAAAATAGCTGGGAGTGGTTATTTAGAGATGTGATGAGGTGGGTTGATTTGGAAATATTTCAAAGAAACTTTGAGCGGAGCCGAATTTTACACCGGAGTTGCGGCGCTTTTAAAGAGGCAGGATTACTAACAAAAACGTTGGTCGTTCTCGTAGAGAATATGAGAGATTTTGTGGGATCAGATCGATCAGGTAGATAGGATACATGCTTTCTGCTTACATTGTTGCATTCACGGGCATGCTTTTCTGAAACGAAATTCATCCCGTTTTCATATTGGAAACTTTGACCAGGTAGATCACTAAGACAGACGTAACTTTACGAACCAACATTGTTTGCTGGGCTGCCTATGGACAAAGCATTAAGACTAGCACTGAAAAGTTTATTTTTATGTCACAATGCTTGCCTTGTGTTAAACATGTCCATCGAGTTAATACAAAGAAATCTTCCTACAAATTAGTGAAATTACAATAATAAACTACAAAATATACAAATTATAAGAAATACAGTCATATACACTCAAGAATACTATTTGCAAAGTTTTAAAAACTTCAGAAACTACAAAACACTGATTGATTTTTAAACAATGCAAACTGATTTACTAAATTTACATTCCTATAAACGTCTCATCCTCGTGGTTAATCAAAAACATTTGAAAGATGAAACAAGAATCACGTTCTACAAATTTTACCTTCGAGATATGAATAAACAAAAAACTACGAGAGTAAAATACCAAATGTGTCACAAAGAAAAATATTAATATGATTTGCCTGCAATATACAGCTTCACAAAAACATTTCACAACGTTTGGCGCGTTTTACATGATTGCAGCCATTACGACTTTACATTTAGTAAATCACTTTGCAGTTGTTACTCTTAGCATCACTTAAATATTTAGCACCTTCAGTTTTTAAACCATTGCCACTTACATTTAGTTCAGTAAGTTTACAGTTGTCATTCTTCAAAGCATCACTTAAATATTTAGCACCTTCAGTTTTTAAATCATTGTAACTTACATTTAGTTTAGTAAGTTTACAGTTGTCATTCTTCAAAGCATCACTTAAATATTTAGCACCTTCAGTTTCTAAATCATTGACACTTACATTTAGCTCAGTAAGTTTACAGTTGTTACTCTTCAAAGCATCACTTAAATATTTAACACCTTCAGTTTTTAAACCATTGCCACTTACATTTAGTTTAGTAGGTTACAGCTAGTTGTCACTCTTTAGAGCATCACTTAAATATTTAGCACCTTCAGTTTTTAAATCATTGCCTCCTACATCTAGTTTAGTAAGTTTACAGTTGTCATTCTTCAGAGCATCATATAAATATTTAAGACCTTCAGTTTTCAAATTATTGTCACTTACATCTAGTTTAGTAAGTTTACAGTTGTCACTCTTCAAAGCATCACTTAAATATTTAGCACCTTCAGTTTTTAAATCATTGTCACTTACATCTAGTTCAGAAAGTTCACAGTTGTCACTCTTCAAAGCATCACTTAAATATTTAGCACTTTCAGTTTTTAAAAAATTGCCTCCTACATTTAGTTCAGTAAGTTTACAGTTGTCACTCTTCAAAGCATCACTTAAATATTTAACACCTTCAGTTGTTAAACCTCCATTGTTACTTACATTTAGTTCAGTAAGTTTGCAGTTGTCACTCTTTAGGCCATGGTTATCTTTCTTCAAAAACTCAGCCAATTCACGGATAGTAGTGTTCGTCACAGTACAAAAATAGATTTTAAGCTGTTTCAAGTTCTTGATGTGGCTTAAAAATTTGAACAAAGCTGTAGATTCTGCTGGTGCAATATTCAATGCCCTCAAAGTAAACAATTCATCATCATCCTCAGACGCAAACGACGAAATCATTTTCATGACGCGATCTTCTTGCATTTCCCAAACACATTTTATCACGAGTAAAGCTTTGTCATTACTCTTGTCAATACATCGTTCCTTTGGCATCCAGTCTTGAAATCTAGATTAAGATATTTTGAGTATTTTGACTGGGCTCATTAGTAAAAGGTGGACTGGACTCATTAGTAAAAGGTGGACTGGACTCATTAGTAAAAGGTGGACTGGACTCATTAGTAAAAGGTGGACACTAACGAGCCCAGTCCACCTTTTACTAATGAGTCCAGTCCACCTTTTACTAGTCTAGTCCATGCTTCGCAGCCAGCAGAGTATCACCTGAATCACTGATTAGCCAATCATATCGCTTCAAATCACCTCAATTGGCACGTGCTTGTCCCTGTCTCTCCAAAGTGATTGTCACTGACTGACTAGTTGGTGACGAGTGACTATGGCTTTTTGTTTTAGTTTTTTAATTAAATAAAAAATTTCAAGTAATTATAATTTTTATGAAATTATGTTGATTTTTATTTGTAAACACCTTGAAATTTATAAGTCGCCTGAGTGATTACAAGCCTATATTCTATACTTTGCATTCGGCTCAGTGAATATAGGCTTGCAATCACCTCACCTTCAGCAACTAATTGTAAAATAGAGTCCACTGGTACAGCACGGAAATCATCATCTCATTTTCAAGTCATAGGAGTCTGGTAGTTGTGTAATTTAACAATATGCAATACCAACAGCAACCTTTACATTCCTATAAATTATAACAATTTTTTACCTTTTGCATATACATTCAATCACTTCACTGTCTTCATCCTTTGATGACCTGATAAAAAAATTACATGTTAACTGATTTAGCACACTAAATAGTATGGCATTTATTATCCTGTACAACAGCTTATGAGGCATACTTTTGACTTTCCTATTCAATTTTTAAAAACCTAGCTTATTGTCTTTAGTTAGCATTGGTTATGACTTACAAGGTTATTCACATATAAGTCACCAAAGCCACTCAAGATTACGTACATCATTGAACAGGTATGATAATATTCCCTCACATATATATAGCAATTAAATTATGTTATATGATGAGTTGCTGCTATACAATATAACTGGCTACACTTATTACGTTATCTAATTTGAATAAAAATGAGGCGTACCTGAACTCTTTCATCCTATCTCCAAGTAACCCAGCTACAAACTGGATCACCAAATGCCACCTGGGTTCATTAATGTGATCTTCTAAAAATCTTTCAACATTTTTAATATCATTAACCACATGTAGTGCAGCTAGAAACTCTTGAATTGTAAGATGAAGAAAAGAGAAAATATTTTGTCTTTTGTCTTTCAACTGATTGAACACACCAGAATCAGATAAGCCAGCCATAGACTGATCACTGCTTTCAAATTCAAAAACTAACTGATTTTTTTTCATTCCATTCCTTGCAATTCCCTTTAATTTGTCCAAGTCCCTTTGAAACTGCTCTGGAAGTTTTGCAGTCAAGTAATCTTTGTCTACTGGTTTATTCCTATATTTTGAATTGTGTTTGAACAGCAAAATCCTTATAGCTCTTTTGTACAGTTCAGTTATTGTTTTAGGAATCTTGCTGTAGCTTTCATCCTCCACAAGTTGACCAAAATCAATGCTTTCATATAATGTTAAACAAATTATATAGGAATTGACTGGTATGTAACAGAAGCTAATTAGTTCTGGGGAATCCTTGATTATGTTCCATATTTCTGAACTTTTCTGGGTGTCATCACCACAATTTTTTTTAACATACTCTTCTATTTGTTCCTCACTAAAACCCAATATCTCCACCTGTCTATCAAAATCAAGCCCTTGGTAGATGCGTTCTGCTGTGGGTCGAGATGTGGTTAACACAGTGATTCCAGGTAATAGTTCATCATTCACCAGCTGTTTGAATATCAGGAATATATGAGCATGTTCTTCCAGGCTGTTTACAGTTTTTCCTTTAGTTAAACACTCATCATCTACCTGGAGCTCATCTAAGCCATCAAAAACAAGGATGGTATTACTTGGGTTCTGATGGATATATTCATGGATAGACTCATTGTTGGACAGAGCTATTGCCTTATTGAGACCATGAGCTTGATTTAATATTTCTTGAAGACTTGTTTTTTGCTTGTTAAAATTACGAAATTTGATCAATAGTACAATTTTTTCATGCCAGAATTCATCATGTTGTTGACTTTCTTGCCACTCCTGAGATATTTTTTCGGTTAATAGAGTTTTCCCAATGCCTGGTCTTCCAACTACAAGAACAGTTCTAGGATGATCTTGACCAGCTTCTGCTGCTTGAAATAATTCTGCTGTACTCTCAAGTACTTTTGCATTAGCAGGCTTTTTCAATTGAATGTCATAAATCTCATGTCTACATTTTAAAAATCCACTTCTTGAATAATTGACACATTCTCTTCCATCTTGAATTATGACATTGATATAAATTTCATCCAGTTTTCGTTTTGCTCCTAAGACATCACTCACAGTAAATAAATGTTTGGTTTTATTTTCCTGAATCATCTCCTGTTTTGTCTGGTTTACTTCTTGGTTAGGAGAGTTAGAGTTAGTTTCCTGAGTTATCTCATGGATTTCCTGGTTTGCTTCATGGTTAGGAAAGTAAGAGGAGTAAGGGTTGGAGGTGTTAGCGGTTGCTTCTGCATGCTTTTTTTCTAGGTACACGCTAATGAACTCCTGATCAGTATGGAAAGTGGGTCTCTTCCATGCCGACCACAACAGATAAACAATCTCAACGAGTGTCACTGCATCGACGATGAAATTTATCGTGATGAAGCCGACAACAACTTGTTGTTTCTTTTTAGCCATTGAATAAGTGCAATCCACAAATGAAAAATTCGTAGTTGGTCGTGTGACGTTCTCATGGGAAGTACTAGTTGTTGTTTTCATATTGGGCAAACGACATTCAAAATGGGTCGGAAAATTGGACGAGGTTAAGAGAAATGCTGAGAATATTGTCAGTGGTATTATACGACAAACGATTAAATGGATTATGTAAGCCATGAAAACAAAATAACGATTACTACCTTGATAGGCCACTGGTGCGGCTGGCGATACATCAGACAGTGGCTGGCTTTCTTCTACGCCCTCGTTCGTCGTTGTGTTTGGATTATTTGCGAAGAAGTCCACTCTATGTTTCACCAGGTAACCGTACACGACACTACATACAACGACAAGTCCAAAACTTATCATAATCTGGACATTGAGAGATAACGAAGGAAGGAATTCTTGGGCATATTGAAGACGACATTGTGTTTCAATGTACTTCCCCTTGAATAAAGAGCTTGTGAGGTCACATTCTAGACTTGATTTCGACTCGTAATCACTCGCGATTCCAACCAGAGCCACGCCAATTGCTACAAACAAAGCAAGAACTATTGAACTGTACGTATTGTAACAGTTACGAGGAACCAGTTTTAAACAACTATCCATGCGTGTAAAGCGGTACTTCAATGATTCTTTGCCAGGAAAAAAAGCAGGAATTAGATTTAATGACATAACCAGTGAACCACCCCACTGTTATTCTGCACCAACACCCTCCAGGACTCATATGATTGGTTAAAAACCGTCGGCTCTACGGTTTCAAATTCACATTCAGATTCAGGCCCCGTTTACACTGCACCGGATTCGCTTGTCACGATATCTACTGCATATATATATATATATATACAGTCGCTGTCATTAACGTTGTCCAAATCAAGTATATCAATATACCTGTCATGTGACTTATTGTTATGCATCAACTCGCGTGTGCTTGCATGCGATGGCGCGCTTCGCGAATATTGCGAGTTTAGTCGGACAGTATTTGCCGGCAGCATATTCGAACGATCTACGGTGGCGAATGATATTTCACCGCGTCTTTTATCAACGCACCTATATAAGCAAATCGCATCACAGTTATTTGTCAGTTCTACCAAAACTGTTTACCGCGTACTTATCAAACGTTTATTAACACTGGTTATATAAAACCTTGGGTCCTTGGTCTTTCCTCACGAAGAGTACATCATCATCATGGATCACGCTTCACTTCCAGCTAAACGTATTTTAACTGCGGTACAGAAGGATCTTGAATTTCTACTGTATTATTTTGTGCAGAGAATTAATGATAGCAACGGATGATGCATTCAGTTAAAATGACCATGAATATAGAACAAAGCTAGTTCTATTTTGTCATCAGTCTACGTCACTACAGAGTCACATGAGATGCGCATGCGTCTTGCCAATCAGTGCTTGCACGCTTGCCAAAGTCGAAACGTGAAAAATTTTGTGTCGAAGAAATCTTCTTTGTTTATGGTTTTCACGGGTGGTTACACTTGACATTTGTAAGTATTTAGTATTCTGTCTCCAGTTCGCCTTTTAGGTTCAAATTTAGAATGGAAAATTTACATAACGGTGATGAAAATCGGGGAGATTATCATACCTCCGAACGTCAAGAAGCGGGAGAATCGTCTACTTCAACCGCCGTTCCTCCTCAGTCGAGAGATATTGGCGAGGCTTTAGAGACTATTGGAGAAAACATGGGCCAAATGGCTACCATGCTACAACAAATCTATGAAGAACGACGTTCTTCGAAGAGCCCAACGGGTCGAAAACGAGCTCGCTCACAGTCGCCACCGGCGAATAGTTCGACAAAATCAAAGTCAGCACTCGGCTCAACAGGCTCGACCACGCGTCAGACCCATGAAGGGAGTTCCCGCCAAATTGACGATGATCGAGTTAGCATTTATGCGAGCGGTAGCGAACAGGATGATCTTGAGGAGGACCTCTTATTGCTCACCGGGCAAAACAAATCGGTCAACGACCAACCAGACTCTGACCTTCTTCGCGACTTAGCTAACGCGCTTGAGGAAGATGAACCCACCGGGGAAAGTGTCAATCAACCATTGGCTGATATTGCCAACAAGCGTTGGGGCAAACAGTTAGGTTCTGATAAGGTTAAGGCACTACTTACAAAATACAAACGTCCAGAGAATTGTAGGGATATTACTGAGGTCAGAGTGAACCCAGAGATTTGGGGTCAACTCTCCTCCCAAAAGAAGAAAACTGACTTACAATTAAGCAATTTTCAACAAATAGCAAGGAAACTCCTGTTTGCTAACCTTCAAATGACCAATACCTTATTGGCAGGGCAACAAATTGATTCTAAATCAGTGCTAGCTCAATCTGTTGATTCTATTGCCCTTCTGGGACATATGAATCACAATTTGTCCCAATTAAGGAGAGATCAAATACGTCCAGCGCTTAAACCGGAATATGTGTCTATATGTTCCTCCTCTGCAGATCATGAGGACAGTAAGTTGTTGTTTGGTGATGATCTGCCAAAGCGGCTGCGGGATGCTAAGGAATCCTGCAGAATAGGAAACACCATGACACACAATATCACACGACAAAGTGGTAGGAAACAAATTTCCAGGGAAAGTAATGCTAGCGGCCAACGAGCATCTGGTCACCCTTATCGAAGACCAGGGAAAGATTTTTTCTGGAAAGGCCAGACTCGGCCTGCCAAGAGGAAAAATGTGCCACCGGCAGGGAGGAAATAATGCAGAAATTGCAGGATATTAAAAATTCGGTAAGTAAATTTTTAGATTTTGTGCCATGTTTAGTAGAATATCTCCAGCAGAGATGCCTTGACTTCACAGCTGGACAAGTGGCTAACCATTTTAAAAAGTGGGTAGACCTTACCTATGACAAGGAAATACTTTCCGACATTGCTGGTATGAGAATCCAATGTGATGAGATACCAACTCAGCACAAACTTTTGAACTCTATCAGGCTAAAAAATGAGCAGTTGCTCATTGATCAGGAGATTGTGAAATTAGTTCAGAAACAGGTAATAGTACCTGTTAGACCAGAACCTGATCAGATACTATCAGGTATATTTTTACATCCAAAAAAGGATGGTTCATTTAGGTTAATACTTAACCTGAAAGAATTTAACAAGTATGTGACCTATCACCATTTCAAAATGGACTCCCTAAACACTATAACCAAGCTCATGGTAAAAAATTGTTATATGGCCTGTATTGATTTGAAGGACGCTTATTATTCAATACCTATTCATGCTTCTGATAGAAATATTTACGGTTTGAATGGGATGGCAGGACATATGAGTTCACCTGTTTACCAAATGGTCTTTCTTGTTGCCCAAGAAAATTCACTAAAATTCTTAAACCACTTCTGGCTTATTTACATAAACAGAACCATATTTCTGTGGCACATATTGACGATTTGTACCTTCAGGGTCAAACATATAACCTATGTGTACATAATGTTGTGGACACAGTAGTATTATTAGATGAAGTGGGCTTTATTGTTCATCCAACAAAATCCTGCTTGATACCTAGCCAGGAAATTATGGTTCTGGGGTTTATTTTAAACTCTGTCACAATGATTGTGAGATTAACACCTCAGAAAGCTTCCCAGCTGCAGAAGGACTGCACAAAACTGCTCAAACAAACATTCTTAACTATTAGGGATGCTGCCAAAATCATAGGGAAGATTGTGTCCAGTTTCCCTGGAGTCCTTTATGGACCCCTTTACTATAGACACCTTGAGCATGATAAAACTCTAGCTTTGAAGCAAAATCAGGGTAATTTTGATGCTATTATGACATTCTCTGCTGAAGCGAGAATAGAATTAGATTGGTGGGTCCAGAATGTACTCACTTCCTTTAAGCCTTTGAGCCATGGTTTACCTGTCCTAACAATTACCACTGATGCTTCAAAACTAGGGTGGGGTGCAACCTGTAATGGTGTATCCTCCGGGGGAAATTGGACTCATATTGAGGCAGAACATCACATAAATTATTTGGAGATGTTTGCAATTCTTTTGGGTCTTAAGACGTTTGCAAAAGAAAGATCCCAAGTCCATATCAGGATAAGGACAGACAATACTACCGCGATAAGTGTCCTCAACAATATGGGCACTAGCCATTCAGATGTTTGTAATAATTTAGGACATAAAATTTGGGAATGGTGCATTGCAAGAGGAATATGGATTAGTGTTGTACACATTCCAGGGAAACAAAACCTGGTTGCAGATTTTGAGTCAAGACGTAACCAGACTGCCTCGGAATGGAAACTAAACACTAGTAGTCTAAACAAAGCATTGAATGAACTTAGATTTCACCCAGATATTGATCTGTTTGCTTCACGCATTAATCACCAGTTCTCAAAATATGTGTCCTACAAACCAGATCCGAATGCTGTCGCGATTGATGCATTTAGCATGGACTGGTCAACATTAAATTTTTACGCATTTCCACCATTTAGTGTTATTTCATCAATGTTAAGCAAAATAAGAATGGACAAGGCGCGAGGAGTTTGTGTGATTCCAGACTGGCCCACTCAGGGTTGGTATCCTATGGCTATGCAAATGCGAGAGCGAGAACCTGTACGTCTAAAGGCAACGGACAGATTGTTGACCTTACCCAGCCACCCCACGGAACAACATCCACTACATCAAAAGCTAAACCTACTGGTAGTTCTATTATCAGGGAAAGGATAAAACGACATGGACTTACTTCCAGTACGACGGATATAGTAATGGCCTCTTGGCGCACAGGAACGGCCAAACAATACTCTATCTATTTAACCAAGTGGAAAACGTATTGTGATAATGAAGGGGTGGATATGTTTTGTCCGGGTGTAATGCATGCTGTTGAGTTCTTGGGATCGCTTTATGCATCGGGGTTAAGCTACAGTGCGATTAATACAGCTCGCTCTGCCTTATCAACGATATTGCCAATGGAAAATGGAGTGACATTTGGGGATCACCCTCTCGTTAGCCGGACAATGAAAGGAATATTTGAACTGAGGCCGGCGCTACCTAGATACTCTGAGATTTGGGACGTTAATGTTGTCTTGAATTATCTAAAGAACCAAGGGATTCCCGCGGCGTTATCACTGAAACAGCTTACCTTGAAGTTAACAATGTTGTTGTGTTTATTGACTGGCCAGAGGTGCCAAACTGTGCATAGCATGGATATAAAATACATGCAAAAAATGACTGACCGATACCGGATCACGATACAGCAGAAGTTGAAACAAACCAAGAGTGGTAAGCATATCGATCCTATCGAACTGATGGCCTTCGATGAAGACCCCGGATTATGTGTCGTACAACATTTGGACGAATATATCGAAAGGACTGCAAAATTGAGGGATAAGCATACGCAGTTATTAATTAGCTATGTTAAACCACACCGTTCTATCTCGAAGGATACAGTGGCCAGGTGGGTCCGGGAAGTTCTTAAATCGTCTGGTATTAATACGGATGTATATGGTGCACATAGCAGCCGAGCTGCCTCGACATCGTTTTGTCATCGAAAAGGATTAGATATGGTGACAATCATGAAGTCTGCTGGTTGGTCGAATAGTGGAACGTTTGCACGGTTTTATGGTAAACCATTAGAACAATCTAATTTTGGACAAACTGTCGTAGAAAATTTATCACTTTAAGTAGTTAACATAAATCTTTGATGTTCATGTTATGTTAAAATTAAATAAATACTCGGTTACGAGTATAGTTCGTGTGCGTAGAACTTTGAAATCTCATGTGACTCTGTAGTGACGTAGACTGATGACAAAATAGAATTTTGCAATTAAACGAAACTTACCTGGAAGTTGAAGTTTGATTGGAATTCTAAGTTGTCATCAGTCAGGAACGAAGGAGTCACATGCCCGTGAAATGTATACCCACGCCGCCCAAATTCCTTCGTTCCTGAGTTTTCTACACCACTCACGATGAAGACTGATTGGCAAGACGCATGCGCATCTCATGTGACTCCTTCGTTCCTGACTGATGACAACTTAGAATTCCAATCAAACTTCAACTTCCAGGTAAGTTTCGTTTAATTGCAAAATTTGTTTTGACCTTTCCCAATTGGTATAAACAATTTAGTCATTGGCGCCTCTTAATCATGTCTTATGAAATAAAGTTAGTGAAGGGCACAAAGGATTTCTGTCTGTTTGTCCCTAACAATTTAAATTTTTGCATAAAAATCTATTGTTTGAATTGCATTTGACGCCACAAAAGTTTGACGTATAAACTACAGTACAGTAGGCCTAATATATGCACGTATAGCGGACAATAGTTTACGCACCCATAGACTTAGCATATAGTGATTGCACGGGCATTCAAATTTTAACAAAAAGCTAATTCCTTAATAACGTCTAAAGGTATAGCTCCGGCATTTCATGAGTGGCTGCATGCCTTGTTATGATCATGATAATATTGTGATCTAAGTATCTGATTTGATATCTACCAAACAGCACAAATCAGGGGTCTCAAATTGACTGAATAAATTAGCTAAGCACTGTCTCATTAGCGCTGTCACGAAAGCAAAATAACAAAAGGCTTGAAGGCCAAAACAACGAAAAGAAAGGGCAATTAATGACAATGCTTGGCTGATTTATTCAGCGAATCAGACAACCTTGGCACACAACTCCTAATCGTCAGTCGAAAATGGCTGCAAAGACAGCACCAGAAATAATTCCATTTTTAGACATTAGAGTGTTGGATTCGGTGAGGAAGAGTAGTTTCCGAGTCCGACAACTTACACAGTTCCCAGTCGTTAAAACCATTGGGCAAATGCGAAAGGAATTAATTGAACGTTTGCCTGACGTAAAGAACGTGGAAACTTGCCAGCTTGGTTATGTGCTGGAGAGGAATAAAAAATATTCCATTGGTTCTGATGATGAACTGCAGAAAGCATTCGGTCATTTTCGTGCAAGTTATCAAATGTGGTTGGACCCAGCTTCGTTGACGCAAAATTTGATACCAGCCAAAACGTCGACTGGTAAATCTGCCCAATCAGGTTAGTATAATAATACATTCTTCATACGCAGACAACGTGTAGTTCATTTCTTGCTGTGTAACTGATTGATTTCATCCTTATAGAGAAGCCAACATCTTCAAAGGCCTAGGAATCCATAATTCAATCCGAAATTGAACAATTGCAGAAGATGCACGGCGACTCGCATCCTGCCTACAAGTATCGACTGTGGGCTGAAATGATCGTAAGCTTCACATTCCAAATAAATTTCAAACTGGTTTTATACTTTCTATGCATGCTACCTTAAAGGAGTAACATCAATGCCTTATTCTGGCTTATTTATTTTTGGTGAATTTATTGAATATTTCTTTCACAGATAGTTGGAACAGCAAATAGACAATATGTACCCGATGTTTCACGCGACACCAGCGAAACGGCCGCGAAGAGAAACTTGGTCAGACAAGCTAGGCTCTGCAAGCGAAACAATTGCTCGTGCAATCACGGCAGGGCAAAATGCTGCAAAGCAAAATGATGAACATGTAAACCAGGTAAGTGTAACTGCATGCATGAGATACTTACAATATGATATACTTATGAATTGCAATGTATAACAAAAATATTTGTTTGTTTTTTGCATCTTCTCGTTTCTTTAGCCGGGTCAATCTACCGCTTCAGGGTCAACCGATGCGTCTAAAGCTATCATTCGCACACAAATTTTGAAACAAATCAAGGAGTTGTATGAATTGAAGACAATTGGGGCAATTACCGATGATGAATACAATTCCAAAAAATATATATTGCTAAAAGATCTGAATTAGTGATGCAACTACAGCAGAGTGCCGCAGCTAGTTCAACGATTGTAGGGGTGGGACGTATTTATATATTCGTATTCACAGACCTTAAAAACAACCGATTTTTCAAGAAATTAATTCATAATGAGGAACACAAAATATGAGCCCCCCTCCAATTATCGAGCTAACTGCAGCACTTATGATAACGGCTGTATATATAAAGTGAAAGCTTTTATCCGAGGCTTAAAATGCCTGTAAATGCATGACGATAAACCGGCTTTTACCCGAGGCTTAAAATGCGCACAGTTTATCGTCATGCACATAGATAGGTCTCGGCTGTGTATCACGATTTTTGTGTGTGTGTTGGTATTATGTAGGTGAATACTATTGTTTCTGATGTTTCTGGTTAGGCCGAGTATGTACATGTCTTGTGTAAGTTGTGTTTAAAAGTATGCGCGTCTTTCCCTGGTATTGCGCTATATTCCAAAGGTCGTATAATTTGATTCCCACTGTGGGCAGGCAAACATCTAAGCTTGCATGCCCAATGTTGGTATACACTCAGTGTTAGGCCTACACCAGAAAATCGTTGTGTATATGTACTTATAATGGCGATTTATTTGCCTAAATTATACATATTGACATTTTAAAAAGCCCCATTCATGCAGCCTACTATATCTTGCATGGTTTTTCCCAGTCATAGGTATTGTTGTGCACGGCTGCGCTATATGTGTAATTTGCTACTATAGGAACAAAATATATTATATAAATGTCAATATCTTTCGTGGGATATTATTATATTTTACGAGCAGGGTGACACACATGGCGTGAAAAAGAACCATATCAATTTGTTTGTATATAGAGTTATATTTTCACTCACTAACTATACTACCGTGAAGAAGTGTACCCAAAGAAAATTTACAAATAATCAGCATGACGCATGTATCCTTCACAATCTTGTTGTGTGATCTGTCCAAAAGCATCCCATATAAGAGGAGTAGGATCTGCTAAAGATTTCAGAACGACATCATTCAGACGAAGATGATGTTTAACTTTCGCAAAAGCTTCTTCAATCGGATTTAAATCCGGACTATAAGGTGGCAAAAAACGAACTAGCGCTCCAAAGTTGTAAATGCGGTCTATAACATCTCTAACATGATGAACATGGTTATCTAGATGGGCAGAGAAACCGCTTTTATTGACAAACCAAAATTCTAGTATACAATAATTCAGTTGACCAAAAAGTAGGATTGAAAATCATGCAAAGTAACTCACCCATGACAATGACTGAACGCGTGTTAACCCCATTGTACACGTTCATTAGCGGAAGAAGGCAGTGATCCAGAAATTCATTAAAAGCCTCCTCATTGAATCGCTGCTCAATCGGCAAGATGTAATTCGCAACTAGCCCTTCACTAGATATGGCAGAAATGACTGTAAAATGGGGTCCCCACTGAGAGTAACTGTAGTCTCTGACAACTGGAGCTGTACCTCGAACACTATATCCAAATTGTCGGGAAATGCGCTTGTCCTATAAATTATCATAACAAACAATTTTTACCATTTTACTTATTTTTTAACACAAAATCATTTGTGTGAAGCATACTCACAATGCCTGTTTCGTCCAAGAAAACCAAATGGTGCGGATTAAAGGTTGCGATTTCAGCCATGAATTGTAAGCGAAGATGCTCTTGACGCTGTAGAGCAATTCGTTTTATCTAAAACAAACATATCACGTAGCTGTAGTTGTACGAAAGCTAGAAAATACAATGGTCAAATGCACATGGATACTATACCTTCTTACGAGTTATTCCCAGTCGATAAACAGCTTTGCATAACGTTTCTTCACTGAATGCAGAACCAGTCACATTATAAATACAGTTGGCCAATTCATTTAGCTGCATTTGCGGCCGTCTTAGTGCATAATCCATGATGATGTACTCTTCGTGAGGAAAGAAAGTGTTTGTATCTTTTGGTCGACCAAGGACGCAAGGTTTTACATCACCAGTGTTAATAAACGTTTGATAAGTACGGTAAACAGTTTTGGTAGAAACAAATAACTGTGATGCGATTTCCTTATAGGTGCGTTGATAAAAGACGCGGTGAAATATCATTCGCCACCGTAGATCGTTCGAATATGCTGCCGGCATTTTAAAATCTTGCTTCTCTTATTTGAAATACTGTCCGACTAAACTCGCAATATTCGCGAAGCGCGCCATCGCATGCAAGCACACGCGAGTTGATGCATAACAATAAGTCACATGACAGGTATATTGATATACTTGATTTGGACAACGTTAATGACAGCGACTGTATATATTATATATATATATAATTATATATATATTATATATATAATAATATATATATAATAATATATATAATATATATAATATATACTGATATATAGATATATACTGATATATAGATATATACTGATATATATGATATATACTGATATATAGATATATACTGATAGATATATATGATATATATGAATATATAGATATATACTGATATATAGATATATACTGATATATAGATATATACTGATATATAGATATATACTGATATATAGATATATAATGATCTGATATATAGATATATACTGATATATAGATATATACTGATATATAGATATATACTGATATATAGATATATACTGATATATAGATATATACTGATATATAGATATATACTGATATATAGATATATACTGCATATACTGATGTACTATATTTTTTTGATAGTTTTGGTATATTTGTTTCGATCTCTGACAGTAAAATTTTTTACTGCCTTTTAATAGCTACAAAATGTGACCCACTCCGAAAGCAATCCGGTATAGTGTAAACCGGGCGTGAAATGCCAGCCAAGAAAGGACGCATTGAGTGGTTATAAATGTGATAGAAAAACTGGTGCAAAGGTTTGTTTGAAAGGTTGGTACGGTTCTGAGTGCAATGAGACTACACGAGTCACGAGCGAATTAGCTGAAAGATCTACAAAAATTCGTCCAAAGACACCGGCTCACAACTCTCAGCAAACCACATCAGGTTTCTTTCCATCCAAAAGTAGCAGACTTCAAAACATCATCCCAACATCCAAACTTATCATATCACCTTTGAAGATGTCACTTATAACGTCACCACTAATGAGCTCGTCATCATCAACGCTATTACCACCAACAAAACTATTATCACGCCTAGCGCCTTTATTCACTACACCACCAATAACCCCATCATCAACTGTATTACCACCAACGTTATCACGCCTAGCGCCTTCGTTCACTACACCACTAATGACGTCATCACATGTGACGTCACTTTCTATGACGTCATCAGAAGTCACCTCACATTTCGCATCGTATGTCCTTTCAAAATATATTGAGGGATTAAAGGCTACATCAAGCATGGTTAGGAACCTCACAGGGATAACAGAGGATAGGAACCTGGAGACAACTAGCGACAGCAGTCACAGAGTAAAACAAAGTAGAAATAATACAAAGCCGACTGTTGCAATATCCAGTGATAGCACAGGTCGTGTTAAGGAACACAAAGAATTTTTAGAACAATCAACAAAGCTCAACATGATTGAAGAAGACTTCGCCAGCACATGTTGTGATGTCAAATTCACGTCTACATCAAGTGTCACAACACCCAGCCCAGGAACAACCGATGAAAGAAAAGGAAGAAACGCATGGTGGATAATATTGATGATCTTATTGATCATTGCCATTATATTGATTGTCACAGGAATTTCAGTTTATAAAAAAAAATACAGGTGGGCAGGATGACTGCAGTGTTTATATTCTGATCCAGTGTAGTAGGTCAGGTATTCTATAAGCTGATGATATCGTAGTATATTACATAACCATTTACAAAGAAGATATTAACTGAATTCATGGAATTGTTTGACTTTCATTTATTGTCTAGAAAACATCACAAAATCTTGCCACATCATGGAGCTTCTATGAAAGAGTTTCAGATCCCAGCAGAAAGCAATGTACCACTGGGCAAGCAACACTCAAACAATATGAAAAATAATTCAGCTGAAGAAGATTTAGATGCAATGGGACGAGTTATGGTGACATCTCATGAGTAAATGATTTTCATAACAAATCTGCCCAAACTTGAGGCAGGTGTTTATCATATATGTTAAATATATGTCAGACAACATCTTTTGTAGAAAATTGTAAATAATGTGAGAATTAATATTTAAGGAATACTGGATTACACTAACCTAACCTTGATAATGAAGAAGCTTCACTATGAATTTATTTTAAGCGAAAATCCCAACCCTTGGTTAGTTTGGCCAGTAACTCGATCTGGGGTATAATCAAGTGATGATATTATCCACAAATACTAAAATGTAAAATGTACCATATTTTTTACTTGTGTTTCATCTGATCAACTGAAAATCATTTCTTGTCATCTTTCTTGTATTCGCTTGTTTTTTCAAATAGTCTCTCAGTTAGCGTGTGTAGGTCTGGAAGCTAAACAATGCAAAGAAAAATGTTACTAAAAGCATAGTCATGCATATATATATATATATATATATATATATATATATATATATATATATATATATATATATATATATATAGCATAACAAAATTTATGATATCCTAATTACAACAAAATCCTAATTAAAAGCAAGCCAGGAATGATACAATATTCCTCGTTTGGGTTTAATAATCGTATATAAATTTCTGCCTTTACAACAAAGTGCAGATTACAAACAACTAATTCACCAATACTGAAAGAAATCCAATGTAGAAAATGATTATATACATACATTGTAGTTTTGAGCCAAATATAATCCCAAGATTCCACCACAGCCAAGTCCAACCTACAAAGGGCAAAATGCAAATCAAGTACAACTGTACAATTATATATTAAAAGTACAAGGTAGTTCTTTATTGCATTCACTGTCAAGCTAAAAGTTGGGTTGGTTGCTCTGTAACTGCTCTGCAAATCCTTTGGTTAGGAAATAGCATAATTAGGCACTCCAAAAAATACCCACCTACCCCCACCCAAATCAAGGGGCCACTTTCTTTCATTTTGACCTGTACCATGGAATTTGGGGCTGAATAAACTGGTACTTTCTTTCTACATGTGATCAACTTAGTACCATCAAAATTATCGTTGATGGTGGGGTTCTAGAGATCTTACTGGGAAAGGCATAATGCACCTTATACCACCAGTAAAAGATAGCAATACATCACTGCCTATAGAGGATATTATTACCCAACACACAAGAGCCTACATATTCAGAAATAAAAGTACATATACATAGGTTGATTACCAATAATGAACCAAATCGTGAAATCTGAGACATTCTTTAAACCACTGTGATTGTCTTTAGCTTTTAAGTTTTAAAAAACTGTATTTTGTCATAAATTTAGTGTCGATGGACTCATTTGAGTGAAAAATGTAGTATTAAATTTATTTGAAAGTTGAAAGTTGAAAGTTCTTCATCTCCGACTCGTATTTTGTTTCACGAAGGACGACCACAAACCGCAGAAAAGGTCGTTCTGGAAATCCAAGATGGCAGCCCGGATAGCAAACTTTACACAAAGCAATATTTTGATAAAATGTACAAATAATATTCTTCGTCGAAACGCGATTTTTAAGGAGGGAGCCCAGGCTGGGTCGTGCAACCGTTGCCTACGTTTTCAAAGTCAAACAGCGTCAAGTAAGTTGATTCCTAAAATTATTACAGAATTCTGAATTATTCAATTATATTTCGTCAGTAACAAGTCTGGAAAATCCACGGCTAAAATATCGGTGGGTTGCATCACAATACGAGGGCAGAGGGGCCCGGATATTATTCCCGTGTCTGCCCGTAAAGTACCAGGTAAGCGTGGGTATCGAAAATAGGTCTCTATGTTTTGAGGGGTATGGGGGGGTCCTGCTGCTCGTGCAGAGTGTTTTTAACCTTAGTTCATGTTTGGTGCAAGTTTTGTTTATAAGAGTGTTTTCATGTGGGTATTGCAGGGTATAAAGGGGAAAAGAGGAGCACAGACAAGCCTCGGAAGAGAAAGATTTTACGGAAAATCAAAGCTGAGATATGTTCGCAAAATATGGCCAACCCTGACATGGAGAAAGCCGCAAGATCACGGAAACGTGTGTTGATAATAAAATATGTTTAGTTATAGATCATGTACATGATCATGATGGATTTTTACTGTCTAATATTATTACCATTTGCAAGCGACCGTTCGGCGCAAACGTTTTCACGCGTTTTCTTACGTTTCAAACGTGCACGTTAGGCAAACCAAACATACATGCTGAAACGTATAAACTAATTAGTTTAGACTGTGAGTTGACATTGTTTGACATGTCACGCCCACATGTCCAACAAACGTAAGCGCGCACATTTCTAAATATACTTGCATGTGTTAGTTCTATATTTCCACACATAATCTTCTGTAGCTTTTACATTATGCATGTCAATAAATTTGGTAGATCATACAGCCTTGGTAAATCACTTGATAGTGATTTAAGGCGTCTAATTATTGATGAATGCCTTAAGTCTGGTGGAGATGCAACTGTTGGTTACTTGCCCGTCACTTACGTAGAAATAGCTAGTCGATTCAGTATCTCTGCAAATACAGTTTCCAAAATATGGAAGAATTTTTGCTACCAAGGACGAAAGGTTGATCCATCACCAAAAGGCGGAGATCATTCAAGCAAATTTTCTGAAGGGGATCTCGAACTTCTTGAGGTTCTTAAGCGAGCTCATGGCACAATTCAGCTGAATGAATTATATGCTATACTTGAGGAATTTGGTGATTGTGGTGAAGTTTCGTTGTCATCGATTTCACGAGCAATAAAATCCAGACTTCTGTCCGGAAAACGATATACTCGGAAGCGTATTACCAGCGTAGCCTTTGAGCGCTTTACTGATGAAAATATGATTTATACTCAGCTTTTCATCAACTACCTATCTTCAAAAGATCCGAGAAGGATTAAGTTCTTTGATGAGGCGGGGGTTAAGACGCCGTGCATCGGTACACGTTTATACGGAAATGCGCCGTCCGGGGAACGCTGCGTGGAAATTGTTCGAAAAACAGAATCTCCAAATTTTACTTTAAATTTACTGATTTCAGTCAATGGCCCTGAATATTACAACATTCTGGATGGCCCAACTGACACTGTAAGGTTCTGGGATTTCTTCTGGGAGGCTTCTCAAGCAGCACATGAGATAACTCGACGTCCTGCTCTCGAAGTAGGGGATATCGTTGTGATGGACAATTTAGCTGTCCACCACTACGAAGGCGGCCAAATTCTCGAAGAAGTTTTAGCTGAGATGGGTATCGAGCTATTGTTCACCCCAACATATTCTCCCGATCTTAACCCTATTGAGCTTTGTTTCAATAAAATAAAAACAGAACTTAACGGACGGTTTTCAGCCGACGTTCATCGTAATCTAAAATTAGCTGTTGCAGAAGCGGTCGAAAGAATATCAGCGTTGGATACGAGGAGGTTTTATCGTCATACAGCTTATCTTTTTCCTTTCGTTGGGTGATGCTTACAAACAGTAATACATTGAAACATTTCACACAAAATACTTGTAACATTTAAGTTTCGTATTTTCGTACATTGATATAACAGAATGATTCAGCAATATCATTGCTTTGGTAAAGTTGAATATATCTGTAAAGTTTGACATTGTGTTAATTGTAAATATTACATTTGACCTCACAAAACTTTGATAACTGCATTTAAAATGGTATTTGAGGATTTTGGGGTAGGGTTTTTTTAAGAAATCGTTAGTGGGTGGGCATGAACAAATTGTATTAACTATAAATTGTACTGAAATTGTTAATTGAAAAATAGGGGAGTTTGTAGGGGTCTGGGGGAACACCCGCAGATAATTTCCTGTATTTTTTAGTCTCCGACTTGATTTCCTGCATTTTCGGCGATACTTACTGTTGCACCATCTCGGCGGAGTGAGGTTTGTTGGGGAAGGAGCTTTCGCCCGCCAGTTAAAAAGGCCCTGTTTTCGGGGAAAAACAGTGTCATATAATCAATTTATCGGCACGGCATGGCTAAAATGGGTACTCGTGCTTATTTCATCCATGCCCCACCTTTGTATTGGTAGTCTGAAAACTAATAAAATAAGGTACGGGTGCCAAATTTTGCCGTGCCGTGCCAATAAATTGAATGTAGTGTAAACAGGGCTATGTCAGTTTTCCGCCGCGGGATAAAGGTCACGCGTGGCACGCAACTGACAGTTAAGTAATAAACCTGACTGTCAGCAATAATTGTCGTTATATTTATTACAAACATGATGATATAATTGATAACAAAATAACGTTTTCTCAAACTTATGGTTCGAACTTGAAGAGTACACAGTCACAGGTTGCTATAAACAAAATGATCTTGCAAAGCAAATCAAACCTCTCAAACTCGGTAAGTTTTGAAGACAATTACAGTAATAATATGCCGAGAATAAAAGTATAGCAATTATCTATAAAGTATGAAAGTATCAAAGATATTTAGCCTATTCTAAATCTATAGCTAGCACTCTCAAAAATATAATACGAACTAAATATATATTGTTGATCAATGGATCAATGCATGAGTGCAATACAAACGAAAATCGAAATATAAATTCATCAACCGATGGCTTGGATGACCCTCATGAAATGTAAACAAAATTAAAACAAAATGAAAATAATTTACAAACTTTATACTGGTTAGCTATCTGTTCAAGTTTATATCTAGCCTTCAGTAATACATTTACCCGGTATATTTAGTTAGAATAATATGAAAACTTCTACTTATAGTTGCTTCTAAAACTAAATACTATGATAGAACAGTGTCTATGATATAACACAACATACATGATTGAAAAGCTTTCTTACTTGAGACATTTGTCATTTCCAGACGAGAGAAACATTAAATGTAATGCTGCATCCCTGGTCTCTGACTCTGTCGATGTCAGAACTTCTGATGCACTAGGACGTGAAATAGTGTTGGGCGCAGCAGTGGTTTCGGATAAACTTGCAGCAGTACCAGTGTTTCCAGATGAAATTGCAGGATCACTGCTCGCATAAATTACACGACAGGAATCAGATGGATGAAACACTGGCTGTTGAACTGTTGGCGTGTATGGATAGAAATATGGGTTCATATTCCCGTAAGAATAATTTGGAAAATCTTGAAATGTATAACTTGGCGCAGTGTTGTTTAATTGATAAGGTGTCGGAATGGGTTCGGGACAAGCATTTGCTACAGTTGTAAAGAGAGATCGCTGCTCCTGCTGAACTAAAGACTCCTGTTGAACTGAAGAGTCTAATAAGCTTTGTTTCAATACCATGTTGAGCTGCTCTGCTTCTTCTTGAACATTTGATGGCGCGCAACGATGAACAGAACTTGAATGCGAGCTGGACGTAGCTTGGTCGCTGGGATTAGGAAATGAAATCCCTTTTTCTTGCAAAAGAGCTTTGGCCGGATTTGTTCTTTTCAGCGCCCTGGTTCTTTTGGTTTTGACTTGCGACATGCTTGAATTGGCATTGTACTCGTCTCCTGAAACATCTTCTCGTTCTAAGGCGACCTCTAAAATATCCGAAAGTTTGTGCTTTGCAGGTATTCTGCCTTCGAAGTGTTCTTTACAGTGTTTCTCGAGAATATAGACGTGTTTACGCAAAAGTGCCCATTTCTTTATTCCCCCGTCAATATACTGGTTTCCGCTCTCTTTCATAAGGGCCTTTTCAATTTTATTTGACAAACTTTCAGACAGTTTATTCGCTTGTTCTTCCTTTAGACTTAGGTCTTTCTCGAGTTTAGCAATTTCGTCTTTGACTTTTTTTATCGAATTACGAGCCCCGCGAGAGTCTATTTCACCAGGGTGCAATTTTTCTTCACCACAAGCAAAAATAGATAAGCATTTTTCATAGTCACAATGACGTGCAGTATGCCCTAAACGCATGTGACAATTTCGGCATAAGTTACCTTCGGTTGGATTTGATTTAACTCGTAATATTTTCCTTTGCACCTCCTGTTCGTTGCTCTCGAGTTTGTAAAGTTCAGACCTTTTTGCGGCTATGCGATCTTTAACTTTTTTCACATACCTTTGAAAAGGTGTTTCAGCAACAACAGACTGAGCTTCGTCGGAAGAATCGGAAGAATACATTGTTTGTTCTTTTTGGTCGTGCTCAAATAATCTTTTCCTTGCATCGCGAGATACAGCAGGCCGTTTCTCTTGAGGTTTCTCCAGTGGTTTGGTTTCTTTCATCCCCAACGGCGTCCAGGCGTCATCAACACGCAAACACAATCGGACCGTTTCGTAGTCTCCCTGAAGCACTGACTTACATGAACGAACAGCATCCTGTACATCATTTTCTCCAGTAATGGTAACAAATGTACCCTCATCGTCACGATATTGGATTCTCAAGGACTTTGGATCCCGTCCATCTCGATAATAGCTGCCCACCGTGTCCCAAACAATTTCAGACAGCATCGCTAAATCCAAATCTTTCAGACTATTAGATGAGATTGAACTCGTTTTACAACGATCGTAATCACGACCATATATAATTTTTACTTGTACTGACATTTGATTCTGTAAAATCGCAAACGCCTCAATACGAATGTTATGTCTGAAATCTTGCTGGAATGACGCCCTTACGTTTGTTGGACATGTGGGCGTGACATGTCAAACAATGTCAACTCACAGTCTAAACTAATTAGTTTATACGTTTCAGCATGTATGTTTGGTCCGCCTAACGTGCACGTTTGAAACGTAAGAAAACGCGTGAAAACGTTTGCGCCGAACGGTCGCTTGCAAATGGTAATATAATATCAACATTCCATGCAGATACCTGTACACATGGAGTACCTATTTTTTATTAAGTAAAGCAAAACTTACTTTATTAGTTCTGATACCTTTGGATGAAGTGATGAAAGGATGGGCTCTTAAACAATACCCACTTCAAGTCAAAACAATGGCTTCATATCTCGGGGTTTTTGACCATATGTTTGATGGTAGAAGCTTCACTCCTTTCGTAGCGATGAATGTGGACTTTCCAGATGGTAGTTCGGTGCATTGTGGTAATTTTCTATCACCAGCACAGGTAATGGTCATTGGTTACTATCACCAGGAGTAAACAATATGTCTTGGACAATAATACACCATACTTACTGTGGTCTAGTTTTATAGTTGTTTGTCATGCTGTTCACAACATATTACCAGAAATAAACTTTTGGTGCGAAAACTTACATCTGTGAACAAAAAACCATTGTTATTTTCTAGACATCTTGCGAACCAAAAGTGTCATTTCACACTGAAGATGACTCTCTGACCACATTATTGATGGTGAATTTAGGTTTGTTGAAAGTGTCTTTAATTTTCTTACAAGTTGTTAAACTCCTAACCCATTTGATAACAAATGACCAAACATGGTAAAAAAACTCTGAATCATAATTACTTATCATTCCTATAAAGATGGTAATATCTTGTCAAGAAATGATGAAATACTACACTGGATGGTGTAAGTTTGTTTACTTTTTGATGCAACATTTGATAAACCGCAGACAAATTATCATCCATGATTTCCCTAGAACCAGTAGATTCTGTTTCTCTGACTTTTCAATCAGATAAGTCTTCATTGTTTGTACCGTGACACATGCCTATCACAGGATTGACATGAGATATGAAGTATCACTGATTCATCTCCAAACAAGAGGATCTTGAAGTTCTTTCCAACTTGTTTTCATATATTCCTACATTCAATATCTCATCCTGTTCTTTTCAGCGGTAATATTCCAAACGGAGATTTAACTCAGGGGGAGTCAGTCTGTCAGTATCTTCCACCATGCCCTGTTAAAGGAACTGGTTATCACAGAATTGTGTTTTGTCTTCTGAAGCAAACAACACGCTATGATTACGAGGCTATTCACACAAGACATAGCACAAGGTTAGAGCGGTTCTTGGAAGTCAAAATTGAGACAAACCAATAAAAGTTACAATACATAAAAACCGTGTTCTTTATTCCTTAAATTGTGTTTAGATGTCTCGTCAGCAGATCGTTTAAAACATCGACGTTTTTGGACAATTTTCAACTTGTTCCTCAGGCACTTTCCTTCTTTCAAGCAACCTGGGACATGTCCGTATCAAATCATTTCACAGAAATCTTGGGTAACAAAAAATAACGCGATCCTTACTGACCTTCAGTATTAACCAGTGTTAAAAACATTTATCCTTCGTTCAGGTATAAAAGAACCCGTGTATGACCTCGAACCATTCTTGACACCAAACCAAAGAAAACGTTCACAAGTTAGAGAGATATTCGCAAAAAAATACACAAATATGTAACGAGTTTTGCTCTCTGTAAATAAGTCTAAATAAATTTTTACACAAAATAGCTTGGAGTGGTTATTTAGAGATGTGATGAGGTGGGTTGACTTGGAAATATTTCAAAGAAACTTTGAGCGGAGCCGAATTCTACAGCGCAGTTGCGGTGCTTTTAAAGATACAGGATTACTAACAAAAACGTTGGTCGTTCTCGTAGAGAATACGAGAGATTTTGTGGGATCAGATCGATCAGAAGATAGGATACATGCTTTCTGCTTACATTGTTACATATTACATTCACGGGCATGCTTTTCTGAAACGAAACGGAAAACTTTGACCAGGTGGATCACTAAAAGTCTGTTCACACGATCCAATTTTGTTGGATTCAATTCACTTCTGATGGATGTTTTATAGTCTGTTGTATTGTAATGTATATCAGCAGCAAATCCACTGAAGCCAATGTACTAAGGCTTCACCAATAGCCGACTATATTTCATACGTCAGAAGTGAATTGGATCCAACAAAATTGGATCTTGTGAACAGACCTTAAGGCAGACGTAACCTTACGAACCAACATTGTTTGCTGGGCTGCCTTGGCTATGGACAAAGCATTAATACTAGCAGTGAAAAGTTTATTTTTAATTAATACAAAGAAATCTTCCTACGAATTAGCGAAATTACAATAATAAACTACAAGATATATATACAAATGATAAGAAATACAATCATATACACTCAAGAATACTATTTACAAAGCATTAAAAACTTCAGAAACTACAGTCAGAAACTACAAAACACTGATTGATTTTTAAACAATGCAAACTGATTTATTAAATTTACATTCCTATAAACGTCTCATCCACACGGGCTACATTTAATCAAAAACATTTGAAAGATAATTTGTTTCCTTAAAAGGAGTCTATAATTCATTGTCAACTACACACAGATGAAACAAGAAACACATGCTCGCAAATTTTACCTTCGAGATATGAATGAATAGAAAAATACGAGAGTAAAATACCGAATGTGTCATGAAGAAAAATATGAATATGATTTGCCTGCAATATACAGCTTAACAAAAACATTTCACAACGTTTGACGCGTTTTACACGATTGCAGCCATTATGACTTTACATTTAGTAAATCAGTTTGCAGTTGTCACTTTTCAAAGCATCACTTAAATATTTAACACCTTCAGTTTTTAAATAATTGCGACTTACATTTAGTTCAGTAAGTTTACAGTTGTCACTCTTCAAAGCATCACTTAAATATTTAGCACCTTCAGTTTTTAAATCATTGTCACTTACATTTAGTTTAGTAAGTTTACAGTTGTCACTCTTCAAAGCATCACTTAAATATCTAACACCTTCAGTTTTTAAATCATTGTAACTTACATTTAGTTTAGTAAGTTTACAGTTGTCACTCTTCAAAGCATCACTTAAATATTTAACACCTTCAGTTTTTAAATCATTGTGACTTACATTTAGTTCAGTAAGTTTACAGTTGTCACTCTTCACAGCATCACTTAAATATTTAACACATTCAGTTTTTAAATCATTATAACTTACATTTAGTTTAGTAAGTTTACAGTTGTCACTCTTCAAAGCATCACTTAAATATTTAACACCTTCAGTTTTTAAATCATTGTAACTTACATTTAGTTTAGTAAGTTTACAGTTGTCACTCTTCAAAGCATCACTTAAATATTTAACACCTTCAGTTTTTAAATCATTGTCACTTATAGTTAGTTTAGTAAGTTTACAGTTATCACTCTTCAAAGCATCACTTAAATATTTAGCACCTTCAGCTTTTAAATCATTGACACTTACATTTAGTTCAGTAAGTTTACAGTAGTCACTCTTCAAAGCATCACTTAAATATTTAACACCTTCAGTTTTTAAATCATTGTCACTTACAATTAGTTCCGTAAGTTTACAGTTGTCACTCTTCAAAGCATCACTTAAATATTTAACAGCTTCAGTTTTTAAATCATTGTAACTTACATTTAGTTTAGTAAGTCTACAGTTATCACTCTTCAAAGCATCACTGAAATATTTAGCAGCTTCAGTTTTTAAACCATTGAGACTTACATTTAGTTTAATAAGTTTACAGTTGTCACTCTTCAAAGCATCACTTAAATATTTAACACCTTCAGTTTTTAAATCATTGCCTCTTACATCTAGTTCAGTAAGTTTACAGTTGTCACTCTTCAAAGCATCACTTAAATATTTAGCACCTTCAGTTGTTAAACCACTATTGTCACTTACATCTAGTTCAGTAAGTTCACAGTTGTCACTCTCCAGGCCATGGTTATCTTTCTTCAAAAACTCAGCCAATTCACGGATAGCAATGTTCGTCACAGTACAAAGATTGATTTGAAGCTGTTTCAAGTTCTTGATGTGGCTTAAAAATTTGAACAAAGCGGTAGATTCTGCTGGTGCAATATTTAATCCTTCCAAAAGAAACGTTTCATGATCATCCTCAGACGCAAACGATGAAATATTTTTCATGACGCGATCCTCTTGCATTTCCCAAACACCTTTTATCACAAGTAAACCTTTGTCATTACTGTCGTCAATACATCGTTTCTTTGGCATCCAGTCTTGAAATCTAGATTAAGATATTTAAAGAAAAAAGTTTAGAAGGGATTTATATTTCGAGAAAACGTCGTAGTAATGGCCGCCATTTTATCAAAGAGAAAATTATTAAACCAGATCAGTGTATTAAACTCACAGAGCGAAAACGACGACAACACAGACAATTGATTTTGTTTTTTGTACAAACAAAACTACGAAAATATAAATTTGTCGAAAGAAAACACTAATTTATATGCGTACCCCCCCTACGTATATCGAGGACACTGGAAATCCTCAGGGATGTGGACTGTGTTCAACACTTCAGCTGGTTCAGCCCAGCGTTGCCAGATCGTGAACAAAGTTCACAGATTTGTGAACTTTTTGCTCTCTTCATGAACTTTTTATGAACTTCGAAGATTTGTGAACTTTTTATGAACTTTTTAAAATTGTTAAAAAGAGCTGTTTCTCATGTTTTTAAACAGAGTTGTATCTCATATTTATTTGGTATTTATCATCTTTGGGGGAATTGCGGTGAATCCGGTCAATCCAGTGGACCAATCTCGATAATCTCCAAAAATTTCCGGCGATATTCCGACATATTCCGACGTTTTCCGATACTTTCCGATCTTAAAATTTAGATAGGCTATCTTTAAAATAGGGAATGGGGAATGCGGGAATGGGGGAATGCGGGAATGGGGGAATGCGGGAATGCGGGAATGCGGGAATGCGGGAATGGGAGAATGCGGGAATGCGGGAATGCGGGAATGGGGGAATGCGGGAATGCGGGAATGGGGGAATGCGGGAATGGGGGAATGCGGGAATGGGGGAATGCGGGAATGCGGGAATGCGGGAATGCGGGAATGCGGGAATGCGGGAATGCGGGAATGGGGGAATGCGGGAATGGGGTAATGCGGGAGTAAGGGAATGGGGGAATGAGGGAATGGGGGAATGGGGGAATGCGGGAATGCGGGAATGGGGGAATGCGGGAATGCGGGAATGCGGGAATGCGGGAATGCGGGAATGCGGGAATGGGGGAATGCGGGAATGGGGTAATGCGGAAGTAAGGGAATGGGGGAATGAGGGAATGGGGGAATAAGGGAATAAGGGAATGGGGGAATAAGGGAATGAGGGAATAAGGGAATAAGGGAATAAGGGAATGGGGGAATAAGGGAATGGGGGAATAAGGGAATGGGGAATAAGGGAATGGGGAATAAGGGAATGGGGGGATAAGGGAATGGGGGGATAAGGGAATGGGGGAATAAGGGAATGGGGGAATAAGGGAACGCAGGAATGGGGCAATAAGGGAATGGGGTAACCGGTGAACAAGTGAGCAGGGGAACCGGGGAATGGGGGAACAGGATAAAGGTGGAACTATGGACTCATTGAGCAGCTAAACTAATAGTAACAGTCTTGAGCCTGAAAGGAACAATTGTTAGTATATATTAGGCATGTATACAGTATTATGGCTCTCTGCATCTAGGACTACTTACAAATATATTTATTGTTATTATTAAATGCCAACCTGGCAAGTGTTAATTGTTATTGTGAAACTCAGGCACTCTTGTATTAGATTTTACCAAAGTGAAAAATCAAAATATACTTGCCTTTCAGTAAAAATTAAAACTATAAATAAGATAATGGTATTGTTGTGTGCTAGTGTGTTCATTTAGTTGGCAAGAAACTGTTCTGTGTATATAATTTCCATGCATGTTTGCATTTGCTTTCAACAAAATCTATAAATGAACCCAATGACCCTTAACTAAGGACCGTCATCCTTTATTAGCAGGTTGGGGCTGAAGAGAAAAGGGTAGGGTAACTGCATGAAAATGATGAAGTGTTATTAATTAACAATATAAATCCTTTCATCATTAAAATCTGAAACCAGGCGTGAACTAGCTGTACAATCCTAAATCATTATACATCAAGTGACTGACATCAGCAATATATAGTCAACATATTGGCTCTTTCCCAATCAGCATACAAAGCTTTAAATCATATAAAATCTTAATGAGTCTCAGTCAGTCCTTGGTAGGATGTCTCACGCCTATAGCTAGTTATATGAAAACATTATATCAGAAAGTATTTTCCCTATATATACTATTTAACTCTACTGTGAATGACTTGGTAATTATGTAATAAGCAATGTTTGCACTTTATAATTGGCATGCAAACATTGCAATACTAAATACTATGTATGTATATTACCTTTTTATGACATTTATTGGAATACATAAATACTTCCTGTACTACAATAAATATCTAAATGCCCTACTTGATTATATACTTGATTATATATGTTTTCTGATATAATGTTTTCATATAACTAGCTATAGGCCTGAGACTTCCTACCAAGGAATGACTGAGATTCATTAAAGATTTTATAAGATTTTAAGCTTTGTATGCTGATTGGGAAAGAGCCAATATGTTGACTATATATTGCTGATGTCAGTCACTTGATGCATAATGATTTAGGATTGTACAGTAGTTGATTCATGCCTGGTTTGAGATTTTAATGATGAAAGGATTTATATTGTTAATAACACTTCATTTTCATGCAGTTACCCTATACCCTTTTCTCTTCAGCCCCAAACCCACTAATAAAGGATGACTGTCCTTAATTAGTTAAGGGTCAGTGGGTTCATTCATAGATTTTGTTGAAAGCAAATGCAAACATGCATGAAAATTATATACACAGAACAGTTTCTTGAGCAATGTTATTCCCATATAACATATGTTCTAGCTGTTGCATTTGTCATTATATTTGAATAGATATCACTATTGAAAACACACTAGCACACAACAATACCATTATCTTATTTATAGTTTTAATTTTTACTGAAAGGCAAGTATATTTTGATTTTTCACTTTGGTAAAATCTAATACAAGAGTGCCTGAGTTTCACAATAACAATTAACACTTGCCAGGTTGGCATTATAATAACAATAAATATTTGTAGAGAGCCATAATACTGTATACACGCCTAATATATACTAAAAATTGTTCCTTTCAGGCTCAAGACTGTTACTATTAGCTTAACTGCTCAATGAGTCCATAGTTATACCTTTACCCTGTTCCCTGGTTCCCCCCATCCCTCTGTTCCCCCATTCCCTGGTTCCCCCGCTCACTCGTTCACCGGTTTCACTGTTCGCCCCATTCCCTTATTCCCCCATTCCCTTATTCCCCCATTCCCTTATTCCCCCATTCCCTTATTCCCCCATTCCTTCACTCCCTTATTTCCCCATTCCCTTATTCCCCCATTCCCTTATTCCCCATTCCTTCATTCCCTTATTCCCCCATTCCCTTATTCCCCCATTCCCTTATTCCCCCATTCCTACATTCCCTTATTCCCCCATTCCCTTATTCCCCCATTCCTTATTCCCCCATTCCCTTATTCCCCATTCCCCTATTCCCCCATTCCCTTATTCCCCCATTCCCTTATTCCCCCATTCCCTTATTCCCCCATTCCCTTATTCCCCCATTCCCTTATTCCCCCATTCCCTTATTCCCCCATTCCTTCATTCCCTTATTTCCCCATTCCCTTATTCCCCCATTCCCTTATTCCCCCATTCCTTCATTCCCTTATTCCCCCATTCCCTTATTCCCCCATTCCCTTATTCCCCATTCCTTCATTCCCTTATTCCCCCATTCCCTTATTCCCCCATTCCCTTATTCCCCCATTCCCTTATTCCCCATTCCCCCATTCTCTTATTCCCCCATTCCCTTATTCCCCCATTCCCTTATTCCCCCATTCCCGCATTCCCCCGTTCCCGCATTCCCCCATTCCCGCATTCCCCCATTCCCCCATTCCCGCATTCCCCATTCCCGCATTCCCCCATTCCCGCATTCCCCCATTCCCGCATTCCCCCATTCCCGCATTCCCCCATTCCCGCATTCCCCCATTCCCGCATTCCCCCATTCCCGCATTCCCCCATTCCCCCATTCCCGCATTCCCCATTCCCTATTTTAAAGATAGCCATTTAGATATGAACTTTTTGGCTATCTTTAAAATGGGGAACGGGGAACGGGGAACGGGGAACGGGGAACGGGGAACGGGGAACGGGGGGAACGGGGAACGGGGGAACCGGTAACATGGAAAATAACGATTTTTTACACTCAAGTCTACACAAATAGTGCAATCAATATTTCAATGTTTTTTCAATCTTTTATTAACTTGACACTGAACTAGTGTCTGAAATGCACTGTGTGCATTGAACAAAATACAACGATAATCATACAGTATATGCACTACACGCCTAAAAACGATCAGGTTGATGCAAGTTGATATAAACAGGATGGAGCAATGTTGTGCTGCCCTCAGACTTCAGAGTTGTTATCAATATTGAACAATATTGTTACACCCGATTCAGTTTCAAAAATATTGTTCAATATTGATAACAGCTCTGAAGTCTGAGGGCAGCACAACATTGCTCCATCCTGTTTATATCAACTTGCATCAACCTGATCGTTTTTAGGCGTGTAGTGCATATACTGTATGATTATCGTTGTATTTTGTTCAATGCACACAGTGCATTTCAGACACTAGTTCAGTGTCAAGTTAATAAAAGATTGAAAAAACATTGAAATATTGATTGCACTATTTGTGTAGACTTGAGTGTAAAAAATCGTTATTTTCCATGTTACCGGTTCCCCCGTTCCCCCGTTCCCCGTTCCCCGTTCCCCGTTCCCCGTTCCCCGTTCCCCGTTCCCCGTTCCTCGTTCCCCGTTCCCCATTTTAAAGATAGCCTGAACTTTTTGTCATTTTTGTGAACTTTTGACGTCAGCGAACATGAATATTTTGAAATTTCATCTGGCAACACTGGTTCAACCTGAAAATCCTCAGGGGTCGGTTGTTCGAAAGGCGTTTAGCTTAAACGGTGGATAAGCCAAATTTTAAAAATACTCTCATATATCTTGTGAATGACTGTACCTGCAACTTATGCATTAAATATGTTCTTCCATTGACAATTAAACTATTTACATCGAAATATTTCATCTCTGTTGTTCAATAAATAGATAATTTTGTTTTCCATTTTGAACTTATCCACCGTTTAGGGTAAACGCCTTTCGAACAACCGGCCCCAGGTGGGTAGTTTTCAGCCTGGAAATCCTCAGGGGCCGGTTGTTCAAAAGCCGGTTAGCTTAACCCTGGGTTAAAGCAAATCTTTACGTTAACATTTTTAATCACTTGTTTACAAAGTTGAATATCTTTTTCATAAATATTTTCAGGACCGATAGAAGTGATATTTTCTAATGTTTTAAAACAAACAGTGGTTCAGAAGCACATAAACTAAAACGCTTGATTAAAATTTAACCCAGGGTTAGCGCTAACCCAGCTTTGAACAACTGGCCCCAGGGATGTGGACTGTGTACTGTGTTCAGCCTGGAAATCCTTAGGGTAAGGATATTATCCACCAGGAAATCCTCAGGGTAAGGATATTATCCACCAGGAATTCCTCAGGGTAAGCATATTTTCACACTGGGATTCCTCAGGGTAGGCATATTATTAACCTGGAATTCCTCGGTGTGAACATATCATCAGGCTGGAATTCATCAGGGGCAAAAGTGTTGGAGACCATGTCCTCGATAGGGGGGGTACAGATATTAAATAGCCCAATTCGTTAAACTGTTAAACAAATTGTTGAAAACAGTAAAACATTTATACTCATATTATGGAATTAGAGCAACGAAACATCACTTAAATGTTTTAAATATATCCATTCAGGTAACTTCAGCCTTCCCTTCTTTCTTTTTAATAATCTTGAATAGTTTTTCAAGTTTTTTTTGTTTATTTTTAACTCAGTTTTCCCCTCATCTCTCCTGGCCATTTTGTCTTTGCGAGACCCAACATTTTCTCTCCTTCCTGGGTGCGAAGCTTGCTGACAAGAAGAATCATTCTTCATCTATGCATAGGTTACCCGAAAATGTGTTTTTTCATGGCATTAATCCACAATTAGCATTTTGATCCGTTATAATTTGCATATCATCACAGGCAGCCCGGTCACTGCTGTACGTCATGCTATTATATATGTATATAATTACAATTATATACATTATAATTACAATTATATATATTATAATTACAATTATTGTAATTATATACATATATAATAGAATGACGTAACACCAGTGACCGGGCTGCCTGTGGATCATTGATATTTTTTAATTATGAATGAGTGCGTGCGCTACTTCATGTAATGCAAATTATAACAGCTGAAAATGCTAATTGTGGAATAATGCCATGAAAAAACACATTTTTGGGTAACCTACGATCTATGGTGGTTAGCTGGTTACGTTGAAAGATCGCCTTTGCTTTGCTTAGAGCTCGCGTGGTGTGTGTTCGTGGCAGTCGAAGTTGGAGGACTGCGTCCATCACATCACTTAATGACATCACTTTGTCTGAATGGAACTCGAACATTAGGGAGTCTAGTTAAGTTGTTTTTGTAAATAGTCGTAGAATTGTTATGCTTAGTTTTAATGCATGTTTGATTATTGTAATTTTCCCTAGTACTAATAAACGTATATATATTTAATGACCATATGGCTTCAAACCACCTCAACTGACACGTGCTTGTCCTAGGAATATTTCATTGTACTATGCATGTACTATGCATATATGCAAAACTATTGACTAGGAAACTGCACTGGAATCAATCAAAGTCATCAAAAGTCATCAATCAAAGTCATCATTATAATTATGTTAATAATTGTTTGAATAAAAAATAAGTAAAGCAACATTTCACAGAATTGGCTAATCAGAATCATTCATAATTTATACAACAGGCAGAGGTTTTATCAACTTTGGAAAATCCTCAATGTTGCCAATGCTAGGTAAGGAAGCAGTTGCAGATTTTTGTTGAGGGTTTTAAATTGATGCCAGCTAGCAACATACATCAGCTATAATGCAATACTATCCAATACGTTTATAAATTGTAACAAATTTTTACCTTTTGCATATACATTCGATTACTTCACTGTCTTCATGCTCTGCTGACCTGATAAATAATTAAATGTGCATGAATAAAAGATTATATAGACTAAATGATACAACAATGAATAAATAATATAAGAAGATTCCCTTACATGCATATGGCTATCAAATTGAGTTGTGACTATACAATATAACTAGCTACTTTATAACTTTATCTAATTTGAAGAAAAATTAAGCATACCTTAACTCTCTCATCCTATCTCCAAGTAACCCAACTACAAATCGGTTCACCAAATGCCACCAGGGTCCATCAATTACTTCACTATCTTTATGCTCTGCTGACCTGATAAATAATTAAATATGAATGAATACAAGATTATATAGACTAAGATCTAAATGATACAACAATGAATAAATAATATAAGAAGATTCCCTTACATGCATATGGCTATTAAATTGAGTTGTGACTATACAATATAACTGGCAACTTTATAACTTTCTCTGATTTGAATAAAAAATTAGGCATACCTTAACTCTCTCATCCTATCTCCAAGTAACCCAGCTACAAATTGGATCACCAAATGCCACCTGGGTTCATCAATGTGATCTTCTAAAAATCTTTCAACATTTTTGATATCATCAACCACATCTAGTGCAGCCAGAAACTCTTGAATTGTAAGATGAAGAAAAGAGAAAATATTTCGTCTTTTGTCTTCCAATTGATTGAACACACCAGAATCAGATAAGCCAGCCACAGATTCATCACTGCTTTTAAACTCAAAAACTAACTTGTTTTCTTCCATTCCATTCCTTGCAATTCCCTTCAACTTGTCCAGGTCCTTTTGAAGCAGCTCTGGAAGTTCCGCAGTCAGATAACCCTTTTTTGCTGGTTCATTCTTGTATTTTGAATTGTGTTTGATCAGCAAAATCCTTATTGCTCTTTTGTACAGTTCAGTTATTGTTTTAGGAATCTTGCTGTAGCTTTCATCCTCCACTTCTTCACCAAAATCAATGCTTTCATACAATGTCATGGAAATTATATAGGAATTGACAGGTATGTAACAGAAGCTGATTAGTTCTGGGGAATCCTTGATTATGTTCCATATTTCTGAACTTTTCTGGGTGTCAGCACCACAATTTTTTTTAACATACTCTTCTATTTGTGTCTGACTAAAACCCAACATTTCAACTTTTCGTTCAAAATCAAGCCTTTGGTAGATGCGTTCTGCTGTGGGTCGAGATGTGGTTAACACAGTGGCTCCAGGTAATAGTTCATCATTCACCAGCTGTTTAAATATCAGGAATATATGAGCATGTTCCTTTAGGCTGTTTACAGTTTTTCCATCAATTAAACATTCATCATCTACCTGGAGTTCATCTAAGCCATCAAAAACAAGGATGGTATTACTTGGGTTCTGATGGATATATTCATGGATAGACTTATTGTTGGACAGAGCTATTGCCTTATTGAGACCATGAGCCTGATCTAATATTTCTTGAAGACTTGTTTCTTGCTTGTTAAAATTACGAAATTTGATCAATAGAACAATTTTTTCATGCCAGAATTCATCAGGTTTTCCGCCTTCTTGCCACTCCTGAGATATTTTTTCAGTTAATAGAGTTTTCCCAATGCCTGGTCTGCCAACTACAAGAACAGTTCTAGGTTGTTTCCTACTGGCTTTTGCTGCTTGAAATAATTCTGCTGTACTCTCAAGTACTTTCGAATTAGGGGGCTTTTTCAATTGAATGTCATAAATCTCATGTCTACCTTTTAAAAATCCACTTCTTGAATAATTGTCACATTCTCTTCCATCTTGAATTATGACATTGATATAAATTTCATCCAGTTTTTGTTTCGTTCCTAAGATATCATTCATAGTAAATGAATGTTTGGTTTTATTTTCCTGAATCATCTCAGGTATTCCCTGGTTTGCTTCTTGGTTAGGAGAGTTAGAGTTAGTTTCCTGAGTTATCTCATGTACTTCTTGGTTTACCTCATGGCTAGGAGAGTTAGAGGAGTAAGGGTTGGAGGTGTTAGGGGTTGCTTCTGCATGCTTTTTTTCAAGGTACACGCTAATGAACTCCTGATCAGTTTTGAAAGTGGGTCTCTTCCATGCGGACCACAACAGATAAACAATCTCAACGAGTGTCACTGCATTGACCAGAAAATTTATCGTGATGAAGCCGACAACAACTTGTTGTTTCTTTCCACCCATTGAATAAGTACAGTCCACAAATGAAGAATTCGTAGTTGACCGTGTGACGTTCTCATGGGAAGTACTAGTTGTTGTTTTCATATTGGGCAAAGGACATTCAAAATGGGTTGGAAAATTGGACGAGGTTAAGAGAAATGCTGAGAATATTGTCAGTGGTATTATACGACAAACGAATAAATGGATTACGTAAGCCATGAAAACAAAATAACGATTACTACCTCGATACGCCACTGGTGCGGCTGGCGATACATCAGACAATGGTTGGCTTTCTTCTACGCCCTCGTTCGTCGTTGTGTTTGGATTATTTGCGACGAAGTCCACTCTATGTTTCACCAGGTAACCGTACACGACACTACATACAACCACAAGTCCAAAACTTATCACAATCTGGACATTGAGAGATAACGAAGGGAGGAATTCTTGGGCATATTGAAGACGACATTGTGTTTCAATGTACTTCCCCTCATATAAAGAGCTCGTGAGTTTACAATCCAGACTTGATTTCGACTCGTAATCACTCGCGATTGCAACCAGAACCACGCCAATTGCTACAAACAAAGCAAGAACTACTGAACTGTACGTATTGTAACAGTTACGAGGTACTAGTTTTAAGCAATTTTCCATGTCTGTAATGGAGTACTTCAATGATTCTTTGCCAGATTAGATTTGATCGCATAAGTTACATAACCAATGACCACCACCCTACTGTTATTCTGCACCAACACCCTCCGATCCAGGACTCATATGATTGGTCAAAAACTGACCACCCTCAATCCGTTATTATTTCTGACCTCGAGATAAAAGCTGGACAAAGGTGAAAGGTCTTACGCACATCTCAAACTGCATCTCATTTACGGCTTACCTCGGATATTTCACTGGCAAACTGCGGCCAAGTTTTCAAGACTGTCTTGCTGCGGACCCGTCGGGGTTGGGGTGTGCAGTCCCCCAATTATTTTTACATACTGTGGAATTTAACCCTAGTTTGTGTGATAGTTTGTTTCACTTTCACCCAAGCTGTGGACCACGCCCTTCCTTCCCAATTGACGCAGCCCCGACCCCCAAATCAAATTTTGTTCCGACAGGTCTGTACTGTCTTTGTCGCACTGATTTTATTTTTTCTCCAAACTGTCAGTGTGCGTAATCTGGGCAAATATAAACATCAGGCTTGTTTCATTTTGTCACCCATACACAGGTTGGGTAGCTATGGTAGAGCGGTTTTTAAACTGAAGGATTTACTCTGTAGGCTAATGTAGTGAAATACTACACTGGATGGTGTAAGTTTGTTTACTTTTTGATGCAACATTTGATAAACCACAGACAAGAACCCTAGAACCAGTAGATTCTGTTTCTCTGACTTTTCAATCAGATAAGTCTTCATTGTTTATACTGACACATGCCTATCACAGGATTGACATGAGATATGAAGTATCACTGATTCATCTCCAAACAAGAGGATCTTGAAGTTCTTTCCAAATTGTTTTCATATTCGTACACTCAATATCTCATCCTGTTCTTTTCAGCGGTAATATTCCTAACGGAGATTTAACTCAGGGGGAGTCAGTCTGTCAGTATCTTCCACCATGCCCTGTTCAAGGAACTGGTTATCACAGAATTGTGTTTTGTCTTCTGAAGCAAACAACACGCTATGATTACGAGGATATTCACACAAGACACAACACAAGGTTAGAGCGTTTCTTGGAAGTCAAAATTGAGACAAACCAATAAAAGTTACAATATATAAAAACCGTGTTCTTTATTCCTTAAATTGTGTTTAGATGTCTCGTCAGCAGATCGTTTAAAACATCGACGTTTTTGGACAATTTTCAACTTGTTCCTCAGGCACTTTCCTTCTTTCAAGCAACCTGGGACATGTCCGTATCAAATAATTTCACAGAAATCTTGGGTAACAAAAAATAACGCGATCCTTACTGACCTTCAGTATTAACCAGTGTTTACTGGAATATTGAAAGAATCAGTTCGGTTTTGTTAAAAACATTTAACCTTCGTTCAGGTATAAAAGAACCCGTGTATGACCTGGAACCATTCTTGACACCGAACCAAAGAAAACGTTCACAAGTTAGAGAGATATTCGCAAAAAAATACACAAATATGTAACCAGTTTTGTTCTCTGTAAATCGGTCTAAATAAATTTTCACACAAAATAGCTTGCAGTGGTTATTTAGAGATGTGATGAGGTGGGTTGACTTGGAAATATTTCAAAGAAACTTTGAGCGGAGCCGAATTTTACACTGGAGTTGCGACGCTTTTAAAGAGACAAGATCAATAACAGAAACGTTGTTCGTTCTCGTAGAGAATATGAGAGATTTTGTGGGATCACATCGATCAGTAGATAGGATACATGCTTTCTGCTTACATATTACATTCACGGGCATGCTTTTCTGAAACGAAATGGGAAACTTTGACCAGGTGGATCACTATATAAAAGTCTGTTCACTGACACGATCTAATTTTGTTGGATTCAATTCACTTCTGATGGATGTTTTATAGTCTGTTGTATTGTAATGTATATCAGCAGCAAATCCACTGAAGCCAATGTACTACGGCTTCACCAATAGCTGACTATATTTCATACGTCAGAAGTGAATTGGATCCAACAAAATTGGATCGTGTGAACAGACCTTAAGTAACCTTACGAACAAACATTGTTTGCTGGTCTGCCTTGGCTATGGACAAAGCATTAATACTAGCAGTGAAAAGTTTATTTTTAATACAAAGAAATCTTCCTACGAATTAGTGAAATTACAATAATAAACTACAAGATATATATACAAATTACAAGAAATACAATCATATACACTCAAGAATACTATTTACAAAGCATTAAAAACTTCAGAAAATACAGTCAGAAACTACAAAACACTGATTGATTTTTAAACAATGCAAACTGATTTACTAAATTTACATTCCTATAAACGTCCCATCCACACTGGCTAAATTTAATCAATAAAAACATTTGAAAGATAATTTGTTTCCATAAAGGGAAGTCTATAATTCATTGTCGACTACACCCAGATAAAACAAGAATCACGTTCTCGCAAATTTTACCTTCGAGATATGAATAAATAAAAAACTACGAGAGTAAAATACCGAATGTGTCCATACGCGGCCCAGAACTGATCTCGCTGACCTCGCGCGACGCTCATGTTCTCTGAACAGTCTTATATAATGACTAATATAATATAAATCATAATAATGTAGTCATAATATAAGACTGTTCAGACAACATGACCCATGAGCGTCGCGCGAGGTCAGCGAGATCAGTTCTTGTTTGGGCCGCCTATGATGTCACGTAGAAAAATATTAATATAATTTGCATGCAATATACAGCTGAACAAAAACATTTCACAACGTTTGTCGCGTTTTACAACGAATGCAGCCATTACGACTTTACATTTAGTAAATCAGTTTGCAGTTGCCACTCTTAGCATCAATTAAATATTTAACACCTTTGGTTGTTAAACCATTGCTTCTTACATTTAGTTCAGTAAGTTTACATTTGTCACTCTTCAAAGCATCACCTAAATATTTAATATCTTCAGTTTTTAAATAATTGAGACTTACATCTAGTTTAGCAAGTTTACAGTTGTCACTCTTCAAAGCATCACTTAAATATTTAATATCTTCAGTTTTTAAATAATTTCCCCTTACATTTAGTTCAGTAAGTTTACAGTTGTCACTCTTCAAAGCATCACTTAAATATTTAACACCTTCAGTTTTTAAATCATTGTTACTTACATTTAGTTCAGTAAGTTTACAGTTGTCACTCTTCAAAGCATCACTTAAATATTTAACACCTTCAGTTTTTAAATCATTGTTACTTACATTTAGTTCAAAAAGTTTACAGTTGTCATTCTTCAGAGCATCACTTAAATATTTAGCACCTTCAGTTTTTAAATCATTGTCACTTACATTTAGTTCAGTAAGTTTACAGTTGTCACTCTTCAAAGCATCACTTAAATATTTAACACCTTCAGTTTTTAAATCATTGTGACTTACATTTAGTTTAGTAAGTTTACAGTTGTCACTCTTCAAAGCATCACTTAAATATTTAACACCTTCAGTTTTTAAATCATTGCCACTTACATTTAGTTTAGTAAGTTTACAGTTGTCACTCTTCAAAGCATCACTTAAATATTTAACACCTTCAGTTTCTAAATCATTGTCAGTTACATCTAGTTCAGTAAGTTTACAGTTGTCACTCTTCAAAGCATCACTTAAATATTTAACACCTTCAGTTTTTAAATCATTGACACATACATTTAGTTTAGTAAGTTTACAGTTGTCATTCTTCAATGCATCACTTAAATATTTAACACCTTCAGTTTTTAAATCATTGCCACTTACATTTAGTTTAGTAAGTTTACAGTTGTCACTCTTCAAAGCACCACCTAAATATTTAGCACCTTGAGTTTTTAAGCCATTGCGGCTTACATCTAGTTCAGTAAGTTTACAGTTGTTACTCTTCAAAGCATCACTTAAATATTTAACACCTTCAGTTTTTAAATCATTGCCACTTACATCTAGTTCAGTAAGTTTACAGTTGTTACTCTTCAAAGCATCACTTAAATATTTAACACCTTCAGTTGTTAAACCACTATTGTTACTTACATCTAGTTCAGTAAGTTCACAGTTGTCATTCTCCAGGCGATGGTTGTCTTTCTTCAAAAACTCAGCCAATTCACGGATAGCAATGTTCGTCACAGTACAAAGATTGATTTGAAGCTGTTTCAAGTTCTTGATGTGGCTTAAAAATTTGAACAAAGCCGTAGATTCTGCTGGTGCAATATTTAATTCTTCCAAAAGAAAGGTTTCATCATCATCCTCAGACGGAAACGACGAAATCATTTTCATGACGCGATCTTCTTGCATTTCCCAAACACTTTTTATCATGAGTAAACCTTTGTCATTACTCTCGTCAATACGTCGTTTCTTTGGCATCCAGTCTGGAAATCTAGATTAAGATATTTTGAGAGAAAAGTTTAGAAGTTAAGGATTATATTTAGAGAAAACTTGGTAGTAATGGCCATTTTATCAAAGAGAAAATTAATTAACGGCGTAAAAACGACAACACATGTACAGACTAATAGTCATTTTGTTTTTTGTAGAAACAAAACTACAAAAGTAAGAATTTCTCAAAAGAAAATATAAATTCTGTGACAGCTTTTTTTTCTTTAAAATGGTGTTAAAATAGTTTTTCCGTTTTGTCTGCCAAAAATTGAAGGTTATGGTCTTCCCAAGTACAAAACGAAAACTATTGCATTCGTACTAAGCTGTTTGATAAATTGTTGAAAACAGTAAAATATTACCTCATATTTTGAAATTACAACAACAAAACGTCACTTAAATATTTCAAATATATCCATTCAGGTAATTTTAGCTTTTTCTTCTTTCTTTTTAATAATCTTGAATAGTTTTTCAAGGTTTTTTGTTTGTTTTTAACTCAGTTTTCTCCTCATCTTCTTCGCGGGGCATAAAAAATACAAAAGTGAGTCGCAGCCGAGTATCACGTGAATCACTGATTAGCCAATCATATCGCTTCAAACCAGCTCAACTGACACGTGCTTGTCCTATAATGAATATTTCATTGTACAGCATGCAAAACTATTGACTAGGAAACTGCACTGGAATCAATGAAAGTCATCAAAAGTTATTCAGCAATTTCATTAAATTATCTGATGAAAGTTATAATTATGTTAATAATTGTTTGAATAAAAAATAAGTACAGCAACCTTTCACAGAATTGGCTAATCAGAATCATTCATAATTTATACAACAGGCAGAGGTTTTATCAACTTTGGAAAATTCTTAATGTCACTAATGCTAGGTAAGGAAGCTGTTGCAGATTTTTGTTGAGGGTTTTAAATTGATGCCAGCTAGCAACATGCATCAGCCATAATGCAATACTACCCAATACGCCTATAAATTATAACAATTTTTTACCTTTTGCATATACATTCAATCACTTCACTGTCTTCATGCTTTGCTGACCTGATAAATAATTAAATGTGAATGAATACAAGATTATATAGACTAAATGATACAACAATGAATAAATAATATAAGAAAATTCCCTTACATGCATATGGCTATCAAATTGAGTTGTGACTATACAATATAACTGGCTACTTTATAACTTTATCTAATTTGAGGAAAAATTAAGCATACCTTAACTCTCTCATCCTATTCCCAAGTAACCCAGCTACAAATCGTATAACGAAATGCCACCTGGGTTCATCGAATACTTCACTGTCTTCATGCTCTGCTGACCTGATCAATAATTAAATGTGAATGAATACAAGATTATGTAGACTAACGCTGCATGTATTCAAAAAGCTCACTCACACTTACACTAATTGAGTGTGACATATAAATTTTGTTAATGCTGGTCAATGAGAAAGTTTTCTCTCAATAGATGGAAAGATATAAGGTAAACCACTGAAAATCAAGCCCCTTTTTGGCTGGAAATACCGCCATTGAATTGTTATGAGAAGATTAAGATCTCCCACTCAATGAGTTTGAGTGTGAGTGAGCTTTTAGAATACAGGCGTAAATGATTCAACAATGAATAAATGATATAAGAAGATTCCCTTACATGTACACGCATAAAACGCTCAGGTTGATGCAAGTTGATATAAACAGGATGGAGCAATGTTGTGCTGCCCACATTGTTCAGAGTTGTTATCAATATTGAACAATATTGTTACACCCGATTGAGTTTCAACAATATTGTTCAACGTTGATAACAACTCTGAACAATGTGGGCAGCACAACATTGCTCCATCCTGTTTATATCAACTTGCATCAACGTGAGCATTTTTAGGCGTATATATGGCTATCAAATTGAGTTGTGACTATACAATATAACTACTTTATCTAATTTGAAGAAAACTTAGGCATACCTTAACTCTCTCATTTTATCTCCAAGTAACCCAGCTACAAATTGGATCACCAAATGCCACCTGGGTTCATTAATGCGTTCTTCTAAAAACCTTTCAACATTTTTAATATCATCAACCACATGTAGTGCAGCCAGAAACTCTTGAATTGTAAGATGAAGAAAAGAAAAGACGTACTGATTTTCATCTTCTAACTGATTAAATACACCAGAATTTGCCAAGTCAGTTATAAATTCATCGCTGCTATCAAACTTAAAAACTAGTTGGTCATTTTCCATCCCTTTCCTTGCAATTTCTTTCAGTTTGTTTAAATCCTTTTGAAGCGGCTCTGGAAGTTTTGCAGTCAAGTAATCCTTTGGGGGTTCTTTATGGCGGTATTTTAAATTGTGTTTGAACAGCAAAATCCTTATAGCCCTTTTGTACAGTTCAGTTATTGTTCTGGGAATCTTGCTGTAGTTTCCATCCGTCGCATCACTCGCATGTTCACCAAAATAAAGGCTTTCATGCAATGTCAAGCACACAATGAAGGAATTGACAGGTACATAACAGAAGCTTATTAGTTCTGGGGAACTCTTGATTATGTTCCATATTTCTGAACTTTTCTGTGTGTCATAGCAAAATTTCCCAACATACTCTTCTATTTGTTCCTCACTAAAACCCAATATCTCCACCTCTCTATTAAAATCAAGATTTTGGTAGATGTGTTCTGCTGTGGGTCGGGATGTGGTTAACACAGTAGCTCCAGGTAATAGTTTGCCTTTCACCAGCTGTTTAAAAATCAGGTAAATATGTGCAAGCTCTTTTGGACTGTTTATGATTTTTCCATCAGTTAAATGTTCATTATCTACTTGAAGTTCATCTAAGCCATCGAAAACAAGGATTGCATTGCTTGGTTTCTGGCAAACATATTCATAGATGGACATATTTTTGGACTGAGGTAATGATATTGACTTCCCAAGACCATGAGCCTGATGTAGTATGTCTTGTAAACTTGTTTCTCCCTTGTTAAAATTACGGAATAGAATCAGAAGTACAATTTTTTCATGCCAGAATTCAGGTATTTTATCTTGTTGCCACTCGTGAAAGATTTTTTCAGTCAGCAAAGTTTTCCCAATGCCTGGTCTGCCAACTACAAGAACAGTTCTAGGATGGTCTTCACCAGCTTCTGCTGCTTGAAATAATTCTGCTGTACCCTCAAGTACTTTTGAACTGGGGGGTTTTTCCAATTGAATGTCATAAATCTCATGTCTACCTTTCTTCAAAAATTTACTTCTGGAATCCCTTCCATCTTGAATTATAACATTGATGTAAATTTCATCCAGGTTTCGTTTCCTTCTAAATCCTTGACTCACATCAAACAAATTATCGAATTGATTTTCCCGAATCAGATTATTTATCTCTAGGATTGTTTGGGTTCGTTTTCGTAGAAGGTACACGCTAATAAACTCCTGATCAGTATGGAAAGTGGGTCTCTTCCATGCCGACCACAACAGATAAACAATCTCAACGAGTGTCACTGCATCGAAGAGAAAATTTATCGTGACGAAGCCGACAACAACTTGTTGTTTCTTTCCACCCATTGAATAAGTGCAGTCCACAAATGAAGAATTCGTAGTTGACCGTGTGACGTTCTCATGGGAAGTACTAGTTGTTGTTTTCATATTGGGCAAAGGACATTCAAAATGGGTCGGAAAATTAGACGAGGTTAAGAGAAATGCTGAGAATATTGTCAGTGGTATTATACGACAAACGATTAAATGGATTATGTAAGCCATGAAAACAAAATAACGCTTACTACCTTGATAGGCCACTCGTGCGGTTGGCGATGCCTCAGACAATGGCTGTCTTTCTTCTTCGCTCTGGTTCGTCGTTGTGTTTGGATTATTTGCGAAGATGTCCACTCTATGTTTCACCAGGTAACCGTACACGATAGTACATACAACCACAAGTCCAAAACTAATTCCAATCAAAGCAGTAAGAGGTAACGAAGGGAGAAACTGTTCTGCGTATTTCAGAAGACATTGTGCTTCAATGTACTTCCCTTTAAATAAAGTGCTCGCGAGAGACTTGTCCAGGTCACATTCCAGACTTGATTTCGCCTCGAAAACACTCGCGATTGTAAGAAGAACCGCGCCAATTGCTACAAACAAAGCAAGAACAACTGAACTGTACGTATTGTAACAGTTACGAGGAATCAGTTTTAAGCAATTTTCCATGGCTGTAAAGAAGTACTTCAATGATTCTTTCTATTTCTTTGCCAGATTAGATTTGATCACATAAGTTACATAACCAGTGACCACCATGCCTGCTGTTATTTTGCACCAACACCCTCCATGACTCATATGATTGGTTAAAATTTAAAAACTGACCACCCTCCAAGAATAACGTTATGTATTTCTGACCTCGAGAAAAAGCTGGACAAAGGTCTTACACACATCTCAAACTGCATCTCATTTACGGCTTATCTGGTGTATATTTCACTGGCAAACTGCGGTCAAGTTTTCAAGACTGTTTTGCTGCGGACCCGTCGAGGTTGGGGTGTGCATTGGGTGTGCAGTCCCCCGATTATTTTTACATACCGTGGAATTTAACCCTAGTTTGTCTGATAGTTTGTTTCACTTTCACTCAAGCTGTGGACCACGCCCTTCCTTCCCAATTGACACTGCCCCGACCCGCAATCCAAATTTTGTTCCGACGGGCCTGTACTATCTTGTCGCAGTGATTTTGTTTTTCCTCCAAACTGTCAGCGTGCGTATTCTGGGAAAATATCAAACATCAGGCTTGTTTCATTGTGTCACCCATACACAGACTGGGTAGCTATGGTAGAGCGGTTTTTAAACTGGAGGCTATAGCTCATTGGCTTTACTTTGTAGCCAAACGAGGAGGGGGGAGGCAGCCCCTGCGTCGACTGGGAAGGATTGGAGATAAGAGTGGCAATGTGCCTAATTACTTACCCCATTAGTGTTAAAAGGGTATGGGCGAAATATTTGGAAGGGAACAACTTGACAATCAAGCCATGTTTTGCAAACCTAATTTTTACTCATTTAATATATTACATAATACAACAACAAGAGTCATTCTCTAACGGAACCTCGACGCCATAAAGTTCTATTAATTCTCTCAAAAATATTCTATCGTGTTTTGGATCCAGTCCCATTTCGCGTATAGCGTCAGAACGAAGAAGTTTATCGCGCGTTGAGGCAACGTCTATAAGCGCTTGAAAAAGACTGTTGTTTAAATCCGCAAAAAATCTCGCGTACATTTTTTCGTCATCGACACATTCACCTTCGTTTAATAACAGTTGATTTGAACTGAAATGGAAGAAAACTGACTGTTTAGTATAAACTGGAGTGACTGAGTTTGAAACTTTACTCAATCAATAATTTGCATAATATTTATTGAGACTCACCGATAATCAAGCAATCGATTATATCGATTCTTATCGTAACTATTAACATATTGTATTGATGATAAATATGGTTTGCATTTAATGTTCTGATTGTCCACATACACATCATAAAGAGTACTTTTACTTTCAAATATTTTTTCTGTTGTGCCTAAATTTGGAAGATATATATTTCAAACTAGGGCACTCTTAGCTTGCACTGTAGATCCATTACATAATGAAGGGTCTAGGGGCCGGGCTACTGGAACTGCACTAGCTAACTCTATACAGTATAATCTGTACTGGGTAGTTTTTTAATTTCTAAACATTAAATACTCTTCAGAGATCATTAGTCAAGTCTGGACATTTGATTCAGTACAATTGCAAATAGAAGCTAGAAACTTAATAAAAAAGTGTTTGATAGAGTAAACTGAAGGCAATCCCTGAGCCTGAGATATTATGGTTAGACAACTACTAACAAAAAAATTCACTTACATGCAATATATTTGTGTTCTGTCCCCAAATAAGGAATGTCAAAAATATTTGTAAAAAACAATGGGTTGATTGAACCACTCTCAAATGAAAGCGGAATGGAGTGACTGCCCAAAAGACAAGCACAGTAAACTAAAAAATTAACAAACAATACAAATTTAATTGTTATTGTAAGTTTGCTAAAATGGATAAACAATAAGAAGTGTTATTGCAGAGTTTAGTCTCACCTCTATAACAGGAGATCCCCACGGGAGGTGGGGAGAAGAATAGAATGCGTCGATGAAGTAAAATCAGTTTCCATATTATAAAAATTTTCTCGCCAAAGAAATTAAGAAATTGTGAAAAACAACCAGCAGGATGGGTTATCTATGAAAAACGTTTAAGGATATTAGCAACTGCCATGCTTGAATGCTTTGCTTGTGAACCTAAATATGCTATGTGGATGAAAAAATCTTGTAACAAGTCAACAAACAAGCTGCTAGTTGGGTGTGTTTATCAGTTTATGAGTGTGTAACATACGTCACCTTCAGAAAAGGCAAGTCCTCTACACCAAGGACATTTTGAGGTGAATGAAGCCAGTTGTTTTTTCTTCTGCACACTCTGAATTTATTGTAATAGTTCATTAAACTTTCATATGATTCTGGATTTTCAAGTTGGAATCTAAATAAAAAATAAAAACAAAGTGAGAAGTAAAAGTTCAGATATTGAAGTAAATCTCATGTCTAGATGCAACTCATATGTGTCAGATTTAGTGTATTTGCTGCTAGCTAAGCTTGTATCATATTTAATTGATTTTTACCTAACTTGATCTTCCAGAAACTCCATATGTTCATGGAGAGACGTATACTTGGAACAGATGATTCCAACAGATTTCATCCTTGCGCCACGTTCATTTTCGTTCTCAACAGAGATTCGCTCATAGCAACTAAGACCAAACTGATTGTCGCCATGTTTAAAATAACTGGTAAAGAATATCATTTAAGTCAAAAGTTATGTAAAATCAATGTTTACTTGTCAAAAATATGTTAAAATCTTACACAAAATCTTTGAATACAGTATGTGAGCCACTTGCTAAAGCTTTGAACTCAACTCCAGTCAACTTCACACACTCTGGATACTTCCATTCAATTATATTACCTAAATATAAATCATACAGGTTAGTATGTTCTAATTACAATTACTATTCACTAATTACTGCTCATTACTAATTATAAATTATTAATTAACCACAAAATATCATGATTGATACATAAGTGCTCTCTAGTATGCAAACTTAAAAACAATACACTATCATCATGAAATCAAAAAGAAGATCAAAAGTCAAAACTTCAAATACAACAAAACCTTTTCTAGTGTCAAATGACACGACAAAGACTGCGATAATGAATTCTTCGTGGCTTTCATCGTCTCCTGGATCTGTTGCGCCCGAAGTTCCCGCAATATTTAGTCTTCCTGGTAAAGATTGTTCTGTAGAACCATATTCGGTAACCTTTTCCGTAGGAAAATGAGTTGCTTCGGGTATTTCTTCGTTGAAAACAAGTCCCTTTATATCGTCCTCATCTGCAGCCATGCTTGAGATACAAAGCAACTCCCCCCCTGGATCATAGCTTTTCAGTTGTAAATTGAACCCAGATTGTAAATGAATAAATTGTATTCTCACTGCAGAAATATTCCATAAAAACTCTTTCTTTTCGCCCAAAAAAAGGGCATTTCAAGCGAAATATCAATAGACAAACTTGTCAATATTTTTTTGACATTTTGACCCCTGAAATTGTGTCCGCCATTGTTGATTGATTGATTAAAAATTCCGCCTTTCAAAATGGCGGACCTAAAGGAAGAAAACACGAGCAAAACAGTATATTTAGACTACAATGCAACGACTCCACTTGCTCCTTCTGTACTGCAAATTATTAACGAGACGTTACGTGACGCTTGGGGCAATCCAAGCAGCTCTCACGTCGCTGGGAAGAAAGCGAAGGATGTGATAAAACTAGCAAGGAGTCGAGTTGGTGACATGATTGGTGCCCGAGTAGAGGACATTATCTTCACCTCCGGAGGAACAGAAGCAAATAATATCGTATTTTGGTCGCTTGTAAAACATTTCAAAACATGCTATCATGTAAACGAAGCCACGAAATCGCTTCCACATATTATAACCTCAAACATTGAGCACGATTCAGTCTCATTGGCAATTGATAATTTAGTTAAGGAAGGTTATTGTGAAAAAAGCGTCGTCGGAGTTACGCCTTCATCAGGCATGGTGGATGTTGATAGGATTATCGACGAAATTAGACCGAATACATGTCTTGTGTCAATAATGATGGCAAATAATGAATCAGGTGTCATACAGGTGGGCACGTCATCAGTTGCTTGGTTACAAGTTAATTTTGTTCCTTCGTTTCCAATAACCTGATATTAACGTTTAGTTTTGCAGTGTAGAAAAACAATGTATATTCATTCTCATCCTAGCCAATCAACGAAATTGTCTCAAGGATAAGAAAGTTGCAAGTTGATAGAGATAGAAACAACTATTGCAAGATATTCATTCACACAGACGCCGCCCAAGCCATTGGAAAAATCAAAGTCGACGTTTCAGAGCTGGGAGTTGATTATCTAACCATAGTTGGCCATAAATTTTATGCCCCTAGAATAGGTTAGTAGAGGTAATTCGATTTCCCCATTTTTGTATAATCTATTGCAAGAAATCGATTTCTTTCTCCGTTCTACCCACCTAGGAGCATTGTTTGTGAGGTCACCTTCAAAAGAAACCCCGCTCTATCCGATGTTATTCGGTGGTGGTCAAGAGCGAGGTTTTCGGCCTGGTACTGAGAACACTGGAATGATCGCTGGACTGGGTGAAGCGGCAAAACTTGTTGTGGATAATCTCAACACATATTCTGCCCACATGAGAAAGGTAATCCGATTAGGATTTAGGAGTGATCCATCAGGCCGTGATTAATTAACTCTTAGCGATCAGAAAACACGATTAAACACGGCAAAATGTGTTCCTATTTGGTCGCTAGTCCAGCCTATCCTAAGATCAGTTTATCAGATGAACATTTTAATTCTCGACCATTTTTTTCATATTTAGGTTCGCGACTATTTAGAGACACGACTTGTCAAAATATTTCCTGACAAGATTCACTTCAACGGAAAGTTCAACTCAAGCGAACGAATCCCAAACACTTGCAATTTTTCAATCCTCGGACCAGGTCTCCAAGGTTTTTGCATCTTGTCACGGCTCAAGAGAACTCAAGTGAGTTTGGGCGCTGCCTGTCACGCTGATCAGCAGTTTTCACCATCTCGGATACTTCTCGCAATGGGGATCGACAAAGAGATCGCGGGCAATGCATTGCGTGTTAGTGTTGGCCGAGAAACAAGCTTGGATGATATTGATATTGTCTTGAGCGACCTGGAACAAGCTGTGAACTCAATCCAGCAAACTACCATGGACGTGAACAAAGTTTAAAGTAGTTCTACAATCATTTCCATAGATATTCTCAACACATATAAATACAATCTATAATTGGGCTCACCTCATGTTCAAATACATCCAGAAGACATAGCAGTAGATGCTTTAAAATAAAAATTCTAGTTCCAAAAACATTCCTTCGACTTTCTTCTTCAAAACAATTTCTGCACGAGTTCACAACGAATAAAGCGACGAAGTCATGTATTTATTCAACTTATTTCACATTGTTCACATGTTTTCAAAATGAAATATCTACATTATTTTTAAGATATTATACATATACACTAGCACTACAAATACCACTAAGTACTGTAAACAACAAGTTATGATATAATATATACGAAATTCCAACAAAACTGTATCCTGCGAGTTTTCCTGTCTTTTTACAAAAATTTTACCATTGCTTTGACTGAGACACGTTTCTCAGCAAGATGTGAAAATACGTGTTCCCCATCAACTTCATAATCAGCGTACTTGATCTCAGCAATAGGAATGTATTCAAACCTCTTCTCGATAAAGGTTGCATTACGTTTTGTGGTTACCACGCCGTAAATCATGTCGAAGCCACGTCTTACCAGTTCGGGAAAGACGATACGATCCTTTATAGTTTCCATAAGACCAGAGCTGGTATACTCAGGGTGGGTAGCAGCGTGTGACATGAACGCGATCTTCCTCGAGTCGTATTGGGTTAGAAACGGACATGCTTTCTTGTGGAGATCATCCATCAATCGTAAACCGCACATCCAGAATGGATCTTGAAGCAAACGTTGCTCCGTGCTGTACGCCTTACCGTTGTATTGCTCCACAAAAGCAGAGCTGATATAGCGGTTAGTTTTCTTTTCAATTGCAACGATGCTCAACCTTTGCCTGATCTTGTTGTTCACAAATTGATCGGAGAAAAAATCTTCGAATTTCTTCTCAATTTTTGCTAGATTTTTGCCAATGGGTAGATCTGGATATGCGCGCTCACACAGGGTGTAAATGATTGGCTCTTGATTTAATACAAACGCCTCAACAAGGAGCTTGCGAACTTGGCGGATATCGTGCTTATGCGGGTTTAGGACTTCGACTTTGACTCCATCAGGAAACTCTTTGCTCTCTCCTACAACACTGCTGGAAGCGAGGCTGCTCTGCATTCTGCTACGGACGCTCACAAGGAATTTGTGTTTTGAAAAGCGTAGGTGTTTCAAACGGTTAAACATCGCTAGTTTCCCTTTCAATAGCTGTTGCACTTAGATTCCCCTTTTATCATCAGCAATATTGAAAATTCGCACGCCACAAATGTTACTTCAAGTTCTGTAATTGATACAAATTGTGATTAATGTACTAATTAGCTTCGCTCTTTGAAATGGCAGTTTCAGTAACGCAGTTTAGTTTAACCAGTATTTGTTAGATGGATATTTCGTTGAATAGCGGTAAGGAATGTGCTTCAAAAGCAAAAAAAAACTCGCGTAAAAGCGACTTACTTTGTAAACTCTGTAGCAAATAAGCAAAGACAAGGATAATGTTTCTTTAACACTACCAATCTCCAATGAATTCCGTAAAGAACCATGTACAACTTCAGCAAAATCCTTCAACGTATCGCCACTAAATCCCGAACACACACGAAATTGGTACGCTCAACTTTTTGAAGACTTTATAAAATGTTAGTGCAAAGCGTTCTACCGCTGGGGAAGTAAAAAAATGTATTTATTTGGGTACAATACGCCCTAAATTGGTAAAACGGAGGAAAGCCCACCGCTAAGCAAGTGTACAGATCACGGCTAGTTAAAACAGCATGAACGAGCTAGCTCACTGCTTTTATTTTCCTTAACTGGTGTGAAAAACGGAGCAGAAAAACATTGAGTTTTCTCTAGCATTGTCTTTGATGTTTACGTGCATTTTCTAGAAAGCAAATGAGGCCATTCACCTTTTTTTAAACTAAAATTGATGCATTTCTTTTGAATAGTTTCCTTACGCTTAAATGTTTGCCTGAGAGTGTGAACAAGAAGCATCTGTCTTTGATAGTTGCCAAAACTAAACCAAGCAGTTTCATGTTTACGTGGATATACTGCACCACAAGGTCTTCAAATATTTGTTAACGAGGACAGCTGTGATGGGTTATAGTGTTAGAGTGTTGCAACATGGGGATATCTAAACATGTTTTCATGCTGGTTCTAATCAGCTCTATCACTTCTAAACTGTTTTACTAAGAGGTCCAGCAAGGACCTAAGATAACATATCGATTGATATGGCAAGGAAACATGAACTGATCAACTTTTTTTAGGCTGGTTGCATGCTCAATATCAGTTCAATGTTACAGCAGCAGGAATGGGAAACGAAACCACGTCAGTAATACTAAAACAAACAGCATGCAGTACAAACTGTTAGGCATGTTCAGCACTCGGGTGCCTAAGAGAAACAGTATTCATATACCTACGGTTGCGTGCATGTAAAAGTTATTTGCTATGAAACATTTGCGAGAAAAATCATTAACATCATTCAATCCTTTCACCAGCAATAGTAACATTGTCAAAAGTTTCAATTTAAATGTTAATTTAGGGTTTTGTAACAATTAGATGAAAATTGAAAATCACAGCAGGTCTCAAGCTTTGCTAATGAACTCGTACAACTTGGCAATACATTAGGACATTTTAATTTGTTGACAGTAAACAATGAGTACAAAAGAAAGAGGAAGACAACTGTTGTTAAATAAAACGATAGCTTTAATGAAGAACTCCAGCTATTTTAAAGAAATATAATGACTTTGGGAGGTTACTCATTTACCTCATGCGAGTTTACTTTTTAGGAAACCTCACGAATGCAAAACAAATATTTATGAAATTTATAGCATGTGATGTGTAAACTGCAACCCATGTTGTGAGTTTTTAGATCAACAAACATCACTTTGTACAAAGAAATAACAGACTTAAATTCGGGAAAATTAATTTATACTTTTGGTGCGATATTTATGAAGCTATTTTGTTCAGTTTCCCCATTCTACTACAGCAAACCTGAGCTGAAGGTAGAGCTTAGTCCTTTTTGAATAACTTCTAAGCTATTTCAAATTCCAAGCCAACTTAGACAAGTTTCTACCCCGTGATGGTGAATTGCTATACCAGGTGCCATATATCTACTTCAACATAACTGTCATACGTTCACCCTCAGTAATCGTTCGCGAGATTCCGTTTTTGAGATCAAAATTTCGCCGAAGAAACGCAAATATGACGTCACCAAGAAGGAATATCTATCACGTGATAAAAACGAAACGACAATCTTAGTTTGAGGAATAAAATAAGTGAAAACGAAATTCATAGTTACTTTTGAAGTGTAACAATGGGGAAATGAATACGAATGCTCGATTTCCTATCTGTCCTGGGAAATTTCTCAGCTTCTGAGTGGGAAACCTCTGGTTCTTGTTAAAATACGAGCGGGAAAACTGTAGTGTGAAAGATAGCAGAACCTCAGGCAACCAGGAAAAGGTCACACGGAGATTTTCTGAATTAGTTATTCGAAGTTATTTTAGTTGAAAATCTGTGTGAAATACAGACATTTATCATGACTGTCATCGGCGGTGACTGAAGCTTGCTCACCTGTGCTGTGGAATACGCCAGCGTCGCCGCGTAAAAGAAGTTCGCGTTGGCGCTACCAGCGTAGATCCAAAGATACCAAAATAATGGCGCCAGCGTTGATGATATCAGAAACATGCAAGACACAAAGAAGACATTCCTCATATCTATATATCAGATCAAAGTAGGTACATTTTAGATCAGTGAATCTCTTTTAAGCGATGAAGGGAAGGAACATCGAGGACCACTTGGACTCACATGGATAAAGATGGCTCCAGGATATGAGCAGGGCAAACGGAATGGAAAAATCCCCAAATGCTGGATAAGACTTGAAAATAGCGATCACGGATGATAAGGTGTAGAACAAAAACACTGGGTCATTTCTAAGAAAATACCACATATATGAAAATAACAATTTCAACATGTCTATGCATGCTTGTCTTTGTGTGGAAATGAATTTGACTCTTACCTGAGCAGCGAGAAGAGGGGGATGATATAGAAAAAAGCATTGAGCTGGAAAACCAATATGAAAAATTCTCTGAAATGATCAAACATTTCCAGGAATAGGTACCAGAATAAGCCCATGTTTGGTGTGAGTTCAGGAACTCTTAGGCTGGCAAAGAAACAGATTATTTCATTATTCTGGTATCGTTTAAGATAGGTATTTGTGTAGTTTTAACGAGCGTTTAACAGGTCAATAAAAATCTACTTTTCCCAAAGGCAAAGCCCATGATATGCAGACCAAAAACTGATGATAAAATGCTAGAAAAGTGTTTGAAAAACTTACGTGAATCCATAAGTCGCGTCCAGAAACTGCCATGATCCAAACATGGCTCGGGAAAGACAAAGAAGGAGGCCACTCCAAAACACGAACCAAAGAATTGTTGAGATGACAGAGCGCGTCTTTGACTTGCAAGAAACATCAGAAACTCTCATGTCCTGGTCAAACGAGGATGATAGTTGTTGAGAGTTAGCGAGCGAGAGAGAGTTGGTATGAGAGTTTGACGTGATTAAGTACAAGGGGAGACTTCTATCGACTCAAATGCTGCTGTTAAATTACCTGAATACGTTTTACCTGAGTAAGTATCAATGCAAGTGGTATGACCAACATCACAGGATAAAGAGATTTATGGGCAGCAAATGCAATAAAAAACATTGACAAAGACGTTGACCCTAAGATGGAAGAATAACGTACCCATTTTATCAAATGAATATTTTACCGTCTCACGGCATGCAGTTTACGCGTTTTGCAGGAAATTTTTTAGAACTTTTAAAAATTAAAAATATGGATGCATACCTACTAGTGAGCAATACAGTCCAAGGCTTACAGAAAGATTTGTGATCAAGCCAGTTGATTGAGCAACACAAGTTGCCAGAGTAAATGGATTTAATAAATAACTGGAAGAAAATGTTGAGGAAAATGATGTGAACTGACTGGTACTGAGTTATTGTTCACTACACCCAGTAGCTCACTAAGATTAAGATGGAAGAGAAGGGGTGAAAACAGAGTTTACAACTAACAAGAAAGTCAAATTCATTTTTATACACATTAATACACAGTAAACCTTGCAAAAACAAGAACTGGTATGTTCTCCAGATTGTCTGGTTTCAATAAAATAGGGTCAACTTTATCTGCATAATTTTTCATATCACATTGTTGACGAGACAACTGTAATGACAAAATGTACATCATGATCAATCAACATGCTTGCCGAATTGATAGCTGAACATATACATTTGAAAAAAGATGCAATACCAATATTTTACAATGAGCCTGCGCTGACTTATACAAAACAATTCCTGTAAGCAGATCACATATCTATATAAGGAGAAAAAGATTTTCCATCAAACTATTATGACAAAATTACCAACTCTTTTCTCTTCTTTATAGAAATGATTCAATGGCATGCAATTCTGTGACAATCTACACACAATGACATTTAAAGAATAATAAAGAGAGAGGGTTAGGGCAATGGGAAAGGGCCCAGACTCCAGAGAGTTTAGGAGCAAGAGTAAAAGACCCCATGGCCCTGTATTAACAAGGATGAGAAGACTTGGACTAAACAAGGTGCCTGTACTAATTTGTCTTGGGACCCAGACACTTGCTATGGATGTAAACGATAAAGATGAACTTACTACAAATATTGCTGGTATCCTGATGTTACTTCCTTCACTTGGAAACATGTGAAAAAAGGCAAGTACAAGAGGGGACTAAAATAAAAAGTATGATACTAGTAAGTATGAATTCTTCCATCTATACCTAACTGTGACATTTAAAAAATGCTGTATTTTCCCACCTCATGAACTGTGTCACCAGAATACGGGGAAATGCCATAGTCCAGAAGTGATAATCCTTCCAACACTAAAATAAAATTGGTAGTGAATCAACAAATCAAGTTAATCAACACCAGCAATTTCCAGACTTTGTTACTACTTGAATTTAATTAAAGCCTCACTTCCATACGACAATGTGATTGGTCTGCAAAAACATCAGTTTCGCTTGGAATGTTTCACCAACCAATAATCAAAAAATTTAAATCTGGTTTGTAGGTTATTGAATACAGTTAGCTTGAGGTACTCCCACTTTTAGATCTGACTGGCTAACCATTTATACACACTTTCATATTGCCCAACAGGGCAGACTAACCTCTTTTCCAAGACGTAATCGGAGTAGTGAACTGTATCCTGGTGTAAATCCAGTTGTGAATATCAAATACAAACAACAAACATCGCAAAACTAAAGCAGAAAACAGAACAAATACAAAATCAAGAGATATTGCCATCTTTGAACATTGGCGGGGTCCCTGGCTATACGAGGAACATACCCCAAGGAAGTAGCAAATTTACCTGTGGAAACACAACAACTGCAGAAGAAAGAAAGGTCCGAAAATCCCGAAATCTTGCTTTGTTTTGAGCTTTTCCAATGGCTTTAAGACGCGATTCAGCGCACAGTAGCTTGCCTTCGATCGGGATTATTGGCACAGGCTATGCATCGCGTTTTATAGTACCCTTGCTTCGTTCTGTTGGGTTTAATATTGCCGCTGCGTGGGGAAACAATGCAGTGAAAGTTAAAGACATGGCAGAGAGCTTGGACATTCCTTTTTATACGACTAAAATAGACGAGCTTCTTTTACGAAATGAGGTCGATCTAGTCTGCGTGTTTTGCCCGCCTCATTTGAGAGCAGATGTGACGGTTAAAGCGTTTTCCATTGGTAAAAATGTCATGTGTGAAGCACCTGCAGGTTTGGATAAAATGGATGCGCAACGTATGGTTGAAGCATCGCAGTATTACCCTAAACTACTTTCACTAATGGCATATCAGCTACGATACCTTCCCGCTTTTATTAAAATGCGAGAGATGATCTCAAATGGTTTCTGTGGCGACCTAACAATATATGATTGCCGTGTGGAGATGGAGTCCCTACTGGGGCCAAAGTATAACTGGCTTTGTGACAAGGTCATGGGCGGTGGAGTACTTAACCTGATTGGCAGTCATTTTATAGATCTGTGCCAGTTCCTGACTGCTCAGAGGGCTACAGAGGTCCACGGTGTGCTAAAGACGTTTAACCGACATACAGAACACATTTCTGGTTTTCGTCATATTACAAGCGATGACTTTACCTGCTTTCAAATGAAAATGAACGATGGCTGCTTTGCAAATGTTTCATTAAACACTCACATACCTGGCAAATTTAAACAAGAAGTAATGGTCGTTGGTACCAAAGGCCGTCTGGTCGTTCGCAATGGTGATCTGTATGGTGTTAGCCTTGACCATTCGAGTGAGGAAAAGTTGTTGTACAAGGAACGCGGTCGCGTCCCCTCAGTGACAAATGTTAAGAAGTTGCCTCCAGATATTTATGTCTTGGCATTTGAGAAGTGGCTTCAGGCCATTAAGAGATCTTTCCTAAACCAAGAAGATCACAAAAGTTCAAATTTGGACGTTGTATCAAGTGCATCAAAGTTTGATGATGGTAATATTCTTGAACTGAAACCATGTGTGCATGTGTGCATTGTCCAGTACAGGATATCGCTCTTTAGTTTGCCTGAACACAATCTTTTTTTGTTACAGCCAGGGACTGAACTAGGAAGACTGGATGAAGTCTTTGTCTGATGACACTGACTTACTTTTAATGCACATATAACATTTTTTTCCAGGTTTTTACGTGAGAGCAGTATTGGATGCAATCATTGAATCAAATAACACACAAGGCTGGGTCAGGGTGCAGTTGGAACAACAGATTGAAAAACAGCAACCATTTTAACAAACTTTCTTTACAACAAATTATCTAGATAAAAATTGAAACCATATTAAAAAGTTGCATAAGATTAAATGTGAATTATGGAGTAATCTGTTATCTTTTCAATACATTATTATAGTAGCTATTTTTTGAAATCTTTATTGCATGTCTTCACTAATGTGAATGTAACATGAGGTGTACGTACTATCCATCCAATATTTAATGCACTGATCTGTTACAAAACACTTGGAAAATTCCATTGGGAATTTGATATACTATTTTGTGTTTCAAATCAATTTTTTTGTGGATTTTGAACTGCCACGTGCTATCCACGTGAACATGTTTCAGATGTTGCAAAATAATGTGAGGTAATAGCAATTAGCAAACATTACACAATTCACTTAATGCCTTTTTTCAAATTTCTACATCGATCAAAAGAAAAAGCTTTATGCCCGTTGTGTTCGTACCATAAATTTCCATGAAATGTGCCTTCTAATAAAAAGAACGTGCAACAACAACCAAGCAGAACCAAGCTATTTCCGGGCTGCGGGGTTTTCTCTCACCGTCACGTGTCCAAACTACGTAGGAAAATAACAAGGCAGTAAAAATACGTGGAGTGATATAGTACATTAGTACATAATAAACAGTGGAATATCGACCTATATTACCCTGTACTTTTGGAACATGTAGTGCTACATTGTTGCCATTCGTCTTGCAAGATTGTAATGGAATTAAAATAGATTTTTGGTGAATGATTAAAATAATAACTTTGGTAAGGATGATAAAAATAATTTATTGGATGCAGATGTGGTTTTATACGCTTCGTGAACCCAGATGATTATAATATAATACTGCGTGATGTTTCTCACAAAAAGATTTTGTGGAACGCATCAGTTTCAAAAATCAATAACCAAAATAATTTGACTATGATTTTCGAACCAGAAAAAAGCAAAAGGAGTAGTTTTCTTTACTGTAGAGTAAAAAGTAAAAACAATTATTGTTAAATATTAAATTAAGTATATTTACGCGATATATTTGGAGATAAATTAACCTTGATTTTTTTGTAAAATCAAAACTATATTAAAAATGATGAGACCAATATTCCAAAATGAACACTCTTGTATGAAATATTAACAGCTAAAGTGTAGGAAAGCTAGATTGGTTATTGGTATTGAACTTTTTAAAACAACGTAATCATGTGATCTATTTTTTTGAGCGACCTTGACTTAACTTAAACTAATTTTAAAATATTTGTAAACAGCCTAGCTGTGTTTGATATTCCATTCAGTTTGGCTTGCTGTGAGATAAACTAGAGTCTCAATCATACCTAAGTGCTGCACGTAGGACACCAATAAGCTCCTGACTTTATATATATTTTTATCTGTAAGCTATCCATCCTCAGAACCCACCAAGAACATGGAAGAAACCAGACAGGTGATGTCATCCTATTGGACTGAACATTCTAAAAAACAGAGCATTGAGGAAATGATGCTGGATGAAGATGCAAGTAAAATAACACAACATGAACATCCTGAAGTTTTGAGTCTTCTTCCCAACCTCAAAGGAATGAATGTGTTGGAATTAGGAGCAGGAATTGGGTGTGTTGATATGATATTGTGAATTCGATAAATTCTCTCTATCAAAAGAGGTTAATTTATATTTCAATCTGCAATTTAGGAGATTCACAGGTGATCTTGCCAGGAAAGCAAAGCATGTTCACGCTGTCGATTTTATGGAGGCGTTTATCACAAAGAACAAAGAAACAAATGGTGAAAAGTACGCCAACACTTCATTTGAATGTGCTGATGTACTTAAACTAAAAATACCAAAACAAAGGTATTTCTGATTCTCAATGTCTTTCCATTAACAGCACAATTGATAGTTAATATCACATTCCATCTTAGTCTAAAAGATTTTACCTGCTAATGGAAGAAAAACACCTGTTCTCACTTGATAAACCAGCAGTATTAATCTTGAGATCAACTTGACTGAATAGCAAATTAAGAGAACACGTTTTATATAAAGCCCAGGTCGGAAAACTTCATACCGTATTGCAGGAATCAAATAAAGTTTTTGAGTTTATATGTACAGACAAACCTAAACTTTAATCATTTCCAGTGTGGATGTGATTTTCTCCAACTGGCTTCTTATGTATCTCTCGGACGAAGAGATCCAAGTTTTAGCGAAGAAAATGTTATCATGGCTGAAGGTCGATGGTCATCTCTTCTTTCGTGAGTCATGCTACCATCAATCTGGCAACAAAAAACGTGGAGAGAATCCAACAGAATATCGAACACCAATGCAATATGTGGAACTGTGCGAGGCTGTCCAGGAGGAGGATGAATTAAATGCCGGAAAGTTTTATGTCCTAAACCCAATCTTTGGGAAATCAGTTGAAGCCTACATTGCAGTAAGTATATAGCCTGCTAAACTGAAAAAGATATTGATTATTACACCCCATGCATGTTGTAAGATGCTGTATTGTAAAGTCTGCATCAATAGCTAGAATTTTACTCCATCCAACAATTCTTCTGAACAGCATAAGAACAACAAGAATCAATACTGTTGGTTGTGGCAAAAGAGCACTCGGGATGAGGGCGAAAGATACACACAACTTCAAACTTTCCTGGATAAAAATCAGTACACAACTCATGGTATTAAACGATATGAAAAGATTTACGGCAAAGGCTTTGTCAGTTCAGGAGGACAGCAACTTGTCGAGGTAAAATATATACACCCCAGGTAACTATTTTATCTTCCCTATTTTATTTTGCCAAACCATTCTGATCAGTTATCATTCACCATTAATTCAGGCACTTTGCAAGAAACTTAATCTTAAATCAAAGGATCATGTGTTGGACATTGGTAGCGGAATGGGAACAACAGCATTTTATATGGCCAAGGTAAAGTAAATCAGAACCAACCCACAACTAGATTACAATAACAATTACTTCACTTACAATTACTTTATAGTTTGACTGAGTCTAGTTGCCATCCAGACTATTTATTTATTCAACCTATCTTGTTATAACACACACACCTCCCTTCGCTGTTTTTTCTGTCCAATGGCCGGTTAATTTACAAAGAAAAGGTAGGATCTGCAGCGCATTAACCAGCTAATATGTCACGTAGATATATGGCGTTTTTGTGACCGGAATCGACGTGTCTTCAAACCAAATCAACTTGGCAATGGAAAGAGCAAATAACGAGAAAAATGAACAGGTAATTTGCAGCTGCTTCTGAAAACTTAAGCTCTGTTCACACGATCCAATTTTGTTGGATCCAATTCACTTTTGACGTATGGAATGAAGTCAGTTATTGATAAAGCGGTACTGCGTTGACTTAAGATGATTTGCTGCCCACACACATTACAAGACAACCGACTATAAAACATCCATCAGAAGTGAATTGGACCAGCAAAATAGTGTGACAGACTTTTATATTGCAACTAAAGCTGACAGGAATTTAACAAACCAGATTATCAGAACACGGGGTTCGCATGACAACCACGAATACTTTTTTTTGTTGAAGGTCCATTTTGAGATCGGAGACGTAACTCATCGGAACTACAAGCCTAGCTCGTTTGACGTGATATACAGTAAAGAGGTGTTTTTGCATATCGCTGATCAAAATGCTTTGATCAAATCATGTTATGTAAGTTACTAACGAAAGAAAGCAATATTGAGTCTGAGGTTTACAAAACCCTGGATTGACCAAACTTCATGCAGTTTCCAACTAAATTGGCTTGGAAATTAAAGGTTCAGCCAACCTCTTTTTTACCCCTTTGTTTGCAACTGATTTGTCTGAAAGATTCAAAACTTTTCTCTGTCAAACGCCCCACGATTTCTCTTGACTCTTGCGAGTGTAACGGTCAGGCAATCTATGTGAAAGGTGTTCATGCTTTCAAATCTTGGATCTTCAATTCATTTCGTTTTGTTGAAATCTCTCGTAGAATTGGTTGAAGCCAGGCGGTAGACTGCTTATCACTAACTACTGCTCCAGTGGAAAAAATCCAACTTCAGCAAGGTTCCAGTCCTACGTCAGTGAAAGACAATATCATTTGGTTGATGTAGAAACTTTGGGAAAGGTTTGTAGCTGCAGAGAGTTTGAGAAGTGAAAGAATAGTTCACAATTGATCAAGTTAGCCAATATAAATATGTATAGATTTTGTTTTTATTAAATATACCATTGCTGCGTTCTATAGTATTTTAAAGAAGCTGGCTTTGAAAATGTTGAAGCGAATGACACAACGGAACACTTCGTAGAAGTATTGGAGAATGAATTACATGCGTTCCAGGAAAATAAAGATGAATTTCTTCAGGTTCCCCCAGCTTTTGTTATATACTTTCTGTGCTCTGATTACAAATAAAGCTTCTTGGTTTTAAATTTCTTTACGATTTTTTTCAGGAGTTTTCACTGGAGGATTACTACACGATCGTGAACGGTTGGACAGACAAGTTACTGCGATGTAGCGAAGGAGATCTTAAATGCGGGGAATTCCTTGGAATAAAACCGATACGATAAATCTAAGATTTTAGAATCACACGAACATCTTCCGATGTTTTTAGATGAATTGACATTCCTTATCATTGGTTTACAAAAAGATTCAACTACCTTTGAAGATAAGCACGATTCATTATAGTTTTTTAAATCATTTCCAAACGGAAAAACAATGAAATAATATATAGTCTTACTTAATTAATAAAGTGTAAGTATGTATGATCATATATTTTTATGAAATTTAATATATAATAGTATTATAAAACACAATGAACAAGACAGTGTTTTTGTGAATCTTTTAGCGTTTTATATCTTTATATATATAATAGTGTATTATAATAGTATAAAACACAATGAATAAGAGAGTAACTTTATGAATCTTCAACCTCGTGGAACTCCATTTCTCAAGAAATACATTTTTTAGACTGGGTTCCCTGAAGAATTATTTATTCTAGTCTAGTGATTTTATTTATAAGTCAGTATAGACTCCTGTAAGGACACTGTGAAAACCTGCGTTGAAAATGTTCCCGTCTCCTCCCGTGAGTCTCACACGGAGTCATTGAAGTCTTGCTCTTCTTCTATATGTCTATTGAGCACTGGTTCAGAACGATGACGTGACACTCCGGGGGTGGAATGCCCCTGTGGTCGCCATGACATTGACGCTCGAAACTCTTCAATATCATTCTCATCGTTGAGCGAAACCAATCCATCGTAGGCCCTCGTGTAGAGCTCCAAACCTTTCGCGAAGAAATATATCTCATTGTGAATAAAATCTCGGAAAATCTGTTTGATTTCTCGGATTTTCGCTCGTTCAAATTCCTCCATTTGTTCATGAAGTATCCTCGAGCTACGGCCAGCTTCGTCTGAGGCTTTTTGGAACTCAGTCTGGGCTTTTGCAACTCGGCCCGGATTTGAGGCGGATCGCGTCTTCAGACGTTCTAACGACTTGTATTTCTTCACCTCGTTATCCAAGGCTCCGAGATTCGACTTCACGTCGTCCTTCGCTTGTCGACATTTTGTTTTGTAAATACTAAATGCTTGTACATTTTTGTCGGCGATTTGTTGAACTTGTTGATGTCTGAGATCCTGTATCGCGGCAAAGCACTCGGCGAATGTATGCAATGCTTGTTTGAGACCGCTCGACTCCTCTTCAGCGTACGTTGCGACGGCTTTGTGAAATTCATCCCCAGCGTTGCGAAGTTTCCCCAAACGAACAGCGTACAAATGAAGCTTTGCCGACAGCTCGTCGAAATGAGTCTCCACCGAGTTTATGCTTTTGTCAGCCACTTTTCTTTCATGTTCATTCGCCTTGATCGTTGTGCTGAGGTCTGGCAAAGAAACGCTTGTGTTTGTACGTCGTAAACTAGCACTGCCAGCTGCCGCCATGTTGTTGGGTAGAATACTTTCTCTAGTGTTTCAAATCTCCCCCGGTCTCGCAACAACAGTTTTATATTTCAAAAACGTTCGAAGACAAGGCGTTGATGAATATGTAATAGCTATAAATTTGAATATGCAGATTTAAGTACGACAAGTATATTCGTACGAATAAATGGCACGCAGCACAGCTATTGGAAAAAGATTGTAGAAAAGTACAATTATTCCAGTTTGATTGTGTTTATAGCCCCGAGTGTTTAAACGAAATTTGAGATGTTGAAAGCTTTTGTGCTATCAAATGATCCGATTGGGCACTTCTGCTTTTTTAAAATCATTTCAAAATGGTGGAACTTCGCTAAAAAAGCATTCCAGGTCTTCACGAATCCATCCTGCCGGAGTCGCCACGCAGTGCCCTTCAACGATCACTAGCCTCCGAGAACGTTGCCGCCTTATTTCGGGAGTTGGCAAGAGTACGCTACCTGTCATCCCCTTTAGGTCGTATGTAAATATACTCTTAAACTTGTGAGTCAAGTTTAAAACAGGTGGCTATTCACGAAACCTAAATTGTGCCCACATCGTAATTCCCAATTACTAACTCATTACGATAATTGCAGTAAAATATATATATCCAGATATACTTGTTCATATTGTCTACTTTTCTGTATGTTTTTCTCCAATTATGATAGCTTAACTTCAGAGAACAGCGAATTCGGCGTTTTATATTTATTGCAGCGTCATATCGAGGTAGCAAAAGCGTCTATAAACAAAATCAGCTAAATTTAGCTGGCTAACCACGCGATAGAGGTGAAACTTGAAAGAATGAGAGCACTTTAAATTGAAGCACAAAACTCCTGCTGAAAACTTGAAATTGATAACAATGGAATGTAGTATTGTATAACCGAAGAAAACGGCTCATTTTGAAAGAGAATTGTCAGGGTGAATCTTGAAGATATTGTTTTGTGTTTGAGGCGAAAATCGACCGCGGAAATTCTTGCCGAGGAAATATGGCTTCGGCAAAGATTCAACGAATGTCAAAATCAGGAAAAAATAAACCAGGTCAGACTCGTTCCACGAAGAGCAGCGAAGTCCCAGACGAGATACAATGCAAGATATGTAAGAAACGTTACGAGGATCCAAAGATTCTTTCGTGCCTGCATACCTTCTGTAAAGCCTGTTTGGAAGAAAGTTTAGAAACGCACAACGGCGTATTATATTGCCCAGTGTGTCCAGCGGAAATGAACTCCACTGATATGTCCGACGTGAATAAACTTCAGAGTAATTTCATGATCAGCAATCTCCTGGAAGCCATCGATCTCAAACGAGGTTTAGGTTCGAAGCTTTGCAACAGCTGTGAAGAGGGTGTTTCAGCCACCTCGCGCTGTTTTGAATGCAGCGATTTCTTGTGTGGAAACTGCGTCGAAGCGCACAAACGCGTCCGGTTCACGAAAAATCACCGAATCGTCGCGATTAAAAACCTCGGCGCTGACTCGATGGTCAAAACCCCGACCTGCGCCACTCACGTGCAAGAAGCAGTGAAAATGTACTGCAAACGATGCAAAAAACCTGTTTGTAGGTCTTGTTTACTGAACGAACACGATGAACACTTGTTAGTTTCGTTAAAAGAAGCCGTCGAGGAAACTAAACCGAAGCTCAATACATTGCTGGTTGCGACTCGAGCAAGGATACCAATTTTACAACGCAAGCTCAAAGGAGTCCACGCGTCCAAGGAGAAACTGGAAACTAAGGTTGATGAGGTTATTAAAGAGATACAGGCGACGTCAGCGCGTATTTTAATGGCGGTGAAAAGACGGGAGAAAGATTTGTACAAAATGTTACGTCGCATTCACGACCAGAAGAGCGATGATCTGGAGGGCAGGGAGTTGGCGCTTGAGAATGATCTCGCTCAGGTTCTGGACAGCTGTGATTTCGCCGAGGAGTTAGGGAGGAATGGTGACGAAGGCATGGTGTTGCACTTGAACGAGATGACGTGTGCAAGGCTGCGGTATTTGAGCGGGAAAGAAGACGAGGCGGTGCCGGGGATCGCCGAGGATGAGATCGAGTACAGTGTCGAGGAGAAACCTGTGCTGGACCAGTTGAAGATATACGGAAGAGTTTTGTCAAAGGAACAGAAGGCAAAGAAGGAAGAAAAAGAGAAGAGAGACGAGAAAGATGGTAAGAGTGGAAACAGCAAGGAGAAGCAGAAAGCAGAGGAAGTGGAAGAGAAGAAGCCAATGATTGAGCGTCGTCAGAGCTGGTTACAAACTCTGGTTAATCCTCGTGCATTGATAAGAAGGTTGAGTTTTGGCGGTGACGAGATGGAGGATAAGAAACCGGAGGAGAAGAAACCGGAGGAGAAGTCCCCTTCGAAGGAACATGACGAGGATCAGAGTGATGGCACCCAAACACCACAACAAACACAAGCTAAGAATGACTCAGAACAACAACAACAACAACAACAGCAGCAGCAACAAAATGATCCTGAGCCACGAAGACGCGCAGATTCTGTTTCAAAATCTGAACAGCCACAAACACAGAAGCGCGAAGAAGAACATGTTTACGCCATGCCAAATAAACCCAAGTCAGGAAAATCACAGAACACGATACCTGTCGAGCCAAGTAAGTCCCCACCGCTACCTCCACGCCCTGAAAGTCTGCTTAATGAACCCGCAACAGTATCCCCAAATGACCCTAACCAAGCCATTTTGGTGTCCCCAAGAACCCACTCGATCCTAAAACAATCCTCACCACAATCTCCGCCTTCTCATCCACCTGAACAATCGCAGGAATTCGAGGCAACCCAAGCTTGGACAATTCGGGGAGGTTCGGTACCCTCCGGAGCGCACTCGCAGTCCTATCTACCGAGTCTCTGTATACTCACGAAGAACCGACGAGGACGGCCGAGAGAGGTCGAGATTCAGCTGGAATCGCCCGACAAGAGCATCGTGTCCGCGCAGATCCTGGATCATAAAAATGGGACATACACGATATTTTATTGCCCATTGACGCATGGGGAACACAACTTGTACGTAAATCTTGGTGGGAAAAACATAAAACACGGAAAGAAAGTGTTGAATTTCTACGGCAAGTTCTCCGGCATGGGAGCAGAAGAGCTTTTTCTGGCGAGGCGAGTGTTGAGTTGCATACGTTGGCAAGTTACGCCTGGTTTTGTTGAACTTAAGGACAAAAAATTGAAACCAAATCATGATATTTGATTATAAGAAACATATCCATGTGCTTACGGTTTGGTCTCGTTGTTAGCTCCACTCCGACAATTGAACTAAAATTTTTTATCTATGTTCTATCACAACGAACATTTAGTGATAGATGTGAGAGAGACTGACTAAAAACGACCAGAAAACATATTATTTAATGATAAATTAAGTTCATCATAATTCTAACGACTAAAGACTAACTAAAACTAGAAAAATATTTAAAAAAATCCATTCGCAAGATATCATTCGTAACAGGTTATATTGATGAAAAGTATTTTTACGGTTTTTTCATATATTAGACTAGTTTTAAAAACTATAACTTTATGATTAAAGTTCATAATAATGAAATTTTGGGCCTGAGACAACACGAAGGGTCAAAGATCCCCCCATATTTTAAAGAAATGTTCAAACTTCGTTATTTTAACTTTTCGGGGTAGAAAATTTTTACATTGCTGCGTCCTTTATCAACAGCAACTATCTGGCCTTCAGGAGTGTAGTCAAGTCCCATAGGACTCTCCAGTTTGTCCACTGACCGCGGTACTAGTTTCATCGCAAACTCAAGATCCGGTTTGAAAATTTGAATCCCAGCCGTTTGGTCAGAAACGACGACGTAACCGGAGGCATCGATGGTGATACCAGTAGGATTGTAAAATTCACCATCCTTTGTACCTCGTTGTCCAAAGGTCTCCCGGTGACGGCCGTCGACGTCGAAAACCTGGACCCGATGATTTCCCGAGTCTGTGACGACGATGTCGCCATCTGGAGTGATTGCAACATACATAGGGCGATCTAGTTGGCCATCTTTGTTACCATAACAACCAAATTGACGTATAAAGACACCGTTTTGGTCAAACATCTGCACTCTGTGGTTGTACTGATCGACTACGACAATGTGACCCTCTTCATCAACCGCTATCCCTGTTGGATGATCCATCAATCCCTTAGTGTCCCCGTGACCACCGAATGACCTCAAGAACACGCCATTGGAAGAAAATATTTGCACGCGATGGTTACCATGGTCACTCACAATCACGTGACAGTGAGGCGATATAGCAATGCCTGACGGGAATGATAGTTGCCCGAGGCCACGACCTTTGCCCCCTCCAAAACATGCGACGAACTTTCCTTTTGAATTGAATATTTGCACGCGATGGTTCAATGTGTCAGCCACTAATATATCACCATTATTCCTTACGGCCACGTCACGTGGTTGGACAAGACATCCCGGGGCTTTTCCCCGGTGGGCGAACGTGAGACATCGGGTCACTTTTTCATTATAATCGACATGACCTTTCTTCACATTAACGCAGGTAGGGCTATCGGGTAAATGTTCCCCTCGGACTGTTACCGATATTTCGTGCTCGCCTGGAACCTTGGGATTGTACACAACGTTGCTCATGTTTCCATCTCGCGTGACGTCACATTCAAGGAGCACCGAATCCGGGGTATTCAATATCCAAAGTAGCATCCAGACTTGGCTAGAGTAAAGGAGGGAAATTTTCCAACAGCTGCATCCTGTAAACCATCACCAATCACTCTCATTGGAGAAGATGCATTTACGAGAAATACCCTCCCACATTCTAAGATTTCACTACTCAATTTCTCGGAACCGGGATCGTACCCAAACTCAGCATTCTCATCAGGCTCAATATCAAGCTTCATATTTCTGAGAAACTGTAATCGTTGATAGACCAAGTTGTTGACCGTGGCAATCTCGGAATTGCTACCGCTTCTGAGAATCCTCTCACTCGCCTTGCAGTTGCCTTCGAGAATGACCAGTTCGGATTGAATTTTTGATTTCTGATCGTGCAAAGCCTTCGCTTTGTGTGAGCATAATTTTGTCAGTTCATCCAGAAGTTCCTCTTGCCTTTGTCTGAGAGTTTGAATAAAGTTTTCTGTATTTCTAGCAATTTCTCTGGCCACAGCGTCAGCGTGATCGGGGAGAGACTGTAACACAGAATCGATTTCGAGTAACGTTCGTTTCAGAAAGGGCACTCTCTGTCGGACACCTGATAGAAGCTCCGCCAGTTGTCGCCGTTGCGTCGGAGTAATCTCGGAAAGTTCCGTGACGGAATGCGTGTCGATTGAATGATCCAGAAAAGTGCAATCGTTGCAAATGGCATGATCGCAAGTCATGCAAAAATGAGTCAACTTTTCGCCGACATGGTTCCTGCAGTAATCCCCTGTGTGGACAGGTTCGTTTGAGTTAACCCGAAGCAAAGCTAATGAGCAGACATTGTGATCCCGAGTATCATTGCTCCCTTTATGCGCCCGTTGGCAATTGACGCACAAGAACAGCGCGCATTCTGAACAGCGACTTTGAGCGCGCGTCGGACACCGGCTACAGTAGAGTCCTTCCTCGTGTAAATCATTAACATTAAGCCCGCATGTCTCCAACGCGTTGAGCGCGACGAAATCAGAGGAGAGCCCCTCAAGGCATGCACCATTATCACCATATCTCAACTTGATCTTCTTGAGAGTGCTACACAAGGGGCATTTTAGATAATGCTTATCATCAATACATTCGACATAACGTCTCTAAACATCTTTCACAAAATGTGTGCAGACAAGGAAGTAGTTTTGGATTCTTGTATTTTGCTTGACAAACCTCGCAGATAAGATCGCCGGTGATTGGATTATTATTCTCATCACAATCACCTGCTGCACTCAGACGTCTTGCTCCACAGCCGGGCTCGGAATGATGACTTGATTTTGCAGTCTTTGCTGCCAGATCTTTGCTCATTTGTTTCCCTCGTTGTTCCTTACCAAGAATGCCCAAGTTCCGAAAAACGACTATGTAAACAAACCTTTGTACATCACTCTGTTCTTCCCTCCAAAATTAGTAAAGGTCAGAGGACTCTCAGAGCTCTCGTTTTTAGCAAAGGCTTGTCTTTATCCCCTTGCAAGAATCCCTTTTGTGTTTTTGAATCGCTGCTTGTCGAGAACAAAATAATTTTCAGTCTGAATGAAATACAAACCCTTCACGATAACATCTTTTCTGATTTCAGCTCTGTGAACAAGCCGACCTGTAGTCGAGCGATACCAAATATTAATTGTGATTCAATTTACCACTCACCGCTTTGACAGGCTTGCATCGAATGGATCAATTTTCACAATTCTTATCATGTGATAATAAACGCTGCAGGTCAGGAAGTCTTCGATCCTTCTTAATTTTATATTTCCTGATTTTCACGCGCTGGCGAAAGCCTACAGTGTCCGACGATAGGTGGGCAGAAATACAGCTGGGTTTTGTAAAAAAGGTTCAATATTCTACAACTTAATTTGCCACGGATGCTATGATCGTTCGCATAAATGTATCCTAGCGCAAACAAGAGTCTATTTTGCGTGGTTATAGGATTTCAATCTATTTGAAAAGAATTTAAACTGTCGTAGTTTGTGTTTAAGCAACCTGACAGGGATTATAAGTTTTAATTGTCTAGACACAAAAAATGTCAGGATAATATAGTAATATACCTGTCTTGTGAGGACATGTTTGGTAAAGTTTTACGATTTTAGTTTTAAAGATATATGTTTAATGCCTTAAGGTCGAGGTTCGTTTTACTGCGGCTCAAAAAACGCTCAAAAAACGAAGAATATTTAGCGCCTGACATTGGTGATTGACAGACAGTTTCATAGCAGACGTATGCTACATGAATTTCGTTATGTATTTTATGTGTAAACTACCAATTGAAATAGTTAGGATTGAGATTTTATAAATACACAAACTGTTGTTATACGACAGCATTCCACACATAAACAATTTGTTTGGAAAACAAAACTTGAACATTTCGTCTATCCGAGGAAAGCGCGCGGGTTTAAGATGAATAAATTCTGTTCTAGAGAATGAATCGAGGAGATTTTTACAATTTCAATCGCTGTTTCTTAGAGCAGAAACAAAACACTTTGATGTTGTTGTTAGTAATCCCACTTACTTATTGACTTAACTTATAAAAATGATTTGAAGGTGTGAAGAGTTCAAGATACGATTTAGTCGCCTATGTCGTCAAATTTAACCTCTCAAAATAGGAAATATGGAACGTAATGACCTTATTTCCTTTTAGTTCGAGAGGAGATTTAACACATTCCTAAGAATTAGGAGTATGAAATAAATGGATTAAAGATCAACTGTGTGGTCACGCACGATGTGAAATATGAACATTGAATAAATCCAACGTACTTTTTAAAAAATATTAGCGATGGATACGTCAGGGTGAAGTGAAATTTAAAAGCTCGTTTACAATTGTAATTTTTGTTGATATTTTTGGCGCAATTATCCTTTTTTCATTGATGTGAACGAGAGAATAGTCACAAATACCTGCCTTTATCTGAAATTCCCTGAATCACATCCATGAAGAATGTCGCGTCAAAAATCTCATCCTCAAAATCATTTTGTAATAAAACTCTTTCCTACCTTTTGACGTTAAATTTTTTCGACACACATCCAATTTGTTTCGTCCACGGAAGGAAAATGCCAGGAACATTCAGTTCTTTGTATTGTCCTTGCAAATTCACTTACTGACTGTTAAGAAACAATACGAAATCAGTTAAAAAGATATCTCAAACGTGGTGGTCTAGACCGTCTAGTGTAGGTAGTATTCTACAATAAGCTGTCGTGGTTTGTGTCTGAACTACCTGAGAAAGATATCTCAAACGTGGTGGTCCAGTGTAGGTAGTATTCTACATAAGCTGTCATGGTTTGTGTCTGAACTACCTGAGAAAGATATCTCAAACATGGTGGCCCAGTGTAGGTAGTATTATTCTACAATAAGTTGTCATGGTTTGTGTCTGAACTACCTGAGAAAGATATCTCAAACGTGGTGGTCCAGTGTAGGTAGTATTCTTCAATAAGCTGTCATAGTTTGTGTCTGGAAAAGCATGCTCATGAGTACCTACCTCAGAAAGCAATTTCATTTTGTTGCGATCATACCAATGAACAGTGACCTGATGATCGGAAAGCCAGCGCTTGAAATAAGATGATGTTTGTGGTTTCATGTTGACAAAATGATCCAGAAATTGGTCGTTACTAACCAGCTTCACCGTACAATCCTTACGACACAACTGAAGCGTAGCAATGATGAGAAAAAGATCATCGATACCGCTGCATGTGAAGAAACATACTCAGAGTTAATCATTTTTACAGCCTCCTCCAGTCCTCAGAAGCTTATAATTTCAGATATGCTTGCAAGCAAACCAATCATATCACCTTTTATTATGTTTGACAAAGTGAACTGATGAGATGCTTCTAAGATATGCCAATGCTTTTTGATGTTCTCTTCTCGAAACTGTTTTAGATCTTTTTGGATTAATCAATTCGTTTGCTGCAATTACCAGCACTTTCTGGCCTTGGGACGTATAATTTTCCACCAATCTAAGCAGCTGTCAAACAATCAAAAATGGATGAAATTTAACTAAATGCTGTATGGGAAAATCATTCTGTTTTTGTCTTGGCAAATCATAAAGTTTTAATTATAACAGTGACATATAACAATTTCATTTATTCTGTATGCATAAATGGATTCTTTTCACCAACCATTTCTTTACAAATATATATGAATGCTACAACCAAAGGGTCCCAAGGGAGAAATGTATCAATACAGCTATCCAGCATACAGTTTGCTTTTCAAAATCATTTAGCAACATACCGGTTCAAAGTCAAGACCATGCTTTGGATGCATTGCAACATTTAGTCCATCAACAACAACATTGAACTCTCCTTTCTGCTCCAATAATCTGAACAATCCTTGTAGCCTATCTTTGCTTGATATTGCCCTTTCACTTGCATTTTCTTCTGAACTATCAGTTTTCAGTTCATTGTTTATCAATTGCTTGAAGTATTCACTCAGATCTTCTTCCGGTTTTCCAAATGCTCGCCTTTCCAATTCCCTTTGGCAATTTTGACAAATTCCACTACAGAAAATGATCAAATATACAAAAATGTATTCTTGTATTCTTTGAAATGCATTTCAGTTAAATGGCAGCTTTGTACAGCTTCTCTATGTCATTCATTAACCATATATTGGTAGGATATTGTGACCTCACCTGGCTGAGACAGATGTTGTGCTTATCTTCCAGTTGTTCCCAGGTAATAATCCACTAAGAAATTTAGAGAATAATATCATTTAGAGAGAACACCTACCAAACCAGCCCTCTTTTTTTACCAGTCACTATATACAGCAGATATGATATTTACCTGTGAAAATATTTCTCAATAACTAACATTGTCTGTTCACCAATTGCTGTTCTTTGTGTCTTGAAATCTTGAAAAACACTTTCAATGGCATCAACTTGCTTGTTTGCAATGAGTTTTGAAAGAAATGCTGCACAAAAGTGATCATGATTTTCTTTATGGGTGCCCTCGATCTTTAGGAAATATTCAACAGCTTTTGAAAACAGCATTTTACCAAGTGCCAAATCTGCAGCTACAATAAATGACCTGTAATGAGGCACTATATCATGGTCGCTTACAAGTGCCAAGAGTTTTTCAACTTTTTCAAAGTCGTTCATTTTACCATAACTATCAATAAGTACGGTATATGTGGCTCTATCCCCAGCAACATCAAGCTTATCTATGGTTTCATTCAAACTGACTATATCTTTCAAATTTCCCCGTTCAAATAGCGAGTACAACAAGCCATTTAGTATCAAAATAATGCTTGGTGTGACATCCTCATACTGGAGCCAATATTCCACATTTGCGATAGCTTGTTCAAAGTTTCCCTCAAAACAAAGTCTCTTCACCAAACAATATCGTGCTATCTGCTCCTTGTCTTTGGCTTTTCGTAGTAACCGTGGGACCTTGATGGCAGGATGTACATCATGGACGTATTTCAGAGCAGACAGTTGTGCAGGAGATTCAATATGATGAACTTTCTTATCGTGTCCTGGTTTGTGCTGATGAATGCAAGTGTACAAATACTCAATACAGCAAGCACGGGTCAAGATCTTTTCGCATAAAATCTTTCGATGGATTAAACGCAAACGCAGCATCATCAAACATTGAAATTCTTTGCACATTAGCAGCAAATAGTAAACCAGTAAACATAAGATTGAAAAGAACAATAAAGAAGTACTTTTTTAAAAGTAAAATTTTTCAAAATAACTTTAAATTTACTTCAAAGTTCAAACTTCAATCAATCGTCCTCAGTCTTTTTACGCAAAGGAAAAACGCGCGGTCGAGTTCACGGCGGGGGGGGGAGGTTGTGGGTGCCCATTTCTGGACTTTTAACAACATACCTCGCTTAAAAAGATCCTTTTAAATTCATTTCTGATGGTTCTTTAAACGTTTTTTATAATTTCTAGTTATCAATCTCCCATCCTAGATTGAAAACTTAACGCAAATCAAACATAAACACATGAAAAATTTGGTCCTAAGAAGTGGTCCTCATGCAGAAATTTATTCAATTTTAATTCTTTACCACAATTTTGTGTAGTGTTTGGTGTTTTTCTTTGCGAAGTCAAAAAGCTCAAAAGACTTTCAAAAATATTAATCTTTGGATTGTGTTTTATATTAAACATATTAACATTACCCCCCTTCCTTGCTTATATACAAAATAGTGTCCCCTAAACAACTGCCACTTGTGAACAAGAAACTCTCATTTTAACAGAAGTCTGTCTATATCATGCAGTTGTTATACCAGACTTGATGAAAAGTTGTTTTAAGACTATCAATCACACAAAGCCTATCAATGACATTAGGTTACAAATACACAGTATTCTCTTAACATTTAACAGTAATTTCTTTCCGATTAAAAAATTAAAAATCTCATATATATATATATATACCCTTGATAAAATAGTTCAATTTTTATATAATTAAACTGTTACTTTTTTCTACCACGACCCCTCCCAACACCAGCCAAACGTAATGCGTTGCCACTTGTCCTACTAAGATCTGAAATACGCAGAGAATTACAATTAGTAAGGATATTGTAGAACAACAGCATACTGGGATTACAGTGGATTGTATGTGAAATAGGGGGATTACAGTGGATTGCATGCGAAATAGGGGGATTACAGTAAATTGCATGTGAAATTAGGGGGAGAACAGTGGATTACATGTGGAACATTCCAGGAAAATATGGGGAACATTGCGGTGATCATGAATAGACTAATGTTGACAAATTCCTAAAAACCAAGATGTAGCATACCTTTCTTTTTGCTCCCTGCTACTTGCCACTGGTTTTGCTCCTCCTAAAATAAAGTAACAATGACAGGATTTGAAGCTGTTGCAGTGATTTTGCAGTGAATGGAATCTGCCTTGATGCATACAAACTGTTTGAAACTAATGAAATAGGTTTGACTGGAAAGTATTATGTTACAGTGCGTACCTCAACAGATAGAGCAGCCATCCTTGCGGCAGGGGACGGCATTGGTGGTGGTTGATTTTGCGGCGATGGTTGAATTTGTGTTGCTGGAGGGTTATAGCCTGGGATGCTTTGTGTTTTTGGTGGTTTGTAATTATTCTCGATAAGCATTCGTCTGTTTTCAAGCTCTTGTTCTCTTTCAACGTTCCCTGGTCCACGACACGGATTTGGTGTTCCTTAAGTAAAAAATGCAAAATGTCAACTGGCTTTCAACCAAACCGGCCCTGTAGAATAGAATGGTTGCTAGTTATTTATATTGTAAGATACGTACCAACAGCGATGTTCAACCCAAGTAATGCAGCCCTTGCTGCACTATGCTTTGCATCTATTTTCTTTTTGCAATAAATATTCGAATAAAACTTTTCTGTCGTCACCACTACTGCATAACCAAAGCCACCATTTGGGTTTGCTGCTTCAGAATATTTCGGCTGATTTATCCTATTTTTCTGACAGTATTGGTTAAGAATGCTGACCCAATCAACAAATGCTCCTGTACAAATAAACAAAACCATGCATTTCAAAAGATAGCAATATAATTATTAGCTTAAAAAAGAAGAGCCTATGTTTGAAATAAATTCTAAAGGGTCTTAATTTTGAATGGAATCATACACAACTCAATTTAAAACAGAACAGTTGAGAAAAATTAGTCAACTATCGGTCCTTCGACAGGAATCGAACCCAGGTTATTTTTTAAGCTTATAATAATTAATAGCATAATTAAAGGCTATAATTCCCACAAATAAGCTTAATATGCTATAATATGCCCGTTTACCTGCATTTGTTGAAATTGGGCGACCAGGGATTGCGTATTCCTGTGCAATTTGTTGCAATTTGCTCTCTTCATCTATTTCTTCATCTTCTTCTTTGCCTATTACTTCTTCCTTTTCCCTTCTTTTCTGTGCCCGTTTAAAATTTTTTTTCGCTGTTTTTGACATGCTATGGGTGCCAAAAGAATATAAACAAATTAGCAAATAAACCAACTTGAAACTTTTTTATCATAAGCAAAACAAACTGACTGATCAATGAACAGCAGACAATTCAATGTGGATTACCTTGATGTATCCACAACAGGCATATAGTTATTTCGACTTTGGCCTATTTGACTTTTGATCGACTCTTCCAAAGTGTCCTGGTACTCGTTGATTTCATCGTATGGGGTCTTGTCTACTTCTGTTATTGAGAAACCTGTGTGGTTCGCCTCAGATTCCCAGTCCTCAACTGGGTCATATTCATATGGTTCATGCATCACTGGCTTAACATTTGGTGCATATGCTAAAAATGAATTAGAGTTAGAATGAATTAAGTTAGAACTAAGTGGTTGGTTATCCAGAAAGGTCTTGTCACTACGAAACAGTGGTACCGGTACTTGATATATACTTGATATATTTATATCTTTTCAATGGCAAAGAGTGTAGTCAGTGTACCACGTTCATATGTTGTTTGCATACCTGGAGATAGCTCTTTTTCAATTATAGCCTAGAAATAAAAATACAACTCAGTCTTTTTGTGTAGAAAATCAGAAGGACTTGCTCTGGTATATATATATATATATATCAGCTCTACAATGAAAATTAATAAAAAAAACTTACTTTATCCGGACATATTGTTAGGTGGTAGTCAAGTTCTACAGCTGGGAACTCGTGCCTTGCGTTGAACGGGCATCTAGTGAAATCCTTCCCTGCGTACTGCTGCAAAGAAATTTTCAAATATCAAAATCAGTTTGATAATAAACCAGACAACGTTTGTAATATAATCCTGGCGCAATTCGCAACACGTGCTCACAGATATTTAATAATTACGTCTATAGAAAAAAACATTAAAATGAAAAATATTCCCTAATTCCTCTTTTAAACACGTTCAAACAAATAAATAACTCGCAGTCTGTTAGATACGACGAAGAGAAATCATAATCGCCTGGCAAATATCATGCAACTCAATTAAAATACTTGGATTCCCACGAATGCGCTTCACATTTTCTGTCTAATATCACAAGATTTACCGTGCGGTAATGGTCGACAATCACGAAGACGGTTTAATATCTGGAAAATGATGCTTTTACCGTAATTTTTACATACGTAGACTAACACAGTTATATTTGTATTATGATATTTACCTTTCGGCATATGCTCACATGCCCAGGAAACTTCAAAGCGGTGATTCTATGGTATTTATTATATGGACAAATTGCCGGCTTTGCTTTATCGACGTCTCCCATCGTCGGGAATTCCACTGAAATTTGTGTCGACATTTTCTTCTACTGCCAGAGCCAGCCAGGTGAGAGAGACGAACAGGAGAAGTTGATTTCTGTATGATTTCCGAAGACTGAAGGCAGCGAAGCTGTGTTTGTCGGCTTTTTATAGTTTTATTGCCATGTCACATGGTCACATGTGTCTTCTGTCTTCCCATAGTTCATTGCAGAACGTTATCAACTGACCTCTACTCACTGTATGGATCTATTTCAACAAACCTCTCGGCCTCGTACCCAGGCGCTTTGAATAACTCTAAATATAGGCACACTACAGGCTTTTACACAGATCAGTGGCAAAGCTGAGTGAGCGCGCAAGGGATTTTGGGAGGTCGCCACGGGGAAGGAGTGGGAAGGAAGCTTCCCTAGCTTTCTCCACAAGATTCCCTGCACGCACGCTCAGTATGGCCACTGATCTGTGCAAAGTTTTTTCTAAATCGGATGCCATCCACAAGGCAGTTTTCTTTGTATTTTTCACTCTATCACTCAGTAGAATGTATCAGGTGCAAAAGTTTTTTCATCAGTGATGTCGACCGTTACGGGCAATATGGGGAAACTCATGCCACTAAAATTGCCCGACTTTGGTTTTATATCATTTGAGATACACGAAAATCATTCTGCTTTGCCACAGGGATCTCTAATTTTTCCAGAAATGCTTCTTGGCATGAGTTCAACCAACACTCGTGAACAACTATAGCTTCTTTCATCGTACAACAGCCGGTCAATTCTGAACTGAAAGAGACTGATTAGTGCAGTGTTACTAAGTTGATCCTAGCCCACCATATAAACGGTGATTAATTATATTAACTGTTGTACAGGGCCCGCGGAGCGTATTAGAAGGTGGGGGGGCTAAATCATAAATAAAACAGCTCAGAGAACTGTGTTCCTGCACTTTAAGAGAAACTTAACAAGATGTACGGGGGCTAAAGCCCCCCCAGCCCCCCCGTCTCCGCGGTCCCTGTTGTACTAACTGCGCTGCGCATTGTTCTTGAGACTTTGATTAATGATGACGGCATTATTGAATGCTGTTTGTATGGATTCCGTGGTGATATGACGTTGTACAATGCCTCTGTAACATTCTAAGTAAACCGTCTCTGACACTCGGACACGAAAATCATACACTGTTCAAATTGAAGGAAACGGGAACTTTGGCCCCAGATCGTTAAGGTAAGTGAGAACAACAAATACTCTTGCTATTTTCATAGGCCTCAAAAACGGGCTGAGGCGAATCATATCCGGTAAGAAACTAAAATATATTTCATCATTTTGATGCATTTGTCACGTCTTTTGTAGTGGTCGTAAAAGATTCCTTATAATCCTTAATGTAGTATAAATCCTCACGGTTAGGGCAGACGTCTTCTTATCATGAATAAATTCATCTTCGAAAAAGGTAAGAAACTCTCATACTTAGAAAAGAACATAGGACATAGGATCGAACAAAACTCGATTCTACTGACGGATGTTTTGCAAACACTTTTAGCATGTATTATACGCAAAGAATTGTTCTCTCCTCCCTTGCCTTGCCATCTTACTGCAACCCTGTAGAGAATTGTGAAAGTTCGCGTTAAGCAGAAATTCGCCTCAGTGAAAATGTTAAAACTATTGCATTTGATTTTTCCCGCTGATACTTTCCGAGAAAAAGATATTCTTTACATTGGGCCAGTCCTACGAATTTACTTTTATTTCACATAAATTTATAGACGATTCAATTAGAATAATGAAAACGATTCTTCTTTTTAAAAAGCTAATCACACAGAATACAAATAAAATTAACACCGAGCTTCAACGATGTGTCGTTTCGATCCCATCAAGCTGAAAGAAACGCCAGCTTTTGATTGAAATGTTGTTTGATTTGGCCGGATGAGAAATCAGGATATTTTGTATATTTAGTGAATTGATATTGTAACAAAAACAGTATTGACTCAAAAGACAGCTGCTGATAACAGGCCCATTCGATAAACGTGATTATTTAGGCGAAGCGATCTGGAATTAACGATAAAGTTCCCACAGACACCCGGTCACAATATTCCGTCTAGTACCTGAAGATCTGTTCCTTGCCAGATTTCAGTAGCGGGTATATATTGAACTGGATGAATTTACCGATAAAGGATGTGCTCATTTTGAACTATATACGCCGACGCTGTTTTTATATAAACTACAAAACCCTTCAAAATTATCTGATTACTTAGTCCTTTTTGATATATCCGTTTAAAAAAATTGGGAAAAATTGCAAAATTAATTTACCGCACAGCGGGATAAATAAGAGAAATTTTAGGAAGAGAAAAACATCTTGAGTATATGTCTGTTCCTAACGTAGCCGTGTGTGGGAAGCAATATAATCGGCCAGATCAGCTGCTGTTATTTGAATGTACACGGTGTATAGCTTACCCCTTAGGAGGGGAGGGGGGCTTGGTAGGGTGTCGAGTTGAGAAACCCAAACCCAACAACAGTTATCGCATTCAGCCTGGCCCCTAACGAAAACGAACTACCAAATCTAGTTTCTTCAAACGGATGCAAATTACTTTGTCTTAATTTGTTTCTATAACAGCGAACTATTGCTGCCGATAACACTATAGAGTATAGTGGGATATTAATTGAGCAGCAAAAATTTCAATTAGTCCATGCAAAAATATAGTTTTTTTATATATTACGTATGATAATATTGTGTCTCATTTCGGCTTTAAATCTTTGCAACATCTTACAGTGCCTGAACAAATTAATTATATATAACCTGTCACATCAGTAAGATTATATATATTATATATGGTTCAGTTCGGTCATACTCATTGGAAAAACGCAACGACAGCGCACTAGGACACTGCTGGATATTCTAAACAGTTCGTAAAACTTTCCGCGGATCGTTGTAGCTTAAGGTGAGGAAAGGAATTCATAAATGAATCCTTCATATAGTATATTCGTTTCGTTAGCAAAATAAAACTTGCCGTTCTTGTGTCATTTTGCATGGAAGGTGAGAAAAAATCACTGTCACCTTTTATCAACAACTGGGTGAAATAATCGAAGATCTTTTTTATCAAACTCTCGAGTTATAGATAGGCAAAAAACTCACTCAAATATTGGATAACTGTTTTCGATTTCAATTCGACATATTATTTACTTCATTATATGATAAATAGTCGCCGTTTGCCCTTTTTTTTGAGAAATTATTCGCAAGCTGAGTTATTAATTATTTCAAACAACAAACATCGTGATGCCTGCTGCGCACTTGATGAACATGTGTAAGTTCATGATATTAAATAAGTGAATTAAATTTGAGGCTTGTATTGGCAGATGGATCTCAAGCGCCTTCGCTTCAGGGTAAACAAGACTTTCTTGTTGAATTAAAAATGATTTAAAACGTCAGTTAGATTTTTCGTGCGGTTTTTAACTGTTCGACACTTTGAAATCACAGACGCGTAAAAATGCGCAGACAAAATGACGTAGCTTCCTTGATTAGACTATTTTTCGGATCATTGCATTTTATCTTGTGACTTATCTGATATTGCACCTATCTGCTACACGTTATATACTCGTTGCGGTTGCCGGGGAAATTGTGTCATCTCACTGAAAAATAGCTTCCTAGGACGTAACTGTCTTCATCTGTTGCCTCAAGGCGTTTATAAACTTCTCCAGTTGCAGGCCAACGCTGTTCTAAACAGGACGTGAAAACCAACACGGAAGGAATTGAGATTGTATTTGGTGCAAATATGAATGGGTAAGTCTTCAATACCATATTATATTCTCTTAAATCTTGGCTATGTCCCAGGCAGCAAGTGTAGAACTTAAGGGGGTCGCGACACTAGGCACTATAGCTATGTTATGTATGCCCGAATATGCAGCAGTGAAATTTGGAATCCAAATTATTTGGACGAAATTACGTATAATCATGTCTTTATTCCCACACGAAACAACACGACAATATTGAATATTGATGCCAGCGTAATTTTAGCACAACAGCCACAACTGTTCATTTCTCTGTGTCAGAAACACGACAGAACATCGGCGGTGAAAATCTTGGTGGGTCTTTGCGCTTAATATAAAACGAGGATTAGATATTTGAATGGTTCGATAAGACTGGAATGGTCGAGAAGATAGCAATTATAGGAATATGCAAAATATTATTGTGATCGAGAATAATCACGGCTGTTGCAGTCTTGCATCTTACTATAAATAATCGCGCAAGGTTTTAGCGCATGTGAATAAAAAACTGAATACTCTCTGAGTCTCTCTCTGAAGTCCTTTTAATTTGTTGTATATTTCTGTGGTCTTTGACTTCATCTGCGCATGTGGAACTCTTTAGCATCAAGCCGATCTATCGTCAATATGCGCACAGATGTTATATATACCTTAGCTTGCTGTCTCTCGAAAGCTATGAATATGTCTATATGGACACTGATACCTTTTGGATGAAGTGAAAAACTGTTTTACATAGTAACAAAAATGTTTGAATATAGCTACGCTAAGGCAATTCCGCATAAATCGTTTCACTTTTATTTCTCTTTCGCCTAGGAACCACAGTGGTTTCGGTAGGTTGTGAGGCGAGCTGGCCCGCCCCCTGATATCCAGCCAGCTCCAGGTTTACAAAACGCCTCCATATTGGTTCAAACCTATACCTTTGTATAAAATTCGTATTTCAAATTCCTCGTTATAAGTCCTATTATTCATGATAATGTTTTTAAAATGCTCATCAAAACAATGTCTATCCCGCGCTTTGTTTGTTGCGATTCGTTTGCGGTTTTTCTTCTGGTTTTGCGGTGTCTTTAATCCTCACGCCTACGAGTAACAAATTGACAACCTCTTCATATGACAAAGTGCATTCGCGTCACAGTCGTTCTGGATATACGACTTAGAATATAAAAGGTGCTTTTTAATTCAACCATCTTGCTATCTAGGGCTACCACGAAAGCACTTCTGTTATTGGCGTTGCAATATAAGAATTGTATGCAATACAACTCCGGCCGAAAGTATAAATGAAAATGGCTTGGTTTACGTGACACGCGCATGGATCAATAAGAGATGATCCTTACTTGACCTCTGGGAAGAACAGTTTAGAACTGATAGAACTATCCAGTATTAATAAAGTTAGTTTAATTTAGGTTTCCTCCTGTAGTAACACTGGATCAATAAGAATTGATCCTTACTGGAACTCTAGGAAGAACAGTTTAGAACTGATAGAAGTATCTAGTCAGTTTAATAAGATTGGTTTAGTTTAAAAGGATAATCGGAATAACCTCTTAAATATCACAACTTTATACAATCGACTCCAGGAAGTCCATCACCTAGGTTTGCAGGTGTTAAGGCCGACACAGACCGGACGCAATGCGGCAACGCGACGCGAATTTTGAGTTTTCAGAAGCATATAAATTAAATTCTGGAAGTAAAATTTGGAAACTATGGACGCTAGAGCAGTTAAAATGTTTTATTGTAATGTAATCTACAAGAATATTATGATAGTTTAAAATTGATTTGATTTTGAAAAATTAAAAACGTTGAAAATTCGCGCCGCGTTGCCAATTCGCGTCCGGTCTGTGTCGGCCTTTAGACTCAAAACACTGTTAAATTCTTATACAAGCGACAAAAAGTTGACATCATGCAGAGTAGCTTGAAAATTGAATAATTCAAATGTAATTTAAATTAAATAATTTAGCAAATTCTCACAAAAACCACTATTGCAGAATGACAGAAGTATCCGCAAAAAAATTTTGGAACAATATGATTATTTTAAGAATTCATGCCCCAAATCTGGGCTAAGTTCCCACTGGTTTTTAGACTTCACGCAGACGGAAAAAATGAACGTTGTTTACACACGACAGCTGTCAAGTCAGTGAAGTCACGGTTCTTATTATTCATTACGGCGAGATAAGGTCTTGGGTTTTTTTTACTTCAAAGCAGACCTCAAAATGCAGGGCAACAGACTTTGGAGAGAACTATAAAGATTATTAGATTATCGAGTCGTCTCTTGCATTAGTGTCGAATGGATTAAGCCAGCGGTATTGTTTATATTTTAACTTCGAAATGTAGGAGAGAAATTAGTTTACATTTTTTCGAAAGAATAATATTAGTTCAAGTTAAGACTCCGAAGAATAAACAGCAAGGGAAACTATTCAATAATGAAGTTGAATCTTTCTTAGTACCGATAATTCAGTCGAACGTCTTTTTTTAACTTAATTCTCTTTAAATTGCTGCTTTATCAGTTAATTTGCAAACACATGAGCTGCAAGCTGATGTAAAGTGTTGTGACTGTGAGGTTCTGCGATAAGAAACGCTTGTGATGTCTTCCGACAGAAGAGTTTAAGGCCTTCAGAGATAGCAACAGACTGAAAGCATTCCTCTGTCTCCTCGGAATAGATGAAAAAGTTGGCCTCCATTTATTGGTTTTACTGAAAGTAATATTCAAAGTCGCGAATGTAAAAGTGAGCTGCAATAATGCTAACAAGCAAACTTGGGTAACTATAAACTTATGTTACTTTTTCTTTGCTGTTGTATTTCGACACCCTCACGGTACTTGTCAATACTTGACTACTCAAGGTTTCCCGCCTAATTCACTGATACTTGCTACCGTCTCGGGCGAAACAAAAGCAGCGTCACGGATGTCTGCAATCAAGTTTGAACTAGTCCGCGCAGAATCGTAAATCCAATTTGCTTGACAAACAAGTTTAGATTTTTAGCTTCTTGTTCATGTAGCGAACCTGTCGTTTCTCGGACCGGAAACGCGCGAGGAGAGTGGCCACCGCCATATTCTTGTATATTTTACTTCGAAAGTGTAAATGAAAATTGCTTATTGAAATTTAGATTTCTGGCCTTACTGGAGTACGAACGAAGTACACTTTAGGTTTCTTCCTGTAGTAACAATGGATCAATGAGAGATGATTCTTACTGGACCTCTAGGAAGAACAGTTTAGAACTGATAGAGCTATCCAGTATAAATAAAGTTAGTTTAGTTTAGGTTTCTTCCTGTAGTAACAATGGATCAATGAGAGATGATCCTTACTGGACCTCTAGGAAGAACAGTTTAGAACTATTAGAGCTATCCAGTATAAATAAAGTTAATTTAGTTTAGGTTTCCTCCTGTAGTAACACTGGATCAATAAGAGATGATCCTTACTGGACCTCTAGGAAGAAAAGTTTAGAACTGATAGAGCCACCCTGTAAAAACTATCAAATTTTTGACGTTAAATTAAATTATTTAGAAATCTGTCGACGGATCTGAACAACACAAACGGAGAAAATTTCTCTGAAAGTGAAGGCATTCCCATGGCTCCTTTTGTGACTGTGCTATGTTTCATCAGCGTCGCCTCGGTGTTGGGAAACAGCTTGGTGTGTCTAGCGATGTACCAACAACCTCGTCTTCGCACCGTGATGCATTACTCCATGCTAAGTTTAGGTAATTCATCTTAAGTCAATTAATAAGAGACACGTGAAAATATTAGCGAGAAAACGTCGATCGGTGGAATCAGATAGAACCGATGTAAAACCGCTGAGTTTGAAAAACTGGACATTCCTCTTGCTGTCCATGACTCAATTTTTTTTTCTCTCTCATATTGTCTAGCAATTGCAGACCTTCTCTGTGGCGCCATCGCGATGCCCGCTTACATTGCCAAGAAGTTTGTTGACGGCGAGAGAGGAGAAGGGGTCGTTTGTGACATATTTCGCTTCACGTACTTTTTCACCGAATACGCGTCAGTATCCAGTTTAGTTATGGTCAGCCTGGAGCGAATGTTTGCTCTGAAATACCCTTTTAAATGCGTCGATCCAAAGTTCGGATATAAAGTCATATTCTTTCTATCTTTGGCCTGGTTAGATGCTCTTATAGTGGCGCTACTACCGTTCATCCCCTGGGATCCAAACGCCGGGGGACCTTGTTCGTACAAGCCTACCAAATGGTGGAGTCTGTTGGTGATTCATAAAAACGTTGTTATTCCGCTCCTGATTGTCGTCATTTGTTACTCATACATCTATAACATTGCCATGTCACATGTCGAGACGATACGAAAGGAAAATCGGCCAGGGGAAAACATGAAATGCAGGTTGCAACAGTGGAAACAGCGGAGAAAGGCGACGACAACATTGTTAATTGTCGTTGGTATTTTTATGGTGTGTTGGCTTCCCTCGACCATTTACTACTATGTTCAAAACATCTGTGAACACTGTTTCGATTCCTTTGTTGGCGAACAGAAGGCCATTTTTAACGCCATTGTTAAGATTTTGACTTTTGCAAATTCAATGACGAATCCGATCATCTATTGGTACCGTAGCAAGGAGTTTAAACGCGCATTTCAGAGAATGTTCTTGGGTCAGCTTTGCCATTCGTTAGCCTCGCAGCGAAGCTCCAGAGTTCATTCACAAACTGATTTGACCAATCAGGGAACGTTTTGTAAAACTGAAAAAGAAAACTAATTGTCTTTCCCCCTTATGCAAAAAGATGTAAAACTCAAGATGGGATTAGTCCGTGTTCAAACCAAAATAATGGAGTTTAGGCGATTGGGCCAGTAAAAATCAGTTTGGGATTTTCAAAGGACAGACTTGTCAAAAATTTGGCCTAAATGGCTTCCTAATCTCGACTGTTGTAAATAAGTTAGTTAAAAATTCAGAACCCTCAAAACGCGAGAGTTAGATTGACATCTAAAATGACTAAAATAGAAATGAAAATAGAATAGTGGTTGTTTTTTTTTATTAGTACTTTGTCTTATGTGGTCTTATGTTTTGACTGTGGTGGTCTGGTTTGGGTCATAGAAAAAACAAGGTTACATGAAGTATACCACACGAAATTCAATATGGCGGACGAAAGATAGTTCAATTTTTTATATTTTCATGTTTTTTGCACTCGCTGCTTTGCGAAATGTCATCCGATGCGCATTTCTGACAAATATGGAGTGTTATCTACTTTGCAGTAATAAAACTCACGGTCGTATCTTCCTGCCTGACAAGAAATCTGTGACGGTTGGTCGGACGCCAACGACTGAAATTCGAGATAAAAAATTATCCAGAAAGCAAGGTACACCATCTGACGTTATTAGACTAAATATTACCAAATATTTTGCACACTATCGTTATTGAGACTTTCGATACTTCATGTTTAGTTGAATTGACTGCGGATTATGGACAGCGAACTGTTCTAGTTAAACAAGTAAGTTGACACCAACATGAAGTACCGTGAATGTCCTCCCAGCAAAATAGCTTTTAGTCTTTAGAGACATGTACGCTTACGTTTAGCCGTCATTACTACTTCTATAACAGGATCCATCAGTCTGACCTTATATTAGTTGTTGAATATTCGTTGTATAATTTTTGTAGTTTGGTAAAAACCCGAGCACTGTCAGAGGCAAATCATTGGCGAGGGATGAAACGAATACACTAAGTCCTGGAGAAAAATTATGCCTTTTGGGTTTAAAATATGAACATTTCATTCGTTTTACAACACAAGCTGGAAGCGACGCCGGCGACGATTTTCACAGTCGAAAGAAATCAAACCAGAAACGTAGGATAGAAACTGACGATTCAGACCAAAGCAGTTTACAGCCGTCTAAGAGGTTGAAAACTGCTGGGAATGAGCTTGACGTTGAGATAGGTAGGAATGAGAATGATATTGATGATCTCAGGGCAGAGTTTGGCGAAAAACTGATAAAAGAGATCAGTTCTCATGATGAAGAAATTGGTAAAAATGTAGAAACGACGAAGTCTTTTGACAAAGACTCAGTTGAGTGTCAACCATTAGGTTGTTCTCAGTGGGACGAAACTGCGTCTGGGACACTTCTCATACACAGAAGTGCTGGACTTGTCCCAAAAGAGAAGGTAACGTATTTGTGACATATTTAGGTCCATCATGCAATCTTTACCAAGTGATATTTTAAGTACATCGGTCTAGAATTTTTTTAATACTGGCAACCACGAAATTCAATGAAAGTGTCTTTTTAACATATACTTACAACTTCGATCGACTTCGATGTCAACGTTAGTTATCGAGGCTCGAATGACTCAATTTTGTACACGTGATTCAGGTGGCAAGTTTTGATCTCGATGGGACAATCATTACCACCCAGTCTGGCCGCGTGTTTCCTACAGGACCAGAGGACTGGAGGTAAGTTGAACTGCGTCGCCTAGCACAACCAGGACGAGGGATGTCCGTCTTTCTCTAGTGAAATGCGTAGCCAACGCTTTCTCGTCATTTTTCTGCTTTCCTCTTTCTACAGGATAAAATACCCGCAGATTCCTTCAAAAATACAGTTATTACATAAAGACGGTTTTAAGGTGGGATACTTTGTAAGAATTCCTGCAAACCTTTGTCCGTGATTCTAGTGTCTAACACACAATTCGCTCTCTGTTGCAATCTAGATTGTCATCTTTACAAATCAGGTATCAGATCCAACTGGTTAATGCGAAAAGAAAGTGCAATGAACCTCATGCATGTGTCTCGTTTAAATAAATAAACTGTTTCTTTACTTAAATTTTACATAGGGCCCAATAAGTAAAGGAAGACTAAAAAAAGAGGATTTTCGAAGGAAAATCGAGAAAATTTTGTTGAAACTACAAGTCCCTGTACAGGTAGTTTCTTCAGATACGGTGGTTCGATCTCAAAGCTTGACAGGGAACTTAAAATGCTTATCTTGGCAGGTTTTTGCTGCAACTAGTAAAGATATTTATCGTAAGCCTATGACGGGAATGTGGCGATATTTAGTCGAAAAGGTATACACCTGGTGAACGACGTCTGAAGATGGTTTTCTCTGTCAGAGTAGCATTCCTGTAAAGTCTACTTTATGTTTAGGAAAATCATGGTTTCCCCGTGGATCTTTCCTTGTCGTTTTACGTCGGAGGTTGGTATGAATTGATATAAATACCCGAGTTCCACAGACCACCGTGTTCCTTACTGGATCTCTGCCAAAAACCGTTCAGAATTTGCAGAATAATTCAGATCGCTTTAGCGTACATGCTTGTGTCTTCTATAGATGGCGCTGGCAGACCTGTAAACTGGGCCCCAAAGACGAAAAAAGATTTTGCTTGTAGCGATAGAACTGTAAGATAGCTCTGCCAATGTTGTGTGAAAATTCTTGCATTATAACAACCTGACATTTCATCACCGATTACTGTTTTCAAGTTTGCAAAGAACGTCGGTATCCCATTCCATACTCCTGAAGAGTTTTTCCTCAACAAGAAACCAGCACCTTTCAGCTGGCCCGAGTTCAACCCGGTATTAAAACACTTTGATTTATCATTGTGCAACAGTGAACAGGTGTTCCTTGAATATATAAAGCTATAACTATTGTATTTAATTGGATTCACATTTGTTAGATGGCTATAGAAGAAAATTTACCTCTATTCAGTCCGACAACAGCGAAACTTATCGCGGACGAGCCAGAGGTATGTACAGTTGGTAAAATTTTAAGGCAAAAATCAAATCTTGTTTGCACAAGTGGAAAACGCATGTTATAACGAGTCTCTATGCGAAATATTTTAGGTCATAATCATGGTTGGCTACCCGGCATGTAAGTCGAGAAAAATCCGAATGTTTGCATGAGGTAGTTTCTCTTGCCCGAAACGAGTTCAAAAATTGTTTGACTTTCTTTCAGCTGGAAAGACGACTTTTGTAAAGAAGCATATTCTACCCCATGGCTACATTCACGTGAACAGAGTAAGTCACGTGGATATCATGTTTGGCGCGCCGTGCTAAGTACGAGTGATAAGACTGTATAAAATTGTAATTTCACCTGTGTTATTTTTCTTCTGAAAAAAACTTTTAGGACACCGTTGGAAGCTGGCAAAAATGTGTAGCGATGTGTGACGCAGAGCTGACGAGAAAGAAGAGCGTTGTTGTTGACAATACCAGTCCAGATAAAGAATCCAGACAAAGGTCAGTGGCTTGGGTCGGTGTGGAAAGTCACGGTGTACTCAGTCCCCTAGAGCCGCGCTTAGCAAAACGCACATTGCTTTTATTACTTTTGATTGTAGATATATTCAGGTTGCAAGGAAACACAAGGTGCCAGTGAGATGTTTTCTTCTCAATGTTTCGTACGATCATGCGCAACACAACAACCGGGTAAGTATTCTCGGGTATTCTGCCCCTCACGATGGCGAATAGAGATCAGTTGGCTACCATCTGCCGTTTTTAAACAAATGGGTGATAAATACTGGATCACTGTGTGAAGATTGTCTGCGTTTGTTGTAGATAAGAGAGATGACAAACAACGATAAAAATTACAAATCCGTGGGAACTATGGTGTATAATACATACAGGTTCGTCCTGTTGCCATTTATAGTTCAAGTTTTTTCGACACAAATACTTCAAAAATCACCCGAATAGAAGTCAATGACACATTGTCTCATCCCATCTTCATCTTCAGGTCATCTTACCAAGAACCGAGTGTTTCTGAAGGATTCAAAGAAATCTTGAAGATCAATTTTCTTCCACACTTCGATACAATTTCGATGAAGGAAATGTATATGCAGTACACAGAATAAACATTGACAAAAATGAATATTGTAAAAACTTCAAGAGAAAGAGACAAGTTTAGCGCAATAAACTCTCATTTCAAAAATTACCTGTCGCCTCGTAAAACACATAGATAGGCAACTTATGTAACAAATTTCAAAATATATTTAAGGTTATACCTCACGCGTTTCTCCAGATATATCTCTATACTTTAATACATTACATGGTGTACATTTTATAATACAAATGAGGTCCTGTTTTTTGTGAAGCGAGCTGAGCTTTCATATATAAACAGGGCTTTACTCTACGCACACAAAAATGAACCAAGCTTACCGTCTAATTTTTACGCTTTCAAAAATTCGGAATGAAAAATTGTATTTAATTCCAATTGGATGTCTTAATATATTTCGATAAGCTTGTGAGAAGACGGTAGACGCATGTCATATAAAGAACTTTGACAGTCGGTGGAAACAAAATGAAAGTGAAAAATCAGTTTAAAAGAGGACCTGACTGCTTAATGGAAAAACCAAACAATTTAGGCCGCTTCATCGTGAAGACAAAATAAAGACCAAAGAACGAGGTTTCATTTCAACTGATAATAGCACCGGAGAGTTATCAAATATGTGGGCTTTTACACATTCTTACCTTTTATTAAATATCGAGGGGCAAATACTCTGTCTATGGTTGGGCAATAGCTCCAGGTGCTTGCGGTACAAGCGACGTAAAAAATGTCACGAAAAAATTATACCAGACAAAAAAATATCCAGGATGTGTCTCATTATTGTTGTTCGTGTTGTCTGTTTCATCCTCAGTCTGGGATTCTGAGAATTCACTCTCACTGTCCTGTTCTATCACCTCACCTTCCTCTGTACCCTGTTCTTCCCCCTGCTCCTGTCTTTCAGCAGCGTTATTATTAGCTTGATTGATTTGCACCTCTGGAAAATCAAAATTAACTGTTCAGCTCAGGCAGTTAATTTTTTATAAATGTTGTACTGTTTAGAATTTATTTTTCTTTAACTGTTTTCCATTTTTGCCTGGATTTCAATTCAGTCTACATACTCTGTGTAAATATGGTGTAAATATGGTGTAAATATGGTGTAAATGAGCTTGAGGTTACTCTACCTTGTTGTCTGTTTATTGGAGCTCTGTTTAAATTTAACACACCAGATTGGACCAGCCAAACAATGAATACAACAAGTCCCATAATTATCAACCTCTCCGCAGATGAATAAAACCAGAAGATGCTCATCAGCATAGAAATACGGACGGCCATGTAGACATAGTCCAACCAATCACGCTGTCCATTTTCCTCTTCATCTTCGCCCTGCATCATTCCACCACCTGCGTTCGCATTCATGACCATGTTTTGATTCTGTGCGGGGTTTTCTCGCCTCTCTTGCGCTGGGGGAACTTGGGCTGCGGGGGGAGCAGCATCAACAGGCTGATTTACTTGCTGCACTGGAGCAGGTATGTTTTCCTGCTGAGGTGGTCTGCACAAAACAATATCAAAATTTTTTCATCAAAAAATGAATAACTCCAGATGTTTCAATAATTGATTGTAAATCTTCATGCATCAGACATTTATGTAATGATTTGCAAATTATCTACACTTTCCTACAAGCAGTTATTCAACTTTTTAACTTACAGCAACTGTGCTGTGAGTAAAATCACCTGGCACTAGACATTCAAATGCTAAAGTAGGCAACATCTGGGTGCATTTAAACCTAATGAGATAAGCTTCAAGGCAAGACTGAATCCAATGAAATCACAGATGAAGACTAGTATAGTCTAGCCATGATGATATTGCCAACTATAGCAATACAGTATGTATATATATACTTACATATTTGGGTGCACTACAGGTAACCTATGCATATTTCTTTGCATTGCCATTTGTTGCATCCAATGCATGTGTGCCATATGTTGGGCAGCATAATGTAAACTATGTGTACCAAAATACTGAGCATTTGGATACATATGAGGATGAGTTGGTGGGAACATTTGGTGACCTTGTGGGAACACATGGTAACCTTGTGGAAACATATAGTGGCCTGCCACGTTTGCTTCTACGTTTGCTTGTGGAAAGTGAGGTAGGTGTCCACTAGAAACACACGAAAAATGTACTTTGAATATCAACTGCAAGAAGAAAGCTTTCCTTTTCATCAAATCAAATATTGTTTACACACTTACAAATGATGTAAGTTGTGAAATGGATGCTGGGCAAATGGATGATTCCGTCGATGTCTTACGCCATCAGGTTCAGTTGAACCTTGCGTCATTGTAGTTGTCGATGGTGTTGAGGTGACTTGGGGGCTGGAACTTGTCGGCATATTTGAGGCTGAAGTTGTCTTTAAAAGAAATCATTTAATAAAGTAATGAGCAGATGAACTAATGCAATAATTTAACAGATAAAAGGGGGAACTCAATTTTAACATTTTGCAGACATTTTTCTTTAGTTACACTCCATATTAAAATAAACCTTCCCCCTGGGTGTCTCGCCCACTAGAAAAATGTAAACAAGGTGATAAAAAGCAAGGGTTCTATTGATAACCTCAGCAGGGGTCTTTTCGAAATATTTGCAAACTGGTTTATTCACTGTGAGTAAAATGTAATATAAGGTTAAATGAGAATACCGTTTTGGATGTTTTGAGATCTGATGATGATGGTGTACATACTAGATGTACAGTCTGATGGCTACCTTCACCCTGAGGAAATGAAAGTATGCATAAACACGACATAGGAAGAACATATTTCTAGTTTCAGCAGCGACGTCACGTTTGAGAAGTGCTTATGAAATTTCAAGGATCATTTTACACGTAGGCATACGTGATCATCAGGGCATAAGATATCTCGCAATTAAAAGATAAAATAGATCGCAAAATAATTTGCAATAGAAAATCCATCTGTTTTGGAGTGTGGTTTACAGAACATAGTCAACATACACAATCTCAGATTGCAAATTATATAATCACTCTGGCATTAAATCATCACGTAAACACATCTCCTATCAAAACGTTTAGACAAAACACTCTGTGAAAGGAAAATAATACTTATCATATAGGTTGGACCGATTATTGCAGCCGTAAAAATCGAGAAATCAAAACAAATGCGTTTAATATCGATTTTTTTCACACCTCTTGCAGTACATCTTTCAAAATGATGTGGTCGTGAAGCAACTTTCCAGAATATATGATTTTCTGACTGCTTCGGGCCTAAAAACAGACAGGTAAAAGGTAAAAATGAAATGACTTTGAGAAGATCTCAAAACAATCCTCCGTAAATCAATCAAGCGAAACTTTGAAAATAAAATCGATGTAAACAAAAGAGAAAATTAGGAAGGCTCTTGAACCAAATTCAAAACAATGAACAAATGTCATCCAAAACGTACCGGTTTCGTCGGGTAAACCAACGATAAATGGCTCTTTAGCTTCTCGACAGTCCAGTCCAAAAGACAGCTAACTTCGATGTCTTTTATTGTTTGATTTGGCGTTTTGACAACTAATTTTATCGACGATTCCGAAGCTAAACTTTCCATTTTGTCCTCTCGCTCGCTCACCGACCCAAGTGCGCGACGTAAATATATGACGTCATGTGATTCCCGTGGCGCAGCGCGGTTGGTTAAAGAAAATTACCCACACTACACTGCATGAACGCCGCGGAAATTGTTAATTGCTAAACTTGGCTGAGAAAAAAGATACTCAACAAAATATGTCTTGCACAAAAGATTTGAAGCATTTTTGCGACAGTGTTCTGGGAATCCAACCCAGACGCCAAACAATGGCGTCTTTAACAGACACTTTCGAATTTGTAAAATATGCAAGAAATCTTTTTTTACTTTTTACTTTTGTTTGGCCCCAGACATGGACACTGTTTTCTAAAGCCAAACGAAAAGGAGGGAAACCGGAGTGCCCGGTGAAAAACCCTCCAAGGTAACCTGAATTTCAGGTTACCTGACCGGCGGTCCGAATTTGGTATTTTCATTTAGAAATCGTCCTCAATGACATGCGGTTCAGTTTTTATCTATAATTTATTTGTATTTACCTGTCCCAGGAATTGCATATATAGCTATGCAATTCTTGAGCTTCGTCAACTGGATCCTGGTGGTGGTCTAACGTGCGCAGCGCGCAAATTATTCATTGCAAACAGCAGGCTGTTACGAATTTTAATTAAGCTGCGCTTTGTCCGACAATGGCAACAAAAATTATTTCATTTATTCAAATGCTATGTTCATGCTTTTTTTTTAAATCTGGCATTACGAAAAGAAATGTTTCGACTTGCATGCTTTTTTTCATTTGAAACCGATGTAGACAACAACACTCTTCTATTAAGACATGCATCTCATGCACCGTTTATCTTTCTTTATACGTTCTAGGGATTATGGTTGATCAAAAATGAAGGAAATAAACCTATTCGGGCTCAACATGCAACTTACTCAATATGGCTAATCAATATTCAATAATGTTCCTCACCTTTCGTATCGTATAATTACCTTCGGTAATCAGTGTACCCAAATTCACTTGGTTCTTTGCTTCATTCCAAACAGTTGCGTTCTTCTTCAACAACATCTCGACGGTTGGGCGTGTAAGAAATTAAACAACATAGTAAGTGTGTCAAAATGCAAAGGGTTTTCTTAAAATGGTTTACTTTTAAAGTAAGAAAGTACTACAGAATATTAACCTACAGTTAAACACTATACCCCCAGATATCCCCCATTATGTGAGTGTAGTTTTCATGTAATGCAATATATCTTGTAATATAGGAGTTATATTTTCCTTATTATAGAAACTTCATCAAGTTAGTTAAAATGATTAGATTTCATACGTTTATTTCCTTCATGCTTGAGATTAACCAGAAAATCGAAATCCGAAAAAATTAAGGCCAACAAGGGAAACAGAAGAGTGCTAGTGTCTAAACAGCAAACAGTCAATTTTTCTTCGTTTCAATATAATTCGAATTTAAATGTTGAAAGACTAAGGTATAATTTTTGATGCCACTGACGGACGGTCCTTCGAAGCGGTTGCATAATAACAGGCTGAACAGAGAACTTATATAATCACATAAGTACTCGCGATTACCTTCGTATTAATCTAAAATTAGGCTAATACGAATTCTATTATATTTTCTCGCTGCGTGCGCGTCGCCCATGCATTCTAGTTGCATTTTGTTAGTTTCATTTGAACGCTTTAAAGCCATCATGCATCTTCCGCAGCTGTTACGTCGTTTGGATTCACACGTATTCACACAAGTGACAAAACTAGCAACTTTTTGTATCGAAAAACGCCCTCATAAGAGCTCTGAGAAATTTCTTGTTTTCATGCAGAGTCGAAATTATTGAAATGTCACTTGATTTGTGAATACACTAGGTTAGACCACCAGGAGGAACCAATACCATGCACCATGCACCATGCACCATGCAACATGCAACATGCACCATGCATTACTCTAATCAGTATACCAGTAATATGTACCTCAACCAGCTTCTACTTGTACACCCGTCTCGTCGTTCATCATCTGATCCTGCGACGATCCTCCAACATCTGATCCTGCGACGATCCTTTATTATTAACTGATCCTGCGACGATCCTCCAACATCTAATCCTGCGACGATCCTTTATTATTAACTGATCCTGCGACGATCCTTCATCATCTGATCCTGCGACGATCCATTATCATCTGATCCTTAAAATAAATACAAAATTATGTTATCACTAATACCCAAGAGAGAAATATCACCCATGTATAACGCATTCAAAATAAGAACTGAAAACTCGATTGCACACCTCCAACATCACCCACGATACTTGTCCAAAGCCTTCGCATTGCGCACGCGAATACAAAATATCATGCACGTTTTGTACGAAATATTCATCGTTTTCTTCATGCATCTGAGAAAACTAAAACACTCGACTATTATCTCCTTCTAGAAATACAATTTCTCATGCATTTTTATGTTTTAGGCGCTCTGTGAGCGATATTTTTTTGTTCCGGACTATTGTCGTTCAAGATAGAGAAAATACAAGTGATTGGGGCCCCAGAATCACTTAGATTTACTCCGCATGCGCTTGATACGACTAGGTCATTTAACCCATGCAAAAACCGCAATCCGAAAAGTTGAAAATCAAGGAGGTAAACAGAAGAGTGTTCAGCATATCTCAGCCAAAAAAGCCAAATCCCATGCATATTTTATTCATGCATATTTTATGATTTTTATCATGCATATTTTCACCGAAATCAAATTGAGTTTTGTATTTGCGTGCATAAATGTCGCCCAAGGCAGCTCCGACATCTTTCCACTCCGACGATTCTTTTATTCTAAAAAACGAGAACCTCGGTTAAACACAAAATTCACGGGCATATAAAGCCTAGAAAGAGACTTGCTTTCCGACTTTTGTTTTGTTTCGTGGTAAAACTTGACATGGGAAGCAAAAGAATGACTACAGCAAGATAAGATACTTTTGAAGTATAACTGAAACACGCTTCGAAATTGAACTAGTACTATGCGACCACCGCGTATAAGGAAAGAAAACGCATAGTGCTTATAGACCACTATATTAAACGTCAAACGTGCACATGCATAGAACAATACCTATTATTCGCTGCCGGCAAGCGTTTGTGTTTCGCCTTCCCCCTCTTTCGCCGCTGTAGTTCGTTTTGAAATAAAATTACGAAGGAAAAACGAAGTCAAGTTAACGGCTCACTTACATTTCACATTTTGAATCGAAAGAAACAAGATATAGGAGTGTAATATAGCAGTATATAATAATATATAGCAGTGAAAACCAGCAAGAATATGCCGGCATGCACTCGCTAATGTCTTCGGGCTATTCAAATCAATATGGCGATAAATTCTAGTAATTTGCAAAGCCAAAGATCAAGCCAACAGATTCTTTCAACAAACAATGACCATATATATACCTGAGCAAGATTCTCCAACTTTTCCTTAAACTTCTCCTTGTGGTTCTTCCTTCTTCGAGAGTATCAAGTCTGACTTTCTACTCGTATTCAACCCCCTTTTATTATCTCAAAGGACATTCCAGGGGACAATGCACTTTGCTTAACAGTAAGGCCTGTTTCAAAGGTCGTTGCTTCATGAGAATGCCGAGCGCATTAACAACATTAGATAACGAGAGTGGCGTAGCCAGCCTGACGATTTTGTCCCGCTATGTAAATTTCGAGTTATTATAATTATTCTTGTCTTTAGAAATCTATTGTTTTCACAGTCAGTGAACACTAAAATATTAGCATAGCGGGACAAATCGTCAGGCTGGCTACGCTGACGAAAATTTCTACGCAAGACGAAATCAAATAACGGATGTCAGCAATCAGAAGAAGTGTTTAAATAGAGGACAAATGAAAATTACTAAGTCTAAGGCTCAATCTTGATTTCAGATTGACATTTTGAGAGAGAAAAAGCAGCCCAGCAATTTTAGGAAGACAAAGTGTCATAAGCCTTTTTTGAGCAAAAGCGAAAGAAAAGCATTGACACAAGACAAGGATTGACCATTTCGCTGGGATTGACATAGATTTATTGACATGCAGACTTTCAGTACTTTGATGTCCACTAATAATGTCCACTAATGTGTTTAAAATGTATTTTAATGGTTTGACTATGTGTTACACGGATCAGTTTATTGAGAGATAATTTATAGTAATCACAGTCGTTACCATGTAGGCGGTACGTACGAATAGCTTGAATTTTAGTGCTTATAGTGTTAATATAAAGTCAGATTTCGAAACTAAAAAAAAGATAGTCTATCGGTTGTCATATGCCACGTCAATAAATTCTAACGAATCAATTGCTGAAACTCCCTCTACGACAACATCTCTCGGAGGCTGAACTATTATTATCATTAGTCAGCGCTGGTGTAGTATTTCCAGTACACGATATTAAATGTGAAATAAGATGTTGGAAAAATAATGAGACATATCTTATCAATCCAATTCGCTGAATTGGTACAGATACATTTGATAGTTGCATCATCCTTTGTATTCTCACTCTGAGCTTCTTCACTTTGAGCCTGGTCGTTGGTTTGTTGGACTTGATAACATCCCTGTAGATACAAACGGTTCTAGTAAGGAACTTGTTTTGCTACGGGTCTAAAACTACAATAAACCTTTTTGGTTAGTACTATTCACTAACTTTTATACGGATTAGGGCGAATATGTTATCAACAAGATGAATGAATAATGATTATCATTATATAAATACTCTAACGACGCTTACCGAGCTCGTGGAAGAGCCGTTTTTATCGCGTTTTCGCCGGCACAAAACAGACAGACGGAACACAAACATAGTTTCCAGCAAGGCCAAAAATACACAACCAAACGACACGATAACGAATATATCAGATGCCTTGGCATAGGAGACGTGTGTTATAGCTTTGTTAATGCCTTCCAGGAGAAAGACAATTGTCAAGGTCATTGTTATCTGAAGTGCGAGACGGTCCGCCACGTTCCAGGGCTCCATAAAGAAGGCGAGCCACGAAAGGACGACAACTGATGCAGAGGGGATGTAGATTGACATCAAGTAGTGACCAAAACGACGCTGAAATGTGAGGCTAATTGCAACTCCAGGTACTAAGAAGTTTTCGGAAAAAATATTATGATATTCTTCACCATTTACACATTACGGGATGTAGTTATGTGTACAGACAGCGTAGTTATGTAGTTTAGAATACGGAACAGAATAGAACAGAATAAAACAGAATAGAATTTTATGGAATTGGAATAGAATGGAATGGATTAGAACATGGGAGGATTTGAATAGAATAGAATAGAATGAAATAGAATGAAATGAAGTGAAATATAAGAATCGAATGAATACATACCGTTTCCCTCGAATTCCTTCGTTCCAATGAGATCAAACTGCGATAGTTTGGCTCGCCTTACAGAGACATGTTTTCCATCGTTGGCGGTATAGTTGAGCAACGTTTTCGAATAGGCAACTGAAAAACAGATTAAACATTTATGAAGTTTGCGTGTATCTTACGGCGTTTATCAAATTGAGTTTGATTATTCGTAGGCTGGGGTTAAATACCGGTTAATAAATGGTAGGAACTCTTAGATATAAGCCCAGTCTTCGTGTACTTACATGAAGAGAAGTTCAAGAAGCAGGTTTGTTGATCCATCGGAAATTTATGCAGATCCATCGGACAACTCGTTTTTATCCACGCTCTTAAAATATTACAAAAACCATTCAGAATGAGAGACGATTATACAGCATGTGAATTCTAGATGTTTGATGGAATTAAAGAGAGTTTCGTTATTCAACGAATCATTTAACAGAGGCATGAAAAAGTGAACTGCTAAGAAAGCACAAGAACAAATTTCTATTCTGCAGACGCCCGTAAATTACTTACAACTGACTGTAGTAAACTTTTCCATCTGGGTGAATGTTCATATTTGTCCCTCCAAATCCCTCGAATCTTTTGGCTTCTTTCAGATTACTAATGCGAACATCAGGCAGCCATATTTTATCTAGAAAATGTTCTCGGATTTTTAGAGTTTTCGTGGAGTTCCATGCGAGTCGATAGTCGTACCAAGTTTGTCTGATGTACACCAGCATTTCTGCCTCCATATTCTCAATGTTCAAAATATCAGATATGACAAGATTCAATGTGACATTCAGTGGAAAACCTGAAATAGCGAATTTTAGATTATAAAGAGCAGAGTATAAGTACTTTATAAAGGGCAGAGTATAAATTCGAATGGCATTAATCACCGTTGGATAAAAGACTCGAATTCCGATTTTAACCGTAACAGTTTGGTTGCTAGAGTTGTTTTTACCGTCATTATGCCGGTTGGGATAACCGTAATTAATATCTTTCATTCCATTATCCCAACTATAATGTAACAATGATTCGGAATAAACCATCCACAAGCATTCCACTAACCTGGTTTGGCAGGGATGAAGCGCTTGTCGTAATTTTTCAAGAGTTCATCAGCGACTCGTGTTTGTTCATTGACATACTTTTGCACTTCTGACCTGAGATGATTGTAAAACCAAGGATTAGTTTTAGTAACGAACAATGAACAACGCATTACGAATTTTCCAACGAGGGCATGCAGTTATCACACACATGCATGCAAATATCTTCCTATTGGAAAATTGAATTTACTAAAATCGTCACAATATTTGCGAGTAACTGAAAATCAATATTTAAACTACAATATTTGTGAATAACAGGCTTTGTATAACTGGTCTTCTATATATATGTAACTAACAATAAACATAGACAGCAAGATCAACTCGGTAAAACGATGTCGATAACTATATTTCTTAGCTTTTCTAAGTTGTAAACATGAACTTACAGACAGATCGATACGTCATCCGATAATATTATGGTTTAAGCCAGCAATTGAAAACATCAATTACAAACTTACTGATAAGCTTGATCCGGGGGAACCAACATCTCAGATACGTCGAAAACGAAATGCAACCAAATAATTATCCTCCAAACGCGAGACAAACTCCACCTTTCGCGCATGTCGAAGATACTTAGAGCAGTTAGCCTTGTTTAGATTGCTATTATTAACCTGTTACTGTAGTTCCCTGTTCAATGTTTTCATTTAAGTATCAGTCTCTCATGCCTTTTATGATACATGAGTGACGCTCGAGCTTGCTTATGAACACTGGATGTCCATCAGATGACCTTTCCCTTGATGAAGAATTCTCAATTTTCATTCCATTCAAAGTTCTTCGTGTTTATGACAACCGCGAATGCATTAATGCAATAAATGAAATTCGGAATTACGTTCTCAACGATTCTCATGAAATCTTAATGCTGTACAAACACAACTCTGTATATCTAATGGAGTTATGCAGACACCTTTGCTTACCAATCTCAATGATGGAAGCTTATTAAGATAGTATTATACTCGATGCCAATATCATGTATTCATAATGATTATACAGAATGAAAATAACGGTGAAAATTGGAAAGTTTGCCTCCGATAAAACTAAGAGTCCTCTAGATCTTTATGACGTGTATTTTTGCCGGGAAAGCACAATTACGATGTGACTGATTAGCCAATCAGACGTCATAGCGTAAATTACTTATGGTTATGACTAGGCAGGAGCACGGTATCATTTTCCCAAAAAATTGAGCAGAGCTTGCTTGCGATTATGAGTATTTTTTCCAATGATCGAGGTCATTCAATTCAGATGTTTAATCATCTAGTATGACGGTGAAATATAACAATTATACGCGGCATTTCACACAGGGAATCTTTAATTACTGGTGGTGTATATATACGTGTCATTCCATTCGCGCTCACGATTGCAGTTTTCAAACCAAGCAACAAATAGTGCTGACGCCACCCAGGGTGGTTTTTGGCAGGTGACGACGCGTTAATAACGCAAGCAAACGATTTATGAACGCCAAAAACAATCCTGTTTTATGGCCCATTTTGTGCATTCTTTGCCTCAAAATTATCTCCTTTAGTTTCGCATGGAAGATGATGACACGATTTGCGAATTGTTTTGTTTTTGAAAGCGGTTTTTTTTGTCGTCACAAAAATTTGACACTTAAATTGCGAATACCAGCTGAGAAAATTGGATGTAAAAGCTGCGTTGTCTTGAATAAATTATTGCATAGAATATGAATATGGTAATAGGTATTATATTTCATTATGACGTTTGTAATACAAGACCTCTAAAAGTAGCAAATATACAATCGAAAACTAGAATTATCATCATGATAAGATCGTCGTAGCTACATATCCGTGCAACTATAATTGGTGTGGAATTTGCTTTCAAATAGCATTTTATATATCGAAAACGTTTATACACATTCTGCAGTTTAGTGTAGACGATTTCTATTGCTGGCCGATCCATACGTTCTAGAGCATCCGAAGTGCTCCAAAAGATCGTGACTACAGGGACACACCACTCACGGAAATGGCGTTACATAACAAAGTAGTCGATAAACAACAATATGTTATTTTGATATTGCTCGCCGTCTTCCTTCTACAAACAAAGTGCTCGTTTTCGCCACCGAAATGGAACAGGTACCAAATTCCAAATCAATTCTCCTTCTTGTTTTAAAACACAAAATGTTTTGTTTGTAATTGGCTTTTCCTATATGATTGATGAAAATTGAAAAGGTCCATCTAACGATAGGTCCTCATGAGCTAGTTCAATTAACTGTAAAGTATTACGCCCAATGAGAGACATAGAGGTGTATACGCCATGCAACAATTCCCTCCTCTGCCTCGATCATATGCATTTGAATACCATCAAATGTTCCATTCTAAGTTCCGAATAACATAAAGAAGCACTTGAGCTAGTTAAAAAAATATATATTTTATCAGAAAAAATATTATATTTGTAGAAGTAGCAACTATTTGTTTCTCAAAATTTGATGAAGATAATCTAGCATCGATTCATTTCACATGGTCTGTTGTACTAGGAAGAACTGGCGAAAGCATGAAAGTTCACTGTCGATCGAGAATTAAATGAATCGAGAAAAACCGTGTGTAAAATGGTCGCAACTCGGGAGGCGATTCTCTCAGCGTGAATGCAGGCGTGTCAGTTGATAAATGAATAACGGCAAAACTGCAGAGAGATTGAGAGAGCTTTTTGTACTGGTTTCCTGGCTACAATTTTCGCGTTAAACCGAATGAAAACAACGTGTTCTCTAAAAAATGAGGCCATCGTAAAATTTCAGTGAAAAAACAGCGATTGTTTCTGTTATTCACGAAACTGTTTCATAATTATATTCGCAAAACATATGGATAGTTAGTGGAACAGCTGTGGCAGATCTGAAGCAGTAATCCGCTGAATAACTGTGAGAGTAAAACGTCGGTGAACTTAATCGCATTGGCGGCAAGTAAAGGAAAAATTTAATCTGTAAATAGTTTTCCGTTTTATCTAAAAAATAGGGTGTCTATATGAGCAGGATCGTTCTTAATCTACTCATTAAATCCAATTTCGAATTCTTCAGTCCTGCCATCGTTCTAATTGTTCGGCATTCTTCATTTAGTTAATCTTTTGTGAGAGTAGACTATCAGCGGTTATTTTTATTAGAATTATCAATCAGGGATTATAGGAGGATATATATACCCATAACAAATTTATATATTAGACCCCTCTTTTCGATCAAAGTTTTGCTTATTAAAACCCCTGCCTCAGCATTATATAGGGAGACTATAGTCTATATATATTGATACTCTACAAGATGGCATATCAGACACGGTTCTAAGTGGATAAGACTGAAGAGATATCTCCTCAGTGATACGTGACCGAAGATCTAGTAGATATATATATCTCACTCTAGATCTCTTTGACGTGACTGTAGAATTCATTTTGAAATCGAATACTTTTAAGCAGACCACGACGTTGCCTTCTGTCAATAAAGCATCACCCACTGTCAATAATTATGACATAACCACACATCAAAATTTAACATCTACTATTGATATTTACCACCTACTAACGATATGCGGCACAGCCAATTGTCAATATTTTTGACCCACGAATTGTTAAACGAGGTAATTTCATACCATGAAGGACATGCAAACGGTTAATTTTCTCTTGCAACTCCTGGGTAAAACGAAACGTTTATCGTCTGTCTAGATCTGAGCTGACTGATTATATCAGTGAAGACACAAACCTTTCGGATAGTCTTTTGGTCGGATATGACAAACGATTTATTCCACGTTTACCAGGTGAGTTACACCAAGTTCAAGATGATGCGGTTTGCTCAGAATCAGTTCAGTCTTCTAGGGAAGACCTGCGTCTCTCTCGTGCCTAAATAAAATAAAAAAATAATCTTCTGTTTAAAAATGAAGAATAAAAGCCCGGCGAATGACGTTCAAACAAGGATTAACAATATTTCGACCATCCAAAGGCGATCAAAATAACAATATAATTTTCCTTCAATGTTTTTAGATGCTCCTTTATTTGTAAAGCTACAAGTCGTGGTGTCCGACGTTCTCAAAATAGGAGACATGGTTTGTATTATTTTTCAATTATTGATATATGATTTGATCCCTTGGTGTTCTGACCAGGTGTCTAATGAACTTTTGGTTTTATCGCGTTGCTTCTAGGAAGCAGAACTCATTATTTTTATCAGACAAACCTGGTACGATTACCGACTTTCGTGGAACTCTACCAAGGAGAGGCTAAAAATCCGCGAACACTTCCTGGACAAAATATGGCTGCCTGATGTTCGTATTGTTAATTTGAAAGACGCCAAAAGATTTGAGGGATTTGGTGGAGTAAATATGAACATTTATCGAGACGGAAGAATATACTTCAGCCAGCTGTAAGGAAATTATATACTCTGCTTGGATAATCTCCATGCAATAATACCGCTTACAATAAACTATGGCTTTGTAACTGAATGATATTTTGTTTCAAACCCAGAGTCCATGTCATGACAAGTTGTCCAATGGACCTACACCGGTTTCCAATGGACCGACAAACATGTTTTCTTAACTTTTCATCCTGTAAGTAGTCAGTTTGTGATTCCCAGCCCCCTTGACCTTGCTTAAATAAACTGTTCTGTCGGAACTTTGCTTCTCTGATTTGTTTTACAGTCGCTTATGGGAAATCGTGGCTGAGCTTCTCTCCATCTGGCAAGCCAGTCGAAGTGAGGCAACATCAACTGCCACAATTTTATCTTGTTGAAGCCAAGGAACTTGATGAAAGCAACAACGGTATGGCTGGTATATCTTTTTAGATCAGAGTAAGAGCTTCAAACAGGAAGCTTTAACTCTGGTCTAAAACCTTGGTCGTAAACGTGACCATGACAAAAACACCACCACCAAAGCCCAGCCATTATAAGAATGCTTTTCTTCTCTTATGAAGGCGGGATGGCCAAATTCAGTGTGTCGCTAACCTTCCAACGGCGAGCTGGCTACTACGTATTGCAGGTTTATATACCAGCTTCATTTCTAGTCATCCTCTCTTGGCTCTCGTTTTTCATGGAAGCAACAAACATTGCAGATCGACTTACACTTGAGATAACCATGATTCTCTCAACAGTTTTCCTGCTCGATGGTATTAACGACAGTGTCACTCGTGTGTCATACGCGAAGGCATCTGACTGGTACGTCATCACGTCGTTTGGTTTTATATTTTTCGCCTTGCTGGAGACCATGTTGGTTTATCGGTTATCACTGTCCGAGAAAATAAAAGCGATTAAGCGTGGAGAAAAACCAAGTGGTGTTGAGGTGTGTATAGTTAAAAGAAGAAACTTTAGTTTTCGAAATGCGTTCCAGTGCGTTACTACCAGTGGAAGAAACCTAAACTAAACTAACTTTATTTATACTGGATATCTCTATCAGTTCTAAACTGTTCTTCCTAGAGATCCAGTAAGGATCATCTTTTATTGATCCAGCGTTACTACAGGAGGAAACCTAAACTAAACTAACTTTATTTATACTGGCTAGCTCTATCAGTTCTAAACTGTTCTTCCTAGAGATCCAGTAAGGATCATCTCTTATTGATCCAGTGTTACTACAGGAGGAAACCTAAACTAAACTAACTTTATTTATACAGGATAACTCTATCAGTTCTAAACTGTACTTTTTGTATGATTTTTATTGGCCTTGGTCCAGTGTTCTTACCTTAACTGTTTTGCAGAACACAGTCGAGAAACAATTGTCGATCGTCTTCATGAAATCTAACGAAGAACTACCGGAGGAAAATATCGAACTAGCCAAACTGAAGGGACAACTAAATACTGGACAAGACGAGGTCGCTTTCAGTCGTACAGAGAGTAAAGTCACAGTGACTAAACAAAATGCTGTAAGATCCTGCAGTCCTTCGGGTTGGGTTGATAAAATATGCCTTGTTATGTTCCCTACACTTTATGTTGCTTTCAATTTTGGTTATTGGTTTCATTTTTCACCGTAAACCTAGTGTTGAAACGGACAAACTTCATGTGACAAAATATAGACAGTAAATTTTGTAGTACCCGTAGTGCAAAATGATTTTAGTACATTCTGTGAGAATAAGTTTTATACTCTTCCTACTCGTACAAGTTTGTTCTATAGCTACATCTCATGTTATTTTGTCAAGTGCACCGTAACCGTTTCACATAATTCTCTTCTCCTAAATCTCGTTCTTTAGATATGATATCTTTGTTATTTCAAAGGCAAATTAAAAAGAAAATATAGTTTTGAGTTTTGACCGCAAAAGTAGCTAGAGAGTGGTATTACAGAGTGCCTATCTGGGGGCGGTTGTATAAATTATAAAACTCTTTAACTACATTTTGCACATTTAAATCGTAGTTAACTCATAGATTGCTCAATTGGTTAACTCTGATTGGCCAATTCTGTCCTTAACTACAGTTAAAAGTTAACTAGTCTTTTATACAACTGGCCCCAGAAGAACAACTCTATCACAGTTTAACGATCTAATTGCCCCCCTGCCAATGCCTACAATGGCGCCATTTTTAATATTGGTAGGGGGAGGTGACTGATTGCCTCTATTTACGGTACTTGCTGAGTGACGAATAATGACGAATCACACTTACGCAAAAAAACAATAGAGTTGTCCTTTAGATAGTTGTTCTGTCGTCCCCCCCTGTTGGAAATTGCAGCCTTACTTGATGGACATATCAAATTTGAAAGTGGAAGCACTGCAGCGAGCCAGGTCAGGATTTCAACTACTGAGCTATATAAGAATTACTACATAGCTCAGTGATTTCAACGGGGAACAATCAAAACATCCAATATAGACTAGAAGATTTGCAGCCAGGATCATTTCTAAAGTGAAAAGACACGCATGATGTATAAAGGAAGGTTTTATAGGCAGGGTACAATCGTAGCGTTTGAAGAGGATGCGACACACGAGTTCAAGGGTCATCGGAATCTAGCAGTGGAGGAATTACCTCCATGGTGTTACATACCTGGCACTGATAGACGCTCAAGAAGAGCTGTTTCTAGGTCAGACTACTGCAGTTTTAGAGGCCGTTTATTATAATATGATCTCCTACAACCATTTTATTTCATCTGACCAGGCTTTCTTCTCCATATTGGCATTGTAATTTACATTCTTGCATCATTCTTAGGGCAATCAATGCATTTCTAAACACGGGTAAAGGCGGCATAGTTTATTTGGGTATCACTGATGAAGGTAGTGTCAAAGGAATAAGACTTTCACAATATCAGGTACATACAAACACTTTGCAAATACCATCAAATACTGCAATTTCCCCTGAGTAGACTTAGTTACCAACTTACCAATTACAACCAGTTCCCATGACATGTGGTATTCCAGTATCTATCACCCGAGCATCAATCACCAATGCACAAGTTAACTTACAGAGACACCTTTTCTAGAAAGACCATGTCTTGGTATCAATGAATGACCTCATGGGTCGATATCAACCAAAGGTTGACTCTGAGCGATTCAGTGTGAGTGAGCAAATATAATTTCTTCTTTATGCTCCCCATCATTGCATCCTTGAAAAATTTAGTTGTTTTAATCATACCAGATTGAGTTTGTACCTGTGATACCAAATGTAGATAGTCATCCATCAGCACACATGGACTCATTGAAAAGGTTAGCAATATATATGAAATGATGCATGTTGTAAAAGCATATACTACTACTATCAAAATTTTTTATGTTGTCTATCTACAGCGAAGACCATGGTAGATTAACGCCTCATTTGCTACGGACACCTGAATTTTGTTGGTGTGATAAGGATGCTGTTGCTCAGTTCACACTTGTATGAAATATAATGCTTGGAATAGATTGGTAACCTGTTTTTAGTCCATGTGTCTTTACAAGCTAATAAAAGTTTAGCTCTTTCATATTCTTAACCAGTTTCATAACCTTCACAGAAAATATTTGTTCACAATACTATTGAAACTTTGTGACCTTATTTTGCAATATCTGCAGGGCATTGAACAGCCAGACTATGTGATAGAAATCACCATTCATCCTTACAAAGATAAACTAACAGAGATCTGGGATAACAGGTTTCGACTGGATTTGCATCCTGTTTATCAGGATGAGGAGGGAAATTGTTATTTTAGAAGACAAGCAAGTCTTGTTCAGGTTATTATCTAACACTTTTTGCCCTTACATTGTTTAGTATTCTAAAGATTTCAGGTTCTCAGGAAGTTGAATGTGAACTTGAATAATATTACCAAATGTTTTTGTCCTAATTTTGCACTCCTTCAGTACAAGCATGCAGATATTTATGAACTTACTAAAGAAGAAGTTAAGCAGTACTATGAAGTTGTCATAAGCAAGTGAGGAATGCTATTTCACATTTGACTTTTGTCCAAAATGGATGCAAATTTAAATTATTAAAAGGCAATTGTTTTATTTTCATAACTACCCTTTATGTTTTTATCCCATGTTCGTAGAATGAAAAGAGAAATCCAAGAAGCTAATGGTCTGTTAAAAAAGCCAACAACTATGAACAGACTTTCAATGAACTCCTTCACGCTTGGCTGTAAGATGCTCAACTTCCCCATCATATTGTGTTTCCATACTAATGCCAGTGGTTAGCTCATTATATCATTGCTAGTTTTCTTATTAATAGGAAATGTTTGGAAAGCTTTCCAAAGTCAGGAAATGAAAGATGCCCATGCATGGCAAGATGAAAAGTCTATTTGAATCAAAGGTTGTAATGAACAGTCACCTAGAATCTGAAGCTTTGCCAATCTGTAAATCATTGTCCTTCCATGAATGAACAATGTTATATCTTGAGCGATTTAAAATAGCATCTGCCTCCAACAAAGTTTTTATGTAGGAAGTTATCTTAATTTTTATGTATAATATTTGTGTTGTATAATTTAGAATAAAGAGTATAAATGATACCAAGTATTTGTTCACAAACATCATGTGATAAAGCTTTGGCTCGAAGAAGATTGTGTCTTCCTTGCAGGTTCATTCCTAGTTTATGGTGAATACGGTACTCTACTGACATATTAGGACAGCAGCATCTTCTGCAGATAATAATTTGTCCCCACCGAATTCATGCCACACAAGGTTTTTGACATCCGAACTTCACACATAGGCAATAAATAATATTAACCGTCACCGTGTGTAATGGTCAGTGCATCAGCAGCAATTTCATGGCTGTGTTGTGTTTGAAGATCACTTAGTTTCTTCTTCAAGATTGACAATCCAGATAAAACAATGTTTTCTGGTCGAAGTGACCCACAACTCTACAGTGACAGAGGGAGGACATATAAAGAAAAACCAATCACACAAGTGCTTGCATCTTATGTAAAACCCTGTCTTGAAAAGATCTCAACTTATTCTTCCCCCCATAAATGGTCCTGGAATATCCGTGCAAAAGTTAATACCTCCACATTGATAAAAAACTTGTCAGCTTTTCCCAGTGGATCAAATGGTGCTTGATCTGAAAATAGAACAGTGCTTTAACCATAAAACAATTTCAATTTCAGAGTCAACAAGTTTTGATATTAATGAAAAATATCATTACTCACATTCATCTTCTTCCAGTTGAGTGAAATCACTTTTTGGCCTGACAAATTGATAAAGAACAAGTCAATTACCAGCAGTGTCCTTTATTTTTTCATGGAATGGTCACATTTGACTTAATTATTATAAATTGAAAATATCTTCCATCTTAAATGTTTCTAATATATCTCACCATTCTTCCACTTTGGGATAGGTTGTATGTCTTAAAGCATTATCAGGGTCATATTCAAATGCAACACCAGCTGTTGGATTCCATTTTGCATGCTCCTTTGCAAAACCCTGTAATACATTAAAACAACAGTATTAGGTGCTACATCCATATGTAATCGTTAATTGTATTGTAATGTGCAGAATAGACTTGATAATAATGCATTATAATATACTGGACCGATAGAATCGACGTCCACGCTAAATATGATTATCATCTGTACTTACTTTCTTTGCAAAAGCATGCAACTTTAATTCCTAAGGAAAAGAATGTATGGAAAATTTTGAAGTTGATTACTATATATAAACAATATCTACAATGTGAATCAATCATACCTGCCCTTTACGAAGTTTCACTATCAGGATATCTTAAAAAAGAAAACTGCTTCTGCTTGTACAAAAATATTGACAAATGTATGTTACATATTACGTATTTCACTTTTTCAAATGATACCTTTCTCATCACCAGCTTCAGAATCTTGATCTCTTGATGTTGCCTTAGAATGAGAAGAATTAAGATATGCCCAATTAAGCCATGCAAGCAAACAATTGATATTTATATGACAATTAAGCAACTAAATTATATGTATATGACAATTAAGCAACTAAATTTTATGTATATGACAATTAAGCAACTAAATTATATGTATATGACAATTAAGCAACTAAATTACATGTATATGACAATTAAGCAACTAATTGATATGTATATGACAATTAAGTAACTAATTGATATGTATATGACAATTAAGTAACTAATTGATACATATTAACCCTACACTACCCACCGGGAGAACTTTTGGATTTGAGGAGACCAGATCACGCGTTGTCACATGACGTGTTTGTTCATCAATACATTTTACATCTAATGTTAACTCAACTGAACATTCATCACAAAATTCTTCACATATACAATCCTAAAAAACACAAACACACTGTAACTGACTGCACTACAGGATTTAAAAATCAATGAAAAAAAAGCCACCACACAAAGACCTACCCTACAATAATTCATTCCATCAACAAATTCATCACTGGTTAAGGGAATTAGACCTAAAACAAATTAAATATTTAACTAACTTTATATATTGTTTCATTCTATTCTCTCCTCTTTATAACCTTAATTTTTCAATTCAACATTTTCAAAATAATCCATTTTACTTTTTCACAAAATTCAACTGTTTCAAAACTGTTTACATCTTACCTAATCTGTGTGCAATAAATTCATCATGAAGAACAGATGTATTATTTTCAATTTGGACCCAGTCGATAGCTGGCAAGACAAACATGATCACCATACAATTTTAGAGATCTTTACAACCGATAAAACCATGTCAAATCAAAAAACAAACAAAATTACCAATAGTAGGTGTTTCCGCCATAAATATTCTCCGCAAAGCATTTGCCATGCTGCAAAAAATAGTATGTCATGCACTTGTAGCAGTTTGTTCAGAAACATGAATTTTTCAAACCAATGTCACTATCTGTTCAAGTGGCAAAACCGCTTTTAAGTTGACAAAAGTGTTATGCAAATGTGTTTACAATCATAAATTTTATGGTGAACAGTCTAATATATCAAGACCTTTTTACATCTTTTGTGTATTTTGCAGGTCGGACTAGTAAAGGTGAACCAAACATTGATAATTTTGTATTATCGTAATGATCTATCACTAGCAGTGTTTAAAAGATGCTGGCAACATCTACTAGCAACACCTGCAGGCAACCAACTAGCCAAGTCCACTAGTCCAATCTAACTTTGCTAAAAGTCGATCAAACAACTTAGATCCAGTCAACAGATTAATATGCTATCGTAGATCATTTGCACAAATAACAAACATGCTGGTACTACATGTTATATAACAAAACCAGTTTGTGTTTCTGGTACCAAATTTTGCCCAGCAAGAGAGATGTTGAAGGTGATTTCCAGGGGGGGAATAACACTATAAAGTTATTCCTAAAATGTGTTAGTCATAAATACTCATTGAATGAAGAAATTACCTGAGATCTGTGTTCTCAACAACAAACTTTAAATTCTCATCAGTCAGTTCACTGATTCTTATAATCGGTTGATTGGCATATGGCATTTTTACACAATGATTCTCTTGAAAGTAATCAAAATATTAATTTCTAGTTCAATTTTTTGATTTTTTTTCTGCTCTGCGCGAACGCCGCGAAGACTAAGTCCAACTCATCCCAGGAATGTATCAAAACTGAGCGATCCGATGTTTTTTATTGGCCAATTCAACCGATCTCGAATGTGATTGGCTGAACAACAAACACACAAGATTTTAAATTTTGTTCGAAGATTTTTCTTTTTTATTCATTTGAATCATTTCTAATCGACAAAGAAGTTGCATTCACTTGTTTTTAGAAGATAATCTTTAAAAAAAATGGCTTCACAGAATGTAGATCCAACAAGAGTCAATTCTAATACAAGAAAACAGAATGAAAAAAGCGAGGTTCCGTCTGTTGGCTTGCACACGGCAACCCAGAGGTCGGTTGAAGTATGCGGTATATGTACATTTGACGTTTTTTCTACCGTAGCTGTGTATTTTATTCACTCCTCCTTGTTTACATTTTAAACATTTCAGTCCACTCGGTGAACTTGCTTTGTTAAATTTTCAGACTCCAACAAGATTTGATGACTTTAATGGTAAGAATTGATGATAAACTTGAAACACTATGCCAAAATCAACAATGTTGAATGTTTCACCATCAAATTACTTATGGACGTACATATATGATGTAAAACTACGTTTTTCTCCCAACAGTGCAGTGGAGAAAAGTACGTCACTGCTTTTCCTATTGATGATAATATCTTTAACTGGAAAGCAACCATCACTGGAGCAGAGGGCACGGTAATGACCTGAACAATGGTTTATGCTGTTGTGAATACTGAACTGTGAACATGATTCTGATATCACAAAATTATTTCTCTCTTGTCAGGCGTACGAAGGCCAGGAATACAAACTCTCGCTAGAGTTTCCTGCTCGATATCCATACACTGCTCCTAAAGTGCAGTTCATTACACCATGCTATCATCCAAATGTCGACAACCACGGAACAATTTGTCTCGATATCCTCAAAGTAAATACAAATCATATTTATTCTGTTCTGCAAATCGGCATCTGGTGTTCACCAATAAGAGTCTTCTATAGTGAATTTGGTTCCCTCCTGAAAACATGTCTAATATATATGTTTAGGATAAGTGGTCAGCCCTGATGGATGTTAGAACTCTTTTGCTCTCAATTCAACTTCTTCTATCAGGTAACTGAGCCTAAAGCTTTTCATTACCATAAAAAATGAAGTTGAACTTTACTAGAACTCCTTGTTGATTAACCAGCAATTAATATGGATATATTTTTGTTTCAGTACCAAATAACAAAGATCCTTTAAATGCAGAGGCAGCGCAAATGTGGGATAACAAAACTGGTTAGTTTGGTTGGAGATGCCGAGTTGGATCACTTTTATTGGTCCTGTAGTTTCTAAACATCCTGTTTCCCTTTCAGAATATGCAGCAATTGTACAGCGAAAATACAGAGAAAATGCACAAAAATCAGAATAACTTAATATAAAGGGTTCATTTCCAAAGGACTAAGCTTAGTTCTAAAGGAAATCTGCACACAAATGTAATATATATGTTAGCAATTTGTCAAATGCAATATTGATGAAAACACAATAGTCTGAAGCAAATATAACCTTGACACATTGCAGTTGTGGTTTTGCTAACAATGATAATGGAAAGATATTAAAATTGTACAAATTTGAGTTTTTTCCTAACTTAAAAATATGGAACTTAGTGTAAAAGCATGTACAGTAAAAATGAAATTGCTTGTAATTTGTTGTGTTCACTCAAATAGAATAACTAGAGACTATCAGTTGCCATTGCTTGAGATATGGGATTTATTATTGAGAAAATCAAGTCTTTCATTGAAAACTTTGCAAACAGTTGAAAATAGAAAAGCTTATGTCTTATGACCTGTATTTAAAAAAAACTCAATTTAAATATAAAATTTACAATCCATTACCTTCAACCGTACGTCTGTCATTGTTAAAACTAATCTGTGGATATTTACAATAAATCCTCTAAATACTTATCCCTGTAACACCCCGTCTAAACTTGTAAACGCACATGCTCCAAGTCCGGATTTAGCCATTAGTTTTATACACTCTAGTGTTTGTCCAAGGCAAAGTTCTAGTGGTGGTTGGCGAGGTAAATCTTGAGATTCTAGAAACAAATCATTGGCAAGTTATAAGGGAATAACTGGGAAGAGATTTGATTTACATCATGTAAAAATAGATCAGCTTACCTAATATAGCACTGTTTAATGCAGAACAAACTGGTTCTCTCTGTGTCGGATCAAGCAGGTAGGCGACTGGACTATTATGTGGATCATTATATGCTAGCAAACTAAATGCATCCTACACAAAAATAATACTCATTAGGGCCTAGTTAGCCTCAACTAACTTATATCATACTGAGTAGCTCTGTCAGTTACAAACTGTTCTTATAAGAGGTTCAGGAAGGATCATCCTTTATTGATACAGTGTTACTAGTACAGGAGAAAGCGTAAACTAAACTAGACTGTCCCATACTCTGAGACCAAAATATCAAAGAATGAATACCTCTAAGGCTCTTTTATTCGCAGGATTTGTGCCATGTTCCTGCTTCAATTCAACACTTAAACTCTTCAGTTCTCGCCCATACACCAATATCTTCTCAATCAAATCATTATTACCTAACGTGCAGGAAGAACGCTTCTGACTAACATCTTAAAAAAAAGTTATGAAAAAAATATTAGCATTGAGACCAGAATTTCTCAGCCCTAATAAATTATAACTATATATGCTTCACACATACAAGGCCTTAATAACCACATCCTTGCTAAATTCAATCACAATGCAATTGGGTCAATTCGATGCAAGAGATTCTAACAAGGTTTTTCTTGTGATGACCATGTTTTACATTTTACCTCGCATGGGACTGCAGGAAATCTCCTCCTGAGATGCACTTCCATTAAGCACTCCATTTCTTGAAACATCCACTTCATTTTCCTCTTCAATTTCCATTAGCGTTTCCACGCCACCAGCCACGCCATTTTGAATGCCGTTTGATACAAAACCGTTACTGGAATGGGGTGAGGAATTGAGACTGTTTCCACTACTACTGCTGCTGTGAGGGTGGGTAGGACTGGAGCATGGACTTGACTTGTTGCTACGCGACGGACTATAGGCACCAGGCCCTCGTACCTCACTATCCTGACCACTGACCATCTCGACAAACTGTCGACATTTTAACGAGAACAAAAGATTCTGGTTTCGTTCAAGCAAACCAGGGTAAAGTTTTTGCGTCATTTCTATTGCTTCTCCTACCCGACCAGCTAAAATTAACTTCTGGATTCCTAGAAAGAAAAAAGTATTTAAGAACTGTTGCAGTTTGCGTTTAAGTTACCTGAGAAAAATATTATGAAACCTACTGTTTGCCTAAGAACTACATGCAGAGAATAGACTAAAAAGGCTTTTCATAAACATACTTTGTCTATTTTTAATGGAGGCTAAATCTTCAGAGATTGGCTGACCAGTAGTCTGAGCGAATACCTCAGCTGTAGCAGAGTAACCATGATGCACTAAATATGTTGACACCAACCTAGGAAATCAAAACAATATGTCAAACTATTAACCTATAAAAACAACAAATTCACAGGTCAATTTCCAAGCGGTATTCTAGCTTACCTCTGCATCGATGTCTGCCAGCAATTGTGTTTGTCACTCACAGAAAATGTTTCTATTGTGTTGTCAATGTGTGCTTGTAATTCCTTTAAAACAAACCAGCTTATTCTGTATTGACCTTGCATTTAACAGAAAATTCATCCAGATAACAACTGTACAAACTCATTACCTTAAATTCCTCTGCAATGTCGTAAACAAAAGGACTTTGTCCAAAATTTGCATCCACAATTTCCCCAGGTGTTTGTAGTCCAACAGATGGATATAATTTTGCCTAAAACAGATGAAACAACCCTTGTTTGCATTACATTCTTTAAACATCACAAATGACTTTTAATACAAGTGAAAAACTTACAGGTAAATCTGTAAAAGCAGTTCCTGAAAGGAATATTGGATTCATTTTTAGTGAAAAAAAAATCTTAAAAATGCTAGTCGTAATGATTGACATGAACTAAAATGGATGTCATTGTGATTATCATGGTAATAACAATAACATCAATCTTGATATTAATGGTTCTCTAAGGATGATCAGGGTAATGATGGTGGTGCATATGATTATCTGGGGATAAATATCATAATGCTGATATTGAAAGATTAGGAGAGTAATAAATTATGTAGACACTCATTCACCATAGTAATTAGCTAATAATGGTCATGATTTTAAATGCCGGATACGGTTGATTACATGATTACAAATGCCATGTTTGTAGTACTGAGAAATATAAAAAACAAATGCTCACCAAGTTTAATACCATTCTTTGTATAGAAGGCTGTATTATCAATCATATTAACACCACATCCAATTACATCACCAGTGGTAAATGTTGGACCATAAGGTTTGCCTGTCCCTGATGACGAGAATGAGTTACCATCATCACCATGGTAACCATATGACATCTTCTCCCAGCCTAGAAAAGACATACTCTAGTTATTGAGAGGCAGCAGGTGGAGCCTAACACAGAAAGATGATTAAATTTAAACCTTTGAAAACCATTCTAAACAATATAAAGATAAAATATAAAAAGTTGTTTCCTGATAGTGCTCAGAGGTTTCTTGAGTACCTGGTAGTCTGTTCAAGCTAACTCCAAATGCAGAAAGACCAATCCCCATGTAACTAAAAGATCAAAAAAGGAAGACTCAGAGCAATAATCATTACGCAAAGACACATTTATTATCAAATATTATTACCCATCTCGTCCTTTGCTGATAATTTTAATTTCAAAATAATAAAGACCACATGATGCAGGTATTGGGTGACTGGTCCTAACCGCCGCCGCATCTTTGTGGGTCCGACCAACACCTGAAAAGTATAAATATTGCACGTCACGTTGACCATACATTTTAGATATGCAAGTGTTTCAGGAACCAATACTTGATGATGTACGAAAATATTACATGAAAATGAATCATCTAATTAGCTTGGATAATGCCCTGGGGTAATATTTCTCCCAGAATGTTTAATAATTAATAAATAGGGGTAACAATAATATATATATAATATACATATATACTAATATATATACATGGCACTCTATATTTTTCCACATTGCCAATCAATAAATTTCCATTTTGGTCTCTACCACCCTTAGACTTTGGTATTCTTAGCTTTCAACAGTTCCACTAGCTGACTACGAAAACGATGACAATATATTTTTGAAACAAGACATAAATTCATAAAATATCTTAGATTGAACGCCATGACGCACGTATAAAACACGCGTACAGCCGTGTCAGTTTTATCATTTAATAAAAATACCCATTCAATATGTTTAAAACACCAAATACCAAACAATAACAAAAAAGCTATGTCTATGGCGTCACGATATCAAAATATCACAGCACAAAAATATGCCAAAAAACTCGCCTTTGTAATGGACTCTTAAATTAGTTTGAGATAAACCGATAGAGCTACACTTATCCTTGGGACTCCAGGATCTTGGTAAAGGCGTTTCAGTTTCGTCAACTTTAGGATATAAACGGGAAATCGCATCTCCAATGCCCGATTCAATTTTTCCACTCGAGACAGCCATTTTGAGTCTTTATAATTTCTAGAGAAGATTCTAACTAGTTTCAGACCTCCGCACCGCGCATCCACGGTAATCAATGTGCCTAATTATTGCCTAATGAACCACTAATTAAAAACTCTACCCATCTGTACATTCAAATACTCATATATTTTTTCCGAATGAAAATTTTTCAAATGAATGTCAATTATCCAGGGTATTTTTACCTGACTATGGTTAATCATCCCATATCACCGTCAAAGCATATTGGTGGTTTTGAAGTTCCAAACAGTGTGTGTGCATTTACGGTATAGGGGCCAGCTTTCCTTTCCCTTTCACCAGCACCTTATTCACAGTTGCTGCATTTGCAAAAAGTTGCTTCAAGAACAAGTTGCAAAAAAGATGATGATCCAAAATAGCCGATAAAGCATCATAATGCTTTGTCTATGGAAGTGTATCTACTTTCAATCACTTCATTTTTATTTTGTTGACAATTCTGTTATATCTAAAATATTTCTCAGCTCAGCTAATATTTTGCAGAGTATGTGGAGTTCATTTAACATTGTGTGCAGGTATAAAAATGAAAAAACAATTGGTTTTGTGATTTATATCTAAAATTCAACCATTACAATGAAGCTTGCTTTCCGAATAAATGTAACTCTAGAAGAAATATTGTCTTTAAGTTAAAACTATGGTTTTCTTTTGAGATTAGCTTCAGAGTCCACCATGCATTAACTTCATATTCTGCAAACACCTCCACCAGTCTTTTTCTTTAAATATAAGCGGGCAAAGTTCCGATTACACTACTTTTCACAATTTTAACCTCAAACACTCATCAATTAACTTCTTTTGACTTTAGCTTCTCCACAAGACTGTTGATGTTGACGTTTTTCTTAAGCTTGACATAAGGACATTTCCTAACATACATGATTGTCAACCATTCAGGCACCACCTCAGAAAGTAACTTCACATGCTTTTCAATTTGTACTAAAAGAAAAAATATGACAATTGGTCAATGCATCAGCAGAATCATTGTTTTCATGAAAAAAGGGTAGAACTGAACTAAAAGCAAGCAGACTTCACCTGAAGACAGGGTGCTTGTATAACTTTCTGCCAGTTTAATGCTAACATCTTCTAAAGGAATTGCAGCCTTACGTTCACTAACAAAATATCTTTGAAACAAAGTCAAGGCTAAACATTATAGCACATTGCATCATTAAAATCAAGATTGTTGCCTCTTCAGGCACATATCAGCTTTGTCAATTGAATAACCTTCCATCTTATAATAACATCTAGAATGATGAACAGAAACCATGTGTGTGTTTAAAGGATACGTTTTCATAATTCGACACAGTTCAGGAAGCCGTTGCAGCATGACACGTTTTTGTACAACTTCTGAATCAACTGTGAGAGATTCTTGGATTTTCTTCTCTTCTTTCTGCCGAATCTTCGAAAAAAGAAATCCAAACTGAGCCGTTAAAATTTAAAGAACTGGCTGACTGCATAATATACTGAATGTTTATAATAAAATACCTTTTCAATAAGAGACTGAGATACACCTTTTAATGATGGATTGCAGTTTTTAGCTTGATTTAAATCTTTTTTAATTTCATTAGATTTCAAATTGGCCTTGATATTGTTGCTCTCTTTAGACTTTTGCACAGCAAGATTTAATGCTTTTTCAACCTGCAAAATTAACATGAACTGAAGATTAGTCTATATACATTATCTACCTATATCATAATTTATCTATCTATTCCTAACAATCCAAAGATCAACTGACCCTATCTTTGCTAGGCTATTACCTAGTTTCATTAGTCTTATGCAATCACTTACCCTTGGTGTCATATTAAGCCGAGCACGATCCAAAACATCCTGAGCTGTAGAATAAGTCTTTATTTGAGGTGGCTCAGGTAATGGCGATTGCTCAATTTCCGAGACTTCATCAAGAGGAAAGCACGGATGCCATCTCATTATCGCATCATCATCAACACTCAATGAAGGAAAATTCCTTGTCAAATACTGCCGATGATGGCCCATGGTGACTTTCAAAAGTTCGCTCTTGAATTGTTTCTGCCGGGCAATGAGAATGGAACTTTCGATAAACCTTAAGTCTTTAGGCTTTTGGTTGCTTTGCTTTCCATCAAAGTTAAAATCAATTGTCAAGTGATATTCGGATTTTTTGGACGCACAGGAATTGCTTTGTTGGAAAACAAATGCTGTTGGAAAGACTGTTTGCATTTGGGCAAGATGCTTCTTCTCAAATTTCCTAAAGGTGATAATACTTCAAGATTAGAATCAGAGTGTCAGAATAAGTAATTTCTTCCAACAATGTTTCCTAGCCTTAAAAATTAAACTTACTTTCGGCACATTTCCTGGACTGAATCTTTTAGCTTCTCAAATGTGCAGGTTTCATAACGTTTCTGTTTCAGGCTGAGAACAACATCGACACAACGGAACATTTCCTCAAGTACTTTAAAATGGTACGGTAGAGGAAGGTTTCGTGTTGTAGCAGGCTTAGGTTTCTTTGCTTCAAGAAGATGGCTGAATCTTTTGTATGCTGGCATCTTGGAAACACTGGAATAGAGTGAAGAACATTTATGTGGTTGATTAGGAGGAGTGTTTGTTGTCACACAATTTGATGCCTATACTTTTGTCAGAACACAAACTGATTTTAAATTACCTTTCAGTTGTTGATGATGTAGACTTTGGAGCCCCACCGGAAGTCACCCCCTGGCTCAACCTTGGCACAATCGCCTTAACACCTGCATTTTGAGATTTCTTCACTTTGGTGTCTTCCTCCACAGTCTTGGCACTTTCTTTTACCATCCGCCCCGAAATCCCCTCTTCTTTCTTTCTTCCAAGACTCTTTTCCAAGGCTTGTTTTCCCCGACTTGAAAGAACCAACTTAGCTTGTTCTGCTATCCAAGGATTAGCCTTCAAACCTTTCCTTGGCTGGCTTGTTATGTTCTCAAGTTTTGGAGCAGTTTTTGAAACATCCGTGCTCACGTTTTCCGAATTTTGAGTAAATTCAGGTTTTGCTCGATTGGGACTATCCTGAGGTGGAATTTGGGGGGTAATTTTTGCCTCCGATTGCTTAGCTTGGAGTGCGTCTTGACTACCAACGTGAGGTACAAAGCCATTGATAACTTTTTTAGCCGAAGATTCGGGGTCGTTGTTAACCATATTTTGTTTTCTTAATCTTTTCTCGATATGATCATCTTTTGACGAAGTTGTGACAGAAACGATACCTTCAGACACGATTTTATTTCGAGCTGACTTTCGCGTTGTCTTACCGTTTCTTGATCTGCAACGATTAGCTTGCTTTATCCGACCAGTTGCTGGTGAATCTGACTGCGTCAATCTCAGCTTTTCCTCGTTGGAAGACACGCTTTTTTCGGCAAATAACATCCTAGCTTTGGCTGGAATAACTTCAGGGTCAACTACAACTTTCCGCCGTTTAGCAGGATTGGTGTTTTGGCGAGATTTCGCGGCTGTAAAATAGCTTGTTAGAGTCGTTTGACCTTCCATGTTGAAAGCGTGCTGCACAAATAAACAACAAGGGACTTTAATAATTATTGGCGGGAAAATTGCTGAGTCTGCGGTATCGCAGCGGCATCGGGGTACTTTATTTAATAAGGGGGAAACAGGCCGTGGTTTTCTTAAAAATAATGCTTTGAAATAGATTCCGTAATCTTGTTTTCTTATCTTACACTGAAAGCGAAAATCTTGGGATTAAAATGTTGTTCTTCGGAGTGTATTTTTCTCTAACATTTTTTTCCGTCATATATCCTCTGAATTGAACTCGTTTATAGTACTGAAATTTTGACCTAACAATCAACTCACTCACTAGTGAACCGTGGTGGTTGCTAGGAGAAACTAGAAAGGGCTTTCAATTGAAAAATCTGTAGACGTTCAGGCTTCTCCCTTAACTGCTCAAGCATGGATTGCAAAATTTTTGCAATCCATGATTTGGCATCACTGAATTGGCACCCCTTGAGTCTCAAGAGGTCGTTCTAGCTGTATCGGCTCGCAATTCTCCAATTGGGCACAAACGGCAAAAACAGTTGTTAAAGGAGACTGATTTTCCTAACCGTGGTTTAGTTGCTATTTCTGTCAATACTTGCTGGCTTTTGACCTTCACACGGCCTTTGTCAGAACTCTAAAGGGCCGTGTGTTGACTGTGTTCAAGTATCAAGTTACTCAGAGACATTGACATTGTTTACAAGTTTATTTCCTTTCCTCGTTATCAAAATATTTTATTCCTGTTGTGGAAGTCGCTACTCAAATGGGTGTATTACGGTATATTTATTTCATTTCCTTCATTTATTTTCTTGCTGACTCGCGCGGCAAAACATCAGCGAAAATATTTGAGGCAAAATCCGCAAATGCCGTGTCCAGCAATCCAAGGATTCTTCTGTTATCGATTGGCGGACTACGAACCGATTATCTAACGAGAATAAACTGTTCAAACATTCAGTCACTCGCGGAGAATGGTGTATCAGCCAAGTACGTACAAACCTCAATAAACGTGGCCAGTATTGCTAATCATTATAGCATGGTTACTGGACTGTATCCCGAAAGTCATGGGATTATATCTCAGACTATGTTCGACCCGATTTTGAACCGTGTATTTAATAGTGAAACACGCGAAGAGCCTGAATGGTGGAGCAACGTGCATCCAATCTGGCAGGAGATTGAGAACCAAGGACAAGGAATGGGTGCTGTGTGTCGCTGGCCTGGTGTTTATGGTCCAATGGTTCCTACATTGCGCTGTGGGCAAAGAAAATCGTTCAATTCAGACATCGATCAGGCAGCGAAGTGGTTCAAAAACGGTGTAAAACTGGTCCTACTTTACTCTGATGATATAAAAAAAGCCGCTATAAAATGGGGGCCCTATTCACAAAATGCTATCAAGAAAGTTATGAATTTAGATTCCTCCATTAAATATTTGCTAGAGAAAACACGTGACCTTAATGTGAATATACTGCTGACGTCAGATAGCGGAGTCACTGACCTCAAGTGGGATCACGTGATTGATCTAGACAAATGCCTCGATCCGAAGTCGTACGTTTTAACTCAAGCCCAGGCCACGCTCTTGATTTACCCTAAGCAAGGATACACATCCGCAGAAATTCACAAAAACCTCTCAAAATGTCCTCATATTAGAGCGCATTTGAAGAGCACTTTGCCGGATCATTTTCACTATTCTCACAATCGGAGAATCCCGCCTGTCATCGCCTTTGTTCCGTTGGGTTCCGTCGTGCGCTCGAGTAAGCCCATTCATCAAAGTATCAATGCGATTCTCAATGAATCACTATGGTTACCGAAGGATTTGGGTGGTAGCGGCTACCATTCAGGATACGAGGTGATGCGAGGGGTGTTTTATGCAAGCGGACCATCCTTTAAGGCTGGCCTGAAATATAAGGCGATTAATAACACCGATATATATGGAATAATGTGCGCTGTTCTAGGTATAACCCCCAGAGCTAACAATGGGTCAATTCCAGTAGCTAAAGCAATGCTAAGGGGTGTAGATTTTGAAACAGACATGGACACATCACCCACAAGCTGGTTATCAACCAGCACCACATTGCCACCTACAAAATGGGTGAAAACGTACTCGCGCAATCACGGCCTGTTCGGAGATTTCGAATTGCGCGGCTTTCTGATATTTCTGGCGTGTTCTGCGGCAGTGATGGTGTTGTTATGCTGCATCGGCTGTCTTCATTCGATGAGAAAAAATGTGAAAGGGGGATTTAAGAGAAAAGCATCCGTCTATCCTCCAATGTTAAGCACAAACTTAACTTCATCTGACGAAGACTAGTGCTCATTTGATCGCGCTAAATATTCTTATTTGTAAAACGCCTGCATCTGCGCCAGGAGAGAGATTGCGTTTGCCAAATAGTTGTTAATAAATAATGATGGCCTAATTGCTAGTTATATCTAGTGTGTTAAACTTTAACTTTCGAAAGGAAAAAAAAGCTGAGAAATAATGTTAATAGTTTATTTTATTTATACATAAATAAAGACGTATTCTCTTAGTTGAAGAAAGACTTTGCGACCCTTCGTTCTTACAGAATTTAACATCTTATTTTTAGTCGACACTGACAAATGTTTATGCATTCCTGTGCTGGAAACTAAGTAATAAAAGTAATAAAACTAGACTATAAACCATGCAAAAGTCTAAAAGTCTCAATCTCGTATGATTCATATAACTAAAATATACTCATAAATCAATCAAATCCAAAACTACCTAGCGCTTGATATAAGTTGCCCTATAATATTCCAAATCACTGTTGTTATTTTACCATTTTTTGTAGATGTTTTTTCAAAATTACTACTTCAATAAATTTCTTGATTATCTTCATCAAATTGAATTCAAATATTTTTACTTATATATGAAACAAACTCTAATTAATAGCTACCTAGAATTATAGCCTCATGAAGGAAATAATACGACGATAAAGAGTGACCATACATTGTCTTTCCAACTGCCTTTTTCATTTCATTTTGTTACCAGGCGCAACTACTATTCCTTCCATAAGGCATCTTGCAAGTTTGCAACCGTTTGAGTGACGAGTATTCATTAAAAAATCGTCCCATTGTGATCATTCTATAGAACAAGATACGGAAAAAACCCTTTGTTGAAATATATGTGTGAAAGAAAGTTTAAGAAACTACTTTGAAAATGGTAACCGAACTGAGCACAGGACACCTATTTAATTTTTTGTTGCGAGATGCGCACCAGTTGATCATGCACTCATATTTCAGCCAATCAGCACTGTCAAATATTCGTAATCTGTGTATGTTGTCCCCCCCCCCGCAGGTGGCAAATAGCGAGTAAACCCTCATACTGTTTCGTGCGATTAAAAATCAAGTTCATTTTGTTGTAATTGGTTTTCATACCTATAGTTCATTGTCGTAGTTGCCTCAAGACTTCCGGATCATAATTTAACAGGTTTGCATGATCTGACCACGCAGAATGCGTTGCTCCGTCCATTTCAGTCGCAACTTCATTTCCTTCAGCGAGTTTATGATTCTTCCCTCCAATCATCTCGCCACATTCTAGGCATTTTCTGGACACCATCGCTCCACCACATTCCGTAATAACGTATATATGACCATTACGGCACTTGTACCAATGCCCTTTTGAAAGATTAAGAGCCTTGACAATACTATTCTGTTCCACCAGGGACATGAGAACTAGTCCGAGCTTGCTGCTGACGTCTTCTATCACGTCAGCAACTTTAGTCCGTTCCTCGACTGTTATGGCCAGGGCTGTATCAACCGCACTACTTTGACGTGACATGATTTTCTTCGCCGACTCGATGCTCGATTCAATATCCTCCGTTAGTCGAGAACTGCTGCATTCTTTCTTTATTTTCCAAAGCATGATTTCAAATTGACAATTGAGTGCGAGGAACGCTATACTGTCTGATATATCCTTGATTTCTTGAACGCTTAACAATCTTTTGGATAGAAGAAGTTCAAAAATTCGCTTCTTTTCTTTTAAAAGCTTCGGAGTCTGTGCATCTTCGGAGTCTAAGCCATCCTCTTCCGAACCTGCGAGAAATTTTTTGTGGATTTCTTCAAGGCGTGAAAAAAAATTGAGTTTATTTTCCAATGTAACGTATTTATCAGCATCTTCGCCCAGACGAATAACCTCTAGTTTTAGGTGTAATTTTTTCTCAAGCGTTGGGTAGTTCTCAATCAGTTTTTCAACGCGCTGTCGTAACTGAACCCGTTTCTCACGAAGTTTTTGCTGCTCATCTAATTTGATCTTTTTAACCTTTTCAATATCTGCCAAGGTTTTCTTCACAATATTACCATATCTTAAACTGCGTCGTATCGCAGTTTTGCACCTCGGGCAAACTTTAAGTTGAACTGCAGAACTTTCATTCTCCTCCATTCCTTCCATCCAGTAATCCAGGTCATTCACTTCAAAGATATGTCCACAGTCGACTAGTTCAACATACAAAGCATCAGGTTCGTCCTCGTTGCCAAGAAAGATTGACTGTAGTTCATCCTTGTTGCAAACACGACACAATCGTGGACAGAAATCTCCACAAATTCCGACGCATTTATGTCCGCATTTAAGTGGCTTCTTGCAGGATTCATTGCATTTCTCTCTATCACATAACTCAAAACACCGTTTGGTGCACTGGTGATGTTCACATTTCCACATACACTGCATTCGACATTGTGTACATGGTTCTCCACAAGGTCTGGGGCATTTACTATGGTTGCATTTATTTTCGCAATCCATTATGCAAGGAGGACAATTTTTTGTACACGGCTCGTGGCACTCGTGAGAACATACGAGTAGACGTTTGCATGGTTGCTTGCATTTGACATGAAATCTTCCTTCATAGCAATGATAGCAGTCGCCTGGACATTCGTGGCCGCAGTCGAGTAATTTTTTGCACTTTTCACTGCAGGGGGAATCCTTCGGGTCACTCGAGCAAGACAAAGATACCGTATGACCACATTTGAGAATACGTTCAACTTTCGTTTGACACGCTATTTTACTGCAATCTTCGCCGCATTTTCCACCACAGTCGTGACGGCACTGGAGTTTTTTCCTGCAAGGATTCGGGCATACAATACTCGCGCGCTTAAAACATTCAATCCGTATCTCGTGTTTGCAGGAGGGAACTGTAAAGAGGATCATCTCCGTGCATTGTTTACAGTTTTCACCAAAATGACATTCACTTTTACAAGTGTGTTTCAAATCACACAATTCTTCCAGGCACTTCTCGCGACAGCGATACCTCTCGTGTTTAGGGTCTACGGGGTGACAATGCAAGGAACACGCATGACCACAAGGAAGGCGAAAGCCACACATCGACATGCATCCACCTTGTGGTGATTTCTTGAAATCTTCAGCCGACGAAGCTTCAATTTTCGTCTCAGGGTGATTTGGACAACATAAAGGCAAAGAGTTTCCAATCAAAGCCTTGTGCTCCAAATGTTTCTTAATTTTACCCCATAGTTCGTTTTTACTGGCCATCATTGAGATATCACCAATACAATACATAGCTTTTTTCGCCCTCGACAAGGAGACACAGACACGGTTTGATACGTTGAGGAAACCGATTTTACCTTCCCTGTTACTTCTGACTAAGGACAGTATGATGATATCGCACTCCTCCCCTTGATAATCGTCTACAGAGCTGATACGAATATCGCCGAAAGATTCCTTTGGCATACGCCGCTTCAACTTCAACAACTGTCCACTATACATTGTTAATACGGTGATACTGTTGCCTGGGTAACCTTGTAACAAGAGGTACTGACATAGAGCAGCGACGAATTCGACTTCGTGTCGGTTGGAAGGACTCTTCAATTCATCATTTTCACTTTCTGGGTTGTTGTGGTCAATGAAATAAACATTTTCTTGAATGCCAGTTACGCTATCGTAATCCAACACTGATACATCGTCGGTCAAATCAGGGTAAATAATACGCATAATGTCAGCGATCTTTGGTCTCATGCGATGCTGAATATTCAACGAATGACAAGTAAGACCATTTTTAACCATTCTTTCAAAGAGTGAAACATCTAGCTTGTATTTTTTTGCAAGTTCAAAAACGGTTGGTTTTGGCTTTAGTTGTTTATGGTCCCCGATTAAGATTAAATGATCCGTTCCACTGGAAAGAGTTGTTATTACATGACCCTCGAGTACCTCAGCTGCTTCTTCTACGATCACAATCCTTGGTTTGATTTCTTGCAAAGTTAGGCGATGTTTGGCCGCTCCTGTAGTGGTCATACCAATCACGTCGACTTCCTTTAAAACTCGTTCATTTTGAATGCTTTCAATCTCGGCCATCCGTCGCAACGTGTCGTCGTGATCCTTTTGCAAATCCTCAAACCGTTTCGCGTGATATTTTTTATACCTCTCGCGCCATTCTTGGTAAAGATTAGCGCGCTCATCTGCCGAGAGATGTTTCAGATCAACTTGACACGTTTGCTCAACTTTTCCCCCGATCCTTTCAATCTGTTCTCCCAGGATCAACGTCAGACCTATATCGCTTTCTTCGTCATCATCATCACTTGACGTGTTCTCGTTATCAAAACTATCATCACATGAGTCGAGTACCTCCCCTTCTTCAACATCATCATCGGAAATTTCAGAAATAGCGGCTCCTAAAGAAACATTCGGCTTCCTTTCGTCTTTCTTTTGCCTATCAAAGTGTCCTTTGACTGCCATGACATTGCCTTCATTGCACCCCACTGAATCTTCAATATCACTTCCTTTAGACTCACTGGTTTTAGCATCTGTGTGAAATTCCCCTAAATCGCTATCCGGGATTTCACCTTCTTTCAAATAACTTGAACTATTTAACCCTGCTTTGGCGTTTTTAACAGAATCCACAGCTGTGGAACTTGTAAAAGACCAGAAAACCGACAAACTTGCACGTTCACGAATCAGATTTGGCGTAGAATCAACAGTCTTTCTTAAACGTTTTGCTTTCGAGTCGTTACATGTTGAACTCTTTCGTTTTTGCTTCGTTTGCTTGACGTCATCATCCTGCATTCTAAGCCACGCCTCGATTCTATGCACTCGCATTTGATGAGCGACACGTTCCCATTGTTTAAGCTGTTCCTTTTCTTCGTCGTTTAAGATGCTTTCAACTTCTTTGGGACCCAGTTTTTCGGCCTGGTTCGCCTCTACGACTAATCTTTCTTCTTGAATTTGAGCCTGAACAATTCTTAAACGAGATTTTGAATGTCGATAATGAATCGACTGCTTGGTTAATTTTCTTCTTTCTTTCAAATTAAAACGTTCCAGGGTTTCGCTTTTTCCTCTCGAGCCGACCCTAACGATGCTCTGAGTGATCAGTAAGATTCCTTCGAGAAACTGGTCAAGAGCGTGGTTTGTGTAGCAAACGACCAAAATTGGACTATGCTTTCCTGTGTCATTTTCTGCCTCGCGTCGACACCAGGAAGATTTGTTTTTTAGCAAAGCATTGGCAATTCGGAGTCCAACGAATGTTTTCCCGGTACCTGGAGGTCCTTGGATGACTACAAATTCTTGCGAAAGCGCAGCTTTTAAGGCGCTGTACTGGGAATCATTTAAATCCACTTTGGATTGTGATGGCCAAGCATTGAGATCTAAAACAGGCACAGACTTGGCTGTTTCACACCTCAAAGCCTCCTTCAGATTAAAGCAATCATGGCATCTGTCATCGTTCCTCATTCTGTCTGTTACTTCGAGGTTGCCAGGTTCATTGGATTTTGTTGCAGGTTGCACCAAATAGACTGGCGGCTTGACTTGTGACGCGCACTCAACCAAATATCGTTGAAATGGTAGGGAATCTTTGTTGAAATCTTGGAGACCTTTAAGAACATGTCGATAACTTTCGAAGTACGCCGGTGACTCGATCATTAGGAACTGCTGTTCGGCAGATATACCATCACCGAGTTTCTCGTCAAAGAATTTCACATTTATAAAACCCTTTGCAAGTTCTTCATAGTTGCGTTCGGTGATTGTAACAAAATGCATACAAGATCGATTGTTGTTGTCGATGAGACAATATAAAGAACCGTATTTAAATCTCTTCGAGTTCTTCCAGTTAACTCGACGCATGCGGGTAACATCAAATTGAACCGAGTGAAGCAACCCTCCTGATCTTGTGTCCAAGATTCGTCCAACAACTCTGGCATTTTTGTACACGTGGATACTTTGGGATTGATTTTCCTGGATACCAGTTGCCTTTAGAACACCATCGCGGATTGGGGCGATGTAATCTTCCCGAAGCAGACGAAACTGGACATCAAGGTAATGTGTAACATCTATATATCGACCTTGAATAATGTTTGCTCGCAAAAATGGCGGATGTTCAGGAAAGATATCTTCATGTCTGGGGAAAATGGGAATGCTTTTGTAGTCATCTGGTGGTGCGTTTTTCTTTCCAGTCATGTTAGATGAATCATGCTTTCGAATAAGTGTTTCCTTCTGCAGAGATTTTAATCTAAGGATTCCTTCCTTTATTCGATTTCTTCTATCTTCATCGACAGTGGACGTTTTACAACCCGGGGCGTTGACGTTATCTGCTGTGGCTTCGTTACGCATCACGCTGTCACCACACTCATCTGTGCTGGAGGATTTGATGTTGCTGTTTGTTTCGATGTGGTCGTTTTGGTTGGTCTCCAATTGTTCTGTGCACATGTTGATGAAAGCATCTAAGGGCAAATCCTCACAGACGCTTGGAAACCGAGTCAAAAGCTCAGTAAAAAAACGAATAATTCGTTCCAAATGCGTCTCTTCCACGCGATCTTGTCGAAGGCGACCTACATAATATCGAAGACGTTTCAAAAAATTCGCATCCTTAAATGCATTAAAGATTTCGTTTAAGTTTATTATGTGTGGAGTCTCATAAACTTTGCACAAAACTTTTAAAATCTCGTCAATTGATTTTCCACTCAAATCGTCGCACTTAAGGAACGCGCAAAAGTCTTCCAGGTCATCCAACAGAGCTATTAGAATGTCAGACGAGTCCTTCACCAGCAGTCTAACTAGCCGATCGTTATACCGAATGAAAGGGTTTTTTCTCGGCTTCTTGTTTGGTGAACGACCACTTTCAAATGACGACGACTTTCTTTTCCTCGATTCATTCTTCACTGTGCTATTTAACTTGTTTCTGCTGCTTTCTTCCCGAGATTCTTTTTGTTTGGATTGTGCTTCTTTACGGTTAGATCTTGTTGAGGAAGGTCCCACTCTTGTCGATTTTGGAATACTGTAAGTCTTTCTCCAATCGCTTCTTTTTCGTTCCTGTCTTGATCGAGGAGAAGGACTTGTTCTACGTGAAGACGTCCTTGGCACACTGTCATTCTTTTTTCTTTCGATATTTTCACTTCTTTTTTGCTCCATATGTGAATCAGCAGCAACAGCTCGTGTGGAAGACACACTACTCTTCTGCCTTGATCCCGAAGATGTACGAGAACCTCCTAACTGTACCTCCTGTCTGTCGGATTTAGAAAGCTGCTCACGAGAGCGCGTTTCACCAATCTTATTACTAGATTTCGGTCGCTTCTGACAATCAACGCGACCATTTGTTGGCGAGAAACTTTCCTGAGTCAAAACTGTTACATGGCGTCTTGCTCCGGAGCGTCTTTTGTTTGTCTGTTGTATATTTGTCCTGCTTGAACTAGGGATAGAAATATTCATAGTCTGATTGTCTGATCTCACTGATCTCCGGCTTAAGCTTATCTTCTCACGTAAGTCGCGTCCAGCCCTCTTATCTGCTATGTTTGGATCAGTCTTTTGACTTAAATATACTTTTCTGTTCATCTTTGAATGTGAGGAGCTTCTTTGGTCCACAGCTCTTTTTATCTAATTTAAATGTATAATTAAACTATAAACTCATTATCATTGACCATCCACGCGATTAGGCAAAAAAGAAGCTCTTCCTTTTTAGCTCTTTTTCGTATGTATACACTATAAACTTGTGATCTGCTTAAGGGATAACCTTGACCTCAACAATAGTTATATTAAGTTTCGCCAATATGTGGAGTTAGCTACGATTTATTTATGCCCAAAGGCAAAAATGTAGTAGCAGGGACGTGGAAAGTAAATTGGTATTGAGCGAGGCACATGACAATGCAGAGACACTTTTCTCGAAAAAAAGGCAGTAATTGCACTAGGAGAAAATAAGATTTATTTGTTAGATATATGCCATGTCGAAGGGGCACATACCAAGACAATACAGACAATACAGCAATCGCATTTTTTAGAAGGGTAAAGGCCACAATTGGCGCATAGGTCACATTGCGTAAATGCAATAGACCCTTTGCATGTTAGACTACTTTTTGATCTGTGCAAAATAATCCAATCAAATCACCACAGCTGAAAAGAGCGTACCAAAATTAGTAAAAATGCAAAGTTTGGTTGCGAAATGTCGTAAAATACGGAAAATATAGCCTTGCAAAGTTTGCAAATTTCTATACTTTAGTTTAACGCACGCAAAATGTTACCACATTCGGGCCCAAAATGGTAACTTTTTGCGTGCGTTAAACTAAAGTATACAAATTTGCAAACCTTGCAAGGCTATATTTTCCGTATTTTACGACATTTTGCAACCAAACTTTGCATTTTTACTAATTTTGGTACGCTCTTTTCAGCTATGGTGATTTGATTGGATCATTTTGCACAGATCAAAAAGTAGTCTAACATGCAAAGAGTCAATTGCAATTAAAAAGAAGTGCAATTTATTCAGTTTAGGCCACAACGTACCCCAGTGCTCCGGTTCCAACGTGCCCGATTGAAACAACTAACTCATTTCGCCATAAAAGTCTAATTACACGAGAAACACACGACTAAACGGGGAACAATAATTGTACGGAGTCACGGACTGACGATGAAGGAGAGGTGAAATTGAACGTGAGAGAAATTAGAACTGTCAAATCACTACGATGCATTACAGCGAATTTGAATTTAAACTTAACTCGGGTTGACTTTTGTCTTATACAACCTATGTGTTTAGCTTTTTTGATGCATGTTGTGACGGCTCTGCGAGGCCGGTACAAACATTTAAATCTATTCATATGAATTAGTCAATGCCTATAATTAACATAACGAATGAATGGTTTTTATCCTCTGCATAAAATAATGATTATGTAGAGAAAGATATATCCCAACTGACAAAATACTTAGGAGATTGCTACGTATAGCCGAGTCATACAGCGCCTGCCCTGCATAACTGCATAAGAATGAATGGAATTTCGTTTTATACCTACAGCTATCGTGGTGGTATATCTACCCATGATCTACTGTATGCCTTTTCTATTCATCAAAACAATATATCGTAATACTAGGATACGCTAGAAGCAGAATTTAGGAGTAAAGAGACAGACTTCTTTTTGAGACAGACTTCTAACAGCATCCTTTTATCTCATAAGAAAATCATGAAGCAGTTTCATCGCCGACGCCAATGAGGCTTCTGGCTTCGGTTCCGGCAATAAGATTATGTATTATTAGTTTCTTATCCTACCAGTTTTTGTCCGTTTTTCGCCTGATGTTGTTGTACTTTATTTCAGGAGATAAAGTCCTCATTCCTTACAACAAGAATAAATGATTTACACCTGCAATTTCGGCCGTCTTGTCTTTGTATTAACGACGACCTGCTATTGCGGTAAAATAAATGTGTGGGTGTGAATAATCAACTTCCAAGAAACGAACGCTCTTTTAGATTTCCGGCGAAACCAAAGTCAATACAGTTTTAGACCTCTCGGATTACCTATAGAGGTATACGACAGAAAGCACCCTTCATCAGGATGGGCATAGTGAAATTAAACTCATGCATAAAAAACTTCAATAATTGATCAGTTCCGACGGGAAAGGTAGCCCTGGAGATATGGATGGAAGCAAATTAATCAATGTCATAAAATCATGTCATAAAAAATACCTCATCCCCCACATCTATGCATCTGGAAACCGACGCCAAGTTTTAAAAAAATACTTTAACTTCATACTTATTTTGGCATTTTTTGCCTTAAAAATTGAGTGCATAAAAAAGTTGGTGAAACTCTCAGTCTCAGTAAAGTATATAACATTTCGCATTTGACACTTGACAGCCAAAGTCTAAATCAGCCCTCAAATTGCATTTGAGTTAGGAATCAATTTCTAATCAATTTTCCTTACTCTGGGTTCACAGACGGTTTTGTTCATCCAAAAGGTAACGTTTCAACGTCTTGAATATTCTGTGGAATTTTTGTTTCGTCCAAGGAATTTTCGTTTGCGCTGCACATTCGTCTAATATTTTATTAATTTTCTCCTCACTTTGCGAAGGGATGCTAGCAAGCAATCCACCTTCATACCACTTTGATTTAAAAAGATCTCTGCAAATTACCTGGAGGAAAGGAAACACTGAATAAGTTTGTGTGAAAATTTCTAAGAAAAACAGCATGACTGATGAACCTACTTGTAAATTATTAGAAATCCTCACTGATGTACACTTTTGTCTCTTTATATCACATAGTGAGGCACAGTCAAAGAACTCGCAATCTTTGTCTGATGAACAATTACCAAGTTGTTGGCCCAATAACTCTATTATTTTCTCACCACTATACACCAAGTCGACATCAATTGCTTTAATTCTTCCTGCATTATTTACACCAAAATTACTGGCTTGAATATCACAGTGCTGCCAAGTAAAGCCATAGCTCTTTTTAGAGTCAAGCTCCTGAATAAAATCCATCAATTCCAATGCAAGCCTAACACGAACTCTCCAAGTGACAGCTGCCGAGAAAAGCCCAACTCCAACAAAGTCTATTAACATTTGAACTTTTTCCAAAGCATAAAATTTTCCACATGTCCCATAAATCTTTGGCATGTGTTTAAAATCTTTCAACAGCTGCATAAGAAAATATTCATCCTGCCGTAACAGCATCCAAAGGCTTTGCATTTCAGTTTGGCTTAGGCTAGTGGGAGATGCATTGAAATAGAGTTTTGCAAGCAATGTATTTTGTGAAAGTGTAGGAAGAGTAGGCTTTGTATTGTTTTTGTTGAACTGGATTAATTCCAAGACAACATGGTCATAAACTGCAGAAATGAATCTCTTTTGTAGTTCAGGTAATGCTAGACTTGTGCTGTCTAAAACAAAATGAAATCTTTATGGTAGTTCTATAAAAAAACTTGCTTGCAGAAAAATAATTAAGATTTCAGAAATTTCTTTAGTGATCAGAGGATGATGATCTCACTTATGTAATGGATTGTTTAACTCCAATTCACATCTGGAAATTCATTGTTTAAGGACCTAAGTCAAACTCAAGTCTAAATTGGTTATTGGTTATCTATCCTACCTGGAAAGACTTCTTCCCAAGAGTTATAGGAAGACATTTTCTTTGCTTTTAAAACAGCATTCTGCTGTTTCCATTTCACTGAAAAGATGACATTATCATTTTTATGTGACAAACACTGTTCTATAATCAGCTGGTGGGTCTGGCAGATATCTTTGCATAAATTCCCAGCCACTCTCCCTTCTGAATACGATTTGCACTAGAAAATGTAAGTGCACAGAGCAGTCAATAAGAGATATCTTTAGGCCAGGGAGGTGTATCTCACACTCTCTTTGAGACGACCTCTCCGGAATAAAACTGCTAATTGTATGATAACAACAAAGCAGCGTACTTCTCAATTCGCATATAATCTGACCACATGGAGAAGAAGGACCTACTCCTATGCACGCTATTTTTAAAAATATTTAACAAAAAGCTTATGTAACAAAAGTATATATACACATAGTAACAATAATATTGATAAATTACATAAAAACAAACAAACCAATTCAAGTAGGGCAGCCTTTCCACGATTCTCGTCGCAAACGAGGCCGCTTACAGTTTCATACAATGAATGAGATAATTTCTTCCTAATCGACAAGACGATAAAGACGAACAACAGCACTAAAACAAGCAAAACCAATCGTTTACGTTTCTTCCTCATTGCAAAATATACAGCTTCTACTCTTCCAGTGAAGTTCAAAACGGAAATAACCAATTTTTTATTTTTACCACTTCCGCTAAAATACCACTAAGCATTTTGTCGTATTTTAAAGCTTTAATTTTAGTGTTTAAAGTGTCATCTGGAAGAACTCGAGGCGAACATTGAGCTGGCTAATTAGTAGCTAATTATCTGATTCGTTCATTAGGCAATACTCAAATGATTGATTGAAAATTGCTAATCATTCTAAATATTAAATACGTAATTTAAATGGCTGCTACAGAATTAAATATATATTGCTTTGTATCTAATAATCGTTTTTGCTTGTCATTTTTGTGACAATGTATTCGCTCACAGGTCGAGATAAAGGTTCCCTTCTATCGTATAATTACTATAATATGTAACAAAAAATGTTACTATTTGAAAGGAAAATGTAATTATTTAAGTGCTAACTGGTTGTGGTTTGGCACAGCAGCAATCACCCCCGTCAGATTGTAATCTGTTCAACAATGAGTACGAACTAAAGCCAATACAAGTCAAAATATACATCCATCCGAATCAGATTAATAAAGGAATTAAACACAAGTACTAAAAGTATCATTAGATATTAAGAATATTCGAAGCGGATTTATTTTTACTCGAAAAACTCTAATTGAACTAAGAATAGACGATTGAAAGAGAAATAATCACTTAGAACAAACTTGAGATGTTCTAGAACAAGCTAGAGTACGTTTTCGACACACGGCTCCGATGTTCTAGAACATTCTAGAACGTTCGTGACCGTGGTTCGTTCTATGTTCGGCTAAATTTCGTAATCGTGCTGAGACGTCGTGACGTCGGAACATTGTATGAGGCACAATTTCTTTTCCGGAACGTTGCGTTACGTCATAATATTTCGCAACTTCAACATCGACGTAATTTCTTACGACCAATCACATCAGTCTCGAGTGTTGCCTTTGAAATCATATATAGGTTGTGCTGGCGGATCTGCCGTCAGAAGCTCATGAAACGTGCCGAGGGAACAAAGGGGAGATATCGAAGAGAAGACGTAAAGTTTTCACTGTTAATGATCAAAATGCCGAGAGTTGTGCCTGACCAAAGAAGCAAATTCGAGAACGACGAAATGTTTCGCAAACTTTCGCGTGAATCTGAGGTGCGTACACGCGCTTTTATCTCAGTAGATTTAGATGGCATTTTTGCACGGCAATCAGCTCCGGGGCTTTTATGCAACAAGTTTTCTTGTTTTTGGCAGGTCAAATACACCATGCACAGAGATAGACCGCAAGCAGAACGCATTCAGCACTTTCAGAACGACTGCAGAGAAGGCCGAATAAACGCCGTAAGTTGTTCTAATTGGTGATGGAACTCGTTCTAGTTGAGAAATAGGTTTAATAATGGTTCTCGAATGTTGGTAATGTTGCAATAATGAGCTTCGGGCGATAGGTTATATAACTGAAGCCAAGAATTGCCTGAAACCATTTCTAGCAGAGAAATTTTAGTGTTGTACAACAGACTGCTTTGCTTCAGTTTCTGGAAGCTTTGAATCGAATATAAGTTTCCAAGTCTATATTTAAATTAAGTGTAAAACAAACAGCTGAAGATATGTGACCCGTAAAATTGTTAATATCATCTACCTTCACTAGACAAGAACTCAATTGTAAAATATATTAGATATTGAGCAGTGTCTGTTGGTTTGCACGGAACCCACTAAATATCTGCAAACTAACAAAGAAAGATTTCGGATGTCTATCTGTGGTTTGAATGAAAAAGAAGATCCGTGTAGGAACGTCTCTGCATTTCAGCATGATGAATTGATTACAGTTATTCCGGACAGCCACATTTCAGCAATATTATACAAAGCATTGCCGACAGTTTTAAGATCATGTGCCTGGCCATATTTTCCCCTGAACACTTCTCCAAGACAAATATGAAGATTTCTGAAGTAGATCTTCCAATTTTTTTTGGCCAAATCATTAGGTATTTTTAAGGATCATTCCAACTTCTGCATGTTGAAAATCTCTAGTGGTTCTACGCCCATTCCAGACCTTTGAAAATTCATTTCAATCGAAAATAATAGAAAATGGGAGATCATTAAATTTTTCACCACCACAAGTTGTTGTTCTGAAGCAGGAGCATTAATATTCATTCTCTCTCTTCGTTTAGTCCTTTGTTGCAACTGGAACGAACATCTGCCTATTTTTTCCGAAGCCCGACAACATGCTATCATCTCCATTTATAAACTTCGAACAGGAACCAGGAAAGGTAAGCACTGTGTGGATCTACGCGCATGCATGTTATTGATTAACTACGCTGCATTCGCCATCGTCAAGTCCTTGACCTTGCTGTGAAAGGTACTTGAGATTTAGCTGCGCTCCCACGGAAAAATTCCAACATATTGTAGAAGCACGCGTCATATTGTAAATAATATATAATGAAATTATTAATTCATCATGTGGGGACTGTTGGAGACGAACTGTGCCCGCAGGGTCTTGGAGATACAAGCTTTGCAAAGCACGTCAACATAATAGAGTGAAAGTCGAGTATTTGACGCATTCCAGAATACTTAATATTAAAAAAGCCTTTTGTGCACGAATATGATGAAATCATGATGATTTTGAAATCACACAAGTTTCATTACAATTAATAAACCAAATCTGAACAGATGGCTAAGTCGGCTAAGCCATAACTTAAGAGAATCGACAGGGCCACTTTTGAAGACATTCATGAACTGATACTGGGATATCTAGTGCAAAAAGCTAGTTAGTTTACGTACATCTTGATTTGATAGTTCTTATCACAATCATTTGTGGCATCTTTGACATTCTGTATGATCTAGCTATTAGCCGAGTTGAGGGAGTCAGCTGCGAGAAAATAAGCCAGCTGGTTGCATAATATTCATATCACGCGCACGAAACTGTTTTGAACCAGCTGGTGAAAGATCATTAAAATTGCAACAATGATATTTCAGAATTAGTTTCAAATACAAGAACGTATTCGAAGGAATATATTTTAACGTGAATTGCAACATCTTTCAATCAATGAAATTTGTTACTTCTTTTCCGAAAACGCTTTCATCGTAAAGCATTGAATATTTCATGGTCTACAACATTGGTTATCACCGTAAATTAATAATCACAACAATAATTTTTATGTTATGCATAATTTAGTACATGGAAATAATCTTATCAGCTGATGCCATTGTATCGTTTCAGTGGCACGTGTCACACAAATATAAGGAAATATTTTTGAATTTATAGTTTATTAAAGTTGTTTAGCTTCGTGGAGTCGAATTGCCACACACTTCTAGGCATGTGTAGTTATTAAATAGTAGAGTATTCCACTCTACATGACGAAGAACGCCTTTAATAGAACTTACGTGTTAGGGGTTGAAGCCCGAGTGCTTCCCGAAGACGTACAATCTATGCTTTCCATCAGAGCAAATCAGAAACGTCATTAATTAATAAACTCTCAGACAGGGCGTCCATTTACATAAGCCGTACATGAAGAATTCACGAACAATCTCTGAATCTCACGCGTATAAATGTATATCTAGTAATATTAATCCATTTATGGAGCTTTGCTTTCGCAAAAAACACTCCAGGATAAATTCGAAAGTTTACCAATCTATGAATGGGAAACGGTTACCCACCCATTCATAATACGTCAGACACAAACGCATTGCACAATTCCTGTTTGAGTGTTGTAAAACTACGTCAGTGACAGTGTACACAGTTTAAAACAATCCGTTAATTCGACTTTTTCTTTGCCTTATTAGGTTCATATTCGAAGTTCATTTATTATGAATGGGGTTTGTGTGTACTTCAAAGGCTGGTTCGACCTCCATCGACTGGACGGTATTGGTTGCTTGGAATTTGACGAAACGACAGCGCAGGTTGAGGACAAACTGATGCGGGAAACACTGGCTCGTGCGAGGATAAAACTCGCTGAATTCGAAGAGAAGCAACGCGCGTGGCGGGAAGACAAACCAGATGGTACGGTAGGGCTTCGTGATCTAGTTCCATTTCACTGTGCTTTACTTCAAAACGAATAATTAGCCAATAAAAGTCATTCTAGCTTTGTTTTCCATTCTCTCAGCTCTTCTTGGGCAACCAAGACAGGCGTAAAGGCGAGCTTGCTCGCGCTGACAAGTCAATTTGATTGATGCAAGAGATTGCGCCAACGCTACGACAAATTCGTGCTGGTGACAGGCTGGGATGACGTGCAACGGAAAGCTTACCGCTCGTTCCCCACCAGACAGCGTGGTGCTAAGAAGAACCTTGCTCAAAATCTGGAAGTTCTTGTTCTATTTTTGAGGAAGTCTATCTAATACCGCATATGAAACTGGACACTATCAGAACTCAATAGTTTAAACCAACAAAACAACTGTTTTCGAATGTCTCTAAAGAACAGCGTGATAATAGTGCGGATGTGATTTGGCCAAAAATTTTTAAGACGTTTTATTCTGTAGATAGCATTTTGTAAAGCAATGTATTAAATTATAATGTGTTAACGTATTTGATGTGTTTAACTTAGTTGTCCACTCAAGTAAAGAGCCTACCTGGTTGAGCTTGGAATGTTCAGGTACATTACAAGAATATTTTATGCCTACCATTAAGGATTCTAGTGACAATACCTTTAGTTAGAAATAATATATATGTCATATGTATGATGTTTGTAAAATAAATCCTAGGCTTTTTAACTGTGCATAGCATTAAAAATGTATTAAAAACTGCATTGACTCTGGTTTTATTCCCATCCTGGTGGATGAGTAATGTGTTTGAGCAAAATAGTGGGGCTTGGAGAGACCTCAGCTAAAGAAAAGGGGAGAACCAACTCCAAACATTGCTTTGATCAAGAATATATTATTCTTACTACCAACATAAGTTACTACAAAGATAAAAAGTCTAAAAATCCAGCTCAATAATGTGGAAGTTTAGTTTTTCATTCCTTTGGTGACTTGAGGAAAGTTGTTTGACTTGAACAGTATTTCATATGTGAAAAACCAAGAGGAAAGACCCAATCCAACACCAATCACCTTGGTTATAACAGTGTGGAAATACAGAGCGGTGATTACGAGGAGAATCAGCCACAGTATGATTAGTAGACAGCAGAGAATGTACAAGCTGTAACTAACATAACGAGCAATAACGAACTCTGGCTTCTCTTTTACATTGTTAGAATAACTTATCTGATCAGACTTAGAGTGTTTAACCTTCCTTTCATTAAAATGAGTTCCATCATCGGGGGTAGACCTCTTGTTCTGACTGACACCCCTGTTGGGACTTATCTTCTTTTCAGGAGTATTCTTGTTCATCCAAAAGCTAATGATGTCAATTTCCTCACTAATGATGAGTGTACAATAGCTCAGAATGAATGAATGTCCTGAAATATCAAGTCCATTCCATAGTAAACCTTCCCTATGACACTCGTATTTGCTGGAGTACAAATCACTGCCCTCACATTCTCCGCTCGAGTGTTCAATAAAATCAAGAATTCTTGTCACCGCGAACCAAATCGCAAATGCCACAACGAGCCGAAAGACGTTTTTGCAAACCACTTTCAAGTTGTTTTTACTTTTTTTCCACCAGGTTACGACCATGAACGGCGCCAGGGACGCCAAGGTCCATGCCATCGACCATTTTGCAAAGAAAAGGTTGAAAATGCTGCGTTTGTTTGAGAGGAAAAAGTCCGGCAAATCGTGGTGATCACCGATCAAGGAGCCGAGAATCACTATGACCAAACATACCACAGCAAAAATAGTCGGGTCTTTATCGAGCTAAACTTGATAAAAAAATTAAAAACTTTATTAAAATGTTCCTCAACGATCTCTCTCAGATTTCTCGCCATATTGATTTTTGACGTCATAGCACGCGTCATCGTTGTGATCTCAATACTTCATGTAAGTAGGTACAACAGACAACATTGTTTTGTTATAGTTTTTCTGGCCAAGTTCAGACAGGCCTTGACAAACCTGCGAAAAACCATTATGCAGCGGTTTCAACTGCCAGATGTCCGTTGAAAGCTTGATTCAAGGGATACATATACAAGATCTCTAAGTCTCTCCGTCTTCTACACTTGGATATCCTTTCAAGAATCGTACTTCAAAAGATTGCCAGCGTTCTTCAATCTTCATCAATCATCAGAAAAGCTATTAAACAAGGTAGGTAGTATATTTTGCGCAGTAATCTCGTAAATCTTGTCATTGTCCTAGAAAAAAGTAAGTTTATATATCTTTCGGGGGGGATAATACAGTGGACAGTTTCCTTCTTAATAAGACTTAAACTTAAGCTATATTTTGATTGAAATCATTTCTTCTGTTATCATTCTAGTTTTATAGACAATATCCCAAGCTTTTCCCGCGTAACAACATATATGAATGTGTGGAAAAGACTAACCTCGAGACTAACGATCTTTCGAAATGGAATTTTAAAAGTGAAAGGTAAAATACGCAACCTTCAGATGACATAATATACATTTTAATCGACAAAAATCATTTATTTTTTCCCCTCATATTGAAAGTTTGATTGAATGGGTAGTGTTACTTGGTATCTACCTGCCTGTTTCCTATCCAAAAATCACTAATTTACAGGAAATATTAAACTACTTTAATAAAACACAACAACGGTTTGTTTAGTGTTCACAAGAATTTGTCGCACGATCCCGTCCCTCCCCTCCCCAGGGAACAATTTGCGTTTTTCGCGGGCTCAAAACATATGGAATAAAAATTTTGGAGGGAAATTTAAGTTTATTAGAAATCTTTGAAGATCAAAAACATCGCATTTTCGCTTCAATTTTAACAGATTTAAATATTTTTTACAAGTATGTAACCACTTCAATGTCATATTATGTATGCGTATGTGAAGAAATGTTTCTTAAAAAGTTTTGAAACATTATCAGGGACTGGATTTTTTTATACTAAATTTTAATAATATATTTATACTGTTACAACGATCTTTGTGTATTTTTAAAAAGTACACTCCTGTTTTGTTTTAGTGCTAGGAAACGGTAAAAATCATGGAATAAATTCATTGTTACATACTGAAAACGATGTTAAAAGTATAAATGGAAAGAAATTCAAGGTAAGAACAGATTTTAGCTGAATTCTAATAAAGAAATAATCTTTATGTGCTTCGTTTTATAATTTCATTGAGATCATTTTTGTTGAAATTGATTTGACAATTTTTAGGTGTCTATCGAAGGAAACATAGGCAGTGGTAAGACTACTTTACTTGAGTATTTCAAGAAATATTCACATGTTGAAGTGATACCAGAGCCTGTTGAGGAATGGCAAAATGTTGGTGATGGAAACACTTTGGTAAGAAATTTGTCATTTGGCCAAACTCTATGTCACACAAAACCGCCACATAATTTGATATCATCCATTGTAGGGTCTGTTCTACCAAGATCCAAGCAGATGGAGTTACCTGTTTCAATCATATGTTCTACTAACAATGCTTGAGATTCACCAACGCAAACAGCACCAACCTGTGACCTTGATGGAAAGAAGTGTCTACAGTGCTGGTTATTGTTTTGTGGAAAACCTTCATAAAAAGTATGGAAAACATCAAGAACTAGCTAGCAAATGCTGGGTATATTAAAACAAGGTTGTGTACTGGTATTACTAATTCCAAATATACTTTTTTCTTAGCGGTTTGATGAGCTCTGTAGAGTACAGTGTCTATAGAAAATGGTTTGAGCGCATTGTTAAAGAGGAAAAACCTTGTGTTGATTTAATAGGTTGGTATCTTGCATTTCTATGAACTATTAAGCAACGAGGCCATGAATTGACATGGTATAAATGCTGATTAAAAGTCTTGTTACACAATTTCTCTTTAGTTTATCTACGAACGTCTCCAGAGGAATGTTATAAAAGAATTAAAAGGAGGAGCAGAAAGGAAGAGACGGATATCCCAATGGTGCGGCAATTTTTTCCACTGAAGTTTTTATATCATCATCAGTCCATTGCACTGAATCCATTGCATTGCCTTTCAGAGTCTCATTACATCAATTCATCAACATTATGAAGATTGGTTAATCAAGAAAACAAAATTTGAGATACCAGCACCTGTTTTGGTAAGCTGAGGGTAAAAACCTGTACTGCAAATGAGCTATTTAGACCTTCAAAAACAAAAAACTTGAAGTGCTTAGGCCAACCCTCAGGAAAAGTATACTTATGTAAATTTTTTTATTGTTTAGGTTCTTGATGGAAATAAAGAACTCAAAGACATGTTTAAACTCTATGAAACAAACACTACAAATATACTCTTAGGAATGGGAGATGAACCCATTACATGTAGAGAATAGATCATACCTTTCATACACAACTACACAAGAATTTGTGCAATAATTTTTTAACTTTGTATATAAAGGAATAGAAATGTAAATAAAATTTTTTTCTCGCATATTGATATTATGTTTTGACCGCTTTATTTTCATAATCCCTGTCATTCTCTTTGTCGGATGGATCACCATCAAAAAGTGCATCACCTATCAAAGCTGTAACCTGATTAGTCTTTCATTATATGTAGACTTTCACCGTAACACCGTTTGTATCATAAATCTACATGCCATTAATCTTAGGTATATTTTGCACTGTTTTTTATAACTGAGATCAGTTGTTGAGTTAGCAAAACATAATCCACTCAGTGGTATCAACAAAGAGAAATCTTCCATTGTTAATCACTTTGTGTGGCTGAATGGTCCCCCCACGACGGGTCATAATCTGCTGGAATTGATCTGGCACATATGTTTGTGGGTACAATTTATCTCTGGGCAGAACTAAGGCAAGAGTTTCCTTGTATACAATCCACACAGCATGATAAACAGCGGCTAAAATACCAGTTACACTAAAAATAGATTGAAAGAAATGCCTACCACGTCTGTAAACCTTGTAAGTGAAAATACCACCAATATCTTCATCATCAAAGCTTGGGTTATCCTGATCAGTTGCTGACTGAACAGCAACACTTGACAGTTGAGCTTTTTTAGCTGCTTCTACCCAACATCCACTGTGGCAACTGTCACTGATTATGATCAGCACAGAGTCCCCACTTTTCCCAGACAGACTTTCCTGCCATAATTGGAACAATTCGCCTGGGGGTAACGTCTCCTCACTCAGTCCTCTGTCCCCTAAGTACCACGCGCCATCGCCTCGACAACCATGGCCGGCGTAATACACGAAGAATGCACGAACATCTTGTGCAGCAAATGCATCGCGTAGTTTCTTCAAAAGCCACTGTTTTCCCTGAGCATCAACATGATTGTAGCAAAAAAGCTCCCGAATATCTTGTCCCCTACAGAAAAATTCTCTCATTGTATCGATATCATGACCAACACCAGCTAGATAGGCCGCTGCTCTTTCCGCTGTTGACTTGAAGCGGCTGTTAGGATCTAATGAAACACGAGGAACGACTTTATTGGTTGCATTTTCATTGGGTTTAAAGATCTTGGGGGCACAAGGAGCACCAATAAGGCCGAAGACATAGCGATGTCGTTGTGATTCGGGTTCCATTGTTTCGGTGAAATTCCCAGCAGTGATCAGAGCTAAAAGTAACAAATTATACGTGTGCATCGCAATATAAGTGGATTATTACACGTTCTGATATTTGTTGGATGTCGACCACTAACCTTATACTATATTATACCTATGTAATATAGGTCAGTGATGTCGACGGAGTCCTTTCTTGGTTTCTTGCTAGCAAACCAAAATGTTTTGAATGTTTTGAAATGTCCAGAATCAGCAGAAATGACAAAATTTCAAACACGAAAAAAATGACGTAATTTCTCGGGGGAAAATGACGTAATTTCTCAAGGAAAATATTTCGTCATTTTACGACAACAGCTGCCAAACCAGCCAAAACCTACCACAGATAAGACAGGCCTCTGTCACACATCTCCTCTGTTCCTCTGTTTTATCGCTCCCCGACACCGACAACACGCTCAACAGAGCGTCTTATTATCTATCAGAGTCTGCATTCAGACCCATAAGGTATACTATATTATTTGCAAAATTGGTTAGATTAGTGTCGCATATATATTATCTATAACGACCACTATAAACGCCTACAACAAAGATGAGAACATACAGATTAAAATATGTTCCTATATCACGAGATAAATATAATTTAATTTTGCCATCTTTCACAATAAAATGTGAAAACATTTTAAAACAAACACAGCAACCGGTTTTGGCCACGCTCAAGTCAAATGAAGCCACACGATGCCACAACCATTCATACACCATCTAATATTAAATTAAATTCACTGTGAAGTTTACCCATCTTTCTGTTATAAGAACACGTATTTCCTGCCATCATAAATTTGACCTAATTTCAATTTTACCTAAATTAAAAATCAATACCGTCATTCAAGAAGTTGAATAACTCTTCTGTAGCCATATGATCAAATGTAATTAAATAGGTGCTTACAATTTTCAAGATCTTTTAAATTAAAAAGGTTCAAAACTAATTCTTAAAACAATTCTCATATTATGAGAAAAATATACCGTCATTCCATAAAGCTAAATTCGCAGGATGATTTAGGAGGATGCAGGCATTGATGACACCAGAGATCTTTTATAAACAATGTTGGTATTGCGATTTAAAATGTATATGACGAGATCTATAATGGATCTAGTCCCAAAATTACTGGAGTTTCGCAGACAGGGAGATTAACACGAAGCGGACATCTTAAATACCTTCATGGGACGAACGAGCGCCAATTTCTTTATCTTCTACGATTTGGGGCACGGCGAAAACCGGGGCTTCTGCTACGACTTCGCCTCTTCACCGGTGACGGTCGTCTCTCCGGTCGTTGCCGAGCTTGTGGCGATGCTCCCCGATTATCACGTAGCGGTCTGCGATCTTGCTCACGTGGCGACTCACGCGGTTTTGGTCGTTCAGGCCCGCGCGGTCTGTCTTGAGGAGGGTTTCTCATTGGCTCGCGTGGTTTTTGATCATCGTCATCTTCTTGTTGTCTTTCAATCTCTCTCTGTTTACGTCGTTCATTACGCTCCCTCTGTCTCGTCACAACCTGGGAATGAAATTCCTCGATGTTTATTCCCTATAACTTGGTCAATTGCATCGTTTTTCTAGTTATACTTAACATACTCCGAAGAGCATCTTGTGAAAGAATGATATAGGCTTTGAAACAAGAGAATAAGTTCACGGAGATATTTTGAACGAAGCTTGTCATAAAAACACATTCTTTCATCAACCAACCTGTTCATTGGTAAGAGGTAACCAGTAAATACAGGGAACTGCTGTGGTTTTACGAAACAGTTTATCCAAGAGATTAGCAGCGCTTGGTTCATCCTTCTTTTTCTCCTCTGAAACAATCGAGCAGTACGTAAATAATTTAAATCCTGGACTCAGTCTACATCATTTGTCTCATTATTTCTAAATCTTTCTCTCAAGAGAACCAGAATTCCGAGGGATATTTGAATGTTTTAACACACATGACAAAGTCTGATACCTTTCTTAGTCTTGTGTTTTCTGCTGCTTTTCTCTTTACTTCGGCTTCTTTCTTTACCCTCCTCCTCAGTCTTCTCTTGTGTCTGCTCCGCGCTTTCTTCTGCCTTCTTACCAAGAGCACCATCTGTGTCTTCAAGCATCTGAGAAAAAAATACGATCACCATCATCAGAACACCACAACACCTTCACTTTAACTATCCATCGTTATCACCAGAAATGTACCCTCACAACAAGAGTTCTTCTAATTGTACAAGAAATATGTACCTAATTGTACAAGAAATATGTACCTAATTGTACAAGAAATATGTACCTAATTGTACAAGAAATATGTACCTAATTGTACAGGAAATATGTACCTAATTGTACAAGAAATATGTACCTAATTGTACAGGAAATATGGACCTAATTGTACAGGAAATATGTACCTAATTGTACAGGAAATGTGTGCCGAATTGTATAGGAAATATGTACCTAATTGTACAGGGAATATGTACCTAATTGTACAGGAAATATGTACCTAATTGTACAGGAAATATGTACCTAATTGTACAGGAAATATGTACCTAATTGTACAGGAAATATGTACCTAATTGTACAGGAAATATGTACCTAATTGTACAGGAAATATGTACCTAATTGTACAAGAAATATGTACCTAATTGTACAGGAAATATGTACCTAATTGTACAGGGAATACACACCGTACCTTGTCATTATCAGCAAAATCAACTCTCAATGTCCTTGGGCTGGTGGCGGGCCATCGCTGTCCATGCATGGATTGCCTTGCATTTGTAGCTTCGTCCACGGATCCATACTAAAAGCAGAGGTTTATGAATGACTGTAATTACACAAGGCACCAGGGCCCAGCTCTGAACTCCAACATGCAAGTACGGAACTTCACCTAGGAAACCTCGGACGGGATAAATTGGCTGAGAAACTTCAATCGAAAAAGATCAAATCGAACGGAAGAAGACAACGTCTGAAAACACACTATAAATATAATAATAAAAGACGAAAAGAGTTTCAACTCACAATGATATAGCAGTGAGATTTAATCTTGTTCATCCAAAAGCCTTCTTCCGTGACAGCACCAAATGTTGAAAGATATAACATGATCTGCTTCTGCGTGAACGGTCTCACGAGGTTTGACACGTGAATCGCACATGACGGGGGATTGCGCGGAGGGGAGACCTCACGCTTGACTGGAGTGCCGTTCGCTGAAGACGACGGGGTTGCTGGCGAATGGCTGTTCTCATGACTACCAGGACCTACGAGGTAAAACGTAACCAGAATGTAGTTGCATAAAAACATCCAATCAGGAAGAATAAATGGGAAAGGTAGAGAGAGTTAGAAAAACATATCTTGTGAACTTTTCAAAGCACTAACCCCTAGGGTATTTTCGAAGGAACTTTTAAAATGAGGACAATGCAGACAAAAGGTATACCAGTTCTCTTCACACAGTAAGGTAACGAGACCTACCTTGGCTTGGCGTACAGCTACTTGCATTTCCAACAGTTGAAGTTTCCCCCCGCTTATACACCACCCCTCCTAAAAACGACCCCCTGCCCCAACCCCTGCCCTATCTCGACGGAAAGTGCAAGCAACTGCACACGGTGGTCAAGACTTACCGGAATCGTTCAACATAGTTTGACTGCTGTAAATCAACGAGTTAGTAAATGAGAGAAGAGAAACAACTTACGAAACACCGAAATGGGGAAAATTGTCGAAAAAACTAGACTCTAAGATCGATGCTTTTGCCCTCCAACCATTTTACGCGCAGGTACAGTAGTACTTGAGTGTCAATGTTTCGCGATTGCCGCTGCTAACAGTGAACAGTCAGTGAACGAAGAAATATTGTCTTGTCCATTCCAGGTCTACATCATCGGTCAGTTCAACCACCACTAGTCAGAATAGTTAGTTTCGTATTACAACGATTTAACCACACGTTATAAGAAGTTGCAACCAGTTCTCGGGTTAGCTCATACTGTCAGTTCCACTTTGAAATTCCCACAGAATTCTTCAAGTCAAGGCATATGGTGAACCAGTATGTACACGTGTTTCCATCTTCAGTTTTGTCAACGAGCGAGATTGACTGTTCTCAATGCTTCAAAACATGGCCACTTGCCAAATATGATTCAGATTACTTCAGTAGATATGCAACAATTCATTTCTCTATTTCGTCTTTTAGACTCCACTCTCTTGAAACTGCATTTCAATAAAATGACACATTCTCTTCTAATCTCTGTACGTTTGTTTTATATTCTATGCCATTGGACGATTCTGTCATTTTCAAATCGACACTGAACGAGCCAACCGTCACAGTCCTTCATTTCACGTTGACTGGCTTCTTTCACAACTTACAATGCATGACACATTCCCGGCATTCAATAATACAAGTTTCACTTTTCGTTCAGATCTGCTAACACTGAGATACATTTCCCAAGAGAAACAAGTCTGTTTCAACGTGTTCATACTGCAACATCCAATGTGCAACATCCAACATCCACAAGACATAGAGGACATTCCTTTGGTGTGAAAATGTTCTCGTGTTCTTCGAACGTGAAATATGTAGTGGAGCAACTAGCGCAGTAACTTCACGTCTTTGCATCAACAAACTCGCTCAACCATTAGTTGCAAAGTTCATCCAGGTATTTGAGTAAACTCATACGATTTTCATCTCATTCTAGTTCATTTATTCAGCATAATACGACCGCCCCAAAAATCAGAACATGTCAAGTTTGTAGTCCAGTCTTATCCAACATTTTGCGAAAACACCTCGGGGAAACCATGGTACGAAACACACCCAGGATTATAGAGCAATTGAGAACTAGCCAGAGATTTTCCCTAGTGAACCTCTGTCATCCAGAGGGGAATTTTTTGCCAGAATTTTTTAGCCAACAAGTTGAAAACGCACCCAATCATGGTAATAACAAGTCTAGTGTAAATTTCTGAAGGAATTATATAAAACATATTAACCTGCTTTGGTTTATTTCATTGTGAAGAGCAGTGCTACCATGTTGTACAAGCTTTGACATTGAGATTTGCTGGGATTGAATTTAGGAACTGATCTCACAAACATGGGGCTTGGGATAACTTGGAAAGTTTGAAAAAGAAAAGAAAACAGTTTGAAAAAGGAAAGAGATGCAAACTTGAACTTTGCCCATGAATTCAGCATTAGAGATTCCGAATAAATATTACAAATATAGTAGTCAAGAGTGACGAAAATGTCTCACTCCATGTCAAAGCTTATACCTCCAAGCCATCACTGTCTCTTCACTGTAATACTCTGAAATAATAACTTGGAAAGACACCATACCTTTAGGAGCATCATCAACAATCACAACAGGCTCTTCCTTGGTCAATAAAATATTACTGCTGTCTGTTGCCTTCTCCTCTTCGTTAACAGTTTGACCTAATTTTACCATCTTGCTATCCGCAACTTGCACAATCCTCCTCTTATCTGAAGATGAAAGATCACAGAGAAAGGTCAGGGCATGCATCACAATGAAAAATGAACCACAATGAGTGGTTTAGTTTGTTTGAACTTACATGGAGGTTTATCGTCTGATTTATTATTTGGGGTTATTTCAACCTCTTCATCTTTTTCTTCTTTCTCTTCTCCCTGCGTTTCATCTTTCACTTCATCTTCTCCATCTTTATCGTCATCAAGTTCCATCACAGCCTCAAGGGCAGGCGTTGACGCAAGCTGGACAACCGGAATCAGTCCCTGAAGATGTTTACAGAATTTGGTATGAGTTAATCCATGAATCAGAGTACACTGACACTGCTAGTTAACAAGTGTTACTGTAGTTGTTTTAAGAGTAGTACAGGTAATGCACAGTTAACAACTGCTACCAGTTAACAAGTACTAGCAGTTGCCACCAGTTAATGAGTACTATAATTTAACAAGTGCTTTTAGTTAACAAATACAACCAGTTAAAAGAGCCATCAATTTTCCACTGCAAGTTCTTGTACATTTGAGTATCTTACCTTCAGAGAATCAGTGCTGATTACGACAGAAGGCTTGGCTTTGCTTGAACTCCATTTTCTTTTCCTTGTACCAGGTGCTGGAGGATTACCTGATGATAATGCGAACACCAATTTTTTCTCACATAATACAATACTTGAGCTACATACAGAGGGATCATTTCTTTATATTTGTCTCTGAAGACAGCCCCTGGGGATTTGCTCAGCTGTATGAGCCAGAATCAAAATACATAGTGATATTCTTAAATGTTTTACTGGAAAGGATGTCATACTTGTTTGTCTTGTTAAGGAAATAATTCTTCTCTTTTCTGCAACAACAGGTTTCTATGAAAGGGTAGAATACAGGTTCACATATAATTTTTCATGATACAATCAACCAAGTGCTAGAACTTCAATAAAAACCTGATTGTCTTTCTTTTCCTCATCTTGTCCAATAATCTCGCCATCCTCAAGCTCTTCCGCTTTTTTCACCACAATCTCCTTGTTTTCTGTTGAATCTGCTTCAGCTGATTTCTGAAATCAATGCAAATATATTTCAAAACCTATGCCAGGGACACTCACTCTATATCTTTGTCACATTCTCAAATATTTAAATGCACTGCTGATTGGTTAGAATATACACTAGAGTTGATCCTCTAACTTGATTATACTATCCTAGTGGGCTGGTATATTCTATAATTGTACTAAAAGATGGCCACAATGGTTATCATTCACTTGCCTTCTCTTCTTTGATTTCCTCTGTGTTTTCTGTTACTTCTTTCTTCTCGTCCATCACAGGCGACTCATCCTTTGCAATAGCCTCTCTTGTCTCCCCTGTTGTTGATGATACCTCTTGGATTGAGGTCTCCTCGTCATTGCTTACTGTTGGCTTTTCTTCGGATAAACCTTGGTTTCAAACAAAAACACTTCCAAAATGAAATTTCTAGTCGAATCTGATCAAGTTTTGTATTTAAGAAGTGAAAATGTTGATTGCTGTTACAGTTGGCACAGACACAAATATGCACAGAAAAGAATGGCTTGCAAATAAGGATGATTACAAATCTATTATTGTTAGCTGGGTCAAGACTCAAGCGGAGTAGTTTTTAATATCACAAAGCAAATCCAAGTAGTTTTAGCAAAATTGTTAAACATACTATTTGCTTCTGCAGAATTCCTCTCCTCTTCAAGAGCCTAAAAGAAATAAAATGCAAGTTCAAACCTCAGTCATCTGCCACCTGCCTTGACAAGTGACAACTGGCTTTCACTTCTTTCCATCCACCAGACGTTGAACAAATGATTTGACTACATTCAATTCTTCATTTTCCAGCTTTTTTCAAGGTTAGGTGGGATTTAGAGACTAGAGTATCCGTCAGACACGATAATGTTTATTATTCCTTCATTGCATGTCAGTTTGGCGGATGGAAACAAGTATATAGCGACCGATACAAACACGCACTTTGAAACTTTGAGTCAGAAATTGGATTTGACCACGTTTAAAAACAAAATTTCTCACCTTCAAAAGCCTTTCCTGCAGCTCTTTCTTCAGTCCCGTTTTCTCCAAGCCTCGTTCAACAAGAGCTACCTTTAGCTCGTCAACCTTCAACTTCATTACAGGCTTTCCATTGATTTCAAATTGACCCAAACTTGCAAAATCCTTGCTTGTAGAAGCCATCTTGTCCGTGAGGTTCGTGATTAAAATTCGCGCACAGCGCATGCGTCACGTGCCGCTTCGTAAACGTAAATTCCTTCGACATTCCTTAGAAATTTCCTATCTTTCATTTTTTCATTTTTATATTTTATTCTTCATTGCAAATGTTTTTTTACCCATTTTCACTCTTTCCACGCTTAAGACGTACTCATCTAATGATATTTTACTGATTTTATATCACACCTATCTGTCTTTGCCGTTTGAATTCGTATTTAGTTAAAGACATCTTTCCGAAGCATCAACATTCCTACGGTGGGAAGATTTCATTTCTTGTTTCTTCCTTCGTTGGGATAGAAATGAGAAAGAAATTTTGAAGCCAAATTTCGTAAATCGTCTTAAATTTTTAAAAAGTTGTTGATAAATGAATAACTTTCTGACCCAATCCTGTTTATCTTTTTGCTTTTTTCATAACTATTCTTCAAAAAATTATTTTCTATAAGTTTCTTCAAAGCATAAAAGTAGTCCTATGACCCAATATGACCATCAAAGTCCTCAGCGTTGTGAAGAATTTCAAATTAGTGTAACATTGCTACTTGTAAAATGTGTTTTAAATGAAAATTTGTCGAATTTAGCCTCATTGTACCCGGCAGAGGAAAATGTCAAGCAATGTTACGACGTGTTTGTCCATTGCTGTGCGCTCCGTGCGGGAATCTATGTTATTTGACTCGCAAAACAGACCAAAGGTGATTGAAAAAAGGAAGTAAACATATTTATTTGACAGTAATTGATTACCAAACTGCAGTTTCAGGCCCTTGGGTGGGGGAAGGAGGGGTGGGGGAGGATAGGGGAAGCTGTGATTACACCAGGAGAACCAGGGATCTTTTTTAAAAGTTTCCCCACTGAAATGCATACAGAAATTACCTAGGCGTACTCTGATCGCCTCAGGAAAAGTTGTCAAACCCTTTTCAAATCTTTGGAATAGCATTTTCAATTCACCCATATGGGTCTCAAATCCACCTTGTCATAATAGTTCACCAAGTCTCTAATGTCAGGCAAATGTACCAGTCATATAGGCCAGTACTGCCAGATATATTGATTTAACCACCATTTAATTATAGCCACTATTTCTCATGTAGGAGGCTTTCTGTCAGTACTTGAGTAATGTAATGTATATATGTGGTGTTCTAAAAGATGAGGCCTGGGAGAAAGGTATCAATCATGTTTTACAAATGCTATAGTCTCACTTGAAGAGAAGCATGTCTCCATGTATCTAGACAAACTATATTCATTCTGCAGCTTGAACAGACTGCATGCATTCAAGAATAAGTGAGCTGCGCACAATCAAGCCATATGCAAGAAAAATATATAAAACACGACACCTTACTCTACTTTCATGGTCTGCTCAACCAATATGTCAAACTTACATGTATATTTGCTTCTATCCCTTTGCTTTCATCTTAATAATGATCCCAACCACTGTGTTCCAACAGAGCTAAAAGACTGCCACACTCCAGAGACATTAAAACTATTCAAACTGTCAAGTCAATGCTTGGAAAGAGCTCAGGATCTCCTAAATACTGCACAAGGTTGTGAGTTGTGATCCCAGTTGCAATATGTTTTCATTGTGATTGTTGTGTTTGGTAATGAAGATAGTAATGGTGGTGGTGTGGTTGCTGACATAGTGTTTATTGTGTTACTGAGATATGGTTGTAATTATGTTAGTATAGTGATTCAATGACTCAATCTGTAATAAAGATGATTCACTGATGTGTTTCAACATGCTACCAATTCTCTATCATTCAGACAACCAGGAAACTCCAAATGAACCAACACAATCAAATACACCTTTACGAAAAACAAGCCAAGATCAAGGTTCCTTACTATCACCTGGCCCTGCAAATGTCCCCTCAAACAGTCCTATGCCCTCCCCAAGGGTGGTACATCACACTCCCCCAGCATCACCTAACCTTCGAAAAATATCGTATGTAACAAAATATATATTGTATGAATAATTTCCTCCATTCCTCTTACCACCTTTCTTCACAATTCTGAAATGAGCCATGCCAGTAGGACTCCTTGGAAAATCATAAACAACTCCAAATACGATATCCTCTAATATCTGGTGCTCTGCGATTCACTAGGGTTCCATTGATCGACGAAGCTAGACGTGGTAACACACAGTTACTGTCTGCGTATCGAGCGAGAATGGAACGAAGAGAGAGACAGATCACGGGCAGCAACGTTAGAGGGAAGACAGACGTAACTTCATTGGTAGGGAATTATTTCGCATGGTTGTTGATGCATTTAGCGCAGATTCCGCAGAACAACATTCATTGCTTCATTTCTGCAAGATATAGACTAGTGCCTCTTTCTTCAAAGTTTTCTATTAATTTTTGCCTTGCAACAGAATTTGAGCCTGTTTAGAAAAATGGCAGAAAATATGGAAATTGCAAAGGCGAGGCAATTATCTGTATCCTTTAATACTAGACTGCGAGCCTGCCGCTCTTTTATAGCCGAAATACCGACTGGCAACTGTATATGGAAAATATAGTGCTTTTTTTCATACAAATTAACATTGCAAGAAGCAAATACTTAACTTGAACTAACCAACAGCTTGAACGGAAAAAAGCTGAACGACAACAAAGACTGAGAGAACTTGCGGACAGGTGAAGAAACTGAATATTTTTGTGTGAATTGGTTTTTTTACCTGTGCAGGTCGAGAAAGTGTTTTCTAGAAGGATATATTGATCAATGCCGTGTCAATCCTCATGCTTTTTAGACGAATGGGACCTTCGTCGCTTCTCACAACTCACGATCAGATTAAGAAGGAAATCTATGTTAAAGTGCTCGAGTTCGAGCAAGAATCGGTAGGAGAGAGTTGCGTGCGAGTCGGTCTGAAATTTCCTGATGATTCAGTAGTTTTGACGCCGTATTATTATTATCTTCAGGTGTGGCTTGTCAGTTTGAGAGATCAGTTGAAGTCCAACCCTGAAGATTCCTCGTTGATTCTACACATCATTACTAAAGTTCTGGGGTGAAATATTGTAAAATACTTGCTTGACCTTTGAGAAGAACAGTTTATAACTGATAGAGCTATCCAGTATAAACAAAGTTAGTTTAGTTTAGGTTTCCTCCTGTAGTAACACTGGATCAATAAGAGGTGATCCTTACTGGACCTTTGAGAAGAACAGTTTATAACTGATAGAGCTATCCAGTATAAACAAAGTTAGTTTAGTTTAGGTTTCCTCCTGTAGTAACACTGGATCAATAAGAGGTGATCCTTTCTGGACCTCTAGGAAGTTTAGAACTGATAGAGCTATCCAGTATAAATGAAGTTTCCTGGTAGTTTAGTTTAGGTTTTCAAAAATGACGGAACTATCAACTATATACTGTAAATATATTAGTCTGGTTGAAGATCTGACTTTGTCCTCCAAACTTTATATTCTCTAGAACAAAAGAACACCCTTTGACAAAATGCTTGTATTCTTACCAAGTCGAGGTTCGCAACCAACTGACGAAGATCTCCGAGCAGGCAAGAGACATTATCACACACATAACAAAGATGGAAATCACGAACTTTAGACACAAAGAAAAACCCGAAGATATTCAACATCCAGAACAAACTCAGGAAGAGTCCGACGAAAAAATCTCGTTTGGGGAAGAGCTCAGTGAGATTCGGGAGTTGCGCGAAGAAACGAATGAAGGAGCCATAAACACAGCACAAGATTCATATGAAAATGTTGAAAATTTCCTGTCGGAAAATCAAGAACAAGAGTATCAAAAAATTTTAATTGATGTTGTAAATAATGTGCAGTCTTCATTAGGTAATTTAAGGCAAAAAGAGTAGAACATCTTTCAATTTATCTGCCCTTGTGGTTATTTTAACTGTGCCGTACTTAAAAGGAGATTTTACCTTAATGATTAGGTGAAATTCAAGACAGAATATTGTATCATTTTAGAGATAGTTCATTCGTTGTTTCTATTGGTGTACGAAGAGTTTTCAAGCGCGGCAGGTCAAGACTTATGTCTGGCGTCAGTCGAATACACTTTCTTCAGACCTTTGTGGCCTCTTCTACTTAATTTGTACAGGTAAATATCAAAGACACATCCGTTGCATTTAAATACACGCATGTAGATTTCAGTTCACGACAACACATAATGATAACTTCCCAAACTTTCCCTATTAACTTTGTTCATTTGGATAAGTTGATTTCTCCCTGCAATACCCCTTGTTTTATGGAACAAAACTCGTTCTAGTTGAAGCAGAAAATCGCTCGCAATATTGCAATGGCAACGCTGCAATTTAGTTTATATTCTTCAGGATTGCCAATTACAAGAAAGAAGCAAGATTGTTTAGAATATTCTCAGAAAATCGTTCATGTACTCCGGCTTTCATGAATGTCCCTGGTCGGTTATGTCTGGACGAACAGGTATATACTGGCGCGATAATATATGGTTAGATAAACAAACCTTATTTATACCACAGTAAGATGTAAACACCTTCAAACAACTCATGCCCTAATCGTGATAACACGCACCCTACCACCGCTCCTAAGGCGTCTTCTTTTTCTTTTCTTTGCAAGGTCGCTACAAGTGGATCATCAACTTCCTATCCTTATCAAATTGTCGTAGATGAATTGCAGTCTTTAACAAAGTTTGGAAGCCCGTTGGAAAAGCTTGAATGTATTGGTCAGTGCTGATTAGTATTGGTGATTTCCAGTGTATAATACGGACATCAAATATACATAGCTGACATTAATGTGTTTGTGTATTTTTAGTTCGTACAAATAGAGTCATTGTCGAGTGTGTGGAGGACTATTATGAATCTAAGGGCAAACCTCGGAACTCATCGGAGACGGTTATGTAAGTCGTGACAAGTCGTGACAGGTCGTGACAATATTTGTCACAGATCCTGCCGGCCAGCGCAGGAAATAAATTGAAAGAATGATTTTATTTTTCAGAGGTTGTGATGATTTGTTGCCAATCCTTAGTTACGTGATAATAAAAAGTCAGTTGCCGCAGCTTGTGTCCGAGTGCAAAGCTATGGAAGACTTTATAAGTGAAGAGTATGTATTAGAATAGCCTGATCATTTGTTCAGTTTTATCCTAGTTGCCTGGAAGATGTGTGAATTATATTGCTGTCTGTGACGCATGTGTACTAAAATTGGTATTACTCTATTTCAGTTACCTGATGGGCGAGGAAGGTTACTCTCTCACAACCTTTCAAACAGCACTGGCGTACCTGGAGTCTTTACCAGACGATTATGACGTAAAACCCAGCTGAGGCCCTCGAAAACTTCATCCTCTTAGGTCCATCCATTCTATGACCAAGCAAGAGCAGTCTACCTCATTCAACCAAGACTTATAATGAAAATGCAATATATCGCGAATGGCATTAATTTCATACAATGCAGAGAAGATTAACTAAAATAATTCAATTATTTATGACCAGCTTATCGTCGTATTATCACACCGTCTACAAGCAGCTTATAGAATATTGAATAATTCAATCGTGTGTACATTCTGTGGTACTCGCAATGGATGAAATAAAAACTATGACAATTGTTTGTGGCCTGATTGAATTAGCATAAATAAACATGCTCCGAAGCCAGCACGCGCTGATAGCTGATATATTTAACAGAAATATTGTTTTGAATGTATTCGTGAGAAATATTAGTCCATCTGAGAAAAACACCCATCCAAACACAAAGGTTCGCCATCAAAAACAGAAGATGAGTGTTAATCGACAGTTGCGATCAGGAACAGACATAAACACTATGCAGTGCCCTGGTCGACTTCGTATCAATACATTTCGAGATTGGTATTCATATACTGGGTTATGTATTCCTGTGTCCCCTATTGTTCACTATTACCCCATCATACATGTCGGCCAAACTGAAAAAGACAGCACTCACTTCTTCCTACCTCTTCACTCCATCACGTTACCTTCTTGGTTTGATTTAGTTTACTCAAAATACTTCTTCGTATCAGTAGCCGTTCTTGTTCCTTTCTTCGCCATTTCTCGACCATCTTCTCGTACAGTTTCTCCTCTTTTTCCAATTCTTCCACGTTCTTTGATGTTAACCACATATCATACACCTGCAACAATGAAAATAAAACACTGTCGCTTACACAAAACTGCAATGTGTGTGTGTGTGTGTCTTGATCAATACGAAAAGATTCATCAAAAGGTATATCAGTTCAACATTTCCCCAATTTCATCCCAGCCTCTTCAAAGTTCTGCACTTACCAGACAAGCATCTTCGGGGAATTTTGTTTTACAATTCAACAAGCCAGACTCGTGGGGAATATTTTTTGATTGAATGAAGTCTATGACACTTTGGGCACGTTTTTCCTCGAACCATTCCTCAAACGTCTTCACCCTTGGATTAAGTTTTCGCTGCTCGTCAAGCAAAGCTTTCTTTTGCAATTCCAAGCCTGCCAAACTCTCTTGCAAATGTTCGTGTTTTTGTTTCTCATCTTTCTTGTCCTTCAACCACTCTCTAAAAGTCTTCCCAGACTGAACACGCTTGTGGTCAGGTTTACGAGTTGTTTCTCCACGATCATGACAGGTCTTTCTCTTCTCAGCCAACCATTCACCAAATGTTTTCCCGCCTAAATTTACCTGTTTTGGTCTCAACTGAGTCATTTCGGCGTCCAGACTTTGAGAGTTGATCATCGTCGCTAAAAATTCAAGCATAATATTTCGTTATTTAATCTTATGTGAGTGCTATATGAAGAATGCTTTTTCATATTCTTAGTTAATGCTGCTTTGTAACGCTTTGAAACTCATTGTTATTCCAGATTAACGATATATTAAGATGTAATATGCGAATGTGTATTCATTCTACATTCATTTTCAATGTGTACCCATTTTAAAGCAATCAATTTTGCAAAAATTTACCGTTCAGTTGTTGTCTCTTCTGTCGTAACCATTCCTCAAAAGGGACCCCAGAACTAGTTCTATGGCTTTCAATGATTTCCGATTTGCTGCGCTTTCGGAATTTCTTTTTTTCTTCCAACCACCTCTGAAAGCTCTCGGCATCCAATTCTCGCCCGACTTTGCTTCGCAGTTTCTCCGAGGCGCTGGCCGGTCGCTCTCTTCTCTCATCTTTCAATGAATGGCGCTTTCTCTCCAACCATTCTTCGTAACTTAAGGACGTTGCTCTTCTACGCTCTTTTGCTCTTTCAGTTTCAGAACTTCCAACGTCCCCAAAAGCTCCCGGGATCCAGAGTTGATCCCTTTGATCATTCAAATCCGAGAAACCGTTACTCGTCGGCTTCCATAATTTTTCATCTGTATTACCATTCTCTGTCATTAAACTGCTGTCCGTTTCTGTTGTCACTGGCCTGTCATTCATTTCTTCAGAATTATTTCCTTGTTCTCCCCTGTTTCTGTTAACCTCAGCTTGCAAAAGGAAACCAATTACCTTCTTGTTCGAAGACTCGGCGCTGGTTTTCGCCTCATTTGGTTTCATTTTAAAATCCGTGTGGATATTCTCTTCTCGTAGTAATGATGACCTTAACGTTGTAATGTTCATGTTTGCCAAACTCTCTAAAGAGTGAAATAGAGTGCTTAATATAGTGATGGTCGAATATATCATATGGTAGATCTCGTTGAGTTTCCGAGAAATACCTCGTCCCTTACCATCAATGTTATGATACTCTCCAACAATATCATCCTGCGAAGTTTTGAGAATTGCATCAATTCCACGCATTCCTCGTGAGGAGCTACAAGAAACGGACAAGTCCTCCCCACTCCTCATAGGTGCTGTCTGTGGTCGCACGATGGGTGTCTGATGTGAGATTTTGTCTCCTGGATCACGTGTTTTAGTAGGTTCAATGATTGTCATTACAGGTAGATCATAGGATTGCGAGGGAATCTTGGGGATCTGAGCGGATATCGGATGATCTCTGGACGTAGTAGTTATGCTTGGTAAACTCTATCAAGTGAAAAATATCAAGTGAAATAATTAGTATTTCAACATTGCTGTTTGGACATATGTTGTTCTGATGGAATTTAGTTCCTCAGATTATTGGGGGCCCACTGCCTCCCCTAACTTGCCCTTACCCTTGCCCACGACCCTTTAAATTTGTGTGAAGATACTGCGGCAAATTGAGTGAAAAGCATTGTACGTATTTGTGGAATGAACTGATCTTGACAACGGTACCAACCTCAGAAGATGGTTCTTTGCTAGAGTGACTTCTTGCTTGATGATTTTGTTGGAAGTTCTTTATCATTTGATGGGGAGCTGTCTTGGGTCGATGCTCAGTCTTTCTCGTTCCTCGACTCTTCTCCTGCCAGTTCTCCGACGTCTGGTGCATGTACAATCGTTTTTGACAATAAATATGTTTCATAGAATGGGCCAACTGCAACGGAGTTTTACCAAACACATCCAACGAACTAGACTCCGCCCCTTTAGATGATAGAGATGTAAACAGGAAACTATAACATGCTTAATAGACATCGTAGACTACTGACTAGACAGAAACTGGCCGTGGAGACAGTCAATTCAGTCAGAAATCCTTCATATATCATGACAAATAAACAGGCTGGGTGCGATTGTTGTTTTTCAGGTAGGATTTGTCAGTCATTTGTGTATCTGAAACATTTTAATTTAATCTTGCGCAGAGGGAATAGTTACTCGTGAAGAGTTAAAGAAAGGTTATATATATTATCAAACTGCCCTACTAACGAGCCACACATGCAGGAAGAGGTTGGGAGTGCTGGAATGGTTTGGCCATAGTTTGGCCTAGCAGGTGTCCAGCTTAAATTAATAAAGAAAACGTGAAGGATCAGCAATTTTGTAATAAGCTTTGTCCTCGCGAGAACAAAGATTACATTCCCTTCGTGCCCCGAAATTTCATTTTCATAGCTGGTTTATATAGCGACATAATCTCTGGTTCATAAATATTTAAAACTCCATAAAATTTCCCCAAATTCGTTCTACCACAAAACGATTAAATGCGGAAGTATTCGAGCAACCTGACTGCGGACGAATTCGGTTTTTTGTTTTTGCTTACAAGTATGTGGTCCGGTCCGAATACGAGGTAGAAACTGAACTGCACTTAGTGTACTCACCCTCAGAGAGTAACAACGAGACACATCCAACGAAACCTTGGTTAGCAGCAATGTGCAAAGCAGTTCGTCCAAATATCGTACATCCGTTAATGTCAGCTGCACTAGAGTTCAGCAGCTCTAACATCAGAGACAGGTACCCGTGATACGTCGCCATAAAGTCGCTCGTTTAACAACCAATTTGTTCCACAGGTCCGTGTCAAAATCGTTTGACGTTTCACCTCTTATCTCTTGGACTCCGTTTTGAAAAACTTCAAATGCATCGCCTTTTGAGCACGCCACAAACAGTCCCAACCACGTTTTGTGCAGTCGTACTCTAAGGATACTCCCGTATCTCAGTGGATAATCTTCCAACGTCTTGTTATCAATCATTTCGTTATTCATAAAGTACAAATGTATCAGATCCCCTGGTATTCCAACTCGAAGCTCAATTCTTGACTTCACCTGATGTATCAATAATTTTGTACTTAAATCTCGCAGACTACACACGTCATTAGTCGGTAAGCTTACGAACAGATGGATAAAATTAGTTTTCGATGAATCATCCCGCTTCTCATCCTTCATAACGAGAGCTGTTCGAGGAGTTATGATGTATCCGCAACAGAGAAAGCAAATGCGAAAATTTTTTTAATAAATAATAAATCTTTGCGGCAGGTAAAATGAAAACGATTAACATTAAGCTTATTGTTATCCCTGTCCTTGACAACAAGATATTACTTTTGAATATTTTAACACTAGAAGAAACTTTATTGCGCTATTTTATGTAATTAACAAAGTCCTATACAAACACCTTGTTCAAATCGAGACACATCACAACTATTAATTTGCCGTAAATTATAAATATAACATTGTTTTTCTTAGAGGGGATAAGAATATTGTACTAACATTGGTTCCTCGTTCGCAAGCAATGTGAACCTACCTTAAAATAATTTCAATTTGTTACAATCCTGGTGGATTTTTCCCCCAAATCAGTTGGGAGAATTGAAAGCATAATATATGATGCTTTGTTAAATGCAATGCCGGCTTTATCAGTACAGAAGGCATGCATAAATAAAAGCTCACTTGTCCTTGTTGTAGTTGAGATAAGCTGTATAAAGTACAGATAATTCAACATAGGTTTTCTCTTCTTAACTGCAAACCTTAAACTTTGTGGCAAAAGCTATTTAATTTACGGTAAGCAGACGGTTTTTTCTGCAATTGTCTTAATAAACAAAAAACAATACATAATCTCTCGCGTGTTCATAATAATATAGGACATATAGGGTCTAATATTTTAGACGGACAGTCTTTATTGAATTAGCAGTATAAAAAAAGCCATTTGACTTCAGCGCGATAAAAACAGGGCGAGAGTCGTTATTAAAAATTCGAGTCCTGAAAAGAATTATGGGTCGTGTGTATACGCGTGGAATGCAGACCGCGTGGGTGGACTGGAACAACCCCAGATACGAATTTTCGAGATCCGTTAAATACCCTACGGCTGGTAATTCAAACGATTGGCGCTGGGCAAATAACACTCAATAATTTGAAGAATATTTTTACACACGTATCCGGCGTTTGCGCCCGCTCAAAACGGATGCATTTAGTGGATACATATGAAAATCTCCAAATTTCCGCTTACCCGCGGCAAAAAAAAACCGTTCAAAACGCAGTGAACATAGTGAACATAGTGACATAGTTAACATAGTGAACAAACAAACTGTTTCAATACACTTGGATACTAATGAGGCTATTATTAGAAACTTTGAGTCTTCAGTTTTCGTTAGAGTTCATGTCACTGAAATATTGAGTAGATTAGATGAAGAAACGACCGGCAAAGGAAACGAACGAGAATTTATCCGATTATGTCTGGAAGCTCCTAAAAAGTCTCGCATCAAAAGATTTTTTAACTTCCGACATGTAAACATTGATTATAAAGATCTTTAGCATATCTTTAGAATATTCCTACGTAAATGACACAATTCAGTTGATACAGCAAAGCTATCTACCCCTTAATATATGCGTAACTCAGTGTTATTATCAACAAAATAATAACTTGTAATGACGCAAATCTATGTTTTCTTTTATTCAAGTTGAACATATGACACTGCAGACAAGAGCATTAGAGCAATATTTCGAATCTGTGTATCGTGGAATGATATCAAAGCCAGTAATGAGAATGTTTATAATGTATTGTTCGGGGCTAATTTTGAAACAGTGTGCATATTGATAATAAGTTTTTAAATACTATATATACGGGCGTATCTTAAAATTCAATTCAATTCAAACTAATTTTGCGTAGGAAGAACAAAGGCCAGGTATTATATATATATTTGTTGTGAGTCCTTCTAGAAAGACTTATCAATTTTCAGATACGATTTTAATGATTTAAAAAACGATTATTCTAAACATTTAAAAACTGCACAACTGAACAACACGGGGGATATTCATCACATTGCCATTGGTGGTGTTAGTTCACCGTATGACGCGGAAAACGTTATAGCATTCTCAGCGGGAGAGATTGATCTATACTGTTCTTTTTGCATAATTGCACAAATTATTTCGACGATTGGTTTTTACTTGTGGACGCAGTAATATCATGAGTGACATCATGAATTTACACGTAGACATACAACTCTAAACACTTAACGAGCTGTCGGATCCGTCAGATGAATTATAATTCGCTTTTCAGGTCGCCTGACGCAGGCTCCTTAACACCTGTCTTGTAAACCGTTCTCGAGATCTGTTTCGCTATAAATTGTTCATAGCGTGTTTGTTAAATCAGTCTTGAGGACAAGCAAGCAACTGATGTGCCCGCAGTCAAGGCGGATATAATCATATAATCGAGAATTCTTCAGCAAGTTTGTGAAACCTGAGAAGACTAGCCTGACTATACGAGTATATATCGACAGCACTCTATTTAAAAAAACAGGTACGTTTTTCAGGTAGAACGGAAACCTGCGAATTCGATTCAAACATCCCTTGTAGACAGTATACAAATTAGCCATAATTTTTATAACTGTAAGCTTCATTGACATTGTTCATCTTACAAATCACTTCTCCCCCTCCCCCCAGTTCTTGTGTGAGCGATGCGTATATATCTTGCAAGGAAATACTGCTTCAAGGCGATGCAAAACATTGAATTACGACCGCAGATATTTTCATCCATATATATGAAAGTGTTCTTCAATTTGTGTACTCCAGCAGTGAAACTTACAGATTTTCATGCATGCCATATAGGTAACTTTTTCACGGGGTAGCTATGTGTCTTCTTGCAATGCAAATTATCTGTTTCTGTTATCTCCATCTTTTTCAAGCCGCTATCGCAAGCAATGCCAAGCATGCCCGCGATCATGATCTATACAGGCCGGGCGTATATAGAGAATTATACAATACAGCTGTAATGTAAACATAGAATGCATGCTCAGTCAGTTAAGTTTGCTTAATCTTCAGCTGTCTACAGAGCAATATTGCAATCACTCTCGTATATTTGATCAATATATGATTGTTTGTGCAAGCATGAATATGGGTGTTTCACGCTGGATCCCACCATATGATTTCCGAACTTCATGCAGTATCGACATGCATCCATGTATGCCAATATGCGTTCATTTTAATCTTTTTTTTTTTTCTTCAACACAATTCCACTGAATATAATTGTTCAACTTAAACCATGGTAAGGACCGGTACATAACACTCAAAAAATCATGTTTCCCCGTGTTTCCTGGTTCATGCGAAGCGCTGTAAACATGCACAGAAGATGACTTAGATGAGACTGAATTCTAAGAACGATTTTTTAAACCTAAGTAAGACGAAATTTAAACCTGAACGGCTTTGACGCAGCAGATGCATGATCTCGTTTGCATAACAAATTTCAGTTGCATGTCTGGCTGCAGGCATCTTCATTATTATAGCTGTTAAAAACATTTGTCACTTCTTAAAACCCGATAAACTTTTAAAACTGACTGAAAACATTGCATGGAAATGGCACATTGCGCGAAGATCACCTCAACAATAACATTCTAACATTTCCATTACTCATATCATAACTATTTACAAGCTCTGTATGGCAGAGAGATATTGTGACTGCGTGAATCTTTTTTATAATAAAAATGCATGCATCTGTGAAAGTTAACGCTCGAGCCTACGGCCCAGAATTAATCGTTCTCTGCAATTGATGCGAATATTAAACACCCGCCTGCATGGCTTCGAAGAAATAGCTGGCTTCAACTGAATATTTCGCTTTACTCTTTTTAATAAAGGCATATATGTAAATTGGCAACTATACGAATTACGAAACCATTGCATGTTTATCAAACTTCATGGACGATCCTTATACACTAACAGCATTTTAAAGAATTCACATATTTTAAAAGTAGAACATTGCATTGCAAATTGCATGAAAACTTGTATCGTGTGACAGGGCATTTCGTCTCTCCCTTCCCGCACCTGCAAAAGTTCGCCGCTGTTTTGGCGGACGATGCCATAGGCATAGTGATCATGGGATCACCCGTTGTGGTTATTTCTAGACACAATTAAGACATCTTTTGCCGGAACTCCATAAAAGCATATGATTAAAGTTCTATCAAGAGGAACAGTCTCCAAATCATATTAGTTTTTGTAGTAGCTTTAACGATATCGCAATTATGGTTCTAACTACATTAAAAGTCTTCACTCTTGCCAAATTACACAGATCAGAACCTAAGTTTGGAAGTTTCAACTATAATTCTCGACACGCTGCTGAGGAAAAACCTCCGGAAAAATAGAAAATTTCAGTTAATCACTAAGGCTAATATTTACTTTGTTGGGAATTACAAATGATTTAAAAGCCGAATGTTAATTTCATTTGCAATCCAAATGCATGCATGAAACATGTTTGTATACGCAAGTTAATCCGATGTTGAAATAATTATTCAAAAATTTAACCCACCTTCTATTATGATCCTGTAATGTCGTGAATACATATAGCAAGGACTGTACGTTTGACCAGCACTAGCAATGACAAAGAGACGAAAGAGTAGTATAAAACTCTTGCATGCACGACTATATTTTGCGTTTAGTTAAAAATTATGCTACCTTCAAAATACATTATTCTTATTAGCCTAGTTAGTCAACTACATTTTTATGCACCCGCAGAACCATAGCAGAGTTGAATACGAACTGCCATATTGCAGCAAACTCAGGCTTGCCGCATATTTTTATTATTGACAGTATTATCTTTAGTAATGATCAGTTAATTTCCTAAGGCTTTGTATATACTTCGTTTTTTTTTGGAGTAAAGCACAAGTTTTCTGCGTGTCAAATAATGAGTTGATGCACTGACGTAGGTCTAAGTACTGACAAGTCCTAGTCATATTTATTTTCGAAATAAAGCCTTCGTTAATATTTCATTAATAGGTTTCATTTTAACTCGACCCCTCTTTTTTCGGCAACGTAAAAAAAGTTTTAAATAACGTAACTCATAAATATATAAACACTAACGGGTATAATGACAACGACGAGCAATTTTTTGACACGAAAGAGATCCAGATCTGAACTCATGCAACGTGAAAAATCTTACTATTTCAATCATATATAAATATATAAGCCACGTTCATTTGATTATCTCGTTACATTTATTTTGGCGTTAGAATTGATATATGTTGATTAATTATGTGCAAGCTATAGCTCATGGCCAATAGCTTTAGCTGTTGTGTGCTTCTTAAGAGAATGATTGAAAAAACTTGAATGTTGCCTTGTTGGCACAGCAACAAACAAATCAATCATTCATGGTATAGCAGCATTTTCTGTCCCCCGCAAGATCTTATCACGCACAGGCTCCCCTCAGAATTTTCTGTTATCTTATTTTACATGCAACACTGCATGCAACATATTCTTCGTGGTACTTGTAAACTTTTCTTTGTATGTGCGTGCGCGGGATGCTTATAGATAATGCGTCATGCATGCAGAGAAACTCCACCGACGCAGTCTGAAATGGTTGTCACCTTGATATAGCCATGCAAAGTGCATACAAATTTTCCATGGATACTGAGTGGGAATTAATGGAAAAAAACCCAGGTGAACTAACAATTATAGTAAATACACAGCCTAGGTAAAAGGGTTAAGAATTGAGTATTATCGGTATAAAAAAAGTTAAGAACAAGATGTGTACACATTACGTGATGGCTTAAAAGCCAAAGCCAAGGTATTCACATGTTTTATTTACTTTTCATATGTGTAAGTACAGACGTATTCGCGCACACAGCGATTTAGCGAGCATTATAGATCATCTGACGAAAAAAAATGAAATGCGTCATAAATGTCCGCATGCACAGGTCTTCTCAAATGACAGGTGTCACGATCGATTATCGCTGTTTTATTCCACACACTTGCATGATCGCGCCTGTATAAACAACACGCGCGCGCATGCATATACGTCTTATACTACAACTACACAGTGGAAAAACACAGCGGGCTGAACACTGAATTCGCGGCTTGCTGCGGATTTATAGTATTTGGTTGAACATCGAATTAAAGAAGTTTAGATGAGGTTAAACCGACCCGTGTCTTCAGTTTCTCATCCGGAAACTCAAGGTAATCATTTCACAGCAGGTTGAGTGCATGCAGTGGTGGTAAACTACTAGTACTACGTTCAACAACCGGTGAGATCTAGCGATCATAAGAAGTAAACATTGAAAATATGGAATTAAACTGAAATTATTATTGTAATGTTTATATACAAGAATTAGTTTCTCTATATTGTATTCCATTCAATACATCGAAGTTCAACATTGTGTGTAGCAAAACATAATTATATGATTATAATTAATATATTTACTAACATATTTTTTTGTGAAAACGTCAGTAGTCAGGAAAAAAACCTTTCATCTCATTAAAAACGAGTAATTCTATACCGAGGTCTCATGACGTACTTGACTTGAGAAGAATCGCTACGGGCAGCAGATGAAATTTTGAATATTTATCTTTTATCTTTCAGGTTTTCCAGCTGATCAAAGCAGATTTAATCTTAAAATTTATCTTTCTAATTTTCAGGAGTTTTAGCAGAGCAAATCATTTGAGAACTGACAAAAACCACAACATGGTCGCGGAACCATCTTGGCCCGAACCAGGCCCCAACTGGCCAGAGGCGAAATCGTCGTGGGGCTTGGCCTGGCCCATACATGTCTACGCATTCGCCAGTATATGGACACTGGCAGCAATATACTTCCTTTTCTTCTTCGTTCAATCAATCTGGCGTCGAAGCAATGAACACAAAAGGTCCCCCTTAATAATGCTGAGTCTTCAACTGCTCATCCAAGCGTTATCACGATGTTTCGTGCTGTTTCTGAACCCGTACGCTTCAAGATCGAGCAACCATGCACAGCTTGTCATAACGATCGCCGTATGGTCTTTGGGCACTGCTGGGCTTACATCAGCTTTCGGAGTGCTGCTACTGATCCTCCTTGATGCAACAAAACTTAGCCTGGCTCCGCCAAAATTTCAAAATATTTATGTTCTCATCATTATAACTATCGCAAACTTCGCATTTGTCGTCGTCTCTGACATCATCGTCGCCTTTCACGAATCCGCAAACATATTACTGGTCTTATGTCAAGTTACCTTTGCCCTCTGGGGAGTTGTTATTACAGTGGGTTACTCCATGGCTGCCTACAGAATACGCAAGAACTTAACAGCAACATTTGATGGTGTGGAATCCGGTCCTAAAACCCCGGGGGATCCGATGAGGTTTAAATGGTTGATCATAAAGTGTTGTGTTTCGTCCATCTTGGGTCTGTGCGTGTTTGGGATGAGTCTGTACGCGGCGCTGTTCGGGGAGAGCAGTGTCCTCTCTGACACAGAATTCGCGGATAGTTGGCCGTGGTGGGTATTTCAGACGATATTTCGGATTTTGGAAATCCTTGTGACCTTATTGATTTCAGTCGTTGCTTTGCAAACGCCTCGAGTCCCGCGTTAAAGAGGGTCGTGCATGGCTAGATACGGTTGATGTATTGGAGTATCGTTAGACAGGCGCGCGCGTGAGGTCGATTTAGAAATTGAATATATGTATATAGCTATATAAATATATAGAGTGTATATAAATATAAATTATGTATAGTGTGTCGCCTGCGTTGTTTTTCTTGTCGTTTGAATACATGTATATTTATGATTGGTTTAGTAAGAAAAATTTCACTAAATTTAACGTAAATTTAACGTCTAACATCATCAAGTCCTGAAATTCTCATCCTCGTTCATTTCTTCATTTTTAACCAACTGATGTCGAACCAACTTTGCGTACGTGCCTTCTTTAGCCATGAGCTCGGAATGATTTCCAACCTCAACAATGCTTCCTTTCTCCATGACAATAATCCTGTTCGCTTTCTCGATCGTGCTGAACCTGTGCGCGACCACAATCACCGTCCTGCCGTTCAAATTCTCAAACATCGCTTGTTGTATCTTATACTCGCTCTCCGCGTCCAAAGCACTCGTGGCCTCATCGAAGAGCACCACTGAAGGCTTGCGAATCAGAGCTCTGGCGATAGCAACGCGTTGCTTCTGCCCGCCAGAAAGCTGCTGTCCCTTCTCGCCTGCTTGAGTATCATATCCCTGAGCTAAATCTGTGATGAAATCATGTGCATTCGCTAATCTCGCCGCGTTTTCAACTTTCTCCTCAAGTTCGTTTCCTGTACTGCACTCGAAGTTATAAGCAATGTTTTCCTTTAAATTTCTGGCAAATAACACAGGTTCTTGTCCTACCAATGCGACTCTGTCGTGGAGGAATTTGTGATCAAACTCTTTCACGGAAATCCCGTCAATTAGAACATCACCTTCGCCGGGTTCGTAGAAATGTTCTAGAAGATTGATACACGTGCTCTTTCCAGCACCGCTCGAGCCGACAATAGCAACCATTTCTCCAGGTTCAACGATGAAAGAGATATCTTTCAAGACAGTGGAGTCAGACCTAGTTGGGTAGGAGAACGTGACGTTCTTGAATTCCACTCTACCCGAAAATTCACTTGGCGCCAAAGTCCCATTATTAGGTATCTCAGGCTCCCTGTCTATGTACTGGAATACCTTCAATAATAAGATATAGTTAGAGAGGGGTCAAGAATAACCGTTGGAGAGGGAGAACAATTAGAGAGAGGGGGTGTTTTGTATTCAGAGTAAATGGGTGAGGTATTACCTTAGGAAGTCAGACTATATTTACTGCTGTTTTCAACTATAAATAAATCTAAAACTCATCACCTTTTCTGCAGCACCAACAGCATCCACTAATCCAGTATAAACATCACCAATTTCCTCGATAGCGTGGCCCAGACTCAAGGAATAGAGGAGAAACGAAACGAGATTACCGCCGCTTAATTCTCCTCTCATTACCAAGTGTCCGCCATAATATAACGTTAGTACGTCAGTAATCATCTCCAAAGTATGGTTACACCAAGTATAACCACCGTACACCAATGCCTCTTTCTAAGACAGGAAATTTGTCGGCCGTTAAGACTGGGTATAAATTATAAAATAAGGTATAGTGTACGATTGGGACATGCCAAAATCTCTGGTGCATGAATTCGTAGTTTAAACTCGCACGGTATTTGTTTTCAGATGTTGTCTAAGTTGATTAACAAGATGCCAAATGATGTAAATATTTCAATTTTCAATATAAAAGTGATCTAGACCGAAACCTACCTTGTTTAAGGCATAGGTTTTATCCAATTTCCTTGCATACTCGTTCATAACGCCATCTTCATTTGCAAAGCTCCTCACTGTCCTCATGGCAGAAATAACCTCCTCCGCCACCTCATTCGCTTTTGCAATAGAATTTTGCACTTTCTCGGAAAGCTTTTGAAAATATTTACCGTACACATCGGAGATGACTGCCACCACTGGTATACTTATTAGGGTCATTGTACTCAATTTCCATGAAATATGAAACATTAGTACGCACACACCTAGTGCTGTAACAACATTTCTTAGAAAGACATTGATGTTCAATGTAACTTGTTCGCCCATTTTGCTCGTGTCTGAAGTCAAACGAGAAACGATGTCTCCAGTTCTAGTTTTATCGAAGAAGGCGATTTCTTGATTGATTATGGAACCAAATAGAAGTTTATTAACTCGAATGTAAAACCGACTCAATACAAGAGTGAATATACCGCCCCGAAAACCAGAACAGATGGCAGTTATGAAGGATAACAAGCCCATTATGATGATGGATCTATGAAATTTAGCACTGTCTTTTTCAATGGCAATGCTGTCAATGACTTGGCCGGTGTAGTAAGGAATAAACATCTCCCCGACTGCGGCACAAAGAAGGAATAGAAATGCCAGGAAAAGATAGTGGATATCTGGTCTGGATACAGAAAGAAGCTTTGATATTGTAACTTTGCTTTTTGCATCATTTGTGTTGCTACAAATTAAGAAGCAAGTGGGTAAGGTTTGATGTACTACCTGTTGTAAGGTTGGTCTTATAATGTATTATTAATGTGCAAGACACATTTCAGTAAATGTGCATGCAGCAATCAAAGTTTGGAGGCACTTGATGTATGTGTTCTGATTGGCATAAATGTCTCACTGACCTATATATAGTTGAGTAAAAGCAAACATCTATAATCCATAAATGGATTTTATAACTTGTGCATGAATTCTATACACTGAGCCCTCCAGGAAGGTACCTGTCCAACCAATAGTATAAATTAAAGATAAAATGGCATCAAAGTTTAAGTTTAAGTTATTTTGTGGTGTATTCAGGGTCTTGTTCAGTGAGATTTGAGCATTTTATAGCATTTGATAAAGCAGAACTATGATTTACAAGTTACCTGTCATGAGAGCTATCCTCTGAGTCAACGCTTTCATCATCAGATTCAGATGACAAAGATCCTTGTATTTCCAGCACTGAGCCAACCTCTTGATCTTCATTAACCACAAGCACAGTCTTCTGCAATGCTCCACTACCCATCACCCACCAACTCCAAGAAAAAGTGACTGAAAACACGGCAGTATGACCAAAAAACAACCAAAGCCATACCTTGGAACTGCGTGTTTCAACGCACTCTGTACTTGCTAGAAACTTTGCTAGGACATAAACAACGATACCAAACGATAAACAATATATGAGCTTTCTAGACAGCCTCAAACGAGCACGTCCTTGCGTTGCATTTAATCTTGTGCCCAAGATTGCTCCTGCGATCAAGGAAAAACGAGAAATGGCGGTTAACCACAAGTCCACTGACGTTGTACAAAACTGAAGATCTGATGTAGCGGTCAACCATGACACTTTTGTCCAATTTGACTTCAGCAAAAACAGTGTGGCGAGAAATATATCCACTATAACTAAAAAGACAACAGTTATCACTCCATGCACCGCCATTTGCAATAAAAAATAAATGATTCATCATTTTATTCTTTCAGAATTCTGCAATTTGATTGGATGAAGCTAAGAATCCCGGGGGGTAGTCCTATTCCTTTCGCTCACATCAATCCAGTGATTGATGCGCACAGGTATAAAGCTCAGTGGCTGGTCACAAGATCCAAGCTGAAATTCGAAAGAGTTTTTCTTTGCAAATTTTCACACAAATTGCTCTGTTAAAATTCCTTTGTTCGCTGATCAACAATGGTAAGACATTGCTGAAGCAATATTAGAGTGATCAGATCACATCACGTCTAAATGATCAAGTTTTTTCAGCTCTATATCTATATAGTTCAGCCGTGACGATATTTTGCAATCTCTTGATTGTCTTCCTTCTATATAGCCTCCTCCAACACAACTTTCCTCCCAGGACGAGCAAGAGAAATTGCTGGATGAAGCTCTCCAAGTCGTTAAATCGCAATCCTTTCAAATGAAAAGATGTTTGGTAAGACGTGACAATTAACTTCCGCAAATATAGAAAAAATCATTCGTGTTCTGCAATTCTTGAATTACAAAATATCAAATGTATTTGTAATTTACCTCAATCCCCTCTACATCACAACCCCACATCAAGTAGACCTGAAGTTATGATCTACCATTGATTGTCACCTTTATATTATAAGTGCAACCATCAATGGTTAACTAATTATTATTACAGAGTGAATAATTCGGTGACTGGTAATTTAGCTGGCATAATTACCATATATATATCAGGCATTTTTCTCTCATTATTATGGGAGCATATTTGACACACTGAGCATCTTTACTGAGTTGATTTGGTCAAATATACAGTAAAATATTATGATGAATGAATGAAAATGCCAATAAAAAATTATTTCATTGAATATTATTACTTACAGGACATCACCAATCTCAGACCCTAAACCTGACCTTAAAACATGGCTTTATTTTTGTAGGATAAAGGCAAGCTAATGGATGGACTGAAACATGCCTCAAATATGCTTAGCGAGTTGAGAACTTCACTTTTGTCCCCAAAGAGTTATTATGAACTTTGTATCCTTTCATGTTGAAACCTGTTCACATTCTGCTATATGACATGCATGGCAAAGATAGGATAAGAGACCCAGGGTACTTTAAAATAAACTTTTCTTTAATAAATTTCCAAGACATGGCAATCTCTGATGAGTTGCGGCATTTGGAACTGCATTTGGTGGATGAATTCCAGAAAGGAAGAAAAGTTTCAGATCTTTATGAATTAGTGCAGTACGCAGGAAACATTGTGCCAAGACTGTGAGTATTGACCGTTGTTCATCTCAGCTGGGGAAACTCTCCTTCACCATTCATTCAGTAATTTCTGGTTGTGTTTGAATGGTAACAAAGGTCTTGTCTTGGGGAATTTACCAACAAATGTTTCTTTAGGTATCTTCTTATTACTGTTGGAGTTGTTTACATCAAGGCGAAGGAGACGTCTCGGAAAGATATCCTCAAAGATCTCGTTGAGATGTGCCGTGGTGTTCAACATCCTTTACGGGGTTTATTTCTGAGAAATTATCTTCTTCAATGCACTAGGAACCTACTCCCAGACATGGAGAGTGAAGCAAGGTAAAAATATGGTTTAAGCTCTTAGAATACATTGAATTTGGTCTTCAAAATAAAAAATGAAAGTTTCAAAAATGTGCAGACATTGTGCAAATGATTTTGTTGTTGTTTTTTGTGGTCCAACAGTGAAGGAGAAATGGATGGTACAGTGAAAGACTCCATTGATTTCATTTTGTTGAACTTTTCTGAGATGAACAAGTTGTGGGTAAGAATGCAACATCAAGGTCACACAAGAGAAAAAGAGAAGCGAGAAAGAGAGCGTCAGGAACTCAGGATCTTGGTTGGAACTAATCTTGTACGATTGAGTCAATTGGAAGGAGTTGACGCGGCTTTCTACAAGTCGGTTAGTTTGCTTCTAAAGCGTATTCCACTGTGCATACGTGTTCAAACATGAAAACTAGATATCAGTTTGAAGTTTGAGTCCAGAAATAATTCACATTTAGTTTTTAATTTCTTAATTTTAGACCGTTTTGAAGGGGGTTCTCGAGCAAGTGGTCAGCTGTAGGGACGCAATTGCTCAAGAATATTTGATGGAATGCATAATTCAGGCGAGTAAATGGCAACCTACATGTGTGCTATGATATTATTAAACAAACGTATTTGTTCCTAGCTTGAAATTGGGACGTTCAACTATTAGACTAGCTCTGAAAAAACGGCTCGTATTAAAAACGCAAGTTCATTAATACTACTTCAGTAAAAGCTGAGCTCTACAAAAACCATTTTCTTTAAATATCTAGGTGTTTCCTGACGAGTTCCACTTACAAACTTTGACGACATTCCTGCAAGCTTGCGCTGATCTTCACGCCAATGTGAACGTAAAGAATATAATCATTTCATTGCACTCACGTCTGGCTTTGTTTGCAACAAAAGACGACGGAGAAGGCATCCCGGAAGATATAAAACTTTTCGATATATTCTCGCAACAAGTTTCCTCCGTTGTGCAGGTAAGAGAGCAGTTGGTAGAGCTTTAGTTAACCAATCACATCTCTCCATCTCCTGTTCTCAGCCAATCAGTGAGCTTGGTTTGCGAACTACGTTTTGGCGAGAAACGTTTTCGCTCTAAGTGATGATTTCAATAAGAAATCGCAATATGAGAAATCAATTCCTAACTCTCGCTCACTAAGTTTTGTTGAATTCGTTCGACAGGCCAGAGAGGATATGCCAGTCGAAGATATCATCGCTCTTCAAGTTTCCTTGATCAACCTGGCTTTGAATTGCTATCATGATCGTTTTGACTACGTCGATAAGGTTCTTGAGTACACAGAAGAAATTTTCAGCAAGCGAAATCTGACACAGTAAGAAACATTCTTTGGTTATTCGAGGAAAAAAATGGGAAAAACAATCCATCTCCCCCCACACCATTCAATACAATTCTTTCTTGAGAGAAAGAACTATTTCTTGTTAAAACTTTTATGATCAAAGCATAAACCTGATTGTTTTTCAGCGTGGAGAAGAGCAATGCTGTTTCTCGTGAGCTGACACGGCTGTTAAAAATTCCCGTCGATTCGTACAACAACGTGCTGAACTTGTTGAAACTACAGCATTTTGCGCCATTGTTTAACTATTTCGACTACAGTGCAAGGAAAGATATTGCAATATATGTCATAACCAACGCCGTTGAAAATGAAACGACAATTCCTTCGCAAGATTTGGTGGATAGTATATTGACGATGGTCTCACCCCTGGTCACGGAGCAAGAAGACCAGCCGTCAGAGCCAGTGAGTATTTTTGTTATTGCTGAAAATCCTCTCCTCCCCTCCCCCCCGTATTGGTTATATTTTATATCGTGTTCTTCATCAAGGACGATGCTGACGATTTCGCTGAGGAGCAAAGCCTTATGGGGAGATTCATTAATCTATTCCAAGCTGATAGCCTGGATCAACAATATTTGGTATGTTCGACATTGATTTCTGTAGTACCAATGTTTATCTAGAAGTGGAAAGGTCTACGGTACATATATATCAGCAGGAAAAACTAAAATATATATACGTATTGTTGTAACAGCTTTCGTTGTACGTATTTTTAATCCATTGTAGATCTTGAATGCTGCAAGAAAACATTTTGGCAGCGGTGGAGAAAAGCGAATTAGATACACACTACCTCCTGTGATATTTGCTGCGTATCAGCTCGCATTTGATTACAACGAACTGGAAGAGAAGGTATAAGAATATTAGCCCAGGCTGCGCGGCGGACGCTCTTCCCGCGGCAAAAGACGGGAAAGGCCGAAAAGGCATTCAAGACGACGCGAGAATTGTCGTGATGATTATAACATTCTGCAATATGCTGCAAGAGTCAGTGCATTTAAGTACGATTTCTTATTTTGCAGGATGAAAAATGGGACAAAAAATGTCAAAAAATATTTCAGTTTTGTCACCAGACCATCGGAGCTCTGGCAAAGTCAGATTACGGGGATATGTCACTCAGACTCTATCTTCAAGGCGCTCTGACTGCGGATAAACATGGCTTCTCGAACGCAGAGACCGTCGCATATGAATTTATGAGCCAAGTAAATATCTACTGGAACTGTTAGAGCTATCTAGTATAAATAAAGTTAGTTTAGTTTAGGTTTCCTCCTGTAGTAACACTGGATCAATAAGAGATGATCCTTACTTGACCTCTAGGAAGAACAATTTAGAACTGATAGAACTATCCAATATAAATAAAGTTAGTTTAGTTTAGGTTTCCTCCTGTAGTAACACTGGATCAATAAGAGATGATCCTCACTGGACTTCTGGGAAGAACAGTATAAAATATACCACATTTGACTTTATCCTCTCATATCATTCCAGGCTTTTTCAATTTACGAGGATGAAGTCAGCGACTCGCGGGCTCAGCTGGCTGCAATAACTTTAATAATGGGCACGTTTGAAAAGATGACGTGTTTCGGTGAAGAAAACCATGATCCATTGCGGACTCAGTGCGCGCTGGCGGCAGCGAAGTTGTTGAAAAAACCTGATCAATGTCGAGCCGTTGGAGTGTGTTCACATCTCTTTTGGTCGGCCAAGAGCTCTGATGGAGAGCAAGAGGTAGGGCTGACCACTGTTTAAAAGAGTAACGGTATGGTAGGGTGACGCAAGGATTAGTCTAATGAATCCCAATATATCCATTGTTTATCCTTCATTATCCTACATTATCCTTAATTTAGCGTGGTAACGAGAAACGCGTGATGGAATGTTTGAAGAAAGCTCTGCGCATCGCCAACCAGTGCATGGACTCCACGCTCCAAGTACAACTGTTCGTTGAGATTCTCAACCGATATTTGCTGTACTATGAAAGCGGATGCGAAACGGTAAGATTGCTCAGATCATATGATCCACGGCATGTACACGTGAACACAGCAAAAGATAAGGCTTCCCAAATCGCTACCTTGGCTGTTTCCGAAAAAGCCCCCTCAAAAAACTGCTTGTGTGACAGCCATTTGAGGTCGTGCCGTTTTACAACGATTTTTTGCACACATTTATGGGCTCAGATACGTTATCTCCTTGTTGCTATAGGTAACAAGCACGATACTTAATCAACTCATGGAAAAAATCCGCGAAGAGCTACCGAATCTGGAGAGCAATGGAGAGGAAACCGACCAGATCAACCGCCATTTTGAAAACACAGAAGCCCACATTCAAGCGAAGAAAGAGAGCGATGGATTGTATGCTGACGTCAATGTCTAAGGAGCGCTCTTTTAATATAAATACATAATAAAAACATTTAATTTTAAACCTGTTAAAGGTTCAATGCGATTAAATTTTTTGTAGAATTTATAGAAATACAACAAGTGCTTTGAAAACTCGTTTGTTTAATATATTACCAACGCGTTATTTAGTAAATAACTCGCCTAGTGATATCTGTATGTGTCGCTTAAACTGACAAAACGACCGCCTGCACAGAAATCATCTGTTCAAACACAAGTCATCAACTGTTTAGAAACAACTAATATTTATTTAACGTATTTATCTCTCGCAAACGCAGCAGAGAGCAAGCTTCGGTCTGTACAAGCGCGTTTTGTAGCTATATGCACAATTGCTACTCGAGCTCGGTATATTTCTATAATGAACAACTGAGGGAACGCCCCCTACTCCTTGTTATGCTTTCACGAAACCCCACATGCACTAAGCGGCCGGTGTTACCGTGTTAGTGATTTCTCCAAAGATTTGTGTGCTTTTGGATATATAGTAAAGGAAATATCACGAAGGATTTCACCGTCAAACGTTATCTATACTTACTACCTTTTAAATCAAACTTCACGCGCAAAACTTGTTTCATTTTAACACGACACAAAAGTGATGATAAGGTTTCCACGTAAACTCCTTTGCAAGATGAAACCATTAAACCACAACATCGTAGAAACCTCTTGTACTATTCCTGTCTTTGCTCGGAATACACAAGCCATGATCAGAAAATCTCATACAAGCTGTTTCTTTGCCACAAAAGCGTCAGTGCCTAACCGCATAAGTCGTCAGTCCTCAACCATCATCCAGCGATGTTGAACTCGAATGATCCTTTTCGCACTTTGATGATGCGTCACACTTTGCATCTGAGATATTACCTTTGGGAGTGACACGATTCCTACCAAACACCGTCTTCGGTTTTAACTTCATTGTGTTATTTTCATCAATTTGCTCTGCCGAGGTATCCTTGTTGGTGTTATAAGGGGCTGAAAAGATCTCATCAAAGGGATCCGGGACACATTTAGTCCTCAAAGTAGTCGCCTCAAATTTCGGATTTTGCAAAACTTTAGTTTCGTTCACAGTCAAAGAACTGCTTTCGTTCGTTTCTTTAATTTCGATATGTTTTTGCTTAAGAGGAGCTGGTTGGCTGGATAACAATATAGGAGAGTCGCTAGTATTCTCAGCTGTTATTCTGATATCTTTGATGTGTGTAGGGGAGCCACTTGATTTTAACAAACCAGTAGGATTACTTGAGGGTTTAGATGCAGTTGCGAGCTCCTTTAGCTCAGCGGCTACTGGATTACCAGAACTGTTCTCGCTTTCGCTTTTAGTAGTTAGTTCATCATCGTTCAAGCCAGCGCTCGGGCCGGGTTTATGAACGAGGATAGAATAATCGGCGTTGATCTTGCACGTTGACCTTTCTACAACATGGTAATTACTGCTTACGTTCGGCTGCTCAGCCGTATTTAAGTATTCCAACGGATTCTCGAGTCTGGCAGCGATATCCCGATGCAATGATTCGGCTGTGTCCTCAGCCTCGTTGTACTGTGCTAAATGATAAAAGTTCAATTCCCCCAGTTCACGCAACATTTGGAAACTCTTATCGCCGACCATAAAAATCGTCGGATGCAAGTGTGATGTCTCCGTTTTTGTAGATTGAACAATTACCGCTTGTGATGGGGAGCAACCCATTGCAAAAGCCTGAAAGTGTATAAAATCTCTATTAGTTCATCTTGTCAAACCGTTTGTCTAACTTAAATCAATATTTTATCGCAATAACAGTAGTTGCACGTAGGTGGTCGCTTTTTGTCCGTTGTTTCATCACATGATGCACACTCATTACATACGAGTGCAGGTGTCTCTGAAGAAGAAAATGCTAATAGCAAACAGTATTAAAAATACATAGTTGAGTTTATGTGTTTGAATTGCAAAGTCATACACCATTCTTTTCACAAGCTAGGCTTTTCAAACACGTTATAAACGAAAGGTATTGACTGGTAATGGACACAAAGGGAAGCAGGCAGGTTGGACAACTATTCGAGAAAATCGACAATTCGCAAAGCTGCCAATTTACACGCAATTGTTAACTTCATACATTTAACTCGCATCTCATTACTGAATACAATCAAGATAAAAAAAAACGGTGCAATATATGCTATATTGCTAGGCTGGGAAGAATAGTCTGTAAAACTTGAAATGCCTTATTGTTCAAATTCAAGGATGTTAAAAAATATGAGCTTTTTAATTGTCGGCGGAAATATTGAATTAAAGCTATATTTCATATGCTAAATATGTGTTATTGAGAAGATATTAAGTTCGTTTGAAATGATAAATTGTATGTCAACGCACCTTGTCGTGTCGTGTAATTTCAATATCTCGAAAACGCATCAACGTTTGTTGCGATTTTTTATACGTCCAGCATTAACATGCAAATTTTTGTGATGAAAGATTAGCAAATTCACGTCCCACGAAGTTTTCAAACAAATATGCTTCAGTTTATCTGATGTTAGACTTGCCCCCTTCGACATAAAATCTCCCCTTTTTTCATTAATGAAATAACAAAATTGCCATTTCAAGACTTGGATGAAAAACGTCTGGAAGAATTAGCAGAATGAAAGAAAGCAGTTGCCATTGTTGGAGTATAATTAATCTGTAGTATCTTTTATTTTCTTTTACGAAAGTTTAAACGAAAGTTCATTGCATTTTTGCTACCGTTTTATAGGGGGTTGAAGTCCATTATAAATTTAGGAGCAAAGTTAATAAAACAGTTCTCGAGATAAAAAGTAGAGTTTTAATCCAGAGATTATTTCAGCCTGTGATATCATATATCGTCTGGGACTCCCGTATCACGCTGATGGAAACATGTCTTGTTGCTGTCATAGCCTCGATCAGCAGCTGACACAACAGAAGCCGTAGCACGAAAATCAAATATGTAAAATATCAGCGCTAAAAGAATCACGGGAATTATGATATATGCATTTAAACAAACTCAGCGTAACAATATGTATATTCCTCGCCACTTGAGGTACTTGCGTTTAACAGGCAAATTTTATACTTTTCAACGTTTTTTAAACAACAAAAAGTTCTTCTATAGGCCTCCCCAGATTTTTAAAAACATCATTGTATCATAAAATTATGGTACTTGTGACTATTGTCTAATTTAAACACCAATTGAAAATAACTTTAAAGTCAGTCCTACATATTGAAATTGCGTTTTTATATATTGTCACTTCATTAATATCACTTTGCAAATGTAAGTGCATTTGATTGCTTTGACAAACTATATTATACGTCGTAGCAGCGACATTTAATGCTTTCATTTGTTATTTACAAGACAATTCAAAAAGAAAAGCTGGGATACCAACGATATGATAAAGTCTTATTTGCATAATATTATTTGTGCTTGTCTGGCCAATGAAAGGAAACGTATAGAATTGCCTCAGGTATATCTCAAAGACCACAGCACGTTCAGGATGTTTCGAGAGAATCATTGCGGTCGGTTATCGTTGCGTTTTCTACTGATACTGGCAGCGGTTTTTGAAAACGAGATTTGAGACCGACCACCGGTATCAATTATTAGAAAATGTATCACATCACGATTTTATAGACTAATGACTTGTTTGGTGACGCCATCAACTACAGTTGACGACCCAATCAGAAATTAGTCAGAGAAGAAGACGAAAGACTGTTAAAGGATTGCCTCGGCCCAGTCTCTTTAAGGGGCAAGGGAATTATGTTGAAAAATTCGGCTGCTGCGATTCAAGTGGGCTTCCTGCGGTGACGTAATTGAGGCATTTCACAGTTAAAAGGCAAATGTAAGAGGCACATCTAGAGCTACAATATGGAATGCTGCGGAGTTTTATCGATAGAATAGGAAGATAATTTCCCTAAAGCTGTTTGAATGCATTTCAGTTTTGAATGAGCTCGCGTGAATGCCCTATTCTATTTTCTGTATCAAGCTTCAGATCTGATTTTTTTTGTTCCAGATGTGAGGCGCGTGGACTCCTGCCGACAAACTTGGCAAATATAAACGGTTGATAAATGGGATGCAATCAGCAAGACGCGTCAGTTGGTCTAACCTCGCAGTAACCAGGATCTCCTTAAGTTTAAAATCTATTCTGCCAAAGGCAATAATAGATTGGCCAAAAAGTTAAGACTAGTCCCTCAACTACCAGAAAAATCCTTTAAAAGATCTGTTTGAAAGTTTCAAAAAGCCATCGGGAGAGATATCGACAAATATCTTTTTAAGATTGTGATCAATAACACTAGACTTCCCTGACTATTACACAAGGTGTTTCATGGAGTTATATAAAACCTTGATTATCGATTCGGTTTTAAACGCTTTTCAATTTGACGAAACGCGCAATCATTTGGCACAAGTTGATGTGAACAATATTTGCTTGTATTCAGGATTTGCTTGTATTCAGGGTTAGAATATACAGAACTGTATGTTCTAATTATTTATCAGTCGGCAGGCATCAAAAATTAAATTGCAAAACAAACAGAGTCGACACAATAGCTATATCATGATATTTCTTATATATATCCGCTATTTAGGACAGAGACAGACAAATCTTGTCAGTTCCAAGAAAAGGAATATGGTTTATGAGTTATTTTGTTGTGTTACAGTCTTCTACCGGAGTGTTCTGAGTTCATAGAATACGGGGGTTTTATGCCGTCAGCAAAACGATTATTCGAAGGCGTTATTAAAGTCAATGAAAAGATGCAGAATGTTTGCTATCGTGTCGATATTTATATACTTAGGCATACGAATTAACCCTTTGAAACAAAGATAATGAAGAATATATTCGAATGGAACATTTGTCAGAATATAACTTGGAAGACCGGAAATTAGAAAACCAAGTCAACATGTTGTCCAACTATCCAACTATATGTTTTGTCAGATAGGGAGTGTACTACTTCCAGATATCAATAAACTATTAGTTACCTACCTCTCCATTCGGCGAGTTCTTTTCCTTTGCCTTAGTTTTTTTCTTAGACTTTTTAGGACTGTGTTTTTGTCTACTGGGGCTGCTCCCATGAGTAGTTAGCCTTGAAGCCATATTCCATCAAAACACTGAAAGAACTTTCGACCATTGACTTTCGGGCTATATAATTCCCGTTAGCACACTGATATCGATTACAGCTTGCCACAAATACGCTCCCAAAACAATTTCATCATCGACGAAAAACCTTTCTTCGTTTGAATGAAGCAACAGTATAAACGCTGGCCGCTTTTAAAGACCTTTAATTATCAGATTGGCTAACCACGACAAAATACATTAATAATGAACGAAGAAATAATACAGGGTGAGAAACCGCTTATTTTGCCAGAAGCTGGCGTCCTAGTTTTCACTTTAAAATTAAGTAGGTTTTTAATACGCGTATCTCACGAGATGCCAGTTTTTATCTCCACACAAATCAATAATATATTAGCGTAGGCCAGTTGAAATATGAAAACACATCTCTGTGGGGAACACATCGAGAGCATCGTAAAACAGATTGTATTATTTGTTTTGAGAAGCTCAAGATATTAATTTCGCTGCAAGCTACGTCTCTGTTTATATAAAGGTTGGATATTCGCAGGAGAGAATTATTTGCATATGAAATGTGTGTATCGTAATATATTTATATTTAATATCTATTTTATAATCTCATAACATTAAAAATCGACGGTCATTATGCTAATTAGGAAACAGCCTGCGTTCAGGCAACACCATCCTTAAACTAAACGACATTATTTTCGTTCCGTCTATGACTGTCTGTCAATTGCAAAACAGTTTTGCCATTCATGGAGGAAAATTCTCAACTTTAGCCTCCATTATTTAATAAATAATGAAAATATGGACATTTCGCTTTTAGATATAGCAAAATATAATTAGTTTTCAGCCACGTTCCAGATTTCTAAACCACATTTAATGATCCTTCACTTCCTGTACCTGAGGTCTTTGAACGGCTGTTGAACGGACTGTCCTCCATTGGAAATGACGTCGTTGGTTTCAATACGTTAGACGACGATTTCCGAGAAGGCGACGACGTACGAGCCGTCGTTCCTGTGGTGCCGCGGTTAACCAAGCGATAGTTTCTGAAGAGAAAACCTTTGAAAGCTTTTCGATACTTTCTGTTACGAAACGAGTAAATAATCGCGTTGAACGAAGAGTTACAGAACGCCATAGTGATCGCAAGCTCGTAAACAAAACCACTGTTTAGCCTAGGATTGCTGCTCAAACGAAAGCAGAAAAACGGCAGCCACATTGTCGTGAAACAGGCGATCACTAACACCATCGTCACTGTGATTTTCTTTTCGTTTTTTCGATGCTTTTTCTCGCTTAACGTGAGCGCGGCTTGTCGCTTCGCTTGAATGGCGAGAAACACGAGTATTATTATGTAACATAGGATGATCCACACGTAGCCGATGGCAAAACTTGCTGCTGAAAAATACGAGGTTCCTTTACGGCTCACCGTGACACGTAAGACAGAATATATTAGCGCTATAAGCCAACTTGCTGACGCCAGGAATATAAAGCGTTTATGATGAACACCGCTGATTGTATTTATGGGCCTTACAATAGCCAGAAGTCGCTCTAAACTTATGCAACACAAATGGAAAAACGAGGCAGCGCACGAGAAATTACCAATAGCGCGATACACTTTATCCAACGTGCTGTGACACCCCAGATCACCAGAGAGTCGGCCGGCGATGACACCAACCATCAGTGGCTGACACAGCACGGTAACTATAAGATCAGCGACTGCAAGACTCGCCATATAATAATTTATAGCGGTGTGCAACGATGCCGTTTTCCACACGGCTATGCAAACAAGGCTGTTTCCCACACCGCCGACAAGTGTTGATATTACATTAGCCGTTATCATAACGATAGCCCAAGATTGGATAATCTCACATGTGCCACCATTGCTTGTGTTCACCCCGCAATTGCTGAAATTCGTGAATTCCGTACAGTTATCCCAAGCCATTTTTACTTCTTTTAAATTGTTTCAACTGTTTCAACGTGATGCTCGCAGACTAAGCCGAAAATGATTTGTTTTGTCTGAGGCGAGCTCCTGGTTATCACTCATACATCAGTGATATTAAGTCCACTTGAAGATTTCTTGGTATAAGTCTTTGTTCAAACACAGTAGGAGAGAGCGACCCTTGACGTAATTTGAGAGGAAATTTGTATTTGAAATGACCTTTTCTCATGACCGGATACAACACTAAATATTTATGAAGTGAGGGCCATTAGCGTAAGAGCGACCTATCCTCACACCGTTCACATGATCGCAATTTGCACGAATTTTGCCCGTTTATGAACAAGTCAATACCCGGCAAATATCAAGCGATAATACCGATTTAATTAATGAAACAGCCGCCATCAAATTTCAATTGAAAAGTTTGGGGCCAAAATAAAGTTAAATAAAAAGACGAACAGTGTTTTCACCTTTGAGACAATACGATTATACGTTTTACCTATATGGAAACCTCATTAAGTTTTCAGGAATTTTTTCCTTATTATAAAGAAAAGTAAAACGAGTCGCAAAAAATTAAACGCTTTTTGATCATTTTGTCCACATAAATATTTACTTATCACAAAAAATTCAATCACACTCACACATGATAGATTATCTTTCGGAACACGGAAATAATTAGTTTATACAAATATGATTAATCCTTAATCGTATATAGGCGGAATTTCGAAGTCCTTTTACGCAATTCTATAACCTGAGTTGACACACGGGCAGACGCGGATATCGCACGCAATTCCACGAACAGAACAATCTAATCTACAACTTGAGGTTGATATTGCCTTTTTGTTCAGCTAACAGGAAGGATATAAAGTGGCTTTGATAAGTTACCTTGCCAAAACAACCGCAAAACAAACAAAGATATTCAGATTAACATTTAGTTTGAGTCATTATCGTCTTTTGTGGACAACATCCTGACACGTGAAATGTTGCAGGATTTATTTTTTTAGTCATGATGACGAATTGTGGTTATTTTCGAGCCATCACTTTCTCAGACGGTATTATCTGAGGGACGTATTTTGCATTTTCAATACACCTGTGTCAATTTTCTGCAACTTTTGTATTAATTTGACGCTAGTCTTGTTTTATTCATGATTGAATTTCTATCGCAGACGATGCGAGATTCAATAAAACGGCGTGAAAATGGCGGGGCGCGGCCAAAGCTACCCATACACGTCACATAATGGACATCCTATAAACATTCGCGCTGACTGATGCGTTTCGTCAAGGAAAGCCTGTAAATTGGCACGGAATGACACGTACTCGTATAACCCTACACACCTTGACGGATAAGGCGTTCCTCTGTGACCACCAAACGGTAGAAACCTGTCAACGTTAATCGCTTGGATATACTCAATTCAGCTTGTTTCGGACACAGACGGCAAATGAAAGGCTCTACGTTAATAATCAGTCTCAGAATGATGTTAAATAAATCTACGTTTATTAATATACAACGGGTAACCTATTTTTAAATGTAAATTGTGGTCGAGCCACGATTTAATCATTTTATTTGATTCAACGTAAGCTGCAATTTAATAATTTAATATATACTGTAAGAGCCATGCATTAAATAACAGCACTTTTCAAAGCTTTTTTACAACACGGCTGTAGCCTACTTAAGGCAAATTAATGTCTTACATCTTTCTTTTCAGCATTTAAGTGTTAAGCTCATACAAAAAACCATTTAGAATATTGCCTCTTTTTAGAAATCAAATTCAGTGCTTTGAAAGACCGTAAGCTCTGCTCACGATACGAAAAAAGCTTTAAATAAAAACGTGCCTGTTTGACTCTGAAAAATAAGCTAGAATAATTTAACTTAGACTATTTAAATATTATATCAGTTCATGTATCTATGTGTATACATACATAGATAGCCCTATGTATGCACAAATATCCTATTTCATTCCCTATTTTCCCCTTGCCACTAATCTGCCCAATGTTGTTACAGCGAGGAATGCATGCGCTACGAGGTTAAAAGCTACAAAAATACGTACGTATACAGAAGATCGGGGAAAACGTTCGCAAACTGAAAAAACCCTCGTAAAAAGTCGCCATGCTTTCGGTAAATTGACGCAAGCAGGTGATGTGATTAAAAAAATTCCAATTTTAGACGAAAGACGTTGTCGCGAGTGTTTAAAAACCGTTTTAAAACAAACTATTTGTGACGAGGTTCTGGAGAGATACAACAGCACGTGATAACAAGACTTGGGGCAATGGGACATCGCACATAATTGATCAAAACCTTTCTAGTTGAAAGTGAACTAAAAGATGATTACCAACCAAGTGAACTCTTTTTGTATGAAATTATGAATAGACTTTTCTCGCGTTAGTTCCTACTCACGTGACCTGGGGATGACGTATAAATTATTCCATATTTGACGATGATGTTACCATGGCGATGCGAGGATTGATTTGAATTGAGATTTGAGGAAAGCGTTCAGTGATCATATAACAATATCCACACTTTGTCGCCGTTTCCTGAATTTCGTAGCAGCTTCCCTGATCTAAAACACCGAAAGATAGAGTAATCCCTGATCTATATAGGATACGATTCTTGCTGGACTGGATCAATATGAGATGATCCTTACTGAACCTCTAGGACAGTAGATTGAGCTATTCAGTGTAAATAAAGTTAGTTTAGTTTAGGTTTCCTTCTGTAGTAACACTGGATCAATAAAAGATGTTCCTTACTGGACCTCTAGGAAGAACAGTTTAGAACTGATAGAGCTATCCAGTATAAATAAAGTTAGTTTAGTTGACGTTTCCACCTGTAGTAACACTGGATCAATAAGAGATGATCCTTACTTGACCTCAAGGAAGAACAGTTTAGAACTGATAAAGCTATCCAGTATAAATAAGTTTAGTTTAAAATAAGTTATGATTTTGTTCCTACCTGATTGAGATGTTCGACTTTGCTAAAATTCTTCTTTGCGATCTGCTGTTGTTGTTTTTCCAACTAAAAAAACACACGCGATATTCAGAGTCATATAATAGTTCGGTACAATCACAACCTTGTTTTGCTTCAGAGGAAGCATTCAAATGAATCATACCTTAACACAGGTTTTAACTTCGTCGATAAATTTCGACCATAAGCCAAAAAATTCTTGTGGAGTTTCCTAAGAGTAGAACACTGAAAAATTGAGCGCGCAGAACATAGCCACAAGATTTAAAAAACCAACTTCTACCTTTTTCTCGCTGGATTCCCATTGGAAATACTCCACAGCTTGAACAAAAGCAACTTCAGCCTTCGCCAATTTCTCCTTTTCTTCAGAAATTTTTTGTTTGGCTGGAAAAAAACATTGGTTAACGCTCTTGTTCAGAATTACCGCTGGAAATAATCGGCTATTTTCACGGTCCTTCGCGTGCGAACTACTATAGACCAGATGCAAATTACTGAAGCATATATTTTATGCATACCAGTGGCTTGGAATTTGCGCATTTTGTCCTCAAAAGGATTCCGCTGTGCAGGGGAACACTCGTCCAGGATTTTCTTCACCTAATCAAAAACTCGTTAGTCAGATATGCACAGCAAATAAATGACCTGAACTAGAATATCACCACACGTTTGAAGTTACATCATGAATTTTTTATTTTTTACTGCAAAGCATTCAGTCTTAGTCATCCACACATTTTTACTGAAACTCGACTTTAAAAAGTTCAAAAAAGTTCAAGTATGGAGCCTCCAAGTGGGTCATTCTTACAAGAACTTTTCTTGAGGTTTTATTGTAACTTACTTGAGCTTCGGTCTCTTCCAACAAATGTGACATTTTGATGATCTCTTAAAGGAAACAAGGGAATCGATTCAATTGAAAAACCATCCTACTATAACTTTTTGCACAAAAAAACAATGATAAACAACACAATTTAAGTTCACATACCATCCTTCAGCTTGTCAAATGAAACCTGAAAAAAGAGAATCGCGATTAGCTCAGTTTTACTACGGGTATGTTAATCCTCTCCACTCTATGTGAATCCCCTCCGTTCAATGTTAATCCTCTCCGCTCTATGTTCATCCTCTCCGCTCTATGTTAATCCTTTCCACTCTATGTTAATCCTCTCCGCTTTATGTTAATCCTCTCCGCTTTATGTTAATCCTCTCCGCATGGGAAGACCACGAACTGATTTCATGAATAATAATTACCTGTGATGCGTTCGACAAAGACACGGGACTCGGGAGTCTGGATTCGTTTTGGTTCTTGTCCAGGCATCGTTCGTATTGTTTCAAGTATTGCTTCACAGTGTACTGCAGCAAGTTCATATCAGAATCCTAGGAGGATGTTAGTACAAAGTATTCGCTTGTGACTCCAAGTATAGTCTGAGAATAACTTTGATACAAAATGACGTACAGGTCACGTTCAAGTCCCGTACACGTCACGTGCAAGTCACGTACATGTCACGTGCAAGTAACGTACACTTCACGTGCAAGTCACGTCAAAACAAGTCACGTACCTTCGCCTTGACGTCCCGCAACTTCAGCAAAACATCCAGATGAAATCCATCGGCCTGCCCTCGCTGGGTATTGCCGTTCATGTAATTTCCATACGCCAAAACGAGGCCGAGAAGTGTCGCAATTTCAGAACTAACGAAAGCAGAAGAATAAGTCGATTGATGTTCCACTCTATTTCAAATCGAGAACATAATTTGGTTTATAAGATATTTCGTGAGAAAATCTTACTTCGTTACGACCACGTTGGAACACTCAGAAACACACGTGAGACTTCGTTCTAAAAAGCGACAAGAGAAATGTTGAAACTAAAGCAGACCATTGTTAGAGTATTGTGTTACGCTTCTGTGATTCCAAGTTACCCAAAGAAAATAATAACCCTCATACCTATTCCATATATAATTTCCGAGAATTTATCCTGGAATAACCAGCATTCCAGGCGCTCCTTAAAGTGGCGCATTTTTGTCAACTGGTGCATGAATTCCTCGGGTTTGTCCAAAGGAACTACGCAAAAAACAAACCATGAATTTCCTCAGATACGATCTCAATCGTTGTTTAAATTACATCAGAGGACACCATACCTGCTGGTAGTTTCTTTAAGTGATCTTGAATGAGTTGTATCTCTTCTACCTTGGGATAAATGTCGTAAATGGACTGAAGACTAAAAATATAAAAATTACATTTTTGTAAACGAGGAAAATACGTCTGTGTTCGCAGACTAGCCAAGCTGTGGATATGATAGGATTTGGTTGAATTATCCTTGCTGAACAAATAGGAAGGAGAGCCGTGTATATGATCATAATGAGATTACCTCTCCATATCAACGACAGAGGTGTCCATGTTATAAACAGCATTGCTAATATCCTCAAGCTGACAACTTAAGCTACTCATTTTGATGCCGATAGCTCGAGATCTGTTCGTTTCAAGCAACTTCACAACCTGAAAAAACAAGTAAAAATTTCTTTTGCCAATTCAATTCCATGTCAGTCACATTTCCTCTGCGTGATATACAAGCACATGGTGCATTTGACTGAATTAAGTAGCACTTCGTGCATGCAATAATCGTTTAGATTTATTTACTTTCTTCCCATTGATACGCGCGAAGTGTTTATCATCTCTGAGAGACTTCGTCCTCTTCAATCTCCTGTCTGCGATCTTCTTGCTAAACAACCTACAAGAGAGAGGCAGCGTTTTAGATAAAAAACATCTTAAAGATTCCTGAAAGCGAGATATGAATATTAAAGACTATACTTTTCAAATTCGTTCGTATCAAAGGTTGGTTCTTTGATGTTCTTCCAAACACACTTCTCCTTTGTCGGAGAGTCTAGAAATAGAATTGTCATCAGCACAAGTCGTTTAGGGAAAACTAATTGGCCTCGCGTTGGTGGTTAAAGCAGTCATAGTTTTTGTCTGAACTACTTGAGAAAGATATCTCAAACGTGGTGGTTCAGTGTAGGTAGTATTCTACGATAAGCTGTCGTGGTTTGTGTCTGAACTACCTGAGAAAGATATCTCAAACGTGGTGGTCCAGTGTAGGTAGTATTTTACAATAAGCTGTCGTGGTTTGTGTCTGGGAAAGATATCTAAAACGTGATGCCTTATAAGTTTATACAAATTACGGATTATTTTCTCATACCGTTGGAAGCAATTATCCTGTTCCAAAACAAAGGTTTCATTTCAGTCTTCGGGTTCACGACAGGTTTCGTGGGCTTCACGTGATTTTCAGGAACCAATGGTGGCGCAGGAATCGATGGTGGGGCAGGAGGGGGAGGGGGAGGTGGGGACATGGGGGAGAGGACATGATTTTCGGCAGCAATTGAACCACGCGGTGTGGCCTGAGGTGTTATGGAGGGTGAGGTCACAATAGAATTTCCAGGGGAGCCCATTGGGGACCACAGTGACGTCACGTCGGAGATCGAGGCTGAGCTGTCGTTGTCTTCAAGTTGACCTGTTTTCTGTCTGCGGAGATAATCCACTTGCAACTGAAGCTCAGTAATTTTATTCTCGTAGCTTCGTTTTTGTGCTTCGAGTTCAACGCAACGTCTCGCAAGATCGTCTTGCATATCCAAGGGCGAGCCTTCGGCTACCAAGGGACTGGAGGCAACGCTGAGGGAAGTGGGACGAGCGGGAGAGATTGGAGACGAGCTGTTTGATTTCTCTTGAGTTTGAGTGTTGTAGTTCAAACGTGGAACGCCGTAATTTGGCGAGGATTTCTCCTGCTGTGTTTTGTTTTGAGTTGTAAATGATTTATGCCCTGGAGAGAAAAATGAACAAGTATAAATCGTGAAACTACCCAGTTATAGGCAGCTGACCACCTACAATAACTTCCAATAAAAAGGGCACAATTATATAGACTTACCAACAGGTAAACCAACTGATGGAATAACCTTTTCTGGAAGTTCTTGTTTTTTGTCTTCTGAAGTGAATTTGCTTTTCTGAGAAGAATTTGATTCGAGGCTATTGGATTTGAACACTATCGTGTTTGATGCTAACTTTTGCGAAGTGCCTTGTGAATGATTGTTGTTAATATCAACATGCTTTGGCTTATCTTGTCCATTTTGTAGTCCAGAACTGGCTGTAACGTGATTGGCTATGGTCGTGGTACTAATCCTCTCCTCCTGATTGGGTGGACTTGTGGTAATAGCCTTCTCCTTATTGGCTGAGCTCGTGTGGATAGTGTCCTTATTGGCAGAGTTAGTAGGACTGGCCTTCTCATGGTTGCCAGAGTTAGTGCGATTGGCCGTCTCGCGATTGGCTGAACCGGTGTGAGTAGCCTTCTCCTGATTGGCGGAGCTACTCCGGTCTCTGGTCAGTTTGATTGGTCCGCTGGCATAATACGGGGTGACCTTCTTCAGTCCCTTCAGCTTATCCTTGTACAAATTTGCGTTGTCGATAGGAACCTTCTCTGTCGCAACTTGTTCTTGAGGATCTGGACTTGACTTGCCATCTCTTGCTAAAAGATCTGCCAGCGTTTTTGGCATACCTCGACCGTTCTTCTTCGCAGCCTCTTCATCGTTTGTCCTCGCGGTGCCTGCTAATCTTTGTTCCATCTCTGGTTTTCCGAGCGAGGATGTTCTCGTCTTCGCCTCGGAATTCTCCGAACTCGTCTCGTGACCCGAGTTCTTTCTTTCTCTGCCCTCGCTGGTGTTGGAAACACGCGAGTTCGTCTTCGACACTGGGCCCGCGTGTGAATGCAAATTATTAGGGACAGTGTCATCCTCGATAATCACTGTTTTAGAATCGTCACTAAGGCTAAACGAAGGGCCTCTCTCACGGCTACCCATGCTTTTTGAACTAGCTTTTAAAGCATTCGCTTCTTTTATTCCATCTTCGATAATCACAGTTTTATGATCATCGCTTGAGCTAAACGAAGGTCCCCTGACACGGCTGCCATTACTCCTTGCGCCATCACTGTTCTCCTCTGCGCCGAGAAACGAGTTTTGTCTCGCGCGCACCGAGGGAACAGTCAATTCATCACCATTCACGGATAATTTCACCTCCTCATTTTGTTTATTTCCAGATGAACTTCTGCTGAGAGTCACTGAAGGCATTCTTTCTGCGTCAGTCTTTTCAGGCGACAAATCTGCTGCTTCCCATCTCGAATCCTTGTCTTTAATGTTTCGACCCTCGGCTGAAAATTGCCGTTCAATTTTTTCTTTCCCTTTTCCGTCGATCGAATCTTCGATTAATATTTTCACATTCTCCGGTTGACTTGCACGATTTTCAAGAGGCCCACGCGGGTCGTGATTCCCACGCGTACCTTGACTGTCGCGCGTATCGTGTTTCCCACGGCTGTCAGTATTCTTCTTTAAATTGTTCTGCAATTTTAGTTCAAAAGCTTCCCAACTTTTTGACAGTTCGTTGCTCTTCGAGACGCTTTCTCCGGTCGCAGGAGAACTGTGGCCATTAACCTCAACTTTCGTGTCGTCTTTACCGTGTTGTTCTTTAAAACTTTGACTTTCCTTCGCGTCTTTCTCGATAAAGCAAACAAAGATGGCGAGAGAGTCTTTTTAACTTTCTGCTTCTGTTCCAACTTACTGCCTTCGATGTTCGACGTCTTCGGAATGTCGGGCGTTTTAAGACTGGGCGAAACTTTTACTTTCCGGTCTTCTTTCACAGGAGGCGAAGAGTTTTCAACGAGAATTACTTCTTGAGTCTGCTGTGGGGGTTTCTGTTGACTTAAGACCACCTGAACTTTATTTGCTGTCAATCGCCTCTCGTTAGCGGATTCCGTCGTTTTATCCTTCAACACACCTGCGTAGTAACCTCTTCCTGAAGAAACCGTTGCATTGTTATTGGTTTGCGACCAACCGCGATTGGATTTCTGTCCAGCGTCTTTCTCCAACAATTTTTGAAGATTCATCGACGCAACGCCATTAATTTCGCTCGTTTTCGAGGCTGTTGTAACTTGGTTGCTCTGTTGACGAGTTCCGCTTTCATTAATCTTCTACAAAGACAATGAATATTAACGTCAAACAAAAATCGAACGTAATTATTGTGATTTATTAAAGAACTATTTAACAAAACACAAATGTAACGATTAATCACGCCTAATCGCATTTTTTATTGTCAATGAGGTAAATACCATGAATAGGGAAAATGATCAGTGGACACGACATGACAACTACATTTTTACCATTAAACGAAAGATGCTTCTTTCCTTATTGATCTAGTCTTCCTACCAGAGGAAACCTAAACTAAACTAACTTTATTTATACTGGATAGCTCTATCAGTTCTAAACTGTTCTTCCTAGAGGTCCAGTAAAGATCATCTCTTATTGATCCAGTGTTACTACAGGAGGAAACCTAAACTAAACTAACTTTATTTGATATCTGAACTATCTAATTACATCTAACCTCTTTGTTGACAAGTTTCGCTGAGGACTCTTTCTTTACTTGCGTTGCTTTCGGACTTTCTCGTACGGTACTCGGAAGCCCATCGCCGTCGAATTTCTCCAATTCTTTCTGATTAATACAATACAGTCGGTCACCGTCGTCAAACTGTCGCCTTTTTGAGATACACGTGATTAACTTCTTATCCAGCATGCTCTGCGCGCTTTCTATTGCAGACTCGCGGGAGGTGAAATTTGAAGAATCATTAAGTAATGTATTTATGAGAATTTCCCCCGAAAATACATCGTTGTAGGTCTGTCCACACCACGTTTTGGAGCCAAGCTGGAATAAAAACCAAAAAATACAATTATCATAATACAAATGTATCACAATAGTAACTGAATAACACTAAACTGTTCTTCCTAGAGGTCCAGTAAGGATCATCTCATATTGATCCAGTGTTACTACAGGAGGAAACCTGAACTAAACTAACTTTATTTATACTGGATAGCTCTAACAGTTCTAAACTGTTCTTCCTAGAGGTCCAGTAAGGATAATCTCTTATTGATCCAGTGTTACTACCATTTGAAGTATTGATGCCCAGGGGAGACCAGACGATACCTGTGGTGATAAAAAGGTGTTCTTCTAAAAATATATTTTCATTTCCGCCTACTTATCTGTGCCCATGCAAACGCTAACACATTCAATGGAAAGTTTGAACGAGTGTTTATTGAAAATATTGTTATGGCTGTGACACGAGACTCGAGTACATGACCTTACATCAATCGCAAAGACCGCGACCAGCTGCCCTCTTTATAAAACGCAACAAAGTTTCTTAGGTTATCAAATTTCCTCCACTTTGAAATTTACTCATCGAAAACACAGTCATTAGATGAAAGTCTAAAGATGAAGGATTTGGAGTAAAAACGTTACTCTTTAGAATCTTGTGCTATTGTTCTTCTGAAGTCGAGGCTCAAATACTGGACCTTTAGGAAGAACTGATACAGCTATCAATAAAGTTAGTTTAGTTTAGGTTTCCTGCTGTAGTAATAACACTGGATCAATAAGAGATGATCCTTACTGGACCTCTAGGAAGAACAGTTTAGAACTGATAGAGCTATCTAGTATAAAATAAAGTTAGTTTAGTTTAGGTTTCCTCCTGTAGTGATACTGGATCAATAAGAGATAATCCTTACTGGACCTCTAGGAAGAACAGTTTAGAACTGATAGAACTATCCAGTATAAATAAAGTTAGTTTAGTTTAGGTTTCTTCCTGTAGTAACACTGGATCAATAAGAGATGATTCTTACTGGACCTCTAGGAACAGCAGTTTAGAACTGATAGAGCTAGCCAGTATCGAAAAGATTGTTTACAAATACTAGAACCTAGGAGCTAGTGTCCTAATACCCGGTATTATAACAGTTAAAGTCAGCTTAGCGGCCGAGGTGTCTGTAGTAACGAGAGTATGACAGAGCGAAAACACCCAACCACTGAACCCGCAAACTTTTGCAAAAAACTAAGCTTCAACACAAAAAATAATAAAATGATGTTTACTTTCTGTCCGCCGTATTCAAAATATATTCATATATGAAGCAAAGCATCCGTAAATCATTTGAAAATCAAATAAAACAATCTTCGGTCTCATATATTGCCGTACAATCACTGATTATCAAACGTAAGAAACCCGACACAACTCGTTAAAAATCCGCCATTAACGAGCACTTGTTTTGAACTCACAATTTGCGTTGGAAATTTGAAGTTAACGAAAAAGACGAACATTTTAATTGTTTTCAACAACGCGCTATACTAGCTACTGCATACCACCTGCCATTAACAACGGTTTTGGATTTGTGAAGAAAATATTGCAAATCCGATAAAACGAGTTACCAAAAATAGGATATTTGATTCAAAACTGACGAGACATTAGTCCTGGTCGTGTTTGGTTCACAGCAGGCGGAAAATATAATTTGTACTTGGGGAAATATTGCCGGCATAAAAATAGCACCGAGTCTGCAGTATGTAATTGTTGCAACCCACTCGTATTTTATAAAATATACTACAAGGCAACCGCGGCAAGCTTAGATGTATTTGAAATAGAAAAAATGAACGGATGGGATGAAATGAATGCAATGCTATCTCGCGTGGACACACAGTGAACCGTGAAATTACCATTGATTCAACTCGGAAAGAGCAATAAAACTGATGACAATACTGTATTAGCAGTTGTGATAAGCGTCAATACATCTGAACTGTATATCTCATGTCTGTGTAATAGATTATCCCAAACACTCTATTTGTATAAAATATGCTTCAGCAAAGCGTTTTAAAAACTTTCATTTCTCGTATCAACTCATACCCTAAAAGTATAGCCTTCTATAGTACAATAGTCATGCATTATAAATCTTCAATCTACGTTATTTTAAGATATCTCCGATTCGAAAAGCCGGCGTTGAATAAATTGTTCTGTACAAATAACAACGATTGGATATATTTATGCACATAATTCAAAGTTATAAACTGTGAAGAAAATACAAAAGGGATTATATTAGATTGAAGTAGAGTGAAAACTCTTTACTTACATTTGATGATGAGACTGCTTCATCAAGGCATGATTTCAAAATTGTTTTGCTCAAAGCCATCTTCAATAAAAGGCTGGGAAAGGACTAACTTTTCACCGATACGGCAAGACTTTCTTCCATCTGTCGTTCTGAATACATCTCAATTTGGTTTGACGTGTTGTTAAATAAATATACGCAAAATGACGATAACTCACAGTGAACTTCACCGGAGAGTCGACGAGCCGTTATGCAAATCAATGGACGACAGAAGTGAGCCAAATTTAGGAAGCAGGTTATTTGCTAATTTGTCTCACACCGCATTAAATATTTGCATATTGTCAAAACATTAACACTTCAGTCTTTAGGCTTAGCAGAATCGTGCGAAACACCTTCTCGCCAAATAAAACGTCTTCTGAGCAAAGTTTTCACACAAAAATGATTTCATGGGAAAACATGTCGCTAATACAAAAGCGCTTTTGAAAATCTCCAGGCCACTGGGGTTATATTTTTAAAAATATAGGAACCCCTGCGGTTCGGTTTTGTTTGAGAGCAATACGTCATGCAAATTTTTACACGCTCAGATGAATTTAACTATTAAATATTATGGGAGAATTTTTGGAGTTTTGATCGGAAAAAAAATACAAACGTTTTAAAAATATCAAGTCCGAGAAGAAAATAAATTATCGAGATTGCACAAAGTTACAGAAAGTCCATTAAGAGTGTATAATTAAGGTGCATTAGATTAGAAACGTTATGTAATTCTTTAAATACACCGTTTAGTTTACGCGACCGCCATCTTGGATTGCGAGTCAATATGGTTGTCATGGTCGTCGACTCACAATGTGTAATATTCCAAGATCTTAGCTGAGTTTTTTACGGAAATATGCGAATAATGTAATACTACAAAGTTTTTACAATTTACACTCGAACATTTTCTATATAATTGGCAATTGCTTACAAGATAAAGCATTGATCTAAGTTGTGAAAAAAGGCAGGGAAATTAAAATGGAGTGTTCTTGCTAGTCTTCGCCTAGTTTTCGTCTATTTTTGTACTCTGGTTGCATGACGATATTTCATCTGTGAGCCGAATTCCAATATTTCTAAGAGCTTCTTTCCAGCGACACGTTTCTCATACGCACATACACGCACGTAAGTCTAAATCCTTATACATGCCATATTTGAAAAAGCTAGGTGCATGAGTGAATAAATCGACAGAATTTTGTTTGCAGCATATTTCAGTATATGCATTTGTTGACCGATGTCCTAAATAATAAATTTGGTTTTGAAACATTTGAAATTTCCACGAATAAAAAAACGCGGAAGTGGAAAGCAGTCCTGTTTTCCAGTCTAAATCTTCATACATGTCACCTTTAAAAAAACGAAGTGAATAAATCGAAGGAACTTAGTTTTCTGCATATTTTAGTATGCATTACTTGATCTAGATCTTAAATAATAAAAATTGAAAAGCATTTAATATTTTTCATACGTGTTCGTGCGTATAAAAAACACGTAAGTGGAAAAGCAGTTTAAGCACGCTTATAAAAGAGGCACGTATGTATGCTCGAGCGTCCTTAAACAAGAAGTGATATCGCTTGAGGGTATGGAAAAAAACGTTTGATCTGACAATAGTTTCAATAACAGCTGAAAAAATATCTCAGCAAATATCTGCCAAACGATTAAACACTATATGTCTGTGCAAAAATAGTGATATCAGTGGCAGCTGATAATCAGTAATGTAACAACTAAAGTTTGGACCCAACCCACCCCTTATCATACAAGCAACACAGTATGTATACTCAAAATATCTTATAATATTAGTAAATACAGTTATTGCTAAGTAATGTCTAGATGGTTGCAGATGAAAAATGGTACACAGGGATTATTTGATGAATACTGCGATCAACATCTAAGCCGAAAAAACGAATTCAAGTCCAAATTATTTGAAAATGTGTACATTTCATTTAGAGTGAGACGACGCCGTCTGGACAAAGACACACAAACTTTTAGTACACAAAACATTGTACGTGCTACCTGTGGCATCAGCGAGCCTTAGACGACAACTATCCGAACGGTTACCGGCGATCTCCGACGAAGGATCACGAAGTTTGTTCAGTTCATAAGCACCTCCAGTTGAACTAGACGAGCACTTGTATCGCCTGGCATTCGGTATGGAAGAAGACCAGCGAAGGTTATCAGAGCTCTCGCTTGCTGACGAATATTTTTACGGAACTATTAAAAGAAGTGCAACATATGAAGATTTTAAGCACAGCATAGCAGAACATCTCAGGACTTTTAATCAACCTTCTATAGTGAACACAATACCCTATTTATCCATCAGTGTCACATGTATCCACACTTACCGCCTGTAATCCTCCTTCACCTCGTTGGAAACTTGACGGGGAACTGGGATAATCAGGCCTGAAATAGTAAAATTCATCAAACTCCTGTATCTTACAGCAAAATTAAGACTTTCTGTGAGAGAGTTTTTCTTCCGTACCTTCTCTCCTTATATTTGCTGTACAAAATTGACATCGTTGCGATCAAAATATCCGGAAGACATCTACGAATCTACCCAAGGAAGCATTTGGTCAAGCCTATGTATGCCTTTAGCCTTCAAACAAGGGAAATCTAGAAAACTAATATCTTACCTCGTCTGTATATTGTCTGAAAGCTGAGACCTTTTGATCCACACTTTCACCACTCAGTGGAACCAACTGTAGCTTTCGCATCACCTTGATTAAGATGGGAATAAAATAATCATCAATTATGATCACGATGATAACTTGATTGTGATGATAATCCCGATTATATTGATGATCATGATCCTTACCTCAAAAGCATCGTCGATTTGTTTAAGATGATAGAGGTCAAAGAACTGCATGAGATCACACAAAAGGTAGAATGTATTTGTTCGAAAACGAGAGGCGTTGTTTCCCTGACTTTTATACCTAAATACACGTTCGAAAGTCAATTAGCACGCAAGAAGATTCACGACCACATCAGGAAATAATGGTTTCGTACCTTTCTGCAACAGAAAAGGCCAATTCCTTCAGCCTGTCCCTGTTGGAATGAGGACTGGGCGCAGCAGAGACCACCTGAACGAGGGGGAAATACCAACGAGATTATAACGAGATAATTGTGGATAATAACTGTGGATAACTGTGGACGACTGTGGATAACTGTGGATGACTGTGGATAACTATGATGACAAGGAGCAAACATACCAATGACAAAGATGAAACTATGTCCTGATGCTGTACATTACCTGGCTAAGAAGTTTATTTAGAACTTCGACTGTTTTTTCATGATTCTGAAAAAAAGTGAATGATATCAGGATATTCATTTAGTCCTCGGTGACTTCATGTCATTCCATAGAGACGCAACGAAGTAAAACATCTCTCTTTCTTTCTCACCTTAGCAAGATCATACAATCTCGCAGCCTCCTCAAATAAACCTTTCTCTTCAGTGTCTTTAGCCACAACTTCAATAATATCCTCAACTTCGCCTTGGAACTTGTCGATACAACCCAACTAAGCATTCAGAAATACACAACTTGTTAGAATTACACCCAAGAAAGACGATCAAACAGCATGTTAACTATTCTAACACGACCGATGGTGGGTCCTCCCCCCCCGAACAAGACCTCACGAGATCCATCCCCTTGTGTTAATAACAGTTTGTACGTGACAACTGTTTCACTCACCTTCCTTGTACCATCCGCGTCCATGTGACCCAACAGCACATCAAACTAGAAAAACAAACACCTCAGTTACAACAGTTATTCAAAATATCAAATATCACACCCCCCTACGCACCTCTCTCGTCTCCAGTACCAGCTCGCTGACGCATTTACTGAATAAATTTTCCCCATTTGGACTTCTCAACTTCCTGAAAAATTTCAACTATCATACTTAGAACTTCCACTGGCTCGTTCAACAGTCTGTTTCACCATCCAGTGTGTCGATATCAACTGACCTCAAAATATAGAAGTATTGCAAAGCTTCTCTGGGATCTGTGATCTCAAACTTTCTCGTGTAGGATTTGATGAGTCTGGCAAAGTTCAGCCTGTAAACACCGCCATCAGTGGAATCTTTCGTCACTAGAAGAAGAACGATTTCACATGTTCAAAGCTCCTTGGTTTGCTAACTAAAAAGTGTTGTCTTTTGCACACAGTGGAATGAAAACTTTGAATATTGACTTAGTGCGTTTGTTAAGAAGGACGAGGTCTTGTTTTGGTGTTTTGTATCAGAAGAAAGAGATGGAACTTACTTAATTGTGCTTGAATAGTTTCAGGAAGAATGAGAATGTTCCGTAAATACATTACGATTGCAAAATGCACAGCGTGACTGCGGTAGACCTCGATACGAGACAGAAACTCGATTGCCTGAAATGAAAATTGAGAAGTATTACTGCAAGATTTGAAACGAAAAACAAAACGAACTGCAAAGCTGACCAAAAAAACTAGGAAATGTTGAGTCATTTTGAGAGATGCAGGAGAATCCAGGTCCTATCACACGGTGAAATATCCTCATTACATATATGCGAGGATCTCAGCCACACAGGACTGAAAGTTTAAATCTTTAATGCCATCTACACTCACCGGTTCAAACTGAGCGGACAGCATTAGAACTTGAAAGTACAACAGCGGGTTCTCCATCGCTTTGAAATATGCTTCACCTGGGATATAGATGGGAAATAGTTAAAAAATGAAGCTTCGAGACACTATCTCAAAACACTGAAACTAGCTTCGAAATTGTTATGCGGGGTTAATCTCCAGTAATTATCTCACATACAAAACTATAGGAGTCATAAAATAGTTTACCATATTCCTCTGATAACAAGACTTGCAGATTCTGTAAGGTTAATGTGCTGTGATCTCGCTTCTCGCCTGTTGACACGATCTGACATAACTAATAAAAAACATCAAACAATCTGAGTAAATTACGTGCATCGCATATTGACAAATAATGAGTTTTAAAAACGCTGTTCCAGGAATATGAGGGAATAATTTAAAGCAAACAGTGGAATATTTACCTTCAGCCATAAATAATCATCCGTTTTTGTGATAACGTCTGACAATTCCTCCGCGTCAGAAATACGTCCCAAGACTGTGTATACAGCTCTGCGTGGAATAAACACAAGTCATATACCACCCACAAGAGCCATTTTAAGAAGTGGTCCAGCTTAACAAGATCAGCTAGCTGGCTTTCCTATCTCAGTCCTGAGGATAAGAATGATATCACTCCAGCAGACTCTCACCTTTTAAATGGATCAGTGCCGTTGTTTATAGACCGCCGATATTGAAGGCGTAATTCTTCCTCCAAACTAGGATGTAACCTAACAAGACAATCCAAAGTTTAGCAAAATTATGCTGATATAAGTGAGAATATTGTAGTATTCAAGCATGGCCTTTATGGCTCCGATTTTCTACTTCTGATGGATATGAACGAGTGGGTAAGTTACTCATGTTCAAATAAGGACACTTACACAGCCGAAAATTTGTAACTATGCGCTCGTTTACATCCGTCAAAAGACGAAAATCGCAGCGATAATCTTTAAGCGGTAAAACTCTATTGCTTCGAACAAAAAAATGAAAAAAGAAAACGGGTCAACCTTTTGTCTGCACGCCGGGAATAATCTTCAAGATATTCTTTTAACTTGGTTGTATGATGTCTAAAAATACGACAAGAAAACAATTTATCGCAATACGTTTTCAAGGGGGGGGGGGAGAAAGTGTGGATACAGTGTACCATCATTCCGGGGGGTGCATTTCATCTGTACGGCGTACAAAGAGAGGGGTTTATTCAGTAGGTTTATAGCGCACGTACGCTGACATTTGAGCGACCTGCATGGCCGCATTGAGATCGCCACATCTGATACAATAATAAAGGAATGGCCAAAACGGAACCCCGTCAACGTCTCCATCCTGAATAAGAAACAAAGACAACCAGCAACAGTCAATATTGAGATTTTGTTACAGAGTCACGCATTATTAAACCAGCGACGCAGTAGAATTCTTGCTACAGCCATGTTGTTTACCTCAAGCTCGTGTGATAAAGCAACCAGAGGTCGTAGCTTCAGAAAACTTTTGACGAGCGAAAACACACCAGGAACGCCACCCAACTGCGCTTGCTGAAGATTGCCGTAAACGATACGCTCGATATATTTCTGATATCTGACAAAAACATAAAAATTGATTAAAAACTAAATCAGAACGAATGGAAAGAAACAGTGGAAACAATTAATGATGTACCTCTTCTCTAAGAATGATCTTGCCTCTTGTATGAAAAATGCTTGGGACTCCGTAGAGAACCTTTAACAGTAAAAAAGTTTATTAACTAAATAGCAGGAAACTTGACTACAGCATTTGATAGAAATTTCCCCCCTCCCCTCACTCCCTCCCTCTTCCCTTGCTCCCCCCCCTCCCCTCGTTACCTTCCCTCTTCCCTTGCTCCCTCCCTCTTCCCTTGCTCCCTCCCCTTCCCCTCGCTACCTCCCCTATTCCCTCGCTCTCTCCCCTCGCTACCTCCCATCCCCTTGCTCCCTGCCCCCTCCCCCACTCTCTTAAGAAGATATGTACAAGGTGAAAACACCTGGTTGCCTCGGAAGATGTTGCAGAACTGTGCGTTTCAAGACTCGTCATTTGATCAACGAGAGTCCAGCAATCTCTGATATGCTGAAATTCAAATATGGTCTGTTAGTTTCGCTTTTAAAGACTTCAATTTAAGGAGATAAAAACACAAAAATCACCTGATCATTGAACTTATCGGCGGTATTTTGAAAACCTTCTACAATATTGAAATCAATTCCCTGGATCGCAGCTTCGTTATACATATAAATCTAGCAAAAAAACATGTTAACATTGGAGGCAATCTATCAGAAGGATTTACAAAATATATTTTAACCTTCCAATACCACCCACCTGCCTTGCATACGCCATTTCAACAAAGTCTAACCCACTTCTCTGAGACAAGTCAACCTGATTCAACGTACCATCCTGAAAAAAGCAATTCAATATATTAATTGCATACTATTTCAACTGTCCATTTAAACCTGTTTTGCTAACCTATATTAACTAAATATAATGAAAAAGTTTCACTTCATCCTAATTTTAGGACAGTAATCAGCAGTTTAGAGACCAGATCTCACCAAAACAGCACTTGAGAAGTCCAGGGAGTCCTGTTCTGAACCCAAAAGAGAATTTAGGATTTTCAATTTCTGTTGTTCCCACTCGTTCTCCATACATCGCCAGTGATTTCTCTCTGCCTCATCAAACGTCTGGAATTGAAATACATACATTTTGAAATACACACAATTTGTACAGGAGATGAGTCTAACGGTTAAATAACTTTGGAAATAACATATGAAATTAACGCAAATCTTACATTCTTTTTAGATTCTTCAATTGCAGCCAAAATAGCATTTTCTCTTTCATTTCTCAGGAAACCCTGCCACGAAAAATAGATGTTCAAGGACGACTAAAGGACAACTAAAAGGACAACTAAAAGGATAACTAAAAGGACAACTAAAAGGACAACTAAAGGACAACTAAAGGACAACTAAAGGACAACTAAAGGACAACTAAAGGACACCATCTACCTGTATATCAGTATCTGTGATTGGTTCAAGAGGCTCAAATGTTTTTGCCGTGCTGAGATTGTCCAGTTTTTCTGACAACCGTGGAAGATCGAAGCCTTTTGATCCAAGTAAGATTGATCTGAAATAAAGTATAAGTGAAACCAGTAAGCCTGTTTGTGGAGCCATGTCACCCACCACACATCTGACCTTGGGGGATACCTCGGGTAATGGAGGTTACCCCCCTCCCAGCCTCCCTCACGTCAACTTACGCTCTGACATCAGCATCTTCACCGACACCACCCGCAGTCTTCTTCCACAACCTATCCCCGGCTTCGGCAAGTTGATGAAGATTCCTCTCAATTCTTGGCAATTCTCCTCCGCTCTCTATATCAGCTGTCAGCTGCTCAGCTTGTTGTAACAGATCTCCAAATCCAGACATACCGGGCAGTTAGCAAACAAGTGCAGAATGTCAAAATAAACACGGTTTACCCGATACCAAAACAGCTCCAGAATACTACAGAACAGTTGCCGCTCATGCAATCTGCTTGAAGTAGTATTAATCAAAGAAAAACGTACAAAATTGTGATGTAAAATTGAGTCTTTTTGAAGCACGCTGGTTTCGCTTCGTTTCAAAATTCCGCCATATTTTAGAAGTGCGCCTGCATTTTCAGTGTAGAATTCGCGAAGAATTCATATAATAACCATGAGATGACTTCTCAAAATGGCGATCTAAATAGGAGTGAGGTTTGGTTTTACACTTTTACTGAAGTATTTTGAGGACATTTACACCGTAATCAATGGAAAATTTTTCATTTCAAACACAGCTTATTTTCCGTTGCTTATTATAACACAATAAGGGTCAACAAAAGCATGCGCCACTACTAATATATTAAAGAAGTATAATGATTTAGGATTTCCCCATATGATATAAAAAGATACAACCGTATGTGGTTTTGAACTATGAGCAGTTTAAAACAACTGGCTGTACTTTACGGTGGAGATGAGGTCGATGAAGAGGAGGATGTTTCAGCTGCTTGTTGCGCAAACATCGGTAAACAAGGAATAAAACGAAGCAGAGAAAATGGCAGCAACGAAGTCGGGTTATCCAAAACACAAGCAGCTGAGAAAACAAGGTTTGTTGACTTCCTTAAAGAAGAAATTTTGCTTGTCAGACTTTTGAATATCACATTATAGCTTTCCAATAAAGGGCGCAGTGAGAATTTTCGTATACAAGGCTGTTCTTGATTTTTTTATTGTAGTAAAATAAAATTGGAGATTCCAACAGGAATTCTGGACATGTTCAAGGAACCAAGTGGGTATTTGTATTGCAAAACCTTCCATTAACCACAAACTTGTATAAACGTGCAATGAAATTATATAATTTTAGGTAATTCGGAAGAGTCTACCAGCGAGCACGAAGGAAGAATACGAAGCTTTGAGCATTTTCCTGGCAATTGGGCGACGCACGTTCTTGTGCCTTGTATGTTGAACTATCATTGACAACCAAAGAATATTTCTTATTTTGGAACGGTTGCAAACACAGATCGCGCCATTCCTCCACTATTTATTGTCATAATTTACCAACACACGGTGAATGTTTTTTTCAGTTGATTTACCAGAAAGTTTCTCGGATTTTTTGACGTCTTTAAAGGACGCGTGGCCAGGCGAGGCTTCTGAGCTACGCACGTGTGACGCGCATGATTTTCACGTGAGCATTTCCCGCACAGTGCCCATAAGACACCACTGGATTGAACCTCTGAAGAAACTTCTTCAACAAGGATTTCAGGGCAAACGCAGGTCATTGGGTTTACGTCATCAGCCCACGATAAATAATGAAATATCACCAAATACATAACAGATATATTTCATTATAGGTTCGTTTGTGACTTTCCCAAAGTTTCTACCTATGTGAACGACGAGCATACAAGGTAACAAAAGTAAACGTAAGGGCAAAACTTTGTGATATCAATCATGTCTAATGCTACCGATATCTCTTGTTGTTTTATCAGAACGTTTGTGGCATTAGATGTTGTAATTGGTGATTTACATGTAAGATTGTTTCCTCAATACACTTCGTTCGTTTCCTGTTCGTTTAATAATGCAATTCTCTCGAAGTAAAGACTGGTTTTATTTCAGCTAAAGGATTTGGTACAAGTTGTCGACAAGGCATTTCTGGAATTTGGACTGCAAGAATATTACGAGGTGAGAATTGTCGCATTTTCTGCAAAATATCCGAATTTCAATCACATTCATCTCATTTGGATTTGATCGTTTCAGGAACCGTCATTTCACGCCAGTTTCGCGTGGTGTTTGGGAGATGTTTCTGAAAATATCTCACCAAAAACTTTGATAAAACTACAGGTATTTTGCATTAAAATAAACATATTGATACCGTCTGGCTATGCTGAGTGCAGTTGGATAGTTCTGACGTGAATGCGACAATCGACATGAACGGGATGAATCTTGATGTTTTCTTTCTAGAATATTCTTGATTCTTACGTGGAAGAAAATCATTCTCTTGTGCTGACTGCAAGGGAGATCCGATGCCATATTGGAAACAAAGTGTTTCACTTCCACTTATCGTGAACAAAAAATAGCCCGCATCGCAATATGTGTGTGCACAAAAATCTGTTGAAAGAGTCTAGTGATAACATTGTGAAACGAGGGATAACCAGGGATCTGACTGTTTAATAAATGGAACCAATATTTAATAATTTAGCCAAATGTACATTTTTATGATATAATTCTCAAACCTGTCATGAGAGAGAAGCTTAATCGTGGATCTTCATCTGAAAATAAAATTTAAAAATATGATTGTTCAACCTGTTTTACCTTTTCCTATAACTTTACAACACTGCGATATAACACTACGAAACGAAAAATAGCAACTATAAGATTTACACTAGTAAAGCTTTTTTCAACTTCAACCAACCGTACCGAAACAGTACTTAATGAAAGAAACACAATTTGCTGCCTCGCGGAGAGTTTAAGGTTTGTGGCTAGTTTAAAACCTGCAGCTATGCTCGTTAAAATTATTCATTGATAATTACCTGGTTCCATAGGAACTCTTTTGTAAGGAATACCGTCCAAATACAGGATTTCTCTCTCGCTTTTTGCTCGTTGCTTCTTTTTCGTCTTTTTGTCACATTCCTTTCCAGTCACAACGTCGAATCGCGTGTCCTTCGCTAAAAATCTAAAGGTATATTGAATAGCTCGGTTCATTGTCTTGAAAGATACAATTTGTATGACTTCAGGCTAACAGTTATGACCGAGCTTGGAAAGAAGAAACCAGGGAGCTTTGCCCCTCCTGATAAGAGGAATGTTGCAGCATTCCCCGTTCTGCTCCGGCTTGTCCCAGGGGAGGGGGGGGGTGAGAGAATTTTGAACTCACTTTTTCCAATAGTTAATGAGTGTACAAAATACGTAAATCTCAGCGTCATGAAACATTCCACGGTCAATGATTCCGGCCACGAACTCTTGACCGATCGAGTCAGCCATTTCAAAGGGGATGTTAATCTGTGAATAAAAAACAACATCGAAGTACATGCAGAGTAATATAGTTGCAGTGAACTTGAACTGACATTGCTGGGTTTCCAAGAGCAGTTGTGGTCTTCTCCTGAAGTGGATTTGAAACAAGAAGAGTGCACCCAAACCTGGAGCTTTGGAGGTAATGTCGACTCCAGATAACAATCCATTATTGTCCTTGCTTTGAACCGAATAAATTTCTCGTCATCAATGGTGTAGTTACCCGCCATCGCACAAGCCGAAGCTCCATCAGCAATTGCTTTAAACCTGTTCAACGAGGAAAAGCAACAAAATATTGTTGAAGCTTTTCAAAATTCACCTTTCACACCTTAATTCATTATAACGATTTTCATCCATTTCTTATTATAACGATTTTCGTCGCTTTCTTTGAAGAAACAGCAAATACTATACCTTTGAACTTCGAGCCAAAATTTCAAATCGTTAACTAAATGTTCGGCGGAAATGACACGATTATTTATGATCCGTTTCGTTCCCTGATTTGCATTCTTGCGACCTGAAAATCCAGAAGAATATTATGTTAAGCATCTTTAGCCGTGTTAAATAGCTCTATCAGTTCTAAACTGTTCTTCCTAGAGGTCCAGTAAGGATCATCTCTTATTGATCCAGTGTTACTACAGGAGGAAACCTAAACTAAACTAACTTTATTTATACTGGAGAGTTCTATCAGTTCTAAACTGTTCTTCCTAGAGGTCCAGTAAGGATCATCTCATATTGATCCAGTGTTACTACAGGAGGAAACATAGAACTCACCCTCAGAAGGTAGTTTGCATTCATTTACAAGAAATTCCGTGAAAGCTGCACAACTCTCCTTCTTCGTCACACCGCGAATAAACGTCATCATACTGTGACCAAACAACGCCCAGAGTCCACGCTGAAAGATAAGAAAAATTGTGTAACATAAAGTTAACATGGTGTTCCAGTGTTGGAAGACTGGTAACAATAGATCTCGTGTACCGTCTTCCCACGTGACGCCATTTTCGTGAGTCCCATCAGCGTGTTTCGTGCGGCGTATTTTTCAACATCTTCTTCCTTCGCGTCCTCCGGGAACGTCGCAAGATATCGTGAAAACCTTCAAAAATATTCCTTATCATCAGCTGAGAAATAGCAGAGTTCAGAGGCAGGTTGAATCAAGCCCGTTTAGCTTAAATGGTGGATAAGTTCAAAATATAAAGCTAACGTTCTATTCAACAAGCGAAATAAATGTTTTTTACCTTAATACAAAGATACTGTTTACAACTACATACTCAGTGCATAATATTCAAGTTGACTCATTCAAGAGAGATGTAAGGGTGTTATTTAATTCTGACTTATCCACCGTTTAAGCCAAACGGGCTTGATACAACCGGCTCCAAAAGCAGTTGATATTACCTGCCCTAAACTCTAGTCTAGTTTTTCAATAACACAATAATTTAATGTACAGTTGTTCTCTTTGTCGTTCGTTCCTTGTTTATATCTTAATCTACAAACGACACCTACCACGTCTCTTCCAAGCTACGTATGACGCATGCCTGGGCAGACACCAACATCGCAGGCGTCACGTGTTCAATGCGTGGTATTTCCCGTATCACTTCTGCTCTACACTGAAGATTTTTACCTAACGGTAGGAGAGAAAAAGCTCAGTTCTTTAGGTCGAAACAATCTGTTTTATAGTGTCTGCAGTTTATGAAACCATGTCTAGTTTTTTCCTACAAGTCATTCTGATTGTAAACCGCCTGATGTAACAATATCTTACTTGGGTCATCCGTGTTTGCAAAATATTGTTTCACTATCACCCTGGCCTTCGTCTGTCTCGCTCTGCTGTCTTTACTTTGAGTTTTCATGCGTTCCACATCCTGCCAAAATTTCAGCGGCGTTATAGCGCCATGGTCGCTCAGGAATCGCTTCAGCCATAACAGCTGAACGGAATCCGTTAAAATATCTGCAAATTTCCTAGAGAGTAACAACGACATTTGATCATTGTTATCATAAACAAAGTCACAAACAGATGAGACGATTCATAGCTTTCTACGAGGAGATAATCTCCTCTTGTCTTTTCAGAACTGAGTTCGGTTAAAGCATATTTATCCACTAAACTTACAGTACCAGTCACGAGAGGAATTGTGAGTTGCTAGACAAAGTGCTCACTAAAAGGTAGTGCCTTTCCAGACACTACAACGGACGACTGAATTTCTTACTTTGGTTTCGGTGGCCTCGTCTTAAACGCTGAGTTATTAAACAAACTCGATTTTCTAGACTTTCTGCTCACTTTGCCGTAGAAATGAGACTTTCTTCTAGCGTTTTCTTGAAGCGTCTCTTCCTGGACAGGTCCCATGGCCAAGGCTACTGCTGCTTCTTCGTTTACAACAGTTAGTCGTCGTTTTCGCAAACTACCTTCGTCCTCACTCTGTTCTTCCTCGCTGTTGTCTGACGTGTCATCGTCATCCTCTTCGACGTCCATTTGTTGAGATTCTACCAAAGAAAAGACTAACTAAAACATCCATTATTAGCGTTAAGATTGAATTGGCAAGGGAGAGTTTGCATGAGAGAGTTATGAAAGTTTCATCAACTCTTTCGACCTGGTCAAACGAGGATGAGAGTTGATGAGAGTTGGCAAGCGAGAGTTTGTATGAGAGTTTTACCAACTCTTATGTCTTGGTCAAACGAGGCTGACAGTTGGTGAGAGTTAGCAAGCGAGAGTTTGTATGAGAGTTTCATCAACTCTTTTGATCTGGTCAAACAAGGATGACAGTTGATAAAAGTTAGCAAGCGAGAGTTTGTATGAGAGTTTCATCAACGCTTATGTCCTGGTCAAACGAGAACCAAGATATGCGTTAAACACTGAAAGTCACTCACCTCCGATGCCCAAAGACAAGGCAAGGTCCAACGCACGATACATGCGAAACGATTCCTTCTTTTCGCCATCCTCCATCGCATCTTCAAGACATAAAGACTTTCGACGCGTGTTCATTAACTAGAGTAAATAAATAATTCGTTATCCCCCCAGTCTCGTCTGGCATCAGTTGAGAACACTTTGAAACAAGTAATTAAGATTGTCCAGAACAAATCAATGTTAGTTCAGTGCGAAGAAAACAACAAAAAATGAAGCACGAATATAAATTACCACGACGTTTTTCAAATTATCTTTATCACTTTGAACAAAGCCTTGCCATGGCTCGTACAATGACTGATGAAAACGAAATAAACAAAAATTAGGACGATATTTTCGCTTAGACGTGGGAAAGTTGCTTTCAATGTAGAAACGCAAGCAGAGGATTATTTCTACAAGTACTTACTTGTAAAATTCCATCAGCAATCTTCGAGAGGACCATATCAGCTTGGCCTCTTCTCAACAAAAAAGAAAGCCGTTCTCTCAACTTCCAGTCCAGCTTGATCTCCCTGATGCTAGCACGCTGTAAGTACGTCACTATCAAGTTTCTACCAAGTCTGAATTTCAAATCGACCACGCTAGAGTTGGTCATTGCTGTGTACGTTTGAACGTCCTCCCAGAACTGCAGGTTGACCAAGGAACGGACGTCACCCGTGTCTTTAAGATAACTTTTAAACGGGCCGCCTGCCAAACGATCCGCTGTGATTGACGGCAGAAACAAGTTTTGAACGTCCTTCGATTTTTCTGCGAATGTTTTTTCGAAATCAAATAAGACGATCGACTAACGTTGTATAGTCCAGTAATATGGTAAAATTACGCGATCTGCGGGAAGTGTGGACCTACTTCTAGACTTACTTTCCGAGGACCATATGGATGAAGAAGAATGATAAGCGCTCAGTGGCGTCTTCGGTATCTCCTCGTGGTAATTTGGTTTGATGATCTGTGCAAGATTGGTGGCGGAGATCTTGTTCGAAAGGATCGAGTTAGTGAGTTCATCATCTAGTGTAGGTACATATATGGTTAACTGTGGGTTCATCATCTAGTGTAGGTACATATATGCTTAACTAGTGGGTGCACTAGTCGGGTGAGAATTTGTTTACAATCATACTCCAAACACATAAATGATATAAATGAAAAACAAACTGCTATTTACCTTCCGACTTATCCTTTTTTTTTAAATACGGATTTGATCTTTTCTTCATTCTCGTCTCTCCTTGATTTGCCATCGCAAAGGGAGTTGAAAGTTTCAAGAATTCTTTGATATCAAACTGTCGTGTCTGCTTCTTGAGATATCTCTCCTTCCAGACATAGTTTTCATCATCGCTCCATTCCGGAGAACACGCTGATTTCGGATATAACGAAGGAAACTTTAAACTTCCACTTCTACCGCGTTCCTAGGGATGTATGTATCTTAAAATGTAGCTAACTTCTTCATGAAAAGAACTGTCGATACTGCATGCAATGGGCTACAATGACTATCTACCAGGGGGAATTTGTATCCTGGAGCCAATTTACCTTAAACAGTGATTAAATTCAAAATTGAAAGTACGTCTATGGTTTTATTCAACAAGCAAACTAAATGTTTTTAACCTTAATACCAAGATACTGTTTAATTACAACTACATATTCAGTGCATAATATTCAAGTAGACTCATTCAAGAGAGTGAAGTGAGTGTTATTTGATTTTCACTTTGATCCACCGTTTAAGCTAAACGGGCTTGATACAACCGGCCGCAGTTCTACCAAATGATAAAGCACAACTGCACATGCAATGCGACTAAATTCGTTTCCTCTACCTTCACGTCTCGACCTGCTAAAACAAGCGTGCCACTTCTTTTAATTTCAGGAAGGAAAGGACTGACATTTCCGCTCATCTTTTCAGCTTCACGATAATCACTCTCGGTCGACGACACGCGGTTTGTTTCAAAGAAGGCATTCTTCTCAATCTCGTATTCGTCATCTTCCTCAATACACTCAAGCATATCTAAGTTTAGATAAATATCATAAATAAAAATACAACATAGATTTTTACTATGACAAAATAAAGTCTTTTCCTTCACAAACTGAAAGCTCTTTCATTTCTATAAACCGTTCCCAAATACCAAGTATTATACTGCTTAAATTATCTTGTACTGGTCCATTAGTCCTTGCACTACTATGTTTAATGACCACAACAGTTCCCTCGTGAAGAAAACTAAACTGAACTCACAGTATTTCCACCTTTACCTTACCTTTCTCTGCTTCATTCTCAGAATCCTCAGCCAAAGACTTCATCGGATTAACCTTAACTATTTCCTTAAGTTGTTTGGCAACCACAGCGCGACTCAAGCGGCGTTGTTGATAGACCGTTGCGATCTCCCGGCATCTGTGTAGTATATACTTCGGTGCCCAATATCTACGCAAACTTTCGACAACCGCATCCTGAGCTGCGACGAAAATATCTTCCGCAAAAATGGACAAGTTTTTTGGAACCTTTTTGACCGAAAGTTTTCCCTTCGATTCATCGCCATAAACTTTCCATTTAATGGCATCCGGGAGCTCAAAAGCAGAGCCATTGGTTAGGTATTTGAATTGGATTTCTCTGAAGACGAAACGACGTAATTCACGGCTCGTATCACGGCGAAACTTTTCAGTCTCGCGCCAAAAATTCAGAATGCATTCGCCCATGGTTCCTTTCGTGTAGTGGCGAAAGTTCTGCATTCCGATTAAATTACCGATGTGTTTTCGCATCGTTTTTTCATTCACCATTTGGGACACTGGTAGAAAAAAGACGGATTTTGCTCGTTTCTAGCGCGGCGCAAAAACGGGTAAACTTGGAAGAGACAAAAAGGAACAATAAGGATAGGGAAATGAATAACGAGGTTAAAGACAGGTCACAGTGGAGTATTAATGGTAATGAATGGGTAAAAACGAGGTAACAAGGACGTAACAAGGGATCAGAAAGAGATGACTAAGGAGTAACTAAGGTCATAAAGGGTGATAAAGGAGTCCTGATTAACCACACGAGGGGTAACAAGAAGAGGACACAAGTGGATGATAAGTGATAACGAGTGAATTTGGTGTAAGAAAGTTCTAATTAAGTTAGTATACTGATTCAAACTGGTTGAAGTATGAGGTACAAAGCAAGCATACCTTGTGTTGAAACTTCACTCTCAGCAGGCGCAATCAGCAACTTACATAACAAATAATCCAGAAACAGATCTGTCTTCCAAAACAATGGCAAACGTTGACTTAAAATCCACTCAGATAGAACCTTTTTATCTATCTTAAAGAAAATTTATAAACAGATTGAAACGCCTATATGAAAAAACAGTTCATAAAACTGATACTCTGATAAAGCTATCCGGACTAAACAGCTTTAACTTACTTGAAAGTTTTTAAAAGGTGGATCAACGTCGAACCTCTGGCGTCGTGGTCGATATAAAAATCTCCGTGGAAAGATCTTGGTTGAAAATCAAAATGCAAATTAGCTGTGAGCGTATGCCCGAACTGTCGCTAAAGATTGATGCAAACAATACTCTATTGTAATGCAAAGTTATTTATTTTACCGGCAGTGACAGGAACGTGTTGAAATAATCCACAAATATTTCATCTTGCAAATATTCTTCAAAATCATCAATTTCGGTCGAAACATCCACACAAACATTTGCTTTGTAATCCATTGCTAAAGTAAAAAACAAGCAAGCCTTCAGTTGTGTACTTGTTTGTGTATAACGTGTTATGGTTCTGTTATCTAAACAAGACTTATACTGTACTTGTACTATTACAACGTCAGTCTATACGCAACTGATAGCTTTTCCAAAAGGTTGCGAGTTGTGACAATTGAGACACCGCTCGAAAACCCAGTAGATTTCAAAGATTATTTCTACATCAATACAACATTATCCCTAGTTGTGTCCTTTGTGGTAAAGAATAGCTCGTGGAAGACAGAAACTGAGCAACTCGTTGCCATACGCTGTGACGCGAAAAGTGTCCCTCTAAACCAATTACTGATCTTTTGTTGAACGGGCATTGTTGTACCTTTGTTGTACGTTAAACTATGGTTAAACGACACGAATGACTCCTAACATTTTATCCACTGAGAGACTCCTGACGACGTATGGCAGACCAGAACTATCTGCAGTTTCTACATGCAACATCACCAGTAAACAAGAAATCATTATTTATTTACCTGTTTCATGCCCGTTTCCAGACTTATCTGCTTTTACAAGAACCGTTTCCATCCCGCAAAAATTACTTTACGGTGCTTTCAAGTTTCAACCTCCTGTTGACGTCACTAATTACTTTTCTTTTTCATAACTGGCCAATTAATTAGCATGAACGACGTAGCGATGGGATCCATAATATTTGTACGATATGAAGAATTGCACTTTTCCAAAAACAAACCGCTGTTCATAAGGATAAAAAACTGAGCCGAAAGATCAAAATTTGTTTTATTCAAAAGAGGAAAAAGAATTAAAAATTACCTCAAAATATCGCTTATTTTGGTTATATTTAGCTCACATTTATAGCGAAGTAAAACCAAATATATATATATATATAGTATTTTTACGTTGATACCATGTTAATCAAAGTGAAGGTACGCCGGTAAATTTTGCTTTTCTAAAACGTTATTCATAGTGACGGCCGGATGAATGTTGTGAAAAATAGTGTTCCTGATTCTCTTTTTTCTTTTAACTTTGTTAGACCCTAACGGGAAAGGAGGTAGGAAGACCAAAAGACATGGGAAGAACTAAGTGAAATATTAAAATACCTATTGTCAGACGCTAGTTGAGCATAAAAGTGTGCACTATCTTTAGTAATTCATGACCGCCTGTTTCTGCACTATTTCCATCCTAACCTTTGTGAAACACATTGCTTGTGTGCAATTCATAAAGTTTTTAATAGACGTGGATTTAAACCATGCTGCACATGATAGAAGTAAGGAATTGAAGATAAACTTTATTCACTAATATTTTTCTTCAATTTTGAGGCAGATTTATAATAATGGTAATTGCCATTTCATTTCAGATTGAAATTGATATAGAACCTACTGACAAGGTAACTTTTGATAAATCCTTGGGGCAAACACCCATTTAGTGCTTCATTATTTATGCTGCTTGCAAAAGATGAATCAGGCAGAAATTGTATCAATGCAGTCCTATACAGGGTGTATAAAAAAAAAGTAGACAATTGTTAAAATGTCCATAAACTGAAAATTTCGCAAAATGTCTGAAGAACGTGTGGTGATATAGGTATTTTAGGTTCTCTTGACCACTTTAACACTCAAATTAAATAAAAAAATTATATCGACGTGTAGGAATGATTATTTTCAAACACCACCTAAAACAACCCTCGCGCACAAAAATGGACGGTTTAAATCTTAATTCATTATCACAGGTTGAAAGTTTGGGTAATGTTTTATAAACTATCAAAGTTCCAGACAATTTGGTGTACATTAAATCCGCCGGGCGGCCTCTCGAACTTGGACTTTTTTGCTATTTTTGGCCTTTCTCACATACTTTTTGCAGCTCACAAATGATTTCACGCATGATTAATGTAAAATATCAATAATGCATGAATTATTACCGCGTGAAACGAAAAGTATGTGGGAAAGGCCAAAAATAGCAACAAAGTCCAAGTTCCAGAGGCCGCCCGGCGGATTTAATGTACACCAAATTGTCTGGAACTTTGATAGTTTATAAAACATTACCCAAACTTTCAACCTGTGATAATGAATTAAGATTTAAACCGTCCGTTTTTGTGCGCGAGGGTTGTTTTAGGTGGTGTTTGAAAATAATCATTCCTACACGTCGATATAATTTTTTTTATTTAATTTGAGTGTTAAAGTGGTCATGAGACCCTAAAATACCTATATCTACACACGTTCTTCAGACATTTTGCGAAATTTTCAGTTTATGGACATTTTAACAATTGTCTACTTTTTTTTGATACACCCTGTAGTTTGTGACTGTTTGTAATTAAAATCTTTCACATCTTCAGGTTGAACGAATAAAAGAAAGAGTTGAAGAAAAAGAAGGAATCCCTCCCCCACAACAGAGGTAAGATTCATCTACACCCCCCCTACCCTCTTTATATCCTCATCACTCACTACCTGCACCCCTTCAATCCCCTTCCTACATCTTATTAACCCACTACCAATAATTCATATCAATGCTCCCCATTACCCTCTTTAAATCCTCCTTAATTTTCCCCCATCCCCATCCCTTTGCAATACCCTATATACACACACCTACTTACTTTCAATATCTCATGATCAATAGATAATCAATTGATAATCAGTCTCTTTTCATAGATTAATCTTCAGTGGTAAACAAATGTAAGTACCCACCCCTCCCTTGGTAATTTTCAAATCAGTTATCCTGTGCTTGCTTTGTTTTCAGAGAAAAGTAGTTCACATCATTGTCAGTCAGATACATTTTAGTTTCTGTTTTTGAGGAAAAATATTTTTTGTTTGTGATATTTTTAACGATCCATTGTTTTTATCTATTCCAGGAATGATGAGAAAACAGCTTCAGATTACAAGATTCAGGGTGGATCAGTTCTACATTTAGTTCTTGCTCTAAGAGGAGGGAATACTTTGTAGTGTAAGAAAGTATATATAGTAGTGCTTGATCACTTGTCAAAACATGACTATATATAAATAAACTGGGAAGTCAATGTCTATCATAAAATACAGCAGAAAATTTTGTAAAACAATTATTAATGCATGAAACTAATAAAAAACACTCGCTGTAAAATGTTTGGATACTAGAAAATGATAAGTTAATAAGATTTTTCAAACATGCTATTTCATCGATCTTCATCCCAATCATCTCCCAGAATTTCTAAGTACTTGTATTCCTTGTCGATTTTTAAAGCTTTCTTAAGCAAAAATCTGAACGGCCAACGATACAAAACATCATCTTCGCGTGAGGTATCAGTCCAACCCATTCTTTCAGCAATAAATTTGTTGGGCCAGAAAGGAATGTAATTATTTGGGAACTTCTCTTGCAGAAGTAAAATTGCATAAAAACAGGCACAATTATGGACACAAGAGCGAGCCTCGATTGTTTTTTTCCACAGTCTCTTCAAACCGGAAATCGAAATTGAATTTCGTGAATTGAAATAAAATATTTTTACTAAATGAAACCGCAACTCCGCCATGTGAGCTGCAGTATCAATAAAACTGCCAGTAAAATTGTTTAAAATGTTTTTTCGAATGTGTAGATCCGGAAAACTTGTTGAAAAATCACGATCAGCTTCAAATGTTAATTGCTGACAACGTGTGGCGCAGCCATTCACTTCAATATTGTCTTTTATGACTGATTTATGAGGAAGCAGTTCGTTGATACCTGGACATCTGAATAAACCTTCGTAGTTGAGCTCGTTTCTCACGTCGTTTGGCTGTCTTTCGTAAAATAACTTGTTGTATATCAAATGACATTCCACCTCACGTTTGGGATATTTCAAAAGGGCTGTGGATGCTAAATTCTGAAAATATTCATCTTCTTCAGGAGACAACGGATAAAAATTTGCTGCGTGATGGAGATAGGCCAAGTACACTGCATGAATCCCGTCTTTATTTGTACAATCTAATGGTATCTGTGGCATTTTGTTGTGAATGGTTTTCAATGCTTCTATTCCCCGACTTCCCGCAATGTGGAGTGGTGATAGGTCAATGAGCTCGCTGTTGCATTGAAAGCTAGTTTGATTGATTTTTTCTAACAATTTCTCGAAAATACGGTATTCAGCGGTGTCATGACTATACGAGAATACTAGATAGCTGTAGGTCGCCAAAATAAAAGGAGTAAAACCAGAGTCTGTCTTCTTAGAAATATCAACACCATTATCCATGAACCAGGAAAATAAAACATAGTTTTTACTCTGAATTGTTCGATGTATTGGTAAATATCCTTCTTCGTCGTAACATTCATTTAAAATATCGACACCTTTGGGATTATTGTCAATGAATCTTTGGAAAAGAAATCTCGCATTTTCCCCCGAAAGATCAGAAACTGAGGCCACGAGATGTAATTCGGATTGTCTAAAAGGAATGCCACATTTCACATCAAAATTAATTTTAAAAATCTTGAACACTTTCAGAATTTTGTCAACTTTCCAACCTTTGTACGACTCCAAGGCTCTTACAAAGTGTTCATGAGCACACTCAACATCAAGACCTGATTTAAACAATTCGTACAGGCTGAGAGGTAGTCTGTGTTTTATTAAACCATCCAGTAACTTCTTAGTTTTACTGTTGCAAATCTTAATCGAAGCCTTTTGTATTAAATAACTTATTGTTTCATCGAATGCGGTAGTATCGCATATTTCAAACATTTGATCGCTTGTCATCCGACACGAAGGAGGTTCATAATGATCTTCAGGTTTTTCTCGCAGTGCGAATTCCAAGGCAGTGTCGCCTCTCTCATCCTCTATGCTACAATCAGCTCTTTCTTTCAGGAAAATTTCCACGATCTTTGGCAAACCATGTACAGCAGCGTAATGAAGAGCGGTTCTTCCATGGTTGTCCTGTTTATTTATCTTCGAAGCGAGTACTTTGGTCAGCAGATCTACCATTTCCAAACGTTTTTCATCAACTATATGGTCAGGCACGTTTTCGGTGATTGGACAGTGGATACCGAGAGGTCCAGATACCTTTCTTTTGCCAAGTATATAGACCTTTGAAGTTGCAAAATGGAGCAGAGTTTTTCCATCTTCAAAGACACTTCTGAATTTCGTTCTTAGATATTCACTGTTACAGAGATATTTAAAGGTCTTTACTGAATGACAAACAGCTACGTAACGCAACACTGTCTCTATGTGAGGAATGGTGGATATTTTGTTGCCGTACGTAGCATTAATAAAATCGACATCATCATTGATGGCAGCAACCGTTGCTGGATTCCATCTTGGATTGTCCGTGGATAATATCGCATGAGGTTGTTCTTCAGAGATAATCGGAATCACCATTTCCCAAAGACCATATGCGAAAAGAAAATCAATCACACGGTATCCACTGCAAGGTCGCAATGGAGAATATAGATTATCATGGTATAAATTGTTATCATAAAAATTAGGCCAATTTTCAAAACTTTCGCACTCTGCGTTAATATTGGCTCCCGCGCTAATAAGACGATGAACCATTTCAACATTTTTCTCTGCAATAGCTTCCATCAAAGGTGTTCTTCCAGTGCAATGCTTACAGTTGACCGATGCATTACCATACTCGAGGATTAATTTCACCATCTCAATATTATTGTTAGCCACAGCCGCATAAAGAGCTGTCTCAGATAAGCAAAGATGCAACTGAGTTACGTTTGCATAACAATCTTCTGTGCTCCTGGGTAAGCACGTGTCTCGTATTCCAGTGTTGAGAAGAAGTCGCACAATTTCTGTGCGATTCATTGCAGCGGCGTGATGAAGTGAAATAGCATCAGGTTGAACTCCATGATTTAGGTAGAGTTCAACTATTTCAAAATTGCCCTCTACTACAGCATAATGCAGAGGTTTCCATCCACAATATTCTGTTTTACTTATATCTGAGCCACTTTCAATTAGAAGCTCTGTTATTTTTATGTCTCTATTTCGGGCTGCGATGGAAATCGTACTCATTTTGTATGTTGGTATACGATATTCGTATTTATCAATCAAACATTTCGATTCGTAAGACGTCCTATAGTTAACATTCGCGCCGTTATCGATAAATATCTTCAAATTTTCATACGAACCTGCTTCTACAGCATACATTGCAGGAGTGGCGCCATCGTCATCCAACATGTCAACAGAAATATTACATTTTTCTATCAGAGTATTAATAAGTTTTGTGGCGGAAACATGTAATTTCTGTGTGGCAAGAACGTGTAATATATTCCTTCCATCTCGATCTTTTAGCTTCGAAACGTTTAAATTACTAAGTTTTTTCAAATTCCCAAAAGATTTCCTTTCGCCGGCATTCAAAATGTGTGTGCATAATTCTGATAGTTTCTCTAAGGTAAGGTCAGTCCGTCTTTCCATGTAGGAATAAAATAAAAAGTCGACTATGTATTGATGGCCATTTGATTTCTGAATAAAAATACCCTCATTGCCGTCCGTTTGGTTAGTCAACCATTCAGCAAATAATTGATGATGGAACTCAAGAGGGGCTTTATGAATATCAGCCTTGAAATATTCAGAAAGGTCCCTGGCAAATTTTCGAGTATCATAATTCTTTTTCGAAAAATCTAAAATATCTTCAATCTCATCTAACGTTGGAGGTAAGTTAGCAGTAAGTAGTACCTCCAACAGTGGCTGAAAATTATGAAGATGGGTGTCTTCGAACCGTAGTGTAAAAGAAGCGGTATAAACATCTCCCATACTTTTAGGAATAGACTGTAGGCCAATTTTATGAGGAAAACTTCGCCAATGCTTTAATATTTTGTTGAGAAATAGGAAATTACCTCTGGAAGACTGCAAAGCAAGATCAATCAATTGTTTGTTTGTCAATTTTGGTCTGGTTTGAGCGCTAATATTTTGAACCTGTTTTTCTGCGTATATACGAAGGTCCTGCTGATTACGATTATCGTCTACAAATAATTCCAAATTTTGGAAACCATCGATTTTCGATAATTTTTTAATACTCAAGGCTTGTTTTCTGGAGGAAACTATTAGTTTCACCCAACTTGGCAAGTCGGGGATAGTTTCAAATAGGATCCTCTTAATAGTTGAATTATGGCTATTCTCCTTTTCCAAACACTCATCCAATGCGTCGATAAGAATAAAAGAGTTTCTTCTTTCTGTGTCTTCTAGTTCTTTAAGAGGATTTATGATTGCGTCTTGAAAACATTTCACTGGATCGTGTTCGCAATCGTCGTCATTGATGACAATTCTTCGTAAATTAGTTATTTTTTCAGCGATTAAACGAGTTAAGTTTCTCACAAATCGTCCACCTTCACGTGTACGTTTATCGTTGAACTTACATAAGTGATGACCAATAATATTGTTATGAATAACGTCACTGGAGGATGGCGAGTTAATCAACTGTCTCATGATGGTTGATTTACCCCAACCTGGGTCTGCTAGAAGCAAAACACCGCGACAATCTTTTGAGTTTGTCAGGTTTTCTAACTCTCGAAAAACCCATTCTCGACCAACAAAATCCGTATTGGAAAAGGACTTAAATTGGCAATAGGTGTTGAAGTAACTGTGCAAAAACAAGTTAGCTATCAAGAGAAAATGAAGTATGTTAAGTGTCGTGACGAATAATAAATCTCTAGCATTCTCTTGCACATTTTTTTCCACCTGACGCACAAGACTTCTATTTTTTTGGTCATTTTCATACCATTCGTTTAGTAAGCATATGAACCGATTTTCGTCAACAGGGCCCGTCTTCAGGGTTTCAAAAGTATCATGTAGATCCTTGTCCAAACCATTCAGTCTATTTAATGCACACGAAATCTCGTTCCAATAATCATTAAAATCCTCGCCAGTGACTTCGGTGCACCTGTGGTGGCCATAAACTAAGTTTCTATAATACTTAATTCTCACCAGGTCAGCCTCTGGACTAGTGTCGTCTGCCGGAGGATTCTCGTCCCATGATCCGGTAGAAGCAGGGACTGTCATACCACAAATATTTCGTAATAAAATGAAGAGCAAGGAGATATCATAATTATTGGATGTTGTCTCTGGCATTTCATCCGTTGGAAATAATACGTGCATTTGCGCATGCGTGATAACTCCCATTCTATGCAGTGTTTCCAGCGTCTCGCGGTGGTCATTTAAAGTTGCGGTTAAGGTGGCGGGAGGATGAAGAGAGTTGAAGTACTTGCGTAGTGTGTCCTCTCCCTCAATTAAAATTAATCGGCTAAGTCTTGCTCCATTGCTAGGAGATTTTAGACCTTTTGATAACTCGATCATCTGCATAAAAAAAGTTTTTGGTATCATGACTATGCATCCATATATGGAAACTACAACGTCACTTTGTATACACAATGGGACTGGTGTCGACAAATGTATATAGTTAGATAAATGTGTATATAGATAAGAGATAGTGTGCAAATTTCGCTATGCCGGGACACCAAAACCTAGAACTTCGAAATCGTAATGATCTCGAAGACGATGACCATTGTCGTGTTATGAATAGTAAGTGAGATATTGTACTCTTCTGACTGATCCGCTACAAATGCTAAATTATTAATTATTAATATGACCGTTTCTCAACAGAATACAATTTTAGAAGACCAAAAAATATTATTTGCTATTGAAATTATTCTGAAAATTTTTCTCAAACCTGTTCACAAAGTTCATCTACTTGGCTTTTGAGAAAAGTAAAGACTTCCATGTCAAGAGGTTGACCGAAACACAACTCAAATCCTGAAAAAATCAATTTTTTTTAAATTCCCTGGCCAGTATCGGCTGAAGAGAACTACAATTTTTTGGCATATTAGTTTTATTATATACTACAAAAAAATATTATTACCCATATCCTTCCAACTGCATAATGCATTGCAAATGTTTTGCTCGTCTTCAAACGAAAGGTTAATCTTCTTTAGTAAAGATTCCATGCTTCTAAAGCAAGCATTAAACTTTGCTTGAGTCCACTCTAGAAATTTGCAATGTGCCCACTCGTTTCTGATGTCTGACTTAACTCTCTTTGCATGAGCAGCAGCACCCATGTTGATAAATGGTTCAGCTTCACAAATCAACGACAAGGCCGCAGACGAATCCATTGTTTGGTCAAAGCCAGTGAACTTGCACATGTGTGGCTGAACAAACAACTTCGCCAAAGACAAAGGATCTTTAACTGCGTAATCATATGCAGAGGGTTTGAGTCCAGAGACATCATTGTTGTTGATATTTTTGTAGTTCAGCTTCAAGATGGATGGGTTTAAAGTCTTCTGGTATCCAGAATAAACTTGTTTGTCAATTTCAGTCGAGGGCTGACATAAGTTGTTGTACCAGTTGGGCATCTCAATTGCAAGAACCTTTCTCAATGCAGGAGTGAGAACTTTTGTTAAACATAGACCAATAACAACCCATCTTCTTTCTTCATCGGTTACCGGGGCCATAATTGTCAAACTATAAAAATTGGATGCAAAAGTGTAATATCAGGAAAAAGGCGGGTGTGGGTCTCATACATCCTCATTCCCAGGGCCTTTTGGGATCGGCCGTTCAATTTCGTGGGTATTTTGAATAAGCATAATTTGTCATAAAATTTTGCCTAACATTTTCAAAATGCCGGCGTCAGGTAGAACAGATAATATTGTCGATTTAAAGCATATTGGAATTGTACTATTTCGGAGTAATTACAAAATATTCCGCCAATTACGCATGAGTTAGGGAAAATCACTTAACCAATCAGAAGTCAGAAGCGGTTGGCCGATCCCAGGGCCTTTTCACTCTGCTTTTACCCCAGCCTAGTCCCTAGGCCTCTTAACGTTCCTGATACGCGGCGAGGCGGGAACTGAGAGGCCTAGAACAAAATGTTTTGTATTATTATTTTATTGAGGTCAGTTTACGATCTATGACGCGTTAACTGGCCTTGTTCGACGTCGTTAGTCAAACATTTGCTTGAAATAAGCTACGGGATATTAATTATACTGCCAGGACTTCGAAATATTCATACAAACGTTTCAATGTCATTCGCTGTCAACGCTATCGACTATCAAGTAAACTCGAGTCCGTACGTACATGTTTATGATTATAATAAGTTTCAATCCGCCAATTTAAATTATTCTCGCTTCCTTTATAACGGTTATTGTTGTAAATTGCAAACATTTACTTTGTAATAACAATTCTAATTTCAAGTTGACACGGGCCATTAAGATTAGAAAACATTTTGTGCTAGGCCTCTCGCGCGCGTTTCATTCGGTGACGTCACGGAAATATAAAACACGCGCAATGAGAGGCCTGGGACTAGGCATCTTTAACCCCAACCCATCCTCGTCCCCAGGGCCTAGCTCCGTTGCTCTCCACATAGGAGAGCAACGGAGCTAGGCCCTGGGGACGAGGATGACCCCAACCCAGAATCAAGGTAAAGGCCCTGGGAACGAGGTTGGGTCTCAATATCAACCATGCTATTTGTGCTATCATGTACTTTTTTTAAATATCAGTACTTTGTCCACGATCACGAAAGGAAGTAAGTTGTTTATATCAAGACGTGTCATGTGTGCTGTCACGTTTTATGTCAACCCAACGAAGCATTGGACTTCAAGATTTTGGGAAATGGCTAGAAATGAGTTGACTATACTTTTTTAAAGGCGGGCGCAAATAAATTTTGTACTCTCATGTATAACAGCATCCCTCAATGTCCCTTGCGGTTCAGTAACTCTGAACCCCAAATCACCATCGTCCCCGTACTATTAAATTATATTTGCAACTCTGAGTCTACTTGAGGGTAATTAGCTACTGTCTCCGAGAGGAAAAGTATCTGTAAAATCACTTATTGCTCTCAACATTATCCTCTACAGACTACATCAGTTTAAGTATTTCACAATCGCGGCTAGTAAACGAAATGTTTATAACCATACCTTGTCTCGTCGCCACGGTATGGCGTATAATGCCGTATATATATGCGAGTTGTCTCGTTGAACCAATTAAGATGTTTCGCTTCACGGTTTAAATACCACACTGTCGTGTCGAGCTGCAGATACCAGCAAATACTGATGGCTCTGAGGTTTATTGCGGTTGGATTATCGCTAAAACGTAATAATTCAATGTCGGAAACGGCTCGAAGGTCAAACAATTTCCCGGCACTGTAAGCAAAATTCTTTCGATTGTTGAGATGCGCGTATTGAAATGCAAATTCAAGTTATTCGACAACTCTGTTTGACACTGAGATTATAATATCACTATCAAACAAACTGGTTCAGTTCTTATAAGACATTACTGTCTTAAAATTAAATAACAATTTGAGTTTCGTCGATAGTAAATACCACAAGATGCGGGTGAAACACAATTTCCATATTATAGTTCTATGCTGTTTCACCTCAGGTTCATCCAAAAAATGCAGGTTAACTAGTTGCAATGTACGTGTTTGTAGTCGCCAGTAACTGCGGTTGTACCTACCTTATTTTATCGTGTCTCAAACTGTTTAATAACGCAACGTTTGCTGTAGGCTTGTAGCTCTTGTTAAGAACAGGTTACGAAACATTGTTTAACACCACACTGTGATTACACCGGATGTCTTTGATCTCGTGAGCAGACAGACAAATGATTTGGCCATTGTGGAGGGAGAGGTCTAGATCGAGCTAGGGTGAGCCTTGGCATTAGGGTGACAGTGTATGGTTGACTGTTCTGCATTTCTATTTGAAAAAGGTTTTCGAAGAACAGACTGGGAGTTTCATGCATGGGTATATGTGATAACCTTCGTTTCTGACCGGATATAAAAAATAAATATCTTTTTAACACCTTATTGCCGCATTAGACTGCAATGACACACGAGCCGCCATATTTCTAAAAGATTGTAGTTCCACGTAAATTTCACTGGTAACGAAAATATCCATAAATACAGTTTTAATATTGGATAGTTTCAAATGTTTTAACTCAATGGTTCTACAAAATGCGTGGACTATATTTCATAGTGTTATACAAATAAAATTGAAATATATATAGCAGCAGTTTGTAAAATGTACAAATTATCACGTTTCTACTTGCTTTCCTTCAGCCCCCCCCCCTGATATGGCATAGCCATAGAATTTTTATATACAGGCATAAAGCGTTATAAAAAACCTTTTCACCAGTATAACTACTTCAACAACATTTTTTCGCACCAAAAATAGTAAATATCAAATGTTTTAACGAAATCAAAAATTTCAAACCATGATATCATCTTCGTTTACCAAAGTTACCTGACTTCGCTTTTTTACTCGCGGGTCCCTTCGTCTTCTTGCTGTCATTTTTGCGTTTATTTGAGTTGTTCGGTGTTGTTGAAATAACTTTGAAAAAACCATCGAGTCTGCCTTGAACTGAAGTCTTGCGTGCTTTCTGCAGCTTGGTAATTCCTGACCGGATTCTGTCCTCGCTGAAAAAAAGACATGAGATTCAGTAACCTTGAATTAACCTCATCTTTCTTTTCCTGAACAGACCACTATTTTCTCCAAAGCATAGCTGCTTCTCTGCTGTAAGAATACAGACGTTGTCTCGCAATTTTATACAACTAATGAAAGCTGAGCATAAGGGTACAAAGTAGATGACCAAAGGCAAAGGTAATCCTTACGTTAAACTCATTCTTGCAAATATGGAACATCAGAAAAACTGTATATAATCAATAATCACAGTACCAAGTATAAATACCTGAAGCCTTTTTGTGTGACAAGAAAATCAACAAGACCATCGACATCAGCATCGTTCCATTTCAACTACAAGAAATACAACAAGAGTCACGACTTTCATTGCTGGTGTAGTCGAGGTGATTGTGCCGAGGAAATGTTCTACAAAAACCAGCCATTTTGTCAGACAAGCTTCGCATCTGAAACACGACGATAAGTCTAGGATTGATCTTTATTAAAGACAACTAGCGTTCATTACGAAGTTAGTTTAAGAGCCGATCAACTATGTACAAGATAACATGCAGCACCGCACATATTTCAATTTTCAATACATACCTCAACTGTCTGTGGATCATCCACTACCTTCATCCTTTTCAATACCCTCAAAACCTTCCCTACACCTGACTCAGAATAATTCATATCAATTATTAAAACAGAATAATTCATATCAATGTTTCCCATCACTCTCTCTAAATCCTCCTTAATTCTCCCCCTCCATAACCATCTACATCCCCTTCTAATACCCTATATACACATACACACCTTCAGTACCTACCTCCAACATCAATTTCTTTTCATAGATTAATCTTCAGTGGCAAACAAATGTAAGTACACCCCCCCCCCCTTGGTAATTTTCAAATCAGTTATCATCCAAAAGATACCTGTGCTTGCTTTGTTTTCAGAGAAAGGTAATTCAGATGAATGCCAGTCAGATACATTCTAGTTTCGGTTCAAGATTCTTGTTTTTGTAGCTGGGTTGAATTTTAGAATTTTTATACTTTTAGGGATTGGATTGTAATTTTTAACAATCCATTGTTTTTATCCATTCCAGGAATGATGAGAAAACAGCCTCTGATTACAAGATTCAGGGTGGATCAGTTCTACATTTAGTTCTTGCTTTAAGAGGAGAGAACTATTATTTATAGTGTAAAAAATGGCCAGACAAACTGGGAAGTCATATATATCATAATTCATAATACTACGGTAGAAGTTTTGTTCAACAGCATTAAACTAATGAGAAACAGTCTCCGATATTAGAAACTAGTTGCTAAAAATTGTTGGTTTGTTTCTACATGTCTTTTACAAGCGCTCGTCGAACAGGTAGTACGTGTCTATTTGTCTCTGACTGACACTACAACAAACAGCACAGTGGCGTAATGCATGTGAATTTTTATTAGGTAAATTAGGGTTAGGGCAAGAAATAGATGACCCCGGCCGTTGGACGGTCCGGAGACTAGTCAATTAGAACCAGTAGTGGATCCAGCACTAGTGCACTAATTTGCATGACACAAGAAAACTGCTAAAAATAACTACTTTGTTAAAACATAATACTGTTCCTGACGGACAGAACCCCCACAATACCAAATATTTCTTTAGGGGCCCACCTTAGTCCGTCACGCCACTGATCAAGTATATGCTGTATCAGAAACATTCAAACCGTCTAGATTCCAGAATTTCCAAGTACTTGTATTCTTTGTCCATTTTTAAAGCTTTCTTCAGTAAAAAAACGAAAGGCCAACGATACAAAACATCACCTTCGAGTGAAGTATCAGTCCAACCCATTCTTTTAGCAACAAATTCATGAACTTTTCTTTGCTTGAAAGGCTCGTAACTTGGGAACGTCTCTTGTAAAAGTAACATTGCTTCAAAACAGGAACAATTATGGGCACAAGAGCGAGCCTTGATTGCTGTTATCCAGAGATTCTTCAAAACGGAAATCGAAATGGAATTTCGCAGATTGAAGTAAAATGTTTTTACTAAATGAGACCGTATCTCTGCCATGTGAGCTGCAATGTCAATAAAACCGCCAATAAAGGTATTTGGAATGTATATTTGAATGGGTAGATCAGGAAAACTTATTGAGAAATCACGATAAGCTTCAAATGATAATTTTAGACAACGTGTGGCGCAGCCATTCACTTCAATATGGTTTTTTACGACTGTTTTATGAGGAAGCAGTTCGTTGATACCTGGACATCTGAATAAACCTTCGTAGTTGAGCTCGTTTCTCACGTCGTTCAGCCGCAAGTTGTAAAATATATTGTTGTAAATCAAATGATATTCAACCTCACGTTTGGGATATTTCAAACGGGCTGTGAATGCTAAATTCTGCAAATATTCATCGTCTTCAGGCGGCAGATGAAAATTTCCTGCGTGATGGAGATAGGCCAAGTACACTGGATGAATCCCGTCTTTATTTGTACAATCTAATGGTATCTGTGGCATTTTGTTGTGAATGATTTTCAATCCATATTTTCCCCAACTTCCCGCAATGTGGAGTGGTGATAGGTCAATGAGGTCGCTGTTGCATTGAAAGCTAGTTTGATTGATTATTTCTAACAATTTTTCTAAAATACGATATGCAGTGCCATGACTATGGGATACTAGATAGCTGTACGTCGCCAAAACAAGAGGAGTAAAACCAGATTGTGTCTTCTTAGAAATATCAACACCATTATCCATGAACCAGGAAAATACATCATAGTTTCTACTCTGAATTGCTCGATGCATTGGTAAATATCCTTCCTTGTCGTAACATTTATTTAAAATATCGACACCTTTCGGATTTTTAGCAATGAATCTTTGGAAAAGAGATCTCGCATTTTCCCCCGAACGACCAAAAACAGAGGCCACGAGATGTAATTCGGATTGTCTAAAAGAAATGCCACATTTCACATCAAAATTAATTTCAAAAATCTTGAACACTTTCAGAATTTCGTAAACTTTCCAACTTTTGTACGACTCCAAGGCTCTTACAAAGTGTTCATGAGCGCACTCAACATCAAGTCCTGATTTAAACAATTCGTACAGGCTGAGAGGTAGTCTGTGTTTTATTAAACCATCCAGTAACTTCTTAGTTTTACTGTTGCAAATCTTAATCGAAGCTCTTTGTATTAAATAACTTATTGTTTCATCGAATGCGGTAGTATCGCATATTTCAAACATTTGATCGCTTGTCATCGAACATGAAAGAGGTTCATAATGATCTTCAGGTTTTTCTCGCAGTGCGAATTCCAAGGCAGTGTTGCCTCTCTCATCCTCTATGTTACAATCAGCTCTTTCTTTCAGGAAAATTTCCACGATCTTTGGTAAACCATGTACAGCAGCGTAATGAAGAGCGGTTCTTCCATGGTTGTCCTTTTTATTTATCTTCGAAGCGAGTACTTTGGTCAGCAGATCTACTATTTCCAAACGTTTTTCATCAACAATATGAACAGGCATTTCTTCCGTGATTGGACAGTGGATACCGAGAGGTCCAGATACCTTTCTTTTGTTTTGTTCATAGACCTTTGAGGTTGCAAAATGGAGCAGAGTTTTTCCATCTCTAAAGACACTTCTTAATTTCGTTCTTAGATATTCATTGTTCCAGAGGTATCTAAAAGTTTGTACTGAATGACAAACAGCTACGTAACGCAACACTGTTTGGATGTGAGGAATGGTAGATATTTTGTTGCCGTACGTAGCATTAATAAAATCGACATCATCATTAATGGCAGCAACTGTTGCTGGATTCCATCTTGGATTGTCCGTGGAAAATATCGCACGATGTTGTTCTTCGGAGATTATCGGAATCACCATTTCCCATAGTCCATATGCGAAAAGAAAATCAATCACGCGGTACCCACTGCAAGGTCGCCATGGAAAAAAATATAGATTATTATAGTATATATCGTTATCATAAAGATCACGCCAATTTTCAAAACTTTCGCACTCTGCGCTAATATTAGCTCCCGCGCTAATAAGACGATGAACTATTTCAACATTTTTCTCTGCAATAGCTTCCATCAAAGGTGTTCTTCCAGTGAAATGCTTACAGTTGACCGATGCATTACCGTACTCGAGGATTAATTTCACCATATCAATGTTATTGTCAGCCACAGCCGCATAAAGAGCTGTCTCTGATAAGCAAAGATGCAACTGAGTTATGTTCGCAAAACAATCTTCTGTGTTCCAGGGTAAGCACGTGTCTCGTATTCCAGTGTTGAGAAGAAGTCGCACAATTTCTGTGTGATTTTTTGCAGCGGCGTGATGAAGTGAAACAGCATCAGGTTGAACACTATGATTTAGGTAGAGTTCAACTATTTCAAAATTGCGCTCTATTACAGCATAATGCAGAGGTTTCAATCCACAATATTCTGTTTTATTTATATCTGAGCCACTTTCAATTAGAAGCTCTGCTATTTTTATGTCTCCATCTTGGGCTGCGATAGAATTCATACTCATTTTATATGGTGGTATACTATAGCCGTATTCATTAATCCAGCATTTCGATTTGTAAGGAGTCATGAAGTTAACATTTGCGCCGTTATCGATCAGTATCTTTAAATTTTCATACGAACCTGTTTCTACAGCATACATTGCAGGAGTGACGCCATTGTCATTCAACATGTCAACAGAAATATTACATTTCTCTACCAGAGTATTAATAAGTTTTGTGGCGGAAACATGTAATTTCTGTCTGGCAAGAACATGTAATATATTCCTTCCATGTTGACCTCTTAGCTTCGAAACGTTTAAATAACTAAGTTTTTTCAAATTCTCAAAAGATCTCCTTTCGCCGGCATTCAAAATGTGTGTGCATAATTCTGATAGTTTCTCTAAGGTAAGGTTAGTCCGTCTTTCCATGTAGGAATAAAATAAAAAGTCGACTATGTATTGATGGCCATTTGATTTCTGAATAAAAATACCTTCATTGCCGTCCGTTTGGTTAGTCAACCATTCAGCAAAGAATTGATGGTGAAACTCAAGAGGGGCTTTATGAATATCAGCCTTGAAAAATTGAGAAAGGTCACTGGCCACTTCCTCAGCGTCGTAAAGATGTAAAATATCTTTAATCTCAGCCAATGTCAGAGGTTCGTTAGAAGCAAGTAGAACTTCTAACAGTGGTCGGAATCGTTTAAGATCGTCTTCTTTGAACCGTTCGGCAAAAAAAGCTTTATAAATATCTTCTAAACTCTCGGGTGTAGACTCTGGATTTATTTTGTGTGGATGGTCGTGCCAGTACTTTATAATTTCACAGAGAAATAGAAAGTTACCTTTGGAATTTTTCAAAGCATGATAGATCAACGTTTCATCTGTCCACGGTGGTCCAGTTTTAGCGCTAAAATTTTGAAGCTTTTGTTCCGCGTACGTACGCAAATCCTGTTCATTCCTATTATCTTCTACAAATATGTTTAGGGTGGAGAAACCTTTAATTTTCGATATTTTGCTAATACTCTTTGTTTGATTTCTCGAGGTTATTATTAGTTTCACCCAACTTGGGAAGTCGGAGATAGTTTCGTACAAAATCTTCTTAATTATCGATCTATGGCTATTCTCCTTTTCCGAACACTCATCCAATGCGTCGATAAGAATAAAAGAGTCTCTTCTTTCTGTGTCATCCAGTTCTTTAAGAGGCTTTATGATTGCTTCTTGAAAACATTCAATTGGCAGATTTTCGCAATCGTCGTCTTTTACGAAAACTTCTCGAAATTTAGAAACCTTTTCAGCGATAAAACGACCTACGTTTTTCACAAATCGTCCTCCGTCACGTGTACGTTTGTCGTTGAAATTACACAAGTGGTAAGCAATAATATTTTCATGAATGACGTCACTGGAGGATGGTGAGTTGATCAACTGTTTCATGATGGCTGATTTACCCCAACCTGGGTCTGCTACAAGCAAAACACCGCGACTTTCTTTTGAGCTTGTCCGGTTCTCTAATTCTCGAAATATCCATTCTCGACCAACAAAATCCGTATTGGAAATGTTTTGCAAAGAGACTGGTTTATTTTCCAGAAGAGTAGATAATGTATACACAGATAGCAATATGACAGGAACTGAGGCGAGAAAACAAAGGATTTTTCCACTCCCCCCCTCAATTTTCTCTTCAATTTTTTCTTCAATTTTCTCTTCAATTTTCTCTTCAATTTTCTCCTCAACTTTCTCTCCAATTTTCTCTTCAATTTTCTCTTCAAACCTCTCAAATTTCTCTTCAATTTTCTTGTAAATTATGTAAGAATCTTCACCAACAGGGCTTGTTCTCAACTCTTCAATTTCTCGAGTAGGGAGAGGTTCTTTGAGATGACGATGTATTCGTATCAATGCTTCCGAGATTTCATCCCAAAAAAATTTAAAATCATCTTTACTTACTTCAGTGTCGCTGTTTAAAACTTCGTTTCCATGAAACTCAATTCTCGCCAGGTCAGCCTCTGGACTAGTGTCGTCTTCCGGAGGATTCTCGTCCCACGATCCAGTAGAAGCAGGGGGGTTGAGGCCACAAATATTACGTAATAAAATGAAAAGCAATGAGACATCATAATTACTGGATGTTGTTGGCCTAACTGGAGGAAACAATACTTTCATTTGTGCAGACGTGATCTCTCCTCTTTCATGCAGTGTTTCCAGTGTCTCACGGTGGCCTTTCAACCATGTAGTTAAGGTGACGGGAGGATGAATAGAATCAAAATATATTCGTAATGTGTCCTTTCCTTGGACAGAAATCAAGCGGTTGAGTCTTGCTTCCTTGTCATTTAGACGTTTGCTTAACTTGGCCTATAATGACAAGGTTACACCCAGTTAGTTCAATGGTGAAATGCATGAAAAAATTCGGTAATTTGTGATGAAAATTTTAACAATCGGTGGCTCTGGTCCCTGGAAGGCTGGGGCGGACATAATATAGTCATATTATAGACTTTTTATATCATTTCAGCAAACTGATTCTTACTCTTCAGTTTTCATCTAGCATCCAAACTGATATGACGTTCAATTTTAGGACCGACTACAATTTATATTTAATATCTCTTGTGCATGTCAATTACGCAGTTAGTCTACAGAAGTTTACCTACTTCTTTTTTTAGCAAATAAAAGATTTCCATGTTCAGAGGTCCATAGTCTGAAATATAGATAATAAGTTTAGACATTTTTAGTACTTCCGCAGCCAAACATTAATTAACTATTTAACTTTGTAACGTAAATGTACTATTAGCATAAAAAACATTACCAGGCATTACCTTTCCAGCTACGTAGCTCATTGCAAAATTCTTCCTCATCTTTAGATAAAAGATTAATACTCTTTAGTAAAGACTCCATGATTTCAAAACATTCATCAAACCTTTTTTCATCAGGATAGTCCTGATGCGCCCATTCGTTTCTGATGTCCCTAACGTCCTTCACATGAGCAGCAGCACCCATGTTGATAAATGGAGCAGCTTCAGAAATCAATGACAAGGCCGCAGACGTATCCATTGTTTCGTTAAAGCCGGTGAACTTGCACATATAGGGCTGAACAAACAACTTCGCCAAGGACAAAGAATCTTTAACTTCGTAATCATATGCAGGGGGGTTGAGTCCAGAGGCATCATTGTTGTTGATATTTTTGTAGTTGAGCCTCAAAGTGGATGGAGCTAAACTTTTCTGGTGTCCCGGATAAACTTGTCTGTCAATTTTGGTAGGGTGCTGACATAAATCGTTGTACCAGTCGGGAATCTCCTTTGCAAGAGCCTTTCTCAATGCAGGGGTGAGAACTTTGGTTAAACATAGACCAATCACAGCCCATCTTCTCTCTTTCTCTGTTATTTGGGTTGCCATTACCAACCTACAAAATTAAACATTAGTCTCGGGAGTGCACGCTAGATGGAGGTGATGTAGGCATGCATGTGAGGTCTATATGATGAACAATTTGTCGGTCCTGTTGTTCTTCACAAAATTATGTAACAAATACACAATATGAAAGTGAAACAGAATTTCTGAATGATTTACTGTACTTGTACCTAGTCCCCAGATTATGCATTCTTTCAACAGTGTATGGTCGTGTTTTCAACTGGAATATGGGAAATTTGAACTTTCGGTTGCAAGAAAATGAAAATGATGAAATATTGTAATAGAGGAATGCAATAAGCCTGTTGTCACAAAGGCTATTGCGACAAATGCAACTTATCCATCTCTTTTCCCCGTTCAATGTTTGGGCTACTCAGTGGTTTGGGCTAAAAGTTCAATATTTTGACAGGACAACTTTTTATAGCAAGCTGTATCACACAACATCCGCCAATGTCCCCTTTGATCTCTCTGAACCAACTTTGAACCTCAATCACCCCATACAAACAAATTATAATTCTGATTCTCGAAAATTAACATTTATAAAACTTCGTGATATAGCTACTGTCCCGAGGTAAAAAAATAGCTGTATAATATTGCCCATCGCTTCTAATATCACTTTCTACATCAGTTTAAGTATTTCGCAAACGTTACAATGAAAGAAATGTTCATAAACATACCTTGACACGGTATGGCGTGTATGAAAAAAAAACTTTATTGTACAGGAGTTTGCGAGGTTTCAGGTTGAACCAAGATGCTTCACGGTTTAAAATACCACACTGTCCACTAGATACCAGCAAATGTGGCTCTGAAGTTTATTACTGTTTTAAAAAATCAATATGAATTAAATCCATAACTCAAACGCCTCGGATGTTAAACAGTTTTGACACTGTAGTGTCAGCAAAATTCTTTAAGATTTTTGAGATATGCACGTATTGAAATGCAAATTCGACAACCCAGTTTGACGCTCAATTATCAAACAAACTGGTTAAATATTTATAAGACATTACTGTCTTAAAATGAAATGTCAATTTGAGTTTTGTCGATTGCAAATATTACAAGATGCGGGTGAAACACAATAACTTTATAAATTCAATTATCTCCGCCCAGGTTCAGGCAAAAAATGCGGGATCAAATTTTTGTCTAATTAATGCAGCAATGTTTTGTCTGAGCTCTTCAATCGTGACTTGAACAACACATGTTATAACAAAGATTACTATTGGTTAATTTAAGGAAAATACAATAGACACGTGAGGGAATAAATTGTTTACCCAAACACCGACAGAGTTAATAAATTGCATTATACTTGTGCGTAGTCCCCTTTTCTGTTGTTGCATGTTTGCGACATCATTATCAAGGCTTCTTCACAAAATGCGTGGACTATATTTCATACTGTTACAAATAAAATCGAAAGTATCTTTACATGTTTCATCCCATGTTTCTTCTTGATATCCTCCAGTTTCGCCCCTGATACGGCATCGTTTTTTTATATACATGCAGGCATAAAGCGTTTACAATTACGAAAACCTTTTTATCGATAATAGTAACTACAACTTCAACAACATTTTTTCGCACCAAAAATAGTAAAAATCAAATGTTTTAACGAAATCAAAAAATTCAAACCATGATATCATCTTCGTTTACCAAAGTTACCTGACTTCGCTTTTTTACTCGCGGGTCCCTTCGTCTTCTTGCTGTCATTTTTGCGTTTATTTGAGTTGTTCGGTGTTGTTGAAATAACTTTGAAAAAACCATCAAGTCTGCCTTGAACTGAAGTCTTGCGTGCTTTCTGCAGCTTGGTAATTCCTGACCGGATTCTGTCCTCGCTGAAAAAAAGACATGAGATTCAGTAACCTTGAATTAACCTCATCTTTCTTTTCCTGAACAGACCACTATTTTTTCCCAAGCATAGCTGCTTCTCTGCTGTAAGAATACAGACGTTGTCTCGCAATTTTATACAACTAATGAAAGCTGAGCATAAGGGTACAAAGTAGATGACCAAAGGCAAAGGTAATCCTTACGTTAAACTCATTCCTGCAAATATGGAACATCAGAAAAACTGTATAATCAATAATCACAGTACCAAGTATAAATACCTGAAGCCTTTTTGTGTGACAAGAAAATCAACAAGACCATCGACATCAGCATCGTTCCATTTCAACTACAAGAAATACAACATGAGTCACGACTTTCGTTGCTGGTGCAGGATACTCGAGGTGATTGTGCCGAGGAAATGTCCTACAAAAACCACCCGTTCGCGTCTGAACACGATGATAAGCCTGGAGTGTTTAGGATTGATTTTTATTAAAGAAAACTCGCGTCCACGACGAAGTTGAGATAAGAGCCGATCAACTACGTCTACAGAGTACAAGGCTAACAACAATGGACGACTGGGCAGTGGACCCAATTTTCACCCTAATACATACCTCAACTGTCTGTGGATCAGCAACTTCGGGATTTTTGAATAACTCTCGGGCTTCCTGGTTGATGAAAGGAAAAGATTTGGAGCGTTGGTGTTATAAATATAAAATTTTGAATCGTTGTTTAAGGTATACAGTAAAATGGTATTTTAGGGTTTCGCTTAATTTACGTACCTTGTATCTCCAATCCTCAGGTATTGGATGTTTCTGTGAAATAAACAAGTACGGTTTGTTATGAAACCGGGCACACGATTATTGTACAAGCTAGGGTCAGGGATGGGTGTTTATAGATTAGGTTCCCTTCATCATTTCCAGAAAGACAGTTTAGAACTAAAAAAACAGTCCGAAAGAGCTGTCATTCATGTACCTTAGTGTCAATATGGTTTAAAATTTTTTCAATTGATCGATGTTGTGTGATCAAATCTATTGCTCTTTTTGGTCCAATACCTAAATATGAGATGAAAATTTATAAACCTCGATTATATCCTTGCAATTCCCTTTTTCCTCCTGATATATGTGATTTATTTTATTTGCTAACAAAAGGAATACTATTGGTTCCCATCTGGAAAATGTCTTCTCATTCATAGTACCTGGTAAAATCACATACCTCAGGTGGAGATACATAAATGTACAACCACTTGTATTTGAGAATAGATTGGTTTGAAGAACTATTAAATTTAGTTGTAATTTTTATACCTTTTATAGAGTCACAATAATCGCAGCCAAGTAGAATGCAGAGGTCAACAAACTAGGAAATATTTGTAACTCAGTGTCAGTGTGCATTTTATACAGCTGTGAAACTGAAACATATCAAATATTGAAGAGCCATGCTTACTTCATCTTGTGACAAGCCAAGCTCTTCTAGAATTTTGTTTAAGTGAAACTCCTGAATTGGCATTTTTCTAACCAACACAAAAACAAGAAAACCATGAGTCGATAACCCTCCTTTCTTCTTGTTGAAAAAGCTATTTGAATAAACTACACTTAGCCAGTTTAAACTCAGTTTATAGTTTGCAAGATTAATCTATTCTAGTGCATGAACTAAAGCTCAATTCACAAACCTGGCTTCGCTAAATGTCATGTGTCGTAAAGTTATTAGTGAACCAAACGTCAGGCTGTCCATATCTTCAGTTGCAGTGGCATAAACCTTAGGACCATAAATCTCTCATTGTTCAGTTGTTCTCCAGGAAAACTTAAAATTTTCAAAAACATGTTACTGTGTTTACCTTTCCATTGGAAACAAGAGAAGCACACTGGGCCTCAGCTTCACATGGTGCCTGTAATGAAAATTTATACTTTGGTTCACAGAAATCCAGCACAAATGTGAGTTGACAGTTATGAGACAATATCTTTGTCAAACTCTGGTGATGCCAGAGGTGAATAAGTTAACACTTACATCTAAATAAGGAATGCCCATTAGTTTTAAAACAGTCTTGCATTCCTCATTATGTTGCCTTGTTACTTTGACCTAAAAACAAGTTCAAGTGTTAAATATTTCCCCAAATACAGTAAAACAAATATATTTCTAAAGAGGCAATTGAAAGGCAAGTTGTCCAAAATGTTACTGTACCAGACGTCTCTGGGTCTTATCAATCATTGCGGTGTCCCCTAGATGAAAGAAAGTTTGATTAACAATAGCAGAAATGGATTGCTTTGATAGGTAAAGGTGTTTAGGAGATGATCGTCAAATAAAAAATTGACAAACCAGCTTCTTCAGCTGCTTTAAGGTCCTTCTGTGCTTGTTCTCTTCTTTCTGTTCGCTTTGCAAGCTGCAACGAAAATTGCTTATTGAGAAAGAGGGGCCATTACAAGACAAATTTGATCTGTATGTTTTTCATAAAGGTTTGTAGCTCTGGTGCTTGATATGATATGTATACAACATGAAAACTTTACCTCACCAGACTTTAATTCAGGTGGTTTTCCATCAAACACATAACTATAGGGGTTAGGAATTTAACATAGATGAATAGAGAAAAATAGCGCTTTTAAGACAGGGTGTGTAGAGGGAAGTCTAAGCAGGGATGGAGGAAATAGGACGTACAAGATGGAGGAAATGAAGTAGTCTAAAGATTTGGAACATACACTGGTTTTATACCATTCTCCACCATTCTTATTGTTCGATAAAAGATTCCCATAATATGACTGATGAAAAGAAACAACATTTAGTAAGAATTAATCTGTAGATGAAATGAAAAAGTGAATAATGAATCTTGAACCTGGTGACTTCTCCTGCTTCGTTTGTCAATTGACTTCCATCACTTCGCACGGCAATAAGAAACTGATAAATACTCATGGAGGCATCAATGGCCACTTTCCTGCCTGAAGAAATGTTGAATAAGAGATGAGTGTTGTGAAGCGACTGTTCATTTGATTAAATCATTCAAGCAAGATGATTCATTGGAAAGACAAGATTCACAAGAAGAACATTGTACTGTATAGTACAAAGAGTTTAGCATCTATTGTTTTATTACATCTTTTCAGAATTCAGCTTTCACCCATAGCTTGCATTGACGCAATATTTCACACAAAAGCTAATCTTTTTTGAAAAAGATCAAAATGACCTACCAAAATAATTCTTTATTTCATTCTCTTTCATAGAGGACGGAGCACAATCACCAAGCAGTTTTGTTAATCCGTGAATACCCATCTGGTCTTCACTTATCCTTCCTTAGACACTGTTTCTAAACTAACAAAGAAAAATTCCTAAGAATGTCTCAAACTTGCAACTTTTTAGAACGAAAAGCTTTGTTGATATTCTTTGCACGTTAATATTTGGCGCAAAATTTTCCCGCCATTTTGTATAGCTGAGCCCACTGTGACTGGAAATTAGAAGAAAGTGGATACTCGCACGAGTGGATGCGCACTCATATAAAGAATGAGAGGAAAAATGAAAGGAAAGTTTTCGAATGGAAAGATTCAAGTTGTTTACCCACTGTAAAATGTAAATAAGTAAATTTTCCTCGCAAAAGCAGAGATATAGAGCAGAAATTGATTTGAGTAAAGTAGACTTCTTATGTTGCACGGTTGAGATGAGCATTACGTGATTACGAACAAATTCGCATGAAAAAATTCACAAGGAGTTGAAGGAAATCTCCAAGGGAATTCTTCGCGAGAAGAAATGAAGCGGAAGTGGAAACACGATATAAAAACGCACGTTTTACGTTTTGAATTTGTAAACTCGAAAGTGTGAAAAATATTATTTGGAAATTTTCTCTAGTTTATGGGAGCTTTTCTTCATTTTCTACTACCGTGAAAGCTTATCCTTTGAAGAATGGCCTTGAGTCGCAAGGAAGTCGAGGAAATCAAACCATGGCTCAAGGATACGGTTAAAAAGCGTCTAGGATACTCTGAAAAATCTGTAGTGAACGCCGCGATACAGTGCTTACAAAATAACCTCGATAAGGACTCGGCGTCTAAGGAATTGACTTCGTTGCTAGACGATCTAGCGCCCAGATTTGTGGACGATCTTTTCACGAAGTTAGATCGTATTCGTAGGCCGAAAACTTCGAGTCGGAGCAATACGAACAGAAAACGGACCCTGGAGGATGTTTTTGGTGACAGTCGTGACAATGATGAAGAGACTAGGGACGAGTCGGAGACACTCAAAAAACGAAAAAAAACTAGGTCTGGATAGAGAGGGTCGACTACTAACACACATGCAATATCCCAAACAGATCCCTTGAATATGTGCGATATCCCACGCAACCCCTTGACTATGTGCGATATCCCACGCAGACCCCTTGACTATGTGCGATATCCCACACAACCCCTTGACTATGTGCGATATCCCACACAACCAATATCATTCTGACATACACATTAGTCAGGTTGCCAGAGAGTCATGGGTGGTGTAGCGATCCAAAAACCTTGACACCATTTAAATTCCCACTTGAAAAAACAATTTCAATTTTGCTTTGCAGTATCAGGTGGTACTTCAAATGTGATAAAATAGTTTCATTTACCTTCTGACAACTAGATTTGAAGCATTAAAAGATGACAATGAACCATTACCTCCGCCCGTGCCTGAACCAGTTGAGATGCCTGCACCATTGAACGCCAATCAGATTTCAGCCATGTTGGAAAAGAAGAAGAAAGAATTAGCAGAAAGAAAAGAACAGTTGGAGAAAATCCGCCAGCAAACGATGGTCATAACCCAGCCTATGGTTCAGCCCACCACCGAGTTTATACCCCCCATGCCACAGCAGGAGGACACGATGCCTCCCCCGTCACTTGAGGAGCAACAAGCCTTGATGAACGAAGCTATCGAGAAAGCGAGGAAGGCTGCACATTTACATAACAGAATTCAGTCCAAGGTATGAATGGACAAATATGATGTGGAGGAGGAATATATGTGGTTTATATCACATTTCTTCTCTACCTTTAGTTTACTTACATGGGCAACACAAGTGAAAGTATCATCAAATCTGGGGCTGTTGATCTCTCAGCCATTAACAGCAAACCATCGGCGTTGATTCTTGATGATAAAGGCCGAGCTATTGACTCGAGTGGCAAGGCTGTGAGCATGATGAGCAGAATGCCAACGTTGAAGGCAAACATTCGAGCCAAGAAACGAGAAGCATTTCTCAAAGTTGAAAAGCCAACTGATGATTTTGCAGACAAGAATTTCTTTGATGCTAGGGTTAGGTAGGAATTGATGACTGATGAGGGTATGTGAGAACCCACTCTCTTCTGGTGTGCAAGAAGTAGACTGATAGAGCTATCCAGTATAAATAAAGTTAGTTTAGTTTAGGTTTCCTCCTGTAGTAACACTGGATCAATAAGAGATTATCCTAACTGGACCTCTAGGACGAACAGTTTAGAACTGATAGAGCTATACAGTATAAATAAAGTTAGTTTAGTTTAGGTTTCCTCCTGCAGTAACACTGGATCAATAAGAGATGATCCTTACTGGACCTCTAGGAAGAACAGTTTAGAACTGATAGAGCTATCCAGTATAAATAAAATCAACTTACTTATATAAAGTTTTATATAAAAACACGCTTCAAATGAAATGTTTTTAGCGCAAAGCCAAACACACGAACAAAACGAGCATTCAAGTTTCACGAGAAAGGAAAATTTCAACAAATTGCTCAAAAAATCCGAGCAAAGGTAATATCTTGATTACTAAAACGTGACTCATGCCTCCAGTGACGGCTACATTCTGTGTTGTGATATTTCCCCAAAGGCTCAGTTGGAAAAGCTGCAAGCACAAATCGCAGCTGCCGCTAAAAAGACTGGCATTTCCTCTGCAACGAAACTAGCGTTGATAACACCTAGCAAGGAAGTCCAACTGGACACCATACCTGAGGTCGAGTGGTGGGACGCTGCTATCATGCCTAACATGAAGTACGAGGCGTACCAAGAGGTCAGCGACCAGGACAAACCAAATTATCTTCGAGGATTGACGTCATATATCGAACACCCGATACAGCGTCATCCCCCAGGTGGGTAAATCTGACGTTCATTTTTGGGGGGAATCGGCGATTTCACGGATAGCGGCCGATATCTAGTCGTTGTGATGATGGTCAATATATCCATGATTCAGATGATTGAAGGTTTAAAATCTCCAATCTTTCTTGTCATAGCGGAACCAAAAGAAACTCCGGTTGTGACCATGATCTTGACGAAAAAGGAACGCAAGAAGATGAGAACGCAGAGACGGAGAGAAGTGGAGACGGAAAAACAGGAGAAAATACGACTGGGGCTTGAGCCCCCACCGCCCCCCAAAGGTAGTGGTCCACTGAGTCACCCTTCATCCTCAACCTCCTGGTTTGATTAGATGAGTAATCGTGTTGAGGTCTTCTTTTCCCGTTTAGTAAAAATCTCGAATCTCATGAGAGTTCTTGGAAGCGAGGCCGTACAAGATCCGACAAAAGTCGAGGCGCACGTGCGCGCGCAGATGGCGCAGCGTCAGAGGTATGGCTAGTCACCAGGTCTTTCTTCTTCCAAGACAAGATAACGACGTTCAGAGTAACATGACGTTTTCCAAATCTATTTCAGAGCCCACGAGGCTGCGAACGAGGCAAGAAAGCTGACGCCAGCCGCAAGGCGGGAAAAAACGAAACGAAAACTGAACGAAGATACGAGTCTTGGTGTCCACGTTAGTTTATATCAAGTCAAAGACCTCCATCACCCGCAGAAACAATATAAAGTCGATGTGAATGCACGACAGTTGTACATGACGGGTAATAGAATAGATCTGATCTTTACTTCGTGAAATGCCAACCTGTAGAAGATGAACTGCCAATTGAACGATAAAGAAAAGTATCTTCCAGCTTACCTCTACCAGTCTAAAATGCCAACCTATGTTTCTTTACCTCGTGTCTTGAATGTATTTGTCTTCTTTCAGGTTGTGTGGTATTGATACGCGACATGAATCTTGTGGTAGTCGAAGGTGGGCCAAAAGCACAGAAGAAATTCCGTCGACTGATGTTGAACAGAATCAAATGGTCCGAGGACTCGAAAAAACGCGCGAACTCAGACGACGAAGACGAGAAAACGACGCAAAACTTTTGTCGACTTGTTTGGGAGGTAAGCCAAGTTCTGATAAATCAAATCTTGTTGTTCCAAGGCCTTGTAGGCAAAGCTATGGTGAGGCAAGCCATGGTAAATCAAGTTCTGATGAGCCAAGGTCTGGTATGGTGAGCCAAGGTCTGGTATGGTCGGCCAAGGTCTGGTAGGTCAAGCCGTGGTGAGCCAACCCCTGGTAAATCAAATCGTGTTTGGTCAAGCCTTCGAAGTTTCATGGGAAACCAATCCTCCATTTCAGATAGTTAATTATTGCCTGCGATCTTTGTTGCCCGTTCATCTGATAGATTTCTCGTGAATTCTTGTGTCTTCTCGTTCCAGGGTACGGAGAAGAAGCGACGGTTCAGCGACTTCAAAATGAAAACGTGCGCGAACGAGTCCGCCGCAAGAGAATATCTCAAAACTTATGGCGTAGAACATTATTGGGATTTGTCAATCAGCGAGTCGTTACTTGAAGGCGCTGAGGACTAGAATTGCAGTGAAATGAAGAAATAAACAAGTGCTCTAAATTGTAGGAATTATCAGCGTTGTTGTGAAGAATTTTGACAAGATTTGGGTTTGGTATGCGACCGAAGAATCCCTCAAAACAGATTAGAAGTTCTCTGATTTTAATAACAAGAACACGGTCGCCATATTTTCATAAACGAATGTGTAAAACTAAATCTTCTCAGCTCCCGTTTTCCATATTTTCTTGGTGCTTGAAAAACTGTCGCTTACAAATGAAGAATGGAAACCAGACATTTTAGGATTGAACTATCGGCTGAATATGACAATGTAAAAACGTGAAATTATTGCTTGCAAAATTTTGATTTTTTCATTAAAATCTTATACGTTATTTATGTCTGTGGTTATATGTGCCAAGGTCCTCTTATATTTGATCTGGACAACCCAAGTTCAACACCACCCTACTTTTCCATAAACTATGTGATCAGTTAATATTGAGTATTCTATTTATGATATTACTTTGTTTATAATTTTACGTTATTAGCTTACCAAAACCTTTTGAATTGTTTCCCGAATTCTTAAAGTAGTGAAAGATATCATTCAAATTTATCTCATTAAATTCCTAGGCGTAGATACCAACCGTTCTTTGCAACAGTTTGCTATCGCCAGCCTCAAAAGGACCATCTACTACGAAGGGGGGAGAGGGTAGATCCCCACTGTAAATAGCACACTTCAGTTTAGGACAGGGATCGTCACTCCAAGCGTACCTGACTTTTACAGCAACACAACTTGGCATATTTGGCATGATGATGACAGACGTTGAACTGTGGTTAAGAATTGATGCTTCCAGCCATTCAGTACCATTTTCACACATGACCTGGAAATGACACCCAGTGAGAAATTTATTGATCCAGTGTTACTACAGGAGAAAACCTGAACTATACTAACTTTATTTATACTGAATAGCTCTATTAGTTCTATTCTGTTCTTCCTAGAGGTGCAGTAAGGATCATCTCTTATTGATCCAGTGTTACTGAAGAGTTGGTCAGCAAACAAGAAGTACAATACCTCGAATCCAAAATTACTTCTCAATTCGATTTCAGCATTCAACGACTTAAAGGTAACTTCAAGAGCCGCGCTGGGTGGCTCTGTCTGTTTCTTGATCGTATCCACCAGTGGTCCGCTGTAATACCTCTCCCTACAATACGAAACACGTGCTATACCCATCAAAACAACCATCTAAATCAGAGTGATCAAACTTTACAACCACCAACCTTCCGTAGGCCACATCTAGTCCAGCTAACGCCAGACGATTTCCTACGTCGGTCTTGTCAGTTGGATGTATGCTTCCATATGGAGAGTTAGGGTTTCCAAGATCCATTGCTACCGCCATAAAGACATTCTTCTGTCGGTCGTTAGGAACAAAGCCATATTGCGCCGTTTGGTCCCAGCGAAGCGGGGCAAAGTTGAAAGATTGCCCTTCTGTGTCATTGCCAACAGCTGAGAGCTGAATATTGAGTAAAAAGTATTTTCTTAGGATAACTTTGATTTGTTTCATTGAGAATTTTCACGTTGATTACCATTTTACCAGACTAAAGATCTTGAAAAGTAGTTGGAAATGTCACCCAAAATCTCAGGATTAGAATTTAATAGTTGGACATTTATAATATAGAGTTGATGAAACTCTCAGACAAACTCTCGCTTGCTAACTTTCATCAACTCTCATCCTCGTTTGACCAGGACATAAGAGTTGATTAATTTAACTCTCAGTCCATCACAAAATCTCACTTGCTGAAAACTCTTATTAATACGCATCCTTCACAAACCAAGTAAACTGTGTCTCATTTCAAATATGAAAGATCTCGTTGAGATTTCTAGTTCGTATAATCCCGAAGGCAAAGAGAACTCACAAAGTTCATGCAACTACAAACCTGGACAAAACCAAAAGGAAAGGTTTCGTCGGTGTTATGTGTTGTGGAATCATACCATTTGGCTCTCCAGTCGTCAATCATGGCAGGAAAGGTGCAGTTGTACGGATATAATGGTCGTTCAGCGTTCTCTTCACCCTGGTACCAAATCGCGCCATATATGCTGACATTGAGGAAAGGAACGATCATTGCATTCCAAAGACAACTCAGGTTGCGAGGGCCGAAGAGATGTAAATCATGTGGTGCGAATCTACAACAATGGATGATGACACCAGCTATAGATTAAATTTTGATAAGCAAGCAAAAAATCCAACACCACAACTTGAAAGAGCATTTTAGAAAGTTTGAGACTAACTTGTCTCTCTTAACCATCAGACTCAACTCACTTTCTGTTGTCCTTTATCACTGAATTGTCTTTAATGTCACAACTTGCCAGAGCGTCAGGTGAGGACCACGCCTCCACTGGGGTACCACCCCACGTTGATGCTACCAAACCAATAGGATACCCCAGCTCTTTGTACAACTGGACACCATAGTACCAACATACTGCTGAGAAATACTGCCACGCTGGACCACCAACTGTCTCTGGTTCACGAAAAGAAATATCCAATTTTGAAATAAAACACTCAGTGCTGGTGCTTTCATTTGCAAAGGAAGTTCTCTCATGCCAGATGTGACCAGGGGAGGAAGAGGAATGTCCTAGGTCGTTTTAAACCCCTCCTCCGCAGTAAAAAGCATGCATAAAAAATAACAGCCTTGCCTTGCTATGTGACACCACATAGCAAATCAGTATTGGTTATACCACAAAACAAACCTGGCGAAGCGCGAGACCAGGGTAATCTGACTTTTTTTAATTCCAATTGTGGAGTTGATTCACAATCAAGTTCTGCAGTAAACAACCGAATATCCGGATAGTCAGCTGACTCATTGATTGCTTTAGCTCCATTATCAGACTGCAAGATGAAAGATGAAAACATTGAAATAAACAGATTTTATGATATTCAAGCCCAGTGATGGATCCAGTGCAGTTTTTCATAGCGGGAGTGATGAAGACACCTCTTGGTCTACTCCTGTAAAAAAGCTAGGCTATTAACAAATGTCATATTTCTGAGGAAAAGATAATAATTTGCTTTACCATTACAACTGTAAACTCCATGTTGCTTTGACCACTACACATCCAAACATCACCAAACATAACATCAGTTAATGTGATTGTTGAAATGGTGCCCTTAACCTTTGAGTATGCTTTGATAAGATATGGGCCACCAAACATTGTTGGTGTCAGCATGACGGTCCATATCCCCACTGTTGATTCACCTAACATGATACCAAATTGATATTATTATGGGGGAATTTATGAATACTAAGATGGGTGAGGGTGAGGTGCCCCCTCTCCCCAAATGGGAACCCATTATCAGTGAAAAATTTAGATACAGATATGGAGATGGTCAGTTATTTTCTGGGCAGTAATTTCGATTAAACTCCCCCCCCCCGTCTACCCTCCCCCCACACGTAGTTAGACGATATATTATATTATAATAGGCGCTAATAATTGGAAATGGTTGAACATAGTTGGAAATGGGTTCAAGGAATCTGTTTTCACACCACTATGCCCTACCCTCGACTTGCGCTGTAATAAACGATCGATACATCTCCCCATCATGAATCAAAACCACTTCTTCACCAACTTCCCCGTAACCCCAAACACTGGCGCGCATTGGTGCCTTTTGTAATACCATATGATTGCCAAATACGCTCGCAAAGCGAAACACACTCTCGCCATAGATCTGGCCGAAAACCAAAGCGAACACGAATAGAAAACACGCAACTCTCGCCATTTTTCGTCCGATTATTCAGAAGGAACCAACCAGACAAATATTTCGTAAAACAGCACAAGAAAGTCACATGATTTTCGATTCCGACAAATAAGCATAAATTACGTGCATGACAGAAAAATGTTTGTATAATTTATGCAAACGTCACGACAAGACAAAATAACAAGACAATGGTATAAAGCATTTGGATAACATAGATTTGAATAGAAAGAGATGGAAAAGAAGAAGCGTTGTTGTAAAAGGAATTTTGCCTTCTTGGCAACATACTGAAAAATCTCATTAACATTTTATCATCAGATTAGAGAGATTAGTGAGATTTGTGAGATTACGCCGCGACCTAATTTTGATCCCAGAGACTTGGTACTAATATTGACATCCGGGACTTTGCATTCGTTGTCTCCAGGCAACGGACTCAAACAGTTCTTGATGAAAATAGAACTGAGAAACCGAAGCAGATTTACGCTGATTTTTCACGAATAAATCTCCAAAATGGTGAGTTTCGCTTGGTAGTATCATAATGTTTGTTACGTGGAATAGCTGCGCGCTTTCTCCAGTTCTGATTGCGATATTTTAAGGATAGACAATAGACTGACAGATCGATGTTACATTTACGATTTTACCATTTATATTCTAAAATTTAAATTTGTGTTAAAATTGTATCATTATGTTAAAATGTAAAAGAAAAAGCTGAAATAAACCTTGATTTATACACAGTTGTACTTTCACGGATATATGATTCTCAGATCGTAAATTTATAAATATCTTTATACTTTGTTTACATATAATTGCATCGGGGCACCCTACCACGTTGATGATTAAAAAATTTTTGATCAATGGCGAAACGCTTTCGCAGGATATTGCCACAGCACAAAGCATAGTCTACCACAGCTGTTATTCACACAGCCAGAGCCTCAGACTAATCTTTTTATAAATGGCGTTATAGTAAATTAGTAAAGCTGTCAGTGAAAATATAAAGAATTTCACCTTATAAAGGCTCTACCTAAATGCATTAAGGGAGTTTATATTCATATCCACAATTTTTCACATACCATAAAACAATCATAATATGTCAGGGATAGACCAGATACGGATACCATCTCTCCGCACCCACATTGTCTAGGGTAGCTCTGATCTCACTGTTTGTAGCATGCTGGACTGTGATCATATTTTATCTCATCTAGCCGCCGAAAGCAAAGGGAAAAGGCAAGAAAAAAGCTGCTAAACCAAAAAGTGCCACCATTATTGATGGCATTAGCACTGAGGAAATGTCTAAAGAACAGGTATGATAATATACAATATTCTTAAAGATAACTGAATGCATCATACAAGATATGATTTGAAAACCATCACACGCATTGAGGCAAAAATTTGCACATTGTACCAACATTAGCATACTGGGTGGGAGCCAGTCCCCTAGAGAAGGAAAATTTCTGCCAATCATGGTTGTGCCAACTGTGAGAATTTTCAGTATAGGTTCGGTGAAATAACTCGAGTCCCCCACCTAAAAAGTGGACAAGTGACCTATGTGCACCAGGCCATGTTTTCAACGAATGTATGAAATAAACCATTTTGGTGTTAGATGCATTTTAAGGAGCACATTATTCCTCAGCTTCTGAGCATGTTTTGGAAGCAAAATACCTCACAATGTCTCAATTCGAGGTTGTTTTATCAACTTTTTTGTCCGAAATGTTTCGCCCCATGTTGTAACGATCAAGTTTTGTGAAACGACATCGTTTTCTCTGTTCGAACAGTTGGAAGAGCACGTCAGTCGTCTTCGTGAGGAGCTGGATCGCGAGCGTGAAGAACGCAACTACTTCCAGTTGGAACGCGATAAAGTGAACACGTTTTGGGAGATCACGAAGAAACAGTTCGAAGAGAAGAAATCCGAGTTGAGAAACAGAGATCGGGAAATGGAAGAAGCGGAAGAAAGACATCAAGTCGAGATCAAAGTTTATAAACAGAAAGTGAAACATTTACTTTACGAACATCAGAATAATATCACAGAACTTAAGGCTGATGGTAAAGCTATTGTTTTATACCCTTATTCTCCTAAATACTACTGTAGTAACCCTGGAAAGGTATAGCCATATACATAGCTGCGATTTACCCGAAAACAAAATTAGTATAAGGTCTTCGTAAGCGAAAATTGGAAAACGTTTGACAACAACAAAGTTACCTACAGAGTTTACCTGCTCTTTCTTGAGTAGGATATCGCCGATTGCAATTTTAAAAAACGCCGACATTACTGTGATACAACGAGGAACTAAAACTGCGGAGTTATACATGTAGGTAGCACTCGTATAATGTATATATGACAAACTAATTTCAGGTTTAGTGTCGCTGAAGTTGGCTCAAGACGAACACAGGAATAACGAACAAGATCTTCGCAAAGACAAGCGAGGGTTGAAGGTGAGAAAGAGGGAAGCTTTGAGTAATATGGGTTCACCATATTCCCATGCCACTATTCCCACCTTATACAACCGGGTCCTGTTGAATAAATCAACGTTTTTCTGTGTTTTTCAAGATTGAACTTAAAGAACAAGAACTGTCTCATGAAGATATAATCAAGAATTTGAAAAGGGTAACTCGAGCATAGAAAACCATATGTATGATGCTAAATTACTTTAATTCTATCGCTTCATTTTCCTGTTTTGCAACGCTAGGCTAACGACGAGAATATCACAAAGCTGAGGCAGGATTATGAGCGTGAAGTGAAAGGTGAATTGATGAATAATGAAATATGACGTTACACTGCATGATAGCCGATTCACCGGTCATTTACCCACAAAACTTTTGTCACACCACAAAGCACGAACAAACCGTATTGTGTCACAGTGCTGTCAATAAACTGGATTGATATTTCGTCTCGTAGAGGTGGAATCAAAGTACGATAAAAAATTACGATCTTTGAGAGAAGAACTGGAGCTACGTCGAAAGACTGAAATTCATGAAATCGAGGAGGTGGGTCCAGTTCAAGATATATATATATAGTCCACCCCCTGGTATAAACCATAATCTTAAATCATATGCAAGAATAACACCATGGTAAATTAAATGAAATTCTCATTTAATAGTCCGTGATAATACCATAATCTGATTATTATTCTTGTTTTAAAATCAATTTAGCGCAAAAACAGTCAAATCAACACGCTTATGAAAAATCACGAAAAAGCGTTTAGCGACATTAAGAATTATTACAACGATATAACGTTGAACAACCTGGCGCTTATCAACTCTCTCAAGGTTTGTGTATCAGTTGCATTGCCAAATCGCTACGAGAATATCATTCATATTGAGTATATATTTACAAGGAGAGTGCACCATCGTCATCGTCAGCGTCTCATCTCTTAATTTCTAGGAACAAGTGGAAGATATGAAAAAAAAGGAGGAGAGAATGGAGAAACAAATGAACGAGATAATGGCAGAGAACAAAAGACTTACAGAACCACTACAGAAAGCTCGTGAACAAGTTGAGGAACTTCGCAAACAAGTACGAGAGTCTCTGTAGCATTCTATATGCAAAGAATAATAATTTCATAACCAACAAAACTGGGATATGAGTTTAAAAATTTAACATTCATTTGCAAACGATGTGTTATTGCGGGTTTTAAAACAAGCTGCTCGTTGAGACAACCAAGTATAATGTGTTTCTCTCCTGTATCGTGCATGACTGCATGCCCCTCTTTGTATTAACAAAAGCACAAATATTCAGCTCTTGTTCATTCCATACTTCATGTCGCCGCTTCGATATTGATCACATACCCATATCATATTTCATTTTTTAGCTGGCAAATTACGACAAAGATAAAGCGTCGCTGGCTGTAAGTACGATTGCACGAATATAATCCAGACTTTTCTATCCTTGCAAGAGAATTTCCAGAAACTGTTGACGCTGTAGGTAATAGCTCCGAAATACTCAATAGATTCATCATTCACTTTCCAGAGTGCCAAAGCAAGGTTGAAAGTCCAAGGAGACGCATTGAATAAACTACAATGGGAACAGGAAGTTCTGCAGCAACGATTCGCCATGGTGAGTGAGCAGTTCATCGACTAGAAGATCACACAGTGCATCCATTATGTGACTTTTTTGACCGTGCTCTTTCGCCGCCCTTAGACACAGAGCGAACGCGATGAGCTTTACAATAAATTTGTGAAGGCCATTCATGAAGTTCAACAGAAGAGTAATTTCAAGAATCTTCTGTTGGAGAAGAAACTCGGAGCTCTGGCTGACACGCTGGAGAAGAAGGTATGGCTATAAGAGATTGAGCAATATAGTTTCATAGAAAGCTGGAGCCACAGCATATTGTTCGGCGACACGTAGTTATAGGGAAAGCTAAAGGAATGGCGGTCAAAATGGATGAGTAAATGATAATTTTTTTGGATACATCTCATGAGTCATGTATTTTTTTACAGGAAGCCCAGTTGAACGAAGTCTTATCGGCCTCAAATCTTGACCCAACAGCACTGACTGTTGTTACCAGGAAACTAGAGGTATAATGAAGTCATGAAGACAATCATGCCGTGATCCATTGATCAAATCTGAACTTATTTAAAAAACCTCTTTGATAAAGCTCTTTGTTTAACATGTCAATTTGATTTATTCCCTCAGGACGTCCTTGACTCAAAGAACAGCGCGATTAAAGATCTTCAGTATGAACTTGCTCGCGTTTGCAAAGTAAGTTGATTCCATGCAACTCTTTTAGGTTTTTGCGACTCGATTTCTTTATAACTCTGTCTTTGATACTCTTCATCATTATTCATGTACTTTAGTACTTTGCAATCTCAGCCTGGCTTCGCTCATTCTACATGACATGTCTACAACATACATCTCCTTACATCCACACCATCTTGCTATTCGTCTTCAGATTTTACCTCTTCCATTATATGACCGATTCTCCTCTATCACTTTACCAAGAAACGAGCGTGGCAGCGTTTTTGGTTGAGCAGTTTATAGGATGTAAATCGTATTTCCATCCTTCAAAATCGCACTTATTTTTCTACCAGGCTCATAATGATCTTATCCGAACATACGAGGCGAAACTTAAATCATTTGGTGTTCCTGTTGAAGAACTTGGATTCCAGCCTCTTGAAAGCAACGTAGGCGGTCAAAGTTTGGGTCAAGGCCCAGCCGGATTAGTTGCTGCACCAACGTAAACTTTTCTACAGCGTAGATATTTAACTAGCTTCAGTATCTGTACATAAAGGATTAATAATGTAAAATAAAGTGCCATGCAGTGATCGATGCCGATGGCGATGATAATATGGTGGCATTATGGCTTTGGTAATGTGGTGATTGTGTTTTAAATCTTTTTGTGGTTTTTCCACATGACTGTTTATAGATTTTGAACTTGGAATTGTGAAGAATTTTCCAATGAAAGAATTTCTTTGTTGGCCTAGTCCCTTTAAGAAGCATGACGTAAGATGATTTCTGCAAAAGAAGTTCTGTTTAGTGTCAGAATCTTCCTGCTTCCCTTGAGAATGAAACAATAGTATTCTTACAATTGTTGAAGACAAAGTCCGTGCTCATGGCCGTGATTTTTAATTTGCATTTTGAGCATTGTTCACGTGAAACCTTTCTGACCTGTGACAAATGTGCAACTTTGAACGTTTCCTACCAAACCGGAAGACGATTACAATTGATGTAAAATTGATTACGAATCATATTTTCATTTCTTCTTTCATTACATAAAGAAAAACCATATTAATAATACTTAGTCTTAGACTTTTCACTAATAGAGTATATGATGCAACATGTTGGAAGGCCAATGAGAGGGCACATAAAAAATGCTTGCCTAGCTATTGGGATAGAAACCTTCATTTGCATATCAATAAAAGACGGCCTAGCCCTTTCTCCATGCTGTTTACATATCGTAGGTTTTACATCATGCCGTGCAAGCAATATATATTTAACATGCCCTTGACTCATCCTAATTTCTCGAACCATCTTGGGTCAGGCATGCTGAGAGTTTGCAGAAAACAAGATATGTGATATTACTCTCTTTCGCGCTTTGAAAAATGTCTCTAGCTTCTGTGTATAAAAAATATCTTAACATCACGCCAGCTGTATCATTTGCTTTGAAACTATTTGGAAGTGCAAAGGTCGGTTCCCCAAAACTGGACTTTGGACCTTAGCGGGGGTTCCCAACAGGTAGCTTGACGCTGATTGGCTGATGGCTTTGTTACGCGAGCTTTGATTGGCTCCCAAAATAGCCACACGTGAAATGGACATGCTTGTATATTTCAGGAACACAGCGGCCAGACGAAAGAAATAGTCTTGCGAGGAAAAGCTTTGCTAAGCTCTTTCTGTTTACTTTTTAAAATACGCGCCGTGAAAGCCTTGTAATCTGATCTAAGATTAAAATTTCACTTCGCCAACCCTCTGTGGAGGTTAAAAGAGTTCCAATATGACTTGGTATGTCATTACTTTGCCCGATTCGACCACGCAAGAATTTGAGTTACCTGAGAGGTCTAAAGGAGAAGACCTACTTGACGCAGTAAGTTTCGCTACATTTATTTGATTCATCTGATTTATTGACTCAGAAATTAACCTTGTTTCGTTCTTTTCACACCTTCAGGTTTGCGAAAGACTCGAAGTCATCGAACACGACTATTTTGGTTTGCAGTACAACGGTCCAAAAGATGAGAAACTCTGGCTTAATCGACGAAACAAAATTGTTCGTCAGTTGCCAGGATCCCAACCATACAGACTACGTTTTCGTATGAAATTCTTTGTCAAACCGCATTTACTTGTCGAGGACAACACAAAGTAAGCAGAAACATATATCTTACCCTTGTTTCTATGTGAAATGTTTCCATTTTAATACAAGTAACTGTTGACGCTTGACGGCTTTACAGTCACGAGTTTTCGCGGCAATTTCTAAAGTCAAAACAATGGCTTATAATTATTAAATATGATGAGTGATAAATATTTTCCTCAATTTCACAGGCATTACTGTTTCCTAACATGCAAAAAAGACTTCGAGGAAAGCGCTACAACTCACAACGATGAACAAACGATACGAATACATGCGTTAATCTTACAAGCAACCTTTGGGGATTTTGAGCGGGCGACCTTTACAAGACATCGTCTTAACTGGTCGGCCGACTTTTCACATTCCGTGGCGGTTCAGTATTCAAAATTAGCAGGAATGAAAACTTCAACAGCTGAATACAACTGCTTGAAAGAGTTTTCCTCCCTGGAAGATTTTGGCTATGAGTACTACAACGTTAAGACCGATGATAAAACTGTCCATTCTGTTGGTGTCGGTCGTGAAGGACTCCGGTTTTGCGATGCAACCGGCTCTGTTATCAGAAGGTATATAAAAAGATAACAAAACCAACAAACAAAATTATGTTCCCCCCTTAGACTTAGCCGTAAAAATCACTTGGGGTATAAAAAATCGATCGTCATGTGATTTTCCGGTTGAAAAACTGGCTGTTAAATTGCTTGAAATATTCCGAACAGCATTTTAAATTTTGCATAGTTCAAGGTGTATGTATACATGCAATAGTCGGTTTCTTGTTTCTGTTACGGGCATATTGTAAAAGCAACCAAAATTCTGCAGCGAATCGAGAATTAAAATACTTGCTTTGATAAATATAATTTTACAAAGTAAATACGGCGTCTCTGTGTGAGGTCCGTGTGTATGTCGCAATTATTTACGGCTTTTCGAATGGAAAACGGAAAACTGAATTCTTTCTTTTGTATCTTCAGCCAAAAATATCACAATTTTGCTATGGGCAAAATTTGAATGAGTTTTCATACTTGCATTTGAGGAATATCCACGAAAACACTTGATATTTGCGTCGCGTTTTAACCTATTTGAATATAAGTATTGTCTTTCGAGCTTTCGACGTAAACATGCTAATAATTTTCGCTGATGGCTTCGTTGATAAAATCTTCAAAAGGCCCTAAAATGCAATCGGTTTATACTTTTTTCGCGAATATGCGTACAGGAAAAGCCTGCAGCAGCCAATTTTTAAGCAAACTATTCCGTTGACGCGTTCACAGTTGCAAAGATGCCAATTTTCTTTCCGTATGTGTACGTCAAAAGCCATTAAATAGGTGATTCCTTGTGCATGCATACATTTAAAATTGTGGCTAAAAAAATTTATTTCGTAAGCCGACAATGCTTTTGCCGTTGTTTCAGGCCTGCACGTTTCGCTAGACGGTGTTTATCTCGCTTTAGGAAGCAGTTTTCGCTTTCAGCTTCCAGCAGCCAAAAAGGCTAATATTGCAGAACAAACCTAAAATAATAATTGTTTATTTTCGCGACAGCTCTCTTTCCGGTTGTCGGCAAGATCTTGTGACACAACAAATACCGTTTTTATGTTTTTAATTCTACGCGCTATAATTCGCTAACACGGATGGACGTTGCAGTTTATAGTGATAATTGGAATTAATTTGAATTTCCAGTAGTTATCAGCGCCTTATGCTGGATATATTTAGGAAAACAACGACAGGTTTTAAGCATTATTTCTGGTCTTTGGTTTTGTCGAGCTTGTTTATGCCGTCACAGATATTTTGGTTTAAATTAAAGGACGTGTGATAGGGATTGCATCCTAGCAACCTAGGTTAGGCAATTTTCGCTGAAAATTTGTCTACACCTCATCCCATGTATGGAGGCACACCCTTACCTCCCCCTTACATATAATCATATTGCAGCAATACATCATGTCGCTCTTGTTGTAAATTCAATCAAACACCCCTCCCCACATGGCTGTCAAACTTGCCCTAGACTGAACTAAATCAATATGCAATTGATATGCATGCATGAACTTGACCCATAAGAACAGTTCGCCTTCCATGCCCTTGAACAGCCTATCCATATCACAACAATATCAAGAAACACATTGTTATTCATTCTGGCAAAATTTTCGAGTGTTTATGAAAACCTGCTGACATCACAAGTGTCTGGTTGAAATGTGATACTGCAATATTCATGCTATGACCTGTAAAATCTTTTACCCCTAAAAAATACTTATAACTGATTTTGACAGCTGATACCATTTCAATTCTCCTTAGGATGCATGAATTACAAATGCCCAGACTTATCTCAGATTGATTAATCCATTTGAGATAAAATAATGTTAATTTTCGTCTTTTTTTATGTCAACCTAGGGTTGCTTATGGTGCTTTGAATAAAGCATGGAGAGAAAACAGATGTTTCGCTTTGGTGCTGCTAAATGATGATGGAACGCTTTGTGAATACGACTTGAGGCTCGGAACAGCTGAAGCATGCATCCAGCTATTTAGATCAGTGACAGAATCCCACTCATTCTTCAGCTGTGAGACTGTAAACTCGACCGTACGAAACCAATTCACCAGGGACTTTAAAGATTCAATAATCTCCTTTTTTAGCGAGGAAACATCAGAGAAACTTTACACATTTGATGTTGATAAAACTGTTATTGAAGTGCATGACCACATACGACGAGTTTTGTACAAGGAGCAACAGGATGCATCTGAGTTGGAAGAACTACCATCCACGGAAGAATGCCAGTGTACTACAACAGAGTGTGAGTGTACAACAGAGTCAAACTCCATGGAAAATTCGGATGCACAAAACATTGGCCAATTGAAACAGAGACTTGATAACATACAACAGGCATTTGTTTGCAAGATCTGCATGGATGCGAAGATCGACACGGTTTTGATACCATGCGGACATTGGGTTTGCTGCCAAGCTTGCGGTCAGAGTATCCGCAAGTGCCCTTTGTGCAGAAGTGATATTACTTTGCAACAGAGAGTGTACATGGACTTGCCTGGAGTGTTTGATAGTGTTCATGCTGAATAAGTTACCATCAGTGAACTGGTTACCATGCTATGCGCGATGAACATGATACACTATTGCTGTTTCATTACCTGGGTTTCATAGATCTAGAAAGCTGGTGAATTCAGTGGTAATGATTTGAATCAATGGGGGATTCAATGTAATGCCCTGTAGAAGAAACGTGAACAAGGCATATAGGCCATTTCACTAGCAAATACATTTTACGATTTAGGTTTTAGACATACATCTTCACAGCGTAATGCTGAACTATTCTTATTTAATGCATACAATTGTAGACGAAATATTTATATGGGTTTTTATTAGCATGGGGTTTTTAGACTAGTATTTATTTTCATAAGCATTAGAGGGTTGTGTATAGCATAATAGCTTAATTGTATCAATAAGAAAGTGTAAAATTAACATTAATTGGGAAGTTGTTAGGAGTTGGCCAGACTTCTGGCTCAACATTATCATTTTAAACTCTTTGCATGCTATATGTAACGCGCTGTATCTGAATATCCTAGAATTTTAGGGCTAATCAGTGTTGATCATTGTGGCTTAACAGAGAGTTCTATGGCATATATGAAATAATGGTATAGCATGTAAAGTAATAATGATAATTAAAATATCTAAATTGTAATTGGTTTCATTTATTGTAGTGTTCTCTGATCTCATAGACTGAATGATTTGAAAAGATTTACACTGCCTTTGATCAAGACGTTATCAAAGACACAAGACAAGAAAATCGCCCTTGAGTTAGCAGTCTGCCATCCTGGAGGGTGGGAATTTTTCATTATTTCATGAAGCAATGCTAATGCCTAATGGCTGCAAACTCTGAAACTTTTAGAAACTTTGAAAATAATGCCTGTCCTATGTAAAGTTTCCAGCATGTTTCGTGCTCATATACAAACATTAAACAATATAACCATGCTTTCGTTATAATGTCAAATATTTTAACATGGATAACCATGCTGTTTTATTAATGGTCAAATGCTTGTCCTATCAGTCTTAGTCCAGTGGTGAAGACAATGGTCTCCTAATTTTTAGGTCGGTGATTTTTAGGTCTCCTAATTTTTAGGTCGGTCAGAGACAAATATATTTTCATAATGACTTTGAAAAGGGATTTAGGTAAAATAAATAATGTAGCCAAGCGCTTTATGCCAATTAGAAATTTGCAAAGACAATGGCCTCCCTCTCACACTCACAAATTCTCACTTTATTACCTTGTTGCTCTTTTTCGGTTTATCCAAAACTTGAACCATCGATTGAATACTTGGCAGATCACCATCTTCACCACCACTACACCACCAGTTCTTGTGGTGAATGCCAACAGTTTTTTATTTTACTTAATCCTTTTCTAGAAGGATCTTTGACGAAACTTAATACCTTTTAGTAGGACCTCAAATGAAATAACAATTTAAATGAATTTATTTTCTCAAATCTCACACACTGTATCTTTACTATCTTATTCATATCCACTGGATATATCCAGCCGTCAGATTTTCCCAGATATTCTTGGCGCGACATTTCAAACGCTTTTATGTTATTATGCGATTTTTTGACGGCAGCCACTGCCCAAAGAGCAGGCGTTGTTAAAAAAACAAGGCTATTCGCCGATTTTTTCTCGCAAAAAGATTTAAATATTATTTAAAACCATTTAGACAAACCTATCATTTGGTTTCGCTATAGTTTGAAAGTTTTATATTTTCAGTAGGTTTGAGAAATCTGATCGATGATGCATTTGCATCGGATGCACCGGTCTAGATCCGCCCCTGTCAGACTAAAAACCCCGCCAAATCCACGCTCTCGTCACACTAAAAGCCTGATTATTGAAGGCGGTTTTCAACTGAGCTGAAATTTTCGATCAAACGAAATATTTCGCAGGATTCTTTCAACTGTGTCCGGTCAAGGGAAACCGCTAAGAATTCTCAAGTTTGAAAAAGAATTAAGCTAAAAATCTCGAGGAAGATGCACCAAGACCGCAGATCCTCTGCTGCACAAATTAGTGGCATTTTGTATTAATAAAGGATTCCCTGTTCCGAGAAGTCAGGAGGTTTTTCTGGCAAGAAATTACACGAAAATTACTTAATCGAGAAGCGTGCGAAGTAGATACGTCGAAATTTATACTGATACCCGATTTAAATGCTAAAAGTTCTTGCGAGAAATATAAACAAACGGTAATTGAATAAAATAGCAAAAATGCTCTCTAATGACAAATGACGCTATTGAATATATTTTATTGTACAACTACACAAGTGCGCATGCGCCTGAATTGCGATTACATTGAGTTACATGACAGGGCAATCAGCAACAGTTTCCAACGTTCCATTTAGCATGATTGTATGTCGTTAATTTATACATTAGTTTGAGAAATCTAAGTTTCTAGGAACTATTTTCGGAAGATCATTCGTTCGCCGCCTCACCCGTTTCCTGGAAATGGAAAAACTCGAGTCAAATATTGAAGGAATAATGAAGCAAATATGATTGAGTTTGAAAATAAAAAATGTACCGGAACTTCTTCAATCTCTCTCTTTCCTTCGCACCACAGTGATCCAGGACGAACACGACACGCTCTCTTTTTTAATTTGTCTTTAAATTTAGCAAAATTGTCTTCCTCCATTGCTAACTTGGGAGCCTGTGGTAATAAGAATATAAGATATTAGTTCATGTTTTTAAAAACGCGCTTGTCAGTTGATAACGCATTCAATAAGGTCTCAATGGAAAGTGAAAACACTCTATGGATAAACTCTAAGTCTTATGAACATGTCAAGATGACTGATGTGATAAAATATTTCTTTGTGTGTGCGGACAACAATGACAGATTTGCATACAATCCGGACTATTTCACATCCGTGAAAATGACTTAATGACACTAAATGGTAATGGTTCAGGTAAAGGAACTAATAGGCCGTATTCTGTGGCCGATTATCGTTCAGTTTCGTTGCCCGCCTTCGGGCACTACTTGAAAACACGATAGAAAATTAGGATAAATTATAGAAAGTCTAAATTCACTTGTTTTCACCTTCACAAACCTGCAGTTTTCGAGCATTTCATCTTCGAAAAATCAGTGAATTTGCATCTTTCGCAATACATCAACGCCATTTTGATTCAGGAAATGCTTCGGATACTTGGTGTAATATACGACATATATAGCAGATTCAGCAGTTTTATACCGGTATTTAAATGAAGTTTCCGGCATTTTTGCTGTGCAAGCAGGTTTCAACAAGGAAGCTTTGAGTGGAGTTTTACAAGGTTTTTCACAAATTTTCATAGTTTTTCAAAACTATATAATACAGAAATGTACTTTCAACTATATAATACAGAAACAACATACTGCATATCTTAAATCAATTTCAACCAAATAAAATTGTGGGAGAATTTCGAGCGGCTTATAATTTTAAAACACAAATAAAATGTTGAACTCATGCAACCCTTTTAATCGGACAGCTAATACCACAACTCATCATCGACGTCATCTCCGAAATCCAGATTAGATCCTGATCCTTCAAGTTCATCATCGTCATCAGATTGAGCCAGGCCATAACTGCTATCATCGTCGCTACCATCTTCAACTACTGCATTCTGGCAATCACCACGCGAACATAGGTTGGTGCACTTTAAGTCAGCCTTTTTGCAGGAACAACGAACGCATGGTCGAGCATCCAGTCTTGCACTTGCACTCAACACAATTAAAGATCGCGGAGCGGGTGGGCGTATCATCCAAGTTATCTCCAGCTCTTTATCGTCAAGCGTCCAGCCATTGCCAACCGGTGATGATCGACTGCTGCACTCATACCATGATGCTGCTTGATTGCTATAATGCCATTACCGGTAAAAGCATGAAAGCCTGCATGGTAAACAAATACGCAACGACGTCTATCTCCCGTGCCAGTCAAAAAGAAAATCTCTTTCTGCATCTGTTGTTGCATGGCAATCGCAGGTATAAGAACATATGTATTAGGACTTTTGATAATAACTTTACCTTACGTTGCTGCTGCGTCGTTCACTATCGTTCGGGGAATCACCGGGATATAAAACATAGCATCTTTCTTTAGCAGTTATGTACATAGTTGAAATGGAACACCACCAAGAGGAGTTACATGACATCCAGTGTTCACATAAGAAATATATGAGGGATTCCTTGTTTTCACCGCAACTTAAAAACTTTTTCCACTGTTTTGGAACACCCTGATCTTTTCCGAAGATGTGAACTTTCTGGACTCCTTTTTCACTTTTCAGCTCTTCGTTGTCTCTCTGCATTCTTTATACTCAACTAAGGATACCTGTCTGCAACAATCTAATCGTTTGGAATTATACTTTCGTGCTAGCGTGATGAGGTTTTTAAAAGAGCATCATCGCCAAATGTTTTCCATTTTCCTTTCATCGTCTCATCGACTGAATTACTGCCATAGCATCTACAATCAGTGCATTGTTGTTAAATGCACAAACATTGACTTCTGGATTTCCAGATTCATTTTCCAATACTTCAGCAAGTTTAGACTTGGGCCAACTTGGCAGTTTTCACAAGTCCTTTCAAGTTTTCATAAGGAGAATGTTTGAAGTTTGTTTCGTTTCAACTTCGTAAAGATGTCTGGGTCTTAGCTTCGCTCAACAAACTCGTTTTTAGTGGATTGATGATAATAAGATAAAGGCGTTGGAAATTAACTTTGTAAAAAAACTGAGAGGTTGTAAATAGTTTTGTTGAGAAAACGTGTGTATTATAAAAGTAGTTAATATAAAAAAAAGGATATGCTGGAAAAGAATTGTGTAGTAATTATTTTATACAACTTGACTGGAAACAAAACGCTCGTGGATGAGTTTGATGCGTGTAAGCAAAATTGTCGGATGTTTTTTCCGATTAATTGTTGTCCAAGTCTTCTCTGACTAATTTAGTTTTGAAAAACTATGAAAATTTGTGAAAAACCTCGTAAAACTCCACTCAAAGCTTCCTTGTTGAAACCTGCTTGCACAGCAAAAATGCTGCAAACTTCATTTAAATACCGGTATAAAACTGCTGAATCTGCTATATATGTCGTATATTACACCAAGTATCCGAAGCATTTCCTGAATCAAAATGGCGTCGATGTATTGCGAAAGATGCAAATTCACTGATTTTTCGAAGATGAAATGCTCGAAAACTGCAGGTTTGTGAAGGTGAAAACAATGAATTTAGACTTTCTATAATTTATCCAATTTCATCGTGTTTTCAAGTAGTGCCCGAAGGCGGGCAACGAAAATCGTTTTCTAAGCGACTTTTCATGCCAGAGAATACGGCCTATAACACCTCGAGCATCAACAAATAACCATGCATTTGCTTCTATAGAATAAAAACAAGTAAAATATACCGTAATATCTCTTTTTCCGTCACACCAGAGAGACCCAGGGTGCAGTTTGCAACCGTTAGATCGTTTCTCTTCATCCTCCAAGAGATTAGCTCGCTTCGGCAGGGCATATGTTTTGACATGTTGATCTGGAGGCATTGCATTAAAAAATCTAAAACCATTTCTCTTCTTTTTGGACACCACAATTGTCCCGGACGAATACGACAATCTTCTCTTTTCTTTATCTTGTCTTCAATTTTGTAAAAATCCTCTGCCTTGACCAGGAAAAAAACATTGCCACAGTTCATTAATGTTTATTTTCGGCATGTAGATTTAAATAAACGCGGATTGTTGAATTGGGTTTTGGAAAACGTGAATGATGGTTTTAAATCCGTCAAGTAACCTCGCAACTTCGCATCACCTTTTAAACCCGGTTTACAGCTTTTAAACGCCTCAAAATCATATGAAATGTGTCGAGAAAGAATGAAATATGTCAAATCGTGTTCATTACCAACCTCAAGTAGACGAAGGCAAAAGTATGTTCTTAAATTTTAGTATATTATTCGACTTTTATACCCCGGAGAAAACAAAATTACTTTCGAAATTATGAAATAGCACATACATCAGGTTATATTTTAAGTATTCATAAAACCAAATTAATTTTATAGTTCTTCGAACTAAATACAATACGTCACGTTTTTCAGAAACTGCCGTCCATATACATTCCGAGAAATGGGAACAAGTTTTTTCACAAATGTAGACGTAGCGTGTGCCACGGGGGCGATGGCATTTTTGGGGCTTCGAATACCAAGAATAAAATAGAATAAAATGTCATATCGTGATTGTTTATCGCGTTAGTCGAAATGAAAAATTGAATTTAATCTCGAATTTATAAAGCATTATTAAACGCAGCACGACGTAACACTTGGATATTAATATATCGTTCATCCTACGTTCAATCACATTCCCATTAGACAGAAGTGGCGGGACAGAAATTGTACTGAATATCTTATTCAGCTCAGTGGAACGGTATAGAAGCTGGCACACGATTTTGGTGCGATGTAACGTGTTAATGGAAAACGAATTGCTTCGAAATTGTTCACTTCCTGATCGAATCTGTTGAAGAGAAAAGACTTAATAGCCGGTTCAAAAGCCATCATGCATGCATGTGGCCGCGCGTTTAGAAAAACCAAAATTTTTTCGATGTAAACGAATAGCCAAATGCAGAATGCAGCTTTCAAAATATCACACGAGAAACGTTGGCCACAAATTGCTATACCTTTGAAGGACATTTTGTTAGTTTCATATGTGAATCAAACCAAAGATGGCAAAGTCGTGAAAGCAAAAAATTAAATAGAAAAACTTAAGTACACATAAATCGATAAAATAATTTACACATAACTCGTTGTTTTCAAGAGCGCAAACAGCGTAATTTGCGGACGATTGAGCACGGCCAAAAAGCGCGCAAAAATGAACCCAATGAAAGATTGCGCCAACTGCCATACCTCAAATTTCGCGTCAGAACTCGTTGCTCGTCCTTCTATCACGACCGTTGAACAAACGATTAAAATAATCCATAATAAACTCGACATCTTCGCTTCGTCCTGGTCGATACACTTATATCTCACTCTGCGCAGGTGATTTTCAAACGCACTTTATATACTCACCGTCCCGACACTTAATACACACGCAGGACAAACAATAGTTAATGAAAAAGTCAAAAATCTAAATGGCATTTTATACACAACGCTGCATATAATTACCACGTGCGCGATTCTTTTGTGTACTGCGTAGGAGATGTTTTTAGTGTCATTGTCCGGGTATATCGTCAACAAAAGCGCTTTGCTAATTTATAACGGACGAATTTGCGCCGCTACGGTAGAAATTGCTTTAAAAAAATAGCCGTAAAACACTCAAAGATCTTTGAAGATTTATCAAATCGCCCTTCCGATCGTAACCGAGGAACAATATTGGTAAAATCTGATATCCGTACTGCGTCGCAGACAGTTCATTAAAAATAACCAAAGCTTTTAATGGGGGCTCTTATCTTCCAGATTCTCATCTAATTTTGATATCGTCTTGCAGAAAGAAATTATAATTAATAAAGGGTCACACCAGTTTGAAGAGAAAGGACCTGTGCGGTCATCCCATGCACAAAATCCTACGGGTTCGTACAAAGGTTTCTCTGACAATTTGTATACAATATTCCTTATACATTTCCCGTTGTTTTCATGGTATCCATGAATGAAAACGTGCGATTTTTCAGTAGGAAATCCATTCACTATAAATATATCCACCCTGGGCTGGATATTATAACCCCCGCTCTAAATTAACCACGCGTCTGTCGTATACGATGTTGTTGTTCATTTGTTAAAGAAATTCGTGTATATTGCTAAGAGTTGTATCATTTATTCATTATGTTCTCTAGGCCTCACGTGAAGCCTCGTGAATCGAAACAAACATTATATAATATCGTACAGATGCAGACAAATTAATCGACCTAACGGTTGCATTCCAAAGCTTCACGCAAAAGATTTACCTCCTGCAGAAGATCAGTTCATCTCCTGCCTCTTCAGGGCAAGCAAATGGAGTAGAAACTGACTTTAAACAGGCTCGTTTGACGCGAACTTTCATCTCAAATTATATTTTTGTCTCAAAGGCTAGTTCTTCATTATTTTTTTCCGGAGTGCGACTGCATTTTACAGCAAATTACTGGAGCATGCGCATCGAAAAAGCCGCAGATAACAGATATGAGATTGGGTTTTTATCGATTGTTATTTTCCGCAGTGCATGTGCGTTTGATGGCAAATTTCTCAGGGAGGAAAATTGCGATATCTCTCCGAAAGCAATAAAAACAAAATGTTATCTCTAAACCATTCGCTGTTCTTCTCACGGCCTGTGCTCCCGTCTTCAGGTAAATCAAAACAATTTCTCATTATATTTCGTCTTTGTCCGTCATCTTTAGTGTGCCGACGCGAGCTATGAACAGCGAGTACCTGGCCTGGTTTGATAACTTAGCTGTTAAAAAGCGTTGGCAAGACGTATGAAAGCGCTTCACACAGGCTAGCTTGGAACTTGTAGCGGAGCGAAATAAAAAGAATATACGAGATTGCACCTGCGTTCAATGCATGTAACAAGAACAGCTTGAATTAACTTCGAATCGCCCCGCATCATCGTCGCTGAAAACAGACGCGCATTTCGGAAACTGGAGGCCGCCAAAGTTTGACGAACGCATTTTGAACAAAGAAATTTGTTCCCCTAAGCGAAATGGGACGCACCACACGCACTTAACGTGAAATTCAATCAAACATCGAGTAGCAGCCGAATGAAATGCATTTACACCTTTTCAATATATTACACTTTAAGATGAAAATCAAGTCCGTAATTAGGCTGTTTTATAATATTGAGAAAAAAATTTGCTTAGAGTCTTTAAAGCACTTTGTGAAATCTACAATGGTATACATATAAGCCATACATTACGAGAATGGGAAAAAGCCGAAAATATGGCTTAGAAATAGACGAAGGAACTTAACAGTCATTCTTCCTCGAGTACTTTTTTCACAGCGCTTTAAATAAATTCAATTTAACAATTTCACCCCCGTACTATTAGAGGATCCTAGAACTCATATTGCTTTCAAATTACCGGTAATAAAGCCTTGTATGGCACTTCACTTCGGCAGATATTTAGGATGGAAACCCTACGCATGACGAACAGTTTCCTCGGCGGCAAAACTGTTCCACTCTTTCACATCGTGAACTGTGCGAAACCCATAGCGAACGACAAAGAAATTCTCCTGGTCGAACAGTCAGTTTTTCGGTTCAAACTGCGCTTAGCATGATCAGCTTTTAAACTTGATACACATGCAGGAAGATTCTATTTACTTGTCAGAGCGCATTCAAAAGAGTTTTCGTATTGAGTGGTATAAGATGCGCCTTAGTCCTTATAAATGTTGAAGAAATGTATGTTTTGAAAAATATATAAACGTATGCATGGGGCTGTTATAAAAAAGCTTGAGTGAGGTGAATGCATGTATACATGAAATCGTGTCAATACTACAAGTGTAAACTTTTAAAAAACACGCCCATTAATCATATTAGCGTACATGCATGCATGTACCATGGTGCTCAAAACATGTACAAAACATGCACACTCATATATGCACTTACAGTATATGCATTGTAGATGTAAACGAAATATTGTATTAATTCACAGCGCTTTTATTCTGACCGGATTAACATAAAAATCTTATTTTTTCTCAATCAGCTTGTTAGCTGTATTCCAGTGTATGATCTCGGGGATTCAATGTACTGGAAACATTTCATGCGTTCGTTGGTCCATAAACACTTTAATATCACGTTAGTTTTTAATATACAATGCCGACGTTTCTTTCAAAAGCGAGCAAAACACACGTCTTATTTACTCGGTATGGTTTAATCATTCGGAATTATATACGAAACGAAACGATTTGATCGACGGCAAAACAAAATAACAATAATAGGTTGATTTTTAATATATTTGACAAACAAACGCCGAAGAGAACGCGGAAACGTTCAGTCATTCAGATGGAGGAAGACGTCACTGTTTGTGTGTAGAAAGAGGATTAAACTGATGGACAGAATCGCTTGTCTTTGCACAAGAAATCAAGTGCAACGTTTGAAAACGGTTCAAATACAAAACAGCCAATCTTGGAGGAAATTTTAATCGCCGGAAAGACGATCAGGATTGAGAAACTTATCAAGATACTACACGTGATGTTTTTCTGTAGAAAAAAGTCAAATTCTCTCACATTTTCCCCCATGAAGTCCTCTCAAAGTCAACTGAAATTCTATATTTGTTCGTCGAGTCTTTCATTCAGCATCTTCTTTCAAAACGGCGAAGAAACAGTCGTTTATTAAAAAAGCGTGGTTTTGACGTTTTGTTCATTTAACATATGGTTTTATTAATAAGTTAACAACACCATCTGTCGTTTTTTGTACATTTATATTGCTTTTCGGAAACGCATTTTTTCCATTAAACAATTTATGGGCTATTTGCGTTAAATATTCGATAATCATTAAGGGACATGAAGCGGTTCATGTCAATTCATACTATACGAATCACATTTCGTTGTATACGGCTGGTGTATATCATCCGAGGTTTACACCAAGTATTAATCGCTGAAAGGCCTCGCGCGTCGATACGAATCGCAGGCGCAGTGGGAAGAAAGTAACTCCAAAATATGGCGAAGTCTCTTCATCAGAAATTAAACATTCCGCATTCCAGCAGAACAAACAATTTGGTTTGATCAATGATTTCAAAGTACACTATTGAACTTCACACATCGTGTTATATGATTTAATCAAATTAAAAAATACCTATATTTTTAAGTAGGATTTCATTGTATCTGACCAACGATAGACGGACGCCTCAGTAGCGATAGTGGTCTGGCTTGTAGGGTCCATCTGGTGGCATTGCAAGATATTTACTTTGTTTATCTGTGAGCTTGGTCAATTTCACATCAATTTGACCCAAATGATGTAATGCAACTTCTTCGTCAAGCTAAAATGAAGATTATTTTCTGTTTGAAAGACAGTAATTTACCACGAGTCATCATCTATGGTTGTGTAAACACAAGATGAGATTCTCTACACAATACTTGATTTTTTGTCCAAATGCATTGCTTGCTACAATATAGGCAACAATACAAACCTTCTTAGGCAAAACATGAACGCCAATTGGATACTTCTTTGGGTTGGTCCAAAGATCAATTTGGGCAAGAACTTGGTTGGTGAAGGAATTGCTCATGACAAAACTAGGATGTCCCATAGCACAGCCAAGGTTAACCAAACGACCTTCGGCAAGCAAGATTACGTGACGACCGTCAGGAAGTTCGTATCTATCAACCTAGAGAGGGAACAGAGCCATTGGACAATTAGTTTTAAAGAACATGATAGTATACACACTAAATGCACAATATACAATGAACAATTACAGCTTATTGTAGAATACTATCTACACTGGACCACCACGTTTGAGATATCTTTCTCAGGTAGTTCAGACACAAATCACGACAGTTTATTGTAGAATACTACACACACTGGATCATCACGTTTGAGATATCTTTCTCAGGTAGTTCAGACACAAACCATCACAGCTTATTGTAGAATACTACCTACACTAGACCACCACGTTTGAGATATCTTTTTCAGGCAGTTTAGACACAAACCACGACAGCTTATATTGAGAATACTACTTGCACAAAAACACAAAATTTGTTCATTTACTTGTGGTTTGATTGTATCCTTCTTGCAATTATTATTGAGCCAGGCGACGTCAATTTCAATATCAAAATGGCCGATATTGCAGACAATGGCGTCTTCTCTCATCACGGTAAAATGCTTCTCTGTGATGATATCACGACATCCAGTGGCAGAAACAAAAATATGAGCTTTTGGTGCAGCTTCTTCCATCGTGGTCACCTCGTAACCTAGACGTTGTTGTTACGGGAGGAGATTTAGATATATTTTGGACGCTTCGTTTTCGGAGGAAACTTTCCACATTAGCAGTGAACTTCATCACAAACTCAGTGAATTATGAGTCGTGTATTTTTAAACTCGAAGAAAGGTGGGAAAAAAGGGTTTCTTGTGGCAAAAAAACTCGATGGTGCGTTGATTATGCAATAAAACAATTCTCGCGCAAATTTATGGATGGATGTAAAATTGAGAAATGATGAAGAAAGCACAATTCTCAGAACAGTCATTTCAGAAAAAGTCAGCTTTGTTTTTATCACAAAGTTAATTGAAAAGACTGGGAACAAGGGTTGAAAACGACGGTACTTTATACGCATATTCATGTGGTTACTAAAACCAAACTACACCTCAACCAATCATTACCTTCCATTGCAGCTTGAAGAGCATTGATTGGCTAAAACCAAACTATACCTCAACCAATCATTACCTTCCATTGCAGCTTGAAGAGCATTGATTGGCTAAAACCAAACTATACCTCAACCAATCATTACCTTCCATTGCAGCTTGAAGAGCATTGATTGGATCAATCTCAGTGATCAACACCCTCGCACCAAAGGCCCTGAGTGAACTGGCAGATCCCTTGCCAACATCACCATATCCTGCAACAACACAGGTCTTCCCAGCCAACATGATGTCCGTTGCACGCTTGATACCATCCACTAATGACTCTCGGCAACCATAGAGATTATCAAACTTGCTCTTGGTCACCGAATCATTCACATTGATGGCAGGCACCTTGAGTGACCCATCCTTAAACATTTTGTAAAGATTGTGTACACCTGTTGTTGTCTCCTCTGAAATGCCAACAATTCCTAAAGGAACAAAAACTCAAACTAGAATATTTCTACTCAAAATAGTATTGGAGTTTTATCTTTTAAAATTCAATAGACTGTTGAAAAATAATACAGTGTTTTCAAAGGCTTGTAATAGTCTTTACATAAATTTGAGAAAGTCATGACATAACAAACCTTTGAGATAATCAGGGTGGTTGTCATGCACCAGTTTGGTCAAATCTCCACCATCATCAAGGATCATGTTTAATGGCTTGCCATCAGCGAATACAAGTGTTTGCTCAATGCACCAGATATATTCCTCGTCAGTTTCACCCTTCCAAGCAAACACCCGGATTCCAGCCTTGGCCATTGCGGCTGCAGCATGATCTTGAGTTGAGAATATGTTGCAAGATGACCATTGTACCTACACAGCGAAAAATATTAAACTTCCCTCTCCAAAGCATTGGAATTGCATAGATTCCTTTCAAAATGTTTCACTATATTACATCCTTCTTTTTGCTCAAAGCAAGCTAGTTTAGTTGTATAATAGACTGCTTACCTCAGCTCCTAGTTCAATGAGAGTTTCCATAAGTACGGCAGTTTGAATGGTCATGTGTAGACACCCAGCGATCCGTGCACCCTTCAAGGGTTTGCTAGGTCCGTACTTCTTCCTCATCATCATCAACCCAGGCATTTCATTTTCTGCCAAATTTATTTCTTTTCTGCCCCATTCGGCAAGATTTATATCAGCTTAGGTAAAAGCAGAGCTTTTGCTGTCATGGTGAGCCTCTTATAAATAGTCATGCTTTATCAAAACAGCAAGTTGGGGAAGAGTAATTTTGTACACAGAAAATGGTGAATATTTAACAAAATTTATGGAGGAAGAAGCAAGTCTCTGAAAATCCTCACAACAGTAGCTTTCCACATGCATTCGCTATGGCCATTTAACCATGACACCAGGTATCTTCCACAATACTGGTAACACACAATGGTAAACTAAATATAAGCTTTGCATGCAAGCATGTACAATTTTGTACAAATATACAATAGCCAAGCAGAATATAATCGCGGTATTAATATGCACGCCACTTTGCACAATATTGCATCATTATGTCTTTGTAATCTGGTATTTTAATTTCTGCCACGTGAAATTATCTATACTATGATAATAAAGGACTTTACGTTTAATGGCTAATACTGGGAATATTCATGAACTACACAAACGTACGAACAAATATCGTGCTTTAAAAAAGATTCCCCGTGTTCCTTCACAAAATATACACTTCATAAACCGTCGATCGTGTGATTTCGAAATTTGCGCATATTTTTTCGCTCAGCTATCTTGCTAAATAAATATAAATAGCTCTGTTGTCTGCACAAATCACGCCTTGCACGACTCAAAAGCACAGTTTTTAAAACCCTGTAACCAAACTTACCAACTTTGTAGTTCGGTGAAGACATATTAGCAAGAAATCGGGAGAAAAACCACCCAAAAATTAAAGTGAAATACAAAACTCCTCAGGTAAACGACGTCCACACAGAAAAGGGATTATTCCATCAGATTACTCGGTTATTAAACGGCAGATTGGAAATCCAGGAATTTCATTGGTCGAGGGTCGACGAGGTTGTGCAATCGATGACATCATCGGCCGGCATATGGCGTGATTATGAGACACTCGCTGCAGGGTGATCGTGGGCATTTCGAGGGCAACACACGCTAACCCGCGTGTCTCGAGGTCAAAGTCGCGGGTTATGGCATATTTTCATGTCCTCACTTCGTGTGGTCCTCGTTTATTGACCGAGGTGGGTTATTTTTGCCGTTATGGTAGTGCGATGACGTAATCATTTGTTACGCAAAAGTTTTGTGAGAGATGTTCTGTTTTTATTAGTCATCACTTATCTGTCTTATCACTCTTGTCAAGCCAACTAATCTCAATGATCTCATAACTTCGTTTTCAAGAAGGTCGACTGCAATTTGAGCGAACTGCGACATCTCCTCATGTGGGCTTTGCTCTCTCATAACTATTAACTAGTACAGTCATGTAGTTTTGAAAACAAGCAACTTTTCGAACACCGTACACTGTAAATCGTGAGTGATGACGGGGACTTGCCACAAGCTCTGTCGCAAAACGCAAAACACAAAACAACCTCACCAAAACGTTTCAACTTGCAGAAATTGTCTTTGTTGTAAAACATAAAAACATTTCATTCCATTATTTCGATAAATTTCAGCATCATCGCTTAAGGACAAACCCCAAGAAAATTTTAAAATTAGTCACGTTCATTGCGAGGATAATTTTTCTCCTATTTTTATTGTGCTCGTTCATATACACATCTTTTACTGACCAGGTTAAACTGATCTACCAGAGATATCATGAACATCCCATTAGTTTTGATTCCTTACAGTCAGAGGGAATCCTTGTCTTTCGAATCACAAATTCTATACAATTCCAAATAACATTCATCTACATAATAAATACGATATAGTTTTATATTGGAGCCAGCCCGTGGCCCCGTGTGTCAATATTTATACAAACGTAAACTGTTTTAATCATCCTTGTGGTTCTTTGCATGACCATGCCGAAACTGGCGGCAAAGCAGGCAAATTAAGCTGCCTCTCTCACCAGCAGGGGCAATGGGGGAAAGGATGCCCTTTCGATTTGGAATCTAATTCCTCTAGAAACGGACTTGCTTCTGCTAATAAATAAAAACCAGAGATAATGCAGCTTTTCAACGGAGAGTTAAAAACAGTTAGCAAACCAGTTGCTTGTTTTAATATCAGAAATATCACGCAAAGCTTGTGTCGCCATTTGTAATCAAACTTTCACAATTTCCATTTTCTGGATGAACGCTTGGTTCGGCATCGACTCGAGAGTTATTGCTGGAGTTCCGTAGCTTACCCAACCGTATTATTTGACCATTGCGCCGACCATTAGCTGGCTTCTTTGCCTTCGGTAGCAACACGATTGAACCTTTCCCACGAATTTTCAACAATCCAAAATAGTTGAGCAGCCCCACAATTGGAATGAACATTATCGAAGAAAGCATTAGAAAGACGGCTAGGACTATCAACCACGGGGGATATGGTTTCAGCACAGCTTTACCCTAGCGAGAAACAGTATTCCATCGTTGGGAATATTCAAAATGGATCTTAACTAACCTGAGGTAATATCAGTTCTAAATTTTAACCTCTTTTGATCCAGTGTTCCTACAGGAGAAAATCTAAACTAAACTAGTAAAGTTTTGAATAATTCCACGTGGTGTAAAGTTATTCTAGTTTTACTGAAGAAGAAGACGTATATTCATACCTGATCTTTGTCCCAAACCATGTACATAAGAGGATTTCTCGCCATGCTTTGCACGCTCATTATGAGAATTATTAGGATAGCAATCGGCGAGATGAACTTCCAACACCATTTCCAAACAAATCTCGGCGGTTTGGTCGTCATATACGTAATATCGTCGCTAAATCTGGAAACAATTGATCAATGATAAACTGACTAATGTTGCTATCGGTTGCAATTCAGTGTTCATGCTCGCAAAAATATAGCATTAAAGTCTGTGGCTATTAAAACTATAGATGACTGTCACTTGTTATATTGAAACTATTTGAAAGATGTAGTGTAAATATATTTCAGATTGTGAATATGGGAATTTTTTAGCAATTTTTAAAATCATTGTTGTTACCGCGCGATAAAGAAGGCACAGGCTCGGAGCAACAAAGATATACAACCTGGGCCAATTTTTAGACTTTGCACTTACAGCCAGCCAACGTCTATAGTTACGATATAAACTTACACAAACCATTATGTTACCAAGATAGCTTAAACAATCTTACCTGTCTATTCCGTAGAGGTAGGATATTGCAAGAACTTCGACCAATCCTATAACCAACAGCGCTATACCAGAGCAATGACTGTCGATAAACTGCAACCAATATTCTCCTGAACACAAAACCGTTGTCGCACCCAGCAAAAAACTTATGAGGCAAATTATACCTAGAAAAAATCGAAACGAAATTTTGCTTATAGAGCGGCTCTCAGCTGCAAACATCTGGAATAGCCAAAGATGAAAACGGGGATAAATTCGCCGCGGGCTCGTAGAAGCCAGCTGACCCCCGCCGCGATTTTGTTTAAATATACTATGAGAAAGAATTCGCTGTTTTTGCAGAAGGAATATTATGTGCATGTAACTTACCAGAAAGCACTTCTTTACGTAAGTTAGGAAATATTTTCATATCAATAATTGGAGTAACGACTCCTTCTAACATCCCGAATTCTGTATCAATGCCGACTGTGACCAACATTAAGAAAAACATTATCGACCAAAGGGTTGGTAGCGGAAGTTTGTTTATGGTTTCTGTAAATACTAAAAATGCCAGAGCGCGACCTGCTGGAACCTGAAATAACAAGAAGGTATACATAAATATTAGTTTCAAACTGTTCCTCTATCCTTTAATGATCCAGTGTTACTACAGGAGAAAACCTAAACTAAACTAACTTTGTTTAAACAGATGGCTTGATCGATGATACTCTCATTTGAGAGATCGTAAGCTGAGAGATTGATGTCTTTTTGCGATCTCTTTTAACATATACCTGGTTAAGAAAGAAACTCTTATCACAGTGCACCAAGGTGACATTCATTGCTTTGGATATGTTATCCAAAGCAGCTTGAAATAATTCACGGTTCTTGTCTCCTTGAAGGCGGTAATCTCTTGAGAATTCATTATTCTCAACCCAGTGCGTCCCGTTTAATAATGCTAGAAAGATAAATTCATGTTTCAGTTTGTTACATACATTAGTAGCTACATTATAGCTAATATCTTCGAGACAATCGCACTTCCAGTTTTTAAACAAATACGAGGAAAGATTGCTGGGAAAAATGTTTCCTGCTTTATCCACCTTCGTGAAACCTGACTCAGTGATAGCCATTCCACAACACACTACTCAACGATGCAAGGTTTTTATTTACCTATTTGTTGCACGTATTCTCTGTCGAGGCATTCCTGCATTTTTCCCTCGGCTTGAAACCCGATGAAACAAAATACAACAACACTTGCATAGATTGACACTCCACAGTTAACGAGACAAACGTGAATCGCATCTCTGTTGCATTCACTCTTAATTGGATTGTAACTCGCAAAGGCAATGAGGGAACCGTAGGCAACACCGAGAGAATAAAAGATTTGAACGGCTGCATCCATCCACACGAGCGGATCTTTTAGTTTATCAAACTATAAAGATTGAAGAAAGAACAGCAATGACAAAGCTGCTTTTCTTGTTTTACCAGAAAGAGGGAAAAGAATGCACTTAAACCTGCTGGTTTGCATTGCAATTCTTTAATAGACCTGCTTTGGACAACACTAGAAATTCGGCAAATATAACTTCAAAGAATAGCACAATACCTTTGGAATAAAAAGCAGTGCCAGACCCTCTTGATATCCTTCCAGATGCACCCCACGAAAAAATAAAATAATAAGCAAGACTAGCGGGGTCGTGGCTGTGAAATACACAATCTGAAGATAAGAATAGATTGAATTAGCCTGTGACGAGAAAGGAAAAACTTAAAACAAAACTAATTTCATAACTCTATCAGTTGTAAACTGTTCTTCCTAGAGGTCCAGTAAGGATCATATCTTATTGATCCAGTGTTACTACAGGAGGAAAGCTAAACTAAACTAACTTTATTTATACTGGATAGCTCTATCAGCTCTAATCTGTTCCTCTTAGAGGTCCAATAGTGCAATAGTCTCTCAATACTAAAATGACATTCAAACATTTAAGTATTTAAGAAATGGTACTGTACCTTCCCAGTGACTTTGATCCCTTTCATCATACATAACCACACAACAAACCAGGTGCATCCAAGACATATAAACATTCTCCAATTCATCCCAACGCTGTCCTCGATACCCGTGGTCGTATCCAGAGCCGTCCTGTACCAAAAGTACGTCGTCGGGCTCGATATATTACACTCGGGAACACTTCGGGTAACAGTCGTGTTTCCGATAATGACATGCTCTGTGGGACAAGAGGACCAGGGCAAAGGATTTTGGAAGGAATTTACAAAATAGAACACACACCAAGCAATGATGACGTTGTAGTACAGGGAGACCAAGAAACATACGGCAACAGACGAAAAGCCGACGCCGCCCAAATATGGGCTGATTTCGTTCCACACCCCGATTGAGCCTTTACGCATGCGCTGACCAAGGCATAGCTCCAGGTAATATAACGGGATACCCACGATCGCCAGCATAACAAAATACGGAATGAGAAATGACGCTGAAAGAAAACACAATCAGGCTTTAAAACGAACAGAAAAGAACAGAACGAAGCAGAACGGAACGGAATGGAACGGAACAATACGGAACGAAGCAGAACGGAACGGAACAGAACAATACAGAACGGAACAGAACAGAACAGTACGGTACGGAACGGAACAGAACGAAGCGAACGGAACGGAACATAGCAGTACGGAACGGAACGGAACGGAACAGAACAGAACAGAACGGAACGGAACGGAACAACCGAGAACAGGGCAAAACAGATGAAAACAAATAGAAACGTAACCTGAACTGAATGAAACCTCACCTCCTCCATTCTTATGGCATAAATACGGGAATCTCCAGACATTTCCAAGGCCGATGGTATACCCGACCAAAATAAGAACAAACTCTGCACGATTGTTCCACTTCTCTCGTCCTCCGGATCCAACCGTTGTCAGCCTCTCTCGGGTAAGATTCTGTGAACGCTTGCTTCCATTGCTCTTGTCGTTGAGCAAGACTGGGGAATAAAAAATAAGATACTGATTAGATAAATAGACCTGAGCAACCTCCATGTCAAACTCCGTGCGATCAGTAGCAACGGTCAGCACTGCAATGATCAACTGACATTGAGGAAGGTTGAAAATGAAACACTGAATAAAACATTGCAAAGCAGTAAGTACTAGACTAATCAGGCTAATATTAGTAGCAAGATAGAGTCGGCAGACAGTCAGGCAGTATTGCAATGATCAACTGACATTGAGGAAGGTTGAAAGTGAAACACTAAATAAAACAATGCAAAGCAGTAAGTGCTAGAGTCTATAGACAGCTACTGCATGAGATATTATTTCGCCGGGCTTACTCAGAAATCCCACTTCATCTGCGAATACAATCACAATATTTGCACAATTTCAACAGTCTATATCTATAGTATTGATCTCATATCTTTTCGGTCTTCAAATAAAGTCCAACAATAATGAAATTAAATCCATATAAACAAAGAATATAGATTAGATGTCCGATTGTTTGATATGGCCTTGTCAAGACCAGTTTGTTTAATGAGTGGACGATTTCGGCGGACAAAGACGTCGAGCAAACATTACGAAAATGAAAACTGAAGTCATATTGATTTTGCAAGATGATGGAAAATCTTCACATATTCAAAAAACGGAGTGATTGTAATCATTGTACAATATATCTAAAATGAAAAACGATTTGTTTAGTCGAAAGTTTGCTAGCAGACATGGCTTGGGTTGCATTTTGCCGCGATAATTACGAATAACAGTTTCTTTGTTGTAGAATTTACATATTTACGAAAAAAGGCTCAATTACTGAATAACAAGACACGTCGATCGTTTTTCGGTGCAACGTAATGTCGGCAACGCCGTTAAACAGGAATTACAAGCTACATTTAAACACTTATGCGCCGGCGTAGTTATTTTACAATTTATCTTTTAGCTGTTGCATTTATCAACGCAACGCCCGAAGGCAATCTTTGTTGACTTACAGATGATGCGGTTATAATACGCAACTTAAAACCAAGCATTAGCGAAAGCGTAAACGAAGCTATTAGATCTGAAAAACATTTGACTTAGACTTGTCTTTAGTGACGCGCGTATAAATAATTCGGACAAAAATTAAGAAGAAAATTAGGAAGATTTTTCACGCAATTACAATCGGCCTCAAAATGGTTTTCAATTCATTGCATCTCCTCTCTATGAATCAAAACTATTTTGCAAATCGTTTTCAAACTATTAAATTTTCACTACTGAAGCAAAGCCTAAGCCTTGATATAAAATATCTCCACGTTTAAACACACAACTGAAAAAACTTGCTGACTAATTGCTCCATCTCTATGACAAGTGATAACTCTTAACATACATAATTCCCATCAAAATATGGCCAAAATTGCCTTTCTCTGAATCAAGGGAACTTCTCTTCTCTTGATAAAGCCGCCCCCAGAACTTCGAGGATGATTTCCCGCTGAAAAAGTGGCGGCGTTCAACTGTATCATCGAAATACTCATGCGATGTTATACCCGTCGCATGCAGAGATAAACAGCTAAGGTCGATTGTAATGTATGTTTTTTTAACCTGCCATTTTAAATCATATCTTGTTTTCACAAGCAGAGTGAGAAAGATGGCTCTGTAAAAGCTAATGTTCAACTGTACAAATATATTCAATAGGTTATATAACCCCGATATATATACAGCAGGCGAAATGTTTTAATATTATACAAGTTATTGTTCTCTGACTCTATACCTGATGAATACATTGTTCAATATTCTGTCTACTTGAACCGGTAGCGAAACTGAGATTTTTCAAATTCGTGCCTAGAATGAAGAAATAGAAACAAACAGTTAGACGCGAAAAGCGTCTGAATTGTCGAAAACAAGTTCTGACAGGTGAAATTAGTTTTTATTCAGCAGCTTTACGCTAGCATTCTCATAACGCAAACGACAAAAATATGCCGCCTTCTTACCAAGTAATAGGCAATCTGAGAACGTTATAATCGGCCGTAGCCTGTTCGCTGATCGCCTAACAACCTTTTCAATGCGTCAAAAACTCATAAAGTCCATTGAGCAGTCAACAGTTTTGTCCATCTGCTTGTGTGTATGGCTTAAAAAAAACAAACACAACTCGCTCCATTATACATAAATTTCACGCTGCTCCTCCGACTTAATGGCGATGGGGCTTTTGTTTTAACATAAATTATGAATCCGTGCTTTCGTTTCAATTTGAATATCATTATAACGTCAAGGTATTCAGTCTAAAGATAGCAGGTATGCAAAAATGATTTATCGACGATGATAAGCCGGGCTCTCAATGAATACTACGATTCTTGTGATAAATCGTGCGGTCGGGTTATTTTGAAATCTGAAACCGTATTAATTGGTGCGTGGTTCCACGAAAAGAAACCTCCACAGCGCTGGCTGTTTTTACCAGATGTATACGTATACACTGGCAGCGCGGACGTAGATTGGAAAATCTTGCAGGCATATACCCTGCTAAGCAAATGGCCCGGCACAAAATGCTTCGCGTCTTCGCGACCAGTTTGTGGAAAACTTGCGAACAAGTTATGCAATGATCATGCTCATGCAACTTTCTCAAGACAGTTGAAATTCGCACGCATCTTTTTCGCAGGTTTTGCTAATCTAAGGCGGCTTTCCTTTTTAAAAACGACCAGACGGGTCCTTTGACAGTGTTGTATTTCAGTACAGACGGTTTGCTGGTATTTTAGAGTGTTTGAATAGCTCTGCATTCAAGAATATTGTTATATTTACATCTTCTTACAGGAAAAAACAGGGAAAATGCAGTTTCACCGCTATATTTTTGACGAAATACTCAACTATTTCAATTTAAAATATGTCAAGTTTGACCATTTTGACCGCTTAAAAAAAAAAGCGCCTTCCAAGGCTCCGCTTTCGCGGCACGGGGTCGTCTCCGTCACGATATCTTACTTCGTTTGCCGTTATGAAGCAACGACTATTTTCAAATGCTTATAATGATGACAGATTTTCACTGCCTTTCATTAACTGAAAAATTTGAGTTGTTCCGCGATAGCATTCGTGTGGCGTGTTAGCGATATGCTGAGTTCATACCAGAGTGCAAGACCAGACGATTCGTGAAGTTGAGACATGCACTTCTCGAATTCATTTCGTCTCCTTGTGTTAACACAAAGAACCGGTAAAATTTTCATCCATTTTTACCGCGTGTGAACACTTGAACCGGACGATTCCGACTATGGTTCCTAGTTTGTCGGGTCCCGTGTGAAGGTAGCCTAAGTTTTGTTTGAACAGCTGAGCAAACTCCTACGGCAAATATGTAAAATTCAACCTGTTTCCTGTCCTCTATTATATATTTCCTCAAAACCGGCTAATCTCATCGAGAATTCTTTCTGCTGTTCTGTTTTGAAGTGTCAGTTGGTCTTGTTTTTTAACTGGACGTTTTCGAAAAGCCACAGGCAGCTTGCTAAGAAGGATACTTTAGTCTATAGCATGCATTTAAGTGGTTATTTATAAAGAGTACTGGAACAAGTCTCATCAATGGCAGAGCGGGTCATGCATGCAGATGTACTACAGTTAGCGAAACACAGCTGTTACATTATAGATAGGCTTGACCTCGCTGGCCAATCAGGATCTTTGATATATGATATATCTCAATATATAGTGTACAACGTCTGCAATACATGTAGTACCGTCTGACCGTCTCTCTCAAAGACGTAGTCACCATGCAGGACGACTCTGGGGCAATTTGCCAAAAGTTTATAGTTCTGTTAACACTTTACCTATGCAGTGATTACCTTATTTCACTTCAGACACTTCTGCAGTCAGAAGTCAGAACACTGTAGCAAGTCAGTCGAGTTATAACTTCTGAATGTCCTCTCTTACTAAAGGATATAAAAAAAGTGAATTATACAGCCTGTTAAAAACAGAACAATATAGAATTGTAGGGCAGCTTTGAATCGTTAGAGATGTAAAAAATATAACATCTTTCACGGCCGCATTTGAATGGCTCTTCAAATGTTTCTTAACTATATATACAGCTTTCACTTACGTCGTCTTAAAACTCACATCACTAAATTATATCGCAGTCTATTCGCAGATGTTTCAAGGCAATTTATAGTTACTGTGATGAGACAGAGGGGAGACACATCATCACAACAGGACTTCTAAGAGCGCTGTCAGCAGATAACGATATGGTAAACGAATGTCAAAACGGTCTTCGCGTATATTATAGATGTCAAAATGACTACTATAGTCTATACTTACAATAAATACAGGTACTTCTGACATGAACCAAGTATGTCTCTGTCAAAACCGACACTAATGGCGATATCGTTTGTTTTTCAGTCTACGTCTACGTTGACTGCAGCCTACAGATTACAGAAGCGAAAATGTAATTCGCATTATCCTCGACACTCGACGAATGATGAACTAAATGCTTAATAGGTTTCCAGACAGATCATGTTAAAATCCTTTAATAATTTATCTGCTAAGCTTGCATATTATAACATTGATCCCGATAACAGGCTTTTCAACGTATTAATGGCATGGAAAGAAAAAAAAAACGGAATTTGAAACCCACAATATATACACAGCTTATTCACACAAAGGACGCGGCGAAAGTTCAAACTAAGAAATTATATTAAATATCGTACGTTATACATTTCTAATAATTTACATACCTAATTTGACTTTGACTTCAGTCTTTAGCGAGAAAAACCTCTTAATTCAACAGTTTTAGGTCGGCAAAATTTGCGATGCGAAAGTAGCTTTAGTTCCCTGATAATTTTAGTTTTAATTACTGTCATGGGAGATAAGATAACCTAGCGGCATGTTTAAATACGGGACGGGCAAGCTTGTGTTGATATTATGGTCGCGGTGAGATCTTTGTTGCAATTACTTTCTATTTGTTTTGCATAAAACAGTTGAAACACAATCATAACAAGAACAAACGTTGAACACAACAGAATGCAATATTAACACGATGCGGTGCAGGCGTGAAAATTCGGAGCTGTTTGTAGCTACAGACGCCCTCGTTTACATGTGGCCTAGCCGATGACACACGAACGGGTAGAATATTTCAACGCTGGGATCTTTGAGCTAAGTCTACTGCCATTATGATAAAATATTACATGAGATATCGTTGGAAACGTAGTTTTCATATGGTGAGCCTATCCTCCGTCTTTGGCTCGCGCAAATGATCATGACGTGACGTGACAATCAAACTGATCTTGGAAAAACTAAAACTTTCGTAATTTCTATTTTAGGAATTCATTTCCCCTATAAAAGAACAGACTAACGTAGATCTAGATCGCGTTGTTTATCATCGATATGAATTTATATTTCGTTCAGTATTTCTCTTGTGCAGCCTCGAAGATCTAGGCCACGTAACGTTCATATCTCGATCTCGTAATAAATTGATGTGTGATATTGTTACCATGTTGCAATATTGCGATTTGCATTTCGATTACTCACGTCAAGGATGCACTACAAAATCCCCTAAACTTCTCTAGAACAGTTGATCTAGAGCTATCAATCTTCGAAAACATTATCACAAATCCTGACCGCAGTTTGCAAGTCATCTATTCCGTCCGACAACTTGGATATTGTTGTTTCCTCAAGGTCCAATCCAAAGTTCTCGTTTTTGTTTTGACTTTTTTGCAATTTTTTGTTTTTTTCATCTGGGTTATATGAAGTACTGGTACTCCGTTCTCTGACTTTGGCGAGCTTCTTAGAAAGAGCTGAGGAAAACCTTAAAATATATAAACTTGATTTCACACAGAATCTGAATACGTATTTTATACAGCCAAGTGATTAATCACTTGCGGTGCTCACCCCCACAGCGTCTGGTTACTGAAGATAAACACTTGTCTGGGCGTTGGAAAATTTTATCCACAACATGCAGGAGAATACCCATGCATGACTCTACCAAAACATCAGTATCCTCTTGTAGTAACATTGAATCAATAAGTGATGATTCTTACTGGATCTCTAGGAAGAACAGTTTAGAACTGATAGAACTATCCAGTATAAATAAAGTTAGTTTAGTTTAGGTTTCCTCCTGTAGCAACACTGGATCAATAAGAGATGATCCTTACTGGACCTCTAGGAAGAACAGTTTAGAACTGATAGAGCTATCCAGTATAAATAAAGTTAGTTTAGTTTAGGTTTCCTCCTGTAGTAACACTAGATCAATAAGAGATGATCCTTACTGGACCTCTAGGAAGAACAGTTTAGAACTGATAGAGTATAAATAAAGATAATTTAGTTCAGGTTTCCTCCTGTAGTAACACTGGATCAATGATAGTAGTAAAGCTTTGGTATCCACAAAGCGTTAATAAAATTTGTAATTACCTTTTTCTGGCAATAAGAACAAGAGCAAGCGACTTTAATTTCCGACGTGAATCAAAAGCTTCAAGAGTTTTTAATGTTTCCTCCATATTATCTGACGAGAGATGGCAGGAATTCTGAAACCACTCGTGTTCTAAGGCGTCGTCAGCCGTCAGACGATACACTGGGTCAACTTCAAGCTACAAAAACCAAACTTTGACTCGTTATCATTCTCAAGCGAAGGCACTGTAACGTTTTCTAACAAAGCACAGCTGACGCGTCCCTACCATTCTACGGATTAAATCTTTTGCATCATCCGAGATCTTCGACCAATATGGAGAGTGGAAGCTGTAATTTCCGTGAACTATACTTAGGAAAAGTTTTTCAACGTCTTCATTCCAAAATGGAGGATACCCAGACTGAGAAAAAAAGCAAGATAGAGTATATGACAGGGAGGTGAAGCGTGCTTGCGTACTGACTGACATACACTTCACTTTTAGGTATTTCAGACACAAACCACGACAGCTTATTGTAGAATACTACCTACACTAGACCACCACGTTTGAGATATCTTTCTCAGATAGTTCAGACAAAAATCACGACAGCTTATTTTAGAATACTACCTACACTAGACCACCACGTTTGAGATATCTTTCTCAGATAGTTCAGACAAAAATCACGACAGCTTATTTTAGAATACTACCTACACTAGACCACCACGTTTGAGATATCTTTCCAAGATAGTTCAGACACAAATCACGACAGCTTATTGTAGAATACTACCTACACTAGACCACTACAATTAAACATAAATAATATTGAACATACCAACAGCACAAAGAGAATAACTCCACAGCTCCAAATATCCACTGCAAAGCTATTTGGCCGTTCAAGTATCCTTTCTGGGGCCATGTACAATGGCGACCCAGTCATACCACAAGATATCACGCTACTTCCCTCTAAACACAAGAAGAAGCGAATATAACGTAATTCTAAAGGTACAGTACGCTTTGACGAACTCTAGATGCTCGTTTTATTACAATTTGAATCACTAATGTTGAGAAAGTGAACAGAAATCTTACCTGGAACTTCACAAGCAACGCCAAAATCAGTCAATTTCAGATGCGGTACCTCGTCTTTTGCATATCGTCGACAAAGTAAGATATTTTCAGGCTTCAAATCCTTTACAATAGGAAATTAATTAACTATATGATGTGCTATGAATAGTACAGTACGGAACGGAGCAGCATAGAAAACTCATTGTGTGACATGGTAATATTCGCCGAAAAATGGCAAATATACGACCATGATCATATATTCGCCGAAAAATGGCAAATATACGACCATGGTCATATATTCGCCGGAAAATGGCAAATATACGACCATATAGTAGTTATGACAAGTATAAAGAGAAACATATATCTACTGTATAAATTAAATAAAAAAAATAAAGAACACAACAAAACTAAACTGTAAACAAATATTGTACTCTATAGTTGAAAATTAAATCAATCAAATTGAATAGTTACCCGATGTATAACTCTCAATCGATGGCAATGTCCCAGAGCTTGTAAGATTTGCTTCGCCAACAAGCACGACTGTTTCTCGGAATACCAATTCCGCGCTAAAATACCGTCAAATAAATCCCCCCCGCTGAGATATTCAAACACAAGATAGACCAAATTGTCGCGATAAATCACGTCTTCTAAACGTACTATTCTTTCATGGTGCTGGAGTTTTTTACATATCTGCATACATGAAAGAGGAAAAAAGTTAGATATGTGATGTTCATGAATTCGCTATGTTCTAAACTGTTCTTCCTAGAGGTGCAGTAAGGATCATCTCTTATTGATCCAGTGTTACTACAGGAGGAAACCTAAACTAAACTAATTTTATTTATACTGGATAGTTCTATCAGTTTTAAACTGTTCTTCCTAGAGGTCCAGTAAAGTTCATCTCTAATTGATCCAGTGTTACTACAGGAAGAAACGTAAACTAAACTAACTTCATTTATACTGGATAGCTCTATCAGTTCTAAACTGTTCTTCCTAGAGGTCCAGTAAGGATCATCTTTTATTGATCCAGTGTTACTACAGCAGGAAACCTAAACTAAACTATCTCTATTTATACTGGATAGCTCTATCAGCTCTAAACTGTTCTTCCTAAACGTAAACAACTCAGGGCATTTTTTAACTGTATAACTACTGGGGCATTTACCCCAGTAGGCCCTGTGCCTGCCCCAGTAGTGAACCTTGATTTCCTGATAGAATGGGCCCTTTTTTCACTGTAAAGGGTTGGTAATTTATCAGTTTTAACATATGGGCCTTGAAATTTGTTCGAAGAAATAAATACGTATGTACGGCATTTACGTGAGACGTCTGTCAGGGGCGGAGGAACAGGGGGGCTAGGGGGGGCTTTAGCCCCCAAAAATTTCATGAAGAATGCCAGAATGGGAGATTAAATATACAAATTACGTTACCACGAAATCGTCAAATTAATGCTCGCCGGCGTATCAAATGCTAATAAGATATCCTATATTGTGATACGGATCAAGTGAATGTAAATTGACTTTCTTTGATCTTTCATAGTTGTCTTTAACAGCAGATTATTCGTGGTTGTATAATTATTGTTATTATTTTCGGACCGCCATTTTGTTTGGAAATTATTTTGAGAATTTGAGAGATAATTTTTCAAATGCAGAAGATATCACAACACGCGCTGTGCCGTTTCAGTTTGCGGTGTTTGCCCATGAAAAACTACGATGAAAGCAGCAAGTAAGACTCTGAAATGGTCATTTCCGAAGATCTAGAGCATTGAAATTCCAAAAAAAATTCGCTCGGCGCCAACCATGGTGTTGCCTCGTGAAATTAGCCTCCCAAAATATATTATGTTCCGCCGCCCCTGACATCTGTATGTAATAGACGATTCCCTTTATTGAGATTTAGTAGCGCTTTGCATCATGGTTATAGTGGTATCTTTGATTGTCAAGCCACATGTAAATTTTTTGTCTTCACCTGTGCAAGAGCGTTTGGGAAAGTTAGGGCAGGTGTATAAGGAATGACCAAAGCAAAATCGTGAGGAAAACATTCAATATTTTCATTCAAACTGTCTTGAATGTCAGTGATAACACCATAACCATAATGCAAAGCGCTACTAATTCTTAATAAGGGGAATCGTCTAATACATATTTGTCTTGCGCATGGGCCCTAATACACACTTTACCCCACTAGTCAAAATTCCTTAAAAAATGCCCTGAAACAACTCCACTATACTAGATAGCTGATCCGTCTATGAGCTTCATAACTAAACTTAGAACTGACAACATTCGGGACTCGGCGAAATTTTATTGCCTAACAACATAACAATATTGAGATGTTTATAAAGCATGTGTGCACTCGTTTTCATTCTCATAAATACATATCGGGCTAAAAATTTCATCCATAGTAACAAAATCTATCTCGTAACATCATTGCACCTTTCCTATTTTCAAACCTAGCGAGGTAGTGCAACATAATGATAACATTTTCTATCAGAGGTTTAACATCAATATTTTGAGGCAAAACACACATCTATTTATAGCAATCAAACTCCCCTCAATTCGCGAAACGGGACTGGACTATATAACTGGACTATATAACTGGACTACCGGAATGGAGGAATATGGAAAAACAGTGGAATATTTTAACCTGAAAAGGAATCCCGGCTTCTGAGTCCGTATTTTACAACAGCAATTATTGAAACATAATTATGTTGTCAAAACTCACTTGAATTTCGTTAGTAATCACGTCCTTGTTTTGTCCAGCCAATTCCAGATTAATTTCTTTAACTGCTAAAACTTTCTGGCTTTTTCTATCCAAGCATTTTCTTACGACGCCAAATGATCCACGTCCAAGCTCCTCTTTAAATTCATAAACGTCCATTCTGTGAATTTAGCGCACAACTACAGCTAACAGACGTGTGTTATGTAACTAGGAGATACTAGACTCCGTACAGTTGAAATCCGTCGAAATACCACACCGGTGACCCAATACTATAACAATTCTGACGTTTTATCTCTAAAAACTCTTGTATGTCATCAAATACTTAGCTTTTATAGTTATCTTCTTATAGTGCTCTGTTATTTATACAAGACAACAGACAGAACTATACGAAAGAACAAATGTTTCGGTCAGCACGTTATCACAGACATTATACGACACCGACTAAGGTATTGTGAATTATATGTCATAGGTATAGAATCCGCCTCCTTTAAATTGCAAGTTTTTACAATTTCTCACCTTAAGAGATAATTTTTTTACTGACTCTAAACTTCAATCGTACTGAAAATACCAGTGTATTGACTTTACATGATTCAGGCGGATATCCAGGGATCAATCTTGGCATTACTTACTCAAGTCTTAAACAAACAATGCGATAGACAAAAAATTATTAATTTGCGGCTAAAAGCTTTTGTTTAAATGAAATTGTTTTGTGCGGATTAAATATCATGAAATGCAACGAACAAATGCACCGTCATGAGGTCAAGAATTCCAACATGAAACAATCACAAATTTGTTAGGCTCTTTTAAGCATTTCAACAGATGCTTCGTTCATGTTTCTCCACGAAGTTTGTTTCGACAGCAAAGATCTGAGTCAACAGAAACTGTCAATATCTTTCATTTATCAATCTATAGACGTCTAATATTTTTGAGGTTTTGGTCAGGTTATATATATAATTACTTTGTCCGGCCTTGTCCACAAATTCATCCTCGTTGTTTCACATATAACGGCGTACATGGATGATGAAAAGCATGCAAACTTTTTGTTTTGAGAATCCAAATTGGATATTTCAAAAAATGGACACACAAAAAAAAAAATAGCTCATCTACAAATGATGAATTGAAATGTCGAATCCAGGCCAAGGCTGTTAGATTCTAGTGCAGCTTGCTTTATTAGACTATATACATATTTGTTTCTACATCTAAGCCAGTAACAGCGTAATTGTGTATGCAATGGCACCAGACTGGAGCCGATAGCTTTGCAAAGCAAACAGACGGGGGCAGCCAAAGCGGGGGCCCAAGTCCCTCTAAGAATTGTTTGGTCTCGCTACGCAGCAGCTGCTTGCCTGCATGGCGCCCCCGGATTTTTTATGTCCGTCACACCAAAAATACCGGCCACACCTTAGGAGACAATTCGTGAAAATCCACTGAACTAAATCGCAGCTGGATGGCGCACGAGAAGCTTCGAGACAGTATTATGTTATTGTCTTTTTAACTGGCGGTTACGGAGGAGTTTGTGGGTCGTGTTTGCTGGATTTTGCGCTAGGCAACCATCGATCATTTCTACGCGAATATGACTGGAAATCCTCAAAGAGAATTTGCAGATGTCTTCCAAGACAGAAAATTAATTACTACCCTCGCAGTATATGCGAATTGACAATGCCTTTAATAAGCTGGACACACATTGTAACCTTGACATTCTCATGTAAAATAGATAATATTCAGCAGGTCGCCTTGGTTATTTTTCATTTCAAAACAATATTCGTCAGCCAAATGATGAAAACTGCGGTTTAATACAAGCAAACACCTGCTGCACAGTTAAAGAAAACGACAGAAAGCGTAGTATGCAAAACTGAGGACACAATTCAACGTATTTTAAAGCATTAAAAGATTAATTCAAGGACATGTAAAGTTGTAAACTTATAACCCGAAGTGAAATACAGTCATGTTTGCGGTAGGTATTAAACCTTTCTTGCACGTTCCTAACTTCTAGATGTTTCCCAACATTCCTAACTGAAATGTTTATTAATTAAATCGATTTTGATAAGCGTATTGCAAATTGAAAAACAAATTTCTACACTGCAACTCGTTAGCAAGTTATAATGGGATTTTGTTGCAAGGGAGCGTTCCACACTTTCACTGACATTCCGTTCCACTGGTCGATTGGAAAGACTTCGTCAGTTCAACTATAATCATTCCTATATGGTTCACGCTTCTGACACACTTTACGACAAGTTTCAAACGAGAAATTGAAGTGAATTTGTTGGGGGTTTTTTTCCACTTTGTTACGGTATTTGCTATTATAAAATATCATGCTTTTAGACAAACCGATATATAACTATAGAATTGGGTTAGCTTGTGCTGTGAATGTGATATAAATTTGACAATCTGTTTTGGGGGACGTCGAAATTGCAAGGATCTTCAAAGAAACTAAGCTAAACTAAAGGCAAAATATGCACGTTCATTCATTTGATTTTGTGATAGTATAGTTTAGATCCCTATATATATCCTAATCTAACTGCAAATGTTTTACCCTCATAGAAATAGTTAGATATTTCTTTAATTAAGTTTTATTACAAAGTCGGTTTACAATCTTTCATGGCAACGTATAAAAATAAACAAAAATATTTAAGCGAAGTATTTTAAAATAGTAACACGTTAGTAAATTACGTTATTCGTTGAAAATAATCATCACATATTTTACGGGGCTTAAAGTTTCCATTAATTCATTAATTTAACACCGTGTTTGCGTTTTTCTTACACAATGTTGATACAGTTGACGATTTGTACATGTTTGTACAAGAAAATGATCCTAAAATTGTTTTGCAAACCAAAGCAAAGCTTGCGAGATTTTGTTTAATGTTGCCAAATCAAATGACGGAAAATGTTTGCACTTGTTATCTATATATACAAACTTTTTAAATATATATATACAAGTACGAATTTTGATGTTGCATATATGTACACATGCACATAAAAGACGTATAACCTTCGCTTCACAGATTATGCAGTTTTGAACCGAAATTTCAGACGAAGATTTGCCGCGCTTCTAAAAAAAAACCCTTAATTGAAATGTGTTATATAACTATATAAGATGTCTTGAAGAAGACGAGTCTTTTGTGTTAAAAACTAGAATCAATGAGTGTGCTAAATACAGAGCATGTCGCATTTCAAGTACTCTTAAAGGGAACGTATATAGCACTAGATACCAAGTTTGCTGTTATTGCAAAATTCTTACGACACAAACTTTACTAAGAACGAAGTGCCTCGACCAACAAAACTAAAACGCGAATTACACAACCTTTATTAACAATTTTTTCCTGGTAATTCTCTTTTTTCTTTTAAAAGAAGACGATATGTACAAGCATTAATAATAAATGAGACTATCATTGGATGATTCGTATCGTAGCGACTAAGCAATATTAGTACATTAACCTTGTTAAAAATTTGAGTAAAATAAAGCCCATTTGTGAACTACTAATTGAGGTGTTAGTTTTTCGCTAATGCATATTGTCTGTTACAATGCCACCGCCATAAGTGAAAACTTATATATGCATGCAAATGTGCTAGAACTAAACAAGCTTTGTTACACTGTGTAGCTCTATCAGTTCTAAACTGTTCTTCCTAGAGCTCCAGTAAGGATCATCTCTTATTGATCCAGTGTTACTACAGGAGGAAACCTAAACTAAACTAACTTTAGTTATACTGGATAGCTCTATCAGTTCTAGACTATTCTTCCTTGAGATCCAGTAAGGATCATCTCTTATTGATCCAGTGTTACTACAGGAGGAAACCTAAACTAAACTAACTTATAATTTATTATTATCTGGATAGCTCTATCAGTTCTAAACTGTTCTTCCTAGAGGTCAAGTAAGGATAATCTCTTATTGATCCAGTCTTTCTACTGAAGAAACCAATCGTACAGCCGTAAAACAAAGGAAGATTATTTCATCGACTAACTTTTTTCTATTATTTCTCTCTTAAAGCATCCGACCCAGATGGCTACAAAGAGAACAACAATCGCCCCGATAACGGTCTACACGAACGGGAACAAGTACGACGCGAAACGTTTCATCTTCAACCCGAAATACGTGCGCACGTTTGACGCGTTCCTCGATCAAATCACGATGCAGACGAACGCGACATGTGCCGTACGGAAGATTTACACCCCGCACGGCTCACGGAGGGTGGGTGCCCTGGCTAACATTGAACCAGGGGGACACTACGTTGCCGTGTCGCAGGGAAATTTCAAGAAAATATCGTACGGGGAGAAGATCGACATGGGGTTTTCATCCACCGGAACCACAACGACAAAATCGCCAAGGAAACACAAAAGCAGCGGTCGGTTGAAACGATCTTACGAGGATCAAATGAAAACACAAAAAACTCTATTTGTCCATAGGAATGGCTTTAACGAACCGCCTACACAGATCTTCTTTACCAAAAGACTCCTTCGAAATTTAAGTCAAGTCTTGGATATTATTCAGGAGAAGATTCCCTGCGATCGGGCAATTGTCAGCCTGCATAAACTGAACGGAGTCACCATAAATGACGTTAGTAAACTTCAGCCCGAAGGGAGATACGTCGCCGTTGAGCAGGGACAAAGATTCAGACATTGCACGTATGATCATTTGGACACCGGGGATAGATCCCCTCGGAGAGTTAAACTACCGGTAATAAGACCCCAACGAGTGGGACAAAAGTCCCGGCCGACGCAACCCACTAATGAGAGTCAAGAAATGAACTCGAGGTCGAAGCAAAAAATTAAATTACCCGCCATAAAAACGAATGTGAATGATCCGGGATTTCACGTTGTTTACGGATATCCTGATAAACACGAACACGAAACACAGTTCACGCAAAATCAACACGCGGGTGGGAGCACGAACAGAAACACGCAAGGAGGTCCGTTTCACGCGAGCGGTGCGCAAAAGGAATTCGCAATCGCTGTTCGTGACGATAAGCGCGTGCGTGTTGAAAAACCACTGGACATGATGCCAGCAGACGAAGTTGAAGAACAACTTGATGGCGTGGATCACCATAGCAACGACAGACGAAAGCAAATAGAACGAAGGGTTAAACCAATCACAAGAAGCAACGAAATATCTCAGCAAATGAAAGCGGAGAGGCAAAGCAAAGAGACTGTAGCCCTCCCACAAATAGACAAGGTCCATCACCCCCCGGCAAACGGCAGTTCATTCCCCACTAAACCAAGTATTGCCCATCCACGCAGGCATAAGCATGCGCAGAAAGGCACCACGTCTAAAAGCGTTGTCAAAGATCAACGCTTTGTTTCTCAGGATAATAACATTGCTACGAAACGTTATGTTGTGACACGTGAACAGCGCCTGTTCGGCATGCATGGTCGTGATGGACGAGAACAGGCGAAAGATGTTGTCCACGTGTACGAGACCGGCGCGAGGATAAAGGGAGTGGAACGAGAAAACCGAGAGCTTGAGAAGCGCAAACGAATCGAGGAATGGGTCGATCATACGATAGAAGTCAAAGAAAAAGAAGACGAGATTATATACGTTGCTAAGCAACTCGTGACGTCAGCACTTGCGAACGCGGCAAAATCACTTGACGTTGGCAATAATGACTTCTCTGCAGTTTCTTACAATGATCAGAATAACGGACAAACTAAGCCAAGTTTCTACGAGGAAAATAGCAAAGAAGTCAAATATCACAGAGTATTTGGACAATAGAGTCGTCTAAATAACGTAGAAATGGGTCGATATAGGACAACGGATCGTAAATCTAGAAATCTTTGGATAGATAGAACCGTAGAGGTTAAGAGTAAAAAGACCCAAAATATGAATTAGTCTCAATAAAAACTGACCAATCACGACCTTTTTAACGATCGTTAAATTTACGGTAAAAATATGCTACATTTACTACGTAAAATAGATTGAGCAATAGCAAGAAATTGGTAGTATTAAAGAAAAACAAATTATTGTATACACATTTGAAAAGAATATATAAAAGCACAAAATGAAACACACTTCATCACGAGGATGTAAAACTAAGCAGAATGTATACTTTGTAATATGTGTTGTGAAATATAATCAATATATTAAATTGACGTAAAGAATTGTAAAAGAATTCGCCTGGAAATTGACCTGCGCTCAATCAAGATGAAATGCTAAACTGACTGATATTTCCTTCATGGATTTCGTTAACAACGATTGTCGGTAGTTGATGATATCTTCCTGGCGACGTTTCGCTCGAAAAATATTATACTATATATCATTAACGGGGTTCTGAACTTAGCCTCACTACACTTAAGTTACCGCGTTATTCACTTCTATCCCAAGTTATCAAGCTGACGAGAAAAAGCAAAACTTTATATAGTTGGCTTAAGAATCATTTATATTTATATTAACGTAACTTCTGTTGATTCTATAACACGTATTTCATTTTAATATGCAAAAATTTCATACAGGTTGACCAGCAAAAACCTTTACCATCGAACTTGCCAAACTAGGCTAAATTTCAGCCAGAAATAGGTTGATACCAATCGACATTCGCTGTGGCTCAAAGTCTGGTTTCAGATTGCTGGAAAACGTTTTTCTTTTCTTTGTATCATGACGTGAAAAGATAACTTTTAAATTATTTGCGAATTTAATATTTGGTGATATCACAGTCCACAGCACGTAAGATATCGTATATCCATTATGGCATTGTTATAAAATTGTCAAAAATTTTTAATTATTTTAAAATCAAATAGATCAGTTTATTTAGAGATGATCTCAGATCATAGCTTCTGCAGTTTCAACTTTGCAATAAAGAGAAGCATTTGACAGGTAATCGTGCAGCTCCTTTCAACTCTGTGAGCTCAAACAGAACAACACAGCCTAGAACACTTCCTCCTTGCTTCTTAACTAACTCACAACTTGTTAACAGTGTACCTGAACAAAAATTTAAAAGAACCCAAATTGGATTTCAGACTGCTCTCCAGGCAGTATCTCAGCTCACATAGGTGGCCGGGGAGGGCTGGGGAGTGCTTGTTGAGGGCTTGTTTCCAAATGGAAGATTAGAAGTCTGAATATTTTTCTGACAAATACCCAAAATGTTTATTGAAGTATTTTATTTTATTTGAATAAGCTAAACTTTCCCGAGCATTTGCAATACTATTATTGAAATAGAATATCTGCAATAATATTGGATGTCCCGGCTCCCAATACCCCAGGTATGACCTTGACTGCCTTGTTTACCCTACCTAAACTTTGCACATACTGGACAGAACTCTATCAGTTATTACATGAAGTAAGTAAATTACCTCCAGTTGCTAAAAGATCATCAACAATGACAACTTTTTGACCAGCTGCAATTGAATCTTTTTGAATTTCCAACACATCCTAGAGAAAGCACATAAAATTCTGGTAAATTAAAAATAAACCATTATATTTCACTTTAAGGGTTGTTCAATACATTGATTTATGGTAAAGATATAAGTAGATTTATAGTACCTTGCCATATTCCTTCTCAGATTTGATTGAAATTGTCTCCCCAGGTAGTTTGCCCTCTTTCCTCACAGGAACAAACCCAATGCCAAGTTTTAAAGCAATTCCTGGGCCAAAGAGAAAGCCTCGTGCATCAAGACCTACACACAATGAATAACATCCTTCTTTAACATACTTTTGAATGGTATTTACACCCTTGACCTAAGTCACCTTATAATAGTGCATCTTTTAGTTTCTTATCTAGTATAAAACAAAAAGCCTACCAACAATGACTTCAACAGCGGGGTAGTTCTCCTTTATGTGGTCAGTCAGGAGGTCGATTGAAGCTTCGAAAGCCACTGGATTCTTCAGAAGTGGACAGATATCCCTGTGAGCAATTTTAATCAAACAAAATTATAAATATATCGAACCTAATAGCAACCAAAGACCAGTAGGACGGTAAAAAGGTATTCTTCTAATACTTATTAAACGTTTTGAACAGGACACAAAACCAGCGAAAGTACAGAGCAGTATTTTGACTATTTTTAGTTTCACGTGGCAATTACCAGACATAATACCTTTAGAACTGTATACTATACTGAGAACCTAACTCGTAAATAAAAACACAAGTAATTCTTTCTACCATTTAATAGGATGAAAATCTCACCTGAATAATATCCCGGGCTTTGGAAAATCTGGAATCTCTCGAATTAAAGACGAAATTAACTTCTTCCTGTCATTCTCTTCCGCCATATTGGAACAATGGAACTAGAAACTGACGGAATTTATGCAAAAACGTCGTCGCTTGCGCAATCATGGACGTGTAGGTCATAACTGGGATGTTTTGCGTGTTTTATCACTGTTCTAGTAATTCAGAGGTCTTTATTTCATCCAGTCTCAACAACAACACAAAAACAAAGTCCATAAATAAAAACATTTACCCAAATACGCAACTATTGTATTGGCATTCTATTACAACACTACTGTACATATATTGATTCTATTTTAAAATCTACAAACTAAACTGTACATTTGGTAGCGAAGAAAAACCACTTAACATGTTATATAGTCAGTTATCAGCAAGCAATGCATCAATGCAAGCAAGCAATACAAGGCCCACCATAGATGAAGGTCAATATTCACAGTTATCGAAGTGAGAGTATTCAACTACATTTATATAAATTGAACTCGAAGACGAGCATTACTCACATAATAAAATGGGAATCGACATAAAATAAGATTTACAATATCTTCGCACTCCGATAACGGCAAGACTGACCGCCATCAATACTGGATGGCCCCGTAAGTATGTATTGCGTCACAGATCGCAACATGACACAAAAACAATATGGCCGCCAAAAGAATTAGTAGAAAGTTCCATTTTAAACGAATGGCAGCCAATGGCAGCCGCAAAGATAAACAATACACGCTTAACATGATGAACACTAGTTGATTAGTATGCAATACTAAGAGAATACCACACAGCTTCTAAAATTCACAAAACTACCAAAGTCATATTGCACATCACATCATACATTTACCAAACTACAAGGAACCAACCACAATACATCTGAACCTCATAGTATCTCGTTCTAATTTAGAACAACCTTGCTACTGTCTATCTATTGGGTGGTCACAATACACACAATCTTTTGAATCCACCGTGCACCCCAAACAAGTAAATAGAAAAGAATTTAATGAAGAGTACTCGTTCCCTCTCGTCTTAAACGGGCTCTGGTCGGCCTATCTAGGGTGGGATATGTACAAAATAGATAAATATGAGAACCTATTTGGCAAAACTCACGCATTTAACGACGCTCGTATAAGGTACATGCGCTATTCACTACAATTTTATCCAGCCAGGCTTAAAGCTGTACTGCATTACTACTATTTTTATAAGTACACTCTTACATCCGTACATAGATACATCTATAACCTGTACACTTCAATACCCTAATACTCATAACCTACACGAATGGTAAATTTCTTTCCTGTGCCATAATAATTTGTCTCAACTAGCCATACTATTAATTTAAATTACTACAAATTATATATGCAATGTCTAAACCTTTCAGGTTGGGTATTTACATAACATATTTTCTCATTCTAAAGGACCAATATTTTCTCCTCCTATTTTCCCGCCAAATTTTCTAGCCAATGGGGGGGGGTAGACCTGAAGTGGTACGCTCCAGTAAACGTAATGAAACAACCAGGGTGCGCCCGGCGCACGCGCACTCACTCCGAGACGTTCTACACATCCGTGTACCTTACATCAAGTTCTTCCAACACGGGAAGTTTACTCTGTAAAGTGAAGCAAAGGTATTAGGTGTAGACGATAAACATAAGGATTCAGGCTATCTCCTGTAGTAACACTGGATCAATAAGAGATGATCCTTACTGGACCTCTAGGAAAAACACTTTAAAACTGATAGAGCTATCCAGTATAAATAAAATTAGTTTAGTTTAGGAAATTGATAAGCCCGACTTACTTTTAATTTCTCGTACATGACTGGGGATAACTTGGTGCTATTTAAGTTCAAGTTTTTCAAACTGGTGAGAATGACCAGTGAGGAAAGTCCTGCGTCGGTCACGGGTGTTTCACAAAGATTCAGCGACTCCAGCATTGGAAGATGTTCGGCTAACATTTGTAAACCTGTGTCACCAAACTACAGGAGAAAAACAACATTTACACATAAAGGTTGAAAACCCCCCCCTCCATCTCACTCGTATCTGATGACACCCCCACCTCATGTCTCACCCCTGCCAAGCATTAACACCCCTCCCCCCACACTTCCCATTACAACCCTCACGTCTTCCCTCTGTCAGGCCTCAACCCCCCCTCTCTCCTCCCACACACCCCATGTTAGCCCTCACGTCTTCTCCCTGTCAGCCTCAACCCCCCTTCTCTCCCCCACACTCCCCCGTCAGGCCTCACCCCTCTCCCCTCACACCCCATGTCAGCCTTTGATTCACCCCATGCACCCATACACACACGGGTACATCAAAAGCAGCATACTTCGTGTGCTCAATAGTTCTTTCAATTCATCAAAAAGTTGAAAGACACTTGTATCAATCTTGTATCATAAGTCATAAGTGTACTCACATGAGTGGACCAAAGGTTAAGATGCATCAACGTTGGTAATTGAATTAAGTACTCAGCACACACGCTGGTGACGTGCGTGAAGGAAAGGTTAAGTGATCGGAGATTTCCAAATGAACCAGACTTTATGATACGTGCTAAATCTTCGTCCTCAAGTACAAGAGAAAGAACATACAATCAAGGGAAGAATATGAGATACAGAAAGAGATACAACAAATACACTTCGACATTTTTGATAGAAATGTTCAGACAAGTTATTTAGCAGTTTGGAGCGAAACTTACTGTAGATTTCGTTGGCAATGTAAGCATAGTTGGTCCACCGCGATTTTGCTAAACCAGAAAAAAACACCTTAGCACCATACTTGTGCATTAAACTTAAGGAGACTGGGACACTTTACCGTCCCCTTTCGAAGCTAGCTAGCTACTGAGTGATGATAATATAAATAGTATTCAAAATTATTTACCATCTCGCGAAACTTTGCTTTCCTGTGGGAAAAACAGACAAACAGTTAATACTAATCCTCGACAAGCCTCGCAGCATCGTCCACACTGTTATAATGCTACTTACTTCTCGCAAAGAGCTTCGTAAGCCTTTTGTCCTTCAAGGGAACTCTGCAGCGTCGATATAATTTGAAGTCTTTCCTCTTCGTTTGAAAGAACATCAACGTCCAACATTTTGACCAAAACCTGAAAGAACGAACGCCATGCACGATTATCAATATATAGAACTAGATATAGATAAGTTCCGATATAACCAGGGAGCAGCGTGGCAGCGTCTTCAAACAACTTAGCATCAAATGTGGTATAACAACTGCCTAAAATAGACAAAACACTTCTCGACGTTTCGACCTGAGGGCCTTCGTCAGGAGAGTTAGTATGAGTCACTCTCCTGACGAAGGCCCTCGGGTCGAAACGTCGAGAAGTGTTTTGTCTAATTTAGGCAGTTGTTATACCACATTTGATACTAAGTTGTTTGAACTAGATAAGCGTTGTTGTAGGGTGATATAAAATATTCTTCACAGCAGTCTAAAGTCTTGATAGATATAAGAAAATAGTGACCTTTTAGAGAGGCTAACCTGACAATCCTATCTGAGAACCCAAATCAAATTACCTCAATACAGGTCGTGTCTCCCCGAAGCGATAACAACATGAACGGTCCAAGCATCGTTTTTTTAAGTTTCAATAAAAATTTCTTTTTATTAACACAACATCTCATAATCTTTGCCACCTGGTGGAAAAGGAGAACGAATCATTACATCGCGCATACAAACGGCAGAGTTATGAAACGGCAAAGTTATGAAACGGCAGAGCACATTAACCAACCATTTGCGAGAAGAACTCTCCATCGTCTGTGCAACAAACGCCACCAGGACAAAACAAATCTATCCAGCCATCTTTCCCTTCTCGAACTGGTAACATTGTTTGGTGAACCTGGTGAAATCACACAAGCTGGTTAGGCACTGAAACCACGAGCAGTATCCTACCCTAAAATTATTCTGGACTTGAAACCTAACCTCGACACTATGCCTGGCCATAGCCGATATCGATCAAACCAATTCTATCTTAACACACACTGGTTGATTTTACTTCTGAAAGTTTGAACCGTATTCCAAAGCAAAGGCATCATCATCATTCATGCATGTTCCACAATCAGATTTTCTAGAATGATTGTATTCATTTTAGATATTCTTACCTCGCATCTGTTGTCTTGGACGAACTGCTCTACCAAGCTTGACAAGCACCTGAACAATGTGAGATAAACAATGTGAATCACTGCTTTTACCGTGAAAAAACTCGACAAACTGAACCTAATGGGGATATTAACTTACTTCACAAACTTTTCATTCTTTAAAGCTCTGAAAAGAGATGAAAATTGCAGAATTATTCATCATCGCATCACAGTGATATTCGGTGCAAATTTTAAAAATGGGATTTACGAATTTACGGGGAATATCAAAAGACGTTCTTACTCTTTTGGGAACGGTATCGGTTGTAACAATGTGGCCAAAGACGGTCTCCAGTCGTCGAAGGAAGCCCTTGATAAAGACAACACATTTTGCCATTAATTTGTCATCGTTTACATTGCAGATAATACGGTTTTTAAGCAAGTCTTGACACAATTTGAAATGTTTAAGGTGTGTTACATACATGGTCTCTAATACAGTCGTGTAGCACTTCAGAAATCTATCACGAACAGCCATATTTTCAATGGTATAACTAGATGGGAAAACAAAAAGATCAAACTGAGTAAAATATTCCTTGAATAAGAGTCTACGGTTCAACCTCATACGATGTCGACTCTCATTACCGGTTTAATAGCTTCGGGTCTGTATTGTTGTCAACATTGGCGCACACAGCGACCCAGAGTTCTTCCCTAGAATTCACGAAGATCAAAGCAGTGAGATATAGATATATAGTGTCTTTTTACCACACAGAAGAGTGAAGTACGATGCGGCAGTGTGCGTGCGTAATACACTACAGAAATGATCTAAAGACGGAGACAGGTTTTTCAGGAGAGACAGGTCGGAATGTGTTCATACGCATTGGGTGAACATGCTTCCACAGTTCGAGGAATGCAAGAAAGTGGGGTAGTAGTGCAGTAACTTGGAATAATGAGGTTCTATTGCACATATTTGCCTGAGACAAAAAAATGCATATCGATGTAATTTACTGCGAAAACTTAACATTGCTTACAATTTGCTGCTACTGTTGTCGAAAGACGAGTAGACGCCAGCCAGAACAACAGCGACCATGTTTGGTAGTACTCGAGGGTGTGGACACAACGTTGCCGGGCTATGGATGCTGGAATATAACAGAAGCAATGGTTGCTCAATTTCAGGATATTTGTGGAAAGTTTGATGTATCATAAGTAAGAAAACTAGTTGTTATACCTCGAGATAAATTCCTTCACAGCATCGGGATTCTCCTGACCACCTTGATAGTATTTTGCATATATAAAATCTTGAACGAACATTCGGAGATGTGGATACTTTCCGAAGTCCTGGATGAATGAAACGGAGAGAGAATGCTTGTAGTAATGCTTCACTATCCCGAAAGAGAATTCTCAAAACAACGACATCGCTAAAAGGCAGAATACGATGGAAATACTCGCTTACCAGACCCGTAACGGGCAAAACACCGCGTAATATGTCACAGTGCTGAATGAAATAAAGAGAATCCGTTAGAAACTTGCTTTTTGCTTGCCTCATTATACGTGAACGTGTATGTATTTCACATATCCATGGATTTCAAACTCACCATGTTGTGTTTTAATATTCTCTGTACCGCTGGGGCAAATATATCCATTATATCATTGTTGTTACATCTATCTTTACAATGCTACGCGGGAGAAAATGCAAAGATAAAATACGTTATTATTTGACTTTTGGACATCGCTCGAAGCTTCGCAAACAGTGTTACACATACTCCACAATACCTTGCTAAAGAATTTACAAATTTCTGGCGAAAGCTAGTTACATATATACTTCACAATACCTTGCTAAAGAATTTACAAATTTCTGGCGAAAGCTGAGTGTAGTCAAGAAGCTTTGATAAGGCGAGAATGATGCTTTCTTGTGCGATAAGTGATATCCTACAACCGTGCTGGGGAAAGAAAACAAATGGTTTATGATATTTAATACTGCAAAGCCCTCTGTCTGTTAACCCGAGCCTTCATCAGTGCAATTACCTGAAAACACAATTACACGTCACTTAAATATCACGTTCGTCGACGAACTTGGTGTGTGTACCTACAGGCTAATTTACTGATATGAATGGTGTCTACCTGCGCCAGTATCATGGAGACTATCTGTAGTGGGGTTTGAAATACAGCTTCATCTTGAATAGGACACGTCAAAGAGTATGAAACTAACTCCTAAAATGAAATATTGTGTTATTTGTGACAGTGATTATTGAAGATGATTAGTGATCATGATTAGTGAAGATGATTAGTGAAGATGATTAGTGATGATGATTAGTGAAGATGATTAGTGATGATGATTAGTGATGATAATTAGTGATGATGATTAGTGATGATGAAAATAATGGTGATCTATAATTGTGATTGATGATCAATAATGGTGATTGAAATAATAGTGGTTGACATGGAGATAAAAAAATACCTTAAGTTCTCTAACAAGTAGTTCTGGTTCTTCTATTTTTGAAATGAGTTTCTTGTAACGAAGTAACTGGACTTTCCATTTTAAAGAATGAAGCCACTGGTCTCTGAGATAAGCAGTCGAAGTCTGGAGTGATAAAAAGATACATTATTATAATTTTATAATGTAAGCAACATCACAGTAATCTCCCGCAGTTTTCTAATTTAAATATTGCATGAGCATGCGAGTGGCAATAATGACTAAGAGAAGATATTCAGTAAGCAGACACTGCTCAGCTTTCCTCTTGCGGGTGTGATGCCTTGTTAGCAGATGTAAAAGAGGAACAGTTGTCAACTGCATCAAGTCTAAAAAAGGCTTTGTAATACCTTGAACAAAACAGATCCATCAGGAACGGCAACACGAAAGCAGAAATGTTGTCCAGCGTCCCACCTGGCCATCACATGAGCCTCAGCTATATCCTGGTATGGTATGGAGTACTCCAGAAAACCAGATGGCTGGAATTGAACGAAGCAAAACCAGGTCAATTGAATAACATCATCAATCAATCAGATGGGAATCAAACTGTTACACATCAAAACATTTTACTTGTGTGTGCGTGTTTGTATGTGTCAGTTTATATGAACAAAAACTCTTGGAGTTCACAAAATAAAATCCAAAGTTTGTCAGACCCAATTTGGGTTACTTGGGAGTTATGAAGGGCTTCTTACTGATACCATAAATGCACTCTACCTATGCAATTATTATTACCCACTATTATTACCCTAGGATACAAATATAACTATCTAGAATTTTGAAGATATACTTTAGTTCGAAGACAGACTTTAGAGACCGATAATTAAGCCTTAGAGCCAATCTTCAGTCAGTAGACTGACAGATAGTATGCTGAGAGAAGTAATATATCAGGCATTAAGTAATAAATTTAGATTGCTTTTTCATTAAAATTAGAACCAATCAGGGGTTCAATGCAACAGACTAATCTTTAATAATATTTTGATTGACAGTGTCCCAGCTGGGTCCAACCACTATTTATTACATATGATTTTGGCATATTCTGTAACTTGCACATAACAAGCAGAATGTTTTAAAGAATTAAGCAATATTTCTCTTTGACAAATGTCCTTTTTATTGTCAGCTGACTTAATAAAATGTGTCACATTCGTCTGTATTTGCAAACATTTCTCCTATGAAGGTGATTTGCATAGAGTGAAAATTAAAAAGAGCTGTAATTAAACCGCTATCTGCAGCTGGTTTCCATGCAGGGCCATGCATTTTATTTCATTGCAGGGTATGTAAAGTGATATTAAACAACTCTAAATTATGTGTACAGTAAGTAGCGGTTTTTCCAGTATAGGAGAGTGTTATGTATAGGAGAGCATTAATAATACAGCTTTTCCAACTAATTTGTGGGCAGCGAACATTTTTTTGGAATGTCATTTTCTCAGAACAAAGTTTTTTTTGGTACTGGCTAGGTAGTCTGCAGTGGAGTAACCTAAGTCTGTAGAGCGAAGACTTAGTCCCACTATTCAAGTAATTATACATGCATTTATCAATTCAATTGGAAATTGATTCTTTTCACAGGCCGGAAACATCCAGAGGTCCAGTAGACACCATACATAAGTAGGTCATATTTACAGTGTGGTCTAAGAGCTCATTCATTGGATGGCAATAAAGATGACCCATATAGCAGTACACTGAATACTTTCTAAATTTGCCTTTAAGGAAATTGATTTTTTTGTCCACACCTTATTTTAAAGCTATTGTTTTGTCTGCACTCAGGCAATTTGGAGAAGTGTTCATACACTTACAAGACAAAGCTATGCATTAATATCAACCCATTGTGGTATATATATCATAATTCTAATTGAAGTTTGGACCAATCTATACTAATGAGGTTTGATTGATCATTAATAAGTCTAATTGGTAACTAGGAAAGAATTATAGAAATAAAGAGTGTCATGTAAAGAAACAAATTCTACATTATACTGCATGGTTAAATTGAAAGAGATATCCCAAATATATTGGTACTGTCTAGGTGTGTGTTTGGACCGCCTGAAAAAGGCATCTCAAATGCGGAAGCCAAATTGTGGAGGTAGTATTCAACAATACGCTGTTGCCGTTTCTATCTGAACTACCTAGAAAATATATCTCAAATATGGTCTAGTTTAGGAAGTGTTCTACAATAAGCTGTAATGGTTTCTGTTTGAACTACCTGAAAAAAAAAACATCTTAAAAGTATTTAGTCTAAGAGCTAATAAAAATTTTGAGAAAGGATTTTCACCACGAAAAAGCCTGAAAGTTTTGTGAAAGATTAAGCGCCGTAATATTTCTCGCAAATAATCTAAATAATCATTAAAAATGAGGTGAAAACATCAATTATGCCGAATGTCAGAAGTATATTTTAATATTGGATAGCGTGTTGAAAGCTAATAATTTTTATCTCCAAAAGTCAGATAATATACTGCGATAATTACGATTTCTACGTTTTGCAAACGCAAAGAGACCTTTAAGCTATGTAACGAAACCCTTTCTTTTAAAATATGAAAGAATCTTTCAAAAAGAAGGGAAAAACAAAGACTTGAGTTCTCAGTGTGTTTATTTTCTAATTCGGCATGTTAAAAAGGGTTAAGAATTTTTATGATTCCTCCGCTAACGCTATACTACCCGTAACGATATAGATTGTGTTGTAAATTAGAGCAAAAAAATATAAAATTTGATGCGGGAATTTAAGACCAATGGATTATATCAACAACAAAACCAAACAGGTCTTGTAACGGGAAACGGTGAAATATACGAAAGCAGGCGAGGAAGGAAAGCACGTAACTATTCTGTGGATGAAAGCAAGTAGTGCTTGGTGACAAAGAAAGGCAGAATATATGAAAATTGTTTAAATTTTATATGAGAATCTTGTGCGAGAGTAATTGACAAGATATTTCGCAATGTTTACACTTTATATCGTTTACGTGTGTGAAATGCATAAAACACAACACAACGTCTGCCCGCCTATGACACCATATTTCAACGTCAGGAAAACACAAAACCCTCCAATATTGATGGAATTAACGCTATTGAAGGAAAATGTAGGTCTTTTGTAGCGTTTCACCCACCGCAGACCGCTGCTTAAGAAATATTTCATTTTAACGAGACCGGCTATTAGTACAAAAGGTTTTAAACAGACGGTAACAGCTGTCGATATTAGACGCCTTTTCCGAACAAAGTGTAGCGTGCTTCCCCCTAAAACAACCAAACAATAAAACGTCCTTGGATATAAAATCACCTCTGCCCGGCATTGGATTTTATTTTTCACAGCAAAACTAAGCAATTTTTTCAGGCAACCAGGAAATTACATCAGTCTCAATTTTAAGTCCCAAGGAAGCAAATTTTGTATGAGTAGGTATACAACGAAAACTAATCGTTGGTGAGAACGTACGCAAACTTTGCCATTATTTCTCTGATATAATAGTCGTGCAATTATTGAAAACATGTAAATTAGAAAATAAAAAAGGACTCACTGTGGTCGAATATAGATGATACTCTGCCAAAACGACGTGATGGGACTCCCATTTTCGTAAGAATTTTGAGCTTAATATTTTGCTCAGTAAGGTGTTATTGTGGTTCAAACGACACACTTGTATATCCCCTTCGTGTATGAGTTTAAATTTCGCACCTACTCCATTGTTGCTTCGCAGCAAACCCGGTGTATTAGATGGCTTCGTTACCGACGGGTTTTCATAGCCTGCCATATTTGCGCCGTCTCTCCGTTGAACTAGGCTACGATACGTGCCCGAAAGCTGTTAAATAACACAGAAATATTGTCAACTGTATAGTTTATGCACACGAGATAAACACCAATTTGATAAATTTCCTTGACCCGCAAAATTTGCCGTATTATCTGTTGATAAAAGTGGGATATTTTATCCGAGCGACACACAATATGCATGTTTTGTCTGTTTTGTCATTTTAATTTTGATGGGTCACGTGTCCCACTCGGAAATGAAACAAAAGTCAAATGTTGTGAAATAGCGATGACAATGTAAATAATTCATTTCAAGTTGGTTAGTTTTACGCATTCGATTGAAGATTTTCCTTCTGCCTGTATGATAAAACTCTAAAACGAGTAACCTATGATACTATTATATGCAAAGAAAGAGCGAGTTAATGTATATCACCACCATTCTTTACCAACTATTTTATGAGCAATGATGCTTCATTGGTCTCTTTTTGGTCAGCAAAAATGTGCACCATTTCCGCGTGTATTTTAGCACACGCTACTTCCCCCCTAAACTGCAAAAAACTTATCTTCGGCATTTAAACAATTTATTATTGAAAACGCAAAAAGAATGACAATAACTAGGTGGAATGGACCGTTGCAATGAACTGTAATAACAGAAAAAGAGCAAGTGCGTTTACAGTTTGAAAAGATAATCCAACTAGACGCGTTGATTATGTAAGGCATAGGATACAAAGCCTACACCTCCCATCCCCGCCTCCCAAAGCCTTCCCTGTTGGTAGAGATGTCCCTCTGAATGGGCAGGTCCCAGCAAGGGGCCTTCCAGACTTTATCGTTAAATCTGATCACATGGTGATGATGGATCTCTTTCCAGTTACCATTATGTATAAATATTGAACTGTATAAGAAGGAAAATCATATCTCAATCTCAACTGCGACATGTAAATGAAGGAGTGTGCGAATATCTTGTTCCTCGTTTCCCTCGTTCACCGCGGTACACATGGTTGAAAGGCCTCTTGTAACTTGGCCCAGACAAAACTCACAAAAGACAATATCTAAAATCATGAGTCACGTTAACGACAGTTGTCATTGTGTGCCTTTTCACCAGCTCAAGCCGGTTATGGTGATGCATTAGATACTTTTAAGAGTGGGTGTTAATTTGTTTTTAAGAACTGTACTGTATTTGGTCACAAACCCTCTCCTGTGTCATATCGTAATGTTATCATTCAGAGAACCGTGACGTAGGGTCAAGCCACCAGAGAATCGCGATATTCTGATCTCTGCGTAATTTCTGCCAACAACATACCGCCGCGGCCCGCCTGATCTCCTTATCATCGCAAAAGTCGTGATTTTCTACCACCACAGGCTGCTAGCAGATCCTAAGCATACCCTGTCCTAAATATTTGTACCATGTCGTGCGAACTTGGCTGTCTGTTTTCAAAGGTTTATTGTCTAACGTTTATCAAGCATGGAAACGTTAGTTACGTAACGCATATACTTAAAGCTTGAGTGACCCAGATATACAGTGCAACGGTGTTGTGTGTAGCTGTGTTTCAAGGTAGTTTGAACGAAACGAATAAGAAGATAACGTTATATGAAACCGCATGACTCGCATGTATCTTAGAAGATGATCTATCTTTTTCTCTGTGTACAAAGCAAGCTTGCATGTGGATGTGTAGATTTTATTCCGGTTCGAAGTGATCTTTTTAATTTACTGTGGGGTTCCTTTGTTGTCGTACTTGAGCTGTCAAACCTTGGCTTTCAAATTCTTATAATCCTTGGCTTTCAAACTCGTTAATATTCATCATGATTATTGTTGTCTGATCATACCATGAAAGGTGATCGCAACTTTCGGTTTAAACTACCATGAGGTTAAGTGGAGGTTTGTATAAGTAAGCAGACAAGTCTGAAGAATTTACGACAAAATATTAGGGAAAATTAGACGGGATGCATTGTCTTGGTGAATGACTTCTAATGGGGACGTTCGCTCAAGGCGCTGTTACACTATTGCAATGCAATACTACTCTTGAGCCTTGAGGCATCTAGAGTTGTCAAATACGAACATTTCTTACAATCTGCTAACGCTTTCTGAAAATTTTGAACACTCTTTACAAATTATCATCTCTCAAGTTGCATCCTGTAACAACGCCTTCATCACGCCGACTTCACAAGTGGCAAATGAAATTAAATGCAGTTTACCAAGTGTTGAAATTCTTATTATGCATTGTTTTTATGTATATATATGCGGCACATCATTTGAAATACGGCAAATGAAACAAACCTCAAAGTAAATTTATTATTAAAACGCAGAAATAATCTAAAAACGATAACATAGTTAAGTGCAACGTAAAAATTGACAAACTTAACTTGGAACAAAGCTTAGTTTGGGACAAGTTATGCCGAAGTACTGTATTTGCCAAAAAAAAAATGCAACATGGATTTGAAGAGGAGCTGCCATAATTAATAGCACTTTCACTCAATCACAACGCCCCCGGGGAGTGTTCTGAATAGTGGGATGCATTTACCTCGATTGACACAAGTGATTTTATCGAAAGTTCTGATATTATCTGTGTTGTTTTCAAAACGTGACTTTTCTGACGAGAAGCTGCAACCTTATTTTAGCTCTGAAATATCTCAGTACTCGACAGAAATGTTGGGATATCGATGTTATCAACCCTCAGTGCCCTTCGCGGAAACATTTCCAAAAAAGACAACAGTTACATCGGCGGACCACCAATGGGGCGAAGGCCAGCCGCCAGCGATCAGTACGAGGACATGCCTTCACCCATGGATGCATGCGCACGGCGTATATACTCGAGGAAGTAAGTCACCCGGAGAAAGAATCCTTACGGGGATTATACCATGCAGGCCCAATTACCGTATATCATATATATATATATATAGGACTGATGTTTGAACGAAATTTCAGGGCGAATGCAATGAAGTCGAAACCAGGATGAAACAACCAACGACTCCAAGGATGAAACAACATCTCGATGCAATCTTAACGTATAACTACATGCAATACTTCAAGCCCCCACATGCGTGTTTTCTATAAGTACCCTAGATAAAAAGGCATAGAAAGCGTTGGCGATGAAGTCGTAGGATGATAGTTTACGTTGAAAATTATCTACAACGCATGAATTACTCTGTATACTTCGTATCCTTAATCAAATAGAGCCGGAATAGAGATTGGGCAAACTTTTACCGCGACCAATGTAAAGCTTTTATATATTGCATGAGGGCAACACTAAACGACACCAGATGGAGGCCTCAATTGCTTATAACGTCGATTTTTTAAGCGCAAATACACAGCTTTTATAGTAATGCATGCTACACCCTACTCACTATTACCTGAAACAAGCACAGACAGACATCTCAAGTCAATTTTTTTCCAGATATATCTAATTGAGCCCCGAGTGCTTGTCATCGTATTCACACAGTTCAGCCGGTGCAAAACAATGGCAGTCTCAATTTTTCAAGTAAATGGTTTCTGGTGGAGAAATTTCTTATCGCAAAGGTTCTTGTATAATTCGTCCTACAGGCAATGAATTCCTCATTTTGGGAATGTATTCCATGTGAAGGTATAGCCGTTCTTGGCACTATCATCAAGTGTAAAAGTAAAATAAAGGCAATTTCGAATCATAATCCTTTTCAACGAAAAGGCTGGTCACGCAACGAAACTATGGACATTCATTGCTTGTCATGGTAATTCAGACCTGTGGACAAACTGTGGACAAACTCAAGGCTAGTTCTATAAAGAATACAGTCTGTGCTCTATTTGTTGAACGCTAAATTTTTAAAACGGACTTTCCAACGGAGGTTTTATAAATCACTCAATTTTCGGCCAAGCATTCAGACTGACAGCCCAGCCTGTGAACGCGTTTAATTCCCCGCTGAAAGTTGTGAACAATCATAATTATTTATATTGACTCACGTTTAATCCCGTGGAAGTCTCCCGTTCCTTAACATCATAGATGGACACAGACCTTCCGCCTTTTGGCTGCAATTTACCGATTAGATCCAGCGCTGCTGTTTAAATATGCAACGACCAAAGTGAAAACACGGCAAACTATAACACAAACAAATTAAAAGGCGAAGTCTGCTTTTCGCGTAGGATTCCTAGCCGTGGTTCGCTTTCTTTCGGCACAGTTCCAATGCGGCGGAAACCACAGCAAAAAGACTCGTAAATAGTAGTATAGGATATCACGTAGACACAACGATTCGCGATAAAGTGCCGATCACAGCTTATTAGATGACACGAAATGTTTATTACAGCCCTTGACTTACAATAATGCAAGCTGCGACAGGCGACGATCAGGGATGGCAAGCAGTACAGGTGCTTGCTCGCTTCCAATTGGTCATCTCGATATTTCTCCATATTTTGCTTAATTTATATTGTCAGTTGCATGAATGATTTATTGCCTTAAATTAACGAGTATGTTAAACTCATAAGTATACGCTTTTCCCAATGGCCTAGCTGCATGTACGACCGGCGAGATATTAATGAAAAATTGCATGAGCAGCTTTTCGTCAGCGCGAGCGACGTAGCTATCGTAGCATACATCCGCTTGTAAAACAAGAAACCGCGAACTTATATGAGTCGAATCCTAAGTTGAAGCTGCTAAATGGCACATTCATTACAGCTGAAGTTAGCAGACAATTTCAGACACAGAACGATGTTACAGATAAGAATATATATAGCTGATGCTGATATTACTCCCAGCAAATACGTGGAGACAGCAATGTAAATATTGGTCGGTGTTTAAAAACGGGGAAGGGGGCACCGTGCCCCATTACCCCGCCACCTATGATAACATGTTCGTGCACGAGAGCGTAAATTGTCGATAGCATGCATATAACGATCTCAACTACGAAAAGCAGAAATATCAAAGCGATTAATTCGTAAAACCGAGATCTCTAAACTTTCGTTATTGCATGCGCGCGCGACAGCTATAGACAGATAGTTTAATTTTGAGAAATATATATTAAAAAAAACGTTGAAGACAAAACTGTTAAGAGATTACTTTGAAACCTCATTACTAATTCATGAATTTGCTGAGTTTAAAAAATTAAATTGTTCACACCTGAAGGCTATGGCAAGGGAGATGAGGCAATATCAACAAATGAATGCAAATTCAATCGTTGCGTGATATCAAACATTGGCTCTCCAAAACAGTCGCTGGATTATTACTGCATTTCACGGAGACACGCATTCAAACATACATGTAACTTACGATTCAACTAAATTAGAAATACATAGAAGTTCTTATACATACAATTAAGTTGTCCCTAACGCGTCTTTTTGAACAGTTTTAACTTTTAAAATATAATTCAACAAGAAGCATATTATAGTCTAAATATCCGTAAAACGAGTCTTCAATTCCCTATAAACAGAAGTTCTTCATCCTCAAAAGAACGCTTGCCGAATTTCTATGTGTATATGTTCAGTATTTCCCAACCTCGCTATTGTCTCATAATTATATATTTTCCCCACAACGTCAGCTCCTAAGGCCCAAATTACTACGTTGCTCGTGATCGCTAATCGTTCACGTCTTAGAATATGGAGAAACAAGTCGCTCATTCCAAAGTAGAACGTGTAATACAATATTAATACTTCAATGCTGCGTCCATTTGATGGTCTTTAAATCAATGCCGTCCTGCACCATTTCCCAAAGCGGACTGAAAATCAAATGAGAATAAAATGAGTTAGGAAGTATTTTAAAGGACAAGCTATGTTTTGCCTTTGGAACGTTGACAGTCGCACGGTCACGTTTTGCCTCATATATTCGACGCGCAAACAAAATATCTTTATATTCCCTGATTTATGTATTTATAGGACAAATTCTGAACGGACAAAACAAAACCAACCTCATTTCTCTTAATCGTTTCACATGACTGACAACTTTTTCAACTGTGTAGTCGATCTCTTGTTCTGTGGTAAATCTACCGATGCCAAATCTGTGATGATCAACCAATGATACGTTGGGATAAACATGGATAAATAACAAAAACAATATGAGCTAGAGAAGGTTATTGTGCACAGTTCACTGGTACTAACCTAATCGAGGAATGAGCCAGATCATCCTCAGTCCCAATAGCGCGCAAGACGTAGGAAGGCTCCAGTGACGCGGATGTACAAGCACTGGAAACGAATATAAAATGAATAATGATCATTACAAGTTGCTTAATGCACTGAACTCTAATACAACTGGAACGATAACTGGTGATAAACATGCGGCCAATTTTGTCTGAAGCCAGTTTGTTTTGATCTCATGCAGTGATCCCAGCATGCATTGCGTACCTCCCAGACGAAAGGGCGACATCCTTGAGTGCCATCAGTAAACTCTCCCCCTCAACATAAGAAAAGGACAAATTCACACAGCCAGGGTAGGTGCGGACTTCATCGCCGTTTCTCACGACATCCGGTAATTGCGACATTATACCATCAACAAGCCGATTGGACAACCTCGTCACGTGTTCGTGGTCGTACTAAAGACAGAAAAAATGTCACGTTCAACAATGATGGACGTCAAATTTTATGGGCATATCGGTAGACCTCGTATCGAGATTAGATTCAAAATAGACATGATATCTTCTTTTTGGCCTTATCAAAATTTAGTTGGTTTTATCATAGGCTATTAATACTCTGCCCTATTTAGTTATCAAACCATCCATCTTAGGTCAACCAGAGATCTCTATCTATAGTCTTAAAAATTTTACACACAAGTACACGCTAAGCTGAACTATTGCCCCGACGATGGCGTTTAGTTTGAAAAGTCGACATGCACGTTCTTGAGTTTATTTTAGACAGTTGATAAACTAATTTGTTTGTCCAGGCATTTAAAAAACGTTGACAGCTTCTTGCCCGTGAATGGAATCGACAATTTTACCAACGGACAAAGCACTAGAGTATAGCTAAACTTCGTTTTTAACTTCGTGTTTTGTTTGCATAGTTTTTCAAATTCCTAGATCGCTTCATCCAAACCTCCATTTCTTGCTGACTGACTTCACACGCGGCTCCCAGACCAATGACGAGCACATGAGGAACCGTTCCACTGCGCATGCCCCTGAAAAAGAGACATCATTCCAACATCTTTTCAGTTTTTCAAGGCGAAACTAAGAGCGAATGACATTTCTATAACTTAGGTTTCTTTTAAACCAACCTTTCCTGTCCGCCACCGCTGAACACGGGCTCAAGACGAACGCGGGGTCGCCGACGAACGTACAACGCACCAACACCTGGTTTAGAAATAAGAACTAACAATCAAATACACTACTCTAAGAGCTACGACCGGTTGTAAAGAAAGCTGGACAGTTATCCACTAAAAAACTGTTATTTTGAAATAATTCGGATGAAATCTTAATATTCCAAAGCAGAGTAGTTTTGAAGTCCTCACCTTTGGGACCATAGAGTTTGTGACCACTTATTGACATCAGATCAATATTCATCTCATTCACATCAACCGGGATTTTTCCCACAGCCTTGTAAAAGAAATAAAAAATCTCTCACTTTATTTCTAGGCAGGACCTTAATACTTTCCTGTCTTCTCACCTGAGCTGCGTCTGTGTGAAAAAACACTTTCTTTTCTTTGCATAATGCACCTGGTTTTTAGACGAAATACAAAAGTAAATAACTTTAAGGCATGCCTAGTATAACTAAGAGAGCTTCTGAGATGGGACAGGGGGGGGGAATCCCCAACGTCTGTCTTCAGGGGGGGAAACCTCAGATATTTCTTAATACAGTAGATGGTCAACAAAGACACATTAGCAATTTTTAGGAAGCATGATGGAAGATATCGTTTGAAACATGCAACACAGGCCACACCAGCATCGCTTACCAATGTCATGGACAGGCTGACAGACTCCAATCTCATTGTTAACTGCCATGATGGAGACAAGCGAGGTGTCCGCACGAATGACAGATTCCAGTTGTTTCATGTCGATAATTCCATTTGTCTTGACAGGCAAATATGTCACCTCAAAACCTTCAGCCTCCAATGAACGGCAGGAGTCTAGTACACATTTATGCTCCTATATTAAACAATGAAATAAATAAAATAAACAGGCAAACTCGGGCAAACCTGGCATTTTTGGGGGTGCACTGTACATGTACCCTCCTACAAACCCAAACACCAAACTATTTAAAGGTAGCTCTTACCAACAAAAAAAAAATAGCTGGAGCATTTACTGTTGAGCAACTTACAGTTTGGGTTGTAATAACATGTTTCTTTCTGTTTTTGTAGAAGTGAGCAACACCCTAGGTTGAGAATCATAACATAGAGGAACTTGTTAATGGGATTGCAGAATATTGAATATCTAGGGACAGTTCCACAAAAACAGAATTTTTAACCGTTGTGAAAATGCTCGAGAAAACTAATTAGATTAAATGTATATAATTATTAAAGAGAATCCTCATTTCAAAAATACTAAGGTCAAATCCAGGTTTTTTATAGATTGACAAAGAACATCACCTTTACAGCCAAATTGTTGGACTCTGTTGCACCACTTGTGAAAACAATCTCTTTAGCATTTGCCCCAACAAGATTAGCAACTTGCTATATTTTTTAACAATTAAAATACACAGGTATTAGTATGCACAGTAATGCATATAACAGTTCAAATAAAACGTTTTCATTTCTGATTTCTAATAACCCTTACATAAAGTAATAGATGTGTTTACCTGTCTGGCGGCTTCTGTTGCCTCTTCACTCTCCCAGCCATAAGCATGAGTTCTGGAGTGAGGGTTGCCATAATATGACACAAAGAATGGCATCATTGCATCCAACACACGTGGGTCCTATTGTGGACGTATTGAAAATGTTGGTATACTGTTTTAATGTAATTGGACATTAATGGTTGATAGAGTTAAAATATTTGCTGTATATAGTAAATGGATTTAAGCCAGGGTGCATTTTGTGTTGCCTACACCAAAGTTCTTTGGTGTAAAGTTAAACTATGCTTCATATTTCTTTAGTATATACCAACACAGTTGTTGGATACCCACATAAATATTTATCTAAGTGAAGAAAGACATGCCTACTGCAATTATATCACAGCTGCATATTTCATTTCAGACCTTTAAACAAGCCTTTACATTTCCACTATTCCACCTAGGTATAATCTAAACCTCATGCAGGCTCCAGATGAATTTAAAAATATTATATATTACCATTGGTGTGGTTGCCTGAGCATCCAGATACAGAGGTCGTAGTTGCTCATCTAATCAAAGATCAACAAAGTTTGATAATACGGCAAAAGTTATTAAAACAACGTCACTCGAGATGCAACGTGCGTATCAAAACATACTCCAAACTACCATAAAACAATTTACCTTCACCAACAGTAACCGAAACTGATTCAGGCGTGTAAGTCCTACTACAGATCTTTCTCGTCGTTCGACGAGTTACAGCCAGCAATCGTCGGCAGAGATCCAGCCTTACAAACATTTCAAAAGTCAAAACGCATCAAAAACAACAACATAAATATATAAACTTGTTCTTTACATACTGTTTTTCTCATACCCTTCTCTATCCTCTTATATTCCAATCAATACTTCATTATACCCCTCAACATCGTCATTGGATGTTAAAGGTCACAGTTTTATATTTCATTTCTCTGACAATAAAAATCACTATTTGAATACCAGGCAAGATACAAATTTCTATTATTTTAATTATATATTGGTAAATTTCTGCAAATGCTGTATAATCTTATCTCTGATAATGTTAATTAGTTCTTTACTAAGACAGACCAGCGTCCATCCAGTTATCACATGGGGCCAGCCCTGGGTGGAGCATAAAACTGAGGATTCGCTCTTCGCCGATCTAACTGGTTCGGTCCTTGTTTATGAAGAGCTCGCGCCCCCCTCCCAGATTGGGGAGGGGGGCCGTACCCCCCCGGCGGCATCTCTTCGCTGGGGTAAGGCGCAACGAGGTTAGGATTATAGCGGAGTTTCATATACATCGGTGGTACTCCTTGATTCCATGGGATGTTCTTGGCTAAGAATGGATCACTATGGTGTGTGTGTAGTCTCATTGGCTCGTGTTGAGGGAGATGATGAAGTCCCTCTCCGTAGGATGAAGATCTTTCTGAAAACTGGCTTGCGGCAGGCTTGCCTCGCGGCACCGTTTGTCGCATCTTGTGAAAAAACAGAAAATATAACAGCTGATTAATCATTAAGGCTATGTGCACACGAGCATCGTTTTCGAGCGTTTGCAGAATCGTGTTTGTCTGTTTTATTCTATTGACGCCCTGTCCACACGACCCAAGAAAAAATATGCCTAATTTGTTAAATTAGCTTCAACTTCTATGGTATATTAAACGTTACCATGTGCAGTGCACATAACCTAAATGGCTACGTCCCTTCATGAAAGTTTGCCTCTGAACTTACTTGAGATTGAAAAGTCGTTTGTCGGTGACCGAATCTCTCCCCTCTTTCCTCCGTTGACCTGGAGTTACTGGAACTAGAGATTGAGAGATGAATGTCACAAGTGGAAGCATGAATTTGAGCCCCAACGATCAGGAATACATTACCTTGCTTGTTTTGCGGCAGCAAAAAGCTCGAACCCAGTCACCTCCAAGCCAAGAGAGAACACGGACTCCCCGACCATCAGGTTTCTATCATTGTCGTCAGCATCCACGCAATCTTGCCGCCTTAATGAAGGTGGCCATGACTCCTTTCGCTGGCGAAAAAAAATCAAAATAAAATGATTCAATAAATTCAATTCATGGCATGTTTGTACGACACGGAACTAGAAAATTCATAACTCGTCAACGCTATGTTACTAACAGCATCAAATGTGGTATGACAACTGCCTAAAATAGACAAAAACACTTCTCGACCTTTCGACCTGAGGGCTTTCGTCAGAAGAGTTAGTATGATTCATAATAGCTCTCCTGAAAAGGTCAAATGCTCTAGTGTTTTTGTCTACGTTAAGCAGTTGTTAAACCAGATTTGATGCGAAGTTGTTTGAAGGTGCTGGGTATATTGCAAAAGACTTTAAATGCAGCTAAAAAGAGCATCGATTTGAAACAATTTCTGATCTTTTTCGTGAAATGATATCTTTCAATGATTCTAAAATAATAGCGATGTATTTGTTCTTTATTTATTATTGTATATGCTCTGTAGGAACTGTAAATTGCCGGAAATGACCATTCAACGTACATTTTCGACAGTCATAGTGGATGGCGGAAGAGATGGACTCCAAATGCTTCTTTGTTGCGACTGTGAACTGTTCTGTTCATATCGTTGCGACCATGCAGCACCGGTGTACTCGGATGGCGTAATCTCTTGATTCGTTGCCTTGGCAGCAGACTCGTCAGCATCACGCGCGAGGCTTGGTATCGACCAACAGCTGTAATATACGCTGTCCTGTGAACCGTAAAGTTTCGACGATTGGTTTTCCAAGTTTGAAACTTGCAGAGAAAGGGTATTCTTAGGAGCGCTTTCCACATCGTGCTTTTGTTTACCATTTTGCTCCCAAACACTCCTAGTGAAACAAAGTTCATAGCCCATTAGAAAAGCTGCTGCATATTGACTGATACTCTTACCATGGAAAATACTTCTACCCAATCATACCACCCAATTCCACCCTAATCCAATTCTATCCTACTCTATCCCATCTATCTAAAAACGTACAAACCTCAAGCTCTCGCTTATTATCACTGCCTCTTTGTCAGATTTTGCACTATTCTCTTCTTTCACCGTTTGTAAATCTGAAATTTTTAAACAAACTTCAGGTCATGGCAAACCTTGTATAATCATACTCTTCAACATCTTGTTTACAAAGTGAAATACAATATTGGCATCTTTCCGAGTCTTTCGAGGATAAACTCAATGAAACTGTTTCACCTTCAAATATTCTCAAAGCTCGTACAGCAGGTACGTTATGTCTAAAGCGATACACGATTCCTACACGGGATACGCGGAGAAGGCGGCGTATGACAATAAACAGTCACTTGCTGCCTGGATTAAACTCATACAATACCTTCAGCAATGGTGCTAATATGATGTGTTTCTACCCAATGCAATCTTTCTTCAGCAATGGTGCTAATATGATGTGTTTCTACACGATACCTAACGGGACAAAGTTAACCCAAGGCAATACCTTCAGCAATGGTACTCATATCTCCATCTTCTTTCTTTCTTTCCTTCTCCTGTTCCTCAGCTGCAGCGGCCGCGGCTGCCGCTTTCTTTTTCTCTTTCTTTCGATCTCCGCGTTTTTTCTTCTTTTTCTTGTTAAAACTCTCGCTTTTCGCCGGAGCATTCTTGTCCTTCTTTTTCCCCTTCTTTCCCTTCGTTTGTTCCTCAATGTCCCCGCTACCACCAAGTTTCCCCCCGGCCACACCCAGCTTACCGTTGTTCACGCTCTCGATACCGCTGTCCGACATCGCCATAGCACTGCACACGGACTCTGTGTCGCCGTCGTCAGGGTTACCACCACGTGGTCGTAATCCCGAGAGGAAGTTGATGACGTCACTTAGCTCGGTCTCTGATGCCAGGGACATCAATGTACCTGAGTGGATATAATGGATAAGATTTAACAATGTGTTACCGAGCGGAATATTGGATCAATACGAGATGATTCTTACTGGTCCTCTAGGAAGAACAGTTTAGAACTGATAGAACTATCCAGTATGAGTAAAGTTAGTTTAGTTCAGGTTTCCTCCTGTAGTAACACTGGATCAATAGGAGATGATCCTTACTGGACCTCTAGGAAGAACAGTTTAGAATTGATAGAGCTATCCAGTATAAATAAAGTTAGTTTAGGTCTCCTGTAGTGACACTGGATCAATAAGAGATGATCCTTACTGGACCTCTAGGAAGAACAGTTTAGAACTGATAGAGCTATCCAGTATAAATAAAATTAGTTTAGTTTAGGTTTCCTTCTGTAGTGACATTGGATTTCTGGAGGAGCAACCAAACCATATTTTAGAATAAAAAAAGTCACCTTGATCAGCATCGCGGTGCGGCGACTTCTTCCTCTGAGATATCCCGCCATTGACACTACGAGATATTAAACCATCCAGTTCACTCTTCTTTTTCCGTGCAGCGTATTTCCGCGCATAATGCTTGGATCTTGGTGGAGCGACAGGAACGTTGCAGGTGGTTTGAAGTTGGCTTGTATCTGGTTCAGCAAGACTGCGATACTCCACCGTTATCACAGGTAGCCGAGACTCCCTGGAAGTTAAAGATCGCTCAGAATAAGTAGAAGATAGACACTGCCTGAACTCTCCAGAAATGACCAACTAAGGATGAATTACAATCACCATTCTCGTTTGGGAATACTTCAATTACGATCATGCGAAAACCCTTACTTTTCCTCAAGATAATCCATGTAATCAATCACTGTAGAGTATGTTGTATTGATTTCAAACAGTGGCTGGTTATTCTCGTCTTCCAATATACCAGAAAATAAAGATGGATCACTTTTAACCCACCTGGAAAAAAGACAAAAAGCATGAGAGATTTCAGCATTAGAGAGCTGTCGGTATCCAGGTGCCAGTATCAAAAAGATGATCGTATTAGAAAGGTCTCTGTATTAGAGAGGTGTCCGTCGTATTAGAGAAGTGGCCATCTTAAAGAATTACTGTAATTGACTTGTGCAGGTAAGATTTCAGTAGAAGGGGACTGAGTATCGCAACTTCTATTTCTAAATTCCTACCACGTCAATTGTACTTCAATATTCACACCATTTTCTTTACAATGAAGACGAACATTACGGTTCCTGGCTGACTCTGGTGACAACTCAATCACGACCTAAGCATAAGATAAGGTAAGGTAGAGTGAAATCTAGCTACATCACCCACCAAAGACATGGTTTGAAAAGCTTACCAGATCAATCTTTCCATACAGCAACTGGGCCGCAATTTTTGAGGCGAGAATGGTTTTCTCCGAGCAGGCTTCGTGCAAAACTGTCAAAGTGAAACTGGAAAAGCTCTCCTTTGTAAACGGAATGTCAAACTGTTTTGCCAGTGGTTCAATGAGATTCTTCAGACAGTGCTTGGTAAAAGAAATGTGATGAAGAAAATTTAATGGTTTAGTAAGGATCATCTCATATTAATGTTACTACTAAAGGAAACATAAACTAAACTACCTTTATTTATACTTGACAGTCTAATCAGATTTAATGAAATGGTTTGAAAACTATTTTACTTGATTACCTGTCTTGATCGGACAACGTCTGATCCTTCGAGATTTGCAACTTTGTGCCATGGTTTGCCTATTAAGATGATAGATAATAAATGTGTATGGCATGTTTAGACTCAAACAGAGCCTGTTTTATCAACCCTGGGTGAGACTGAAATTATCGGGTTGAATTATCTGAATAACACTAAGTATTTTGCCTACCAACTGAAGCAACAGCCAGCTGAACTTTGGGTACTTCCTGCTGCAATGTGGCAACCATTTCATTGTACGAGGGACACAGATTTACACCATCTATAGCGAGTGATTCTAATCTTGAGCAGCAACCCTAAATATCAAATACCACAGTTAATACCAATCATGGTTATCGCCGACTTTAGCTTCTGACAAAATAAGATACCAACCTTCAAGGCCACCCTGATTCCAGCAGGGTTCTTGAAAAAGCCACCAGGGACTGTGACAGGGCCATCGTCAACAGACGCCACATCCTTTTTATAGTCCTACAGATAAAGACCAAAATTACTTTCTCTAATTTACCCTAGGCTTGAGATTTCTCTCTAACCGAACTTACAACATCTCTAGCATGGGGTCTGTGTATGTTCAAACACCAACATACCTCCAGTAATGCTTTCACATGTTGTTCAAGTTCATGCTGTTGAGATGAAGATAGTTCCTCTCCTTTCTTAAGTTTGAGCAGGTTATAAGCATCTTCACCAGGCAGTTCATTGACCCGAATACTTTGATAGCTCTATCAAATATAAAAAGACCTGTTTGTTTGCCATCAAAACTGAGGTAAAATTATAACCACACCAAGAGATATATAAGATTTCATGGAAAGCAAAGTACCAGATGCATTGGTCTAACCATGTCTAAATGGTGCTGCAGCTAATGTGGTACCACCTTCCCAACCCACCTGGGCAAGTGAGCACCATGTTGTGGTCGCTTCCTTCAGCTGTGGTGCAATCTCCCTGTCCCGCAGGTAATCACCAACTGACTGGTATTCTCCCAGAGGTGCCAACATGGTCGACATGTCACCATTGAATTGTGCTATGGTGTGCAACAGTGATAAGAGACTAGCTCCTATCATCTGAAAGTAATGGTAATCAATAAATTTTTTAGTTATCACGAATAGTCGTACTTCATTCTGAGATAAGAATTTTATGAAACAAAAACAATTCAAGTAACATTTTGAAATAATTTTGATATCTATTAATTATAGTCCAGTTTATATTGAGTCATTTGAGATCAGTGCCAGATCAATTCAGCTACTTTATTGGATATGTTGAGATCAGTTTGTCAATATAAAACGTGATTTTATTCAGAACACAGTCCAGTTGCTGTTGAAATCAAGAAAATCAAACTTTCATGCATTTGAGATCAGTGCCAACTTACAACCTTTGTCAGAAAAGAACTCTAACTATGTCAAAAGACAAAGGGCATTGTCGAAACCTTCAAATACTTAAAGAAAAACATGAATTAACATATCCCATCACTTCTAGTGCGACATGTCACAGAGCTGTCATGAGCAAGTCATGATAATCTGTGTGAAAATATCTAGACCTTTCCTGTTGGCAAATCAATCTTCTCTGATTACACAGAAGCCATAAGGGAATTTTTATTATTCTAACCCTTTGCCCTCATGGGAAATTTTTCATCCCAAAAAAGCAATGTTTTCACAATGCAAAGAAAATAACCAGACTTGTCTATTAACAAATAATTAAGGGTTGATACCCTTGCTGGGATAGGAAAGTTCCCCTGAAGGAACAGAGAAAAAATATATCCATGTATTGGTTCATAATTATTATTGTATATTATCCATATAGCCCAGAAATTATGCAGAACGTGGATTGTAACAAAAACGACGGAATTTATAATTTATGAGCAGTGTTCTGTGACACACTAAAAGCATTCATCTGGATCAGGTTGAGTTACATCAAGTGACAATTGACAAGATGCATAAAAAGATGAAATAAAAAGCATTTGACTCAGCAAAATCTGATGGAAAAACATAGTTTCTCCAAGCTGTGAAACCTCTGTCAATTACCTGCGGTCAAAACTGTATTGTCTGACCACAAATAATACGGGCAGACGGCAAATAAACCTTTCCATTTTTTTGATCCCTGTTAATTTGATCGTGTTTATTTAGTCTGAACGAAATCTTGTTCAGACAGGATAAATTGATAGTGAGTGAACCTTGCAATTCCTAAAAATAACAAGGTTTCGTATAACATACACAGCTGATATGAAACTTCGTATTTGGCAACGCTTCAGAAAAAAATACAATTTGAAAAACAAAAATGATTCAAATTGAATGCCACAGACACAGATGATTGCCTTGTCATTGTTAAGAGTCATGTTCAAAAATAAACAATTCATAAATGTATATTTTAAACTTAAATTCAAAGATAAATTCACAGGCGTTACCTTGATTCTGTTGCCTTCTAGTGAACTTAAACATTGACTTAGTTCTTCTTGTTTCCCCGTGTAATCTCTGTCCGCCGTATAAAATCTTTCTTTTGCTTGTTTAAAGCCTTTCCCTTCGGACGCAGCTAGATCCTTTTTGGCAAAACTTTCCAAAGATTCCTGGCATTTCTCATGCCGCGTCTTACAGCGTTTGTAGTCACCTATTTCTTGTTTAACAGCGGGCAAAGTCGCCGTGAATTGGGATAAAGTTGTAAGAACAAAACTGTTTATATCCGCGCTACAGTCGTTCAAAGCGGTGTGCTCAAGTTTGTCGGTTACTTGCTCAAATTGCTGCGATATCTTCGCCAACGTTGTATCGCCCAAAAGCTTCGCAAACGTGGCAGAAACGCGGCACCCGGCGCTACAGTAGTTGTTCAAAGCATCTATGTAGACTTCGATAGATTTTCCAACCGCTTCTAAGTCATTTTCAAGGTCTTGAACGTCGGGAAGTAGACGTTCATGTCGTCGACCGATTGCGTCCGCCGTCAATTCACCATTCTTCCAAGCCTCTGGGAGGCTGCATTTTGAGTCAGCCATCGTTGATATAGTCCCTCTAGCTTCCTTGAAACATCATCCTCTCGCCTACAATCCTACTTGGCATCCACGTCGCAAAACACACCAATTTCCCTTTCATTTTTTTGGACAAGTTTAATTATAAGCCATGAACTCAACCGTCCATTATTGTTGATATTGCAATTAGGAACATCCGGTTCGTGTTTCCACTTGAGGGAAAATATTCGCCACTTTGCAACTTTACTGCATGATTTGTTACATTGAACATTACGCTCTTTATAAAAACCGCAATTCAAACAGTAAGCTCTCATGCCTTTTACGAGTATCTAATAGCATTGGATACGTTTCAAGCTGAGGCATTAGTTTTATTGGCGTTTTTGGGTAATCGCCTGGCACAGACAATTTTTTATCCCTAAATTTTTACTGAGAAGAAGTTTCCGTGTGGAAAACGTCCGTTCTAATATCCCCCGTCTACCCGCCCACCTTGAGCACACGAGATTAAATTTTCGATATTTAGATATTCTCGGAGTGTTTTTCCTGACCAAGCTGTTAAATATTAATACTCGTACATGAGAATAATTATTAATTAGATCCTATGATTAGATGAGGTCAAGGTGGCGGCCACTCGAGCTAGAATATTCTTGATCACGAAAATTGCCTCAAACGAGAAAACTTCACGGTTGCCACGCAAACAACAACCGTTCAAACCCTCGCTGAGGCGTCATGAGTCTAGCTTTAAATTTTGTAATAAAAACAAAGGCAAAATCCCGAAAAAGTAAAAAAGTTAAGAAGTTTGAAGAGTATAAGGAGCAAAAAAAAGAGTTTCCATTCAGGGATAATATTCCCATTTCGATGTGCGTGAGCAATCCAGCGAATACTTTTCACAAATGCGTGTACTTTTCTTGCGCTATAAATAATTTTTCAAATATAGGTAAAAAGACGAGACATCAATTAGTTCCCACGCACGTTTTACATGTAATACAGCAGCGTAATGACGTCAGATACATGACAGCCAAAGACCACAGATTAGGATTATATCCTTATGTATTTAAAATCGAGCCAATTTTTTATATACTTCGATGTCCTGTCTTAGTTTATCAATATGACCGTCACATTATGGCCGTGACCGTCCCAGAGTCGTGTTAATTGTCAGTGCTGTATAGCTAGCTGACTATTAATCCTACCATGCTATTTTATCCAAGATCATTATGAATATCTAGTTCTTTGAGGATTCGACTGTCTCAGTTTAAAACGGGACTAAATCGTCAGGCTGGCTACGCTATTGTTAATGGTGGAGACAGCTTTGAAAGAATGCTGATCCAAAACTTTAAAAATCATCATTTTCGGTTTCCGTTGGCTTGTCTGACCGTTCGACGCACGTACAACTAGTGCTGGTCACGATGTCATATATAATACATTACTGTCAGCAGACCATACAAAATAAGGTCACAGTTTTAAACGATTGATATCTTCCAGGCGAAAATCAACTCTGAAAACAGGAAATTTTCATGCGAAAATTGAGCACGTACATCAAGTTATAGGCAAGATTTTTACAAGCTAGACTTTCAGTGCATAACAATAAAAATTTCTAGCTGAAAATATAGTCAGAGCTTCCAAAATATTTAATATTTTAGGGCTAAAAAAAGAACATTTTCTAGCCTAGCCAGTTTCTTAGAAATAATGCACTGAATTTGAATTGTGAATTTCTACCATCTGGCAATACAGAAATATTTTTCATTCGGTGTGTATGACGTGGCCTATCATTTAATCTGATAATCAGGTCAAATACAGATCATTACCATTCCTCACCTTAGAGTCATAATTTGTCGAACTTCCGTTGGTGTCAGTCTCCAGGTCAGCGGCCCAGAACTAGAATCCCAATACTCCATGATCTCGCTCACCTAGAGTCAAAGAAAAGCATTGGAACGAGTTGTAAAGATTAGCACAATCCGGTCAAAAGGAACTGCATCTCTCTAGATTAACCTATGGTTCTTTGTTGAACTCGAATGTGGTGATATAACCAGACGTAACCACAGATGTTTAAGAGTGTGTCGATTAACATTTCTACTCCAGCTACGTATACAGGGCTCAGTGTATTACATTGACAATTTGACACAATGTTACAGTTCATACCCTCTCCATATTTAGTATGGTGGCCATCTGGGTCAGTCTTGCAAATCTATCACGCACCGTCCATTGTGTGATTGCAGTTAAATAACCAACCAGGGAACGCAGTTCCTTATCGAACTGAAGACCTCCAAGCTGAAGGAAGGGACGAAAAAAGAATCACGCACTGATTTGGGTGGGCCTCTTGGAAGGATCAGTTTAGAACCGATCCAGGTATTGGCTACAATTCATATATGAATATCGATACCCTGTTGAACTTTGACTTGAGAATAACCTTTTCCAGCAAAGCTGCGATTTCGTTTGTGACTATATAAACTAAAGAGTCGTAATTTTCTGAAGCTAACGGACCCTACATTTGAAAGAGAAGAGAAATATTTTAAACTTTCGTAAACATTGGTGCGTGAAATTATTATAGCTTGCCTTGAACGCGAGAAGGGAAGACTCCAATGTTGAAATAAGATTCTGGACAAATGGATCGTTAACTTCGTAAATTGCGAATTCGTCCTGGGAAATAATATATACAGACATACGGTTTACTATGAATGGTGTAAGATAGCTTAGCTACGGTATGTTATGCACACCCATTTCACATCAAACTTAGTTTGCTAAAATTCAAGGGTAATACGATCCTCACCTCTGTTAAGTTGTGATTTATCGACGAGAAGCCTTCGACCTGTGGTTTGAACCGTGGAATAACAGCCACGTCAGCCAACTGACGGCAGCCGAGCTATAAATATAAGATAATCCAGGAGCTTTTTTATTAGGGAAAGTTTAAAAAAATTGAGAAGCACAAATACCTGAAGTAAATCACGGAATACTGTGGTCGTGTTTGATAAATCAGACAGACCGCTCTACAGGAAAACATAATATAAGAACGTTGATATAGAATACAAATAGGATAATCCAGGTGAGATATTTTTTAAACTGAAATAAACACAGACTCCACGAACCTCGAGTTTCCCAGAAGTGTGTTCACCGCCTGCTTGAGTGCTGAGCTTTGCACATTCAACCTTGAAATAGACTTGGTTAAAAGCGGGTAAGCCTCTTATGCATGAGGGCGTTGCGTGCCTAATTTAATCAAAGGTTTATTGAAGACACCGCTGAAGTTTTGCAGATTTCTTCCACCGGAAATTAATAACTTTCGTATTCACTCTCAAACGCGTCAAACTTTATAAAAAAACCCAGAATATTTGAATAAAATATATTCAAAAATTTTTGACACTATAAAATAAAAAATTTCCCGCCAAAATGTACAGCTTGTACTGTAGGCTACCGACCGCCCAGGAACCAAGCAAAATGCTCCATTTAGTGCAGTTTCAGTGACCGCGGAGCAGGGTGGTTCGCTGGGCTTTTGAATATTTAAAACTTTACATAGGACAAGCATTTGACCATTAAAACAGCGTGGTTATCCATTTCAAAATATTTGACATCATAACCAAAGCATGGTTATATTGTTTAATGTTTGTTATGAGCGGCAAACATGTTGGAAACTTTACATAGTATGTATTATTTTCCAATAATCCTTTGAAAGGCATTTGCGGCGATTTCAGAGGCCTATGTATATTTTAAAATTTTCCCGGACTCTCCTAGCAGGCGCGCGGTGCCGAGCACCAGCAATACGAAAAACGCTCCGCGGTCCCTGAGTTTTAAGCTAGAATGAGCTTGGTACTGCACACTTACGTCTAAATCTCGCTTCAACTTCTGAATATTCTCACAAGTGGCATGAAGATTATTTAGAGTCACCTGAAGTAAACAAACAAACGACTATATAATGACAGAAAGACACGGCGTCGGTTGGAGTCGGTATTTATTCTTACGAGAAATCCTTTTCTGAGGGAAGCTGTATCAACACTGGAAGATAATCCTGACTGTAGTTTGCCTTGCAGTACGCCAGCGATGTCATAACTGGGCGATAAACAAGAGCATAGATTCAATGGATTTCCTCCTGTAGTAACCGTTAAATGGATCAATAGATGATCCAGAAACAGTTTAATTCAGTGCAAATACCTTCCGGAGGGAAAACCTTGTTTAATCTTTTGTTGAAAAACTCCTTTGTAATCCGTGTCGAGCAGGGTACTAAAACAAATATTTCACCTACAATTAATTCACTATTTCATTGAACACAAAGATAATACTTTTCACATCTAATACTTTTTACTTTTCTAATGTTTCAACTATATCATGATGGTCGAACCAGCTCAACTGACAGATCAGAGCTGACCTCACCTGGCATGATTCATCATAGCGCATGCTCCGTCAACGCTGGCACTCGTGATTGCTCTCCTGTGAACACGAAGTACTGAATTAACAATTTGTGAAATTCGTGCCAAAAAGGCTTGAAATTTAGCACGCAAGGCTTTGTATGAGCGAAGATGATTCTACCTGAGCGACTTCTGGACGATGAAAAATACATCATCGACCATGCTTGACGTCACTGCTTCGTCATCATCGCCTTCGAACGTGTCAACATCGATTGCCTAAATATATAAAGGTCTGGTAAAACGCGAGCAGTAAGACGTACTGTGCCCAAGAATGAAATGAGTTTTATACCAACAAACCTTGCTCACGGTCTCCCGCATATAAAATTCTTCCATGATGATGTACGATCCGATTATCTCCTGAAACACGCCGAAAACAAACACCCGAGTAAACTACCTTCGTTTTAAATTAACACACGACCTCCCCACACGACCTCCCCATTTGATATTTTTCGTACCTGCATTTTCCGACTTAAACCGCTGTCCGTTATCAGTTTTTCCAGCATCTTCTGCATATCTAATATTGAGGTATTGAATATTGAATGTGATGCAGTCGGTATTGGAATAACAGATTGATTCAGGGTACCTTCAGCCTTGTTTTCGTCCGGTAATACTTCCATGTCCGCCTAAACATTGAAAGAAAAGTTAAAGCGACTGCAACAGCCGTGTCCAAGTTTGCCGAGGTCTGATGAAATGCCAGTATCTACTTACAACAACTTGTTTCTTCAGAAAGCGGAAGTACAGTTCAGTTCTGGCGTTCATGAGAACAATCTCTCCCAAAAGGACGTCCAATGTCCGTGGATCTATTCTAAAATCACCGCATTGTTTTTTGAGAACAGGAAAGATACTCGAAGACATCGATTGTTAGATGAAGTAATCCATACCTTTCAAGATTGCCGCTGGAGCCTTTTGATGAAGGCATTTGTCGGATGGATTTGATCTAGATGAAGAAATCATTCAAGGCAAAATCACATGAGAAGTTTCTTTTCTAGGTCTCCCAAAAGGCAAATTCGTCCTAAGGCTATTCGCTCTAGTGTGTTCAGAGCGATTCTCCCGATCCTAGGGACCACCTGACACGCAGGCTACTAAACCAATCAAGGAGAAACACCCCTTTCTACCTTTGCATAGAAATCTCTCTTATTCGTGAATTGATTTGTGATGGCCTCCGCTTGTCTGTCGCATTCTTCCTGTGAATTAAATGTCACTTATGAAATAGAAATACTGCGAATATATATACGTGAAGGTTTTCTTAAAATACTCGGACATTTTTGACAAACCTGAAGCTTTTTTAAGAGAGGGAAGATATGGCCAGGTCCTGAGACAAAAAGAGTTTATTATTAAGTGCTTTAATAGAACATTGCCATGGAAGGTGAGATTTGATGAGAATTCTTCCTAAACATTTTCATACGACTGTCAACCACAACTACAGTTTTACCCTAAGTGGACTTCCTGAAGGTTTAAAAAACGATTTCCGTGCTGTTTTATAAGAGTTTTGTCCATACCGTAATAAGTCTCCACTAGTGGCTGATGAGCTTCGACAATCCTCGCGACATCTTCGAAAAGCATCGTTATCGTCTCGGCAAACACGACGCTGGCTCTGCGATCTAAACAAACCATGGGTTATTTTTTTATTTTATGACTCAAACGTTCATTTTTTCCCCTGCACACAATCCCAAATGCACTGCTAACCCGTGTCTTGAACTTCTCTGGCTTTCTCCTGATTCTTCTGTGATTTAGTAGCGATCTATGTGAATTGTGAACACCATTTCAAGAAAATATTGCAAAGAGTAGATTACAAAGCAATTCAGGACATCAACCAAAAGATTTAGTTTCACTTTCCCCACCTGTGCGTTGATATATCTTGCGAATTTTTCCAACCCGACTTCATGAAGGCCAACAAGTGGAAATATTTTGAAAAATCTAATCAAAACAAACGACTTCGATTATTGCCAGGTTCTTCTCCTGGAAACTACAACTGTACCAGCGTTCACCTCTCAATTGATGCTCGGTCAGATTTTCTTACAGCTTCATCAAATTTCGCTGTGATTATTTTCTTGATTTTTTCCTCTGCCTTGTGCAGCAATGTGAACGAATTTTTTAGGTCGGAACCTATCAATATAATTTTGATTTCTTATATAGTTTACTAAACGTGGGATGCTCTCTCAAGTTATGACAGAATAAACAAGCATAAGGTTCTTTCTCTGTTCAACAGCAGACATATATCCCCCCAGTTATTGAACTACCTTCTAAGTCATCGCTGTCCTCCACTGTTTTTCGTAGGGTGTTTTCATCCAGTGTTAAATATCGATGAATGTGTCCAGCTGCTTGTTCATATTCTTCATTCTTTAAGGCTTCTTTTACTCCATCAACACAGGACTAGAAGAAACACTCTAAGTGTCTTGATACTGACCTAGTTTAGTATGCACTGAGACATATTTTGTTCCAACAATAACAAGTACCTTGAGATCCAGAATATCTCCAGTTCTGTCAATCGCAGTTTGAACTCTCCCCTAAGAGTAGGTTATAATTATTCTCTTAAATATCAGATGGTTTTTATTTGATGGAAAGTTCTGGGAGGACTTGGGAAAAATTTCTACATTTTAGCCCTCCGGAAAGAATGAATCATCTTTCCAAAGAGTTATACATTGGACTTAGCCATTCACAAGGGCGCTATTATCACCTTAGCAAGATCCAACTTGCGAACTTTACTGCTCACTTTCTCAGCCAGTTCTGCTGTGTGGTCAATCATCTGGTGAAGTTTCTCAGCATCTCGTAACACAACCTGTAAGTTGGGACTAAACCGCAAACATAATGAAAAATAATCTTCAGATGCACAATTATGGATGGTACTATTTTAGTTTGATCCTATCAAATATAGGAGAAAAAATGGCATAAAAATAAGTTATTAATATTATAGCTTTTCTGAAGACAATTTGATTCTACTGTATTGTATTAAATATGATCATTCATGTTATTTTTACATACACAACTTTTTGAAGAGAGTTCATTTTTGTGTCAAGCTTTTGTTGCCCATCAAGCAGAGCATCCAGCTCTCGGTCCAGCTGCTCCTAAAATAACAACTGCAAGTGTTCATTGTCATGCAATCAATACACTTAAAGCTTTATTTTGCCAGATTTTGTGATAGAATTGTGCATTAAATTCCATTTAATTGTTGTTTTTATGTAAACAAAATTTATTTTAGATTACAGACATCTTCTCTGTATATGTTTCCAAACGATGCACTAAACACAGAAGCAACCTTTTACTCACCTCATGTTGCTGGATCAATGCGTATGCTCTCTCAATATCTTCAATTTCGGTCAAACTATTTATCTCGATTTCAGCCGCCATGTTGGCAGATGACCGAGCGACAAGAACATAGACCTGGTACTAGATCAGCAAAAAAATTGAAAGTCGTCCAAGTGGAAAATTTCTCACAAGAAATTTGGTAAAAAAAATATTTTTTTACTGATTTTAGTGTGTGGAAACATTAGCTACATTTTAATCATAGTTATTGTGAAATTTCAATTGGGGAAATCTCCAAAATTCTAGGAATTCTAAATTTTTGAAATTCGAGAAATGTGAATTCGATCTAGGTTTAGTGGAAGCACTAAACACGTGTTCTCAAATTGCAACATTTGCACAACAACATGGCGACCGCGGAAGGTGCGAAGATTACCAAAGACACAACATTGAGTTCTACGACATTATTTGTCCGAAACTTGCCTTTTTCATTTGATAACAAAGAATTAGAAAATGTGTTCAGTGAAGTGGGGCCCGTGAAAAGATGTTTTGTTGTGAAAGATAAAGGTAGGCTCGCGAGAAGATTGGTGATTTGCAGTACAAAATAGGTTGAAAAATTAAGAGTTATTTGTTATTAGGATTTGTATACGGTTTTCTTGAAGGTAGATTTTGTTGGGAAAGCTTGTTCTTATTGTTTTAAACCCAGTTCGATGATCTGAATGATGCGTTTTCTCGATTTCGTAGCTAACCCAAATAAATGCCGAGGCTTTGGTTACGTTACCTTTGCTCTGAAGGAAGATGCTTTGCAAGCACAGGAGAAGGTCCGTCAAATCAATGGCAGAAAATTGTTTATCACGTTCTCGAATAAGAAACCAAGACACGTTGAAAGAGGACCTCCAAAAATCAAACAAAATGACGCGGTCGAAGGAGGTAAAATAGTTCAGTGTTCTCTGTCGTGAAACACATACTCAAGTTACTTGAAATAGCATTAAAAAAAGCCATTATTTTTGTGAAAATAACGAAGTTTAGTAAGCTCGTGTTTACCACTAACCTTTAAAACAATCTATATTTGTAATTTCCGATCTTTTGTTTCACAGAAACCACTGAAGACCACGAAGAAACACATAAGAATGTTCCAACAGAACCCGATCCTTCCCAGGAGATTGACAAGCCAAAACACAAACCTAAATCGAAGCGAAGTTCAGCGTTGAACGACGACGGTCGCACCGTTGTTATAACCGGATTTCCCTCGACTTTCAACATAAAACAACTGAAAAAAGCCTGTAAACGAAACGGGGAGGTAGAGAGGTTTATTTATCCCGCCGACTCTGATTCAAAAACGACCGCTCATGCCGTTTACAAGTCTCACAAAGATGCAAGAAAAGCTGTGAGTATCTTGAACGGTAAAACAGTGAAGGGCGAAGTCTTGAACGCTGTTTTAAGGTCCAAACAGGAAAAAACCTTCTCGCAGAAAACACTGAAAAAAAGCCGTTTAATTGTAAGGAATTTACCATTCAAATGCAGCCAGGAGTTGCTGGCGGACGAGTTCTCAAAATTCGGAGAGATTTCAGAAATCGTATTGCCTACCAAAATTGTCGGGAAAAAGAAGAAAAAATTGGGATTTGCGTTTGTGCAGTTCAAAAACGTCTTCGATGCTGGGAAAGCGTTGCAAGGCATGAACAAGAAAGAAATAAAAGGAAGACCGATCGCGGTTGATTGGACATTGCCGAAAAAGAAATACGAGTTACTGAAAGTTAGCGAAGAGAAAGGTAAATTATTTATAATAGGTTTGAAAATAAATATCTTTAGTTTAAGTTTGAATGGAGTGCTGAACGGTAATTGAAAATGTATTCTAGAAAGCGCTGAAGGTGCGCTGTAGATGTTTCTTCTTCCAGTAGCATTTCGCCAATAAAGGACGGTACTTGAAGGTCCTGGACGTTTTGGATTAGCGATAGAAGTAAGCCTAGTTTATAGCTTAAATTTCTCTTCAAACTAGATGATGTAAAGGAAATGAAAGATGATGTCATGTCAGGAGAATCTAGCGATGATGATGGTACTGGTGGTAATAAGGATAGTGGTGATGAAAATGGTACTGATGGTGACGATCATGGTACTGATGGTGACGATGATGGTACTGATGCTGATGACAGTGGTACTGATGCTGATGACAGTGGTACTGATGGTGACGATGATGGTACCGATGGTGATGATGATGGTACTGATGGTGATGATGATGGTACTGATAGTGATGATAATGGTACTTCTGGTGAAAGTACTGATAACGATGACGAAGGTGCCATCGTTAAAAAACGAAAGCTTCGTGATGCAAGGGAGGGTAAAACTATCTTCATTCGTAACCTACCATTTGATGCAAACGAGGAAGAGATCTGTGGCTTGTTCGAAGAGTTGGGTGAGATCGCTTATTGCAAGATTGTCGTGGATTCCGTGACTGACCACAGCAGAGGTTGTGCTTTCGTAAAGTTTGAGAAAAAACAAAGCGCTGAAGAATGTCTGGAAAAATATGGCGAAGAAAATGAAGTTAGCGAGGGTAAGATTAACTACCGTTTTGTCTGTTACATTTTGAGTGTGTTTAGCAAGAAAACTGAATATATAAACGAAGAAAAGTTTTTTGTACTGACTTTTTAACATTGCTTTGTGTCTGAAGTTGCGTTGAAAAGTTTGCGAAAGAGAAAATTGTATACCATATTTCTTCCGTAAGAATTTGCATGTTGACTATTTCAAATAATATCTTCCATCTCTGTTCTAGAACTGATCCTGCGCAAACGGCCACTGAGCGTGACCCTCGCAGTGACTAAAGGAAAAGTGTCGCAATTATTGGCCGACAAAGACGCTACGAAGAAAGGCCCTCGCGACAAACGAAATCTTTACCTTGCCAAGGAGGGGGTCATTACACCTGGAACCGAGGCCGCTGTTGGTTTGTCGAAAAGCGACCTGCAAAAACGACAAAAAGCTCTGGAAGAAAAGAATGCCAAGCTTAAGATTCCACATTATATTGTTTCAAAAACAAGGTGAGTTTTAGGCTCTGCAGTTTGGCTTTATTCGATTTAGTTTGGGCAGTCTCCTCCTGTTGTAACACTGGATCAATAAGAGATGATCCTTACTGGACCTCTAGGAAGAACAGTTTAGAACTGATAGAGCTATCCAAGTATAAATAAAGTTAGTTTAGTTTAGGTTCCCTCAGTAAAGTTGGTTTTAAGTTTAGCCCATATTAAGGCTGTTTTTCTTTCAGATTATGTTTTCGTAACCTCCCATTACATATCGATAACAAAAAGCTCTCCGAAGTGCTACGAACTGTCTGCGAAGGCAAACCGAAGACGGTCCAAAAAGTACAAATCATGCGAAACATGGACAGGCTTGATAGTTCAGGCGTGGGCAGGTCAAAAGGTTTTGGATTTGTTGAATTTTTGAGCCACCAGGCCGCCCTGGACGTACTGCGTGCGACCAACAATAACCCGGAGATCTTTGGCCCCGACCGACGACCAATTGTGGAGTTTGCCATCGAAAATAGTTTGATTCTAAAACGGTTGGAGCTTCGAAAAACTAAAAACGCGAAAAAAATTGGCCCACGAGAAACAAGTAGAGGACAAGACACGGAACAAAACAAACGAAAACACGAAATTGAGGAGAATGGAAAACGAAAACGAGTTAAGAAGAATGCAACAAACGTTGACAGTTCTAATGCGAATTCTAACAAGCAATTAGAACAAAATAGAAATGCGTTTAAAGGTGATAGTTTTAAGAATAAACCAGGGAGAAACAAGGCAAAGAGTAAAGTTCTGGGAAGTGAAACAAAGAAACACTTTGCCTCGCGTGAGAGAAATGAAAACAGGAATGCAAGAGTTGATTATGATGGAGTTGGTTCGAGCGTGAAGAAACAGAAACGTAGAGGAAAAAATGATCAAGATGAGGTAAAGTTTAATCAAATTGTTGAAAAATACAAGACAAAATTATTTGGGAAGAATATTAAACAGTTGAAAGATTCACGGTGGTTTGATGCTTGATTTGTTGAACTCATGTGCTGATAATGTACCCTAGGGAGTCAAGCCTGGCCCAAGTTTTTCGTAGCCTAAATAAATGTGCCTGGATGGCTGGGCCTGGATCATTAGTTCTAAAGGGTCATTCATATATAGCTAATTCCATTAAGGTCCTCCTCTGAACTCTACGACCGAAAAGCACAATGGGTTGGTATAAACGCTGTTTAAATCGTCACTATTTGGTCATGACATTTTGCATTTACCAAGTAAGGTCATGAAGAGTGTTGCTAAAAATACCACTAGCGAAAAATTACATAAAAATTTATTTGTAGAGGTGTGCTTTTCGGTCGTAGAGGTTGAGGATTTGCAGTTGTGGGTTTGACCTTTAGAGGACAACCTTGATTGAATTAGCTGTATTTGCCTGTAAATAGTCCTAGAGCTAGATATGATACATATTTAATATCTAGCACTTTCACTCTGGCTATTAACAAAACAATAAAGATTTAATAATGATTTAAAATATAAGTTTACAGTTGTCATTCTTCAGAGCATCACCTAATTATTTAACACCTTCAATTGTTAAACCAACATTATTTACATATAGTTCACTAAGTTTGCAGTTGTCAACCGTGGTTGTCACTCTTCAAAGCATCACTTAAATATTTTGCATCTTCAGCTTTTAAACCATTGCCTCTTACATTTAGTTTAGTAAGTTTACAGTTGTCACTTTTCAAAGCATCACGTAAATATTTAGCACCTTCAGTTTTTAAATCATTCTGACTTACATTTAGTTCAGTAAGTTTACATTTGTCACTCTTCAAAACATCACTTAAATATTTAACACCTTCAGTTTTTAAATCATTCTGACTTACATCTAGTTCAGTAAGTTTACAGTTGTCACTCTTCAAAGCATCACTTAAATATTTAGCACCTTCAGTTTTTAAATCATTGACACTTACATTTAGTTTAGTAAGTTTACAGTTGTCACTCTTCAAAGCATCACTTAAATATTTAGCACCTTTAGTTTTTAAATCATTGAAACTTACATTTAGTTTAGTAAGTTTACAGTTGTCACTCTTCAAAGCATCACTTAAATATTTAACACCTTCAGTTTCTAAACTATTGACACTTACATTTAGTTTAGTAAGTTTACAGTTGTCACTCTTCAAAGCATCATTTAAATATTCAACACCTTCAGTTTTTAAAAAATTGCGACTTACATCTAGTTTAGTAAGTTTACAGTTGTCACTCTTCAAAGCATCACTTAAATATTTAGCACCTTTAGTTTTTAAATCATTGACACTTACATTTAGTTCAGTAAGTTTACAGTTGTCACTCTTCAAAGCATCACTTAAATATTTAACACCTTCAGTTTTTAAATCATTGTCACCTACATTTAGTTTAGTAAGTTTACAGTTGTCACTCTTCAAAGCATTACTTAAATATTTAACACCTTTAGTTTTTAAATCATTGTCACTTACATTTAGTTTAGTAAGTTTACAGTTGTCACTCTTCAAAGCATCACTTAAATATTTAACACCTTCAGTTTTTAAATCATTGTCACTTACATCTAGTTCAGTAAGTTTACAGTTGTCACTCTTCAAAGCATCACTTAAATATTTAACACCTTCAGTTTTTAAATCATTGTAACTTACATCTAGTTCAGTAAGTTTACAGTTGTCACTCTCCAGGCCATGGTTATCTTTCTTCAAAAACTCAGCCAATTCACGGATAGTAATGTTCGTCACAATACATTGACGGATGCGAAGCTGTTTCAAGTTCTTGATGTGGTTTAAAAATTTGAACAAAGCCGTAGATTCTGCTGGTGCAATATTTAATCCTTCCAAATAAAATGTTTCATCATCATCCTCAGATGCAAACAAGTCATCATCCTCAGACGCAAACGAGTCGTCATCCTCAGACGCAAACGACGAAATCATTTTCATGACGCTATCTTCTTGCATTTCCCAAACACTTTTTACCACGAGCAAACCTTTGTCATTACTCTCGTCAATACGTCGTTTCTTTGGCATCCAGTCTTGAAATCTAGATTAAAATATTTTGAGAAAATTTTAGAAGTTTATAAGGATTATATTTAGAGAAAACGTCGTAGTATAAATGGCCATTTTATCAAAGAGAAAATTCATTCCCGGTGTAAAAACGACAACACGGACTAAAAGTGATCTTGTTTTTTGTTGAGAAACAAAACTGCAAAAGCAAGAATTTCTCAAAAGAAAACATAAATTCTGACAGCTTTTTTTCTTTAAAATAATGTTAAAATGATTTTTCCGTTTCGTCTGCAAAAATTGGAAGGTTATCTTCACACGTACGAAACAAAAACTCAGTATTGAATTCGTACTAATTAAGCTATTTGATAAATTGTTGAAAACAGTAAAATATTACCTCATATTTTTGAATAACGGCAACAAAACGTCACTTAAATATTTTAAATATATCCATTCAGGTCATTTTAGCTTTTTTTTTCTTTCTTTTTAATAATATTGAATAGTTTTTCAAGGTTTTTTTTTTGTTTTTAACTCGGTTTTCTCCTCATCTTCGCGGGTCATAAAAAATACAAAAGTGACTTAAGTGAGTCACAGCAGAGTATCACGTGAATCACTGATTAGCCAATCATATCGCTTCAAACCACCTCAACTGACACGTGCTTGTCCTATAATGCATTGTACAACATGTAAAACTATTGACCAAGAAATTGCACTGGAATCAATCAAAGTCATCAAAGTCATAATTTCATTAAATCATCTGGTAACAGTTATAATTACGTTAATAATTGTTTGAATAAAAAATAAGTACAGCAACCTCTCACAGAATTGGCTAATCAGAATCATTCATAATTTATACAACAGGCAGAGGTTTTATCAACTTTGGAAAATCCTCAATGTTGCTAATGCTAGGTAAGCAAGCTGTTGCAGATTTTTGTTGAGGGTTTTAAATTTATGCTAGCTAGCAACATGCATCAGCTATAATGCAATACTACCCAATGCGCCTATAAATTATAACAATTTTTTACCTTTTGCATATACGTTCAATCACTATACTGTCTTCATGCTCTGCTGACCTGATAAATAATTATATGTGAATGAATACAAGATTATATGGACTAAATGATACAACAGTGAATAAATAATATAAGAAGATTCCCTTACATGTATATGGCTATCACATTGAGTTGTGACTATACAATATAATTGGCTACTTTATAACTTTATTTAATTTGAAAAAAATTTAGGCATACCTTAACTCTCTCATCCTATCTCCAAGTAACCCAGCTACAAATTGGATCACCAAATGCCACCTGGGTTCATCAATGTGATCTTCTAAAAATCTTTCAACATTTTTTATATCATCAACCACATGTAGTGCAGCCAGAAACTCTTGAATTGTAAGATGAAGAAAAGAGAAAATATTTCGTCTTTTGTCTTCCAATTGATTGAACACACCAGAATCTGATAAGCCAGCCACAGATTTATCACTGGTTTTAAACTCAAAAACTAACTTGTCTTCTTCCATTCCATTTCTTGCAATTCTCTTCAACTTGTCCAGGTCCTTTTGAAGCAGCTCTGGAAGTTCCACAGTCAGATAATCCTTTTCTACTGGTTTATTCCTGTGTTTTGAATTGTGTTTGAACAGCAAAATTCTTATAGCTCTTTTGTACAATTCAGTTATTGTTTTAGGAATCTTGCTGTAGCTTTCATCCTCCACGTCTTCACCAAAATCAATGCTCTCACTCAATGTCAAGCACACTATATAGGAGTTGACAGGTATGTAACAGAAGCTTAACAGTTCTGGTGAACTCTTGATTACCTGCCACATCTCTGAACTTCTTGTGTCATCTTTGCAAAACTTTTCAACATACTTTTTTATTTGCTCCTTATTAAAACCCAATATCTCCACTTGTCGATTAAATTGACAGCTTTCATAGATATGTTCTGCAGTGGGTCGAGATGTGGTTAACACAGTGGCTCCAGGTAATAATTTTCCTTCAACCAGCTGTTTAAAGATCACAAACATGTGGGTCTTTTCATCTGGGTTGTTTATAATCTTTTTATCATTTAAACACTCATTGTCAATTTGAAGTTCATCTAAGCCATCAAAAACAAGAATGGCATTACTTGGATTCTGGCAAATATATTCATAGTTGGTCATGTTCTTGAACTGAGTTTGACCATGAGCATGACTCAATATTTCACGAAGACTTGTTTTGCTCTTGTTAAAATTACGAAATTGTACTAATGTCACAATTTTTTCATGCCAGAATCCAGATGTTTCTTCTTGTTGCCATTCATTAAATATTTTTTCTGTCAGCAAAGTTTTCCCGATACCAGGTCTGCCAACTACAAGAACAGTCCTAGGATGGTTTTCACCAGCTTTTTCTGCTTGAAATAATTGTGCTGTACTTTCAAGAAGTTTTGCATTAGGGGGTTTTTCTACATGAATTTCGTAAATCTCATGTCTATTTTTATATTTTTTTCTGGAATTGTATGTGTTTTGCCTTCCATCTTGAATTAAAACATTGATATATATCTCCTCCAGTTTTCGATGAGACTTGCGACTTCCTCCAAAGTCGTCATGCACGTTAAATAAGTTTTGAGATTGATCTGCCCGAATTATTTGGATTACCTCTGGTATTGTTTCTGTACGCTTTCTTAAAAGGTACACGCTAATGAACTCCTGATCAGTATGGAAAGTGGGTCTCTTCCATGCCGACCAAAACAGATAAACAATCTCAACGATTGTCACTGCATCGACGAGAAAATTAATCGTGATGAAGCCGACAACAACTTGTTGTTTCTTCCCACCGGTTGAATAAGTACAGTCCACAAATGAAATATTCCTAGTTGATCTTGTAACGTTCTCATGGGAAGTACTAGTTGTTGTTTTCATATTGGGCAAAGGACATTCAAAATGGGTCGGAATATTGGCTGGGATTAACAGAAATGCTGAGAATATTGTCAGTGGTATTATACGACAAACGATTAAATGGATTGTGTAAGCCATGAAAACAAAATAACGATTACAACCGCGATACGCCACTGGTGCGGCTGGTGATGCTCCAGACTGTAATGGCTGGCTTTCTTCTACGCCCTCGTTCGTCGTTGTGTTTGAATTATTTGTGAAGATGTCCACTCTATGTTTCACCAGGTAACCGTACACGACACTACATACAACGACAAGTCCAAAACTTATCACAATCTGGACATTGAGAGGTAACGAAGGGAGGAATTCTTGGGCATATTGAAGACGACATTGTGTTTCAATGTACTTCCCCTTCAATAACGAGCTCGTGAGGTCACATTCTAGACTTGATTTCGCCTCGAAAACACTCGCGATTCCAACCAGAACCACACCAATTGCTACAAACAAAGCAAGAACTACTGAACTGTACGTATTGTAACAGTTACGAGGAATCAGTTTAAAGCAATTTTCCATGTCATTCTTTACAGTACTTTATTCTTTGCCAGAAGATTAGATTTGGTCACTTGACCACCACCCTGCTGTTATTTTGCACCAACACCCTCCAGGACTCATATAATTGGTTAAAAACTGACCATGTGAATAATGATGGTCATTGTTTGATAAGTAATAATATGCCATATTTAATTATTCACTTTACTTTTGTGCTGTGTAGCCATTTCTAATTATCATACAATCTGTTTACACTTCCATTCAAATTTAGAACTTTATAAAAAATAGAATTTTATGTCCTGTAACCCTCAGAGGAAAAGAAAGTCATCCAAACTCTGAATGAAAAAGAAGATATTTGTAACCTCAACTCTTAAAGCTAACTGACTCAAAGCTTCCAACAAGGTTTACTTGTGATGGCCAACCCATGGTATTTACACACATCCCTATGGTATTCACTCCTGAGTAAAATGTCTCGAGCTTTCACGAAAACCTGGTTATATATCAACCTTGTGCAGAGGCAAAAAAACCCTAAGAAAGTCACACATAGTGTTTCAATATATGTAGATATATGTCACAAACTGCAAGAGCAAGCAATATATGCCAGGGTGCATGGCAAGAAAGCAATGAGATACAGCATTCCTAATGCATTTGCTTTTCTTTGTGACTGACCTCTGTATTAGTAGTTGAAATGATACACATGTACATTTGTGTAAGTTTACTGCATGCTGACGTTTGCTACTGCAAATTCAATGATTTTTAATCTTCAACAGTTTTGAGGGTAAGCTAGCCAACACCAACACAGTGCTGTTACTCTGCGTTTACAAACTAAAGCAACTGTAGTATAATAATATCTCGAGTAATTATCTCTCAGCTAAATTTACACCTTGTTGTAAGTAAGCACTGAATTTGCTGAGCACTATATCTCAGTATGACAGATGAATTCTTTATTTCTGGTTCCTTTAACTGGTGATTGAATGTTCTACCTTGTTTTATTCATCCCCAGTCAAGCTAAAGCATCAATCCCTTAATTTTTTTCACTACCAAAAGCTCTAAGATGATAAATAAAATACTCAAGCTGATACATCATGTTAGGATTGATATAATGAAATGTTATTGAATAATCCGAACAGCATTCTGGGCCATCTTTATATGGATGAAAGTTATAACTCCAGAGCCAAAAATCTTTGTTTAGGTAGCCAGGTAAGAGATGATGCTCAGGAGGTAATGGATGAAACATTTCTCGCCCTCTTTCGTCCAGGGTATGACCAGCTTCAACACCTACTCTTGCTAAACATCTCCCAACCTCCACATCTTCTGCAAAACTAGCCTCCGGGCAGCGGGCTTTATCTTCGATAACATCTGCAAACCGGCGGACCGTTTCCCGGCTAAAGATGTACCCGGCACCCCCGCTGTTGTAGCTTCCGAATGGCTTGAACTTCCGACCAAAGTAATATGGCTTCTCTGAATCATAATGTGAAACGAAATGCCGTAAATTCTCCACAATGGTAAATGTATCATCATCTGCTTTCAGAAACCAGTCTGCACGGTAGAGATAATGCTGTTTGATATACTTCCATGCTGCTTTCGTTTTTAACCATAAATGTTCTCTGCCTTCTGGAACTTTGAGTCCAACTGCAGGTAAACTATCATCAGTTTCCGAGCTCATAAACAACAATATATTACACCGTTTACCCCAGGTCTCCTTGATTGGCTTGCATTTGGTTTTATGATTCTTAGGGTTGGTCATAACCCAACAGAGAACTTTGGTATCTTTGTACTCCTGTTGAGCAGCATCGTAATTCGAGCTACGATGGTGATGCGTGTCGTTTGCATCCACGTTAAAGGCTACAGGTTTTTCTATGGTAACTTTACGACTGTTAGGCAGAACCCATTGGGACGGTTCATTAGCACGGTTGTACATGACCATTAAAAACATCCCAACAAAAACCCCGACGCACATTGAAATAATCGCTTGCTTCATTTTCACTCATACCTTTACCACAATAGCACTTCCTATCTGTCCAATTACCCTCTTATTGCAATTATCTGTCGTCTGTTTGACTTAACAATTTAATAAAAGAAAGATATATTGCGTTTTAGAAAGAAGCTTTGTTCAGCTGTGACCTGACCTGCTCTTTTATTCTTCCACAATAATTAAATTTCACTTTTTTCATTTCAACCTTTTTAATATTTCTGTCTTTCATCTCGTGTCTTTCATCTTGCATTGTTTTCTCTAGTCATTGCTGATATATGTCTGTTCTTTTAGACATTAACTACTTCAATTTTACACTATATTCGACTTTCTTTTCCAAATTAACTTTTTAGAGCTGATTTTTCTTCATAAGAACTGGAAACATGACTCGGAAATTTCCCGCGCGAGCCCGCGAAATCCCACGTTCGAAACTTAATTTCCGGTTTTGTAAAGTTGCAAGTTAATTGATGTTCGAATTCAAAAAATGTTACATTTGATCGTAGAAGCCTAAATGTTTCAAATGGTTAGATGAGTCAAAGAGAACATCCTTAGGTAAAAGTAGCTTAGACTTTTGATTACAAAGTATTGTTGGAAGTAAATACCATGTTTTGTAATTCTGTACAATGAAATTAAGTTTACTAAATTAAACTATAGTCCATAGATGAAAGTTATTTTGTATACGTGCATGTATTGTCACTACTGTGTACTGTTTCTACATGTATATGCAAAGCAGAATATAAACAATCAATGGACGTATAGTTAAATTCTAGGTTATGATTAGGGAAGATGTTCAGTTGCTTATGTATCAAACATAACCCAAAAATGAATGATTCTTAACAAAGCAACCAGAAGTCCACCATTCTGAGCATTCTCTACTGTTTTTTTTCCAACTAGAACAATGTTATTGTACATGGAATACCTGCCACTAAATCCATTTCATAGCTTTCACTCCACCATGAAATAGTATTATACTCCATCTCATTCAATGTTATCTTGTCTTCTTATGGTATATTTGAAATTTATATAAACAAAATATTTGCATTATTGATCCAGCAGGATGGCAGTGGCAATGGATAAAGGAAGAGATGTTTTTGAAGATTCGTTGAGTGAGAATAACGGTATGTTTGAGGTTGAGGTTGACATAAAACAGTTTGGCAATGAATTCAAGAGAGAATGCATTCAATAGTTGTTCTTCATTTTCATTTCCAGGTTTTCAAATTGATTATGACGCTGAGTCAAGTGCATTTACTAATGAGTGCAAGGAATTCATGAACAATTTTGTCTCAAAAATATTTTCTGGAAGGTAGTGGAATCTGCATTATTGGATGTCTTGTTAAAAGTGATTTATAGTTCAATGTTTTTACCTATCATAAATGTAAAATTTCAGTGATATAACTCAAGAGGAGAAAGCACAATTTGGAGTAATTTGTCAGGTTTGGTTCTACTGAATGAATATATAATACATTGAAAAAGTTTTGAAGTTCACCAGAAACTTACTTATATTAATCTTACCTAGCATTCTCCAGCAAGACGATGGTTTGCCCGTTATATTAATATGCAGGTAGGCAGATATTAATAAACCAATTGATTAGAATGCCTAAGGTATCTCGCCTGCTTGACACTAATAAATCAGAGGAAAAACGCAGTGTAGCAAAATGACAAGGATTATTTCATTTTTAGCGGGTTGAGAATAAATGCGTGGATGAAATCACGTTTTTCAGGCTTGTGCAGTATTTTGCAACAGTTCTCTTTGAGTGAGTATATGAGCACCTATACCATACATCATTAATAGAATGAACTGTCTTACCATAAATCATCAAGTGAAAAAACTACCTTATATCATAATGAGTTGAGTACATGGTCATGGTGTACCTACATCTGAGACTTGTTCTGGATAACCTATTCTCATACCAACACTCAACTGTTCTTCTCCAGATGTCACCAAGCTGACGATTTTCCTCCAGCTAAAACTCTGATGAACATGTGCTTCACTTTCTATCACGTATTTCGTGCAGGTAATCAGTTGTAAACACTCAAGCTGTTCGGAAGAGGTTTCCGGGATAATCACTGGATAAGCTCCAAAGAACGGATTGAAAACAATAGACAAGGCACTTTCATGTGATCCAGGTTCTTAAAATGCTCAAATACAATGCTTTTTTGCGTTTCAGGTAAAACTGTCGAACGAAAGGAGTTTCTTCATGTCTTCTTAAGAGATCAACCAATCTGGTGCGTATTTGAATGAACGTAAGGTTAGGTGAACTTGAAATAGGAAACCTTATAATACGCATGGACTAGACTTGGGCAGCAAGCCATAGCTCCAAATCAGAATATGTTTGTTTTTATTCAATACAGGCATGGATTACGGTTTTGGAATGCGGCATTCCTCGATTCTGTCCACAGTGAAAAGCACAGTCCAGTTTTACCTCGGTATGCGCTGAGTTTAATGTTGTAAAATCGTCTATCTTCACTCGGAGCAAAAGCAGTTTACTTACAGGTTTATTCATTAATGATTTTACCCAGGTCAGACTGGAACAATCTATCTGAGAATGATAAACAAGATCAAAGGGATCATCAGAAAAATAGTATCTTTGGACAACTTGGGTATGAACACATTCGCTTTGAAATATTTATGTCGATTTATTTATTTTAAACGACGCGACTCATTTATTCCTGTTTGTTTCCAGAACATTTGCCAATAATATGAAAGCTTTTGGTCTACCAAAACCGACCTGTGAAGAATTTATCCAAAAAATGAGCGTTATCGGTGAATTAGACAAAGGTAAATCGCGAAGAATTCTCAGAATCGCGGAGAATGTATAGCAATGACAAATGCTGCCAAATTCTCTAACATGTTTTTGTCTTTCTTTCTGCAGAGCAAATCGCATTACTTCAAAAAACTTTTGAAGACTGTTAATATATATATTGCATAGCCATATAGACCGTTTGTACTTTCGCACAAGGAAGTTAAACTGTCTAGAAGCATATTATTATTATTCGTATGGAATTGTAGTTATTCGATAAACACTATATTTAGTACACTTGCACTTTTGTACATCAAACGTTGTAAATAGATTCAAATAAAGAAATAGGAGATCGAGTTGTTTTGAAATCATTCTGCAAGTTTTACTAATGCAACCAAGGTTGGGGATGCCTTAATTTCTGCTAGTCTGACCAGCCGAGTTCTGCTTTGCAATTTTTTAATCATTTATTGGCTTCTGACACTCTGAATTCTGGACTAAATTTGCGACAGAAACAATTTGAACATCAAAGTCATTATTCTAAAAATTGTACTACATCGTAGTAACTTGACAGTACAATTATACATACCACCAATTATAAGCGAGTCTTTCATTTTCAGCTAATTATGAATGTTATAATATTGCATACCTATCTATTCATATTTTTAATTACAAAAAAACTCTAAATTTTCTGATTTGCTCTCATTTCATTGAAAAACGAAAATAATATCACGTAAAATCTTGACGTCTATTGGCAGACATTCATAAATAGATGAATTTCTCAAGAAACGTAATTCGCGCATGCTCCATGCATGTAGCACCGTCCGAACCTTTAAAATTCTATCACGAATATAATTGAAAAATAATCAGCGGGAGCGCAGGTGCGTTTCAAATTTGCCCTCCGAGATATATTCTTGAACAGTTAAACTGCAGCTGAGACAACAATTATTTCAATTTTTGATTTCAAAGAATCAGTGCGATTCTTTTCTAAGAATCGGAGCGATTCTTTCTCCTAAAAATATCCACCATCTTAGGTTTTGGTGAAACTTCTTTAAGTCTATGAAATTTGTTCAGGATGGCGCGTTTGACGTCCTCGTGGACTTTAGATGTGGTTGGGCTTGGCCTGTAATGAGAAGTAAACCTTTGTATGAACAGCTGCGCTTAAGATCGGTTCACACGATCCAATTTTGTTGGATCCAATTCACTTCTGATGGATGTTTTATAGTTTGTTGTCTTGTAATGTATGTGGACAGCAAATCGACTTAAACCAACGCAGTGCTGCTTTATCAATAACTGACTTCGTTCCATACGTCAAAAGTGAAGTGGATCGAACAAAATTGGATCGAGTAAACAGTGTGACACTATTGTATGAAAGCTCAAGACTTCATTCACGAAATAAGCCACGCGAATTTAACTCGTAAGAGAACCTAGTTTACTCCTACGAAGACGAGTTTGACTCGACTTACGAGCACGCATGTAATCGTACGAGCACGAATTTTCTTTGCACGAGCACGCATTTAGCTCGTGTGACACGACCGACACGAGCACGCATTTAAGTAAGCAGTTTACTTGTACCGACACGAACTTGACTTGAACGCGAACACGAACAAGCGAACACACGAGAAAACTCACCCTGTGGTCTTTTGGTTGACCAGTTTATCCTCGCAGTCCTTCATCAGCAAACTGACCGTCTCCTGAATGATTGAAAATAGTAAGATATATCACATTACGCAAACCTCATTGTCAGGTGATAATGATGGTAATCTAGTGATAATTTTACCTCATACTCAGGTGCGAGTGTCTCAAGATCTTGTTTCAAATAAACGAGGCCAGGAAGAGTGTTATTACGTAAGATATCTTCAGGAATAACTAACACACGTCAAGGACAGAATATTCACTCAGAGTAACACGCCATTTCTTTGGGAAATGTAGAGCTGAATCACTGTGGTATTTACTCAGGAAATGGGGAGAGAGGGGGGGCAAAGGGCTTCAGGATTAAGAGACCCAGGTTAAGGGCCCCTTGATTCTTGTAGGGTGTTTCCAAATTTCACAGCAAGGTAAACTATATGGGGGTTAACTTGTAGGCTATGTACAAGACGTTGACTTATTTATGAAAAGATTCCTCGTGATTAAAGGATACAACAGCATGTGAGGGATGCGTAGGCTTCAAGCAAAGTTACAGCGAGTTCTGTTTTCTTCGCCTCGTCCTCAGTATTGCCATTTCTCAATACGAGTTCTGTCAGTTTCGGATGAAGAACTAACGAGAAGAAAGATCGTCACACGATTGTCTTTACCCTAACTCCGACACACGCAGCCTTCATACGATAATGGGGATGAGGGAAATGGTGAACAGTTTCACGAAATTGAGAAAATAATCATAATCCAAAGAACTAAATTAAAACAGGAACAACTACAATTCATTGGAAGATTTTCATGATACTTACAATCATCCCTGAATCGAGGCTCTGAATGTGGTCCAATTTTTCCAAATGTTCGTATTAGGGCTACCTGTAGCTCGTGTTGATCGTAATATGACGGATCACTGAGAAATGACTGGAACTGAATGTGAATCTTCTCCAGCATCTGCAAACGTACAAAATAAGAGTGTTTTCACTAAAGCACCATCCAGCTTTCCTACATCCGGCTCAAGGTCTTTGAACATCAAGTGTACTCTAAATAAACCTGGAGCGCTAATTCTCTCAGTACGGGACTCGACTCTATTCAGGTTCATAAACAGAAAACTTGCAGTTTACGACAAACCTTTAACACCGCAAACGGCAAAAGTTATCGAGTTTTCAAATGTGCATTAAGTGTAAACTATAATATTGACTGAATTCCAACCAACAAACCTCGTCATCGCTGATGTGCTCCACGATTGACCCAAATGCTGGAACAGTTGAGATACGAACTGATCTAAGAAAATAGATTAAACGGATGCCAAAATGAAGAACACTGCAGAAAGCAACGCCAGCATGATCTGCACGCAGAGAACTTTAACTGTTATGCCTTACTTGTCATTATCCGTGGACAAAGTAACGAGGGCCGGTAGCACGCGTTTCATAATCGAGGTTTTGTTCAAATTTTTTATCATTGTCTGAAAGAAAATGGGCGTTATTGCAGTCGTTTGAACAGAGAAGTTATTCGCCAGAAGTCAGGTTACCTCACCTGCAGTAAGTAGGGAACAACAGATCTCACGCTCGGCTCAGAATGTGTAAGAAGACCCCAGAGTGTTTCAAAGAGAACCTCACACCAGATTTCATTTGAACTGAAATATAATACAGGGAGAAAGTTGTATAGAGAAATTAATCCGGATACTATCCCGAGTTACCCCCATCATATGAAAAACATACCTCAATTTCTCACAAACCAAATACAACGAATGCTGGTCTCTTTTCTGAGATGCAAACGACGTGAGCGTGTCATTCATAAACGACTTCAAATTTTCTTGATCCTCTTCCTGGAAGAAACACGCGAAGATTGACTGAAACCCCGTGAAACACGATCATTTCAAATCGTGAAACACAAAAAGCCTTCGCCAGTTGTATCAGAGCAAAGCCGTGCATGTGGACTCACTTTTGAATACGATGTCAAAACACCAAGAATATACACGGGAATAATCGCGCTTGAAATAACCTGTTGTTTCTCTTCCTCACTGAAAGCTAAACAAGCAAAATACAAATCAAACGCGTGCATATTTTTAAAAACGGAAGAAAGGCTATCCAAAGAACAAAGATGTAACAAAGCAGACAGACGTCACGGCTTTAAAACATGTATTTACCCTCGTCCTCTTCAAATATACATTTGAGTTCATTTTCAAAAAAAGGTTTCACCTTTATAGAAAAAAATTAAAAATGAAGGTAAGATCACAGCTGTCAGTATATAGAAGTAGTTTGATGTCTAACCAAGGCTAAATCATCGCCGTGAATAACCTGAATCGCACATCCAGTAAGACTGCAAATTGGGAGTCACAAAGAGCGCTGCTATATAATAATATTTTTCTATGCTACTGTATGCTATACATAGATCAGTGTCCTATCTAGATCCAGGTCTCCTCATAACTTTGCTCTTACCCTATTTACAGTATACACGTGACCGAATACGTGACACATGCTTTGAAAAAATTCCGAAAATCCATCGATCCAGTCCACTTGCGCATGATGGATTCGACCTAAAAGAAAACAATAACCAATAAATCTAGATTTTATCCTGACTGCAGTGACACTGGATTGATCACTCAACCTCTTGAAAGAACAACCATTGAGCTGACAGAGCTATCCGGTAAATATAAAGTCAGTTTAGTTTACGCTACTTTCATTACCTAAGAACGAGTAGATCCTCGCCATACTGGAAAGAAATAGAAAGTGAAATTAGCCTCCGATTAAGAACTGATTAAATTTAGTCACACACGGCTGTCAACTCACAATTTATTTCCAATCCAAGCCAATGATTCCCAGAACGTCTGCGTCTCCTCCTTCTCGAGCCAGCGGTCAAAATACTCCAGGAAGACGGCAAGGCGACCAGCGCCCGCAAACAATATCGTCATATCAGTCAGCGGAGAATCTGAATGGTTGATACGATCATCTGGGTAGAAATACAACACAGGGTTAGGTAGTTAACTTGAACAGACAAGGATGCAGTTGACTGTGAAACTTTACTCAGCCCCTACCTGATAGTGCAGTTTCTTGCTCTGAAGCATCGCATTCCGTTCGAAATGGAGCTAAAAAAAGGCAGGTTCAATTGAAAGCTAAGCATAAATGCAACTAATAATCGATTTTCTCCAAAATCGTTTCGTAAAAACAAAGATCAGTGATTTGTCAAACATTAAAAGATTGGACTTTATCATTCAACAAGCGAGTCGGTCAATAATCTTTACCTCTGCTGAGAACGTCAGTCATCAATGCTGGTACGGAGTTAGTCAGTGCGCGGACATAGAGAAGAAGTCTGGAACTAATAACTTGCATCGTTGATTCAAGCTCAGTCTCCTCGTCATTCTTGGATTCTTCGATATGAAGAAAATCCTAAAACGCGAACGAGGCATCTTAACTCAATCCCTTATGAACAAGACAATCGTAACTCAGCATCAATCCTTCATCAAATCCTAACCCCAAGGACCCCCCTTTGAAATCTTAATAAATCTTAATACCCCATAATCCCGTATCTCAAAATGTTCAATCCAAAAATTTAATCCCAAACCACCCTTCATCTAATCTTAAACTTGACCCAAATACCAACCTTAAATCTAATGCTGAACTCAATCGCATGCTGACCCTAAATCTAATCATAATCTCATGTATACTCACCAACAACGTCAATTCTAATTGTTGTAAAATTAGTTCTAATAAATCTGATTGTAATTTATCCAGCTCGTGTGCCCAGGCCAGAATTGACGGTAGCAAAACATTGAGAGTCGCCTCTCGTACTTCCTCAGAATTATCACATAACGCTTGAACCAGCAACTGTTCTGTCTGAGGAAAACAACGAAACATCGTTAGCTAGACGTTTTTATCACAAAAAAAACTACTCGCAAATTCTTGTATGTAGTTGTAATGAAGCCAGAAGCAGGGAAGTTAGGAAAATACCGTAATACCTCTTTGTATTTCGTTGATGATTCAACAATCATCAGAACCAGTGCTAGGCTCTTGATGACCGTCGCTCGCACGGTATCGTTGCGATCCTCTGCGAACATTTGTTTCAGCATCGAAAGCAAGAGAGAGCTGACGATCTCGATCTGTTGAGAGAAGAAAGCATTCTTGAAACTCAACCTAAGACCCTTGGGAAGAAGAACGGCGCATTAAATCATTAACAACCATCTATGAAACTCCACAACAGCAACCATTGAACTCTGCAGTCACAGAGAACCACGACCACAACATTCAAAAAAGCACATTGTTGCCAGGTATTTTTCTGGCTGTCGCAAGTCGTTTTAGCGTTGTAAATCAGTTTGAAAGCAGATCAATATTTATGACGAAGATGCAAAAGATTACTACACTACAACTTACAGGTAAATACTGCGAGAGTGTTCCACAAGCCTCGGCGACAAGTTGCCGTCTCTCTGGATACTTGTGACTGATCTAAAGAAAAAGAATCGCGATTATGTTGTACTTGTATCGCATCATTTGAGAAAGCCTATTTAGGTTTGAAACGGGTGGGCATTCAACAGCCAGCCAGGCTCACTGAAATGGGAACGAGTGAGACATGGCGAGGAGAATGCTGACCTGTTATTTACTGGACTATGATATCAACAAACATCATTACCTGTTCCCAAAGCTGGGGAAGGAGTTCAGCTTCAGTGCGCATGTGTCCCACCACATGAGCAAAAGCGGAACAACCAGTGATTATCATACGTCTACAATATGGAACCGATAGTTAGAATAGGTTAGAACAGATCCTAAGCAGGACTGTATCAGATAAAGATAAACTCAAGATCAGCTTAGGATCAGACCAGTCACAGATGGGGATAAGCTGAGGATCAGATCAGGATTAGCTTAAGATCGGATCAGGATCAGATCTGAATCAGATCTGGATTGGACCAGGATTAGACCAGAGATTATATCAGACTGGAATGAGATCTATAAGAGATCAGCGAAATACCTTTGATCAGCATCAGGTCTTTTGATGAGGTTTACTAAAGCATGAAGAAGTTTATCTCTTTCTTTCTCCTCAGGATGATGAATGGCGGTGCACAAGATCAACGGCAGCAACTCCTAAAAGACATCATTTCTATCAATGTACTATCTAAATCTTTACTTTTTGTCTTAGTCGATGTTTAATAGGATCTGCCTCGTAGATGATATTGAAGTTCTTAAACCTGAGTCGTCTCTATTTTAACTACCTCTCGTTTGTTGAGCAAAACATTCGGTACGATATGTGGAAGGCATCGTGCTAAAACCAGGACGGCGCTTTCTTCAGTCTCCGCCAGTCTTGTCACCTGAATGAAAAAAATATCTCCGTCAACATGTGGAATAGCAGCGCAGTTTCATTCAAGAACATTGCTTTCCTTTTGTCGAAACACTGGGTCCGTTGAAAGACGAACTGTGCTTGTTTACATGCAGTAAAGATCAGACTATATGAGATCTCATCCAGCATAGAAAACGCTGGTTTAGTTGACTACATATTTACTGAATATTCTCACCTCATTACTGACTCTACTGTCATGTTGAACTTGAGCGATGTTGAGTAAAGCTTGTTTCAAAATCGGACATATTTTTCTATCGCAAAAAAAGACGTTTTGAGAAAAACTATTCAATAAAAAAGGACATTCAGAAAGCAATTAAAAAAAATCTTGTCACCTTTGACTCAGAACAACACTTTCACTTCTTGAAATCGGTTTGGGAGTCTCGGTTTGGCTAATAGGAACCTTGAAAAAATATATTATTGACTTGAATTTCAAACAAAATGAATGGACAGTATCCTTTAAACAACACAGGGAGATGCAAAAAAACTCAATCACAGATTGAAAGAGCATACTTCGATTATTAAAATTACAAAGTTTTGTTGCAATATGTTTTGAAATGTTTTCAAAATCAACGTTTTCAGAACATCATGAATGTTGTCTAACCTGTGCTGGTATGACGTCATTTCTATCATTGTCCACGCAATTTTCTTCAGCGGGGGTCAACCGCGGACCATTTTGAAGCGACTCAGATAATCCCAGCCCACTATCGTTGCATTTATTATCGCGGTCACCGTTCGCGGTTTGGGAAATGTCGGGCGTTGAGCTCGCTTCAACCTCCGCAGACGAAACGTCTTGATCTGCGTTGTCTGTTGTTGATAATCGCTGCGTGGTCTGTGCCAGCTCTTCAGTGAGATTGGCGATTTGTGTCAGAAGATCAGCCTTCTCTTCTGTCAAACTGCTGATCTGCCTGGAACAAGCAAACCAAATTTCAATGTCATATGCGAGAAAAATAACATGAAAATTGATTGATACATGATAGTATGAGGATTGTTAAGACCTGTTTATGCTTGCAATTTTTGATGTGTTTTCATGTGTGATTTTCTCCTTTTGATAGATGAGAACGAGTGAATTAGTTACGGATGTCCAAAAAGAGCTCTGATACATCAGAGCATTTGTAACTTATTACTCGTTCACATCTATCAAAAGAAGAAAATCGCAGCAAAAATCGCAAGTCTAAACGGGCCTTTAGGCTTTACATGAAAATTTTAATAATTGAACAACAAACACTATTAGAGCGTAGCTTTTCTCTAAATCAACCACCTGCCCTTTCTGTGGTAAAATAATTTTCAAATTAACAATGAAAAGATCATTTTTCTTACTCTTCAACAATTCTGCAATTTTCCTTGTTTTTTTCATTCTCTTTGCTGACCAACTCGACTTGTTCGTTCAATTTCTTAATGTTCTCTTGCTAAGGGAATAAAATCAGTAGGACAATGATCTTGAAACTAGTTTAATTGATACAGTATTTTGCAAAATACCATTGTGGCCATACCAACTGAGCATTCTCCTCTTCGGTCTTTGCCAAGGTGCTGGCGGCCATGGGCATCGCATGCTTGTCAAAGTCACGATAGAGTCGAAGCAGATTTGGAGGTTGCGGAATGTTCAAACCAACGTCGTCCCAATCGTCAAAATCCTAGGAGAAAATGAGAACTTGATTCAGAGCTCTGAGCATTGCAGTGATCTAGTTATGCCCGATACAAGTCTGTGGAGAATTGGAAGTCTGTGGAGAATTGGGAATTGTAATTGATGAATGAAATTGTTTTGTATTCAGAACACTTGGGCCAGCCTTCGGCAGACAATGAACAACAGGTTTAGCAACATCATAATTATACCTGGTCCTCATTCTCATCTGACAAAGTGACAGAGGTCAGCCTGTATCCATTCTGTAGCAGGTACTCATTCACCAGGAAGTTCAACGCCCGCTTTTCGTGAGGTTTGATGGTTTCCTGAAGCAAAATACTGCAACTCATTGCGCATCTTACAATAGTACATTTAACAAGAATATACCTCATGTCTTTACCTCACTCAGGGAGCCAGTTTCACTGGGATCCTTCTGAGATATTTGTGGAGCTTCTTGCTCTTAAAATCAAATTTTCATAAAATAAATAATTGCTCTAGAAACAAGTGCATGCATTGTACATGGAACTAGGCTAACCAAGATTACTTTGCCTGTATTTTAAACAAGACGTTAGCCAAAAAATAAACCAACCTGTCGCAACTGTCAAACTTCCTCGCAAAGATTTAATCGTCTCATGAGCTTTACGTAACTCGAACTGCAAAACTATGAGGAAAGTTGAATTGAAACTGTAATGCTTTGGCAAAAAAAAGAGAACAATTGTAAAAGTACTTGTACAAAACCTGCTACTTTGTCGTCTCCCCTGTCAATCAAACCATCATCGGAATAACGTGTGAAGTCATCAATACTGTCAAGAGTTAGATTGCTTGATGTTCTACCTACAAATAGACACAATTGCATTTAACAAAGGCCTCAGACGTATGCTTGGCTGCTTCAACAACTCACTAGATCCATACTAGACCTATATTCCTTGTAAACAGCTTGTTCACTGTTTGTTCACAACTTTAGAAGAATAGTTGAAAATTTGCTAGAAATATTTGCTATATCACTTTCTAAAGCAAAAATTGAATGCACCTTTTCTTAGAGAGAAACATTTGCATATTTACATAATCCTATTACATATACGTATTGGCGTTTCTGATCATTATTAACCCTTCAGCAAATGAATAATTGTTTTCCTCTTCAAAAATGCAGGAAATACGACCGTGTTCAATGATTATCAACTAGACGTAATGTCGAAAAACCCTTTTAAACTATGTCATTTAATATTTTAAATGTTCATTAAGTTTAACCAAAGACTCTTTGATCTTGCATTGCATCACGATAAGTTAAAAGATTAATATTTACATATCGATGACATTTTATGCTCACAATATCAACTCATTTTTGTACAGTATTGAAAAGGAAAAGAATAACTAAACGTGTACAATAGACCTTCAATTTCGTTTCAAAAACGATTACATTTCAATATTACGATTACCTAAAGGCAACGAGATAGGAGACGGTGCGCGAACGCTTTCAACTTCAAAATTTCCTGGATTTGAAAAGAAGTCCCGAAGAGCTGGCACCTCACGACCATTCTCCAAGAGTTCTGTGTGCAGCTCTAAAGCTGTGAGAAGCAGTCGGCTTTTTATCAAGTTGTCGGCCACTTCAGCCCAATTTATATCCAATAAATGACGATATCCTGCCGCCTCTTCCCTGATTGCATGATCTTCCGCCATGTTTAAATGACATGGCTGGTGAAAGAAGATGAAAACCCCCCCCTTGACTACATTCAATTTCGAATGTTCCCGGGGGGTATATATACGAGTGAAAATTCGTTTTAAATACCAACATATCAAACGTCATTTATCATTGATATTGTGTATATTATCGAAATATCATATATCTATATATATATATATTTACAAGTAATGTCCCCCAAACCATATTAATACTTTGCTTTATAAAGGGATTTTCTGATTTCTGCTTTAAAATTCCGCGCGACATGAAGGCTTCTCTTGGTACAGTGTGACGGAAGCGATATGATTGTTCTGCATGACCTAAGAATAGTTTAAATACATGTTGTTGTAGAGATTGCTCAAGTAACAGAACTTGTGTTTGTTTAAGAGGTTACAGTAATGATAGAAGGGTTAGTTTTGCCTGTTTTCGGGCTGATGTTCCCTCCATATGACGTGCTTACCATTTCCCAAGATAATATGGGAGGAGGGGGGGGGGTAGTCCGACCTTACCTCAAATATCATGTGCTGAAGACTGTAGCAAAATGTCGAGCCAAACGGATTGGATGTGTTAGTCGTTGATGACCTGGCGATAAAAAAAAGGCAGAAACTTTCACTGGACGATCAATTTCACCGTCTACCCCAAGAAAGCTCACATTCACTCTAATAGAAACGGAATGTTCTACAAATCAAGGGTAGATAGATCAAAGTATATACCTGTTCAAAACGACCGGTGCCTCCACAGTTTTCCCCAAGAAATTTTGCACACAGTCCCACTATTGGTAGACGAGAAATATCTCTTATATTATTAGGAATAGTAGGCGAAAAGCGGACGAAAAACTGAGCATGGTTTACTGGGAGAAAATTTGAATTATATAGCCTTGGTGTTTATCAAACTTCGAAGTACGGTACCCCACCTTTGTACAAGGATTAATCTCGAACTGTTCATTCTCTTCTTTACCACCCGCTTTGCAAGACGAAAAACGATTAGAATATTTGAAAAAAAGTTCGCTCCAAAGGTCTTACTTTGAACTCAAGTTTAATATTGTCAAATCACGAAAGCACCACCAACCTTGTACCGCCTTTCTTCCTTTGTCAATCTTGATAGCAAATTGGCATCGATGATACCTATAGCAGGAAACACGCGAAACTTACGGAGAGGTCGAATATAAGAAAGTTGTGGCACTATTTATAACACGCTGAAAATATTCTGTTTAACTCACATGTTGAAATTATAATGGCCTGGAAAATTCGTGTGCATTATGATTTTCTTGACTTTGTGAGTGTCAGCATCGAACAAGACATCCTGTAAGAAAACTTAACATATTTCAGATTCTTTTCTGTGGGAACTAATACATGAGGGGAGGGTAATATTTGCCAGCGCCGCTGTGAACTCTGTCAATGAGTTAACACGATATACTGGCGTTGCAGTACTTACCAAACCAAGAGTAAAATAATTGTAAAAATAGTCTGAACTGTTTGATTGATCCAGTTTGTAAGGATATGGCGAGTGAATTCGCATCTGCAAAAAATGAAAAGTTTCGGTGTACATAACTCCTATTCCTAGCCAGACACAGTATAAAAAGTGGACACAAGTGGACACAGTTTAGAAAATTGTCTTCATAACATGTTGTTAATATCTAAATACAGTTTAAAACTGTCAAAAATACCTTATCCTCCGCTTTGTAAAAAACTTTACACGGTGAGCCCAAACAGCTCATAACATCCTAAAGAAAGCGTGACTTTTGTTCTCTCGAAATAATTTCAACCACGTTATAAATAGTCAGTCGTTTTGAACGGTAAAAACTGACTCAATCATCTGGCTTTGTTCCCTACCTGACATGTATCCCCAAATGAAATTGTTCTTTCCAACACTTTCTTACGCAACTCGTGCGGTTTTCCAAATTCATTTCCTTGCAAAACATAAGAACAAAACGGCATTTACGAATAACAAAATCGTCTATGAGCCATCCGGGAACAATTTATAACATACAAGCCGACTTCTTGCGTGCACAAAAATAATGACTGACTCACTGCAGTCTGATCACTCAGGTGCCTAAACATACCTTCACCAACAAGTTGAAATTGAAGACCAGTAATGCCTTCAGATGAATTGAGAACTTTGAGAGATTCTGCATAACAATTTCCATAAAAACACGTAATCGGAAGAGAAGGCGCCCTAAGAAAAAAACAACCTGAGATTTTGTATTCAGTTCTCCAACCACAAACTAAGCTGGTTTTTTTTCTCAATACAAGATATAAGATATTATTTATTCTTACTTTGTTTTGCTTGATAGACTGTTGCCGTTGTAAATGCTCATTCTGGACACAACCGGGGAGTCGCCAGAGGAAAACTGGAGAGAACCAAGACCGTGGACATAATGTGGCTGGAAGGAAGAACATGACTGTCATTTGGTTTAAGAAATTGGAGCATTATTTTGTTGTGTGCATTGCAACATAAAAGCGATAGCAGACAAAGTTGAACCTTCATGAACCTGGAGAGGGGAGTTGAGATTGTGAATTGTCAAATTTTTATTTGGATCCAGATTTTTATAGATTTCCTGTTTCTGGAAGTACAGCAGATTCCAGTGGTTTGTCCAATAGCCCTGGCCTGGATTTGGCTTGAAATTATAACCTAACATATACAACTCATATACAACTCTGTTTTACCTCAAACTTTGAGTCAATTGGAAAGGTGAATGAAACACCTCTGAAATTCAGCACAAATAACTGATGACTTGAATCATATACTAAATGTTGACAAAAACAAATGTGAATTTGAGGATTTTCTTTTTTTTGCTTTGCTCGAAAACATGTATAAAACGAATCAAGCACTGATTTTAATCTAACGAAGTACCTCCTGGATGAGTAGCACCAAATGATTGGTCAATCTGATCAATGGTTGGGTCCAAGTTGAGGGGAGTTAAAATGTACACCACTAGAAATAGCACAAAACATTATAACTACCACAGTCAAATTCTGTTGAATCATTCATTATTCACAGTCTTACCAATATTTCAACTTCACTTTGTTCATCTGATACACCTCAATGACCTTTAAGAAAGAGTAAAAATATAAATAAAAAATTTTCATTGGGCAGCTTAAGTGTATATTAGGAGTTACAAGATAATCAATGGTGTAAAAGATTACCTTGAGCCGTTGAACTGATGAATCAAATTTCAAACGAATTCCATCATTAGGCAGGTTTAGGATAAGATCAACTGCCAAAGGATTCTGTTGAAATTTATGTGATCCTTGGTTAATATTTGCTGACAGCGATGGCAACGATTTTAGGGGAGGGGGGTCATTGTTAGAGTGTGGGGGTAAGGGCTCGGTGCACACTATCCCATCAAAAATTTTGAAATTCATAATCTGACAAATGCACTTTAAAATCAATGTCAGTAGCAAAAATAAGTGTCAAATTTTGTTCAACTTAAGAATGATCAAATATGTAGTAACAAGCTGACCAGGCAGACTTTAGATTGTTTTTTAATACCTCTGTAGTACTTACCGCTTCGCTGTAAATAACTTGCACAGACTTTATTACCATACATTGTCGTTTTAAAATCTGAACGCACTGTGACACTGGCATTCCTACACGCGATGAAAACAATAATAAAATGTTGAAAATCTCCCATGAAATTTATTTCTTGACGGAATTAGTTGAATTTTTAAACAAAACATATATTATAAATATAAAAGCGACGTGTTTTATCCAATAATTTGGCTGTAAATTATGAAGATCAGATGACAGAACTTTTTAACGAACACAAAACTCTATCTCAAAGGCAATATATTATACCTAGAACAAATTCCCATTCTTCGTTACCAAGAGAGCGCTCGGGCACTACTTCAAGATCCAACATCTTATTGTAAACTTTATCCACTTGTTTTAGGGAAAAAACAACGAAAATTCAAAAGCAAACTCATCTGACACCGTTATCTGACATCATATTTTTTTCTGTTTACACCGCCATTTTGTTTGTTTTCATCCAATAAATAGTCCAGGTCTCAATGAAGTTTTATAGATCAGCTGTATTTAGTTAACCGAACACTCCAGTTTATACAAAGGTCAGAAATTTACTGCCAGAAATTGCAACAATGTATTGCAATGAGTAGTCCAGATTGTACTGCGGTCCAGATCTGGTATCTGTGACCATTGAAACTCTTAGAAATTTGCAGGATTCTATGAATTGAAGATGCAAGATTGTTGTTTCCAAAAATGACAACGAAGAAGAAATGTAATTGAGAGTTGAAAATGAGTAACCTGGCTGATAGAATTCAAGCTCAGAAACAGAATTTAAAACAGGTGTCTACTGTAATCACCACACTAGATGGTCAAAAGGTGAATATAAATGGAAACTGAAAAAGCCCATAAGTTTCTTCATGATAACACACGTCAATTTATTTAGTTTTTAAACCACAACCTGGATAATGATGAAGATTTGGTCAGCATTGGTCAATCTTGTGGCTTCTGCATTGACACAAGTCCAGATGAGAAAATCCACTGTGTTGTTGAAAATCTGTACATTTCCTCCCAAGATGGTGCTCATAACATCCAGGAATTGAAAGATCATAATATTACACACATATTAAATGTGGCTATCGGTATAGTCAATGCATTCCAAGAGGTGAAGGCTTGTCTGTTTTGTTAGATGTAAAGCAACAATTAACCTGACAACATTGTCTTTTTCAGGATTTTTTATACAAAACTGTTGAAATTTCTGACCTGCCTGAAAAAAACATAACTGCTTATTTTCCTGAACTGTTTGCTTTCATAAAAGAAGGAATGGCAAATGGAGGCACACTTGTTCACTGGTAACCCATTACCATGTTTTGAGCATTTTATGCTAATTACTACCAGTCTATGTGACTACATCATTTATACTTTCTTTGTATTTTTAGTAATGCAGGTGTGTCAAGATCTAGCACTGTTGTCACTGCATTTCTAATGCAAACAAAGAAACTGTGTTTACAAAAAGCATTTCATCTTGTAAAACAAGGACGACCCTCAGCAAAGCCAAATGAAGGTTTTTGGAAACAACTTATGGAATACGACCTTGTTGTTGGGGGCAATTAGAAACATTGAGAATGATAAAACTAACTTGAAACTGTTAACTGTCATCATGCAATATCTTATCGGAATAAAAAGCAGACTGTGTAAATGAGGCTATACCACAAAACATCTTTATATGTTTAATTCATTGTACTATCAACATTTACAAACCTGTAATAGCTGAAGTTTTAAAACATGTTTTAAATGCATCCTCCTAGAACTATGCTCTATTTACATTTCCTAATGAATATGTTATAGCATCTAGCGATCATTGCACAAGCGTATTGTAATCAGTAAATGGTTGAATATGTACAAATATTCTATCTGAGAAAGATGGCTTTTCTATACCCACACAGCTACGAATGTTGTGATTGATGATAAATGGAAGTTGCTACTTTAATGCAAGCATATTTACATGAGCAATCGGGCAGAAGTAAATCTTTTATCCAAGTGCTTTGTACGTAGTGCTAGAACACTTTTTATAATAACTCTCAACATTGTGAGAAGCTATTGAGGACGTTCACAAAGATGAATATGGTCACTGCACCAAAGAAGGATCCCGACTGTAAAGCAATACCTGCCCACCGCAAGTATCGCTCTCCTTGTTTTTGCATCCATGTTGATATTGCAACTTTGGTGTACGAGACTATAGCAACACTCAAAACATTTATAAAAACCTACAAAAGAAAGGTCTGTATCAGTTTGATATGGTCCAAAGATATTTGTTACAGAACAAACACTTGTGATATCAATCCCTTCACACATTGTACCTACCAAATTGCTAAAACCACACTGCTAGTAAAACTACCCAACCTAAGATGACAAGGGAGTGCAACCACCACTGACCCTTATTATAGATCAGTGGCTACTGCTCAACTATGACCCTGATCCCAGAACAAAACTGGATTCACTAAAATGTTAATATTATTGCTAGACAAACTATTACAATTGCCTCTCATTAGGGTGTGCAAATATTGAGATGAAAAATCTTCAATGAGCAAATTCTAGTGGCTTATTTACCCTGAAATTAGAGAAAATTTACTATACCAAAAAAACGTGCAATTTAACATGTTCAAAGCTCAAAATAACACAATTCTTTTGGATCAGCATTTGAAATCAAATACTTGTTTATCGAAATTTTACAGTCACTAATTTTCAGGAATTTGTCAATTGACCTTTAACATTATTTAGCCTATAATCAGGTGATTTATTTTTCACAGGTGAGAACATGGAATGTCGGTGATATTTTTTTGAGACCCATCAATCTTGCTCAACTCTATTTTGGGAAAGATGCCGGAGAATTACTCTGATGTGCATTTGGTACAATCCATAGGGGAAAATATTTTCATATTTAAGTTAGGTAATCAATCATATCTTTGGTGTTAATAGCACCCATTATGGAAAGCCTGTTTGCCTGGCTAACTTACAAATTGCTGGATCAAACACAAAAGCAGAAATGTTAGATTTTATCATCTCTCAATTTGACACGAAGCCCATGCAACTAGTCAGTAGGGCACAATTACCTCTGATATAATCAGACAGGATTTGTGCTCCAGACTGGGTTATTAATCAATGTCTGACTATCAGACAGACAAGATGCCTTATGGTATGCAACACAAGAATAAACTATGCAAAAAAGCTAATTACATAACTGAAGTACTGCCAATTAAACTATCCTAAAAATTTTTCCAATGCATGTATGTAACTTGTGTTGAAAATCATATCTACATTTCTACGGACAAATGACACATGCACATATGCACATTCTGGTCTTTTTAGGTTCAAATAGGAAACTTACACAGTGATACTTACAATGACTATAGCACCAATATTATCATTCACCAATGGTGGATTGGAACTTAGCGATGCCACACACAAAATATACGCAACCAAACTTGTATACACGGCACTCAGCAATCCAATGAATAAGATTTTAGTTGTTGGAAGCCAGTAGAACAATAGGCTTGCTAAAGGGTTGGCCACATTGGAGATAATTAATGTCAGATAGTAAATATGATTCCCATAAGGTATGCAAGCATAGGGTTGGATTGAAGGTACCACACCATTACTGAAGGCATGAATCCAGACTTGAATCACCAGTAAAAATGCAAGTTGCGATGGCTGATTCACACGTTGACAGCATCCAATTTGTGGGCCATCATCGCTTGTAAAATGGCCATTTCCGTTGGAGCTATGAAGCTCAAATTCCTGACTAGAATCAACCGCCAATGCTTCGCGCGGTATTGCAGTCTTATCTGCAAAGTGCCATTGTAAGTCAATTCGTTCCCGTTTCACAAAAGACAAGCAGTTCAATCCACCAAAAGCTCCCAACGAAACAACCATCATTAACATTACGCCGAAAAAGAATACATTTGTACCAAAATTTAAGTCATCAGACGCCGTTGAACTGTCGAAGCTGGATGAGTTTGAACTGGTGTAGTTGGCACATGGGTCGCCGCCATCAGGAATAGCTTGTGCCAAAGCAAGTAGACTCGGAAGAAGAGCGCTCAAGCCTGCACCGACGAACAAAGCGGACATATACTCATTCCTGAAAGCTGCCATGAACGGCAGGAAAGTCACACTGGATGTACAGTCCACAAAAGCAAGACAAAAGACCAAGCCTATTAAAGCAACGCTGTATTCATTTCCTGCGATGAAACCAGTTTTCTGCCATAAAAATCCCAGCAAAGCACATGCGATAATCCCCAAAACGAGTATAACGTAAATAACTATTGTATCACGGACCTTTCCCGGAAAGAACGCGTTGAAAACGGTGTGTAGAATCGGACCAATGTTCGCGATTTGAATAACCACAGCAAAAATCGAAGGCAGCTTCCATGCTTCGGGAGCATGTTGAACAAGAACTGGCAACTCTACCCAAATACCGTTTACAGCCACCCACGAGCCGACACCGAATAAAACAACCAGGAGATATGTGGCCCATGAGATATCACAATTTTGGCAAAGCTTTTGCTTTATTTTGACCTGTAATCCTTTCATTTCGACGTGTTTTTTTATAAGCAATCGCTCGATCGAAGTGTGTCTGTGAACTGCTTCTTTCGTCGAGGTCAGCGAGCCTTCTCAGTGGTCGAGTTATGCGTTAAATATGCTAATCTGGTTTTAGACAGAGCGCATCCGAGCACATTTATGATCGGATTTTGTACTTTGATATTGCGCGCAGCTGACGAAAACGCCGATTGTGTTATGAGATCAAATATTTTGTAGTCATGTACACCATTTCATGGGCGCGTGACAATTTTGTTTACTTTTCTAAGTGCGCAGTGTGAAAATATATATATGGTGGAATATTGCGCACTTTTGCGCGAGAACCGACCTAGAATGCGTGCATGTTTTGACCTAAAAACATCGCAAGCGCTTTAAATCATACAGAACAACCATAACATAAAACCTATTAACGAAAATCTCACAGAGTTGAATATTTAAATCACCCCAGGGGTCATTCAACAGCCTGCCAAAAATCAAAACAGGATTAATTGTTGTTATTCGAGTGCGCCAATTCGTAAAACAATAGGTCAGCCGTTTCACGGTATTACAAGGACAGCGCGCAAAATACTGCGTGAAAGACCAACCGCTAAAAGCACTGCGTGCAAGAGTCAACCGTTGAAAGAGATTATGAAAAGCAAGGGCGCAGGGCAAAGCTGATTAGAGTTTTTTTCGCAATTAATTGGATGCGCTGAGACGCGCCGCAATACTTCACACGCGATGCCAACGAAAGCAGAGCACGTTGAAAGATCGCCGCAGCGGGTTAACGACGCGAAATTCGTGCATTTCGACACAAACACAGTTCATGTAAAGACGTTCATGCGCGAGCCAGTTGGAGCCCCAGACAATTTCACAGTAGGCGAGTTTCGTGATAAAAAGTTAAACATAGCTAAGATGTAAGGTTATAAATAGTAAGTTATTCCTGTGGGTGAGTGGGGGGGGGGACATTTCTCGCACCCCTACCGGGCAGTTCCGACCCACTCACGATCTCACGATATTGAATTCTTTCGTATCTCTGGTTTATCTTTGTACAGTTGCAAAAGCTGTTTGTCTCGATCGTTGAGACAACCTGAAACGGTAAAAATGAGATCGATATTGAAGACAAAATACTGATAAACTGATAAAGAAAGGAGCACAAAGATACGGAGAGGATGAAGAGTGGACAAAATGGAGCTATCTGGGATAGAGAGGAATAAAGGTCATTTGGACCACGCATAGTCAACTGAAAGAATTTAAAATTATCCCACCTAAAAAGCTATTGGTTGGATAAACAGGAGATGGAACGCAATCTGCTTCTGTCAAGTCATCATCAACGACGGGACCATCGTGCCAGACCAGATCAAAGTTGCCAACACGCTTTTCTTTCCCAGTTAATCTAAACAAGAGAGTACGCAGTGAAAGTGAACCTGGAGCAGGTTGTACGAAGGCTGCATGGATAGCGCTATCCTCTGGATTGTGATTTCATTTGTAACCTTAAAAACATATGCATGAAAAACAAAAAAGTACAGATCTACAGGGAACTACTAAGGTTTAGTTCAGATCATACCGAACAACGGGCAGTTTATAAAAGAGCTATTGAGAAAAAACGCTGTTCGGTGGATAGCGCTATCCTACAACCAGCTTTCCTACAACGAGCCCCAGCATTCTACAGTCTATTTCCTCGACCAAAGTGCTCCCAAATCCTGATTTTCTCGTTTTCAGCCAGAGCATACCTGTTTTCCAGGTCAACAATACTCAGAACATCCAGAAGAAGGCCAACCTTAAGGTCGTAGTCTGCGGGGCTGCTTGCTGTCAGCGAAGGTGAAGCGTTGACCTCCAACAGCCAACTAAAAAGATACAAGAAAAACAAATGCAAAGATATCTTTATGGACACGGCATACGAACGAAAAAGCAAACATGGTTTTGAAACCTACGGCTTTAGATTCTCGTCGAGAAGAACATCATAACCATATCTGAGAAACGTGTTAAGATAAACTAAACGAAACTTCTATGCCAATGTTTTCCAATTCTTTGCAGAAATATTCACGAAGCTTGCCTCGGCACAGGATACAGTTCAAAGCAATGTTTATCGTTGATGATAATCTTTTGCACCGCTTGCAAGCTTGTTATTATAATTTCATCAATCAAGCGAAAAAGAATCTCTATCTAAACAAAAAATCCTCCTGGTTTAGTACCATTATCTTATTGCTATCAACACTGTTATATCTCTGTCACAACCACTTCACTTTGAACAAACAGTTCAGAACATAAATCATAATGCAAACAATTAAACAAACTATCTTAAAAACGTATGGTCAGCACAAGACATTCCTAGTTCAAGTATTCAGTCCTCATGCATACACGCTACAAAAATGAAAATTTTACCTTCTCCATGCCATGTTCTGCGGTGAGGTACTTTCTGAGACGCAAAGGCGACCATTTGCAACCCTAAAAGTGCACCGAAAATAAATCAAAAGTCGCTCGATTGAATTTCAAATGATTTCATATACGTTTCCATCACTGAGCTCAACAATGAATAGGTTTATATATTTTCACACCTTTTCCGGGTCGTAATCAGGCGCTGTTTTCTGAATAGCGACATTTGTAAGATGAACATCTGACTTTTGATCAAGAAAAGGCAAAGTTTTAACATCCTGAAGATTTTAGACTAAATCAAATTACATGGCTTGTTCATTTGAATTCTGACATGTTTTTTTTTTCCCGCGCCCACAGGGAAAGGATACATGTGTCATCAATTGAATCCAGCGAAAATCTGGTGTTTGAAAATCTTGCAAATCCGTCGCGATACAACCATACAATCAAAGGTGAATACTATATAAGAAGGCACGCGTATATTTTATGTCGCGAGGGAAGATTTTTTGATCGACAATGATGTTTCTTTGAATCTTTTTGAACTTACACTCGTGACCAGGACATAAACTCGAATATCAAATTTTCTCCCTGAAATAAAATGAAACCGCTTATTGAAAAACAGAAAGTTTTCTTGAGGAATTTTTTGGCGGAATGAAGTTGAATTACCTCCAATCAAGTAAGGATTCTCGATGTATCGCTGAACTATATACGTTTCTGGAGGCTCTTTTTCATCTTTCTACACAAACAAAAAGTATAAAATTTGTTGAAATTTAAAGACTGGCCCTCTCTTGAGAACTTTAAAATGTACTTTTTACAAACTTTTTCATCTGTAGAAACCCTGTAATAGTCCTCCTGTAGAAAAGAGAAAAAATAAAGTCATCCTAGGTCCTAGATAATTCTTTGGTGACCATGTACAAAAGCTGCATAATAATATGATCAGTATAGCTAGGTTATAATATACCTTTCTCCAATCAATTATGTCTTTTAATTTCTTAAAGAGGAATATGCCTTTCCCTTGTGATTTTGCAACCTTTAATAGGAAAGAGAGAAAGACCACTAAGAGAGAAAATTATTCTGATATTGAGAGAGAAAATCATTCGATTTCAAGAACATGAAATCTATGTCCTCTAATTGAATGATTCTGGTGTATTTACAAACCGGTTTCATTATCCACACGCTGCCAGGATTCTTCTTAAATTCCTCCACAAATATATGGTATTCTGCCTTGAAAATGATCGAATTAAATTCATCACATTGATAAACTTGCCATGAAACGAACAAACAGTGAAAAACTGAAAGATGTAATGGTGTACGTGCCAAGCAAACCAATACATTTACATGATATAGCTAGGGCTAGTTTGTGGACTTTAAAGCCGTATACTCAAACTGATGTTAACTAAAGAGGTTTATAATGATTCACCCCCTCACTTACTGGTAATTCGTAGGTTGTTGGATAAAAATCGCATCTGAATTTTCATTTAAGGAATACACTAGATGATGGTACATAGTTGGTAATTTGTGCCATTGATCATATTTATATCATGAATGATCAAATTCTTAAACTTGTCAGATGTCAAACAAACGAAAGGATACTTTGTCGCTGCTGTTTTTCCATGTTCTCTTTCGATCTGCTTTCGTAATCTTTTAAGATTTTTTACCATCAAATTTTTCCGTGAAAGCTATTTCAGGCGAAGAGAATTAGAGAGATTTTAACACAACTCATAATAGTAAAGTGAGGGAGAATATTTATGACAATATCATCAGAGATTAATTGTTTAAACAATACACATAAAGGCTTACTTCATAATGATTTCTAAAATGGCACAGTTTCACATGTTCTTGTAAATAAAAATGATCGAAATTTTCCCTCATCCAGCCGACGTCACACCAGAATAAATCCCAATCATTTTCACTGCAGTTAGAAAAATATGAGACTTTCTAAGTTCACACCAATGCTCTTTTCAAAATCTACTCTGTAAATATCATAAGAACTTATTGTCAATCCAATGAATCCATTATGAAAATAAAATTAGGCTTATTATAGAGTAAATATTGTTTACTGAATCAGTCTAAATTGATTCGGTCTTAATTGGATATTGTGAGGGTTCAGAACAACTGACCCTTCCTTGACCTCTTGCCATCCTTTGTTACGAAGGACATCCACAATTGTGTTCTGAAGAGAACATTTGAAGCGAATTGTGCGGCTATTATCGCTACAAGGATAAAAACTGAAATTCATTTTTCGTGAATGTTGATATCTCTAAGATTCAAAATCCTACACAAAATGTCTCAAGGAGTTCTACATCTGGTCAATAAGCTATCAACACCAACAACAAACATTGTTATAGTTCACCAAATCAGCAGGGCTGGGCATGATTGGCCATTGGGGCTCAATGATAGATTTGAATTTCCATAGTTGAATGTATGTCAGACATAGATACTCAATGCTTTCAATTTTTGTACAACTTGGAAGATTCCAAATTTATTGAACCACTTCAGAGCCAATGTCATCATAATGTGTCTTGGCGGGGTCGATTGCCACGCCCTTTATTACGAGAATACCTCCCCCCCTTTGACCATTAAAATGTGTACATAATTTTTTAAAAGATATATGCATTGGAAATAGTTTTTTGGCAGGATTAAACGACAGGATTCTACTAAAAATGTAATATACATAACTATAGATTGCTAAATAATATATTTATAATCGTACTAACAAGGGTTTTCTCTGAGCTTGTTTCCAACTGCCTTGACGTGCCTAGAATTGCAATAGATCGGTTATGAACAGACGTCAGATATCTTGAATACACGAAAAGCCTTTTACCTTCGGTTGAAACGGTTCTCTTTTAGCCATTTCCGACAAAACTTTTACTTTCTTTTTTAAAATTCTCGATCATTTTCTAAATTTTCAAATAACGTTGTCAAGGAAACGCTTTGGCAAAAAAAGACAAAATTGTACTTTGATATCCCCTGTAGGGTGCTAATTGTACCCAAAGACCACCGAGGATCCTTGTTATCCTTGGTAATAAATAGACTTTTTCATAATAACGTCAAACGCAGAAAGTCTGATGTTACACGAAGTTTGATTGGCTCGATAGTTTTGTGGAGCCAATCAAATTTCATGTAACATCAGACTTTCCGCGTTTGACGTCATTTATAACAAAAGGTCTATTGGTAATTAGTAATGGTCCTGGATAAATGGTTGTTATTGTCACTTATTGATTTTTTTCAGTCATAATAAAACAGTCCCCATAAATTTATATTTTCAGCATTCAAAAGATGTACACATTTTCGCAGGCAACAAAAATCTACATAACATACTCAGACTTCACAAAAATGCCACATAATATAAACATTTAAGAAATACATTGATGACAAACACAGCACAAATTTAAACTGCAGGATATATTGCATTCGATTAATATTAGGGTCAATAAATGACCACATATAAATTATCTACCTAATAAAGAATAAATGTTAGAATTGGTGCATGTTAAAAACTTTTTTTGTTGTCACATTTGAACATGTATGTATCTAAGTGTTAAACACACTTATATGAAACATGCATTAAATGTTTCTTGACAGTTGTGCAAATTAAACTAGCTGCAATTCTAACCTGGATAAAATATCAATCTTATGATCAGTTGCATAATATAATCTAGATAAAGCATAAATTTGTTATTTTTACTAGATTTTTCATGCAACTAAATTTCACAGTGTTTGGGAGGTTTTTCGCTAGATTTATTTCAAAGGTAAATCATGTCTTCAGCAACATGATTTTTGTCTTTCCGTATTCTGTTCAGTGAGTGTTGGAAGGGTAGAGACCTTCTCGTAATTTGGTTGTGGAAGTCGTCGACCTAAAAAAAATGAGAGAAAGTTTATAAGTATTTATAACCAACTTGATCGAAGCATTCGAATCAGGAAAAATCCCCTTTTGTACTTACTAATTTCTATAAAAAGTTCTTGAACATTTCTAGCTGACAAAGCACTGGTTTCAGCAAAAATTGCCTCCACACTTTCAGCATATTCTCTTGCGCTTTCTGTAGCAATCTAAAAGGAGAAAAATTTCGTTACAGGTGCCACCATCTTTCAAATACTAAGGTTGATAAAAAAGCTAATTTAATTACTTCTCTTTGGTCTTCCAAGTCACACTTATTGCCAGCAATTGCTACGACACATTCATTAGGTCCATATCTTTTAATTTCTTTAATCCAATCTTTAAGAGCAAAGAAACTGCTCTGTATTGAGAAAAAAAAAGAGAATGAATATTGAATCCAGAAAGTGCTGAAACAACATATGTACCATGCTATATTACGCACCTGGTTAGTTATATCATACACTACGATGGCTGCGCTGGCATCTCGGTAGTATAAGGGTGCTAGACTTCGATACTGAAACAAACAATGTTTAGAAAGTTCAACAACAGGCCTTGAAAACCTAAAACATTTGGCAAATTTCTCAAAATGTATCATGCAGATCATCTCACCCTTTCCTGCCCAGCAGTATCCCATATTTGAAATTTATAAACTTGTTCATCAGCAACAAACATTTTTGACATAAATGAAGCCCTACACAACAATTTAAAAACTGTATCGTAAAATAGACTTGAATGGCTATTACTCCAGATAGGATATTAAGGTTACCCTATATCACATAAGGCATGCTCACAAAATATTCATATTCTATCCATTCATTCAATTAAATTCATATTCATACAAATTTTCATATTCTATTCATATTCTATCCATACATTCTACCCATTAATTTTATTGCAACCATCAGGCCTTAAATTGCATGGTGCTTGCACACTGTGTTTAATTAATACTATCCCAAAATCATGGTGTCCAACCAATCAACATAGCCAAGCAATAATTAGTTGAAGCATTTCTATCTTATTATTATAGTAAGCATTAAAGCAATATCTTCACGTACTGTAAAGTTTCAATTCATAATTATATTGAATACGCACGTTTTGTCAGGTGTTATATAAAAGCCTTTTTTTATAAAACACCGAGCTGAACTTATATACCAGAATCAACGTTAAACAGAAAAACGTACTGTTCAACGTTTGGTGGGAAGAGATAACGTACGTACATTGTACAGTACACTCACCCAATAGTTGGTTTCGATCTGTCTTCAAATCTATCTGATACAAATCGCAAAACCAAACATGATTTTCCAACACCAGTATCCTTATGTAAAATTTAATAGAAGAACAATGCATATTAGACAGCTTTACGTTAAGAAGAATTAATCAATTTAAAGAGAATTTAAACTAACCCCTAGCAAACACACTTTAATTTCGCGCATAGAGTCTCCACCACGATGTGAAATACTGCTTGATCGAACGTTCGTCATATTCTTTTGTTGTTGCCGTTTCTTCTTCGGGCACGAAAACGATTACATTTTCGACCGCACAGTAAACGAAAGCTGGGCTTTAAAAGGTCTCTGCGTTTCTATCAGGCTGTGTTTCATTCGTCGTTTATGACTTTATGTAATATCACTAGGAAATATAGTAGCCTGGTATGAATCTTGTTTCCTGGTATATTTTGCAATATGAAGTAAAGATGGCGAACTGGTGTGTTTTGCTTCCTGTTTCTTAATTCTTACTTTAATGACGTCATGTTGAAAAGAATATTTAAAACTGTGGTAAATCAAAATACCTGAAATAATTTCAGTTTAGAAATTCATTGCAATACGGAAATTCATTGCAATACAATAAAACCCACCTCTCCTGAATTTCCTGGCCCATTGCCCATAGAGAAGCCAGCCAGCACTGGTGTGCCCATTGGGGCAGGGGCAGGGTCCTCTCTGTTAATTAAAGAGTTGAGGCTCTGTGGTACAAGTGTGACCATGACCATGGTCGAATTAGTCGTTTTCCGGCAAACTCGACCATGGTCGAATTAGTCGTTTTCCGACGAACTCGACCATGGTCGAATTAGTCGTTTTCCGGCGAACTCGACCATGGTCGAATTAGTCGTTTTCCGGCGAACTCGACCATGGTCGAATTAGTAGTTTTCCGGCGATTTCGACCATGGTCGAATTAGTCGTTTTCCGGCGAATATGACCATGGTCGCATTTGCCATTTTCCGGTGAATATGACCATGGTCGTATTTGCCATTTTCCAGCGAATATGACCATGGTCGTATTTGCCATTTTCCGGCGAATACGACCATGGTCGTATTTGCAATTTTCCGGCGAATATGACCATGGTCGTATTTGCCATTTTCCAGCGAATAAGACCATGGTCGTATCATGGTCGTATTGGCCGAAAAATGACGAATACGACCATGGTCGTATTAGCCGGAAAATGACGAATACGACCATGGGCGTATCATGGTCGTATTGGCCGGAAAATGACGAATACGACCATGGTCGTATTGGCCGGAAAATGACGAATACGACCATGGTCGTATTGGCCGGAAAATGACGAATACGACCATGGGCGTATCATGGTCGTATTAGCCGGAAAATGACGAATACGACCATGGGCGTATCATGGTCGTATTGGCCGGAAAATGACGAATACGACCATGGTCGTATTGGCCGGAAAATGACGAATACGACCATAGTCGTATTAGCCGGAAAATGGCGAATACGACCATGGGCGTATTTGCCATTTTCCGTCGAATATGACCATGGTCGTATTTGCCATTTTCCGGCGAATATGACCATGGTCGTATTTGCCATTTTCCAGCGAATATGACCCTGGTCGTATTAGCCATTTTTCGGCGAATATGACCATGGTCGTATTAAACATTTTTGGGCGAATATGACCAAGGTCGTATATTTGCCATTTTCCGGCGAATATGACCATGGTCGTATTTGCCATTTTCCGGCGAATATGACCATGGTCGTATTTTCCAATGTTCCAGCGAATATGACCATGGTCGTATTTGCCATTTTTCGGCGAATATGACCATGGTCGTATTTGCCATGTTCCGGCTTATATGACCATGGTCGTATTTGCCACTTTTCGGCGAATATGACCATGGTCGTATTTGCCATTTTCCGACGAATATGACAAAGGTCGTATTTGCCATTTTCCGGCGAATATGACCAAGGTCGTATTTGCCATGCACAAACAAATGAGGTTTTTCAAATGGCTATATATTTTATTTGTCAGTCATAGGCTACCCCCAATTTCCCGTTCCCCCTTTTTAAAGATAGCTCTGTTCTCGGGCTTCGTTTTCTTCAGACAAAAACAGTGAACTGACTTCATACAATACACCTTTGTCCATTTATCCGCGGAATGGAGTTTTATTGGTATTTATCTGCAACGAACAATAGTTTTAAATATGCAAAACGTATTACCTTGAGGTCTTGGTTAAACGGAACCTTTCAGGGGTCACGTCGAATGCAATTCAAACCGTAGATAATGAGATGTTTAGTGAGGCTTAGTTTGACCAGGGCCTGAGACAGCAAAAGTTTGTTTGATTAATCTCCGGTCAAATCTGCCGAACGCATTTAAAACAATAGTTAATCAACTGAGATGCCGCATACTGATCCGACGCTTTTAACAAACATGGGGTTTAAAACATGCCTCAAGCCTGATTCACACTTATCCTAAAGGCCGTTTTCCACTTCAACCGTATCGTAGCGAAACGTAGCGTATTTCATTGTTTTAAAGTCATTAGTTCTGGTCAAATACTTCGGAAACAAAGAAATACGCTACGTTACGTTACGATACGGTTGAAGTGGAAAACAAGCCTTAGAATGATTGTCATCGATGCATACAGTCATTTGTCCGTTCGAGTGTTTTTCAGGTAATATAAGGCGGTTAAATTCAAGAGAATAGTCAGATTTGATAAAGGAAGGATCACTGCATGGAAGAAGTCACAAGGAAAAGTTAGAAGAATCTTTCTCAGGTACATGATCATGGTTGGTTAAAAGAATCTCTTGGCTTGATCTTGATAGTCTTGTCTCACACTTTGCAAATGAACTAATCCGGCCGTGTTGATTTGAATAGCTACCGACTGGAGGCATATTCTTGCAATTTTCACTGTTATATCTTGTATATTTCGGTTCAAAGTGTGAAATGTAAGTGAGCTGTTAACTTGATTTTGTTTTTCTTTCCTTACTTCAATTCAGAACGAACTACCACGGCGAAAGATGGGGAAGGCGAAACACAAACGCTGGCTCGAAGCGAATAATAGGTATTGTTCTATTGATATTATAAAAAAAGGCAACCACACTTAATATTCATGAATATTTGCTGAGCTTTATACTTCAAACTTCGCAGCGTGTTTTCTACTTCCAAGTTTTCTTATTTCTAGAACGAAAGAATCGTCGGAGTGGAGTGATGTCGGAGCTGCCTTGGGCGACATTTATGCACGCAAATACAATGACTCGATTTCGATGAAAATATGCATGAGTAAAATATGCATGGGATTTGGCTTTTTTAGCTGAGATATGCTGAACACTCTTCTGTTTACCTCCTTGATTTTCAACTTTTCGGATTGCGGTTTTTTGCATGGATTAATTGACCTAGTCGTATCAAGCGCATGCGGAGAAAATACAAGTGATTCTGGGGCCCCAATCACTTGTAGTTTCTCCATCTTGAACGACAATAGTCCGGAACAAAAAATATCGCTCACAGAGCGCCTAAAACATAAAAATGCATGAGAATTTGTATTTCTAGAAGGAGATAATAGTCGAGTGTTTTAGTTTTTTCAGGACCATTAAAAAACGATGAATATTTCCCACAAAACGTGCATGAAATTTTGTATTCGCGTGCGCAATGCGAAGGCCTTGGAGAAGTGGCGTAGAAGATGTCGAAGGTATACAATCGGGTTTTGAGTGAAGCATTTTACACTGATTTTTACACTGATTTTGTGACCTGGAAATTAGTGATACCATAATTTTCACAATTTTGTGTTAAAGGATCGTCGCAGGATCAGATGTTGGAGGATCGTCGCAGGATTATATGATGGAGGATCGTCGCGGGATTATATGATGGAGGATCGTCGCGGGATTATATGATGGAGGATCGTCGCAGGATGAGATGATGGACAACAAGACGGGTGTCAAGTAGAGGCTGGTTGAGGTACATATTACTGGTATATTGATTAGAGTAATTCATGTTGCATGGTGCATGTTGCATGGTGCATGTTGCATGGTGCATGGTATTGGTTCCTTCTGGTGGTCTAACCTAGTATATTCACACATCAAGTGACATTTCAATAATTTCGACTCTGCATGAAAACAAGAAAATTCTCAGAGCTCTTATGAGGGCGTTTTTCGGTACAAAAAGTTGCTAGTTTTGTCACTTGTGTGAATACGTGTGAATCCAAACGACGTAACAGCTGCGGAAGATGCATGATGGCTTTAAAGCGTTCAAATGAAACTAACAAAATGCGATTAGAATGCATGGGCGACGCGCACGCAGCGAGAAAATATTATCGAATTCGTATTAGCCTAATTTTAGATTAATACGAAAGTAATCGCGAGTGCTTATATGATTGTATAAGTTCTCTGTCCAGTCTGTTATAATGCAACCGCTTCGAAGAATCGTCCGTCAGTGGCATCAAAAATTATACTTTAGTCTCTCAACATTTAAATTCGAATCAATGCAGTTTGAAATGAAGAAAAAATACTATTTGTCAATTTGATGTTTGGAGACTAGCACTCTTCTGTTTCCCTTGTTGGTCTTAATTTTTCGGATTGTAGTTTAAAGCTCTGAAAATCCGGTTGATCTCAAGAATGAAGGAAATAAACGTAATCTAATCATTTGTCTAACTTAAAGAAGTTTTTATAAGAACGAAAATATACCTCCTATATTACGTGATATATATTACAATTCATGATAACCGCACTCAAATAATGTGGAATATCTGGGGGTTTATAGCATTTAACTGTACGTTTATACTATATAGTAACCTTTTGCCTAAAAAGTTATCCCTTTGAAGAGCCTTTGCATTTTGACACACTTACTATGTTGTTTAATTTCTTACACGTCCAACCGTCGAGATGTTGTTGAAGAAGAACAGAACAGTCGATAAGAAGAAGAAAAGAACAGATTTGAAAATGGAGCAAGTGAATTTGGTACACTGTTTACCAAAGGTAATTATACGATGCAAAAGGTGAGGAACATTATTGAATATTGATTAGCCATATTGAGTAAGTTGCATGTTGAGCCCGATAACGTTTATTTCCTTCATTTTTGATCAACCGTAATCCCTAGAACGTATAAAGAAAGATAAACGGTGCATGAGATGCATGTCTTAATAGAAGAGTGTTGTTGTCTACATCGGTTTCAAATGAAAAAAAAGCATGCAAGTCGTGAATATGAAGCATTTCTTTCCATAATGCCAGATTTCCAAAAAAAGCATGAACATAGCATTTGAATAAATGAAATAATTTTGTTGCCATTGTCGGACAAAGCGCAGCTTAATTAAAATTCGTAACAGCCTGCTGTTTGCAATGAATAATTTGCGCGCTGCGCACGTTAGACCACCACCAGGATCCAGTTGACGAAGCTCAAGAATTGCATAGCTATATATGCAATTCCTGGGACAAATAAATACAAATAAATTATAGAATAAAAACTGAACCGCATGTCATTGAGGACGATTTCTAAATGAAAATACCAAATTCGGACCACCGGTCAGGTAACCTGAAATTCAGGTTACCTTGGAGGGTTTTTCTCCGGGCACTCCGGTTTCCCTCCTTTTCGTTTGGCTTTAGAAAACAGTGTCCATGTCTGGGGCCAACTGTTAAGAACACTTGTGTTTGGCTTCTGGGTTCGATTCCCAGAACACTGTCGTATAAAAAGCACCCGTCAGTCATTTACAACAATCAAACTCACCCCCCTGTGCAATGTCAATTGTGAAATAAAATTTGATAGACTAATTTAGTTGGACGGGGGGAGTTTTTCTCAAACAACACTCGTACTTAGTCACAATTTAGTCGTTCTTTGACACGGCATAATCACATGGAGTACAGACTACAGAGTGGTGAAACATGATGTATAATAAAATATGATGTAAAGATGATCATATTTTGGCTAAACAAGGGTCTAAATCCTTTTAAAGTAAACTATTCTTCGGCCTTTTCAATTAATTCCATATCTGTGCTACGAAATGCGGTGTTTTCCTCACATCCAACCAGAAATTATGGTCAAAACGTGAACAAACCAAGTACACTTAATAGCAATGCATTGCGAGAATATTGTATAAATATATTGCAACGTAGAAAGGGCTTTGTATTGTGTTCTTTTTGTACAATAACACGGCAATTTCACGGGGGCAATGCAAGTGTGAGGTTTCAGGAGAAAAAGAAACCAGACTCACTTCAAGAGCTGGTAGAATCGACAGAAAAGCAACAAACAGCACTCACTACCTCGCAAAAAGGTATTGTAGACTAGCAGTACTCTATATAGACTGAAATTGAAAATAATTTCCGTCTCAGATCTTCCAAACCATCTGTATACTTCCCAAAACTCATCCATTGCATATTTCAGTAGGCAGTAGCTAATAACCTATAATCCCACCTTGCATTAACAGAGTTCTTGCATCTTCAAACATGCCAGGATTACTAGATAGGGGTTTAAATTTTTGAGAATCAATGTGTACTTGAAGGGAGTTTCTTTTGTTTTTCTTAGTTGCTCAAGCAGGAAAGGATGTCAGTTATTTTGCTATTATTTTAGCTGGTTTTGCAGTCACAGGTATTGTGGAGTTGCGTACATGTTTTGAATTTTTTTATGCAATGAATGCAAAGTTCACAGCTTGCATACTTTGTCTCAATATTCAGGAGCCCTGCTATGGTATGTGTTGAGCGAATTATTTCTGAGCAGCAGTCCAAACAAGATATATGCTGATGCTTTAAAGAAAGTGAAACAAAATGAAGAGGTATACATTCATGCATTTGCTTTTAGGCAAAGATTTTTGGGATTATGCCTTTTGCACCAGTTACCTTTGTTTTGTGAGACTTGACCCATAACCTGGGAATATCTTTACTCGGGGTGAAGAAATCCCTTTTAGGTCAATATGATATGGTATCAGATAATAAAAGAGTTGAATATTTTTTATTGTGTATGTCTAATTCTTTGAATCTCACCCTTAGAATAATAAAGTTATAACTGGGTTTCTAGGTTTTAGATGCCCTGGGTGAGCCAATCAAAGCTTATGGTGAAGAGACATCGCGTGGACGAAGGCGACATGTGAGGTAGTACCTGTACAAACACCACCTTCCACACCAAAATTTCTTTTTGTTATGTGTGGTGGTACATATATATTTGATGGTTAGACTCCCTAACTAATATGTCAATATGGCTTGCTGTACTCTATCACACAATCCTTGAAAACCCATCTGAAACTACTTGTTTACAATGCTAAATTTTGTAATAAGATTATCAGCATTGTTATTCAAACCCTTCCCTAAAAACCAAGATATCATTCGATCATGTAGCTTTCAAGAGTACATAGTTGCTGGAGAGAATTACATGAGAGTAAAGTTCTATGTTTCTGGTACGCATCGAAAAGGAACGGTTCATGTGGATGTCAAACAGGTGATGTATCATCTATCCTGCATTGAATTGACCTAAGACATTATTTTCCCAGACTCGGACATCCAGGTGCTTTACCAGAAAATATGTTTCATTTAAAACCATCCCAAGCAGCAGTGCTCACCCCGTCACCCGCCCTCTTTTTCTCAGCTGACCTCTAAACAATATCTGAATGCAACATTAGCTATATGTTTCTTAAAAAGCAGCTGGATATGAAGCTGTCATTTTGCTGTTAGGTGAATTAATATTCTCATAACGCTGTATATTTTAATAAGGTTTCATCGAGAAGGTATGAGTATCGTTTCATTTTTGTTGAACTGGAGGGCTTCCCATTTCGGACGATCATCATCGAAGATAACAGATACGAAACAGATACAAGCTGAAATAATTGAGAAGTTTTTGAGGCATAGAAAAAACGTTATACAACGAATAAAGAGTGCATCAGTGAAACTACTAAAAACCGCTGGAGATGAGTCAGAATTGATTCAAAAATATACAGTTGCTATAATAAAGAAATTAATACGTTTTAATACGCCCTTTTTATTCGCAAAAACCCTTATTTTATATATTTGAAGAAATTATCAGTTTTTGAATGACAATCCTAAACAAACAGTCAAACAATCACTTTTCCATACAGGGCAATAAACTGAAAGCGACAGTTTTATCGAACTATATCTATCTACGTCTCTTCGTTTCTTAATCAAAGATGAATCATTGTTCGTCATCTGCAAACTAAATTTTCCCTGTTTTATTCGCACTTGAAACGTCGTTCGTGCCTCGTAAACGAAATGAATAACCTCGAAGATGAATTGCATTAGACCGAGTGTGGTATTTTCGTTTTAATAAAGCCGAAATTAAACGATCTTAATTTTTTATGAAGGTAAACATAATCATATCGGCAAAACAACTCCGTTTAATCAATTTTATTGCCAATCATAAAATTAAAAGATGTTTGCCTGTCAACTGTCATGGATGTATTTGGGATGTATTTTTGAGTTGTAAATTTTGTGCAGTTGCAGCGGCGCTGTCTATAATCGACTATCATTTTTTTTGTCGTTCACACTTCAAACCTTGCGATTCAGTGCTTTAAACAATGCGAAAATTGAAACGCACGTTCAGAATCTAAATTCTTCACCAAACTCTTCACAACCGACGCATTGCTCTGTTGATATTAATAAAAATTTTATGATTAGTAAAATTTTCACGCTATTTATTTGCTAATAATTGTTCACCCGGAATTGGCGAAAGATGGAGCTAGATTGAGAACAAATCAGCTTTGACACTTGCCACGGGTTCTCATTGTCTGATCAAGTTTTGTTGTTCGTCATTTTAACCTTACAAGCTGTCGCGTTTGTTTCAAGGTATGTATATTAGCCTCTAGAGTTGAGAAAAAAAATACCTTATCCCATGCATCGAAAACTGTGTTTTCCTAAATAATATATATGAATATGTTTATTTTACTTCACCCTTATTACCTGCACTCTGGGAACAAACCCCTGTCCCTCTGACCTTTCCATTGTCTATAATGTTTCTCTTGTTGTGATGAAGAACGTGGAATTTGTCAGCAAAGAATCGTTGCAATAGGTTAGTTGCAATACTACTACGAGATTTGGTCGGCAAATTTTATGATTCAACTACAACGCGTGTTTTGTAAACTATTGTAGGTGCTTTGTTACACTTTTTCCAACTGAAAAATGACAGAATCATTACGATGTTGGTTTAGCAAAACCGGAGATAAGAACATTACCATTGTTGCACGTGCACTATCGAATGTTTCCGCAATCTGCTTCGTCACTGGTATTACAGGCTTGCTAAACGTGATCGCGAATACATTTGTTGTGTACAAGTTCTATCAAACGAGGGCTCGCCAGCCTGTCTCGAACACATTGCTACTGTTTTTGGCATCGCTGGATTTGCTCAAAGGTGCGGTAGGCCAACCACTTTTTATTTTGGCGAAATTATTGGAATACCACAGCATCGCCAGTTGTGCTTTGGGAAACATCATTGAAGCAATATTGTGTCTTTGTCTCGGTTACGCCTTCCTATTGACAACAATAGTTATAACTTCAGAGAGATTCTTTGCCATTATGTATCCTCTGTATCATCGAGTTTACTCGCAAAAGAAGCTGTTGGTTTATACCAGCCTGGCTCTGCTGGTAGCGTGGGCGATTTTGGTTGTGTTTTTCCACAGAGTTTGGTATTTCAAACATTTGTACGTCGTTTATTTTTGCATCATTGCATTCGGGTTGGTGTACACTCTTTCTGTTTACGCGAAGATTTTTTCCGTAAGTCGCAAGTCTCAAAAGATGATAATCCAACATGGCGATACAGCGACGTCAAGAAAGCGAGCGTCGTTAAACAATGGAGGATTTGCACAAGATGGTATGGTCGGCTATCAACGGTATATTGGAGGATCATTTAGGTTTGCTCCTGTAGTAACACTGGATCAATAAGAGATGATCTTTACTAGACCTCTAGGAAGAACAGTTTAGAACTGATAGAGCTATCCAGTATAAATAAAGTTAGTTTAGTTTAGGTTTCCTCCTGTAGTAACACCGGATCAAAAAGAGATGATCCTTACTGGACCTCTAGGAAGAACAGTTTAGAACTGATAGAGCTATTCAGTATAAATAAAGTTATAGTTTAGTTTAGGTTTCCTCCTGTAGTAACACTGGATCAATAAGAGATGATCCTTACTGGGCCTCTAGGAAGAACAGTTTAGAACTGATAGAGCTATCCAGTATAAATAAAGTTAGTTTAGTTTAGGTTTCCTGCTGTAGTAACACTGGATCAATAAGAGATGATCTTTACTGGACCTCTAGGAAGAACAGTTTAGAACTGATGGAGCTATCCAGTATAAATAAAGTTAGTTTAGTTTAGGTCTCCTCCTGTAGTAACACTGGATCAATAAGAGATGATCTTTACTGGACCTCTAGGAAGAACAGTTTAGAACTGATAGAACTATCCAGTATAAAAAAAGTTAGTTTAGTTTAGGTCTCCTCCTGTAGTAACACTGGATCAATAAGAGATGATCTTTACTGGACCTCTAGGAAGAACAATTTAGAACTGATAGAGCTGTCCAGTATAAATAAAGTTAGTTTAGTTTAGGTTTCTTCCTGTAGTAACACCGGATCAATATCTCGAATTCTGCAGAGTAAAGAAGAAATTACTAAATTACTATGAAATTTTAAAAATAGGTATCAACAGAAGCGTGGTCGAGAACAACAAACACAAGAAGCAAAAAACAATGTCACCTGAGACACCCTGTCACATGATCTCAAAGAAAGTCAGCTGCGCCATTCAAACATTCAACCTAACCGCGAAAGAAAAGAAAACCATTTTTCGAATGCTGAGCATCGTTGGTGTACTTTATCTGACGTCACTTCCGCTTCTCTCGACATTCGCGTACCAAGTTATCCGAGGTCACGATCAATTCTTCGAGATCTACCTTTACCCCTGGTCCACGACGGTAATGTTCTTTTGTGGAGTAATCAATCCTTACATATATTGCTACAGAAATGAGCATTTTCAGATACGCAAACCAGCTCCTAAGAGACCGCCAGTTTTTTCATCTTTCAATACAAGCAGTGAACGAGCTCGGTATAACGTCTCACAACAAGAGAGACCATAACAGAGGTGACGTTACGCCGGGGTTACGGATCCCGTAGTGCATCGTTATGCAATCAATTGGATTCAGTATTAAGGGCAGCATTTCTACTTTACTAAGTATGTTAAGGACCGCCTGTCATGTAGGCTATCCACTTACGCGTTTTCATACGCACGTTAAGGTCTAAATGTGTTATCCTTGAAATTACTAAGTGAATAAATCGAAAGAACTTAGTTTTCGCGTATTTCAGTATACATTTGTTGACCTAAATGTTAGAAAATAAAAATTTAAAGCACTTTAATTTTTTATGAGAGTTAAATCGAATCAGCCAACACGCAGCTTTCTTCAATCAGTTTTATTGCCAATAAAAAGCGGTCTTCCTGTCAATTCGTTTAGCATGCATGATATATCAGTGTTTGTGCGGGTTATGCGTATATTGTGTAAAGTCTTAATCAAATATTAAACGTGCATGCGATGTTTCCATGTTTATTGCATGTGAGATATATAGAAGCGCGTTTATGATCTAAACTTCGACACAACTCGAGCTCTTCACCGGAAAACTAAGGTATATAAATGTTTTTCTTTGGTTAATATAATATTCTCGCTATTCATTTGCCGATAATGTGGGCTCGCCCGAAATTGGCGAAAGTTGGAGGCCTATAGTTGATCATTTTCGACACCTGCCAATGACTTCTTATAACATCGAGTTTTGCAGTCTGTGCATTTCAAGTTTAACTCCTTGTAAACTTTGTCGAGCCGTTCAGCGTTTGTTTCAAAAAGAGGTATATGTATTTAACGTTCATGTGATGCGCTACAAAGAGAAATATTCTTGTCAGTCTGTATTCGCTGAATTCTCAGTTTCATGGAATCGAGAAACAGATTGTATAGTCGTATCCCCCAGGAGTGAAGATCATTTGAAGGGTGCAGAATTTGTCCAGTTAAAATTGAGAATGAGATTAGAATGCATGTATATACAGTATGTGAACCAACCACAGACGCATTTTTTATGAACTTTTGCAGGTGTCCTGGTTGAATCCACGGAAATGTCAAGGGGAATTCATTGTTGGTTTAGTGAAGCCGGAGAGCATAACGTCACTATAACTCGCATTGCACCGAATGTCTACACTCTGTGTTGCGTGAATGTTACGACATTTTTACTAAACTTGATTTCAAATACTTTTATTGTTTGCAAATTCTACCGAACGAGGGCTCGCCAGCCTGTCTCAAACACGTTGCTGTTTCTTTTGGCATCACTGGATCTGTTCAAAGGCCTCTTTGGCCAACCGCTTTTCATTGTCATGATTTTGTGGGAACTCTACGGAGATTTTAACTGCACTCTCAAAAATATTACCGAAGCAATCCACTGCGTCTTTTTAGGTTACGCTTTTCTATTGTCAACGGTAGTTATAACTTCTGAGAGATTTTTTGCAATCGTGTATCCTCTTTATCATCGTGTTTATATGCGAAAAAAGCTGTTAATATATTCAAGTTTTACGCTTTTCGTAGTTTGGACGATTCTGGTGATGACCTTACACACAGTTTGGTATTTTTCCAATCTGTTCTTTGTGTATTTGAGTGTTTTGGCATTCGGTTTGGTTTATACTTTTTGTGTCTACCTGAAGATTTTTTGCATAAGTCGAAACTCTCAAAAGTCGTCAATCCAACGTGACGTTGTGGCTCAATCAAGAACCTGTGGTTCGTTGGATAATGAAGGTTTTGCGAAAGAAGATATTGAAGTTGATTATCGGTTGTCCGATGTTGGAAAAGGAGATGAGGGAATTAAGATGGACACCGTACTGAACACAGGTAAATTTGGAATAATAAACACGCATTGATAGTGATTACACCTGTGGTAACACTGGATCAATAATTTTTTTACACTAGAGCTATATCCAGTGTAAATAAAGTTAGTTTAGTTTAGGTTTCCTCCTGTAGTAACACTGGATCAATAAGAGATGATCCTCACTGGACCTCTAGGAAGAACAGTTTAGAACTGATAGAGCTATCCAGTACTAAATAAAGTTAGTTTAGTTTAGGTTTCCTCCTGTAGTAACACTGGATCAATTAGAGATGATTCTTACTGGACCTCTAGGAAGAACAGTTTAGAACTGATAGAGCTATCCAGTATAAATAAAGTTAGTTTAGTTTAGGTTTCCTCCTGTAGTAACGCTGGATCAATAAGAGATGATTCTTACTGGACCTCCAGGAAGAACAGTTTAGAACTGATAGAGCTATCCAGTGAAATAAAGTTAGTTTAGGTTTCCTCCTGTAGTAAAAATGGATCAATATGAGAGGTGATATTTCAATTTAAACTATTCAATTAGGTTTCATCGTGAGTAAGGAGAACAATCATAAAAACAAAGAGATCATTTTTGCTAAAAACTCCTGCCAAAAGATAACGAGAAAAACCAACAGTGCCGTTCAAACATTCACCATAACTACGAAAGAAAAGAAAACCATCTTTCGAATGCTGAGTATCATTGGTGTTCTTTTTGTGACATCCTTGCCAGGTCTTGCATCATTCGCGTATATGGCTGTTCGCGGATACGATAAAGTCATTGAAAATTACCTCTACACCTGGGCCATTACGGCAATGTTTCTATGTGGAGTAATCAATCCTTACATATATTGCTACAGGAATGAGCATTTTCGGATACGCAAGCCAACTCCTAAGAGACCGCCAGTTTTTTCATCTTTCAACACAAACAGTGAACGATCTCAGCCGATAGCGCATCACAACAAGAGAGGCCATAGAAGAGGTGACGTCACTTGTTAAACAATTAACTGCAATGCACCGTGGGACACATCCGGGACAAAATGAAGTCATGAAACCCCTCGTTGCAGGCTTTGTGATTATCTGTTGCCGTGCATGGTATAAGGGGTTGCCGCGAGCTACGAACACTCGCATACCGCTAATTCAATTAGGGTGGCCAAGTCAAAGAGCGTCATATACAGATGTCAGATTCTGGCAATTTCATTGTTGCTGGAAAAAAAGCGAAAAATATTTCTGTAAATCATCAAAACTTAACCAGGCTAATGCAGGCCTCGAGAACCCCGTCTTACTAATAATGATTAATTTTTTAATGATATCTGTTACGGTTCAGTAAGAATTTTTAAGTTTTAAGCGAGAGTAGTTTTTGTACTTTTGGTAATCATGCAATAACACTCTCTGCTTTCTGTTTGTTTTGCGATGTTTGTTTGCACGCAGTTGGCAAGAGAGATATGCCCGTGGCTAATTAATTGTGACGCTACGTCTGGCTGACGGCTCATTTCATAAATGATCATTTTTAACTTTTCATTTGGACACTGTCTCTGTCGACTGACTCGACTCGAACAGTTCGTGGGTTGCATTTGGTTCACATAATAGGTATGTATATTCCGAATTGAGTATATTGCCTTGAAATACTCCAGACTTGTCTGAAAGTCCTAAAACACCGGGTTTTTGAATACTCAGAATAATTTTCGGCCGTCTCAGCATGCAATTTGTGTCCCGTCTCGGAACTATATAGCTGTGTGGCATTCGCAGCATTACCGATAGTTAGTAGAAATTATTTATATTGGCACGAAAACTGTTAAATCCATTATAGTTCACTTGTGAATGGATGTGACTGTATTTCGGTTGAAAATGCAAGCGAAAAGTAATGAATTGTTTGCCCAAGCAGTTCTTCAAAGCCAGATATGACTTTTCATGTTTTACAAAATTTACAATTCATACTCGGGGTTGGAAAGATCAGGGAGTGACATTATACGCATTTATTTCTGTGTTTCTTGTGTATTTTAGTGGGATGTGCCTAGCCGTGAATGAATCAATTTCTTATAGTCCTGCCGGCCGGCTGGGTTTCGTCAAAGAAACCAATAGTAAAATGCGATGAAAATTTGGATTTCAAACGACGAATTCCTTTAAAAATTTAGGATTTAAGAAGCGCTGCGTTCTCTGTGAGAAAAATTTGATTAGTTTACAACGCACACAATGTCTTACTGTTGCATTTTTTATGAACTTTTGCAGGTGCTTTTATCAAACTCAATCTCATTGAAAAATGTCGGGAGGATTTTACTGTCGGTTGAAGGAAAACAACGTCAGCCTTCCTCTAGAATTCAACGAAGTTGCGCTGTGCTGCGTGAACGGTTTAACAAGTTTGCTAACCTTTTTCTTGAACGCTTTTGTCGTGTACAGATTTTACCAAACAAGGGCTCGCCAGCCAGTGTCCAACACGTTGTTACTTCTTCTCGCAACTTTGGACTTGCTCAAAGGCAGCGTTGGTCAGACTCTTTTTATTTCTGTGATCTTGTCCAAATTTTTCGGAGTCTTACATTGTACTCTTGAACTTGCCACCGATATAATTCTTTCCATATTTTTGGGCTACGCTTTTCTGCTGATGACAATTGTTATGACCTCAGAGAGATTTTTTGCTATCATATATCCCTTGTATCACAGAATATACATGCGGAAAAAGCTGTTAGTTTATACGAGTTTGCTGTTATTTGTCTTGTGGGCACTTCTGATGACGATTTTCTCCACAATTTGGTATTTTCACAAGATATACTACATGCATTTGTCCATTGTTCTATTTGGTTTGGCCTATACCCTCGTTGTTTATGTAAAGATCTTTTGTGTCAGTCGAAACTCGATGGCTCAACACAGCGGAAATTCAGGTTCAAGGGATTGCTGTTCATTAAATAATGGAAGTTTCACAGAGGAAGATGATAAAGAAGGATGTAAATTGTCAATGAAGGATAGAAAATATGGTGATGGGATTAAGATGGATCCTAGAATAAATTCAGGTAAAATTTATGAGTTCCCCACTGTGGTATAACTGGATCAAAATAAGAGATGATCCTTACTCGACCTCTAGGAAGAACAGTTTAGAACTGATAGAGCTATCCAGTATAAATAAAGTTAGTTTAGTTTAGGTTTCCTCCCGTAGTAACACTGGATCAATAAGAGATGATCCTTACTGGACCTCTAGGAAGAACAGCTTAGAAATGATAGAGCTATCCAGTATAAATAAAGTTAGTTTAGGTTAGGTTTCCTCCAGTAGTAAGAGATGATCCTTAATGGAATTAGAGAATGGTTATAGATATCACGTAATATCCTAAAATTTTAAAATCAGGTATCGTCATCTCAAACAACATTGACCACAACAAGAAATACAAGAACGATGAAACAGCATCTTCCGAAAACACAAATACGTCAAAGAAAGCCAGAAACGTCACAGACGTCGTCCAAACATTCACCTTAACCGCAAAAGAGAAGAAAACCATTTTCCGAATGTTGACCATCGTTGGTTTTCTTTATCTGACGTCTGTTCCATTCATCTTCACATTATCCTACGAAATTCTTCGAGGTCACGATCAAATCTTCTATAAATATTTGTACCCCTGGGCTAAGACTATATACTTCGTAAATGGAGTGATTAATCCTTACTTGTATTACTACAGAAATGACCATTTTCGAAAGCGTCAGCCTGTGTCTTTTACGAGCCCGTCTGTCAATGCAAGCGGTAATCATGCACAATATAGGTACGAGTTACCGTTTTCTCGCAACAAATAATTAATCATGCCATGGTATCGTTCCTTGGATTATATTTCAACATAATACACGCATTAAAATAAGATACTTACTCCTCAAACCGTAAAATGTAATGAAAACTACATAAACTGATAAAAGTAGATTAAAATATGAAACTCGACTGTTAATCTTAATCTTCAATGAAAATCGCTTATCCCCGAATGCTAAACTTCCGTTCTTATATGCTTTGAATTCTATAATTGTCCCAGAACGTACAGAACTTAGTTTTTTGCGTTTCTCTCAGTCCTGACATGGTGCAAGAACAGTCTTGTTTATCCACCTTATGAGAACATTGGCCGCCTTAGGCTTCAACAAAGTTTTGCGCTCTAGGAGTGACGTCAGCCACAAACCGTATAAATATTGCATCATTCTTGCAGTACGTGTTACCACACGCGACGTTTTGCAGGACAAATTTGCGCGCGCCTTTACCAAGCTGCCTTTCGGGTGTGGGTCTGGCAATCCAGTGAGGATCGAAACTTGCCGTAACGTGTCGTCGTTCCTTCGCGTTCTCACGTTGATCCAGCAAGGTGAACGCAAACTTTGGGTTGACAGGCCAGGATAAAATGTCATCATACTCACCAACAATAACCTGGCAAAAACAGAAAATATTTATCAGATTACGCAGCCATATTATAAGTTAAACTAACCAGCTTCATCAATCCTCGCGCTAGGATTATCAGTTGGAAATTCACATTCCCGCAGAGTACAAATACTGTCATTCTTTTACTGATCCAGTGATTACAACAGGAGGAAACCTTAAACCTACACTAGATATAAACTTCCCAGTTCCGCTAAACTGTTCTTCCTAGAGGTCCAATGAGCTAGGATCATCTCTATTTTTACTTGATAAACCTTACAAAGTCCTCACCTGCAATCCTACTGAAATATACTTCCCTTTTCCACTGCCGAAACCATTTAACCACAATCCAGCACACATCTTGTAGCCATTCTTATGAGTGTAAAACGGTTCACTGACCAGCAGCTCAGGTGAACGTTGTGTCCTGGCGTCCTTCATCTTCTGACTGAACTCTGAAATCTTCCAAATATATTCTCCGTCGGCAAATTTGCTTCTGAGCTCCACCAGATCTTTCTTGTATGAGCTTAGAGCATCTCTTTGCAGTTTGATGTGTTCTTTCTGAAGTCCAATGCTTTCATTCTGCGCGTCGAGAAATTTCTGTTGATGCACTAATTTTTCGTGCACCAAATCCAAATGCTCTTTTGTTGCCTTTTCCAAATGCTCGTCCATTTCGTCTCGCTTCGCCTGTGAACGGTAGCATAATTATCTTCCACTCTTAAACTTTCATCCCGAAAAATAAATGGACCTGACACAATGCTTATTAATATCAATTAAAATATTTACTGATGTGTTATCACCAAGTCGCCGGAAAATGGCGTATTCGACCATGGTCGAGTCTGCCGAAAAATGGCGAATTCGACGATGGTCGAGTCCGCCGGAGAATGGCGTATTCGACCATGGTCGAGTCCGCCGAAGAATGGTCGACTCTGCCGGAAAATTTTGGGCACATTCGACATATAATTTATGTTATGATATCCTTACCATAAATTTACATCCAGCATCGTAATATTTACATTCCAACACACTCATTGGACACTCTCTTCGTTTATGAAGAACGAGCTATATAAATTTGAACAAAATTAATGAACTGTGAATGAAGTACATGCACTTGGCTCAATACCATTAAATATATTTTCCTATTTAGGCTAAACATTTCTCTTCTCAGTATACACGTGTTGTCAGCTGATCAGTACAGAACCATAAGATTGTCTCTCAGTTTTTGTCTGGTCGTCGTTGAAAGTCAAGTCTGTTTTTAAGCGTCAGTCTAGCTCCGTCGCTCAGGTCATTGTCGACTGTGCGGTGATAAAATCTACTCTTTGAAAGATGCGAAAGATATTAGTAAAAGAACCGACAGCTCTGATATACGCACAACGCACAGGCTAAAGTAAGTGATATAGATTTCCTACCATATCTCTGGTCATGTTGCAAGCGCCACAATCCCATGGACACTCGACGGGATACTTCGGACATGTTTCCAAATGTATCTACACGAGATAATAAAAAATAAATTGTGAGGTCAGTAAGGGACAGAGTTGGGAACAGAGAGGTCAGAGAGTAACACAAATAGTGGTTTGTACGTATCCTGAGTGAAAGTATCCTTGCATTTTGTACTTATGTTTGATGGCTGCTCACTAATATGATTATTTGCGAAGTGCAAGTTTATTAATTTCAATATTTTTGCACGTACACATCTTTGGGATTCTGTAATACCAACGTTACAGAATTCACAAGGTTCTTCACGAAGTATGCATTCCTTGTCGTGGTTTTCCAGATCTTTTTTCTTTATTTTCGTGCCACACGAGTTGGGGCATTCGGTATCAACGTAAACACACATATCCTCGTGATCCTGTAGATGAAGATCGAAGATCAAAGATCACAATCCCCGGCGCATAGCAATCATGTAAACACTGCTTGTTTTCTGGCCTTTGGGAGGAAAGAAGACAACAAACAAAGCTTCAAAAGCAATTGATCGCCTACCTGCTCTTCTGCCAATGATCCAGACCAGTCACAACCATCGGTATTACGCCTGCACAAGATCTTCAAAGATAAGATTTGTCGAAGGCAACCGTTATCCGGGAAGACCTGAATCAAATAGCGCAAGGAAGATCAGTTTTGAGTGATACACTGTCTGTATAAGATGACTGGTTGATGTATGATAATCATTATAGCGGCAATACCTTCTCTCCGTTCAGAGGCAGATTATCCAGTGGACATTTAGGATTTCTGCTCCTGGAAACGTGAACAAAGACGAGGTAGATTCTTATCTCTTGCAGGCTACGTACAAGCTTGCAAGGTGCTGATTAAGGCTTCAGAGTTTCGGCCTTGTTTGCAAGGCTTCAGACTTCTCGGCCTAGTTTGCAGGGGGGAAAACCGAAAGCAGGGCGGATGATGCATTTGGATGAGGTCGTAATACGTTTGATCACAAATCTCACCTCATGATTGTTGAGTTTTGGGTAGCCATTTGCCACTCCTTTATATTCACAGCACAACTTTAGGGTTACACAGTTTTATTCACTCTGATGTATACAAGGAAAATTACATCTATATATAAGTGGTTACATGATAATCTCTTTAGGGCGGATAACATTTCATTTTACATTTGGTTACCATATTTGGCTTTCATTAAAGAAACATTTACTACACTTGCATCTATGGAATCTATGGAATCATTTGATCACTCATAAATCTAAATTAAATCTATTTACAGTTGATTGATACATATATATTGGAATATTTGGAATATAATAGAGCATACTTTAACACCCCCACTTGCTCTTTATGTTCTATAGTAAATTATTTATTTGATGGCGTGCAGCAGGGCGGGCCATCGCTTTAAAATTATATGCGCAGTTATGAACCTATGTATACTTACCTAATATGGTCTCTTTAAATTTTTCTAATTTTATTTTACTGGCTGGCTTTGTAAATATGTCTGCAATATTTTCCTCTGTTGAAACGTACTCTAAACTAACTCGTCCTTCCTTCACTTCTTCCCTAATGAAATGGTACCTGATGTCTATATGTTTTGTTCTCTGATGATGAATAGGATTCTTCGCCAGATTCATCGCTCCCTGGTTATCTATCTTTATGAAAGCCTTACCTTCATGTATACTTACCTTCATGTCGATGCAGAGTTGTTTCAGAAATTTTGCTTCTTGCATCGCGTTTGTCAATGCAATATATTCCGCTTCACAGGTGGATAGTGCCACTGTCGGCTGTTTGCGACTCTTCCATGATATCAACGGTCCCTTTTGCGCTAGTTGATAGTTGTATCCTGTTATACTCCGTCTATCTGCGATAGATGCTCCCCAATCTGAATCGCAAAAACCTTGAAGAATGAGGGGGTTAATGGACTTTGTGAACGTTAGACCAAATTTTGAAGTACCTTTTAGATATCTCAAAACGTGCTTTGCCTTAGTTAAATCTGCCTGGGTTGGTTTTGACATTTTCTGTGCCAATTTTGTCACGATGTAACACAGATCTGGCCTAGTGCCAGTCATTACATATATGAGACTACCTACTATAGCTCTATAAAGCCCGGGGTCCTCCATTTCAGGAGATTCCACTTCCAAAACTTTGTCTACTCCTAACTCACACGGCGTCGGCTTTGGCTTACAATCGGTCATTTTGAATTTCTCAAGAATCTTTTCAATGTACCGGGTTTGATTCATTTTAATTGTGTTTTCACTGCATTGAAATTCAGTGCCTAAAAACCATTTTAGAATCCCTAGGTCGGTCATTTTAAACCTTTCTTTAAGAGACTTTTTCACGCTCTGTAGTGAATTTGAATCACTCGAGGCGATTATGATATCGTCTACCCAAACGATTACGATCACACATCGTTCATCATCTATTGTACGCACATACACACATGGATCTGCAAGAGATTGAATAAAGTTTTCGTTAATCAAATATTGATGGAGTAGATTATTCCAATTCCTGCCGCTTTGTTTTAGACCATATAGCGACTTTTTCAGCTTACAAACTAACGTTTCACCGCTATCATTTCGCTTTTCAAAACCTTCAGGTTGTTCTATATATATTTCGCAGTCAATTGGCGCATTAAGGTATGCTGTTTTCACATCCATTTGGTGAATAATCATGTCGTTTTGCACGGCACGTTGTAATAACATTCGGATCGAACTCATGCGTGCAGTTGGTGCAAATGTTTCTTGGTAATCTATATCTGAAACTTGAGAATACCCTTTCGCTACAAATCTAGCTTTATATTTTTCCTCACCCTCTTGATTTGTTTTTATAGTGTAAACCCACTTTGCCCCCACTACCTGTCTATCCTTAGGTCGCGGTACTAAATCAAAAGTGTCATTATCTGTCAACGCTTTCATCTCAATTTCCATTGCCTTTTGCCATTTGTTTGCCTCAGGCAACTCAAGTGCTTGTTTATAGCACACTGGAATGTTCGCAACTCTATAGCAATAATCAACAGTGTAATTAACATTCTCACCTAATGTGTCATCTAATTTGCTTTGATCGAAATAATTTGGCTTATTGCGAACTCTTGTTGGATACCTATCTCCCTCGGTAACCATTTCGGTGTTGTTTGTTGCATTCTCGCTGTTTGTTTCGAGATTATTCGAGCTCTCCTCAACTGTACTCGGCATTTTGGGGTTTTCATTGCTAGTACTCGAAGGTTTTCTTTCGGGTACAAACTCATCAAGATCGTTGAGTTTATTGTCTTTGCCTTGGAAGTTGTCAATGAATTTGACACAACGTACCTTTTCTATCTTGTCTAATTCCGGATAGTATATCAAGTAAGATGGGCTCTCTGTCGTACCCTATAAATATACCTTTACGGCTCTTGCGTCTATTTTCTTGGTTTTGCAAAGCATAGCATGTTGTGCCGAATACATGCATATTATTTAAATTTGGTTTCTTACCTGTCAACGCCTCAAATGGTGTCTTCTCTAAGCGTTGGTTGAAGCATCTATTTCTTATGTAGGCCGAAGCCATCACAGCGTAGGTCCACAACCGTTTTGGTAGTTTTGCCTCCAATAGCAGGCACCTAGCCATGCTAAAAAGGCTTCGCCACGCTCTTTCTGCAGTTCCATTTTGGTGAGGGGAATACGGGGCACTCGTCTCGTGTCTTATTGACTGCTTTCGTAAGAGAGATTTAAATTCTTGACTCGTAAACTCACCACCATTATCGCTTCGTATCCTTTTAACTTTACCATAAGGCGCAACATCGGCCAAAAATTTTTCTGTGGCTTCTAAAGTGTCGCTCTTTCGCTTTAAAATATATCATGTTGATACCTGTATAATCGTCTATAAAAGACAATGCATATTTAAATCCGTCTCTGGCAACGGGCTCAATTGGCCCTGCCAAGTCACAGTGGACAAAATCTAAAGGTGCTTTAGCTCTCTGATCTGGCTCTCGGTTTCTATTCTGACACATCTTTCCTTGAATGCATACTTCACAATCTTTCTCGCTGTGGTCTATGATTTTCATACCTTTGACTACCTGCTCTAATTTACGCACATCTCCAAAGTTACAATGGCCTAAAATCCTGTGCCACTCATTAATGGAGGTAGCATTGTTACACGAAGAAGAGATACTATTTAAATAGTACAAACGCTCTCTCTCTTCTATCTCAAATACCTGACCTTCAGCTGTAGTGTATTTACTTACCTGTTCTCCTAAAGCAACCGATCCTCCTCTACCTATTTCTGCCGAAACTGAAAAAATATTTTGACTGTAGGACGGTATATAAAGTGCGTCGCTTAGCATTAGATTTTGTACATTACCCCTTACATCAAACAATTTAACCATTGCATTTCCCTTCCCTAAAACTACGTTAGCCTTGCTCCCATCGGCAAGTTCTATAAAGTGACTGTTCGGATCAAAGTTCTTGTCAAAGCTTACAAACCTAGACCTATCATTAATTATGTGGCTAGTCGCCCCAGTGTCCACGAGAAGCTTCGAATTCTTCGTACTCCTACCTTTACCATCTTTTAACGTAAATGCGAATGAATGTTCATCCAAATCTTGATTCTTCACTTGTCCGTTGATAAGCTTCGCTGCGTCCTTCTTTGCGGCTCTACAATCTCTTGTATTGTGGGTCTTGGTTCGACATTTGGCACACCATTTTTCGCTCTTTAGCCAACATTCAGAACTCTTATGGCCTTTCTTATCACATTTGAAGCATTTTCCGTCGAATTTCGTCTTGGCGGCAAACATCACGTTATCTTTGCCTTCCGTACTATGGCAACTCTTTTCACTCTCTTCGTAGTTTCGCAGGGCTATTTTGAATTCGCTGAATGTCATCTGCTTTTCTCGTTGGATTATCACAGTAGAGAATGTTTTATAGTTCCTAGGAAGGCCTTTCAAAACCATGGCAATTAGTAAACCGTCGCTTATTATTTCCTCTGCTGCTTTGAGTGCTGTCGCAGCGGTCTCCGCGCGTATGATGTAGTCCGTTGTGGACTCGCTTTCTCCTTTTCTCAGCGAAGTAAGTTCAGTGTACAAAGCTATAATTCTGGGTTTTCCTTTTCCTTGATAGTGTTCTCTCAGCACGGTTAAAGCCTTTCGACCATCATCTTTTGCCTCCCGTATCACTAGGGACAAGCTTCGGTCGTCTAAACACTGTACAAGTTCGGCGAAGGCATCGGCATTCTTCGACTCATCTAGCTCACGCTCATCGCTGCTAGGCACAAAAATATTGTAAAGCTTTTGGATCCGCATAAATGATAAAAACTTTACCTCCCATAATTCGTACTTCGATTCGTTTCCATCGAAGACCAGAGCTCTCCTGGGCCCATAACCTGTTGAGTTTTGGGTAGCCATTTGCCACTCCTTTATATTCACAGCACAACTTTAGGGTTACACAGTTTTATTCACTCTGATGTATACAAGGAAAATTACATCTATATATAAGTGGTTACATGATAATCTCTTTAGGGCGGATAACATTTCATTTTACATTTGGTTACCATATTTGGCTTTCATTAAAGAAACATTTACTACACTTGCATCTATGGAATCTATGGAATCATTTGATCACTCATAAATCTAAATTAAATCTATTTACAGTTGATTGATACATATATATTGGAATATTTGGAATATAATAGAGCATACTTTAACAATGATTGGCTCGAGGCATGATTGACACACCCGATGACCGCACGGTGTTACTTGAACTGGACTGCGCAACGCATTCCAACAGATCGGACACTCAAACGACTTGTCCAGCGGCTCGGCAAACTGAACTTCGTATCCTGGCATTCTGTGGCTTCTGTGAAATGACAATTTATAGTTCAGGGACCAGTTGTGTAAAAGACTAGCTAACTTAGTTAACTTTTAACTTTAGTTAAGGACAGAATTGTCCAATCAGAGTCATGTATTTCTGAGATAACTAGGTAATAACAGAGTTTTATACAACCGACCCCTGTTGTTAGGATCTGAATTTAATGTCAACTGAATTGACTTTGGATGGAGTGTTATTGAGTTTTCACTTGAGTCAAGATTAGATGTCAAACTGAAGTGTGTGGGAACGGACGTTTTGATGAGATTTCTTTCTAAGAACATATAAAATTGTTCTTGGAAACAGTCTGTAATCATGATGGTTTCCCGGAATTATTCGGCTTACATCTCTTCCGACCACAACGGAAGATTTCCTCACACTAGCAAATCTCTGGCCTAACTAACGCAAGCCAAGCAATATAAACTATTCTGTTGCTTGTTGAATATCAAATTTGCTGATCTGTATAGTGTACAAAGCGGTTCTTTAAACATTGTCAAAACGGAAAATTCCTTCACATCAGCAATCCTTGTCCTAAACGCAAGCGAAGCAATATAAACTGTTCTGTTGAATATCAATTTGCAAGCAATATAAACTATTCTGTCGAATATCAAACATTGTCAACCTTGGCAGTTGATAACGCATTAACTAACTAATCGGACTTTATCTTAAAATCACGAGATAATTTGCATTAAAGATAAATTTATCAGATAACCACTGATCAAATTTGCTTCATGTGCACTTTCATAATAGTTTTTATAAGACGTATTCAAGTGTGCCCGCTTTTAATGCAATAACATTCATCATCTAAGTTTCGCTTATGAACGTTGATCCATTTTCATAGCTTTTTTCTTCAAAACCAGGTGCACATTCTCCGTTTTGGTGGCGTCATATAATATTAATGGTGATCATGACTTCCGCAGGTAAACTGAGCGATAGCTGGCAATGTAGAAAAACGACAGCCAGTGAAAGGAATGCTTACATGTATGAAAACAGAAGAACCATGAGTAATGTATCCTTTGTCTGTGGTAAGGAAGGTGGCCGCGAAATTTACGCTCACAAATACATCCTTGGTACGAGAAGTGTCGTGTTTGAGAAAATGTTATACGGAGAGTTAGCCGAGAAAGAATCGCAGCCCATTTGTATTCCCGACGCAGACGAAGATTGCTTCGAGGAGTTTTTACGCTTTCTTTACGAAGATGATTGTGTGATTACTGGACAGAATGCTACAGGACTCTTGTACTTGGCTGACAAATACGAAATACCAGCTTTGTCTGAACAATGTTGGAAGTTTCTAGAGGAAAACATTGACCAAAATAACGTTTTCGAAGTGCTGACACTCGCACAGAGTTTTAAAAGAGATAATTTGAAAGAAAAATGCAGGGATTTTTTTTCAGGAAAAACTACTGAATGCCTTAACTCAGAGGGTTTCCGCGACATCAAGTCCCAAATGCTGGAGGACTTGTTAAAGGGGACGAGCTTTTTAGATACAAGTCATGCAAAGGATATCGAGTTGTTTAAAGCTGCTGTGAAGTGGTCTGACAGCAAATGCGCGGAGCAGGGTTTAGATGTTAAAAAAGACAAGAGCGCAAGAAGACAAGTCCTAGGGGATATCGTCTATGACATTCGTTTTCTGGCCATGACTCTGGACCATATTATAGATTATGTCTCTTTTACTGGGGTTCTCACAAACGAAGAGCTTGTGGGCATTTTACAAAGAGTCAGAGGACACGAAGTTCCTGGTCTGAAATGGAAAAGCCCCGTAGTTGAGTCAGTTGAGCCCGAATCAATCACCATAACGAGATTCGATGCGCATGCGGGAAGCGACGTCGTTGAAGACTCTTGGTTTTACGTCAAAGACGATAAGATAAACGCTCTGACTTTTACTGTGAACGAAAGTATTCACCTTCAGGGCGTTCGCTTATTTGGGGACTGTCATGGCAGTAGTTACTCCGTAAAATTCAAGGTGAAAGAAATGCAATATGAAAAAAGGCGCTATCCGCCTTCGAAACTACACGAAGATGGTGTCTGGGGTTACGATGTCATGTTACCACAACCAATTTCTTTGCAACCAGACGAAGAAGTCACGATGACAGCAACGATAGAAGGACCGGAGTCGTTCAAGGGAAGCAACGGTAAACTAACTGTGAACGTCGGTGACATTGTTGTGCGTTTTCATGATACACCTTCTGGTTCAAACCATAACCACACCAGCAAAACCGAAGGTCAATTTTACAAAATTTTCCTTCTTAAAATGTAGGACCAAATGTGGACTGCGGGGGAGGGGGAGGGTGTGGATTGGCGAGGTCAGCTTAAACTGATTCGCTATCTCAGTTATAAAATTATGGTACGCACCAACATAAATATCGCTAATTTCAAACGATATATAATAGTAGTATTTACATGAACTTTTATAGTAACGGGCAAGCATCATCTTTCATTCTAAGGCTTTAATTAAATGATTTAAATGACTATGCACCGACATAAATATTACTAATTTCAAGCAATATATAATGGTAGTTTTTACGTCAACTTTTAAACAGTGAGAACTTCACCTGTCTCAGAAACGCTTAGAAAGTTGATCAGGGATTAGCAAAATTAAACACAAGCACTGTCAGTTCTGTACTTATATAAAAACATAATTTAATTATAACAAAATAGATCATGTACGGCCCAGGAACGGACGGATCATAAAATTTACAATCAGACTAGAAAATAATTGAGAATTTACAAAGATAGGTCCCTTAGGGAGTTAGAGAACCTCAATATATCACAATCGTTGTAAAATAAGAAGTATGTCACATATAAAACTGCGCGGTAAGCGGGATTTAAATAAAGAAATTAGGACCTTATAATTCTCAAAATCAGTCTTTCCTGTGATTTATCACTATGAAAAAGCATCCAGATCAATGTCATCTTCAGAGACTCCCAAGAGTGCAGAAAAACAGAAAGTTATCTTCATCTGTGTCCTTGACAGTTGACATGTGCGACTCGACTCTCTGAGCAGAATCTCCATAAAACCTTTCAAAAACTGCTCGTGTTAATAACGTATTTGCGGGCACAAAATTAATAAAATGCATGGTCGCTTGACTCAACACTACTATCACAATGGAATAATACGTCGCTGATCAATTCGTTTACAATATTTACACGTTGCTTTGTAAGACTGTTGTCATACCAGATTATCAATCATTGTTACGTTGTTACCTAGAGACCATGATTATATTGATAGTAATGATAATCTGAGCTAATTTTAGATTTAAAATGTCGAGACTTCCGTAGAAAGATAGTGTGGTGCGTCTTTTATCCCGAAATGCGGAAGTCGATATATTTATGTAGCCGTTTCCTACTAGCTTCAAAGAGGATTTCTACTCTCTGAGAGTCTGAGCTGTTCATATATGGACACTGGATTGCAGCATTTTTACTCAAAAACAAATCTATATTTTTAAGTTCTATGTAAGCCCTTGTTAAACACTGATATGCTATCAAACTACTTTCTTTGTTTGGACGATGATTAAAAACGAGAAACAACCGAAATATCAGCACCATTCGGAGAATATTTTGCCGAACCTCTTCACTCCAGGTCTATAAATGATAAATACTGTCGTATTACCAAGATCTCCCTAAACTGGCTACTGCCAGATGAAGAAATCGTAACCATTCAGACAAATTACTACAGTAAATAATTCGTTAGTTCTTTGACTATGTCTCAACTCTACGTTTTATTCATTGTCATGACATGCAGTTCAACTGTCCGACGTTTTTGGTTCAATTTTGAATAATGCAAGGAGTGTAAGAGGTCAACAGTGAATACTTGCTAACTAATATAGCTTGTTGGCGTAGATGGTACATTTAGTAGCCAATAATAGATGGAGCGAAAAAACTGACTTAGTTCACTAGTTCTGTTAGTTCAGGATCTGATCTTATAGTCCACAAGACTAACTTTGTGTACAATGTTACTTTAAACTAATTCCGGGGTCGCGCTGGGTGTGAATATTAACAAGTGTATACGTTGTTATGGATTTTTTTACTGTTGACTGAAACTTGTTTATGTAGTAATATGTTGAATAATGCGTCAAAACCTTAGCCTGTATATAGTAGGGGATTTCTCTTAATTATTTGACTACATACAGGCAAACCATGCAATCTTATTATTGATTTCAACACAAACCAAGTTATATTTGAAGCTAGTATACTGAATATAGAGTCTAAAATTGCAAACCTTATAGTACTGCATGAGCCTAAAATTATAAATCGTCGTTAACAACATGGTACAATCCTTAGCAACGAACAAACCAGTCCAATTCTTCCTGGAAATGATTTGCATTTGGGGGTGTATTTAATACAAAAAATTCTCGTAAACATTGCCATATATGTTGCTTCGTGTGCATTTTAAAAACTATTCGAGTGTGTCCGCGCTTTTAAACGCAATAACCGTAGTGGTGTGGCTTTATGAGCATTCATTTTTAAAAACTCTGTAATTTCAGAAGCAGGTTTAATTTCTCTGTTTTGGTGTCATCACATCATCGATCATGACTTCCTCAGGTCAGAGCGATAGCTGGCAATGCAGAAAGACGACAGCCAGAGAAAGAAATGCTTACATGTTTAATATAACAATCGTGAGTGATATATCCTTCTTCTGTCGAGAGGAAGGTGGGCGCGAATTTTACGCTCACAAATACGTCCTTGGTACGACAAGTGTAGTGTTTGAGAAAATGTTTTACGGAGAGTTAGCCGAGAAAGAATCGCGCATTTGTATTCCCGACGCAGACGAGGATTGCTTCGAGGGGTTTTTACACTTTCTTTACGTAGATGATTGTGTGATTACTGCACAGAATGCGACAGGACTCTTGTATTTAGCTAAAAAATACTTCATCCTGGCGTTGGTAGAAAAATGTTGCAAGTTTCTAGAGGCGAACATTGACCAAAATAACGTTTTCGAAGTGCTGAAACTAGCGCAGAAAATTGAAAGAAGAGATTTGGAAGTAAAATGCTGGCATTTTGTTTCAGTAAGAACTACCGAATGCCTTAACTCAGAGGGTTTCTGCGACATTGATCCCCAAATACTGGTTGCCTTGTTAAAGAGAACGAGCTCTTTGCATATAACGGATATCGAGTTGTTTAAAGCTGTTGTGAAGTGGTCTGACAGCAAATGCGCGGAGCAGGGTTTGGATGTTAAAAAAGACAAGAGCGCAAGAAGACAAGTACTAGGGGATATCGTCTATGACATTCGTTTTCTGGCGATGTCGTATGACGAAATTATAAATTCTGTTTCTTTTACTAAGGTTCTCACAAGCGAAGAGATTGTGGGCATTTTACAAAGACTCAATGGACACGAAGTTCCTGGTCTGAAATGGAAATACCCCGTAGTGGAGCCCGAATTAATCACCATAACGAGATTCGATGCGCATGCGGAAAGCGACGTCGTTGAAGACTCTTGGTTTTACGTCAAAGACGATAAGATAAACGCTCTGACTTTCACTGTGAACGAAAGTGTTCGCCTTCAGGGCGTTCGCTTATTTGGGGACTGTCGTGGCAGTAGTTACTCCGTAAAATTCAAGGTGAAAGAAAAACAATATGAAACCAGGCACTATGTTTCGAGACCAGACAAAGATGGTGTCTGGGGTTGCGATGTCATGTTACCACAACCAATTTCTTTGCAACCAGACGAAGAAGTCACGATGACAGCAACGATAGAAGGACCGGAGTCGTTCAAGGGAAGCAACGGTAAACTAACTGTGAACGTCGGTGACATTGTTGTACATTTTCATGATACACCTTCCGGTTCAAACCATAACCACACCAGCAAAACTGAAGGTCAATTTTACAAAATTTTCCTTCTTAAAATGTAGGACCATGGACTGTGGGGATGGGGGAGGGGGGAGGGTGTGGATGATCGAGGTCAGCTTTAGACTGATTCGCATATCTCAGTTATAAAATATGGTACGCATGCACCAACATAAATATCGCTTATTTCACCGGTAAGCATCATCTTTCATTCTAAGGCTTTAAACTGATTTGCACCTGTCATATGATTCTAGTATGCACCAACCGTATGATAAATATTGCTAATTTCAAACAATATATAATGGTAGTTAACTTTCAGTCAGCGAGAACTTCATCTGTCTCACAAACGCTTACGGAAAGTTGATCGAGGATCATCAAAATTTGTGGATTTCTGTACTTATAAAAACATAATTTTATTATAACAAAATAAATTAGATACGGACCAGTGTACGGACCGGTCATAATCATGTAATAATCAGACTAGAAAATAAGAATTTGCAAGGACCTCTTTCAGAACTTTAACATGTTACAATCGTTGTAAAATAAACGATGTAAAGGAATCAGTCATATATAAAACTGATAAAGGATTTAGATGGAAATTTTAGGACCAAAGAGTTCTAGAAATTTACTCTGTTCTATAGCAATAATCTTTTCTCGCTTTCAAGGTTTGATGAATTCCACTGCTGTGATGTAGCCTCGCGAATGTGCTCTTACAATTCAAATATGCCTACTTTTTACTGTGGGAAAGGTTTTTTGAATAAGCTGAGACAACGAACGTTTGAAAAGAACATATTAACTATTCCTCCCTCCCGTCGACAGAGTCAAACTTTTCTAAGGAAATTTCCTTAGAAGTGAGAACGCTGGTTACACCATATCATTTAAGACCATTTCAAAACACATATCACAGCCGTCGGGCGCGTAACTATTGCGAGGATGTCCGTGTTTTTCAGATAACTTGCATTGAATCGTACACATTTCAGTCGTATACTCAATAAGTTTGGGATCACGCGTAATTATACAAGCCAAGTTAGGCGAACCGGCTAACATTGCTAATCACAAAGTGATGTTTGTTACATTAGATAGCCATGGTCTAGTTACTCAATTTTAAAGAGCGATTTTCTTGGCTTACCTTCTGAAGTCTACACGTACTGGACACGCGTCTTGCGGAACAAACTTTCGGCGCTAAACACTCCACCAGTGAAAAAACAATTCTTCAACTCTTCAGAAGATCAGATCTTAATCAAAGTACGGCGTCTTACGATCAAAACTTGATGAATTATATTTTATCGTCAGAATGTGGAATAAACAAAGATTGAAACAGTAATGGCACGCGTATAGGAGATTAAAATATATTCCACCCGTATGAAAAAATCAACAACCGCGCCCTTGAATAGTTAAAGCAGGATCTTTAAATATAACTGCGGCACCTGCATGTAACAGGTCAAACATTGGTCAGTCAAGCGAAACATCATGTACATCTGAATTAAGTCCTGGAGCTTTTTCAATGCAGTAACACTGGATCAATAAGAGATGATTCTTACTGGACCTCTAGGAAGAACAGTTTAGAACTGATAGAGCTATCCAGTATAAATAAAGTTAGTTTAGTTTAGGTTTCCTTCTGTAGTAACACTGGATCAATAAGAGATGATCCTTACTGGACCTTTAGGAAGAACAGTTTAGAACTGATAGAGCTATCCAGTATAAATAAAGTTAGTTTAGTTTAGGTTTCCTCCTGTAGTAACACTGGATCAATAAGAGATGATCCTTACTGGACCTTTAGGAAGAACAGTTTAGAACTGATAGAGCTATCCAGTATAAATAAAGTTAGTTTAGTTTAGGTTTCCTCCTGTAGTAACACTGGATCAATAAGAGATGATCCTTACTGGACCTTTAGGAAGAACAGTTTAGAACTGATAGAGCTATCCAGTATAAATAAAGTTAGTTTAGTTTAGGTTTCCTCCTGTAGTAACACTGGATCAATAAGAGATGATCCTTACTGGACCTTTAGGAAGAACAGTTTAGAACTGATAGAGCTATCCAGTATGAATACAGTTCGTTTAGTTTAGGTTTTCTCCTGTAGTAACATTGGATCAATAAGAGATGATCCTTACTGGACCTCTAGGAAGAACAGTTCAGAACTGATAGAGGTATCCAGTATAAATAAAGTTAGTTTAGTTTAGGTTTCCTCCTGTAGTAACACTGGATCAATAAGAGATGATCCTTACTGGACCTTTAGGAAGAACAGTTTAGAACTGATAGAGCTATCCAGTATAAATAAAGTTAGTTTAGTTTAGGTTTCCTCCTGTAGTAACACTGGATCAATAAGAGATGATCCTTACTGGACCTTTAGGAAGAACAGTTTAGAACTGATAGAGCTATCCAGTATAAATACAGTTCGTTTAGTTTAGGTTTTCTCCTGTAGTAACATTGGATCAATAAGAGATGATCCTTACTGGACCTCTAGGAAGAACAGTTTAGAACTGATAGAGGTATCCAGTATAAATAAAGTTAGTTTAGTTTAGGTTTCCTCCTGTAGTAACACTGGATCAATAAGAGATGATCCTTACTGGACCTTTAGGAAGAACAGTTTAGAACTGATAGAGCTATCCAGTATAAATAAAGTTAGTTTAGTTTAGGTTTCCTCCTGTAGTAACACTGGATCAATAAGAGATGATCCTTACTGGACCTTTAGGAAGAACAGTTTAGAACTGATAGAGCTATCCAGTATAAATACAGTTCGTTTAGTTTAGGTTTTCTCCTGTAGTAACATTGGATCAATAAGAGATGATCCTTACTGGACCTCTAGGAAGAACAGTTCAGAACTGATAGAGCTATCCAGTATAAATAAAGTTAGTTTAGTTTAGGTTTCCTCCTGTAGTAACATTGGATCAATAAGAGATGATTCTTACTGGACCTCTAGGAAGAACAGTTCAGAACTGATAGAACCACGGTATAGGTTTCCTTGTTTAATGAAACTTTTCAATATACACGGGTTTAAACAAGTTAGCTTAGCTAGCTACTGTATACATTAAAATACAACTGTTGTTCATATATATAATAAATAGAACTCGTGTTCATATACGGAAATTTTCAAACACTAGATAAAATATTGTAAATTCCAAGAATTTTTCGTGAATGAATTCCTGTAATCTCATGTGAGAGTTCGATCCACCCGACCATTTGATCGTCTTATCATCCCGACTGTCCTGTCAGAAGATCGTGCAATACGTGACAACCTTTCATGTTGTCTTTCCACCATTTCACTCCAAATGTTCCGTTTTAAGTTTTTGAGGGACGGTCATGACGATTTGATTTTCAAAGACGAATCTTTTAATTCTTGAAAAGAGGGCTAGAAATATGACGAGCACGGCCAAGTACTGGATCCAAGCATATTTGATGAGCTGCCAAAATCCTGGACGATAACTGAAGTCCAGTCAAGGAATAAAATTTACTTCAGTGATTCTTTTAACGGTCAAGAATAACGCTCCCTTACGTTACTACGTTACTGATCGGATAAATTTGACCGGATAAATTTGACCGGATAAATTTGACCGAGAGCAAACCTTTCATTTCCAGAGCTGGAGTCAAACATGAGCTGTATTACTGGCTGTTTTCATTGCTCACTGCATGTATATGGGTTGATATTATGATATACCATGAGCAGCTCAGCCAATTAGATTGCACAACTGGTCAGATATGGTGAGTAGATATATTATAAGAGTGGGTGGGTAGTTTTTAACTCTCTAGAACAAGGATACAATATTCTCTCTTCAGGATAATATATTGTCGCTTTGAGTCTGAACGGAGCTTCAGTATTACGTCCAGACTTCCAGATTGGGTAGGCACTTACATATTCTGTTGTCACTGCAAGGAAAGGATTAGAGAATAAGGTGTTTTTAGGGGGAGGGATGTATTAGAGAGAGAGAGATTTATTAGAGTGAGGGGATATTAGAGAGAGGGATTTATTAGAGAGGGATTTATTAGAGGGAGATTTATTACAGAGAGGGGGTCAGAGGGAGAAATAACTGGAGTGGGACTAACTAGAGAAAAAGACTAATTGGAGAGAGGAACATATAAAGGGGAGGAATAATTATAGAGAGTAATTTAATAGAAGGAGAACTTGTTAAAGAGAGACTATTTAGAGAGAAACTTATTAGAGAGCAGGAATCATTAGAGAAAGGGGCTGCTCTGAGAGGTGGGGCAATTAGGGAGGGACATTAATAAAGAAGAGGCTGTTTTTAAAAGAAGAGATTACCATTTCTTTTGAAGTACTTGTCGAAGATATTAACAAAATTGTATGCTTCAGCAAATGCACTTTTGCTATCAATAACCGGTGTCTATCAATTAGTACAAAGAAACAATTAAAGATTCTATTAAAATTTGACATTAAGAAAAATTGAATGAAGGATCCAACGCAAAGGTACAAACATTGTACGTTGTTGTTCTGCCGCTGTGGCGAAGAAGGTATTTCTGTTTCAGCCTTAGTTCTCCAGTTGTGATAAATTGTGCGCCTGGAATGCCTGAGGTTTGATGAATGAACGCCATACTTTCCATAAGCAATGTTGAAAACCGCTTTTGAAAGAGAATATGTTGAAATGTTATTCACTGACAAAGTATTTTGAGGTGGGATGGTCTTCAGATTTTGCTCAAGGAGAGTGGATCCAGAGGTACAAATAAAGGATGAATAATGATAATGAAGGTGATTCTAATTACTTCACTCCCTTATGACGTGGGGAAGATGCATTGTTATTGTAGGTAATGAGACCAACCTGCAGTTTATACTCAAATATTAACAACAGTTGAGCTGTGTAAATGCTTTCTTTACTGTTCAATGGCATTTCTAGTGTGAAATGCAGAACATCTTTCTTGCCATCACGATTTGTATCCTCTTCATAAGACTAGAAAGATTTGAAGAGGGAAATTTCAAGGTTTTTTTATCCACTGACTAACTTGCAATGCACACAAATATGCACACTCCAGTATTTTGATCTCGGTTCAGCTACAGGGGTAAGGATTTACCTTGACAACAGGGATACGAAGTTTGTCATTCACAAGATTATTGAAATTCTGATAGTTGCTGTAAGCAACGTATGAATCTGAAGTTATTCCCTGCAGTAGGACAACAAACTGATGCTTGAAGTGGACCTCAGGTTGTTCTTTATAAGATGCTTCTTTCAACCAAAATCCTACACGAAAAAGCGTCGAGAAACATCAGTTTAATCTCAAATTTCCACAAGATCTGGAGTTGTACAAAAAAGTACGTAGTTTTAAAACTTCTGTCACAACAGCACAGCTCTTGCCAGGGCTTTTGTAGCTTCTCCAACCGTCAGAAAATCGTGAAGAAATAAAAATATACGAAAACATAATCAATACCTTGCGATGCATAGGCAACAAGAAGTGGAAAAATTATGGTAAAGATGGCAATAAAAAGTTGAAAAACACTCGCTCTGCTGCAGATATGCGTCTTGTACTTTTGCAAAACAGGATGCGAATGAATTTCGTACATAACCATGTTGATTTTGGTGTAAAAAAACAGCTACAATAAAATGTTTTTCTTTGTTTATTGTTGTCGATTTCTTTCGCGCTGAAAATTTGTAAACACAAGAAGATAATCGAGTTCTAATCCTTTCCTAATCCAAACCTGGCTAATCCTAATCGTTATATAAAATATCGAGCTAACATGAAGCACGGCGAAAAGACGCAGAGAAATACGAGACGACAAGCAACTGAAAAATAAAAAATCACAAAATAAATTCAAAATGTCTTTGCGAAAATTGCTGTCAAAAACATCATTTTTACCACTCCTTTGTCGATCGGTAAGCAAATATTTGTTGTACATGATGTATTCTTCTTGTGTGAATTTTTATTGCGTGGAGTTTTGCGCGAAATCAATGCAAAATATATGATTCAATTCCCAGGTACCTCAAAACGTGAGATGTTTGCACCGAAGTCCTGCTTCGCCTGCTGGTCAATTGTTTGTGGTAAATACTGGATTTTTTAGATTACATTTTGAATTCGTTATTTATCATACATTGTATATATCCTGAAATAAGTTTACTAATGACTTTAGCATCGAGATACACCAGAAAATAACAAGGATATTCCTTTTGAGTTCACCAAAGAAAATATAAAGGTTTGGTTTTACTAAGAATTTAATCTTTATTGATGATGATCATTGCAGATAGTCAGGCCCATCTAATTCTGATCATTATTGATGATAATCAATGCAAATGATCAAGCCTGTCTATTTAATTCTAATTGTTATTGATAGTCAATCATTGCAGATAATTAGGCTTATCTGTTCAATTCTGATCATTAGAGAGCAGAAGCAATCATCGCTAATTATCCAATTGGGCACAAAGCTGCTGCAGTTATACCTTTGTTAGATCTAGCTCAAAGGCAACATGGTAGGAAATTATAATATGATCATCATTTTAGCCCATGTTATAAAGCATTCATCACACATTTTTGCTGTTAACAGGTTGGGTGCCTCTGTCTGTGATGAACTATGTGGCAGATTTCTTGGAAATGCCAAGAATGAGAGTTTATGAAGTAGCAACATTTTATACTATGTTTCACAGGTACTGGTATTTGATCCAACATTATCCACTTAGAATCTTATTTACGGACCCAGTAAACCATCTTACACCAGCTAAATACCACTTTTTGTGATTTCGTCAAAATAGGAAACCTGTTGGTAAGCACGTCATCCAGGTGTGTACGACAACACCATGTATGTTGTGTGGTGCCGAGGAACACATGGAATTACTGCAGGAGAAACTGGGTTGGTATAATAATGTTTATGTATTGCTCAACTAGTTCTGTTGGTAAAAAAACTGGGTAGTTACTTCACAGCAAAACATTGACAAAATGTTCTTGTTTCTGCTTGAAATCACTTGTGTATTGCTTAAGTATTTCTGTTGGTTCAGGTATAAATGTTGGTGAAACCACCGAGGATGGAATGTTTACATTGTTATCAGCCGAATGCCTTGGAGCTTGTGTTAACGCACCCATGATGCAGATTGGAGATGATTATTATGTAAGTCACTAGCTTTGAATAAGAGATGCATTTTCATGAAGAATAATATACAAACCTGGTTTTCAGTGAATCTTTAAGGGTTGACTTGTATATACGACTTGTTTACTGTCACAGATATGTTTCCAATGTTTTTTATTATTTTTATTTAGGAGGACCTTAGTTTAAAAGACACTGAGGAGATTATTGATGATTTGAAAAATGGCAAAGTACCAAAGGCTGGACCAAGGTTTGGGGAGTCTTTTATAACCTACATTTAACAGTAATGGATGTCATTATACTTTCCTGAGCTTATCGACCCATTACCTGGACATGTACCAGTGAAAGATACTAAACACAAGATATTTTCAATTCTCACTTTCATCTCTTTATCCTAATCAATCACTGGACAAACCAATATTTGACATAGGTAAAATATTCTCCTTTTAGAAGTGGTCGTTTTGCATCTGAACCTAAATCTGGATTAACGAGTTTAACGGAAGAGCCTAAGGGACCAGGATTTGGTGTTCGGTCAGATCTATAATACTAACAAAACAGATATATATTTTAATATTGTGTTCAAGAGAAGGTGTTTGCGACTCAATTTGTATATAGCCACAATACTCTATGGTGTTTCTTCACAAAGAGGACGAATCTTTTGCGTATGTGGAAAAGTGTTTTTCAACCAAATACGAGTTTTTTTCTGTGTTTGTTATTAACTTCATTTCCCCTCCCCCTTTTTTTGGTGAAATGTGCGCTAGAGCAATATAAACTAAACCTTGCATATCTTGCTAACTATATCTACTTTCTAATCATGTTCAAGTTGATTAAATGCCTCATTGTGGGTCTCCCATGAGGGCAGTTCCAAGGGTGGTCCATCTCACCCATATGACCAACAATTCTTCTCATCTGACCATCATTTAAGGCTGTACCAACCATGACGGACATTCTACATGCTCTGCTCGCAAACATCTTTCGTATATTCGAAGGCCTGTAATTCACTCCAGGACTATCGCTTAGCAAAAATATCAATTCGTCGATATCCGATTTCCCAAAACTCCAGTTCCGACTAACGGGCAACGATGCAAGTTTAACCCTTTCCGAGATAGGAGCATCCTCATTGATCTCAAAATCAAAACCATTCTTTCGAAAAACCTCTAAATTTTCCATCAAAATGCTTTCGTTTACCGCCGTTAGCTCAAGAGACCGAGGACAAATCAGTCGTTGAGATTTCAAAACAGTATTCTTCTGTTGTTCTTCAAAGTTGTATTTCTCGTCCGAAGCGTGCTGGTCGATGATGAAAAGATCTTCCTCAAGTTTCGTTATGAGAAAACCTTGGTTAAACTGGCCGATAATTTCCATCTTACTGAACATTTCTTTCGTGATGTGCTTCTGAAGTTCCTCCTCGGCTTTCTGGTTGCTCTCGGGCGCAATGGTTGCTCGAAACGTTCGTGAACGCGTTTTATTTTTTCAGTTCCAAAAAAGCTTGTTTTTCGCGCCCGTTTTCTGCTGCGAGTCTTTCACGTAATCCATGAAGATCGAAATTAACTGTGATGCTCTTTCGAGAACTTTTCCCGAAATCATTCTCGCATTCTTGATCAAGTTTCACTTTCTTGGTATTGCATTGAACTTCGCAAATATCGCTTGTTCTTCCACGTTTCAAAGCTCGCGAATCACACGAATATTTCTCATGCATAATGTTAAAACTTTGGCAAGCGTGTTCACTATTTTCGTATGGTTTTTCTTCTTCCAACGGCTCGCACTTATTTTCATCTCTTGTCAAGTTTTGTAACTCGTTATCTTCCTTTTGTATCGATTCCAAATCTTTGATGTTGCATTTTGTATTTTTATTAATACTCTCTCCAAAATTTGTATTATTTTCTACAGTGAACACTTTATCTTTGGATTCTTCCTTCGTCTCGCTAGGTAGATTCCCAACTTTGTTCTTTGAGATGGCTGAGCTCTCAGATAAACACACAGCGTTTTGTACTAGGCTCGACTGGTCGTTGTATCAGCATCCGTGTCCGAACTCTTGTGAGTCTTGTCGCAGTTATTTTTCGATCTTTCATTCCCCATTTTGTTCACTAAGGTCGAAAGAAGATCATATTCTTTTGGATTAAGAGGAAAATGGCCATCACCAACAACAGAGCAAGCACTCGCGTCAACAATCTTTTTGAGGGGTCCATTGTTTTTTTCATCATCAATAGACTCCATTAACAAATCATTCCCATCTATTTTTGTACATCTCTAACACTAGTTACGCCAAACAAACCACCTTCAGAAGCATTTAATGGCAGAATCTTCGCACTTGAGGTAATGGTATAGCTCACGGCCTCTTCCGTTTCAACTTCTGAAAAATTATCCAACTTTTCTTCGGCCGACGGTGGAACTGTGGTGGTAAACTTCAGTATTGAAGACATTTCTTTATTTTTGGAAACCTTCACCGCCGCAAACAACCTATCTTTGATAGACTTGGAGAATGAATTTGTTGTCTTCTCTTCGTTTTCTTTGCGTTTCATAAACGGTAGTTTGATTTGGTTGAGAGGTTTTTGGTTCGTCTCGTAGTTCGATCCTCCAGGATCGTACATGGCCTTCAATGAGCTCTTCATCGTTGCTAAAAGAAGCTTTTCTTGCTGCAAAAACACTTGCCGTTTGTCAGGGGTAACGTTTAAATCGACTAGATCTAGTAGAAAAAAAAAGAACAAGCTGTTTTCCTGTCCCGCTGGTAACAAACGAACTAGCCACTGGATCCAACTTACCTTTTCGCAAATCAATATTTATCGATAAAAACGGGTACTGGTTTCTGTTAAACGCATGGTAGACTTCATTGACCAATCGGGTAAGTTTCGGCATATCGCAGGGTCGTTTGTTAATGAAAATATATTGCCTGTCATTGGCACTCCGACCTGCTCCGTGATCACAGCGCGAAACAAAGCCAGTCAAAATGAACACAGGATTGCTTTCAAGTTGTGCCACATCCAAGCCCAACTCATCACAGTCTTCTGAGGTGGGGTTGATCTGTTTCAATTCCAGTAATGTTTGCAACTGTGGATAAAGAGAAGATGAGAAAATTTTAGTTGAGGCATATTGATATACTTTACAACATTTGCATGAATTACTATAGTGAAACTACCTTTTGTAGGTAAATTGACCAGTATCTATGGCTGCTTCAAAACTTACCTGTTTTGGACCAAAGACGTTACTAATATTCCCTTTCATGTCACTGTTTGCGTGTGTTGCCAAAACCATAGATTTCTTGCCCTTTTCACCAATGGTATAACAACTTATCCTCACACCAGTTGAGATAACACAATACCCTTGCAAAACCTGCATCATTTTTGTGTATTCTCGTTTAATGTTGCGTTGGAACTCCTTGTGCCGAACAGGAAGGGTCGAGAAAAGGTTCTGTAGGGTCACAGTGGTACCATGGGTCCTTGGTGTAGCTTGTTCTTTTGTTATGTGACCATCATGGTCATATTCAATTCTTGTTCCAATATCTTGTGTTTTATGGCAGGTTGTTATGGTTAGATTGCTATAATGGAAATGAGTGGAATTATACCTTCTTTGGTTATAAGTAGTGTGACCAAGGGGTTAAGATATGTACAGTCAACAACCTTACCCCAATGCACATAATGAACTAAGAGCTTCACCACGAAACCCAAAAGTTTCCACACCAACCAGGTCGGCAAACACATTCAGCTTTGAGGTATGGTGCTTTAGGGCCAATGCTGCAAAATTCTCTGGCAAAACCCCAGAGCCATTGTCAACAACTTCTAAGGAATCAGAACCCCAATTTTTAAGGCGGACTTCAACATTTGTTGCTCCAGCATCCAAACTGTTTTCAACTAATTCCTTTACAGCTGTGGCTAAGGTAACAACAACTTGTCCAGAGCAAATTTGGTGAACAGATCGCTTATCAATCACTTTTACAGTAGGAGTGCTCATTATGTCTTAATTATATAATGGTGGTGAATAACTATAAAATATCAAACCTCACAATGTCTATATGATTATTGCTTGGTTATACAAAAAAGGCCTATCAAATTGCAAATTGGAAAATGGTAACTCCCCCTGTTGTCCTGTTCAATGTTCATTGGTTAACAGGGGGGGGGGATAAGAACAGCTTCACATCAAATTATCGAAGTAACCACGGGGGGTATTTCCCCTTTTTTTTCAGGGAAAAATTAGAACGTGCAAAAAAGACTAATCTTGACACTTAAACTTGTTGATTCTTTTGACTAAAGTCACTCGTAAAATATGGCAGAAACAGGCACGGCAAATGAACAAGTGAAAAACAGGGAGGGCTTAACAATATTTCAAGACGTACGTGTCTAATTTTATGCTTGTTTGTTTAAGCGCCGAGTTTTACCGCAGCCATTTAACTTGCACTTTAAAAGGCCAACATGTTTGATTTAGTTCATTTCTGATTTAATTTTTAGGTTTTCCGACGAGCAGATAAAAACGGTATGTATATAGCTATTAGTTTAGCTACTTGTGGTCATTCAGCAATTATTTGTTTTATTAAATTCGGCATCAGATGCAATTTCTATGTTGGCCGAATCATAAGATGAGATACGCTGAACCGTGTTTAATAATTTAGACGTAGTTGTCTCGAGCAGCTGTATTGGACTAAATTGTTTGTCTGAAGCTTAGATTTTTAAGTATGGCAGATTAGAAGCAATGAGAATAATTACTATGATCACAATCAGTACCTTTGTTACAGTACAATTATTTTACAAGGAAATCATGGTAGCAATTACATTATGCAATATTTGTAAGAGACTTTGCCCCGCCTTAGAGTAGATTTTTACTAATGCTTTCAACCATGAATCTAAACTAAAAATATACATGGCTAATTCCAAGTGCCCGTCAAAAAGAAATCTAAGACCCTGTAGAGCTAGTACACCCTTGGTGCACGAACCTTACTTTGCAGGATCATGTCCCATTCCTTGCATGGGACAAATTTGATTTCGTTTACTGTTTTACTATAATTGTTTGTGGTGGAAAAAAGTCATTTTGATATTCAAATGTTGCTGATGTTTTCTGAATCAGATGATGGAGCATTGTCGATGGCAGAGTTTAAAACATTCTTCAATGATGGTATACTGTCAGAGAAAGATCTGGAGAAACTGTTCAATGACATAGACACTCACAATACTGCGTAAGAACAGACTTTATCAGTCTAACATATCGTAAGTGATTCAACATATCTATATATTGTTTGCCAGGCTTCTAAATTTAATACAAATTTTTCTTTCAGAAACATTGATACGCAGGAACTTTGCGGTAGGTAGATGATAAGATGAATCTTCATATGATGTAAAAAATCTACCAATTACTTCAATCATCCTAGCAATTGAACCTTGTTCATCTCATCCTTCACTTATCCTAGCTTGTTGGCTTGTTTTTTTCAGCTGTCCTTAAATGTAAATGCTGGCATTTTATATCACTAAAGATCTTTGATTTTTCAGACTATTTTCAGGAGCATCTAGGACCATTTTCGTCAATATTTTCTGGATTGGAAAACATGAACACTGCTGTTAACAGTGCTTTGTTAGAGACGTCAAAGGTAACTTGCCCATGATAGACGTGTGCGTTTTCAGGAGTTGATGTAGGAATTTGACTTATTTTCGATTTTTTTTATGTCAGAGTTATCCTGATGCCAGCTTCTTTGCAAAGTTCACCAGAAGATTCTTGATGCAAGAGGTAAGGAGCTAACAAATCTTTGTTATATCTGTTAATAAGAAAGCCTCATGAAAACATATGTGCAATGTTCTTGCTTATAATTCACCTAATAGGTCGTAAACCAACTGGGCTCGGTCCAGTATCATGTTGACACAGCTTTGGATAAAATTGAGGAGGGAGAACAAAGCACAAGGTAACTAGAACAGTGTTTATGCAAATCCAAGTTATTGTGTTAGGAACAGAACAAACAGGTTAAATGCTAATGAGAAAGTTCACAATATTTCACAGAACTGATTCACCATATGTGGAACAAAGAAAGAGTGGAATGAAGTCAAAGATTAAGAAGAAGATGGAAAATTATCAACAGCAAATGAGCAATGAAGGTATTTGATGTTACTTTGGACAAAGTCAGTTATATCTTAAGAAATATCTTGTTCTAAGACTATTTTTATTGTAATCATTTCTTTTTTCCAGGTAACTCAGTCTCTCGTCTTTCATCACAAGTTGACCGCTTGGCTGACTTGGTCAACAAACTAGAATCAAAGGTACACACATACTGTAGTGCCACTCTGTCTCAGTATCACATACAGACATATTTCTAAAGCTTGAAGCCTCATAGTATCTTCTATTTCTCTCGGAATACATGCATTTAGTTGTTGATAATCTTGATTATTATTTTACTTCAACTTGCTTTTATTCAACAGGTGAAATTCCGAGTTGTTGAGGAGGAAATTAATCCAAAGAATGACAAAATGGTGGGTTGTTTTGCAGATTTATAACCGAACTAGACCACAATTAACTTGTGTAGGACGATGATTCTTCTAGTTTTGAGCTGGTTGGTCCTGTCTACCAGTTCTCTACTGTATCTCTCTTCCTAGAGTAGACATCCAAGTTACTCCAATATTTGCTTCTATATCGCGTTAAAAACATATGATAAATTTGCAAACTTTTGTGGCTATCTTCACCATTTTCCTTGAATATATTTAGGTTATCATTGTGCGTCGCAAGTTTGTGGTTAACACTGAAGGCGAAGACGAGTTCAAAGCTTCATTAAGAACGTACATTAATGCGACTGGTCTCGCACAAGGCTGCATTGAGTATGACGCTATACATCTAACCTTGCATTTTACCTTCCCCCAGTTTGACGCATTCAGAGAAATCCCCTTATATTAGTCGAGTGGCTTTTGAACAACGCGTTAACGTTTTCACAGCTGATAAATTGTTTGGTATAAATCTATTTATTAGGTTGTCAATTCGGGCTTTCACCGGATCTGATGTGTACGTCTTGTATGAAATTTGGTCCAGCAAAGATAATCTTAATCGGTAATTGTAACTAATAACTACTTGGTTTAATTTATCTTTCATGGACCCGAGGCAGCTCACATTGTTATTATAGTTTTGTCATCATTCAGGGTCTGTACAACCCCCACCTCCCAGTGTCACCTCGTACTTAACCCCGCCCAAAGTGAGCATCCCCCCGCGGTGAAAGTTTCATTTGTTACAACGCTGTTTTATTTTGTATTTTCAGTTATTACACTTCGACTGAATCGAGGACTTTTCTGCGTTCAAATGTTGATCATTTGCAGCAACCTGAGGAATATTCTCAGATGCCCATTCCAGGTAATCCTTCATTTTTTTTGATATTTTTGAAGTAAAATATTTTTGATATTTCATTGCAGTACTGCTCGTCTGACTGAGTGTTGACTGTTGGTATATACTAATACTAGCCTGACTAGTCTAGTTCTTACTGCTTTGCAATGTTTTATTCAGTGTTTCTCTTTCAACCTTCCTCAATGTCAGTGGATCATTGCAGTACTGTTAGTCTGACGGAGTGCTGCCTGTTTCTACTAATACTAGCCTGACTAGTCTAATAATCGCGCTTCCCAATCCCAATGAGTTATCCAACATATTTCGCTTTCACCCTTCCTCAGCACCATTAAACCCTTGTCATTTCAGCCGTGTGGTTGGGTGAAGCTGACTCAAGCGAGGAATTGTTGTAACGAACTTTTGGTGAGGCACTGAATACTGTGAACACTGCACAAATGATGCCGGTACTGGTAGTAAGTGGGAATAAAATGCTCAAAATACAATATGTTTTGAGTCAGGGGAACTGATGATTAATTAATGACTGTCCCATTGGGCGGTGTTTTTCACATTGTACGGGGTGGGAGATCTGGCGGTCAGTTTCGGGTCTCTGATGAAAGCACAAAACATAAATAATTCTCTGCAGTAGAAATAGTTTTTGTTACCTTGCGCTTTCATCACAGCCGTTTGACCAAAACCACTGATCTGGTAATAAGAACTGGATATAGCGCGTTATCAGATCAGTGGTGAAGGGCCTGTTTACATGGAGCGAGTTATCCCGGCTGGGCGAGGTAAAAAGCGCATCACATGACATCAAAGGATTAACCTGATTAGTCTTTCATTATATGTAGTTTTCACCTCACCTAGCCGGGATAACTCGCTCCATGTAAACAGGTCCTAAATCCGCCATAGTAACAATTACCATTAATTAATCGATATACACAAATATAGTATTGTAATAATGAAATGAAGCAATTGATATTAGAAAATCAATCAAACACAAAAGCAAGGTTTGCACAACCCTGTGATTCAACTTTTTGTGCACTTTTGAATATCATAAATGATTTGTTATTGCCTTTAAAAACCCAAAATTTTCCTAACAAAATCAAGCGCGCGAAAAAATAGAATTTCTTTACGGCACGCGCATACGTCGATTTCATGACATCATCCAATCAGAATTCGTCACGTCACAAGAAATGGTTTCTTCAAGTTCAGGTGGAGTCTTCAGGAATACCGCATTCGTAAACACAACATACTCAAGTAGTTTTACGTGTCCCGGACGTCGTGAGGTGATCCCGAAGTTTAATAACTACGTTAGTTTTGTTTCGTCAACAGAAGATAAGTTAGTTCCACGTTGTTTTCCGCATTTCGCGCTCCGCGTTTCACCGCATCGCATTCTCGACTTCGAACATTCCGCATTGGGTTTCGGACCGACAGGCGCGGAATACTCGGACGTTGCGGATCAGCGTAAACAGTCAGCGGAGGAAGCGGAAGAAAATCAAGAGATCGAAGCGGACGAGAACGTCAGCGTTGAAAATTCTGAGGATTGTGGAGCTGCAGATATAAGTGAATCGAAGCAAGAAGAGAGCGAGGAAGCTGATTCTAGGAATCAGAAAGACGAGAGAGCGGATACTAATAGTTTCCAGAAAGAGGATTCTGAGAATTCTGAGAAAGTAAGTATAGAAGGGAATTATAACAAAAGCTTATTATTAAGTGGAAATTCTTGTGGCAACAAACCTTTCTTTTCAAACTCGATTTTTAAACGTCATTGTGCACGCTCTCTATTTCTACAGATGGCTCCACGACGGCGCGTCGAAATACCAAAGCATTTCTTAGATGAAGTAACTGCGAATATTTACAAGAGTACAGCTCGAAAAGCTGCCGAAGAATGGGCCTTACCTGTCCCAGAACGACCCCTCGTGTTCCCCCAAATCATTGGGAATAACGAAGACCGCGAGCTCTATCATTCGGTGTATCGTAGAACTGGGACCTGGAAAACTAATGTGGTGCCAGAGGCTTGGGAACGAGGCCAAGTAAGACCGCTGTACGAAGATCCGAAGGCGAAACAATATCGTCCATATCGGCTGAGGTTTAGGTAAGCCTTGAAATGTTTTGGGGAACGAGGCCAGTCTGTACATTGAGTTGAACTAGTTCGTAACAACACATCTTAAGTACTTGTTGTGAAAATCCCAAGTAGCCATCAGCGTTTTTGCATTTTTGTTCAGTAGACCCGCTAAAACTCGGTTGCTGTCGAAACGTCATCAAGAACCAAGTGATCAAGTTACCATGACTGAAGTGAAACCACAAGAATCGCTACCTCCAGCAATTCAGCAGTGCGTATGACGGTTTACATTCATGAGGATATTAAAGGCGATTACTTTTCGAAATTCTTATGAACTTTTCCTTCCCTTATAGCATACGACCTTCTCCAGGTTACGCAGGATTCGTTCCCAAGCTCCCGGCGATTCCCAGTCCACCGCGCGACCCTCGCTTGAGGATATCCTTGTCCTCAGCAACATACAGGTACGTCAGTGATACCGCGAAAATAATCTTTCTGCCCAGGACTGACAACTCAATTCTCCGTGCAAAATCAAATCCATTTTTCCGTAAGAACTTTGGAATCTCGTATACTTCATATTCATGAGATATTTGCGGTGCATTCCATTTATTTCATAAAAGCAAAACGAAGCAAAACGGATTTTCATTTTGCAGCTTTCGTTCTTTTTTTCTACCTCTAGAAATTTATCCAGGGACAGTCTGGGTGTTCTAGAATATGCTCATAAAGGTCCCCTATCGAAACTTGTGACCACTACTACTCCTTGTAATCCATTTAACAAAACGACGCAGGTGTCACAATTAACTAGTGGCATTTTCGTATTCTGATCATATCAAATATATCGGGGGCAACACGGAGTAGCCCTGAAATATCAGCCGCTGAACACCTGCTGGCAGACGTGAGAATGAATAGGTAACAGTTTAACATTGCCGATCGTATTTTTTATTTGATACAATAAATTAACACGTAAATAACACAAGTCAAACATTTCTATATCACAGATTTTTTCGGTCGTGGACTTCCGCTAAGTTTTAAACACGGTTCTTGGTAAGAAAATCATGGCTTTTTGCCCTACACGTGGTTGTTTATATATTAGAGTTAGTCCTAAGAAATGGGGTCAGTTGACACCCTGGTTTTACGTTTCGATAACTTCGGAAGAAATGATTCTTGAGGATTCAAGTCGATGGGTGTTCGGCTGATTTCTCAAACGAAGGAACTTTTACTGCTGCTGTCAGACAAAGCTTGGCCACCAGAATCTGCCTCGGGTAGCGAAGTGTCCGACGATGACTCTCTGTAGACAAATTTCTCCCCAACTTGTAAGAGAGGACCAATTTTTGAGGCCGTTTCGTAAACCTGAAGAAAATTGCAAGTTTAGTATACCACACCATCACACACCATATTATGGTAGATATCCTCACTACACAATACCGACCATGCCCATGGTATACTCCACCATACCATCACAATATATCTTATCACACCATTGTAGATCACACCATACTATGGTATATATCTTTACCACACAATACCCACCATTGTATACTTATACCAATGCAAACACCACCATTTCACGCAGCATACCTGTGAATCAATTTCTCCAGCTCTGCCATGTTTCTTCACCGCCTCCAATCTCTTCTCGTACACCGCAAACTGTTTGGCAGCGTTTCGCCGTTCGTTCATTTTGTACAACAAGACACTGTAGTTCAAATTAATTACTGGATTGCTTCTGCAAGATAAACAAGAGGAATATCGATGTAAATGCGCTTCGAAGAAGTACGAATACATTGTGTGTGGTGTGTGTGGATTACATGTGTTTGTATATGTGTTTGGAGCTTCCCAAAGTCAATACTTACTGGTCTAATGTTGCTGCCTGATTGTACGCCTTTTTAGCGTTTTCCTTGTCGTCCAAGTTCGTCAAGGCGACTAAACAAAAAGCGAAAAAATATTGGGGAAGTTTCGAAATATTTTAGATCTTATCTCGTCGAAAGTTCAACTTTAGCTTACCAGCCAACAACATAAACAGTTCTCCATTTCTCGGCTGGAGTGATATTGCTCCGCTTATGAAGTGGAATGCAGAAGCATATCTATGGCAGGAATACGTTATTTTTGTTAAAGGTAGTCGGGATTTTTATCAGGACACTTTAGAGTTGGAAGAATAGCAAAAAATGTCAAAAAAGGTAAACCGTACTGTTGTATGGAGAGATGAATCAGACCAAGGTTATAAAAGATTTTCCACTCAAACGGTGCCAAATATGCAGCTCTTTTTAGACAACTGATTGCCTAGATGTTCAACATGATATTTTAGTCTTCATTGTAATTTGCAACAGAATTGTTTTAAAACAATAAAGGTATTGTTTTAGAACAATACGGTAATTGTTTAAGAACAATGTGGTTAAGTTGAGGAACAATGAGTTCAAATCCTAACTGGAATATCATTTCATGTTCTTACTGCAATATGTTTTTTCTTTCCGAAGAAACACATTCCAATGTTGTTCCACAGTTGCGCGGACTCTGGCGTGGCAGCGGCGGCCACACGGTACTTGGTTAAAGCCACATCATAATCCCCGTGCAGTTGAATGATTGAACCAGCAGCTAAGATTGCCTGAATTGAATTTTGGAAATGAGAGCCACAACTCGAATGGTTAAATGGTTAACCATATTATTTCCCATATTTCCAATCTCAACTTATTAAGTTGCATTGCATCTTTTGTCAAAAATACTGTAGGTTTTGAAAAGTCTCGTTGACCCACCTTAGCGAATGTTGGGTCGTATGTCAATGCGTTTCCCAAATGTTCAAATGCTTTCTGAGTTTGTCCAACCTGAGGGAAAATGACTTTGTTAAAAATTGGAGACGAAATTAGAAATTAGGTGTCAAAAACAAGCGAAACAAAACAGAAATTGGCCTTGGGACATTCAATATCAAACCTGTAGAAAAAGTAGTCCAAGTGTTGTCATCAAATCTGGATTTTCTGGTGAATATCTGGATAGAAGGAGACGGCCTTAGTTTTAATCGGAGGAAAGGTCGGGTTTTTGCCTTTTGGCTATTGAGTGGAAAATGTCGTGTCGCACAAGAAGCAGAAAATATGTGTTTTTAATCCATACTAACTCAACAGCTTGTTTGTAAACTTCAATTGCGGCGGCAACATCTCTTTGTAGTAAATGAACTTTAGCGAGCTGTACATACGATGTGTCGTGACGGTTCAACTGGATGGCACTTTTCAAAGATGTAACAGCCTAATAATTCATGATATGGACGGTCTATCAGCGCCAGATCTAGCGAGTGCAAGAGTTGACAATTCAATTCTCCGTGAAGTCTAAACTTACATTGTCGTAATCTTTGATGTACATATAACACACTCCTGGAGAACAAGAAACGTTCATGTTTAGTGACGGCATCAAATGATGACATTCAGTGTTAAAGCACATCGCTGCATGCAGGGTACACTGTTAGTTAACACTGTAATTACTCCGGAAAATATTGGGATAAAACTAATGTACCTTGATTGTGGAATATTTCCTGCAAATTGTAAGAGAGAATAAGAGATTATGAAATTCTGAATAGAAAGATAAGAGAATATAGTTATGCACAACAATTTCCTACCCAATCCTGGGCATTCAATTTGGATGCTTCCAGATAAACTTCTAAAGCAGCTTTATGACGAGCCAACAAAAATCTGAATGTACGTAGAACGAAAAATTTGAGTCTATAGGGTTTGCTTTCATATTAGACCGTATTCGTATGTGTCAACAGAGTATTCGGAGTTTCCAAACTATTCAAAATCTAACGTACAATGATCTGGCCACTTGCTTCAAGTTATTGACGTTGTTCGGGTTGATTTGAACGGTCCTTTGAAACAGCTCTAGAGATTCTTGAATCTTTCCTTCTTCACGAAGAAGCAGCGCTAAGGTGATGGAAATATATGAGAAGTGTGATTCATAATGCGTTTGCCATGGATTGACAAGGTAGACGCGAGAATTGAAGATGGTAGTCCGGACAGAGGTATCAACTACTACTTAGTCACCATTCTCAAGCAATTTCCTCAGCAAGTATAAAAAATGTTTAGCTGAGAGTGCTTATAAAATCTAGGAATTTCGACAGGACTTATTTTTTTCTTCCATGCTACAATATTTTGCAACCAGACTTTGCAGTTTTACTCAATTTAAGAAGCATGTTCTAGCTGTGAAAAACAAACCTTGTATATACAATGCATATTCGCATATTCCTTGGCTTTCATTGAGCTGTTCATCAATAAGCGCCTGGAAATATTGATTCAAACCACAAAATATCATTTACAGCATTAAGAAAGTGTAAATTCCTCTTTGAAATGTTCTTTAGTAGAGCACCATCACTTACTTTACAATTTTCAATGTCTTTTCTGACATAGTGGAGGTGAATCAGCCAGTTTCGCCTTTCGTAAATTGGAAATTCTGGGGCTATTTGCACAAAATAATATGTTTTAGTTTACTGGATCTATCGGAAACATCTACTGATTTCCCTCTTACAGCTGATAGGATAATTTACCATCTACCAGATGACCTCATTCTGTCCAACAGGTAATTTTTTGTCTCATGCCAAATACTTTTTATCTCTTAACTCCCAATTACTCCATTACCAGTGGATTTACTGGATAAAGAATGCACTATCAAAGTTTACTCAACACCCATGATTTAGTCCTGAACGTATTTCTCTCGTTCCAAAGCTAAACCCATATATTCATGTGACGTGACTGACGTCATTCGACTACCCCCCCCCCCATCGCTATTTTATGTCGGTATAATGCTGTACAGTACCTTTTCCGGGTCGTCGTTTTGGTTTTGCGGGCTTTGGTGGGCCAGAAACATCATTTGTTAAGTCGGTTTTACTTGAAACATCATCGCTAGGTCCTGCTGAGCTGCCAACATGAGTGCTAATACTATCGTCACTAGACGATGCATTTACCGGATTATCTGCACGATCGCCATCGTTACTCGGCCTTTCCAAGCCACTAGGCAGGCCAGAGGGCTCTTGCATAGTACAGACGCTGTCGGACAAGTAGAATATAAATTATGAACCGATTTTCAAACTTGAAAGAAAATACGATCTATTTTGAAGCGTCCATGTTGTTTGTTGTTATTGGCGATGGCTCGTGTGACACGCGTGGGCGTCACGAAGTTACAGTTGCGGAAATGAGGAAGGTAAGGTCTAGCGGATTAGCGTATTCCGGATTGCTTTAGTTTTCGAGCGAGCAACAAAATATGTGATTTTACAACATACAAAATATATTTTCTCTTTCACGTTTTTCACATGAGTGTAATTTACAATTAACGAAGATATGTGTCCCAATCTTAACAAAACTATTTGCTATAAACGATTTATTATATAATTCAGCTATCACTCAAACTAAGATGTTCTTTCGTCCTTTTTAATGGTGTTGTCTTGACCTTCACTTATAGTTGAACTTGCATTTGACAAGGTATCTCAATTTGATCTGAAAATAGCGAAAGCAATAATCTTAGGTTGTGACTGAGATTTACTAATATGAGGTCGAAGCCTGTATAATAATACCTGTTTTGTGTCGTACACGATAAACTCTGAAAATAAAAAAATATAAAATTGTTAAACGCAAGTATCGCTAATAAGCATTATATGAGGAATTTGCCTCATCGGACAAATACCTACCATTGTAATTGAGTGTGTAACCGTTAGGATTATTCACATTCGTCTCAATCCCTTCCCCTAGTGGTACTACTGTTCCATCATCCCTGGGAGAAAAAGAGCATATCACTATATATCTGTTAATGTCATCATTTCTCGCTCTGAACACGAGTATATTAATTTAAAGAAGATTTGTGGTAGTGCAGATTCTTTATCGAGACTCAATGTCATGCAAAGTTGATGCTTTTCCCATTGAAAGTTGCTATCGAGTTGATATATCGTATACATGCAATGATTATATGAGTTGTTTACATTTCAAAGTCGTCTTTCGGATCAGGAGCTGTGCTTCCACATCCTTTAACACTCTGGCATCCTTTCGGGAGCTTGGCTGCGTCATAGTCAGCACTGAGCAAGTCGTTGGTTTTACCCAATGAAACCTACACGATGGCAAATCACAACATTGAGGAAAGAAAATTATTGAATGGTCGATAGACTACCACGCATGATATACTTAAACGGTAAAACGGATGATTAATATACGTCTTTAAGACTCACTTCACTTAAGACAAGGAGTCCCGTGTTCTGTCTTCGGTTTGTGTAACAATAATTTGCACTTTTTGAACACATGTCGGCAAAGTAAACTCCCTTCCCAAACTAAAGATCAGATTGATTGATTGAAGACAAATATCGTAGTATTGTAATGGTATTATACTCTGTGTCCTACCATATAGCCAGTGACTGGCGCTTCTGGTGGAGCAATTCTTAGTCCTTGAGTCAAGATACCAACCCAATTTGTAAGACGCGATCCATGCCAGAGTAGTTTCCTAAAGACAACAAAATGAAAAGACAATATGAAAAAAAGACAATAAGTTTTCTCAGATATTTCGAGCGAAGACCTAAAGCTCGAACGCTGTGTCTTATTATCTACATTTAAACTCAATTCAGGGTGAAAAATAACCCACCTATTGCCATGATCAACAAATTTTTCATTAGATGGATGGTCGATCTCGAAAACATCTTCGACGGTCATGGAATAGTGGCTGTGCGTCTTCGCGTGTGTGTTTTTCACATAGGTCTCTATCATCTAAGAAAGAGATAGAAACACCTCAACAACAATGTCATAATTGTCATTCACATTCATTGCATGTATAGTTCCAATTTTCATCCAGTTTTCTAACTCTTTTAACTGAAAGAGAAAGGTTTGAACTGGAAGAAGATAACTGGAAACTGAAATGGAGTCACTGGTATGGTCGAAAAAAATCGTTTAGAGACTGTTTGGGTGACCATTTTCTGCATTTTTGCTCTGAGATTCTTGTCAAATTGACAGCAAAAAGTTGAGAGATATTTATCACCTTGAAGTCATCGCTGGTATTATCGATAGGATCCAGACCGCATTTCAGAGCCTTGTAGTGACTATCGATAGGATTCTCATCCAGCTCTTCCTTAAGAACTTTCATAGCAATTTCAATATCGCCTAAAGTCTGCAGATCAATGAATAGCATTGCTTAGACTTTTAAAGCCTGAACTAATCGTTATCAATGGTAATCGAAAACAAGTTGAGAAAAAAATTAAAGTATTTTTGATGCCATCTACCTCAAGAAGATCAATTTTTAACTTTACTTCATCTTTCGTGCGAATGAGCGGCGGTTGGCGCATTCTGTTGTAAATAAAGATGTTTTCTTCTAAATTACATGAACCAGTCTAGCTGGAAATGCGTCCTAAAGGATGATCAGTTTAACCAAGCTATATAGCCAACGCACCAGACCTACCCAAAGCAATGTGGAATTCTGGTATAAAATGCATCACATGCTGCAGTTAGTTTTGATCCAAAATCATTTCTTGCAATGCACTGATCGATCATTTTCAATGCTTCGTATCCAGCTTTTATCTGATCCTTTGTCAACTTTCCTGCAGCGTACAAAAACGTAATCTTAGATGGACAATGCAAAATATGAACTCTTTTGTAACTCTGTTTGAAACCGTTCTGGCATGAAAAAGAAAGTGAAAACGTGTACCATATATATGTTTATGCTTTATCGTTCATTAGTAAACACCGTCACTCAAATTGCTATAGAGTAAATTAGAAATAACCAACCCAAAGGAGCTTTATTTGTGTCGTATTTCATTTCCTTGACGGCTTCTTCCATATTTTTGATGTTACATATCAGTTCGATGAGCGCCTTTCAACATGAAAAATTGAATAAGTCTTGTCTTATTACTGGAAGCAATGAGCCCTTTACGCCAACGCTCAATAACCACAGCCACAATACTCGACTGCACGTCTCAGCGAGCATGCTTAACTAACAATGTCCAATATACCTGCAAACGCGTGTCAAGTTTGCTTTCGACTTTAGGTTTGGCAGGACCAGGAGGAGGAGCATCAGTTTCTTCTTTATCCTGAAACAAAACAAAACAAAAACTATAATTCACATATCACGACATTAATTCTTAGTTTTTCAAATACAACTACAAGATACATCAGCTCAGCTCACCTCAGCATTGTAATCAACGATAATGAGGTCGTATTTGCCTGGAACTTTTTCAAAACAATCTTTCTCTTCCCAGTGGTTTTTTGTTTTGTCACTAAACCTGCAAAAAAAGAAAATGAGCATGTTATCCACAATGGTCGAAAATAGATCAATTTAGACATGGGCTGTGTGAAATGATTTGAATGTAGTTTTCTTGCACCAAAATTCTTTGTCCTAAAGTTACCCACTTTTTCATGAAAACATCTTTCGCTTCCTCAAGGTCTCCACCATATGAAAACAGACTGTTCTGCCCAGCAAAGCCAACTATAAAGACACACAGAGAGATATCCTTCTTTTAGAAATCACAACTTCTTGCAGTGAAGTGTGGTAAAAATCTGATTTAATACCTCTGACCCCATCTGAACCAAACATGGTATCGGTTTGTTGAAGTGTCTTTCAACAATTGTAGTAAATAATACTTGTTGTTGTTGTTTTTCAGATTAGTCTACACAATATAGGATGTAGGAAATGAAATGATGCATCATTTTAAATATAACGTACAGCAAAATGATAAGTTGATAGACACACTAAACAAACCTCACCTCTATCCTGGAAGTACAAAAGCCACATACCTGATTTAACATTGCATCCCAAATTAAATCTCCTTCACAAAAAACTTCAACCTTGGGAATATTTTTATTGTGTTTTCATTATTTGGTTTGTAAAGAATGATGAGATAAACAATTTGTGATAAATATCTATTGAAGATAAACACACCTGGTTCTTAATAGGACAAGCATCATCAACCGGCGACTTTCCTTTGAAAACAACAGATTTGATAGCTTCTTTCTTGTCTCCATTAACAGTGGCAGTGGCCTTTGCTTTAGATGATTTTGATTTCTTTGTTTCCGTCTTTGCCTTTGGAGGTGCTGGTGTTGCAGCTTGAGTCTTTGCTTCTTGTTCTGTTGCAAATTGATCAGAATAGTTCAAATAACACACAAACTGCAGTACTAATAGAGGCATGCATCTTAAAAAAATCACTAATCAAAACTGTGCACACTAACCAGCTTCTTCTTTAGTGATATGTCTTGCAGTGCCTTTTTCTTTGCTTGTATTATTAACCAATTCCTTTGTAACCATGTTCACACTATACTGGTTCTTGTCATCTTCAAATGATGCTGTTTTCACTTCAAGTTGCACAGCTGCATCAAGATTCCGACATGCACCAGCTGAAAAATTGGTCCATACATTTGTGCCAGTTTTCCACTGCCATATGACTGGAAAAAAGCATTACATTGAGAATGGTGTTAGTAACTTCATACAGGTGTGCAATACATGTATGTTAATTGCCACATTTGACACCAACAACAAACTCTCATACATTTTTCATCCTCTGTTGGATCACTGAGTTTACATCTCACTGGAACCTCCCATCCTGTCTTCTTGTTTCGCTGTACCATTCGATCAAATATGACTGAAAACTCTGCCCGTGGCATTTTTATATCATGAGTTTTTCCAGCAGAACTAAAAGCTTCAGACAGCTCTCTGTTCTGGGTTGGATCATACGGTTTCCATTTATTCTTGCCGTAACCAAATTCCCATTCTTTTGAGGAAACTTTCCCACCATTTTCTTTCTTTATCTTCTTGTTGCCAACAGCATTTGCATCTTAATTTAAGATTTGATTATTCAAATGAAAATCTAACAGCAATGAATATTTCAGCCTGGTGTTGTACGTGTGACTGGATTTTGTGTTCAATGGATGAAGTGCATGATATCAAGAATTCAAGGTACTTATTTTTACTATGTTCAAAATGGGTCAGTTTGGACTGAAATGAAATGCAGTCTTATTTGACAGAATTTTTAAGTGTAGAGATGCGATTCACTAGCATAGCAACTCGCTAGCTGGTAGCCATATCGGCTGGTATAAATCAAAGGAAGTATATTATGTACTATGTACAGAAAACTACAGATGCAACCAGGGGCAATACCAGTGAAATTATATAAACACAATCAAACAAATAAAACCAACCATATAAAGATCGCCAAATAACAACTTACCGTCATCCGTTTTACGTTTGGGAGGCATAGCGATGGAATCTCAGAAAGGTTTCAGGAATTTTCACAAATATTTCCAAGAATGTCCGTCCAAATGCTCCAATACGGTATCCCCTTGGGACTTGGGACTTAGGACTTGGGACTTGGGACTTGGGAGTTGTTCCCGCGAAAATTGTCCCAAATGTTTCAAAATTTTATGCCATAGGTACCCCAAGCAATACTCGTAACTTTTGTGTAAAAAGAAATGATTTTTAATAAATTAATAAATTTTATTTAGTTTTCAACGTGCATTTTAAAATTTAAACATTTTCCACAAAGAAAGCATTCCAAATAAGTCACCTCTAGACTCTAGTTGTATTTTAATTTGTTTTTATATGAAGATATTGTTTCAACGACATTTTACCACTACGAGAGTAACGAGTCTATTTCCTCATAGATATATGACATTTTAGTAGCTACCTAAAGGCGAATAGAATAGTAATTACAGACTGAATAATATTATGGATTATCTTATTTTATTTTTTATAAAATTTATTTATTTTTTTATTATCATTTGGCATTTGAGCAAATTTCGGCAATTGTACAATCCCGAGAGTCCAGTAACCTATGAGTTCAGTGTCGAAAACGAGAATCGTAAAGATGGCCGTTCATGATGCTCAAGTGAAAAATGTAACGACCATTGAAAATGACAATTCTGACGAAAGGTATGAAGTTTTATTGCTATGAATTATTTTATTATCAGGTAGATTAATACCTGCACCGGTTGTGCTAAATTCTATCGTGTTTTTTATCGTTTTCGACTGGTAAAATGCGGTGATATGTTGATTTATTTTTTCGATATTCTTTGTGCCTAGTCAAGTGATGAGTCATGTTTATCGGTAAAAGGCACGTTTTATTTCGTATTTAACAGTATCAGAGAGTAAAATTACGATATGGAAAGTTTTCTATGATTTATAACTCGTAAAGTAATATCAAATTGAGCGATTTTGTTGTGTTTTATGTACATAAATACTAAAGTACATTTTTAATGAGATTTCAGGCGCGAAGAGAAGCGAATTTTAGACGTTTTATGACTTTTATTCTACAAAAATGATTAGAATATCAGTGGATTTTGAACTTTGTTGTATGAGTATGATTGTATGTTTGTAGTGATCATTTGGACATTGACGGAGCGGCCAAACACGATGGGAAGAAACACAAGGCAAAGAAAAAGCACAAGACTAAGCACAAACACAAGAAAAAATCGACAAAAGATGACATTGACTTGGCCGAGAATAGCGGGAAAAAAACAGACAAGAGAAAATCAAAAAAGGAACTCACGGCTGACAATTCACAAGGAAATAATGTGATCGATGCTGCTTTGGAAGATTTAGAGAAAAGAAGGAAGTTCTTGGAATCCCAGTTGGCGGCTGAAGAAAAGAATGGGTTTGACGATGCAAAAATTTCTGAAAATAAAACAGTTAAAAATGATAGCAAATTAGAAAAAGATTATAAAATTTCTGATAAAAAGAGGAAGTACGAAGATGATGTGATACTGTCATCAATTAATCAAGAGTTTTTAGGTGAAGTTAAGAGGTCTAAAAGACATCAGAGCCCATCTGAGGAGCCCAAGGTTAGAGAGAAAAGTAGAAAGTCTGGTTATCAAAAGGAAAATAAGTCGGACAATTCTCATGAAGGAAAAGAAAGGTCTTCGAAGAGAGAACATTTTGATGGAAATTCAGAGAAAGTGATCTCAGATAGAATGATGCCAAGAGGAGGTGATAATAAGGAAGGAAGGAATGAGAAAGTCGAGAATGATTCCAAGAATTCTGATTCAAGGATTTCCAAGAAACATGGTGAGGCAAGAAAGAGACAAAGCAGCTCTCCAAAGGCAGATGACGAGGCCACTAAAAGACAAAAAGAATCACCTTCAAAGGATATCTTGAAGTCAGAGGGTAGCAACAACAAGGACACAAAGCATAGAAGTTCTAATAGAGACAAGCGTGACAGTTCAAGGGAAGCTCATTCATCACAAGGTAGGAATCATGATAAATCTTCTTCAAAACAACGATCGGATGAGAGCACAAGGAAACGAAGCAAGTCACCCAGCAATCGCTCTCTTGTAACCTCTGAGAAGAGAGAAAGATCACCAAATAAGAGAGATGGAACTCCTTCAAAGAGAAATACATCATCTCCAAGGAAAGATACATCTTCCAAAATGGATGAAACTAGATCAAAAAGAGATTCCTCTCCTTCAAAACGAAAAACTTCTCCATCAAATTTTGAAGGCAGTCGTAACAAAAGAGATCTCTCTCAATCAAAAGAGGAGAATTCTGTGTCTAAAACTACCCCATCTCAGAGAAGAGCATCTTCTCGCAGCAAGGAAAGGCCTAACAAGACTAGAAGTAGCTCTCCAAATAAAAGAGATCAGAGCTCCATTCAGAAGAGAAGCAGGAGTCCACAAGACCAGAGAAGCAGCCAGCGTAAGAGCAGATCCCCTTCGAGAAAGAAGAGATCTCCGAGGCTAAAAAGCAAATCCCCCAGACGGGAACAGCGGTTAAGCGGACGCAATCGTTCGCCTCACGACAGATCGAAGGACGGTTCGGGAAAACGACGTCGCAGTAGCTCACGTGACAGAAGGTCGCGTGAGGAAAGGTCACGTGACGAAAGGTCACGTGACAGACGGCATCATTCCAGGAGAAGCCGGTCGCCTCATCGTTCGAAGAGCGACAAGTCGAAGAAAGACGAGGAAAAGAAGGAGGACTCAGAGTAGGTTTATTTCAATTTTTGTTTTATGAAACTTTTTAGGGAATAATTCGGGCAAGTAGTCTGTAAGGATACAGTGATACTGAAGGTTAACACAATAACAACAGTTTAAAATATATTGGTAGAGTTGTCTGGTAAAAGTACATTAGGATAGTTTAATAAGGTGTTGTGGTTTGTGTCTGAACTACCTAGAAAAGATATTTCAAATCTTCAGTGTAGGTGGTATTCTACAATAAGCTGTCGTGGTTTGTGTCTGAACTACCTGAGAAAGATATCTCAAACGTGGTGGTCCAGTGTAGGTCGTATTCTACGATAAACTGTCGTGGTTTGTGTCGGAACTACCGGAGAAAGATATCTCAAACGTGGTGGTTCAGTGTAGATAGTATCCTACAATAAGCTGTCGTGGTTTGCATATCTCTTGTATATAGAGCTTATAAAGCTTATTTTTGTTTTCAGCCATGATATGTACAATTTTGAGTTGAAAGAAGATGATGAAGACGAAGATGAAATTATTGAAAAACGACGACAACAACGTCTCGCTATCCTACAGAAGTACAAACATCGCGAATACTCCGACTCTCCAGTTGTTTCTGCGGTCAGTTCTCCCACGGCCAGTGAGCTGAGTGTGAAAGATGAAGTGATTCATGTTCAGAAAGATGCGACGGAGAAAGAAGCGCCAAAGATTGAGGAGAAAGTCGAAGAATCTGACATGTTCGCCGATGAATATAAGGTAATTACTGGCGAGAGTTTGCAAGCGGACGATAGTTGCAGAGAGTTGGTAGTAAATGACTTGAGGGATTTTATTATATATTTCTATCAGTATGTGAAATTCTATTTTCAGGCTCCAGAAGTGTCAAAGTTAACTGTGAAAGAGAACGAGGACCCAAGTTTAACGGATAATTGGGACGATGCAGAAGGCTATTATCGTGAGTAATATCATCGTGTCCGTTTCTTGTCATCCTGAATATCTTGGGTTGTATTGGAGTTCTGATTTTCTTATAATGGTGGAACATTCCTCTGTGGAAGTTATCGAGCTCTATAGAACTTCACCCAGTTCACTTTTAGTGCTCGATCGATGAACTTAAATTGTCTCTATTAATGTGTATAATTCTTCCACAAAGCTTACCTCACCATCTATTTATTGTAGGTGTCCGTATTGGCGAACTACTTGACAAGCGTTACGAGATCTACGGTTATACTGGTCAGGGTGTCTTCAGTAATGTCGTGAGAGGACGTGATCAAGCACGTGGCAAACAGGATGTTGCAATTAAAATTATTCGAAATAATGAAATGATGTAAGTATCATTCTACGAAATGGCAGCACCTTCCCAGTCACGAGTCCTGAGCTTTGATATAGCCTAACAAATGACATTGACAGGATGTAAAAGATTAGCAGGAGATGATTAGAATAGTTCATATCAATAGTTCCATGCCTAAATTTGTATATCCTTTCCCTTTTAAGGCATAAAAGTGGTCTGAAAGAGTTGGAAATTCTGAAGAAACTAAACGATGCGGATCCTGATGACAAATACCACTGCATTCGTTTGTTTCGACATTTCTTTCACAAGAAACATCTTTGCCTCGTATTTGAACCTATGAGGTACGCTTTAAGTCATTTCCTGAGTTCGATTTTGATAGCTCTATCCAGTGTACTATTATGAGATCAGCGACAGCGAGCCACGTTTTCAACCCGGATTGGTTGATTATACAAACCTTTGTTTGTTTTTCAGTCTCAACTTGCGCGAAGTGTTGAAGAAATACGGACAAAATGTTGGCCTTCACATCAAGGCTGTTCGTTCATATTCGCAGCAATTGTTTCTAGCGTTGAAGTTGATGAAGAAATCTGGTATTCTTCATGCTGACATCAAACCAGATAATATTTTGGTGAGTGTGATGTACTCTAGAGATAGAGCAGAGCAGAACAGTGAAATAGTTTGATGGGGTGGTTTTATAGACTGGATGAAAACCACAACAAGAAAACCCTCGTTTGAAAGATCTCCCCACCTTTCCTTACACCCCTTTTTTCTGGGTAGAGGGAGAGCAACCCTGGCCTCTCCCCTCTTCCCAGTAGAGACTCGTTCCTGCAAATTGTGATGACAAATATTCTTTCTTCTAAAGGTGAGCTCCAACAAATTGGTCGTAAAGTTGTGTGATTTTGGTTCAGCATCGCTTGTGTGTGATAACGATATTACACCGTATCTGGTCAGCAGGTTCTACAGAGCTCCAGAGATCAGTGAGTATCACGTGTCAATCGCTGACAACGAGTTAGCCTTCCAGTTTGCTTATAGTTCAGTCGCAGTAACCATTACTAGTTCACCTTTTCTCTGGTTAAAAAAAATTTCTTCTTGTTTTCTCTGCAGTCATTGGCAACACATACGACTACGCCATCGACCTTTGGAGCGTGGGTTGTACAATCTTCGAGCTGTACACAGGAAAGATCACGTTCCCGGGAAAATCGAATAATGAAATGTTAAAACTGATGATGGAAGCCAAGGGGAAGATGCCGAACAAGATGATACGAAAGGGAATGTTCAAGAACCAACATTTCGATGAAAATTGTAATTTCCTCTTCGCGGAAGTCGATAAAGTAACCCAACGAGTAAGTTGAAGGATGCTGATGAATTTTCTCACGTTTTCAACCTTTTTGCCAGTTCCAAATCCGGAGGAACATAATCCACTTCGCTCTCGATTATTGATAAAATATTCTGCGTTTTATTTTTGTTTATTCTCTCAGGAAAAAGTGACGGTAATGTCGACGGTGAATGCCACAAAGGAGCTCACGGAGTCTTTGGTAGACTCGCACAAAACTCAAGACGACCTCAAGCGAAAGGTGACCCAGTTCAAAGATCTTATCGACAAGCTCCTCATGCTGGATCCGTCCAAACGTCTGGTTGTCAATCAAGCCTTGACTCATCCGTTTATTACCGAGAGAATGCAGACTTGAAACTGGCGTAAACTCAACCTGTAAGCCCTAGAGAGGTTAACCTTTTATTCATTTAGAGAGTTTGTAGTCTAACTTGATTTACTTACTAGAGACACAGGCCATGCAGATGAGTAGTGTATCATACTGTGCACGGGAATAAGAATTTCTACTTCGGAATCCCTGAACACGTTTGAAAGCATTGCGTCGTCATTATATTGTTCTTTTGCAATGTTTTTTGGATATCCTTTGGGACACAAATTCCTGAAATGATTTAGGAGCAATTTTCTTCGGTGAGGATGTTTTCGATGGTAAGAAAATGTTAAGGGGGAAATAGTCAAGGAGTTTTGCTGAGACTTTTTATATGTACGTAATACCAGGGTAGTTTCCACTTAATTATCATAATTATTCATCGCTGAAAGTCTTGTCATACGCGTTCATGTTTACAAATATAATAATTATGCTGTGTGTTTGAAGAAGGGAGATAGCCTCTTCCTGGCGTAGATTTTGGCCCAAACATTTAACGGCTCACACCCACTCAGCGCATGCGCTAAACTCGACCATTAGCCTTTAACTAGAGTTGCCACAAAGCCAATAATTCAGGCAAGTGCAGAAATCGTAACCATAACTGGGAAGTATAACTATAGTTATAGTATAACTATAACTGGGAAGTGTTGGCTGCAAAAGATTGTTTTCAAATCAATTTATTCCACACATGGTTGCGAGCGTATACTTGTACATGAGTTTCAAGATCACGATGAAAAAGGCATACTTGTGTTAGAGAGAAGGCCCTGATTTCACCCCCACTACAATTTTGTGGTCTGGGAAGTTATATTTAGCCCCAATATCGTAAACAAGACGACATTTTCTGACACTTGATGAATCTTGCAGGTGATCCGCGATTGGAGAAGACGTGTCCAGAGAGACGGCATTTTAAGTGCACTAGATAACCGTGTTTATAGATTTGATCGTAAGTAACGTAAAGGGAAAGATTGCTAGCATAATCCATTGAAAAATGAGTATCCAAAACCCCTTTATTAAAGGAACCTACCCTTGATTTAACAGACAAGTTCATGTTGTCTTCCGCCATCTTGTGAAGGAGGTGCAAGGACAATAAAAAACGCAATGGCATACAGAGTGATAAGAGTGTCATTCATGTACGTCGCTGTCGAAATCACATTCGTACTTGCAACCTTCTAAGAGGGCGAAGTGTGTAAAAAAACAACTCCAGAAAATTAGGATCGATTCAAACGAGGGTCCATTAAGGGAGATGTTAGCAACATGGATAAAATTCTTGCTTGAATACAGCGATAGAACTCAGCCGCCTTACCGTAAAATGGTGAGCACTCTCTATGGCGACTGTCTAAGTTGTATGTGCAGTAAATGTCTGAACACATTGCTCTGTTGTTTTTATTTCAGCTTGCAACGATCACAATTGTATTGTAGCTCTTAGATACAAGTGGTCTGTGCCATACCAACCATGTGGTCAATCCTTCACGCCCAAAAATTTATCTTCTGAAAGCGGTAATAATAAAACTTCAAGACTCGCTTGATTGTACCAAATAGTCTCCGTAAATCCTTCTCTACCCCGATGAACCCTTGAGAGTCGTTATTATCAGGACAAGACAATAGCGAAAGATATTTACAATTCTAAATGTACCTTACAACATCTTTATATATATATATATATACAAATAGTGCATTATATATGTGTATCAAGAAGTGAAGTTCGACACACTGTGTTTAAGTCTGCTCTATCCGTTTTTTCAATGATATATCTCGCCACATAATTTCTATAACAGATTTCATAGGCTATTATATTTAGTCTAAGCAATTTCTTTCTTTGCCTCTGACAGTTGGATCGCTCTGTTTGGAACCTCGTTGATGATTCCATGAAGTGCCATGTTTTGTTTTGAAGGTAAACTTGATGTCGGACACGCCAGTGTGCATGAGAGGACACTGGTAATATCTAGTATTATTGACCTATCTTCGCCATACAGCAATTCTGTTAAGACCATTTTTAGAGAAAGGAGCCTTTTAAGCCCCCTGTTCACCTTGCAATTTTTGCTTCGATTTCAGGAACAAAATTCGTGTAGTTTTTGAAGATTATACAAGAGTGATTTTCAAATCAATTAGGACAAAAATCACAATACCTTTAGTCTTCATCATAGCTCTCAGTGAAAAAGACAATGACATATTTGAAGAAATCATTCATTTTTAATTTCTTTTAGATTCGATTGGAGGAAGATTTGTCGCCAAGGAGAGGTTAAGAGGTACAAATTAAAAGAGATTTCTTTTAAGCGACGAAATGCCACGATTTCCGTTTGAATCTTTTTGCTAAATGGCGACGTTTTTTGAAGATTCTTTGAAGATTTTTTGAAGATTTCGCCGGCTTTATTCGTTTCTATCTCGTGAACGAACGTATATTTTTTCGTGGATTTCGCTATGCGAATCTCAGGCAACGAAAGTGGGAAACGACGATAGCTCGGGTAAACACAGCAGACGGTGAAAATGCATCATGAAGTTTTTTTTATTCACCATAAATTATTGATATGGTACATAATGATGATAACATGCGTCACAGTTTGAAATGAACTATGCTGTCGACGAGAAACACAGCTCCAGCAATGAAACCGCATACCTAAATGAAGTAATGAGTGCAAAGAATTACAAAAAAACGAAAATCATAATTTCGAACTTGCTGCACTGGGGCGCGATGGGGACACTGCTCCGGTTTCTTAGGGGCGTGGTTCGATTCTTGCCAGAGAACCGTAGGCGTAGAAGATTTTTCGCAATTTTTAATCTTTCATTCTCCTGAATACGTAAAGGAACCTGATCTAGTTAGTTTAGAAGGATTACATTCGGTTTTTCTTACGTAGGAAATGGTAGGCAATCTCCAATTGTCATTCCAATCCCCAGAAATAGCCCCAATATATTAAGTACAAACTTAAAATTGTGCTTCGATTATGTTCTGCGCGCGTAAAAGTAAAGTTGATTAAGACAACGCACCACTCCTCCTGTGAGCTGTTTGCATTGACTATCTAAGTCGAAAAGCTCCAATACGTCGCAAACTTTGTGATCTTTGTAGTATTTCAAGGTATTTGCCAACAATCCTGAAGCTACCAGCATCAAGACGGCGGTAAGAAAGAAAAAAACAGCAGCCTGCATGTAATATGAAAGATATGATCCTGATTTATGTGCATAAACATGAAAGAAAAAACGTACAAACAATTTTAATCCAGGATTGAAGTGACCTGTCACTTTACTTGTCAACTCACCGTCTTGCCCCAGTTCAGAAATTTGATTTTCTTGTGTATGCCAGCAACAAAAATTAGAAAAAATAGAAGCGCAACTATTCCTGCTACTACTGTTGAACCCAGAAAGATTTTAATGTAGTCGGTTTTGGTGAACTCATCCGTGTCTTTTTTGAGCACTTTGATGAAGTCCGAGTCTCCGTCTTCTCTGTCTCTCCCCGGCCAATTGTCCCAGAAATATCCCACAAATCCGATAGAGACTAACAGAAGTACCTGTAGGTAAGAAAGGTTTTAAGAAGTCTTGTTTTGCAAAGCCAAAGTATTGAAACGAGCAGCAGTGCAGGGGCCGGTTGTATCAAGCCCGTTTAGCTTAAACGGTGGATAAGTTCAAAATAGAAAGCAAGGCTCGTTTTATTCAACAAGCGAAATAAATGTTTTTAACCTTAATACAAAGATACTGTTTACAACTACATATTCAGTGCATAATATTCAAGTTGACTCATTCAAGAGAGATGTAAGAGTGTTATTTAATTTTGACTTATCCACCGTTTGAGCTAAACGGGTTTGATACAACCGACCCCTGAACCATATAAACCAAAACAGCTGAGTAAAATTTAACCCAGGGTTAACGCTAACCTAGGCTACCTATAGCTTTGAACAACCGGCCCTAGGTTGATATGTGCTGATCCTAATATATTATGACAATGTTGGTAACTAGTGTTCGATATACTAAAAAAGGCGTGCTTACAATCTCCAATATTTTCAATGCGCTTGGAACAGACTTTATGTATTTCGCCCCGTCGTTAATACCAGCCATAACGTTAATCTGCGTGGGAAAAACAAATAGCGCGTGAGCACATTTCAGGCATAGTTTTGCGAAGTAAATATTTGTTTATTTTTACATTGACTTACAACAGGGATTCAACATTAATGTCACTGACAGTCGATAGTCATCACTGCATGATGGATGAGTTCTTTGTTATTTTGCAGACGTTTTTGTGACCGGCCAAGCACGGACAGACAATACATAGCCGACTGTTGACGACGTACAAGAACTGGGCGTATTTGGCAATTTGAAATGTTTATCTTGTTCGCTCTCGTGAATATCCGGTCACAAAGAAAAGCGCTTTTCGTATAGTCTCGCAAGTCCCCATTATATACCAAGTGTCACAGAAGCTTCTTTTTTTGTGCCGGATTTTATGTTAATTAACAACTCGATATCTTCAAAGTACTTTCTTTTGAAAATCCGCATTTCTTTCTTCTGAATTGTTAAACAACTCTTTTTGTTGACATTATTACACACACAAACAACACAAACTATAGCTTTGTTCAAATTGATTTAGTTTAAGGCAGAAAAAATTATTCAGTGGTTTCAACGCCATGGTTAACATAGGAGCGCAATGATACAGCAACGAGCGATAACCAAATGACCCAATCGCGCTAAAAGCAACACTTACAATGTTCGAGTTTTCATAAGAAAAATACACTTGTTCCTGATGAAAAAAATATATTCTATACCATTATAATATACTTACCGATGATGCAGTAAGATGGTATAGTTTAGTGTGTCTAGATTCAGAGTAGCAATATTGCCTCGCGTCAAATCTTTATTTAAGCCATACTGTTCTTCTCAAAAGCAATGGGAAAAACGTATTGCTGAAACTAGAGACTCACCTCTTATTTCTGCCTTCTTTGGTGTAGTACTACCGATCTATTCTTTATATCAAGTTTCTCGGCTTAAAGCAGGCTGAGATCGTGAAGTGGAATTAGTGGAGGGATTAGTCAATATATATATCCGACCACGCAGGTGCATGACCTACTGCTGTTATGCACAAAAATATGACCGTGGTTCATAGCGTCAATAAGAACCCGGGCATCGATTCTTGTCAAAGCAGATGTCAAAGTTGATCCTTGAAGTTGAAAATATTTTTTTCGGCACGTTTCAGACGTCTAGGGCCCGTCTCAGACGTGGAACTTTTATGTGCCGAATCGAATGCAAATGAACTTAAACAAAGACTTTAGCTCATTAAGTTACGGGGCACAGGAAAATTTAGATGTCAGAAACAGGTCCAACTTTTCATGTGCCGAACCTAATGTTAAGGAGCTAAGGCTTTAAAAAATGTTTTATTGTATTTTTATTTTCTTAACTTTGCTATATTTAACACTATACACAAAAATAAGTAATTTATACAGTTCTTAGCATGGTTATATTACAGGATATATTATATATATGCAATAGTCGCAAGAACTAGTGCATGCAATTCGTGCGCGGGAACGGAATAGACCTTTCTCATGTAAAAACGTCAAAGCTGAAACCCTGATGCATTGCTAAGTTTGATTGGCTCCGCAGAAGGAACGAACCAATCAAACTTAAGCGTAACATCAGCGTTTCTGCGTTTGAAGTCTTATAGATAATGTATTTTTCATTTGGTTGATGGGATCATCTTAAATATTAGACACAATCTAAGTATTTTATACGATCATTAGTATGACTGTATCTCGTGATGCTGTTGTGTTGCATTTGGAAAGGAACAACTCGGTTACTTTCATATTTATACGCGGTGAGGCATATATAATTGTTCATTTGGTCCGTGGTGGGTCTGTACTTGACAACTTTAAGTGGTAGAATGCATCTATGGCAAACATGAAGAAAGAAAAGTAACCAAAAACCTGGATAAGAGAGAAAAATCAAAGGCCTCAATGAGACGACTCACGGATGCGCGCTGTTATACATATTAAAACAAAACAGAACCCACTTTGCTTGCTAGAAAAATTCGCCAACAATGCGGAACCAACCAGAAGAAGACCTGCCATAATCGCAAACACAATCGATGCCTGTAAAAAAAGTTGATGCAAAATTAGTTTCGGCATAGCCATTGTTAACATCCTCTTCTCATCGGCCGAAGGGTCAAAATCTATCGGGAAACTGTCTTGTTACCTTTTTTGTCGGTCCAAAAGCGTGGTTGACGGATGTAGAGTTCACGACGAGAAATATGAGGTAGGAAAGGACCGCAACGAGGATGGCTATCATGACAAACCAAAGATACATCTTCACTTTGTTTTCATTGTCAAGTGAGGGATGAGCAGTCATGAAGTGACCCACGCTACCAGCAGCAATCATCAGAGTTAACTAGGAAACAAATCATTTTGATGCATGTGAGAGTGATGCAAAGCAGTTCCAATCTTTGTCTTGAAGATCCGGTGTTGGTGATAGAATTTCTGATTAATTTATTTTTGTAATAGTGCGAGACACCTGCATGGGTCCATGCAGGTTTATTGTGGATTAAGGACAAAATTGATAGGTTGTTATTCGAAGAATTTGCCAAGTTATATTATTCTTGCTCAAAAAGGCTGTTTGAAAACCTAAATTCATCTCACCATTTCAGCCATCTTGAAAAAATCCGAGGAAGATTTTCCATTTTCAAAGCCTCGAGGAGTTTCAACCATATTGATGCTGCGATAGAGAAAAAACTTTAGTAAGAATGCTTCGGAGTTGGGAACCTTTGAATGGAACCCTCTCTTCATCAACCTTGGCTTTGCTATAGTGTGGAGTTAGTGCATGTATCATCACATTAAATAATTATTGTTTCCATTCGAGAATAGTCCATATAATCTCATTGCCTGAGATTGTGATTGACGGTCATATCGCACAAGTTTGCGTCTATTGGGTTTGGTTTGAGAACGATATAGTATCTATTGAGGCCGATCTACACGGTGCGATTATAAAAAATTTTTATGAGTTATGACGCCACTCTTTCTGTTCATCAGTTTATGACGTAGTTTAAAATGTGACATCTTTACACGCATTTACTCGAATACATATTCCAGGATACAAATCGTATACAACTAATCACATCGTGTAGATGGTCCGGCGACTCTTGGTCGTCTGCTTCATCCATGTTAATTCACTGGAAAACGAATTATTTCATGCGCATTACATATATATACCCCACGCGTACGTCACTCGTAAGATGCTTTGGTGTTTCATTTGAAAACTAAATCTGTGGCGCATTTCCAAATGTGCGGTACATTACCATGATTAAAATCTAAAACTAAGCCCAAAGATAGGTACCGAATACTTTTCAGTTTACATAAGTTTTTACTTACTTTCTGATCTTCTCAAAATATCAGTCTCTTTAAATTCCCACCACAATTGCCTTTTGAAAAATGACTGCTGCATGATATAATTGCGAATGTTTTTATAATTTGTTATCACGGAAGTCGAAACAAATTATAGTCCATAATTGCATGTGTGGTATGATTTGACGAACTCTGTGAAAGTATACAGTCGTAGCTACATTGGAAACTTTGTCTTTAAGGGTGTTAACATTGTGTTGACGCAGAAATCGAGGAATTTTACGAAAGAATTCATCTGACTATGTTTTCTTGCCTTTTTTTCTAACAAAACGGTTGAATGTATTTTAGTCAGCTATTGAATGCATGCTTGATCACCTCGTATCATGTCAGGTCATTAAATGATTAAAAGTCGCAGCATGTCGCTAAATATCACGTCATGAAAACGTCTCCGAGATTTACAAAAAGATTCACTGATTATGCTATTCTACATTCAGTCATACGAAAATTATGAATTCTGAAATGATGTCGAAATAGTTTGGCACTTCGCGTTAAGAAAACGTATCGAACTCGAGTGTGGAACCCTTTGATGAACTTTGAACTGTGGCCAATGCTTCGCTGGATTCTTTTGTTTCAGTCTTGTCATGATGTCATCCGCTTGCATTGGCGGAGTTGACGGCAGAAACCAGAGGGTTGGTGGTTGTTTTTCTTGTTGGAGATTTCTGCTTTCAGTAGCTCACTCCAAAACGAACCATTGACTGAGATAGAACTCTTGCCATTGATCTGCCAGAAAGCATCTTCTCTTGCAACGAATTTGAGGCAGATGATTCGTTGGAATTTGTAGTAAATCGGTTTACTAAAATCCCCCACATGCTAATTTCGACGAATGATCACATACTAGTCAGTTTTGAATTCAGGTGATGTCGGTCATCGGAAGCCATTTCTTCTCTCCCTGTCTGAAATTTGTCGGTGAAATAAAATAAAATTGTTTTGGCGTACGATTTAGATAGAACTCTTGAGTTGTGTGATAAAAATTGCTTCGCTTGCAACACTGCATTTCATTGCGATGAACGCTCAGAATTAAATTTTTTGTCGTCAACATTTATTTTCAAACAATTTTGACAACAAAACACACGTGCATACTCGCCGGTTCACTGTGGTCCAGGGCACGCGCGTAAAAATGTAACAACTTTGTAACAACTATATGAAAATATCTTTTTTACGAACAGTTTGTTATATAATGTAGTGAAATACCATGAATATCACCGTGTGAAATGGTATTTCACCGAAGGACACCTTATAAAAAGGTGTTATATAACGTAAGCCGTAAGGTAATCGTTGATATCATGCATGAAGAAATGTCTACACACGGGAATCACATCGTGAAGTGGATAACTGCATCGATGACAAAGATAACAGCGGCAATGAAACCAAAGACCTACACAGGAAAAAAAAACCATCAAAGGATTGATTCGAAAACCGATAATAGCCGAATTCACATTAGAGACGGGAAACTCATCTTAGACGGAAGGTTGATGGTAAAACCCCGTCTAAATATGAATAGGAATGGATAAAGGGTCGGGTAATAATAAAAATTATTACGATAGTCATTTTGTTTATTTTCTCTTGACAAGTTTCCCGTCTTCGATGAGTTTCCCGTCTAAGACGAGTTTTCCGTCTCTAATATGGACTCGGCTGATCTTTATAATGCATATGAAGACAATAGTAAGCTGCAAGTCATTTGGACCAATAGGACAAGTTCTACGACCTCAGGAGTCTCTGAAGTTCATCCGCCCTCACTCAAAGATTGATAATGTGTTACCTGTTGAGATGAGAATTGTTCAACTTACCAAACCTATCATGAGCTGTTTACACTGGAAATTAAAGTCGAATGTTTCCCATATATCACAATGTTTATCATCTTTGTACGACTTGTACGCCTCTGCCAACATTGATGAAGCCACGAGAAGAAGAATTCCCATCAGAACGAACACGCCCGTTGCCTGAAAAAAAAGAAAGAATATTCTCAGTATATTTCAGAAAGAAACCCTAACTTCAAAAGTAACTGGCCGGGAAACTGCTTGGCGCTTCTTCAAATAACTTGGCATCAAATCAAGGCTTTGAGAAGGAGATTTGCCTTCACTGGAGAAGTCGTTGGCATTTAACTTTGTATATTTTATATCTCTGCAGAACGTCATTGTATGACAGCTGAGTCCAGTCTGTCCAGAGCAATAAATTACGGTTTCATTACCGTTTTCGTCCAAACGATGTTGACTTTTTTGTGAAGTCCAGTGAGAAAGATCGTAAAGAAAACAACGACGACTATGGCCGCTATTCCTACAGCCGCGAGGAAAAACTGAATACGATCTTTCTTGTCATAATCATGGTCTCCTGCCTCCTTGAAGAAGTAGCCAACGATACCAGCAGCGATCACTAAAATTGCCTTCACAGAAGATCAGAAAGAAATGTTAAATTATCATTTGTGACTGACATAAACGCACGCCTTACAGCATTTGGTTATAATCAAAATCTGTGTCACGTCTTCTGAATTCATTCATTTACAAGTATACGAGTAATACTACTACTCAGTCTAACACAGAGATGATCAGTTCTCTTTAAACTGAGGTTTCAGAAATATATAGCTCACCAGTTCAGCCAATTTCAAAAGACCTGCTGCCGATTTCACATATTCAAAACCTTTACCAACTTCACCCATGTTGAACTAAAACGAAGACAATGGTTTTGCTAGGCTTTTAAATTTCTTTTATCAAACTGTATTGTATTTATTAGTATCGTAACCTTAATTCCTCGTCAACGTACTCATAGAATGCCCTGCCCGACTGGTTAGTTTAATTTGTAATTCATTCGTTTCATGCCATACCCTCACGCACCCTCGCGCATGGCACAAAACTAAGGTTGTCTTTCATTTAGAAGCAAGACAGTATTGCGTTCGCTGTATAATTCAAAGAGTGGACAAAATGCCCCCCCCCACTTTAGGTTTTAAGACTTCTCCCCCCTGGGACTCATGTATTGCGCGATACGCCCTAAAGCGATCAGAGATCTATCATCCGAAAGGATCGCTCGAGTTTTTCCTTTCCTGCCAAATGTTCGAGACGTTAGTTCACGTGAAAACGCCTCATCCGAGCAGTATTTCTAACGCAGTATATCTCGCGAAAAACTATAGTTCAAGTAAATCAGACAGCTTATGTAAAAAGTTAAAGACAATAAAGACTATATTGTACATACAAGTACCCTTCGATAAACTGTATGTCAAGAATAGTTAGGTCACCCCTAGGCAAAAATAGACAAATAAATACAATCGCAAAACTTACACGCTTATTTAACGATGAACCACGATTTTATGCTGTATATTTCTCCAGATTACACAGCTGCTCACACTTTCGTCTTCTACTTCAACGATATTTGCAGCGTCGAATTCCCGTGGCAATAAGTTGTAATGCACGTCAGGAGAATCCCGTCAGAGGCAACGGTTGGCCATTCAAGGAAACACAGTTGTACTTCCGACTCAATTAACATGGGAAAATTTACAAATTCACCTAACATGGTAAACGACTGTTCTAGTTTGGTATTTTCCCACACGCTTTGCATTCAGAGCTGATATTGATTCTGCGGCCACTTTTGGTTACGTTAACTGATTGATATTTCACAGTGTATTCTATTATTACCGTGAAATGTTACGAAGGAATATACAAGCTTCGTTTACACTGCATTCAAATCATTGGCACGTCACGGCTAAAATGGGTACCCGTGATAATTTCTTCCCTGCATGCTCGCCCTTTCTTTTTTTATAGCCTGAACACTAATAAAATTGGGTGCGGGTACCCATTTTGGTCGTGCCGTGCCAATGAAACGCGACCACAGTATATAATGTACATGGTATTTCCCGTGCTATTAAGACAAACAGAAAGATACTGGGTTTTTGTTGTTGTCAAATGAGTCTGGAGGATGACATTTGACAGGTGAGATTTTCGAAGAGTAAAAAATTTTGTCAGGAATCACCGATTCCGTCAAACTAGAACGAGAATTTCAGTAGAGTGATCTTAAGCTAGGGATCTCATGCCTCTTAGGACAATCGAATGTCAAGTGTTGTTACAACTGAGAGTTAATTGCTGTGATCAAAGCTGGTAGACTAGAAGTGCACAAGAACTTGGTTAATATCGGTTAAAGAGCCACACTAATTCACAAGGCGCCGTGCTATTATATAAGATTGCCTCTTCAGAATTTGCATCCTAGTTGTAACTGCCTAGAAACGGCGTTGTCAGTGTTTTATCAAAGTCGTGCCCACCTCTCAGAGACGGCTGGTCGGTCCGGGCAACCATCGCAACTTTCTCAGCATTTTTCTGAAAATTATTTAAACTGGGCGGGGAAGAGAAAAACGCTCTCGTGATATGAGAGGTTTATGGTCACTGAGACTGATTGCTAAAAGACCACTTAATTCTTGTCCAAAAGCTCTCTTCAAATATCACAGTAGCATTCTACATGCTGTTTTTGGGCAAAGACGAACAATCTGGAAAACTCTAGGAGCTGTCAACATCTCGCCAGGCAAGATTGTACGCTATATAGTCCTTATAAAATGTATAAAACTGATTTTAGACAAAATTCAATAAAATGCTCTTCTAAGTTTTAAACTCTTTAATGGAGATAATGCTGCTGTTTCTAGTTCATATAAAGCACATGCATATATTCTACATAGCTTGTCTAATTCTACCGGCGACACAGATATATATACCTAAATCTTAACGAAATTAGTCTTCCGTTTCTTCCGGTAGTTCATAGAAAACACATATTATAAACGTTTGTAAGGGCATCACTTCATCCAACTTTACTGAAGTATTTCTACCTGATTTTCAACCAACGGTAATAGTTGTTGTTGTGGTAGTTGATCTCGTGGATCTTGCGCTTCTGGTGGTTACGTGAACGTGGCGATATAGAAAATGAATTATAGAGTCTACGATGAACAGCACCATCGCTATGAAACCACAGATCTACAGCAATGCAAATGTATTAATTATATCAGTCTTATAATGCAGAATAAGGCTATGTGCACACTGTAACGTTTTCGAGCGTTTTCACTTTCGTTTTCATCCCCAAACGGTTTCAAATACCGTCAATTTACAATAGAAGTTGAAGGTAATTTAACATATTAGGCATATTCTTCCTTGGATCGTTTGGGCAGGGCATAAAAACAATAAAACAGACGAAAACGATTCTGAAAACGCTCGAAAACGACGCTCGTGTGAACAGATAGGCTTTAGGTAAGCTCCATACTTCACATTCACCAGACCTTTGAAAAGAGAAGATATTTTAGTATAGAATTGGCAATCATTGTTTTATTACAATGAAACTGGTAAACAATATACACGCACTAAGAGACGTAGAGAACATATGTAAGTTGTCACCATACCAGTTCTGAACTCTAAAAAGCAACACATTGAATGGTAATCTTAATGGCAATCTTGTATTATTACTTACCACTCCGACAATGAGCTGTTCGCATTGCTGTTTTGTGTTAGCTGTGTCCAGAAGCCTACAATAATACTTGTCTTTGTAATATACGATGGTGTCTGCCAGGAATGCGGAGGAAACCAGCAACAGAATTGCCCATACTGCAAAAACCACTGTGTCCTAATGGGGAAAGGTATTATATGTTTATTATATGCGAGTTGGCAACACTCAGTCCCAACCAAGGGGCCGGTTGTAGAATATATGTAGATTGCTACTTGGGTAGATCTCAGACTCACCACCAATGCCCAATTAATTGCGCTCATTTTCTCATGCAGACCGCTGACAAAGTTTAACCAGAATGCCATGACTAGTACCCAGGCCGTAATGACCACGATCAGGAAAAACTTAATCTTGTCCTTTCTTGGTGTGTCACTCCCCATTTCGTTAAAGAAATATCCCACAGATCCCAGAGCGATCAACAACACTACCTGGATCAGAAAAAAATAAGCGATTTAAAAAATAACTAGAAATACTGAAGACACAGTTGAAGTAATCGGCAGCATATGGGTCAAGAGTCATGTGTTAGAAAGAGCTATATAGAGTCTGTTCACAAACTCTCACTTGCTAACTCTCATCAACTGTCATCCTAGCTCGTTTGACCAGGACATAAGGGTTGATGAAACTCTCAAACAAACTCTCACTTGCTAACTTTGTCATTTTGTCAAGAGCAATATATCGTGAAGTCAGTCATGCATGAAATTCTCTCACTATAGTACGCGGTTTTGGTTAGATCATCTATATTAATATAATACTTATGAACTTTATCTCAAAAATCGACAATTAATTGAAAGGGAACCAAAGCTCTGATAACGCAACTCAAAAAGGAATTATTCTGTTTGTTAAAATATCACACAATGTGGTATATTAGCCTTATAAGGTCGCCGTGATATGAGATCTCATTCACCACTAGTTCAACAACTTCAACTGAAAGAACTTGGGCACTTTTAGCAGTATTGCTATATTGCATTTAAGTGCTGTGATTAAAGACGCCAAGAGCGATGATTAAAGAGTTAAAACTTACGAATTCAATAATTTTTATGATGCCATGAAAAGACTTGAAGTAATACCATCCCTGTCCTAATGCAGACATGTTGATTTCACTATCTGCAAAAAAATACTGAGAATTGAATTCATAGTTTAAAATGATTTTTTGACGTGAACGCGAATTTCTATCTCAATTTGAGATCAGCTGTTGTATTTGTCTGTATAGAAATCCGTAATTGAATGGTCAAAGTTGGTCACCAAAATTTCTTTTGACCAAAACACCGCATACGAGGCTAAACATCACGTCCTGTGCGCTTTTAGAAACCTATCAGTAAAGCAAACTTCAGAATGCCAAGTCGAGAGCCATAGCGTGCGGCATAGCTCTGCCTCTTGTACCCAACTTTTTGGCATAACCCCATCACCATTTGGCAGGACCTTATACACAGAAAAAATCATTTCATACCTCTTATACGTCTAAAAAATCCAGTTCAGCAGCTCTGTGATATAGACACTCGTGTGCGGTAAACCAGCTAACATTGAAACACCTTTTTTTATACATGCAGCAGTAAGCACACGATTAATCAATATACCTCACACAATAAAGTCACAAAAGTTTTCATTAATATTGTAAAACGCCGGACAGAATACTAATATATAAAGGCTTCAAGTTTCAAATACACACAGCATAATCTATACTCATAGTTTCTAGAACTTCGTCAATCTATTATTAGACATATTGACTCGTGTTAATCAGAGAAAGATATCACGCACAAACTTCTGTAGTTTGCCTCTCAACATTAGGTCGAGAAATAGGCACATGTTGCATGATATATACTTAAAAAAAAATTGCGCTCCTCAAGTAAAATAACTGACATGCTCAAATAAAGCCTCTGCCAGACTGCCATTTCATTTTAAAATGTTTATTAGAATATATTGCATTGAAATACATGATTATAAAATAAAAACGACTATACGTTGCCTCCGCGTTAAAGAAGATGCTATTAAAAATACACATCTTCAGTCTATATTTCAAAACTTATACGTAATGAACGAAACTACAACTTCGCTAAGAGGCGGAAAACAATTCCTTATTTAGACAAACACATATTCACTACATGCAGTCTTTAACCGATAGGGAGCTGGGAGCTAACTACAGCACTAAACTAAGACTAAATGCGTTAAAATATCTGACATAAAACCAGTTTATGACGACTGTACATTAGCGGGAGCTGGCGGTGCTGCTGCTGTTGATGACGATGGTTCTGCTCCACGCCATATCTTTATGTTTAAGAATGCGTCCACGCCAAAGATGATGGTTGCAATGAAACACATAATCTAGAAACACGAAAACAGGTAATGAGCTATTATGCACAGGGGTTTTTTCGTCTGTGAACTGCTGAAACCGTGATATGGTATATACTATATACGCATGATAAATGCCCAATGATTGAACATTTTCGGTTTGTGGCTTTATACCGAAAGTGGAAGCCGGAGTATAAATTCCCCGAGAACTGACTAGAACTGCCTCCGTCAGTTTCAAGCGTCAGAAGAGGTCCTAAAGGGGGAAAAAGTGGGAACTGGGATTGCTGACTATTTTGACGCTGGGGAAATACACGTGACGGTAAGTCAACGAGGGTCAGCATATATTCCAAATCCACGCCCGCTTCAAGAGCTGCATGCGTCTCACCGACTTTGACTATAGACCCCGTTTACACTAGAGCGAAAGTTTCCAGATTCATCACGAAAGCGGAATGTTTTAGTACCGGATTCATGTTGCTGTTTACACACGCAGCAACGAATCCGATAGAAATGTATTCGGTTTTAAGCCGTATCCGGAAACTTTGAATCCGTAAAAGTTTGTGGAAACTTCGTATCCAGAAACATTTGAATCCGGAAAATTTTCTTGTGTAAACGCTTTGCACGACGAATCCGAAGAAATTCAAACGTGACGACCGAACAATTCTCCAAGAACAAGTAATGTGAGTGTAAACGGACAAATCCGCATACAGAGACAACTAAAGTGTAGTGTAAACACCTGACGAATCCGATACATGTGTGTAACAATGAATCCGGAAAAATTTACAAATCCGGAAACTTTCGTTCTAGTGTAAACGCGAGGTCTAAGAAACCTGAACATAGAAAAAGTGGAAAAAATTCAGGACATACCGATGCAGCAATAAGATGACCACATTTAGCATCGTGATCGACATTGTCAAGAAAATCGCAAAGAGAAATCCCACCAGTTACGCTTTTATCATACTGACGAGCAGTGTCTGCGATGAGACATGCCGAAATGAACAGCAGCAAAGCCCAGATGGCCATGTTGATTGCAGCCTTAAGAATACAATTATTTGTCAAACAAAAGTTTTCATTCTTTAGATGCAAGTTTAATCTGCTTTTAAAAGAAACAAAACAAGGTTGACGGTCTATGAATCAACAGGGATATTTCGCTGACTACTTTTCAGATCTGTGCAGCTTACAGCATGCAGCTATTAAAAGCAAAATATATAAAACAGCTTACAGATAAAGCAGGTCAACGTTGAATGGTAATGAGATTCCTAACCTACCGTCAATGGCCAATTGATAACAGATATCTTTTCATGAAGTCCAGAAACAAACAAAACTGCCATCAGTATCACGAGGAGCCATGAGACAACGATCACAAACATTGAGAATTCTAAACGCTCTTTCTTTCCATAAGTACCGAACACAATTTTGTCGAGAAAAGTCCCAAGAGTGCCCAGGGCTATCAGCAGTACAATCTATCGTGACACGTTATTCAGTAATCACAAACAAGTTATGGCAAATCGGAGGTAAACTGTAGTGTAGCAGAGGACGGCGGACTTGAAAGCCTTCCCCGCCTTGACCCAGTGCAATGCCCAGATAGAGGCGTGTTTGGGGAGGGGGGTTGGAAGTGGCATTGGCAGGGGCTTTCCTTACAATAAACGGGGAATCGATGTTAGTTGTGGAAACATCCATATATTTGAAACCTAGGGGGGTATATCCTATTTATTAAGACCGCTAAAGATAATTAAGACCGCTGAAGATAATTAAGACCGCTGAAGTGATATGCAAACGATTGCAAGTTTAGAAAACCAATTGACTTACAAATGCAGCAATTTTCAAATAGAATGGAATTGATTGGATGTACGCCAGGCCTTTTGATATCTTCCCCATGTTAGCTATACTGAAGGAAATAAAAACACTACACTTAGCTTGATAAATGACCCCCGGTAGCAGCTGCTCTAATATTGCCGCACTGTGATGAGCTCAGTATATTAGCTGGACGACAAACTTAATTACTTATTATGTAAAATAGATATATGAAATCTTTATCAAAGTTCAAAGTAACAAATTCTTAAGGACTTGATTGATAAGATTAATACCTGTCGAATGGCAAATAGAGATCATTTCTAAGATACGTTACAATTTAAACCGACGCCTATACCGACGTTCTAGGATATGTCTAGGGTGGCCGATTGACCAGAAACTTTAGTCAAGATAGTCAAGATTCTGACTGTTGATTCGGCAAGATTACAACTCGGACACGAACAAAGCGAAGAACCTTTCACAAAATGCACAGAATATTACTCTTTTTATTAACGCCAGCGAGTGAACGCTTCACTGATATCGAGGATCTTCGCAGTACGATGGAGCATGCAAACGTTTTAATACAAAATACACTCTGATATTTCCCTATCGTTAAAGCAAATTTCGAACAACAAACTTCCATCTTGAGCGCTGCAGCTAACGAATAAGGGATCTGCACAGATCACACACAGCCGTAAAGTCTTAGAAGAGTCTTTCAATATTTCCTGATCTGCATGACTTTATGAATCAACAGCGAATGTGCGATGGAACTTTGGCATTTGTTACATTCCTTAATTGTTACTGTGTCTACAAATTGCTAAAATATTGACTCATCGGTATATTATTGGTGTGAAACGATGTGATAAAAATTCTAGTTTGGTAGCTATAAAGATGCACTAAGAAATTACGTACCTTGAACGTCAATTTTAATATCAGCTTGATCGAGGAAGATGAATCAAATATTCAATTTCGAAAACTATGTATAAAATGCCTCACGCCACTGTGTGTAAATACTTCACTTTGACCATACAAAGAACATGCGAGATGGTGCATTGTGATGCAAATATTAAAAAAAAGGAAGTGTTTCCCGACTAATGGGAACTGAGGAGGGGGTGAAACAAGTCCGGAATCCAAGAGCTTTTTTAGTTATATTGTTATAGTTATCTGTTTTCCTCATTGCTTAGGCAACCTGACATTCAGTTTAATACGCGTCTATTGTGTGACATGATTGTGATTCAATGAATTTAACGGCAAGAATCATCATAACTAAACCATATAGATTTTCTAGCCGGAGGCGTTGCTACTGCATGGTTGCCCACCTGTAGTGAAACATAAGAATATAAAAACGGTATAGTATACGTAAATGATTTTTATATTGCACTTCAATGCAATCCTTTATGTTCCAAATAAAGCCGGGTAGGAACCGTATGATGCATGCAGGCGATGTTTGAAGAGACCAATGATGTTGGCGTAGCGGCTCTCAAAAGTTTCCTATCTGAGGCAAGTTGTGTCCATGATACAAGAGGTTGTCGCTAACGACGACAAGCGACTTTAACCAAATGTCACTACATAGTATCTAAATGCAGGCAGATAAATAAGAGAGCGACAGGTCGAATGACTGATTGATCATGTTCACGCAACTAGGCTCAGGTTGTCGGCCCTGCAGCGCAACAATTCTAGCCGAAGATCTCTATAGTGGCGAAACCCATCATTTTATCCTTCAAATAAATCTGGGTGCATGCACTAAAGACAAAATTCTTATCATTGCCCAGCAATACTATCTGAGCATCTGTGATAATTGAGTCGAGGAGAAACACTGAATATATCACTTCAACTGACTGCAGTGGTGATACTGGAGGGTGAAATCCTGCGTTTAATAAACAAAAATGGGTTGAAATGTTTTATGATAATTATTAGATTACAAAAGTGCCATTACTACAGCAGTTTAACACAACACGCTTTGGAAATTGTTTATATCAAGAAAATACTTAAAGTAACATCCTATACTTGATGTGAATTTTTCCGCAAGTCTAAAAAAGCCATTGGTGGGAGGGTGTCATGTGTAAAAATTAAAATCTCTGTCGTGACCGTGCAGCCAGTTATTATCTTCGTCGAACTGGTCGAAGAGTCGGTTGGCGTTGTCGACCTGCCCAATAATTCTGGAAATTGAGGTATGCGTCGACGCTGAGGGTAATAAAGGCCGTGAAACAGGTTACCTATGAACACGAAAACATGTTTTGAATGAAAAAAGACGCCACGAAAATGGCGTGGATATGGCGTATAAACACAACCATAGAAGGGCATATCCCACCATATCTACGTCTTTAGACGTCACTTCGTATTCGCTAAATTGATATCCTGTGTGTTATGGTTAGGGACACCGGATGAAGGTGAGGGCGTGAGGAACAGATTTTCCTTCGTTAAAGGTAACTTTTGTATCTTACTGAGGAAGCGATGAGATGGTCACATCTGGCGTCAGACATGTTATATCTGAGCACGTCGCAAAGTGAACCATGCTTTTGCTTGACATCATCATATTTCCGAGAAGTGTCTGCAATCAGGCAACCAAATATAAACAGCAGCAACGACCAAAAGATCATGTTGATTGCAACCTACAAAAAATTTTTGGATCGCAATGTATCATTGTTTTCATAATCAAAATCTTCGGGAAAAAAAATTAAGTCAAGTCTCAATCCCTGCTAACGGCACAAACATGTTTCACTAGGTCACCATACTGACGAATTCCACTCGTAGTCGGTAGAACTTTCGTATAAAAAACTTGGATTTATCTTGATTCTGAGCAACCGGTCAGATTGTACAAGTATAGAATTCATAAACATACCGTCGATGGCCAGTTTACACAGTCCATTTGTTCATGAAATCCGGAAACAAACAGGAATATCAGGAGAATCACTGAGAGCAAGGCAAGTGCAATAACGAGAATTGCAACATTTAAGATCTGTTTCTTTCCCCAAAGATCGAATGTCTTTTCACCAGAAGGCAACGTTATGTCGCCATTGTTCAGGAAAAATCCAAGCGTACTCAAAGAAATCAAAAGTGCCACCTATAAACAGTCGCATAATCAACGATATTAATCTCCAAGAAACCTCGTCGAGCTTGGCTTTATTAGTAAAAGTTCGCACTCATGAGACCATCTTGCACCAACAGACCTTTCCAAGGTTTGACCGTATGGGTCTCACCAAACAACCACTGACCCCCTCCCGTGATCATGCCCCTTCTCGCAAAGACGCAAACAAGTTATTAAAGGACTTCTATATCACTGAATCTACTCACAGAAGCACCAATCTTCAAACAGAATGGAATTGATTGTACAAAGTCGTAGCCCTTTGGTATTGGTGCCATAGACCTGTTCTTTTTCAAAGAAAAAAGTGAGTTAAACACAAATCCATTTTTATTCTAAATGGGTAACATTGAAAAGAAGAAGAGAAAACAAATATTTAAAAATTATGTCAATTGTAAGTCGGGGCCAAGAGATGCCGGTCAAGTTCGAATCGAATCGGTTTTTAGTGGCTTCGTGTCCAGAGTCTGTCTTGTGTTGTTTGAAGAGTAAAGCTTCAGGCACACAGCAAGAATATCTAATACGTGAGCCGGTTGTAAAGAGTGTGGAATCAAGTTCACCAGGAAATAAAGTTAATTACTTATTTACTTTTCAGTATGAGAGAGTTATTCTCCATGGTTTGGTTCAGTTGAAAATCGGTACAGTGGTGAGTGGTGGTTCATGAGGTACTCGTTACACAAGGAATTAGTAAACACACGCGATCTTTCAAATAAAAATGTGGTGAACTATGAAGTAATCTCTTCATTGGAAAACACTGTGAACTGTTTTCTTATGTACGCATCCAATCAGAACGGTGTCCACAGCAACATTATTTTGCTGTAAAGTCGTTTGCAATGCACCATTTCCCATTTTTTTTAGTGAGAAATCAGATACTGCTAAGAGCAACACATGCAAATTTACTAACGCTTTTATAAAAGAATCACAAATAATAAAAAAATATAAAATTAAGAAGCCATTTAAAACCCTTGACGTAATTGAAGAAATTGACGTAAATACCAGTAGGAAACTAATCGAGAACATTATATGAATAGTAATTAACTACGGCGTGAAATATGAATCTCATTTTTTCGCTTTACAATCTCTTAAAATTATACTCCGTTCCAAGAATGGCTCGAAAAGTACCTATGTTACTACTTTTGCATCTTTTTAATAACTCAAGCGACCAAACGCTTCGGATAAAACACTTTGTTGCAAGATAAAGCATACTTATTCAAAGTAAATTCGGAAAATACCTTAAATTGAAAGTAAATTCGTGAATATTGTCGCTTGTGGGGGCGAAACTGTATATTGAGCCTTCTTTTACTTTCACAAAACTCACTGAGAACAATATTTGAATATTGGCTCTCACTTGAGTGATCAATTCAGGTCAACTTCTCAAATGATCAATTCTTATACATTCTTTGTTACTGTCTTGAGTGCACTTATCGCAACGACAATCTGACTCGGTCAATTCCCAGAAGTTGATCTGAAAATTGCGTGATAACTAGTTAACCTTACAGAGGCATTTTACTATACGCACCTTGTCCTTGACTATTGCCGTGAAACGTTAGCAAATCAGTTCTTCTGTAACTACAACGTTAGAGATTTTTCACGACATGAAATCTATAGGACACTATCAAATTCGTTTTATAATATAAAGAACACCCGAGGTGGGGACATTATGATGCTAAGAGAAAAAGAGTTTGGACAGCAGCTAATGCCATAGGAGAAAGAGATCTGTGCTGAACCGTGGTGACTCTAAAGTTCGTTGACTGAGGTCGAATGTTTGCTGAGTTTAAACTGTGGCTAAAGTCAAAATAGATTGGTAGTGATCTAGACCTAGTTTAATGATGTAAATATTCCGTTACATCCAGGTGCCAAACATACAGGTTGCATTTAGTTATATGACTTATATCTGATTGAGTCGTTCCATGAAAATAGTTCCTGATTGCATTCGGCAAAACACAAGGATATAACCCGCAGAGTAAAAGTGGTACCACACAGCCTTACCTAATGCGTCCTCGATTAATACGTGATGACGGTCCAGCCTGCTTTGCGCATAAGATCAGTCGTTAGCCTGTTGATTTGCCAGAAAGTTAGGATTGCTACAGATGAATGGTAAAGACTAAAGAATTCTTACTTATATAGAAATTAAAGACAACAATTAACTTTGTTCATTAAAGATATTTAGAAGCGAAGAAATGCACTTAGTTTATGTATGGCTTCTGATAAACAAAAATGAATAGAATTGTCCAGTTTAATATTTATTAAATATAAAAACGTTTAAATACATAACAGATTTCTATGTTGAATGAGCAACTCTAATACACATCTTCAAATCATGCAAAACTGATTATTACTACTATTGACCCCGTTAACAAGTGAAAAAAATGATTATTTTTCAGACAAAAAATGTTTGGCGCTCCGTAAACGCTGTCCCACTCTGTCCTCAAAATTTTGGTAACCCAATTTAAAGTTCACTAAATGCTAAATACACGAATTTAATTATTTAGATTAGCTAAGAGTTGCTAAGAGTTAGAATTAGGTCTTAGATAGGTTTATAGTCGATCGATTACAGTTAACCCTAGTCCTAGCTTAATCTCCGTGTGTTTTTCCACGTAATCAGCGCTGCCAAGTTCAGGATTTTACCCTTCAATGGGATTTTATCCCGAGATCTCGGGATTTTTTGCATTAGCGGGATTCTTTTTTGGGATTTTTTTTGAAATGCAAATCTCGGGATTTTTAATTAGAACTTAATTAATAGTCAATATTTCGGTAAACCTGACCAAGTTTTCGTCAAACCTTCTTAATTTGAAGTTATTTTCAGCTGTATAATTTTATTTCTAGTTGCATTTTGCGCCTTACACATTGCCGCACAAGATTCCATATAATCCCAGAGACCAGATTAATCATTAAAAGAGGACTGGGAACTATGGGCAGGGAATATCGGGAATTTTTAGGAAATCTCGGGATATTTCGGGAGCTTACGCGGGACTTTTACAGAATTATCACATGAACTGCACGTGATGTCCATGAAATCGCTGAAATTGACAAACACAGAAAACTTTAATACTACCCAGAAATAAATTTTGATGATTTTATGCCTAATATCTAGTGATGCGTAAATGCATAAGGTAAGATGGCTGACATCCATGCTACGGTAGTTTATGTTGGAACAGCCGCTGGACCTGCTGATGGTGCTTCCTTGCCACGCCATAATTGGAAGTTGAAGAAAGCGTCCACGCCGAAGACAATGGTGGTTATGATACAAATTGCCTGTGAAAAGATATTTAAATAAAGAACAAACAATCAAGCAGAACTTTAAAGCTGAATGAAGAACTTAATCAAAAAATATTAAAGAGAAATACTGAGATACAAATACATGTTACAGGTTAACTATAAAAGAAATTCTGAAAAAGAAAAACTCTCTAGGTGAACAGTGAACACCCTCTCATGCAGCAAACTGGTGAGTCTTTGGTATATTTGATTTCAGTTGCTTTAGACGTCACATTTGACGAGAGGTTATATGAAGATCTCATGCTGTTCCCTGGCTATACTTCAACAGTCACTTTAATTTTTTGAACATTCAAGACAAAATTGCAGATGTGCAATATTCCTTTGGCCATCAGTCTACAGTCTTCCACTTTGCACTTATTTGTTTTTGTTCTTACGTATTCTATCTGCGGAAAGCTTTACAAGTGCTGTAAACTTACTATCCATTAATTTATGTGAAAGCCTGATGCAAAATTGGTTCAATGTTATTCAGAACATGTAATTGAAACATTAAATTATAAAAATATTCCATGTAACTTACTGCAGAACCAACCAGATGACCACATCTAGCATCTGAATTAACCCAACTTAGTTTGAGAAAATCGCAAAAAGACCATGGGCTATAAGAGAACTTTTTTTCATCATATTTTACAGCTGTGTCTGCAATAACACAGCCAGAAATAAACAGCAACAAACCCCAGATGACCATATTGATTGCAACCTATAAAAACAGCAAGGCATAAGATACCTTTTTGTCTTAAAATCTGAGTAACAAAGAAGGGATGGCTATCTAAATGCTAAGAAATCACTTTCTGATCTGCTAAGAGGTGATAAATTTGATATCTCAAGCTATTCAAATGAGATGACTGAAATATAATCACTTCCATCAGCCATTTCAACATGTAATCACTGTAACTACTGTAATCACTGTAATCACTTCAAACTAATCTAATCTAAGCTAGCTCAACTATGAAGTCGGCTAAAGTGTAAGCAGTTTCATTAAAGGATTAGAAGTCTTACTGTTAATGGCCAGTTAATAACAGATATTTTTTCATGAAGTCCAGTAACAAACAATACAACCAGCAGTATAACTTGGAGCCAGGATACCACAATAACAAACATTCCAAAGTCTAAACCTCCTTTCCTCCCCCAGTGATCAAATGAGTCAACCTTTTTGTGGTTGGTTAAAGTCACATCTTGACTACCCTTATCAAGGAAGACTCCAAGGGTGATAAGAGCAATAAAGAGTAAAATCTATATAAAATAAGAAGGACATAAAACAGGGTGATTTCTGTCAAGGCTTAGTCCAGCTATAAAGAGGCTTATCCTCAAAAAGTTTGCACTATCCTACTCTAAATGCAACTGAAAACAATTCCTGACTTACAAATGCACCAATCTTTAAAAAGAATGGAACTGACTTGATGTAATCAAAGCCTTTTGGTATCTGTGCCATGCTGGTTTCACTGCATTCAAATATAAAATAAGAATCAACTTTTAGCAACATTGTATAGGATTTTACATTGTTTCAACACATGTCTTTAAAAAAGGAATATCCTATCTTTACTGATTCCAGGCACAGCCATTAGGCCTTCTTTGGTTTTATGTTGAAATATACAAGCCCTATTATGTATGTTTGCACTCAACAACGGAATTTGGGGGGAATTAAATTTTAGCGTGTTGTACTTTAACAATACATGGCATCAAATGTGGTATAACAACTGCCTAAATAGACAAAACACTTCTTGACGTTTCGACCAGAGGGCCTTCGTCAGGAGAGTTACTCTGAGGGCCTTAGTCAGGAGAGTTACTCTCCTGACGAAGGCCCTCAGGTCGAAACGTCGAGAAGTGTTTTGTCTATTTAGGCAGTTGTTATACCACATTTGATGCTAAGTTGTTCGAAGACGCTGCCACGCTGCTCCTTGGTTATATTGGAACTTATTAACAACACATGTTTGCAAAATTTGCACACGGCACACCCAATACAACACTTGGATAGACATTTTGCTCAAAAGAAACTGATTTCACAAAGCACGCGGGAGATTTAACATATTGACAGTGTTGTGACTGTATTTCATTCTGTCAACTGTATCTATGAATAAATTGCTACATCATACTTAACATTTGGGCCTTTCGCAAATAAAAATACCCATTTTTTCGGTATAAAATATGGTTTTACGTACCTTAGATGTTGTATGAACACTAAATAATATGACTCTAGATAATAGAAAGTATTCCAGATTATTAATAATAAACCATAGCCACGCCAAGCCAAATTATGCGTGGATGCAAACAACCGGGATGCAAATTGCAAAATAACCCGCATGCAGGCGTATTCTAGGAAGGCCTTACTTTTGCCGGCTTTGGCCAATTCACAGTTTATTCACTGCTTTTGGCTTTTTCCAACTTTCTGGTAACTTTTGAGCAACTTTCCAGCAGATTTCGAAGCAGGTGTACAACTAGAGGCCTATTCACGGCTTGGTATGCTTTGTGGGCTTTGCGTAAGGGACGATTGGGTTACAAAGACTCAAAATAGAAGGACAGGAAATGACATGAAAGGACATGAAAGGACAGGGAAGGAGTACAGGGAAGGGGGACAGGGGAAAGGTAAGGTAATCAAGTGGCACACAATTACGATGGTCCCACATTCAAACTTTTTAATGATTATTTCCGTATTTGCAAGAAGAAAACTAGAGCTTCAAAAACTATGTACTCGGTTGAAATAGATTGGTTAGTTTTCTAAAATGCTGCAAAATAACGACAATGTTAAATGAAATACTCGAATATACATCTTCAAATCATGCAAAAAGGAATGGAAAAGGTCCATTAAATACAATCGCCACGCGACCTCGTTTTACAATTGAAAAAACGTATCTTCAGACAATTACCCTGGGTATTTGCCAATGCGAGCAGGCAGGTCCATGTATATATAGCTGCAAATGTGGTATAACAACTGCCTAAATAGACAAAACACTTCTGAGGCCCTCAGGTCGAAACGTTGAGAAGTGTTTTGTCTATTTAGGCAGTTGTTATACCGCATTTGATGCTAAGTTGTTTGAAGACGCTGCCACGCTGCTCCTTGCTTATTTGGAACTTATCTCCATGTATATGTCAATGGCTAGACTAGGTCTGGTCTAGGGTTGAAATCTGCTGATAGTGTTTAATACAAAAACATGGACCGATATGAAACTTTAGAATTTAGTTTGTTTTACCTATTTGAAATTGTTTAAATTTATAAAATACCTAGTACATGCACTGATTGATAGCCATGACGTTGTACTAGTTGGACACTTTTCCGTTCTTTCAAAAGGCCTCAGAGGATTTATGAAAGTTAAATGGACACATAGCTCAGTGGTTAAATGTCCGACATCCGTGAAAGTCGTGAAAGAAAGTGAAGTTTATGTTGGAACAGCCGCTGGACCAGCTGATGGTGTTTCCTTGCCACGCCATAATTGGAGGTTGAAAAATGCGTCCACGCCAAAGATAATGGTGGTTATGATACAGGTTGCCTGTGAGAGGATATTTAAAACTTCTTAAAACAATGTCGTGTGTGCAACCGTTGCAACTGGAACATATATTAAAAAAAGAAACACAACTCACAGCAGAACCAACCAGATGACCACATCTGGCATCTGAATCATAAATATCATTTTTAAGATAGTCGCAAAACGAGTACTGTGTGGTATGATAATGATCCCCATGTTTAAAAGTTGTTTTCTCATCATATTTCCAAGCTGTGTCGGCAATAAAACAGCCCGAAGCGAACAGCAACAAACCCCAAATGACCATACTGATTGCAACCTAAAACACGAGATATTTCCTGATAATGATATTAGCTGGATATTAGTAAAATTGAGGCAGAGTTAGTAGTAGTAATTAGGGTCATCAGAACTCTATACGGACTACCAGTATCCCAATATAAGTTTTACAATTTGGGCCTATTAAACCTTAGAGTGTCATAGAATGGTTCATTGGGTATTGAGATGGCAAGTTACATTCTAAGTATGTGAAATCATGCTAGCTAAAAATGACAAGTCTTACTGTTAATGGCCAGTTGATAATAGATATTTTTTCATGAAGTCCAGTAGCAAACAATACAACCAGCAGTATAACTTGGAGCAAGGAGACAACAATAACAGACATTCCAATGTCCAAACGGCGCTTTTCCCCCCACCCGTCAAAGGAGTTGATTGTGCCATAACGCTGACGCTGTAATTTAACATCTATATTCGCTTCGTCAAGAAAGATCCCAAGAGTAATAAGAGCAATGAGCAGCATAATCTATATAATAACATAAGACAGAATCAATAACCATTTGCGGGCCTCAATTTCCACGCAATGCAAACGACTTCACCTGCAGAATGTTGACATGGTGAAGACTTTAAAACTGATACAACCAACAAGCAACAGGTGCCTGAATGGTTACTTACGAATGCACCAATCTTTAAAAAGAATGGAACTGATCTGACGTAATCCAAGCCTTTTGGTATCCGTGCCATGCTGGTCGTTCTTCCTTTATCAGTGTGCGAAAGAAATAAAGAATTGACTTTAGGCAGACGAAAAATTACACAAAAAATGACCATGTGCGTATTTCTTTCTTACTTTCATCTTAGGCCTGTTTCAGACATCGAACTTGCGCCGAACCAAATGTTAAGGCCGAGACACACCGGACGCGATCCGCCAACGCGACGCGACTTTTACGAATTTTTCAGTTTTCAAAATCTGCTAATTTTAACAATGTTGTGATATTCTTGGTAATTACTGAATGATAGTACATTTTTACTTGCCTGGTACCCATACCTCTCAAAATATTCTTTCAGAATTCAATTTATTAGCTTCTAAAAAGGGAAAATTCGCGTCGTGTTAGCAAATCGCGTCCACTAGCGTGGGCCGAGCTAAAGTCTTTGTTTAAGTTCATTTGCATTCGATTCCGGCACACGAAAAAAAAAGTTCGACGTCTGAAATGGGCCTTTATTTCGAAATGAATGTTTTTGGCGGGAAAATGTTATTGTCAACAATCAAATTTGAAATTCATTTTAGTATAATTTCAGTATTGAAGAATTGTTCTGGCCCTATTTGGCCCTTACACTACAATTTATATATCAGTATTTCTTGTTTGTTCATTTCGCGCTATTTTGCCGCTATAGCGTCCCTCATCGACCATCTGGGTTCCACCTGGCGGGATCCTTTCTTCGTTTTTTTACCTGGCGGGTCCCTTTCTTCGTTTTTTTTTTGTGTATCGTTCACGCTTTACAAGTACACTCTTTTTACGGACAAACGTTGGTAAATAAACTAATAAAGGTTCAAACTATTGCTTCCTCGTTCGTTATACGGCTGCTAAAGGGCGACACGTGTCCAACGTTGCCCGAAGGAGAAGCACAAAGAATGTCAGCCATTTCGAGGCATTATCTCAGTAATCTTTAGACTTCATATGTGTACATAACACGTATGACATCAACTCTATTAAGTTGTCGGCTGGTCATGGTTTTTGCCCATAAACACGTTGCGATTATAATAAATATCTCAAATATCATGTTTACATCGCTTCCTGCGTCTGCAGCCCTTCAGCAGTTCTTTGCCGAGGCGGTTGAAAATCACTTTTAGTATCATTTTTCGTTGAAACAAGAAGTCAAAAATCTTTAAAAGGGATCACACATAGCTTCATTTACCCATGGGTACTCCGAGTACTCCCGAGCGCTCTCAGCGGCTCCTGGGCACTCCCGGGCGGTATTTCGTAGTCGTAGAACCCCAAACCCGTGATGTGAAAATACTTAGCCTGCGCGCAGTCTCTACACTACAGGAATTATAATTCCTGTATAAGAAATACTTGGATTTAGCAGCCTAAATTTGCAAGATACTGAAAACCCAAGTTTGCACACGCAATGAATATTTGAGAGAGAAATTGGCTCGATATAAACCATACTCAAGGAGGAACACGATCATGCATGCTGACAGTGTTGAGATCATGTTATCTCACGCGGCGTATTTATCCGTTATATCGCCGCAAAATACCTAATACCGAGCCTGATAGGTCCTGAAAATGGCCACCGGAGGTTTTACGAGATAAAATATGATTTTACGTACCTTGTCACAGAATTTATATATACTATCGGGAAAGCGTTGCAAATTTGATAAACAATGCTTCTTCCAGACTCGCCAAGTACAGCTGGAAAGCGTCAACGGCCAAATAACCCGCGTGCAGGAAGCCCCATTCTGAGAAGTGGCCTTGCTTTTTTCAGCGTCAGTGTTGCTGGGGCAACAAAAAACATTGGTGGAAGGCCTCCCCTTGAACGTTAAGCGGGTAGTGAATAGTAGACTATCACGACGGTCCCACATTTGAACTTCTTTTAATGATTATTCTTATTTACAACATGAAAGCTACTTAGTAGAGCTACAAAAACGATGTACTAGTCATTAAAATATTCGAGCATCTTTTTTGTAAAACGAAATTATTCAGGTCTTCGCTTTTGGTACGACCTTATTTCCCGACTTTGCGGTCGGAATGATCTCCTGTCTATATTCCATTGGAAGATATTTTTCAATCAGGGCGTGGAACGATTCTCTTGATTTCACCAAACCTTGTCTGGGCAAGAAAAAAAGAAATACGTTCTTGTGTATAGCATAGGCAATATAAGGCATAGCATTAGATTAACTGTCGGAAGAATGTGTTGAGAACTCTGAACACTCAAGCCAAGACCCTGCCTGGAAGTCAGGAAAGACCTTTGCTCTTGAGCAATTGACAAACCTTCGCATTAGTAATTCAACGTCAGATTCCTCGATCGTTTTTCTTCCAGCATGCTTTGAATAGGAGAAAAGGTCTTCTGTAACGTGCTCAAAAAATGCATCGGATCTAAAGTATAAATATACAACAACCTCTTTCATAAATATACATCGAACTGATAAAGTTATCCAGTATAAATGATAGTATCTCTCAAATCGACCTACCCAACGTGAACTGCATCCAAAGCATCTTTAGAAACTCTCAGCGCAGAAAAATGACGGAATATCCCGTTCACCAAACTCGATGGTAGCCTGAGAAGTGAACTGTCTTTTCTATAATATCAATCAAAACAGGCTTTAGTCAAGTTATGGCAAATGGGTGAAGATATAATAGACGAGATAAAGAGAGAGTAGAAAGTTTAAGTTCTGCGTTTGTCGCTGTCACTACTGTTCTTTTCAAAACGTGGAACACTTAAACTTTCTAGACCTAGGAATGAAATCCTGTTAAGAAATTGCCGACCTGGTGGTTTTTTTCGCTTGGTTCGTCTTTCTGGCGGCTTTTTTGACCTCGCTATGTGAAAGACAGAGGAATAACTAAACGTTAGTAAGGCGATGGCGGCAGGTCGCGGTCAAACTGAAGCATATAGTTATGGTCAAAGCTGGCTAGTCTCTTCTGACTAAACTATATTTCAACCTGTCGTGACGCTGCCTTGCGATATGCCTTGGTCTAGTTGTTTTTTAAAGCTGCCAAAATCTCAGGGAAACTCTAAACCAAAGGTTAGCTATCGAGATAATCACCTAGCCTTCTTTTGTTTTGCTGTTGGTTTTCCAGGCACTATAGGCGTAGCCTTAACTTTGGTTGTAGTAGGTAGAACCGGAGTGCGCAGTTCACCCCATGCAACAGACTTAGAGACGCCACTTCTTTCCAAATCTGAAGCAGCACGCAAGCTTTCACCCCCCTGGGTTGGATCACCACCAGCAAACTTGCTGACTGAATCATTTTCTTGCGAACTTTCCTCTTGTGAGGAATTTAGTTTATCACCACCCTCCCCAGACATTTCCTCTTCGTCTTGTGAAGATTCTGCCGTAGCCTCCCGTGAAGATTCGTATTTATCTTCGCGCTCTACTGGAGCGTCCTCTAGTTCCTGTTGTTCGTCAGACTCATTTCCGTGTTCCCGAGTATCGTTTTGAAAGTCTTCTTTTTCAGAGCCTTCTTTCTCATCACCGTATTTATCCGCATGTTTATCTTTTTCATCACTAGATTCAACATTTTTATCTCCACGCTCGCTACTTTCATCCCCGGATTCAACGGCTTCAACTCCAGATTGAATTCGTTCCTCTCCATCTTCGGCGCTCTCTTCTCCGGATTCAGATTTTCTTTTTTCGTCCTGAGATTTTTCCAAAATATAACCAAAATATAAAAAAAATCGTCCGGTTAGAATCAGGGGTTATTATAGGGACGACTTTTCCTGGGTTATTTATCATCTTGACTCACCTGTTTTGATGTAGTTCGGTTTTTTTTTGGTACTGTGTTAACTTAAAACAACAGAAACAATAAAGTATGTTAATGATGGTCGCAGCAAGCTCTGCGCATCGGCTCTGCTCATAACAATGAGAGGATACTTGGCTTAAAAATTGTCAAAAATTTCGTACGTTTCTGGACATAAATCCTCGCATATATTCCATAGCAAAGCGGGCCCAGAACGACGTGAAATATTTTCAAAAATTCATGATATTTCAGTCAGAAATATCGGAATTCGAAGTTTTGATAACATTACAGCTAGATTGCACACAACTTTTTAGTTTGTGGATGAAGACTGAAGTGGGTTCGTCGTTTCGCTGAAAATCGTTCATTATACCTGCGTTAAGATAACCTTGAATTGCTGCACGAGGTGTTATATTTTCGCTCGGTGTTGGTAAACTTTGGCTGAGCCTTGTACGCGGACGTGATTTTTGTTGAGCGCTGGATTCACTGGTCATTAACACCTAGTCAAGAAGTATCCTGCATTCACTTGTATCAAGTAATAAATAAACAACTGGAGTCATGGAAAAATATAAAGTTCCTGCTAGAGTCTGCACAGTTCTACCAGTTCTAAACTATTCCTCCTAAAGGTTTGGTTATAAAGAGAACAATACTTCTAACACAGGTTGCATCAACTTACTTGCCGGTCATTTACTACTGACTGTGACAGTCTTTGATTTGCGGTTGTTGTTTTTGCAATCTTCGCTGGTGATTTAGTGTCAGCTGTTGAAAAAATATCAAAGGTAATGTTTTGTCATGTCTCCTCAATTATGCAGAAATGCTGTTTTGTTGATCAACAAACCTGCAGCGAGGTAAGCCCGGATGTTTGTTCTTGGTGTGACAGTCTCACTTGGTGTTGAGGTGACGCTTCTTCGTCTCTTTGCATTGCTCTTTAACAAACCTTGTGTTGCTGGCCTTTTGGTGGCAGAACTCAAGACCTTCGTCAAGGATTTTGGTTTACGACTGGATTGCTTAATATAGCAGTAAGCAAATCTGGCTAAGGGCATGCACCACCAGTATGACTACACAACTACCAGGGGCATATTATATATTCATTTCAATACCTAATTTCACACCTCAGCTAAGCAGGGTCATGTAAACAGCCCCCTGGTTTCATAGTTTATCATATTTGACCATGTCGAGTGACGAGGTATGTACCCCAGAGCCAGAAACTACATGCCCCAGGCAGAATTGGATAAACTTTGTGTACATTTTAGGCAGGCTTTGTTTAGATTCAGGTAGATATTCAAACATATTTACTGCATAAGCAGTATCTATTATCCAAACACTGATGACTGAGCAGAGTTTTCCCTTTTTTCCCGCCAAAAAAGTAAACAATATTCACCCATCATATATGAGGTAGAGCTATTTCTTAGACATATCACGAAATCTCTCAAGTCTCAATGAAACTCTTCACTATTTTATTGCAACCCAGAAAGAGATACTCCGTGCTCGAATCGAAGATCAAAACGTCAGATATTGTAATTTTATAGGGACATCGAAACTTGATCGAACTTACCGTCAACGATCTGGAAGGACGCTCTCTTGTAGCTGTTTGTGCCAGTCTCGGACTGCTTCTTGTTGTCTGACTGGTTTGTAGAACTCCTTTTATGAGAGCTCTAGGCGTTTCTCCTTCCATCAACAGCAAAAAACCCCAAATTCTGCAATTTTACTATCACAAAGGCTGCAGCATTTGTAAACAAACAACGGAAAATCGTGGAAAGGAATGGGGAAAGAAACATGGAACGGAAAAAACCCGGAATGAAAAAAGCCGGAATCAAACGACGGAATTTGTAAAACCTGGAATGAGAAAGGCTGGAATCTTTAAAAGCAGAATTGAATCATTAATTTCATTAATTTCGGGGAACGAGATTAAATTAATTTGATAACGTTGCTTTATATTGTTCAGGTTTAGCACTTTATTCTATCCTACTTACTCTACTTTGGTCCACTAGGAATGGATTTTAGAGACTTCATTCCGGACATTCCAGTTGCATTTGAGTCCACTCGCTCCCACTGAACTCTATATTAGAGCGCTAGCTGAATGGAGCTATGAGGAATGGTTACTAAGCTTTTGCAAAGTCACTTCTTCAACATTTGCTCGTGGAGAAACAAATTGACAATTTTTTTTATCCAAAAACTGCATTTTGAAATTCCTGTGCTATGTCTGGAGGCTCCTATGATCGTGCTATTACTGTATTTTCGCCAGATGGACATCTCTTTCAGGTGGAATATGCACAAGAAGCCGTAAAGAAGGGTTCCACTGCCGTAAGTTTCTTCACTTTTTTCATATTGTCCTAAATTTTTTAACATTGAAAAATATAATAATAGAATATAAAACATGAGATATAACCTTCATCAATAACTATCTTGTTTACTTACTTTAATCAGTTTAATGCCTTAGAACAATTTATTGCATGGTCATTTGGTTTTGGGTTAAATCCCCCCCCCATAGGATACCCCCCCTGAAAACCAGAAAGGGTGGGTGAGTGTCCCAGCCGTAGATGGTTTAGCTTCGGTAAGAGTAAGGGTAGTGGGGTAGCCTATTAATGGGGAGTACTACTCACTGAGCAGACAGAGGTAATGAAAACTAAAGCAAGTGCATTTCACCTGAAAGCCCATGAATGTTTTATGTTGGTAGGTTGGAGTCAGAGGCAAAGATTTAGTTGTATTGGCTGTTGAAAGAAAGGCTGTTCCTAAGCTTCAAGATCCAAGGACTGTGAGAAAGATATGCTTGCTAGATAACCATGTGTGCCTCGCTTTTGCTGGTAATAAATTGATCTTTTTTATCGGGTCTAAATAGACAAAGATGAACATGCATTTTCTTCTACTACTTTCTGTGTAGGAAATATTCAAACTTCTTTTTCCTTCAGGGCTTACAGCAGATGCCAGGATCCTTATCAACCGTGCAAGGATTGAATGTCAAAGTCACAAACGAACAGTTGAAGATCCTGTTACATTAGAATATATTACAAGATATATCGCAACATTAAAACAGGTAAAGATCTGGGATTAGACACATCACAAGTCAACAAGTTTATTGAAAAATACCAATAAATGATTCCACAGATGTTGTAAGGTCATTTCCCAGTTTAGTTTATACAAAATAAGATTCAAATTTCTCACCAATTTTTAGAAATTTACTCAAAGTAATGGTCGAAGACCATTTGGTATCTCGACACTAATTGTGGGCTTTGATTACGACGGTATCCCACATTTATACCAGACAGACCCATCGGGTACATATCACGAGTGGAAGGTAGGCTATTGTCTTTGGTTCTTAGTAGAATGTAGGTATTTTTATGCCTAGAATGACTGGGGCAAACTGGTCAAGATGTTCCATTTTTTTAAGCAGTAAATAGGGTATTAGTTATCATACATTTGGATAAATTATATTTATTAGCTTACTGCCATAGAAGTTTAACACTATGTTCTTATTCCAGGCAGGAGCGATTGGACGAAGTGCGAAAACAGTTTTAGAGTTCCTGGAGAAACATTATACTGCAGAACTTGTTGCTTCGAATGAAGAAACTATTAAACTAGCTATCAAAGCTCTGTTAGAGGTAAGTTTAGTAGCTTGAGCAATTGTTGTTAATATTGTAAAACAATAAAATATCAGCAGCCACCATGAGTTGATACGAGTGAAATGCTAGGACACTTAATGTTACCATAGTTAAAAAAAATGATTTATATTCTTAAATTTCAATGACATGTTGTATTTAATATAATTTTTAGGTTGTCCAATCTGGAGCAAAGAATCTAGAACTAGCTATCATGAAAAGAAACGAGCCGTTACGAGTCAGTATACATGAAGTTTTGTCATAACCACCAGTATAGATCCTAATATTCCCAGTTATTGACAGTTGTTTTTCTTGTGTTCTGGCCTGCAACTATTTTTTTCAACTTTCATTGACATTTTTCTTATTTTTTTTAAATTTTTTTTGGCTGCATAGATTCTTGAGCAAGATGAAGTTGAAAAATTTGTGGATGAAATTGAAAAAGAAAAAGAAGCTGAAGCAGAAAGAAAAAAGCAAAAGAAAACTGGAGGAACTCCATCAAAATAGAAGATATTTCAATACCTTATAATACTTGACCACCACCTGTTGATTGCATTTTTTGCAACCATTGAATGTACTGTAAGCACTCATACAAACCAGACATTTCATTTAATATAGTAACAGTAGATAAAGATTGTTGTCAGTGGTTGTACAAAGCCTTGATTATTCTGAGATAATGTGGATTTTAGTAATCAATATTGGTCAATGATTGGTGTGCAATGTCTTGAAGGTGCTTTTGAATTTTTCCACAACCCCTTTGAAGTCAGTCCTTTGCAGCCAAGTTCTGAGAAGTATAATTTGGTAGCTTTTGAATTTCCAAGTTTTTTCCAAGTTTTTTCTGGATGTCATGATACTCAACTTTTGCTCTTTCAAGAAACAAATTCTTTAAAGTTTCAAGTGCAGGTCAAGAGATCTAACATTTCCATCACAGGCCTGCACTTGAAATGTCTTCAGAGATTCAGAAAAAATGGCTGTTAAGGTAGAGTTATACTGCGATTTTAAATTCTAAGAAATCTTTTTACACAATCTAAATCAACATGTTTTCTTTACCAAGATGTGTTTGATTTCATTATAAGCTTTGGCTGGTTTCTATTAAGCATATTTGGTGTCATGCATTTTCCAATTTCATAAAACATAATCTTTTGCATAGCTTTTAGTTTATGGTACTTTGATTATTAACACAAAAGAGATCTTTTAGCCTTCACTTCTTTCTTGTGTCCACTATGTTCACATATGATGCAGCGCCAGTCGAAACATATCATTCAGACAGTAATAGTTGGTATTGTTTGCGGGATCTCGTCTTAAACAGAATGTTTGACTAAAAGTGTGGGGTGGATCATTGTCAGTCTAGAAGAGATAAGAAATCATTCTAAAAATCACAATTACAATGATATTTTATTGTTTAACATTGCAGATTTCTAGCATAGGTAGATAAAATAATATAAATTTGCATGATGGACACATTTTGATTGTTACAACATTTGGGTATCACCAGAAATATTAAAAAGTTGTCACAATCACCTTAAGTTGACCAAGTACATGAATAATAATTCCATAATCACAAGTCGGTTGAAAGTCAGCAGTAGTCACAACATGTTTCACGCTTTGAAATGGAAGCGTCTAAACATAAAAAAATGAGTTAAATGTAATATCTGCAAATATATAAATACTGTAAAGGTATTTCCACATAGTTTAAAAATGGTATTCCATAGCACCTTAATTTTATTTGCGATTGCCTCTACACCTTGCATTTGTACACCCTCAAACGTAAGCATTGAGTCATTTCTCTAAAACGACAAACATTGAATCAATTCGATTCCATTGAACAGTTCATGTGTATTTTATGCATCACCGAGTTCACTACACCAGAATGACCAGATGACACTCACATAAAATGACTTCAGAGCTTCTCGATTTGTGTCAAATAAGTCGTAATACTGTTCAACAAAACATTTTCCGATAGTGTCAAAATTTTCGTTCATATTCTAAATGTTTTAACAAGCTAAAAAGCAAGTAAACTCTACAAGTTTTTTGTTTATAGGTCCCTGACTCTCTTTCTCTTAAGGTAGGTCGTTTTGAACGAAAGGGCGGCAGCATTCGCGCTCTTTTTGGCCGTCAGAAATGTCGCCTGATGCACCGCGGCAATGCGAATCGGGGTGAAACAAGTCGTGAAATTTCAACATTCCGAGAAATTTGGAATTCTGGTCAGGAATCAATTTGGGATAATTTGCCTAAATTTGGGATTGCAATTAGATTCATTGTTACATTTCGAATTTGAAAACTGAGCACGATTCTAGTTCCCTTATAATATAAAACGTGCCATATTCATAATAAAGTAGGCAGTAGCCTTCGATTTTCATCAACATCACAACTGTAACGGAACTGATGAGGAAAGTCGACACTCGACACTGCCGGTCAACCACACCACCTCCCCTCCGATTCGTCCCTAGCAACGAACGAAGGCATCACCAGCAAAATTCTTGCAACAGATATCGGGTCGCTCTGAGCACTCCGGGTATATGACCACCCCTGCCTCCTCCTGTCGGAAGCCAATGGCTAGATTTTATGGTTGCCGGGAAAATTGAGGAATTTATATGCTTCTTTCGAGGAATCTTATCACACACATCTATTTCGCAGGAAATGCTAATTTTGGCGGGAAGACGAAAGCAAAAACACCACCAGTCCACCATTCCATTGTGCATGCACCAACGGGCCAGTTTACAAAACATTATGCCTAAAAACGACATATTTTCGTTTGATGTTTTGCTCGGTGGCGAGCCTGTGATAGAATACGAAAAAGACGGGCAAACATACGTTATGACTAATCTCATGCATGAGACTACATATCATGAAGAAAGAGTTGAGTTTGTCGATGATAGGGAGGAAAGACAGAGAATCCCCGTTACGCCTTATCAAATTGCCCTAACATTGACATCGTTGAAGCTTCAGCAAGTTTGGGCAGAGGTTTATGTCGATGGAAGCTTTATTAGGCAAATATTACTCAGACAAGGACAAAAATTGTAAGTCAATTAGATTTTATTGTAGTTACAACTTACCCCCACACCCATTAGAGCAAACACCACCCCCTCCGTGGGGAGAATGTCCCCTGTTTCCTTGGAATAAAGAACAGAGAATATTGCTTAGTGGTACCGGTGTAGGTTGTACCTCAATCTTCCTTAACAACAGCTCAAAAAGGATGCAAAATACAATGTATTTTAATTGGCATTTTGCATCATCTATACAACCAGTTGTGTATTTTGTAGTATCTTAAAAGGATTTAATGATGGTGAAAAAATTCGAGAGTTTCTTTTTTCCCTCCCTCGGTTTGGAAGAGACAAGGTTTGTATTATAAGTTTAGTTGCTAGTGTCCTACTATATCTGTAATCAGATTGTCTTACAAGTATTAGGTTTAAAATGAAATTACATGGCTTTCTAGGATGACCACATAGAAGAGAGTCGTGTGAACAAGGTTGGCTGTATTTCTGTTCACGTCTACGAAGCAAAATACAAAGGCAAGAAAATGAGAGGAAAGTTTAGTGAGAAATCGCTGGACTACATACAGGCGACAAAGAAAGATACCACCATTGTGACAAAAGGTAACTACACCATGGCCACAACGAAACCGGGACGTTGCATCGAAGACTTAGCAGCTAGAACTGGGGGAAAACGAAAGCGTAGTGATGAGGTAGACATTTGGTATAAAGAACAAGAAGTAAGTAAGTTGGATGTGAAGTATCACATGAGACACACCCTGGTCGACATGGGCATTCAAATGTTGGAATAGGTTTTCAAAAACATGTTGGTTCATTTCAAATTGTCGTTTTGTTAAGCCTTGGGAATTTACACAGGATCCCAGGACGTTCTTCATAATGTTACGCAAAAAGACATTTCACATTTTGCTTTGTTCACATGTAAACCTTGTTGTATATTCAATAAAGCTCTCAGCGCCAGAAACAAAGTACAGTACTACTTTACCAAAGACATAAATAATATATATATATACATATACATAGGTAAAAACTGCTTTAGAATTTTGTGTATAATAAATAAATTATTTTATATGTATACAATATGTTAATTATTATATATTGTTCATGGAATGCATTCATTCCCAAATCTTGTATACTTTGTTGGGCATTTTAAATTTACTTTAATATATGTTCATCCAAGTCACTTTGACATTTATGTTTTTGTGAGTCCAGGTCCAGCACACCTTAATTTTATCACAAGGATGAGTAATGTCTATATCTGATCATTTGATTTTATCTTTCTACAACAGACCAAAGTACATTGTTTATTTACAGTAATAAATTAAATATGCTGCACGAATAAATAGGCACAGTATGCACTTATGCTAAATTGTCAACAAACAATATTTTTTCAGTAGATTTTTTTTCACTATTAAATAGAAATTTATAGATTTGCTAGAACATTTGTTGTCTCTTCAACTTGTTCTTCCTGTGTCACTGATGGTGGTTGAACCAAGAACCTGGAAAAAATGACAATCATTGTTGAAATCGACTTCCTTATAAGTTTGTTGCCAAAATGCAGCTTCAAGCCTTCTGGTGCAGCATTCCACCTTTCTGACTAGGAATACAGACAGATTCGAAAGATAGAATGTACCATGGCTCTAGAACTACACAGAGTCTGGTAAACTTATAATTCTCAAAACACATCAGCAAACATACTGGGGTTATCTTTGTGGTTACAATTTCTTTAGATGTAGCATCTTCATTTTCCTTACTTTCCTTCTCAGAGATCATCTTCGTCTGTAGTTCAACAAACTCATTATTTGCATTTTGTATTTCTTCACCTAGTTGCTCTTTCATCTTGAAAGTTATTAAACACAAAAAAAAACAATAAAACTTGCCAGAATTCTGTTAAGTTTGTGATAAAAGCACTCTCGTTTAAAAGAACAGTTTGTGATAAAAGAACAGTAGAGTAAGTAGAATATTACTACAGGTCATGTTCAACAATTGTACAAATAATATTTCATATTTGTGTGTGTCTACTACACGTGTCCCATGCAACTTGCTGTGGTCTTCAAAGTTTCAAAGCAGACCTTTTTTAGTGCTGCGGGCTTTTTCCTCTTATCCTTGGCTTTCACGATCCCTGCTGGACCAAACTTTGTTTGTACCTTGTCTTTCTTAGATTTTATCGCGTTTTTGGTCCCTTTTTTTGCCATTCTGTGGAGGTACTTTCAGCAAAATGGTCAAGGAGAAGTTCCTCAATTCTGCTGACTCTGCAGGATGATTATATAGGGTGTTTCCGGAATAAAACCCCCAGGAAGTATTTTAGATTTTTATGAAAAATAAAATATAAAAAATGCGTGAAATTCGCAAGGCTAAGACCAGAGGTTTGAGAATTACCGATTATTACTACAAAATTAAGATGAAAGCAATTTGATTTAGTAATCTGGTTCTCTAAATAGGCCGAGAAATATGTTTTCTTAAGTTTAAGGAAATTTCAGTGATTTATCGTAAGCGGAAACTACTGCGTGTAGCGTCGAGTGGATCCCACGCAAAATGGCGTCATCTTGCCACGCGTACGGTGCGACATGCGCAATGGTGACTTCTCCTTCCGTCTTGCCGAAATCTGCCCGAATGTTTTACATCGGTGAATCAACTTTTACGTGAGAAAATCACTGGGAATTCTCTTCCCGAGCTAGCCAAAAGCTCGAAGGTATGTTGCTTTATTCGTATATATCATCACGTAAAGCCTACAGTCGTTTTATCGGCATGTTCGCCGAGTTATGGCCAATATAATGCATGTAGTAACACCGCATTTGTCAATGATTATGCTATAGTTGTATTATTGTACAGGTACACGGAATATACTTCTGTCTTAAAGTACGTGAAATCCTCACTTGTTTGCCACGCCGATTTGACAATGTAACGCTTTCTGATAGCATCCCGTTTGAATATATGTCAAAACTTGTCTGATGTTGAAATAACCTGTAATTTATCCCCGCATGGCTCTGTTGAGCTGAGTCGTATCTGATTTCGTATAAATTATACACCTTTAGAGACGAAAAACTTCGTTTTTAGTAAACCAGACCTGAAAAGCTTCACGTATATTTGAAATTCAGACAGAATATAGTACCTGTAGTTAAATATTATTAATATGTTATTGATCGATATATTAATTTTAACATTTACCTTCTGTCAATATATATAAAAATTTGTTCTTTTTGTGTGCTCGGTGTAAATTAATTCAACACTAGGGAGGTGTTTATCGGGAGTTTCAATAATTCATAAAATGTTTATAGCATATCCAGGATGCTGCATTATAAATTTAATTAATAAATTTCTTTGGGGGAAAATAGGAATGGACAGGTTATTTAGGTGTGTATAATATTGATTAGCTATAGCATTGTTAAAACACACAAAAGCCTTCAAGCATGAAATTTGGCAATATTTTGGATAGTATCTTGTCTAATGCTTTCAATTTGCCAATTAATAGAATCTGTATATATGTGTGTTAAAAAAAACACAATTCTTTGTATCAATAATTCCCAAATTTCTTAAGAACACCACCAGAAACATATGTTTATGTTTTTAGAAGACGTCCGTTGTTTTTCAACTCATGATTTCATCATGCCAGTCCCTCTGAAGTTAAGAGATCTCATCAGAGCGATCAGAGCCGCCCGTACGGCTGCCGACGAGCGAGGGGTAATTTCAAAAGAGTGCGCCCAAATTCGAGACACATTTCGAGAAGAAGACAATGATTTTCGCGCAAGAGCTGTTGCGAAGCTCCTCTACATTCATATGCTTGGCTATCCAGCTCATTTTGGACAGGTAATATATAATATTTCATCATGATACCACTGTCCACTGCTGCAGATGTAAAATTCTGAAATGACAAGTGGAAAACACACAGAGTTTTTGAGAGTTCTAACCTCAATAGTAATAATTTTCAATAAACATTTTACCAATTTTTTTCTTGGTGTTTCAGCTGGAATGCCTGAAGTTGATTGCATCTCCAAAGTTTACAGACAAGAGAGTTGGCTACCTGGGTGCCATGATGCTGTTGGATGAAAGACAAGACGTTCATCTGCTGGTTACAAACTCATTGAAAAAGTAAAATATATTGGCCATAGTGCTAAAAGAATTCTTTCTTCTTGTTAATAAATTTCAAAAATAGTACTGCGTGGCAATATTGCTACATCAAATACCCCATTACAATCAAGCATGCAGTCCAATATCACAGGGCTATGAAGAGATTGTAAAATGTGTGTTTTGCCATTTACTGGCTTTGAATAATTCGAATAATTTTGCATTGCAGTGATTTGAACCATAATAGTCAGTTTATCATTGGTTTGGCACTCAGCACCCTAGGAAGGTGAGATGAAAGTCCATACATAGCACTATAGAACTGGAACTCTTTATTTTTATTTACATTATCAGTTTCAAGTAAACCATTCCTGTAATGCACCTTTTCGTATTTCAGCATTTGTTCTCACGAAATGAGTCGAGATTTAGCGGGTGAAATCGAGAGGCTACTGAAAACTGCTAACAGCTTCACTAGAAAAAAGGTTAGTTCTCCACCTTGAGTAGAACTGGCTAAGACGTGCTACCTTAGTCATTTAATAAGCACATATTAAATCAGCAATCCCTGCTAACATCCCCCTTCTAGACCACCTTGGGACCATCCTTACTCAGAACAATCGTAATATCCAAGTGTATTGTACAAACATGAAATTCTCAAATTATTTAGGCTGCCCTTTGTGCTGTCCGAATCATTCGGAAAGTTCCAGAGCTGATGGAAATCTTTGTTCCCATAACAAGATCATTGCTGAATGAGAAAAATCACGGTAGGTACCATATACTTGTTAACTAGTGATGAGGACATTTAGATGAGCAAAAATAAACCACAGCTAAAAATAGCCCCAGGTTTAACTTACATTCTACCCTTGAATAAGAATGTCTAGCTGTCTGCTTCAAAAACTAATCCCCTGACAAATGTTTCAGGAGTTCTACTAACTGCCACTTGTCTCGTAACGGAAATGTGTGAACTGAATCCTGAAGTTGTATCTCATTTCAGACGGGTGAGTAATTGCATGTCGTTCATTGGGAAAGGCATGGCCCTACCTCAAAATCCAAGAATATTTTAGTGTCCCACAGGATGCATAACATCTCAACATTTCATATACCATCTTTGATCCATTTCACCATCATATCTTTTATGCTTTCTCTTTCAATCTTTCAGCATGTCTCTACCTTGGTGAAAACTCTGAAGAATTTAATTATGTCCGGGTACTCCCCTGAACACGATGTCTCTGGGATTAGTGATCCTTTTCTTCAGGTAATTCGAGAAGGAATAAGAGACTATATATACTTAGCAAGTGCAGTCAAAGTTACTCATCCCATTTGTTCTTTGAACTAATGTATTGTTTACAATGTTTTGGTTAGATTCGAGTGATCAGATTGCTCCGAATCTTGGGAAGAAATGATGAGGAAGCTAGCGATGCAATGAATGATGTTTTAGCACAGGTATTTTTAAATTTGGTGTGGTACTCGCTGGTTGCTGTTAGGAGTCTACCATGATGATTCAACAGACTTTACAGTGCTTTCCATATTACAGTATGACAGACCCCATTCTATCCACTTCCTTTTTTGATGGGATTCAACCTAGTCATAGGTATTGATAGTCCCTCGATCTTTGTTAAGGTGGCTACAAACACGGAAACAAGCAAAAATGTTGGAAATGCCATCTTGTATGAGACTGTTCTGGCAATCATGGACATAAAGTCTGAAAGTGGTTTGAGGGTGCGTATTTCATGTGGGGATTTCAGATTTAGGATAGTTTGCTCCTAATGAAAACCAGAGGCCAGTTGTATGAAGCATGTTAGCCTATACAGTGGACAACTCATACACTTTCTCATATATTTTAAAAATAACACTTTCTCATATATGTTGTGATTGATTCATCCTAAAATTTTTTTTTCGAAAAACCTTTGGTTTTCTTCTGTGAAAAATGTGCGATCGAACCCATACATCATTCAAACTACTGTAAACGGACTTGGTACAACCCTTGCCCCCCTGAACGGTAACATTTGTTGTTCGGGGATTGCACCACACCCGGGGCAGTATTTTCATTCAGTGTTTTTCTCTTGCATTCCAGGTTTTAGCTGTTAATATTTTAGGAAGATTTTTGTTGAATAACGACAAGAACATCAGATATGTTGCCTTGAACACGTTGTTGAAAACAGTCAGTGCAGATTACCAGGCAGTGCAGAGACATCGCAGCACCATTTTAGACTGTTTGAAAGACCCTGATATATCCATACAGAGGTGAGTCTGAATTCTCACTTGTACAGGTTGCCTGCAAAGATGATGTTATTCAAAGTTTGTTTTTATTATTTCATCAAATTGTTTTCTGGTGCATGGAGCTAATATTACACCACCAACTTTATATGTTTCATTTTACAGGAGGGCCATGGAACTCTCATTTGCTTTGGTTAACTCCAATAACATTCGTGGAATGGTGAAGGAACTTCTTGTATTCCTTAACTCAGTTGATCCTGATTTGAAATCTTATGTTACATCAAATATATTTCAAGTAGCAGAGAAGTATGTTCGTCCTCCACCTCTGATCTGATGATATACACAGTATGCTGCTCTTAAAAGCAAGGTCTTACCTCGTTTTCTATTTACCTCAATTTCTAGACACGCTCCTAATAAAAGGTGGCATATTGATATTATGATGAAAGTTCTAACTTCTGTGAGTATTCCTTGCAAACTATCATTCAAGTGTGTGAAGATTCAATTAGATTTGATTGCCCACTTCCCAGTAAAGGCTCTGCCTTTACTAATATGATATTCACCTAGTTCTATCACTTCTAAGCTGTTCTCTCTAGTGTTCGAGTATGAGTGTGTTCTTTTACTAGTATGATATTCACCCAGTTCTATCACTTTTATGCTGCTCTCTCTAGTGTTGGAGTTAGGGGCTTCGCAGAAACTATTATTATGAGTACAAAAAAATAAAGATTGTCCTTGATTATTTTATATTCCAGGCTGGCAATTACGTCCGGGATGACACTGTTCCTAGTTTAATCCATATGGTAGCGTCAAGTGATAGTCTGCAAGCGTATGCAGTTCAACAATTATTCTCTGCTGTTCAAGATGATATAAGCCAAGTATGTAGTGTAATCAGCATAACCGAGTTCACGATGCCCTAGTGCGTTTTAAACACAGTAGTATCAACACAGATCTCGCATGTTAAAAGGTCTTTTCAGACGATCCAATTTTGTTGGATCCAATCCACTTCTGATGGATGATTTATGGTCAGTTGTCTTATGTTGTTTATGGACAGCAAATGCACTGAAGTCGATACAGTACTGCTTTATTAATAACAGACTATATTCAATACGTCAGAAGTGAGTTGGATCGTGTAAACATACCTAAATGTTGTCATTATTCTCCTAGCAATCCTTAGTCCAAGTTTCAGCCTGGTGCACTGGGGAATATGGTGAATTAATATTTAAAGATATCGATGAAGAGGAGTCCTTGAATGTAAGATAAACATTGGAAACTGCTTTGTTTTGAAGTAGTCCTTTCTCTTCTTTCAAAGGAGATGTTTACAACTTCTTGTTTATTTGTGTTCCTCAGGTGACGGAAGACGACGTGATCGACATTCTTGAAGGAATGCTCGCGAGCAATTCTCTAAATCAAGTTTCAAAAGAATACGCTTTGAATGCTTTAATGAAACTCAGCACAAGATTCACCTCAACTTTAGAGTAAGAACGTCGTCTTTGAATTAATAGCGAGGTTCAGATTTGACTACCACTACGACTACCACAACCTTTGAGGGAATATAAACCAATCAAATGCGATAGGACGATCAGACTAACCAATCACGAGCTTAATAGATTAGCGAGAGGTAGCGGTAGTGGTAGTGGAAGCCAAATCTGAACCTCGCTAATAGGACAACTAAAAACTTTCAATGAACCAGTAGAAAACCAAACAGTAGAAAACCAAACAGTAGAAATGAGATAGTTGTGCAAAGCCTTTTTTTGCAGATTGGACGTCGTAATCTTACGTTGTATTTTTAGTCGTATCAAAAAGCTGATAAATCGTTTCTCAAACAACATGGACATGGAACTTCAGCAGCGTTCCGTGGAGTACTTAGCTTTGTTCAGGAGCTTTGATGAAATGAGGTGGGATGAAACTATCCAAAACTTTAAAATAAAACACGTCTTTTTAGTGTTATGAATGGTAGAACACAGCGTGTCCATTGATCCCATGCAGACAGTTTCATAAAGCTTTTTCATGTAGGGTTGGTTTGCTGGAGAGGATACCCGTGATGGATACGAAGTCGGCCACGTCGACAACCGTTGAAAATGGGGAAGTATCGGAAACACCACGGGAGGAACAACGTAAGGCTTTATAATGTTTCCACTTTTTATTCCACTCAGAGCTGCACGGAAAATATTTTCACACTTCAAGGACAATCTCAGAAAGGAATTGTGTCGATGCGGTTTTTAATAAATCTTTTATTAACGATGTTCCTGTTCTTAATTTAGCGGTACCCGAGCAGAAACAAAGCAAACCTTCAGAGGTAATATAAAATATACTTCTAGCCTTCTTTTCAATCTTCTTGAGCTCCAGCATCTTCTTGAATTAATCTCTTCTAACCTGAATCATAGTTCTTAAATTAATCTATTTAACCCTAACCTGTTCTTAAATTAATCTCTTCTAACCTTAATCATAGTTCCTAAATTCATCTCTTTAAACCTAACCTGTTTTTAATCTACAACAAACATGTTTTTAGTCTACAACGCTACTCGATCTTCTTGGTGATACGTCATCGGTTGCCACGCCATCCACCCATACGAACGCACCCCCCGCCCCAGTCCTTCAACCCACCGCTCCGTCGACGAATGGTGGAGATCTTCTAGACCTACTCGGAGGTTTAGATATGAATGCGACGACTAATGTTGGTAAGTGTTTCATTCAGGCATCTCTTCAAGCTAAATAACTACCTTTACTCACATATCATTCTTCATTTCAGCGCCACCATCTACCATGAATCCAGCAGCACCAAGTGCTGGTGGTAATATTGCTAATTTGTTAGATGGTACTCCAGATGTATCACTACAGTCAGTTCCGGGTTTAGGAAACGATCTAATGCCTTCCTTCAATCATCAAGCGGCCTCAACACCTCAAGGTATTTGATGAAATTCTTAAGGTCTGTTAACACGATCCAATTTTGTTGGATTCAATTCACTTCTGATGGATGTTTTATAGTCTGTTGTCTTGTAATGTATATGAGCAGCAAATCCACTGAAGACAATGCAGTACTGCTTTATCAATAACCGACTATATTCCATACGTCAGAAGTGAATTAGATCCAACAAAATTGGATCGTGTAAACAGACTTTTAGACTACTGTACTGACTACAAGTTCCAAATCTGGTCTACAAGTTCTGTCTGAAGGATTCATGAAATGAGTAGACTACTGTCGGACTACAAGTTAACAAATTGTCAGTTTCAAATGCATTTCAGGAGTGTCAGAAATTCTTAATGATGTAAAAATGGAACTATAGTGTTGTCATAAGGCCGTAAATCTCAAGAGCTTCCATCATTGACTTTAGTATGGTAATTTTCTCCTTCTCATTTAACCCAGGCATGCCATCCATAACGGCATACAACAAAAATGGAGTGAAAATCGACTTCAACTTTCAAAAAGTGGATAATAATCCGGCGAATATTTTAGATATTGCTTTAATAATTTCAAACGCGCTGGCCGTTCCTGTAACAGACTTTGTCTTTCAAGCCGCGGTGCCTAAGGTACGTTGTTGAACGTTGCAGAAAAGCATGCGCGAACCTTTTTAACGCCCTGTTTTTATCAATTTTTTTTCAACGTTTTCCGTGTAGACTTTGCAGCTTCAACTACAGAGTCCTTCCGGTAATATAATTCCTCCAAATAATTCTGGTCAAGTGACACAACTTGTGAAGGTGGCCAATCCACAAAAGGTACCGTCTCAGCAAATTGATTTTTCGATCCAGTGGAGAGAGCTATTGGAATGTGTATTTCTGTGTGTTCGTTTGTTCGTTATGATATTCTATCTTTTTGTTATTTTCTTTCCTCTCGATTCATTCATCCACACCAATCGATATCTTCCCTGAATATTTTAGGCACCTTTGCGAATGAGAATTAAGGTGAACTATGTTGTAAATGGTTCGCCAGTTTCCGACCAAGCCGAGATCAACGATTTCCCACAGTTGTGATGTACACTACACGCATCCTGGTCGGATTAAACCATCTTCTCTGATCAAACATATGATGCTTAAAAGACGTCGTTAATCGTATGCCATTCCATCAGATCAGAACTCAAATTGTCGTTATAAATAAATAACAAAATGTTTACACAATTGACGAATCTAATGTGCAGGGGCGTACATACATGTACTCAATTTCTGTACTAACAAATCCCTATAGTTCTCTAAAAGTGTGATTAGTAAATATAATGTAGTTTTGACGGAATTCAAACCTTAGTCTATTTTATAGACGTTTCAGTAATGCAAATGTTTTTAGTGTAAGTTGACTGCGAACTTCTTTTTCCAACTCAGCTTGGCTGAGGATGCTTTTTCATGTGAGTAAATTTTGACTGCTTACTGATAATTGAGTTCAACTCTATACTGCTGTAAATGCAAAAGAAAACATGCGAATATTTCGCAAACGAACCATTTCTCTTCACATGAAAATCCATCCTAACTCCTGGTTATTGCAAACTTTATACCAAAGATTCTCGCGAAGTAATTTGTAGAAGTTTTAAAAATTTTCAGCCCAAGATCCAATTAATACTTTTCAATCCTTGAATGCCCGAATTCTAGGGGGCAGGGATATCTAATTTTATATTTCTCTTCTCTACCAAAGAGCGGAGTTTTGGCTGGTGTATGTACGTCCCTATAGTGACTGCTGTACGTTGATTTTGTAAGGAATAGCTGCGCAAAAGAATAATATTTGGTCTGGGAATTCGGCAGGCTCTGGGACAGTTCCACTGGACGCAAAACGTTTTGAAATTTAAACTAACATGGGTTAATGCTAACTATTATTCACGAGATATCTAGTCTTTACCGTAGAACAAAGATAGCTCCCGCCGAGTTTCCAGGTCACCTTTATCGAATATAGCGCAAGGCAGTGTTGATATTCTGTCTTTTAGTAAACGGTAGATAGCTGCTCATAATAATGAATCAATCTGAATTTGTTCTATTTAAGATGCTCTTTCGAAATTCTTGTTTCGTTTGTCTATTTTGATACCTGGTTCACATGCACTAGCCCCTAAGCAGTAGGAATCGAGGACCCCATCGGGTAACTTGTGTTATTTTCCGATGAACAAAACATTCTCTGCACTGCTGATCTCAGACAAAGGAAAATCTAGTGACATCGTATCGTTCACAAGTGTGAACCCGGCTTAAACGCCTCCATGGGAAATGTCACCACTCCATTCCCTCCAGCAACCAATAGCATTAGAGGATGGGGTGGTGAATTCAAATTTTCGTACCAAAATAATACGTGACCAAATTTCTCCCCACTGAAAGGCACAGTAGCTTACTTCGTCGTTTCTACGAATCTCTGAGGTAATATATCTATCCTTCTCTTCAAAATTCTGCCTACAAATCTCCAGGGAAAGCATGTGTGTTCGTGTAAAGTTAAAGTAAGTTTCCCTCTTCATATTTGTCCTTTTAAATTCCAATATGCTAGAATTTGTATTGAATATATTTGCAACATAGCTAAACATAGCTAAGCTCGAGGTTGCCGTCGTGTTTGTGACATTTTGTTCATAGCTCCGTGATTTTGTTCCACATAAACTAACGAGTGTATTAATTGTTGAATAATTGCCATAGCAGGAAATTTAACAGTTGTACCTCTACTGTACATCCCAGCATTGATGACAGTAAAAATAAATGCATTTGCTTTTCAATATGATTAAGTGCGCGGTTTTCAAGTCCAAAGATTAATCGCCAAATTATAGCTATAACTAAACTACAACATACCTAGTATAAGCCAGTGGTTCTATTTCTAATGCATATCATTGTAAGGGAAATTGGATGTTTTCTATATAATTTTGCTTTAGTCGTGTTTATTTATAATAATAATAATAATACAAAATGAAATTATATCTAATCTATACGTTAATTTAAAACACTAAACAGTCCCAAATTGTAAAAATTCAAAGCAAAGTAATTGTTCCACGTCTCAAGACTCGCAGCCGTAAAGTTCGACTCTCAAACAAGCAGCACCTCGGTACGTCTGCGGACGTATTCGGATAACTCGGGAGATAATCGGCTCGGGGAGGATATTCAGGACTGGCGTGAAATGATCACAGTTCCCTTCAAAGACCTGGAAGCGAGGGAAAAGTAAAAAATTCGAGTGATTTTGCTAATGCCAGCTCTACGTCTACCAGTTTGACTCTTCCTCTAACAGTAGTCTGTACACTACAGTCGAGTCTTGTTGATCCAGTGTTGCTGCACGTTCACTAAACTAACTTCATTTGAGCTGGAAACCTCAGTTCTGAACTGTTCTTCCTAGAAATGTCCAGTAAGGATCATCTCCTAGAAATGTCCAGTAAGGATCATCTCTTAGTCATCCACGTGAGGAAAACTAAACTAACTTCATTTGAGCTGGATAGCTTATCAGTTCTAAACTGTTTTTCCTAGAGGTCCAGTAAGGATCATCTCTTATTGATCAAGTGTTACTACAGGAGGAAACCTAAACTAAACTAACTTTATTTATACTGGATAGCTCTATCAGTTCTAAACTGTTCTTCCTAGAGGTCCAGTAAGGATCATCTCTTATTGATCCAGTGTTACTACAGGAGGAAACCTAAACTAAACTAACTTTATTTATACTGAATAGCTCTATCAGTTCTAAACTGTTCTTCCTAGAGGTCCAGTAAGGATCATCTCTTATTGATCCAGTGTTACTACACGAGGAAACCCAAACTAACTAACTTTATTTATACTGGATAGCTCTATTAGTTCTAAACTGTTCTTCCTAGAGGTCCAGTAAAGATCATCTCTTATTGATCCAGTGTTACTACAGGAGGAAACCTAAACTAAACTAACTTTATTTATACTGGATAACTCTATCAGTTCTAAACTGTTCTTCCTAGAATTCCAATAAAGATCATTCACGTACCACAGGCTTGCCATTAGTAGAATACACATTCCACGATCCCGTCAATTCATCTCTATACTCGATCTCGTATGTCTTCACGTGTTCAAAATATACATCACGACCTGCAGAAAAAAAAGATAGGATTGTGGATGATACTGACCGTGGTTGAAATCCAGACTATAGGGATTAGAGGTATCGATAAACGCACAAATTTCAGTCATTCGGTGTACGCACGCACCACCTTATAATCCTACTTACCCTGTGTAGCAACACCTGTGATCCGCTTCGGTCGTCTTAAGTTCACCTGGAACCAGGAATCCTTGCCTCTGTTAGGATCAGCACACCACGAACCAATAAGCTTCCTTTGATGAATATCAACGTTGTAAAGACGCCCGGAATACGGCAGAGCAGCCCAATTCCCCCCTGAATAAAATGTTTACATTTTACAACTACATTCACGATGATTCCAGCTGTATATACATCGCTCAGAGTGGTTCGTTTGGACACACGTTACGTATGGCCTCAATCTCAGCTCGATATTCTTACCTGGGTAAAATGAAGAGGAGGCCTGGAAACTACTGTCTGGAAGAGCTTCAACACCCTTGTAATGTCGACTTAGGCCCAACGAATTCGCGCATGTTCCTGCAAGACAGGCATGTTTATGTAGAGAGCTTTTGTGCGTATAGATGAAGGTGTTTATCATTCATACAAAAATAGGCACACCTGTTGGGGTAAATGGGCTTATATCACAGATATCGACTCGATTGCATTGAACCAGACAGTTATCCCTAACCCACTGGTCCCTTTCGCAACGTCCGTCATTTTTCCAAGCCTCGCAAAGGTCGCTTCGGTCGACACATATCACCCCTGCAAGATAGAGAAAAACACAAGTCTCTCTTCCATTCCACTTTCCTGTTTTCACACTTCCTTTCTCTACTAGCACCGGCTCCATTCTTCAACCATTTCAAAGCAACCTACCAAAGTAATTCTTGTCAGGAGGGATGATCTCAGTGGACGTTACAGGGGGTCGGGTGGTGGTTGTCGGCGGTTGTGGCGGAGGGGTGAGTAAAACTGGAGGAGCGGTGGGCTCGAGGGTTGGGGGGTTAGTTGGTGGGAAGGTTGGAGGGTTTGTGGGTGGATTTGTAGGAGGACTTGTGGGATCTGGAAGAATATGTGAAAATCGTTATCTTTCGTTTCTCGAAATATCTTTCTGGTAGTTCAGACACAAACCACGACAATTTATCGTAGAACACTATCTACACTGGATCACCACGTTTGAGATATCTTTTTGAGGAAGTTCACAGTCCAGACGCAAACCATGACACTTCGTGGGAAGACTATATACCATGGACCACCCCTGATGACTCCGAATAACTATCAAAGTTATAACTATTACCTGGTGTACATATTCCGCAAGCAACCTTGCATTCTCTTAATGCAAAGTTAGCTCTTCCAACACAGAAGAAATAATCGTAGTGCTTGGGGCACTCTAATGACTCGTCTCTGCACGGACCGCAGTTATCGCAACTTTTCCTACAATGCGTCAGCAAAGGCTCTGGATTACGATTACAATGACTAGTCTTGGCCCATTCCGAGCAAAAACGATGTTTGTCAACACAGTCATCTAAGAGAAAGAATATGTGATGGTAGTGCCTTTGAGATTGGAACTGTAAAGGAAACAAATCTTCCAATTCAAGAGAAATAGGTTGAAAAACAACCCCCTCTTGTACAATTTAGTTAAACTATCCGGAAGTTTTGAAATTTTCGTATCAAAGTATGAAACCAATAGGTTGCTGTAGAAATATTTATTCGACCAATCATGTTTGGTTCAAGAAACAGTTATCAGTCTTCAGGAATATAGTTTTATTCAAGCAAAGTGTGAGGGATCAGTGTGGCAAATTAACACACTGCTATGGACATCTTCTTCAACAGCAATACTGGTAGTCGACTAAAGAGAATGTAATTATTCTTAGGATGAAACTATACCGTCTTTTTTCGTTGCAACGTCCGGAATGTTGCCTAAAAAACAAAATATTGTATTACTTGTTCAGGGCAAGTTGAGAAAGTGAAACAAACCAACCAATGGACTGACAAATATATCAGGTACTTTTAAACATCCTGAGCAAGCAAACAAACTTATCAAGTGACTATCAGATAGATGCGAAAAACTTACATTTATACATCTTATTTGCTTGCGTCGCGTCAGAATCGCTCAATTTAATGTAAGGCATTTTTCCATCCAGATTTTCAAGCGGTATCAGTGTCTGACGTGCGCGGTTTAGGGCGAAAGCGTTGAAAGGATAGTGCATGATGCTTGCATAGTCATATTTCTCTCCATGACTGTCTGTTTTCGACGTCACTTTGTTGAAGTTGTAGAGCAGACCTGCAGAGTAAAATCACACGAAAATCACAATTGGAGAACATGAAATTTTTCGGCTCGATTTAATGAGAAACATTCTTGTTTTATGGTATCTATGGTCTATGAGATCTATAATAGATCAGTTATTTAAAGCGATTGAGGGTTAGGCGGACTTACTTGGTAAAATGTTCGCGGGCACAACTCTCACGTAGTTGTCTCTGTCCGGTCGACTCTGCTCGTGCCAAAATCCGATCACGTGACCAAGCTCATGAACCATCACGTGTTTAAATTCGCAACCAGGGCCAATGGAAACGGACGAACTTCGGCCACGATATCCAACGTCTGACGCCCAGCAGCTGTGAGAAACAACGTGATATTGAGTTTTGATATTGAGTTTCTTTAGCTTTCACGAAAGGGTACACCGTCGCTTCCTGGCTTCCTACTTTCAGCAGCCGTGCAACTGAGCAATTTATAACAAAATTTCTCTCACCCGGCTGCTCGTAAGAAGGTAACAAAATGCACATCAGTCGGTTCCTTTGGGACAAATCTAATGCAAGTTCGCTCGTGCCAGACCTTTATGGCATCGTTCAGCGCGTTGATCGCTCTGGGCATGTTTTCTGAAAGCAAAAAAGATTTGAATTGATAACGATGTTTATATGATTGAATTTTTACGGTGAATGTGAATGACATCGCACATTGTTGTGAACTGCTTATTTTGCTTGGATGTTTTTTCATACAGGATTTTCATTCGTTTTTGAATTTATCCTTTTTATGAATAAGGAGAGGGCTACCATGCACCACAATACCATGTAAGGAAATAACATGTGTATACACCCTCTGTGACTATTGATATAAGAAAGGCTAATGATAATAACAATGCACTATTAATAACCATGGCTCAAGAAACATACTTATACTGCAGTCAATGGCGTAGGGAATTCGTCCATTTTTCCACGGCGCACCAACAGCAGCTGCCTCACCAATCTCATCACCGCCCCTGTCTATGATATCCCCCTCCCTCAGGGTGATGTTTCGTCCATTGAAATCGTAGGTTGGTGGGGGACTTGCCGTGTCTGAAATGCGCGGAATGAGAATTCATAGAATTTCCTCGCTGAGAACTGGCTCGACGGTTTAATTTCAACCTGCTGGGGACTCGAATACATGCATGCACTGCGTGATCAAGTTGGCAGGCATTGACCTGTTAATAACTCATTGATTTCCAATATAAATTTAGGTCGTAATGAAGCACTGAAAAAATAAGTTTCAAATATGAATAAAAAACTTACCATCGGGAAGTTCAAAAGGCCCTACAGGCGACGCAAAGCAGCAGGAAATTGATAGGGTGACGAAGAGCGTTCCCACTGAGATGATAATAGCCTTCATCCCCCTAAATAACTTAAGATTCTGTCAAAATCCATAACCTTTTAAGCGCTGAGCTTCAGATCAAGCTTATAGCTCCGGAATAATGGAGTAGGTAGTGACAAGTTGAATACGAAAAAAACGTCTCATTCAACTTGAGCCGCATCTTATGCTAATGCCTAAGATGCGGCAGGTTTAGCATGCGTCCCCCTGATGTGCCTACTCATTAAACGGACGAAAATCGTATCCATTAAATCTTTAAAATAAACTTCAAAACCATATTGACTCAGCAGATGAACAACTTAAGAAAGTAAATCGTGCAAATACTGTAATGCGCGCTTTTGGGAACTTGAAAACGAAGCCGCGCAAGACTTTAAAGGATCGTGACCGACTGTGGATTGACTCCCGAACTATTGTCGTTGAGTAAATATTTATTTGAACAAAATCGATATGCTGGTCTACGAAAAGGGTGCGTATCTTACCTGCAGAATATCCTCTTCGCCTTTTTGGTTGGGTAGAATTAAAGCTGTTAAACGGGCAGGGCGATGCTAGCCTAGTCTTGTAGAGTTGCAACTCTCAATTTCAAGACAGAACTATAGTCTATTTAGACATCAATGACGAGCTGTCAACACTTCAATTCAGTCAATTAACACGTGCGCGTGGGGACCGCCAATGAGCACTCATATCGCTATGAAAAACGACTGGAGATATCCTGGTTGAAATTATTATTTATTTCGGAATTCGGATCAACTTTCACAGCACTTCAATAAAATACCAGAGTTAGAACAAACCAGGGTTAACATGATATCTGAATTGCAGAAATATTTATCGCATCAGGATTTTCTACGCTATGTTTGTATGCTTGATTAACCACCCCTGAACATTTTGCACTCTAAATCGTTTGAAAGACTTTTCAAGGGGTTCGTTGAGCCGTGCTTGGATATTAGTAGGAATCTACAGTTAGTCATTCTCACGACAATATACTCTAGTTCACTAGTTGAGTTCGATACGACCTCCAGCGAGCTCTAACGACCTCCAACGAGCTCTAACCTACCTATCTTAGTAATCTTACACAAATAAACTTGCTCGTTTACATATAATTATCTGCAGCACTATATTCAATGCTATCGTCCCTCTACGTTGATTCAAGAGGAACATTCTTCAGTGACTCGACAAATTCTCTATGCTTTGCGTGAACCGTGTCCCAATGTTTCTGTTTACGAACTTCCTTCAACCATTTGTTCAACTTTGGCCAAAGTTTCATATCCACGCTCTCGACCCACTCCAGTTGCAAAACGATCGTCGCCACATAGAGATCAACCACGGTCAATTTCTCACCGCACAGAAACTTCGAACCGTGTCCGAAGTACTTTTTTTCGGTCGATTCCAAAATGTCGACGACTTTTCGCGTCGCTGCGCTAATATTGGTCTCCGTTTGCTCAACGCCGCTTAGGAATTGTGGGTAGACAAGCTGGTAGCCAATGATACTATAGAAAAAAAAATGGCAGACGAGAAGTGCGTATATTTATATTGAGTGGGTTTATTATTGTTGTAACTAGGAGAACGAACTTAGCAAAACTAAACCTGCCAAAATTATAATCTTAAGATCTTGTCATCTTGTGTTTATTTAGCTAGACAATTTATTATCAGTTGGAACCGCTCACTGCCTGACAAAATAACTTTCTTTCTCGCTCCAGCCTTACCTGTGAAGTTCAGCAGCGGCCCATTCTAAAATGCTGTACATTCTTGACTTAATCTGAGGATCACTAATCCATCCCTTGCGACTTTTAGTGAACTTCGTTTCGAGATATCGAAGACATGCCACGCTGTGCAAAACAATTCAAACAACATTAAACGAAACACAACTTATCCTGCATGTTTATGGTGAAGATCCTTTGTAATATATGAAGGTCAATGGTGAGCCTTTGATATTGATGAAAACGTTAATGACAATGGCCGATTTTCCTGGGCCGCTTGGAAAGGAAATTTGACTGAATGCATGCACAGGGACCGCGGAGCAGGGTGGCTCGCTGGGCTTTAGCCCCACCAATAATTTTTCCGTAATTAGTCTTTAATTTCGAATATTTTTTAGTTCGCTCAAATTTACAAGCAATACAAGCGCCAAAATGCTTGAAACTTTACATAGGGCATTTGACTATTAAAACAGCGTGGTTATCCATTTCAAAATATTTGACATTATAACCAAAGCATGGTTATAATGTTTAATGTTTGTATATGAGCGCCAAACATGCTGGAAACTTTACATTGGACAAGCATTTGACCATTTAAACAGCGTGGTTATCCATTTCAAAATATTTGATATCATAACCCAAGCATGGTTATATTGTTTAATGTTTGTAATGAGCGCCAAACATGCTGAAAACTTTACATTGGACAAGCATTTGACCATTAAAACAGCGTGGTTATCCATTTCAAAAAATTTGACATCATAACCAAAGCATGGTTATATTGTTTAATGTTTGTATATGAGCGCCAAACATGCTGGAAACTTTACATTGGACAAGCATTTGACCATTAAAACAGCGTGGTTATCCATGTCAAAATATTTGACATCATAACCAAGACATGGTTATATTGTTTAATGTTTGTATATGAGTGCCAAACATGCTGGAAACTTTACATAGGACAACCATTTGACCTTTAAAACAGCGTGGTTATCCATTTCAAAAAATTTGACATAACCAAAGCATGGTTATATTGTTTAATGTTTGTATATGAGCGTTAAACATGCTGGAAACTTTACATTGGACAAGCATTTGACCATTAAAACAGCGTGGTTATCCATTTCAAAATATTTGACATCATAACCAAAGCATGGTTATATTGTTTAATGTTTGTATATGAGCGTTAAACATGCTGGAAACTTTACATAGGACAAGCATTTGACCATTAAAACAGCGTGGTTGTCCATATCAAAATATTTGACATCATAACCAAAGCAAGGTTATATTGTTTAATGTTTGTTATGAGCGCCAAACATGCTGGAAACTTTACATACTATCTATTATTTTCCATTAATCCTTAAATTGAGAGGCATTTGCAGCGATTTCAGAGACCTATATTTCAAAATTTTCCCGGACTCTCCTAGCAGGCGCGCGGTTCCGAGCCCCAGCAATACGAAAAACGCTCCGCGGTTCCTGATACATAGAATATATCAGAACCTAATGTTTCGTATCTTTCAACTCAATTTCCTAAGCCTTTCATAAAAGATTTTTCGCTACATTCGTCTGATTTATGAAGTATGTGGTTAAAACTTAAAAGTGTAGGTTATTTGAATTGGTCGGAGTACTTTAATAAAAAAATATATAAACACAATTCACCTTTTTTCAGGCAAATTATCTTATCAAACTGTGTTCTAATATTAGACTGGAAACAGCTGAACTTTTAGGGCCGTTATTGATTGTTTAGTGTACTACGAGTGACAATATAATCGATTTGTCGTAGCCTTGTTGCTAAGATATTTCAAACTGTTTAGACAGCTGACACATTTATAGCTTAAATTGATTTAAATCGTTAAAAAATTATTCTCCCACTAACGGATTTGACTTTATAATTAATATTATAATTGCATTCGCTATCAAACACGGAGTAGCTTCGAGGAAATAGTTTCAAAAGAGATAATTCAATCACTGGTTTTCGGTCATGAAGAGTTGGTCATCTAAAAAAAACTTCGCATGAAAATCGTCACTTCCTCGTCGTCATTGTACAGTTGCTATGGCTACAACTCCAGACAAATAATAAATGTTTACTTGTGTCAAAATATATGTATTAAAACAAAAGATATGCATATAAAATATGTTAGTGAACGAATCATGCAGATAAATGTAAGATATATGAAGAAGCTGTGAGATAGCCGTAATATTTATGAACCTCCCTTGCATTTTTTTTGCTATTGAATCGCTTTTCGTGTCAACATTTACACGTCTAGATTCTAATGAGCTATTGCTTACAGGTCTTTATAAAAAAGGATTCTAATCAATTCGTGGTTTTTCTTTCTAAATTCAAACGTTCCAATTGAGATTTTCCCCCGAAAAACCCTATCCTCACAAGAACGTTCTTTTCCCACAGAAAACGTTCTTTTCCCACGAAAAAACGTTCTGATTTAATGCTTTCCCACGTTTGCTACATTGCACCTACTATTTAATTGTCACACTGAAACATTTTAGAATGCGCATGCAGACGTTCGTAATCGCAGGGCAGATATCTTGACTTAATCTCCCCATATTCAATTACTCGCACTCAAATTGAACCGTAACCGGATTATTTTATGTCCTGTTTCCCGTAACATGGGCAAGGAGAAAGGACATAGCTTAGTCTGTTGTTTAGTCTGTTGAACAAGTTGGCAGGTGGGGGGTCTAACTAAACCGTAACGGTTGTTGCTATGAGGCTCAGGTGCTCCTGTGGCCATCACAGCTCTTTTAAAACTTAAAATAACTTACACTCCCACAACACATCTATCTTCGTCTTCTAAGACGGGTAAACGCCGATGGTCCTCATCGGCCAAGACAATATGCGAATTGCCGTCCGAGACACGACTAAATATATCAACGTCCTTCAATTCGAATGGGATTTCGTTCTAAACAAAGGGAAATCGTCACAGTCAGAGATAAATGTCCACATTATCGTGGCCTGCTGTTGATAGTTCTACCGTTTCTGACATGTTTTTGCGTGTATCGAAGCGAAACAAAGCAACACAATCGGTTTAGGTTCAACAATGCATGCGACATTTGACAGACCTCAATTTTTTTTAGAAATATTCGCGCACGCGGCACAGGAATTCGTCCGGTATTCACGACGGTGTTTACAAGAGTTCTAAGAATATAAGCTGTTTTGTCATAAAACACGGCTTACGATTTCGCTTGACGAAAGATATTTATTTCGAAGTAAACACGTTGTATATAGACAGTCGGATGTCTGTTTGTATTTTCGAAACAAAGATAATATTAAAGCTGAAATGACAAATGACAATAAACGTTTACCTGTAGCAGATAAAGCCATACAACACGACAACACGGGGACACACGAACCACGTGAAGTTTCACTGGCTTCATGGCCGTTAATGTGTGTTAATGTAGACAAAGTGGCAGATACTCTCGTCAAAATCGTTCTCAAAGGTCAGCCAAGCGGTTTCGTGCGAACAGGTAATTATCAGATGCTGTGACTAATGATTTGCGGCAGGCCAATAGGACGCTGTGTTTACCTGGGTTAATCTTCCGTGAACTGTTCAGGTAATCCTCACCCGTATTGAAATATTTGCTTTCGAACATCATATTGATTATCATACTGTAAATTGATCCATACGAGATTGTCTGTCTGACGCAAAGACAATGATCTGTATAATGATTTGTACAAGTGAATAGAGATTTATTGCGGCCAACGTCTGTCAGAAAATGCGCAGCGTTATCCCCCCCCTGCGCCGCACGCAGACGTCTCCATGGTTACCGCGTAACAATATGGCCGCCGAATTTACATGCACCAAACTTGTTTTGCCGCAGAAGTAGTCATTTTTAAAGAATCTATGTCGTTTATTTCTTGCCTGCGGTTTTTTTAATTGTTGCCGAGAATGTCGCGAACACAACTGCCGCCTTTACCGCCGTAAGTAGCGTGTTACGTGTAAGAATTTATGTTGTTTGGAAATTTGAATTTTGCTTTTGTGACTTTATATGTACATGACTACATGTGTTCAACTAGGATTCCAGATTTTGGTGGATTCAACCGTAAAAGTCATTTTGTGTGGATCATTGATAAATAGTGCTAGAGAAAGGAATTTAATTTGAATGCATTAAAGGGCAAAGATTATGTCAAATTTGAACTTAAAATAGTGTTAAAAGAATCCGCAAATTATAGATCCAAGTTTCGATCGTGATTTCAATCTGAGAACTCATTTTTCCTTTTAAGGTCTTTAAATTTGGACCATAATGCTGTCAAACCAAGCGAACAAAAGGCAGTGAAGAAGTCTTATTCAATCTCTTCGACCAACATAAGGTACAACCTGCCTGCCGTCACATCCCTACAGCCAGGTGTGGACACAACTTCTGGAAACCTAGACACCTGGCCTGCTCATGCTGAAGGTCCAGGCCCGCCAGCAATTGGAACCGAGCACCCATCAAGGAATGCAGAATTTTTGCCGAAAGGAAACTACAAACCAAAGTTTCTGGGTCAACTAGAAAGTTTTTTGAAGAAGGAGCTTCGAGCGCTTGGTTGCACAGAAAGCAAGCCAAGTGACAAGCGATTGCAGGTGTGTAAACATCGTGCTGTGAAATTTGATGGCAGTAAAATTTCACAGATTAAAATTTGTAAAATTACAGTCAAATTAAGATTTGGAAATTGTGATGTATTTATTGTAGGCATTTCGGGAGGTGTTTGAGTATCTTATGGAAGATTTCAAAACATATCGTCCCCTGTTATCAGCAATTAAAAATGAATACGAAATGATGATAATCCATCAGAGAGACCGAATACGAGAACTAGAACCATTGAAGGTATTGCACAATAGGTCAGGGAGAGTGGGGAACATGAACCAATCAAACGTGATTACTCTATCAGATTAACCAATCATGATTGGTGGATTTATAACCCAAGTAATCACGTTGCATTATTACAATTTGCCTGACCTATTTTGGCCTGTTTTTTTCAGGCAATGTTGGTAACAGTTTCTGAGCAATGTGATAAATCATTGCTGGCAATGAAAGAAGAAGAGAAAGAAGGTATTCATTCAAATTATGAGCTAGTTAGTAATGCTCTGATTCACTCTGCTTAACTGAAGTTTTCCCTGTGTGATATTGGCAGACAACTGTTCCTTTCCACATTGGGAGGGAAGTGCTGACCTGTGTTTACTGGTTCACTTGTTAAGAGAATTTGTTTTAAAAGGATAAAGTGAACTGTTTTAGATCTGGAAGATATGAAGCGGGAGAATCAGCGGCTTCAAGGGGTTATTGGTTCGCTCAGGTGGGTTTCTACTTTCTAAGTGATTTTATGCGACACATAGACATAGGGCTTCGTACAATTTGAATTAATTGCATATTTAAGCAAGGCAGGAAAAGTAATCTTTGTTTTCGTACTTTCAGAGACAATGAACTCACTCTAAATGCACAAGTTGTGAAGGTAAATGAGATTTCACCTTTTTAAAATTTCTTTTTCGTTTCTTTTAAGTTTCAACTCTGATGTTTTTGTCTTTGTTGAATTTAGCTTCAGCAAGAGTTGGCAGCTGAATACTTAAAGTATAGAAACGAATGTGACGCCAGGTAGATTGTGGACCTTTCTAAAAACTAAAGAGTCTACATTAAGACGTAGTGATAGGACAGAGCATGCTTTGATTGGAAAACAAACGCCGCTAGTTTTCCAATCATGCTTTGTCCACAAACTGCGCAACTGTTGTTGATTTCTAAAACTCTTCTAACGAATATCACATTCGCGCGCAGGAAAATGTTGATAGCTGACATGAACGATTTGCGAGCTCAGCAAGAAGACGCGAATAAAAGTTCCATGTTGGATACCGAAAGTGTTGACGGGAAGAAAGAGGATTCAACGTTTCTAAGAATTGCTTTAAAGTTAGTTATTATGCAAACTTAATACCCAGGGCCCAAACTAGACGCGTTTGAAATAAGTTTTTATGGAACAAAACAAGCACATGACATGCATATATTGTTGTGATGACTACACCACTGTCAGGGTGATGTTATATGCTTATTTCAATACCGCAAAGTCATGACATCAGCTCACGTCTAGTTTAATCTCAACTAAGTGGGCTCATGTAAACAACCCCTAATATACGAGGTTTTTATTTCTTGTCTGTAAGAAAAGCGCGGGAAGATATTGAAATCAAGAACCAGAAGCTGGCTCAGATGGAGGCAGACTACGGTGATGTCGTACCGAGACGAGATTATGAAAAACTAAAAGAACAATTCCATGCATTGGAAAGAGACCTAGAAAAAGTTATAAGAGACCAGGAGATGTTGATGAAGGAACACAGGTGATGAGTTCAATATTATTTAGTTTAAAGAATTGGATTACTTTTTTGATCCTGAAGAAGTCGATGGTAGTTCTCTCAGACCTTTCCGTGGTAATACTCTGTTATAACGTGATAACGTGATATGTATTGATGGATATTTTCAGCACGCTTCTTGATGTCCATCGCAAAACTGAAGATGAACGTAACGAATACGCCAGGGAGTGTGAAAGCATGAGAAGATGTGCCACGCCGAGGTACGTATGATGGGCCTTTTTTATCATGATAGCAAACGTTTTCTGCACTCTGTCATGTCAAAAAACCGTTTACCTGCTATCAGAGAAATGCCGTAATTTTCAATGAACCTGGACAAAAACATAGAAGAATTGGGTGCTTATATTCTTCCCCGGCTTCTTTAACTTCCATAATTTACGTTCGAACTCGTCCTGCATAACGGCACTCTGACACTTCAAAGACTATCTATAAAGGCCGGTTTCACACTACCCAAGTTTCTGTGCCCAAAGTCTGTGGTCAAAGTCTTCGGTCAAAGAACTTCAAAGTGACGGACGTCTTCGAAAGATGTTTACATTTTCAAATATTGTGATCAAAGTATACTTTGGCCACAGAAACTTTGATAGTGTAAACATACAGCCTTACTGTAAGTCTACTAATGAAGTGTATCGATTTATTAACAGACCTCGATGGGCAAAGTGTGGTCAGTATATCGAGGGGGGCGAGGAGAGATGGAAGGAGATATCAGGGGATAAAACGAGCGATGAGATGGTTGATGTACTGCTTGCTGAGATAACTGGTACGGATATCGCGGTCATACAAGCTGGCTCGAGTGCGGTCGAGGAATTCTTCGAGGGACAAGTACGTCTAACTTACCCTTTCTCATGCTTCGAAATGTAGGGGACAGTGTGTGGATAGAGTTCGAGGGGAACATTCGGGACAAGCGGGTACTATTAGTGCTTGATTATTTACGTCATTTTCCATCCATAGGGCCTCGGGGCAAATATCCCTAAATATCTTCGCTACGAAGGAAAAGTACGCAACAGAAGAATCAGTAAACGAGATGTTCTGTTGTTGATAAAAGACGTCTGGCAAGAAAGACTGTCTTCAGAAATTGAGGTGACTTTTCTACAACAATAATGCAACTATTCAGAAAAATAGTTGTTCGGATTTCCTCGTGTAGTACGTAACACCGGATCAATAAGAGATGATCCTTACTGGACTTCTAGAAAGAACAGTTTAGAACTGATAGAACTATCCAGTATAAATAAAGTTAGTTTAGTTCACCTTCCAATTTCTTCCATCCATTCCAACGTGTGTCATTCTCGTTTCTCCCAGACATCGAGCCCGGAGTACGAGCTTCTCCCCAGTTTCCTTCACTCGTACTTAGACCGTCGTTTTGGCGCGGAAAACCTGACGTTTGAATGGGCGTACAACGTGCAAGACGCGTGCGTGAGGTACCAGCATGATCCCAGGATTGGCTTGTTTCACAGGATACTCTCAGGCGAGGTAAGGAGTTATTCTGAAAACAGTATATCAACCCATTGTCTGGGCTGTAGATCCTTACTAATGAGAATCATCAAACGATTGAAAGACTTCATTCGCTATTTAATTTTTCTTAGATGGATGAAGCATTGTACCACGACCAGCGTGCTATGTTTAAAAAGTTTTCCAATGCCCTAATGGCCGCTGATCCAGGAGAAAGTGACGATGTAAGTGATATTTTGCTTATCATTATCTCAACCGTACGGCTGAGTAAAAATATTTGAATGGACCCTGTGCATTGTGATATGCAGTGCTTTTTTGGCGCTATTTTTCTGTCTATAGCGGAGCGTTCCAAAACACGTCTTCGAAGGTTGTGTACGACAATGTTTTCCTCTGTTTGGCGAGCAAGCTATCGCAGATTTGATGAAGCTGGCTGAGACCGAAATGTCCGGGGAAAATGTCCTTTACAAAAATATATTAAAAGAAGATGACGAGGGAGGCGTAACGTTGTTTGTCGATAAAATATTTAATTTTGATAAAATGGAACGAATGGCTTATGTGCGAGAGGTTGAAAACAGCTTGGCAGAAAAGAGGTATGTATATGTATAAAGTTCTGAGTGGGGGTCGTTTTGAGCTGATTTCAGCCGGGTTGTTATACCAAGCAAGGGTTGACAGGATTCGGGATAGATTCGGGACAGCTTCGTGAAAGACCTTGACTAAATATCATGCTTCAAAACGACACTTCGTAACACTATTTTCCTCGAACATTTAGCGAGGTGAGCGAAGGAGAGCTACGGCAAGCGTTTATGAATGTTGATCCAGGATTACCCTTGTCAATGCTGGATCAATACGTGAACCGAGCATTCGGCGAAGAGTCGGCTACGAAAGCCGACGACACAATGGATCGTGCAACGGTTATCCAGAGACTGCAAACTGGCAGCGTACGACGTTTTGCAAGTAAAAGCCAGGAATAGCGGTAACGATTCAATTATCATACTGCAAATCAAATACGAGATGTTTTCTATATAGTCATCGATATTATGTATATATGTAAAACAAAATACTGTATTTTCATCCATTCATTCATTTAATGCATATATAGAAAGGGGACCAGGTCAAGGAAACTCTTCAATTTCAGAATGTTTATTGGTAGGTCATCTGGCTAGGGTGAAATGATTTGGTACCCGATGTTTCTCGTTATCAATCAGCCACCATTGCATGGCCATGGGCTCTTCAAATTCACATTAAACCTTTCTCACATAGCGAGAGTTTTGAAACTGCGACTATTCGTGGCTCAATACAGAAAGAAAGTGAAAGCAAAACTTAAAGTGATTGTATATTGTATATTGTATTTGCAGCGTGGCAATCCTGTTCCCAAGCAAAAATAAACTTGCCTAGTTGCAGAGTTACCGTCAGTCATGCACTGCATAACAATTCTAGGAAATTTTGTGTATGTTCGTGTAAACACTGTAACTTAGTGTTGTTATACTGAAAATGCGGATGTTTTACTGATTTTACTGTTATTCGCATATATTGTTGGGGTTTTTCAGCAATACCGACATGCCGGATTTACGATACAGCCGGCGGAAATATTGATTTCGTTTCGTAAGTCGTAACGACACAAAGGAGTTGAATTTTCCTGTTGCATAATCCTAATAACCGTCCTCTACTTATGTTAGCGCGGTTAAGCCGATATAGATATTTGTTCAGGTAAATCTACACTGGAATGTCCTTTTAGATGAATAAAGCTTGCTTTTAGTATTTTTTATACTTTTCCTGTCAAGAACATGCTTTTTTAAAGGCTGAAAGCTTCAGCATACATGAGTTCTTTCATTGCAAATGCTTGCATCATAAAATTCCCAAAGTTAGGCGTTTTCTTGGCGGGGGAAATATCAAAAAAATGTAAACAAAGTATCTTAGCCCACAATGAAGTATTAGACTTCTGATATGCTGGAGATATGCTTTTTTTACTTTCTTTAATATCAAATTATAATTTACATCACGAGTATGACTATCTTTCCCATCATTCTTTTCTTTACAAGTTATGAGTTGTGGTAAGTTGAAAAAAAATACAGGTATTGTAATTCTACATGACTAGATATGGGCTGGAATCTCGACATTCTTTCCACCAGGTCGAAGGCTTGTAAATTCATCATTTGTTTAGCATCCTTAAGTTCAAAACTTGGCTACAAATATATTTCTATTTACACTATTTGACTGTACAAATCAGCGTTTATCAGCTCTCATTCAGGTGATGATATTTACATATATCCAAGGTTGTAACATCTAGGATGCCAGCGCTTTCACATAATTTGATACAAATTGTAAACGGCCGCTACCTTACGATGGATGTTCTGGGCAAGTGCGGTTCTTTTTAAACCATTTGTCGATGCACCTTGAAAGAGGTAGGATTCCTGTTACGTACAATATTACTCAAATCATTTAGCATAAATTGTGTACACTTACTTTTTATGGTATATACATAAACATGGTAACCTTGCAATTTTTTCACCTGAAAGAAATCATTGAGATATTTATATTTAATTTTCCTTCTTTCCCAAGAGATTTTAATCTTTCCCCTTCAGACATAGAGTGTCAACACAGCAAACACACGAGGGTTTTAATCATGACACAATTTTCTTCACAAATAGTGTTCATTCAATGTTTAAAGAAGACTACAGCTTAAGAATGTGAACTCTGGTCGACTGCCATTCTAAATCTGGAGGACAAACAACTAATGTCAACATTAATTTAACTGTAGTCTGGGTCTCTGGGAAGTGTAATAATCTGTAACCTGAGCATATTCAAGTTGCACAATATTAATATACAGGCTGTTGGTATGTAACTGAATGTAAGTTGATATGGTTATAGCTTTTAGTTGCAGGTATTTACCAGCTAATAAGTCCTCCAAGCATATCACACATTCTCCAGAATCTTGTGATAAAATATCAGCTAAATTGGATAAGAACATATCATATATAAAGATATATTTTAGCTGCTTATATGCAGTATTTCCCTAAGTATTTATCAAGTGCAAATATTGCAATATTTCATACTTTATGATGATTTTATCACTAACAGTAAGCGAGTGCTCATGATTAAACAATTCAATTTGTAGTTGCATAGGGCGGAGAGAAGTGCTAGAATGCTGGATTCGAAATTGTTGTTTTGTAGTTTCTTGGTGTCTTTGTTGGTTGTCAAGCAAACCTATTTGTTTTAAGTAGTATGTCACCCTTGTTCCTACTCTTATAAAGACAGCGAGGGGCAGAAATGATGCAAACTTAATTAGCGATAGGTTGGAAAGAAGAAGGAAGTATCTGATCTTTTGCCACAAACCAGCTGTCACAATACAGGATTATTCCGGCTACTCATTGTTTGAAAAATATCCTGAGTGCTTTCATTATATATTGTGTATAAATCTATAATGCTCTATGCTATCAACCAATAAATACTCTTGTCATGAAACACACAACTTTTGTCGTCTCTAAAATGAAACCGGCCTATATTTGTACCGGCTATCACTTCCTTATGAAAAGCAGATGGATTTAGCGACGTGACAGACAACTATATATATATAAAATATCCCCTGAACTTTTAATATACGCCATTAAATCGATAATTTATTGACACGAACCGTTGTACGCTAGACGCGGTTTTGTAAGGCACATTACAAAGTGTAATTCGACATCGTCCGATTGTACAAACTTCGAGCAAACAGGGCATCGTAAGCCTTAAAAAAATAATAAAAACAGTCAATGGAAGTTGATTATACGAACCGTATTGTTTAGCCGGTAACATTTGTATTGAATTATTACAGATAATTTAAGCCCACGTATCCTTTTGAATTTCACGGGAGAAAGGACCACAAAAAAACTGTTTGGCGATAAACACAATGGTTTACAACATCAATTTAAGCCAGGGAAAGAAATAAAGGAACTTCTTACCGTGTAAGGCAAATAGCTGGCCAGGCAACGAGCTAGAATGAAGCATATTCGAGACGCCAGTCGAATTGTCTCCCGAGCTATTTTCTTCTGACGATATCTCACGCGTCTGTAACCTTCGCGTTGGAATCGATCTCGAATGATGTTCTCTTATTTCTAAAGATCGACTTCGAGTTCTGCTAGAGACGTCTATTCCTCCTCTACCTTGTATTTCGCCTGCAGTCACTGTGCTAGGATGATTTCGCCTGTTATTTGGACTTGACAACTTTGTCCCCATATTTCACAAGCAAAGCGCAGGTTTTGTCTCTGTTTTTTGTAATTTTAAAACACTATACGCGTCCTCGAAACCATCACGAACTACATATCCGGTCGATCGGGACCAGAAATCCTAAAAACACTATATTTTTACGCCATATCTTTCCTCCTGCCACGTTTTTTTGAGGATTTCGAATTGTTTTGATGTGTTTATTCCCGACATCAGTCTTCACTGTGACGTCACGCTAATTGCCGGATTAGCCAATCAGATCCGACGCACGCGACGTTCGATCGGTAAGATCGGTAAAAAAAAAATCGTAATCGGGTCGTGCGGGCTCTCTCAGTTTGTCTAAAAATATTTAAACTATTTAGTGAAAATGAAGTTATATTTTTCAAATGTATATTTTTCCCTTAGTATCTCTGGTTATGGCAAGTGTGAAGTAGGTAAAAGTTGATTTTTAATAAAAAAAGGGAAAAATAAAGTAAAAATTGGAACTAGCCCGATAGGGGACTCGAACCCCTGGCCCTCAGATTAAAAGTCTGATGCTCTACCAACTGAGCTAACCGGGCAGCTCGAACGAGAGTGTCAAACTGCACAATATAACCCTTGTTCTTCTATATTTTTTCAAATATATTTTCCTCTTTCAAAACATTTCAAAGTCATCGACTTTTATTTATAGGTCAGTGTCCAAAATGGATGAAATCATAAAGGTATTGCAAAATGGTTTTAAAGTCGTTCAAACGACGGTTAAAGAGTGGCAAGAAACACAGCAACGTTCAAATGAAATCGTCGAATCATTGTTGAATCTCAGCGAGCAGTTACAGTGCTGTGAGCAGGGGGGTTACGAGCACGAATTGAGAGATGAATTTCCTGACCTGAAGTCACGTGTTGTGTTTAAAATTATGAAAGCCATGGAAGGAAAGATGAAACGATTACGTGAATTACTGTAAGTAATCCGACTGTTCATTAAGTACGTTGAAACTAATATGAAAACTACTTACTAAAAAATTACACCCCCCCAGACTTTTTGATAACAAACACCCCCCTGCCCCACAATAGGCTCCCCCTGACACTCTACTGTTTCTTTCTTACACCCCTGCTCTTCACCTCAACCTCATAACCATGAAGGTAACCAATCTACATTCTACCTTCTATTAATCTCCTAGGCTAGATGATACCTTTACCTTTCTCCACCCCTTACCCAAGAAATGAGCCCTCTCTATACCAAACCAGCCAGTTTCTCTATCTACTGGTATGGTACATAGAGTTGTTTTTCCACATCCCTATTCTTATCTCCCTTTGAGGTAACCTCAAAATATACTCAATTTAAATATTTCATATTTTGACTATCACAGAAGATCGTTTGAAAGGTTGAAAGATGACTTACAGAAAGTTCGAAATTCAGCAGTTCAAGTTTATTCAGAGTGTTCAGGTAAGTGTTATATTTTATCACAAAGGCTTGCCTGCATGCTTGGTCATGTGTTGTATGCTCAAATGTGTTAACAATACACCAATAAGCTGAACATTGAATGGATTTTTCCAGACAGAGTTGATATTGAAGAACTAGCATCAGGCAGTCCAACATGTCCTCCATACACATTGATGTTGGAATGGATAATAGACATTTCCAGATGGTACAACAATCTGTATCCTTGAAATGATTGCTGGCTTATGCTTGCATCATTCCCTTATCTGGTTATAACTTCCAATTGATAATGAATGACCAGCTAGCATACCATTCATAACAAGTTGGTCATATTGAATGTCTAGTGGCTGTCAAATATATAGTTTACGTTCTTTGACCTGCTAAGATATGAACAGAAAAAAGATTTGGTGAACAACATCAGGTACAGGGATGAAGAGTATTTTAAGTCCTTGATGAGAAAATGGAAAGACAATTCATCACTGTACCAAGTTGAAGGTAAAACCATCAGATCTGATTCAATGTCCTCAAATTTAGAATTAGCCAAGAATGCATTGGTTTTCAGACCATTTATGATCACAATGTATCACACATTTATGATTATAACATCAATCATCAATTCACATTTCTCCATATTTTACTTTGCTAACAATATCCCAATCCATCTTTATATTTTTCACAGGCATTCTGGAGCAGGTTTCGCTGTTCGTAACAACATAAACACTCCACACGCTTTCAATCAAGTGGATGACGTATTTAACACCATGGACAAAGTAAGTTCATACTTATAATTTAGGGAATATTTATTCTTCCTTCCTTCAAAATAGGCTTTATCAACAATAGAGTCGTATTTATCAAAATGAGTTGTAATCTAATCCTGCTACACAAACTTTGAAAAGCACTTCCTTTTTACCTGGTAGTTACAAGAATTCAGAGACATTTATGAAGGATACTTGAAGGAAAAATGAATGGACTAGGGTTTTGGTGTTTGCATTTTTTAATGGTAAAGTTTCTATTTACAAAGGTGGATGTTTTCGAATTTCGATTCTAAAAGGTCTCTTCGTCTCTCCTTGACTTTCCTCAACTGAATGGAATTTCTTGTTTGATGCGGAAATCTTGGATTGGTGTCAATGTTAGATCGGTCATAAGTGAGACAGGCTCTGGACAGTTTTCACTTCTTTTCTGCTGCCTTTCTTAATCTGAGAGTTTTGCTCTTTTGGCAGCCAACTCTCTCGCCTGTAAAATGGTTGAAAACAAATTATTGAGCTTTAATATATCACATTATGGTACCACCAAATTGTACAATGATCGTGATGCTTCTGGTTCAAGACATACCGTGCCATACTCATAGTAATGTGGAGCAAGTTCGTACAACCAAGATGAATCAATCTGAAAAAAAAGATGAGAAAGAATCCAGTCTTCTTCACAAAGTAAAATAATGGTATCTGACTTATTACTGCGAAAAAAAAAATTACAGTCGTTTTTAATAACTCACAACTGTGACATCTCTCATGTATTCTTTCGATGTTTGTAATATCTCGTGGTAAACAACCCTTGGAGTGAAAGGTAACAATGAGACTTTGTCAGAGAGAGAGAGAGAGAGAGGTTAGGATAAAACGGTCTTTCTTTGACTTTGGGCTTACCATTCTGGTGGCTTTTCAGTGTAAAGGACAGAGGTTGGGTGAATATGAAGAGCATGGTTCTCACGGACGCTCCTGTAAACGAGAAATACGATGACAAAGGTAGACTTGATTCAAGCACTCTTTAGAAACTTTCAAAGCCACGTTTTTGGGAATTCAAGGAAGTAGTAAGCAAGAACAGCAAACAGTTTGAGGATTCAATACTTTAACAATTCATGGAGTTACAAGCGCTTCATGATTTCGAGGACTTCATCAATACTTACTTCGAATGGAAAATGATGCATGCGACGAAATGAACATGTTTGTATTCTTATCTCACCTGAATACTCCATCCGGATGTAATCTGGCTGCATTAGCGAAGAACCCCTTCACGATGCAGCGACGGATTGGCGTCGGGTCGTCTATGACAAGTAGAAACATCTCAGACACATCATCGATAGTTCTCTACCTCATTCGACAAATAAAATCTTCGGCAATAAACAGAGTGAAAGTGTTGATGTAAGACACATCTGAGCGCATTGCCATTTTATAAAACCAGGCAGAATTGAAACACTAGAATATATAATTGCGAGCTGCTTTAGCAAGTGTTGAATGAAACTTTACCCACCATCCGCCGACTGAATCGCAACGCCAAACGATTTTACAAGATTTTTGAGTTGTTCTCGAATTCTCACAGCATGACAGAGTCCTGGAACGATTGCAAAGAATCAAAATTGGCCTAATTCTAAAAAGTTATCCAGCGAATTGTAAAAAAATATGTTTTTAAACCTTTGTAGTTTAAGAAATTCTCATGGCACCATTTGGAACTTTTCTTGAACTATATAATGAGATAAAAAAGCGACATCCAATTGCCTACCAAAAGGATATAAGTTGTGTGATGTCTTTGAGACACTTTACCTTTAGGAAACTTTGATAAACATTCAACAAAGTCAAATGGTCTCCTTCGTATACAGAAAACCTAAGTTTCGCTCTGGCCTATATGAAGGAATTGGACAATTCATCAACTCTCATGCATCCTCGTCGGACAAGACATATCACTCTCATACAAACTCTCGCTTGATAACCCTCACCAACTGTCATCCTCGTTTGACCAGGGCATAAGAGTTGATGAAACTCTCATACAAACTCTCGCTTGATAACCCCCACCAACTGTCATCCTCGTTTGACCAGGACATAAGAGTTGATGAAACTCTCATACAAACTCTCGCTTGCTAACTCTCACCAACTCTCATCCTCGTTTGACCAGGACATAAGAGTTGATAAAACTCTCATACAAACTCTCGCTTGCTAACTCTCACCAACTGTCATCCTCGTTTGACCAGGACATAAGAGTTGATGAAACTCTCATACAAACTCTCGCTTGCTAACTCTCACCAACTCTCATCCTCGTTTGACCAGGACATAAGAGTTGATAAAACTCTCATACAAACTCTCGCTTGCTAACTCTCACCAACTCTCATCCTCGTTTGACCAGGACATAAGAGTTGATGAAACTCTCATACAAACTCTCGCTTGCTAACTTTCACCAACTCTCATCCTGGTTTAACCAGGACAGAAGAGTTGATGAAACTCTCATACAAACTCTCGCTTGCTAACTTTCATCAACTGTCATCCTAGCTCATTTTACCAGGACATAAGAGTTGGTAAAACTCTCATACAAACTTTCGCTTCTGCCCTCCTTAACTGATGAAAAGCAATGTTTTCTGGTGATAATACGAACTTACTGCGGCTTTCTTCTCGTTCGATGGGGTGACGAAGACATTCTTAATCTGAAGCATGGCGGCGATGGATAGGATCTCTTCAGAACATCCAAATTCACCTAAATATAAAAACTCCATTCAGTCGGGTAAATAATTTTATAACAGATCAATAGTCTTAGCCAACAGTATTAATTTCAGATCAAACCTGGATAGTTACAAAAAAAGGCCACGAAGGCAATACACTTGCGCGTGTCATTGTCTGGCCTGATTTTCTCAAAGGTACCTGATTCTAAGAGCATTTTAGCCAGCATCGGTTCCAGTGGAAACTCAGCCATATTGACGCCGCACGGGCTGGTCAAACGACCATCATCGTCCAACGCTTTGGGAGAAATTACAAAAAAAAACCGTTCGTGGAGTGAAAGCGTCGAGCTTGAAGACAATCAATAGCCTGGACTATCATAGTAATAAGGCGCCATTCGCTTATACTTCGGAAGAACAGCGCTGGGCGTGTCAGAAGGATTAAATTAATCATTACTACTTCGTTCTCACCTTCCAAAGCATAGAGTAGTTCCAGGGCTCTTATCATGTGCTCTGCTGGAGGCCTCTGGGAAGATAAAGAGGGGGATCCTCAGAAATCAGACACAATGGTATGATAAATACCGTTCTTTAGGTTCCTTTACTGCCGTCCAAACTACATACCGCCAGGAAGTCGAACCGCAAGACATTATCAATCCCCATTGATTTGAGTTGAAGAATGACCGGCGCAAGATTTGTTCTAAATTGAAAGCACAAAATAACGGCAGCCGTTTACGCTTAGCTCTATGTCCTGTGCGAGTACCATTTTAAAAGAAAAGAACTCGTGTTTGGAGCGAGCGGGTCGGAGGGGCATCCTCACACCCTTCCCACACTCTCGCTTCTTGTGAACCAACCTCTGCATCTCCGGAACCGTCGATGGAGAAAGATTATGAAAATCATCCTCTGGAAAAAAAATGACGAGAATTTTGGAATGTTAAAAGCATGATGTGGTCATCCCCAGGAAAGTTGATGCGCGAGCTTGGACACCATAAATTTCAGTGTGGAGTACTGAGATATCCTCAAAGCTCACCCGTATATAATCTGTACGTTTTTCCTGGAAGAAAGGAATTCGGTTAGCAAAACTGTGAACAAATTTTTCACAACAAAAGTTTTCTGTGTGAAGCTTGACAAACCTGATCGAACGCGACCCGCCCTCCCCGCTCTCTGGTCAGCGGATGCTTGTGATACTGGGACAACGACCAGCGATTCTATAATCAATAAGATTATCAATAGCGATTATTTCACATGACCGATATAACCAATAGTTGATATAATCGATAGAGATATCATTGGACGATCGATGAATGAATCATGATATGATATATCAAGATGCGTGATCATTATTCTCGCTACTTACCGAGTCCAGTCTCGGCTGAATATGCTTTGATCTTTACAAAACCACAGTCAACAACTAGAGATGAATTATGGTAAAAAGGTGTTTTTAACCCAGTGAACGATTTGAAATTGAGTGCAAGTAACAGCAGTCCTCGTTCAAAAAACCTTACCATAAACAATACCATCAATCGTGATAGAGGTTTCAGCGATATTTGTCGCCACAACTACCTAAAATAAATCAATAATTTCTGTGTTCACACGAAGAAAGAGTCCCAGTATATGACATATACAGCAGGTCCATTCCGCCTTACATATGCAATCGACTAGCCATTGTGCAAAGGTTCCGATTTGGGTGTTCTGCTGTATGTTTTTAATCTGATATAGTCACAATTCGACAAGTGGAGTGTTATCGAAAGTAATTCAAAAGTACAACGTTTTTTCACAACCGTCGTCGTAGCTATTTATTACACAATCCAAACATTACTTTGCGTTCCTTTGCTGACGAGCGTTCGAAGATTCGCATCTGTTGAAAATGATATTAGAGGTTTGGTTACAGAAACTTCAGCGAAAATTGAGAAACGATGAACGAGAAGTGGTGATAGAGCTTCTCTACCTGCTCTGAAAACGGCAGTCCGCTGTATATTGGTAAAACTTTTAAAAATCCATGTCCTTTTGGCAGAGCCCGTGCTCTTTCACTAAAAAATAAACGAGCTGTTTATTGTTGAAAATGAGAAAGGCTCTTAGCAATCCTGAATGTTCTTTTTTTCTTGCAGGGTTTTAATAAACAACTAAACACAAACAGTTTGGCATCCAGGAATGGAAACAACTTTACTCACATTATCATGGAGACTGCGTTTTCAACTTCATCCTGAAAGAGGGTCGGAAAAGACGCTGAAATTCTGCTCGGAATTGCAGCAAAACTCGCCACAAATAATCACATGAAATCTTACCTGTCCAGTTAAGAAGACCAAGATGTCCCCAGGATCTTCTTCCACGTGAATTCCAATGACGGCGTCCACGCTTGCTTTGATATAGTCTGGCACGGGACTGAAAAAAGAACGGGCTGTGTGTCATAGGTATTTTTACCCATTTACAACGATGGCATTGCGAGTTTTGTTCCACAGTTGTACCTTAAAGCGTAATAGATATCAGTCGGGAACGTCCTGCCTTCCACGGATAGAATTGCCGCCGTATCTTTGCTGAAATATTTGATCAATTCAAGATGATTTTCTGAGCATGCACTTGGAGAAGTGTTCAAGAAACGCATTTGGTGCGTTTATGAGAAACAACAATTGATCGAGATCGAAAAGTTGTCTCTCTGAGAGTGAAATTGTTCACATGTCAAGAGAGACAACTTTTCAATCTCCATCAATTGTTGTTGTCTCTCATAAAGGGTTCCAGTGAAAGTGTTGAAATTGTTCACATTTCAATCGGGGAAGATCATTACCTTTCAGATCATAACCCACCTTCTGTCCTTCGTGATGTTCGTGTTGAAGAAATCTTGAAACATCTATACCATTGAAGAATATAAGGGAAATTATTGTAAAGGGTTACATTCAGCTACTTTATAGAGATCGGTGACTGAGAAAAGCAAATGCGCGGAAGATGCTCCGATCTCTATACTGTTAACTGAATTCATCTTTCAAGTTTTCCAATAAAGGAGGTTTGCGCTGGTCCATCGGTCAGTAGCATGATTAGAACCCAGGGGTCCCAGCCTGCGTGAATACCTCCGCGTCCATGGTAGCAGACGCCACGATGAGCTTCAGGTCCCCTCTCTTCTTTTGAATCTACGAGGAAACATGAATATAAACATTTATCTCAAGACAGAAGAAACATTGAGTGCCGACCTACAGTAATCTCACCTTTTTTAACAAACCAAGTATGACGTCAGTGTACAGCGTCCGTTCGTGTACTTCATCTAACATTACCACACTGTACTTGGACAACAACGGGTCTGCCATCATTTCTCGTATCAACATCCCGTCAGTGACAAACTATTGCATAGAAACATCAAATGTTGCATTACCAACTCATCCCACATTTTAAAGCCTGATTTACACTTGTCCTAAGAATCTGGGATTCCCTTTGTCTGAGGTCACTAGTGCGCAACACCCTTTGCCTATCGGAAAATATTACAATGGATCCCCGATTCTTAGGAGCTAGTGTGAAGTGATTTTTTCAGTTATTTTTTTTACCTTGATGGCTGTTCTTTGTGGGTCTGTGCAGTCGTCGAAACGAATCCGATAACCAACCTCTTGACCAATCATACTTCCCTTTTCCTCAGCTACACGCATAGCGACCTAAAAAGCCAGATTTTTACGCGACGCAAATCAAAACAATTAGTAGAAGATCTCACACATTTGTGACTGTTTTTTTTTCCTTTTTTGCCCTACTGTGGAAAAGCTGTTGTTAAAACTATTTTAGCAAAGAAATTAATGCGACCTTAAACTTTTAAACTTTATCTATTAAACCATTCTAGATTACTTTAAACCGTATTTAAGATGGTTTTCGCTGAAGATATTACACAAGATGTGGATTCTTTACCGTTGTTGCGGCCACGCGTCTGGGTTGAGTGACGCCAATCACTTTACCGTTTGCGGCCAAACCACTTTCATGTAAATACTGCAGTGAGAATGGGGAAAACGTACAATACGTGAGAGATAATGAGGGATACAGTTGGATTGATAATTTGAAAATCACAAAATAGATAATAATTTGTTGTTCTTCATTATATATGAAAATGCTTCGTTTCCAAATTTTCAGTTTTCTTCCCAACCAAGCAGGCAGGCAGTCAGTTGTAGATGGCTTACCTGTGGGATCTACAAATCAAGAATATTTTTCAATACTAGTTTAATTCATCTACCTGACTGTCACTACTGTTCCTCATTGCTCTTCAACAGTCCTCCTCCACCAACTCCTGATTTCTCACTCAAATCTCAATCTTAATTTTATATCATCATTATCCACACTAACTTTATCCATCTTATCAATCTCATTCAATTTTATTTAATCCCTGCAACTTTTTTCATCAGGTATGCTCCTACACCATGCACCTTCTTCAGTACTTCACTCTGTCTAATGCCAGATCATTTTACTTGCCAGTGAACTGTGGTTGTGAGATGAATAAGGTTGAACATCACACAACTATACCATTACCTGAGTTGATTTTCCACAGCCAGTTTCACCAACAATGATGACCGTCTGATATTTTTCGACCAGGTACAAGATGTTGGTACGATGCTGGAGTACAAGAGGTCCAACTTTACATTGTGTTGGGGGGGAGTGGGTAGAGGACATGGATTTAGTGAAATCAACAATAGAGTTACATTACAATTAGAGAATCAGGTTTTCTGGATATAAAATGGATTCCTTTGACATTTCTCAATTAGTTTCTTTATGTTTGCAATTTGAAAAAGGTTTTTGCTTCCCTAGCCCTCTCCACCTGGGGGTTAGCATTGATTTGTGAAAAACTGCAAACATTGAAGTGGGTTCTCTGTGCTCTGGGAAAGCGGATTATGTTAATTAATTTGAAATACCAACATACTTTATACACAGGTAACCTTTGCCTCTGTCTTGCGATAGAAGACGTTACGCCAGGGCTGAAAGCAACCAAGCCTGCCCCTTCCCCCTCCTTCCCTGTACGTTCTAACTGAATTGAAGAGCCAGGGGCCTCGGCACCTAGAAGTGGAACCAAATACACGTCAAACAAGACAAGCACCGCTAAAAACCGAAAGAAATTCTCTTTCCCGACCTGGCTTCCAAAACTGTACTTTCCATCCACCGGAGGCCATATTGCAATCCCGCGTGTACTACACGTCACACGAACGCTGCAGGAAAGCATCGCGAATTTTAGAGCGGCCATTTTGAAAAAGGTTGTTCAAAATAAACCTGAATATCTCTTTATTTAGATTATCATTACTACAATATATTTGATACGCTGTTAAGACAAACATACCCCTAACCCCTGTGATGAGTACTTTTTTCAATTTTTTTTGTTAGTGTAGAAAAAATAAAAAGCAAACACAAAAATGTGGGCAAAATGTGTAAAAGCTATCCCTTAATGCTTTGTGATAACCTGCTTGCGGGCTGCGCCACGCGCGAAAATCGAAATATTTTTTATGTCGGTTTAGATTTGAAATTTGTTTATAAAATTTGAAACAAAAAACCTACCAATTTTCGTCGTTTTTTCGATAGGATTTTAGCGTAGAAAGGAAACTTCTAGCATTGAAAGCATTATGCCTGCAAGGAAGAAGCGTGCGGGGACGAGACAGGCGAAAACCAAACGAGATAATAGGCCAAAGTTACCCGAAGGAGATTTCAACACATCGATTAGTAATGAGGAACAAAAAAGCAAGTTGGATAACTACATCATAGATTACAAGCTTCAAGGTATGGTGAAATTGGAGTAGTTTTAATAGCACAATGGAATACATACATTGTATTGTTAGCAGATACAGTATAGCCTTTTATGTGATCAATGAATGATGGTGCTCTTTAAATTTCATTTCTTTATAGTTGCATGTAAAATAGACAAGATGAGAAAGTCTATTCAAACCATGAGAGGACTTATTGCAAATTGCTATAGAAATGGTGTAGTTGGTTTAGTCAAGGTCAGTTCGATTGTGATCATTTGTGATTTCTGAAGAAAGCAGCATTCTTGATAACACTGACTTTACATCTTTCTTTATCATTTGTAGTGGGTCAAAGACATGCCAATGGAGGAGTTTCTCAGTGAGTTCTATTTCAGTGGAATTAGAATATCCCTTAAGCCTGGTTTCCATTTAGTTCTTGTTGTTCTTATCAAGTGAAGATGAAATAATCTGACTACATACAGTACCTAAAAATTATGGAGGATAAATGTCCCTTGGAACATTCATTGTAACCCGAGAATTGTATACATGCAGTAAATATGCAATCTGTGTCAAATAAACTAATAAAATCTAGGTTAAAGAAATCAACTGGGTCTCAACTAATGATAACTTGAAATTCTTGTTTAGGAAGAGGAGGAAGTGTTGATTTAATTGTGAATACTGAGGTATTGACGAGACAGATGATTTTTCATAATATGTATTAGAAATCAAGTTCATCTGTGGCATGATTCTTCTTTGCAATTAAGCTGAATCCTGCGTAAAAAAGTGAATGTTTCATTTCTCTTCCCAAGGTTCATGCAAGTTTGAATGAAATGGCGAACAACCCAAGAACCATTTTGGGTGCATCAAAAAATAGCAGGTGAATATATCACTTCACTTTTTAACATAGATTGATCTATTACCCCCCCTCTCTTAAAGACAAGGTAAACCTTTGCCAGTTTTTTGAAGCCTCTTAACTTGTGGTAACTTTGAAAATTTATATGTAGAGAGTTCACAACAAAAGTAAAGCTGATTTGAGAATAAGCAGTCTGCATAATCTTGATTCATTTTCTTCACTTTTTCAGACCACCTTTGCCAAACGTATCAAACAATGTTTCAGGTGAGACTTTTATCATTTACATCAACCACAACAACTTTAACCTGTCAATGTTGCTTTTTAGCAGGAAATTTTCAAATAACTGATCGTTTTTTTCTCTGTTTTTTTAGGTTCAATTTCAGACCAGGTTTGTGTATTTGTGAGCACCTTGTTTCTCTTCTTCTTATATTTTGAAATTAAACTGAATGATTTTTGAATCAGACACAGTCCTTAAACATGACAGCAAGCAATGTTCAAACAGCTGGTAAATCAACTCGCAAAAAAAAGGTATCTCGTAAAAAGACTCCATCAAGTGTATATAATATATATATATACATATATATATATATATATATATATATATATATATATATATATATATATATATTATATATATATTATATTAATATATATATATATATATGATTTGTAGTAGGATGACACCGAGTGGCAGCCCGCCATGGCAAGCAGAAAATTCTACTTGACCACGGCAGGATTTGAACCCGCGGCCCATTCCCTTTCCCGAGTACCATCCTCTCCTAATATATATATATATATATATATATAATATTATATATATATATATACATATATAGTACCTACCATATATATTGTAGTTTGATTTCAAAGAGAAGGAGTGATTTGATTTCAGGTTTTCAGGAAGGTTTGATTTCAGAGTTGTGATTTATTTACAACAAGCTGTTCTAACAATGTTATTATACTATCCCTTCTTCACAGTTGAAACCAGAGAATTCGGCACCGCCAACTGCAACTCGAACCAGGTAAACTGACTTTCTCAAAATTGCAGCATTTTTTCACACCTTTGTATTCCCCGAATAGATATGGATTTCTACCCTGTGAGCATTATAACTTGGCTAGTACATTCTTTAAGTAGTTACCTTGTTAGTTACCTTGTTAGTTACCTTGTTAGTTACCTTGTTAGTTATCTTGTTAGTTATCTTGTTAGTTACCTTCAAAGTACACGAATCTGACTAGCCATTAACCATAGTCAAAATTTACTTATTCTTCTGTTTTCCTTCCTCTTCCAAGTCGCCGTCTTCAAGCAAAATCAGCCTCGTTCAACAACGAGGTTACGCCTATGACAAGCACCAGCACTCTCAGCGTCATAAACCATTCCATGTTTGTCACACCTAAGTTTGACCCCAGGTTGGTAGAATAAAGATATTTTTTAAGACATTCGTCAGACAGTGTGGTAAGATATATTGAAAGGTGTTTGAGGAACATTGAACCGCAATAAGCTCAGGCTGTAGGTTCGAACCCATATATTATTAGTGATGTGATTTTCAAATTTCAAACTTTGTTCAAAATCACAACTGTGGTTCTTATTATGTAAAAACATATATGCAGTTCTCCCTGGAGTGAAAAACTTAACTTTTTTACAAAATTAATGTTTTCTCAGTTGGTTTTTTCGATTTAAATGTGTCTCAGAACCATTTTCAATATGCAATTGGCTTATAAATTTGCCTCAAATAAATCATCCTGCTTTGGAAACCGCATGCATGGAATTGACCCGTTTTAATTTTGCCTAAATTTTTTTCTATAGGTTACCAATTCCTAAGACAGCAAGAGAACCTAAAGCGGGTGAAAGGTTTGTATCATCTTTTGAGTTTTGATACCGGTAAAAAAGTGCTTGTGAACTTGAAATGATTTTCAAATATTGAAATATTTATATCGATGATGTTTCATATAGCGTGATGTCATTGGCCGGCTCGCCGCTGAACTATAATAATTCTAAGCCCGTTACTGGAGTGTCTGCTCCACAGATCATAATCCCTCTAACTGGTGGAAAGGTGAGCGAGAAGACTTAAACATGTTGTTGACATAATGTGATTTTTGACAGCATTTCCACCGCTTGCAAAAAGCGTAGCTTCGTGCAAACTGTTTGCGAAGACGTGTGCATGTTATGAATTCAATGTGTCTCGTGTTCATAGGCGATGATAATGGTTCTTTTCCTAGGTCATGCAGCTAAATATGGATGGGAAATTATCCATGGGCGATCAGGAGGTCGAGGTTGTTAACGACAGCGTGGCTCAGCAAAACATACGACTTCTGCAGGTAGAGCTAAATCCATAGCACTGCATGGCTCCGCTAACAATGTTATACCATTTTTCACGACACGTCATTGCCGAAATCTGGCTTGCCGAGTTGCTAAAGTCGCGCCAAGCTGTTGAGGTCTCGCCGAAGTTTAGTCAATGAATTGTCCTTGATGATGGCAGGGAAATAGTTTTTCTTTTCACTCGCTTACCTTCTCACCTCTCAGGTGACCTGCTAAAATCTCGCAGACTGATCCAGGAACGAATGAGCACACTTCTGCATGGGCGAGGTCAATCTTGTGAAGTTTCCTTCTCTAAACCCCCGTCAAAATTACCACAGGTCTCTTCAGCCAGAACCTCTCAGCCCCACTGAGGAAAGGCCCTTGGGAACGGCGTGCGTTCTCCCCGTCCGTTATTTATTCTTCTTGTTTGCTTCCAGGAGAAACTTTCGAAGCTGATGAAAATGCCGAGCGAGGAAATGGAGTAGTTTCATGAAACAAGCAAGTTACGTATGACAACTTATAAAGTAGCTACTAAACATACACTAAGGGTGAATTGCACGCGCAGGGGGGGGGTGCGTTTAATGCGTTTAAGTGAATTGCACGGGGGGTGATGCACCGACGAAAGTTGCACGGGGGGTACTATTCGGAAATTATGTTCATTGCGATACAGAACTGTTCGGAAAAGATAAAAAAGACTAAATATCGTAAAGCTGCGCTCGTTCTGATAAACTGAAAAAAGACAACTGAAATGGCTGAAATATCTCAGCCGTTAACGATTCCATAATGTGGTTGTTTCTGATCTTCCTGTTTAGATCAAAAGCAGTCCGTAGTGCGATTTGTCACTGCGACGCATTATATGCAAATTTTTACACATGCTGTTGTCTTCATACAACCAAGCCCAGTTTTTGGTGCAATTAAGTTTTATGTCAATAGTCGCACCAAAATAAGGGCCAAGAAGACAATTGTATGAAATTGAAGCCTTCCCCTGACCGATTACAGCGGGATATGCACTTTATTCGGCCCTGAGGTGGCCGAGATTTTTTTTTATGAAACGTGACATTTTTTCGTGGTAAATCGCTTTCAATTTTTTGGTGAACTCTGTATCGTCTCTGGATAATATCGATAATCGGTTTCATTTTTTGAAGCATTGCCTCTGGTATAGAACTTAGGAGGTGTTGCTATATTGTTCCTTTCCTATAGCCTCTCCCCGTTGGGGCTGTATCTGTATATATACATATTCTGATAAACGGTGACAATTGTTTAAAAACACATATAGTAGAATTGAAATTCGTTAAGTATCTTGCGTATAAAGTTCAGGATAGCTGTACAGTAAACGAGTCTTCAGGCGATGCAATGCATTTTATATAAATAAAGTTTTGTGAATAAGGTTTGTTGGGACTATGATTGATAGAACGCGTGTTTAGTGCACTGTCCATCTCGGTAATGCCTGTGATATTGCAAGAAAGTAATTTACGATATATATTTGAGTGAATATCGTTTGAAAATCTTCAAAAGCTATAATACCGCAAATGATTTAAACAATTAAGACTGCTTAGATTGATGCAATGAAAAGCGTCTTGACCTTGGTCGAAAAGCTCCCTGTCTGGGACATAATTAGTGGGAGAAAAAATAATAAATCTTGCCGAGAAATGGGATGGCGAGTGATCACTTAACGTCTGATTTAAAAAAGCACAATAAAAGTCACTTTGACAATGATAAACTACCTGGTGACCTTCAGGCCGTGGTGCGTGGTGGCGTAACTGTTTATGGCGTCGTCTTGATGGATCTTTTCCGATCTTCGAAATATTTCGCGTGCTTGCGTGACATGCGTTTGGAAATACGCGCGTCCATGGCGGGAAACGATTGACAGTCACGCGATGCTTCATGCCATGCACGGCTCCGTGAGGAGCGTGGGTTTCGAAATACACACAGGTTTTCTGTCTGCACGCTTTTAATTAGAAGACCATTAATCTGAGGTATATTGATTACATGCACAATCACTTGGCGCAAACACAATAAATGGTTGCTATACAATGATTATTTAAGACACGAGGTATATCTGCATGCGATCTGTAAACATATATCATGCGGATTTGTAAGGATTTGTAAATGCGGTGTCTGACTGTCTGTGAAACACTAAAAACTGGTTGAAATGTTAACAATGTAAAAGATATCCCTGTGGCAGATATTCATCGTGTCCAGTGTCTTTGGCAAAGTTTCTAATCCTAGTGAAAAATATATAACTCATTCCATGACCACGGTCGTAACCACGCACGCGAGATAATCGTGTGGGTAAACATCAAAGTTCTTAATTTTTTAGGCAAATTTTTCATGGTCAGAGTAAGAAATCAGCTTTCCACGCAATATCTCTTATTCAATTGTGCACTTGCCGCTATATAAATTAACATATTCTCCATCGACGCAAGCGAAATATATTTCACGCATGATTTTGCCAAGAACTGTAATTTTCTCATGCATTATGGGGAGTGCTAAAGACACACGAAATATGCGGACAAAATACGCAGACACTTTGGAATCAGACGCGCGCACACATCAAAGCAATCATTAGCAAAATGAGATATAATAAATAGCTCGTGGCTGCTCTGAATAGGCTCGTTTCAGAAAATATACATTTCTCGATGAAAGCTACATTTCACCAGCTGCGCTGCGCGCGAATACCCCCAAAAACCTATTATCTGCATGGTTTCTTGCGAATATATCATGTAGTCATTCGGAAGTCGAAGCACTTCTAAGATTAGGATAATCTAATAATGTTTGACGGTTGTATACGTTAAGGAATTTACGATACGATCTGTATTGTAAACAAATCCATCACGAATGTCCGGCGTTTTCGTAATAGCTTCGTTTTATTATCATTTGAGTTGCTCTCGAGCACAGATAGATATCTCTAAGGAATTCATGTGGCAAAACAAAATGCACGATATTTTTCAATTCGGGGAGAATATCTCATCTTTAGATAAATACAACTTTTATTTACAAAAACTCGGGCCAACTCTGTTATCAATGTGCTCGTATTTGCTCGTAACAAATCCGGAATTACAACTTTGCCAAGCTTGCATGCGTTCTCCGGTTTCTTCCTGTCAATATTGAGGGACGCGTGTTGTATTTGGCCCTGTGGTTGCTGTTCAGCCAAATACGGATGTGTACAATATAAAAATGTACAACTTTCTGTCGGCTACCCGTCGGGCAAAGGATATTGGTCGAATTCAGAAGTGATTTTCTAAACGCGAATTGTAAAAAATGCTTCAAAATGCGCAAGCATCTCCATTCGTGCTATTTCGAGCACAAAAGCAATATTCACAAAGATATTTGATAGATTATATTGTTTGCCGCAGATGTTTATCCTCAAGGCGCCAACACGTTGAACTTTTAATTTTTTCTCCCAGTCAAACGCTAGACGATTTTACTTGCCAGTGAAAAGTTACTGACAGTCGCAGCTCAAGACTACTCATGCACAGACAGTGTCTTATTAATTTACTTCTTAGCACGGCGTTGACCACTCTCATTGCGGTGTATGACAAAATGCGGCATATATTATTTCATCCTGTCAAAAGCCAGACGATTTTTTTCACCAGCAACACGGAACGCTGCCAGTTAATGGGGACCCTAGCAATTGCTTCATATTTGCGGGTGTCTCGAATGATTTACGTATACTTTCAAAAACGAAGTACATATAACCATGGTCTTCTTGACTGCTCTAGTTCAATTCCCTTATCATAACCAAACAATATGAGATACTTCGTTGATAACTACAGGCATAGCCCCGATTTAGAACTTCCGACCTAAGTGTCGCTATCTCGTTGCTATACCATGACACGAACACACATAATCTTTGTGAAAGAGTATATATCACTATTTGTGTATATTTTTCTATTCAAATGCTTTCAATTTATGCCTTATCTCCAATTTTTATTAGCTGTTCAGCACGCCCATTGTGAAAAGCAGTTTTAACTGACAATGTTAGCGTGTGTAAATAAAGGTTCTATCATGATCATAGTCTACGTCTGATCACTCCACACTTCTCAGTCTATACCGGCAGAACTGTTTTAATGGTCTAGCTATGCCAAACCATTGCACACTTAATCACCGTTACTGCCTGGATCAAATTCAGGAAGCTTCAGAAAACAAGTAAAATCGAGAGTAATTTGCGCGCTTGTTTTGTGGTAAAAAATTGTTCTAGAGACGAACTACTGACGAAATAATGTATACGCTCTGATGTGAAACAAAGGCTGGGCGATTCGAAAACGCGTCGTAGACACTGTGATAACCAGCAATTAAATCATTTACAGGCGACGCATGCTTCAAGATAATTATAAGGCGGAGGTCTTAGGAAGCGTGTTTTGCAAAACACATCACGCAAACGCAAAGTTCTCTCAAGCGTAATAAAGCTGGTAAAGCTGCTATACATTCAGCAGACTGATGATCAAACTACTCTCAAAGTTCACCTTTTTTAATCGACGAGCAAACTTTGTAAACTCACGAAATTTAAGCTTGAATTTATAGAAAGAATAATAATAAGAAAGAATAATAATAATAACCAACGGATGTGTTTTCTCAAGGAAAACCAGCGAGCCTTCGTTTGTCCGTGTCGACGCATGAAGTGAACACAATTTCGAAACTATTATTTCAAATCATTTTGCATCCATCAATTCTTACGAATCTTTTGCGCTGCGGATAAAATGCAATATATGCGTGCGCACCATGCACTGGTAATTCGATCGATGTCGCGTTCATCGTAAACCTTGGTATTTATTTAACTTCTACTATAAAACTGTTCAGCTTTCGATCTTTTCGCAACAATATTTCAAGTACAATTATATAGGACAGGAATCAGCGTGTCTGGTTGCAACAGGGGTGATCGCATGCATGTATGTATAGGTGATGCATGTAATATCTTTAAGCACTTGGAGGTTAAATATGCGTGCACATGCTTGTCTTTATATCCGTTTTACAATGTACATCACTACTTGTAGTCCTTGTGCCGTAGTCAGGTTTCTGTCTTACACAAACGGTGGCAAAATATCACGCCATCCTGTGGCCTCGTTTCTCGACGGAGGAGATATGCGTCGTTAGTTCCGCACGCAGGTCATTTTAGTACAGACTGCACGGCAGGTCCTGAAGAATCTCTTACAAGAAAAATCTCTTTTAAACATGACCCAAATGCGTCATACCGGCGTAAATGCACAAGAATTTTCATTCAAATTCCCATCATTAATTGTATTGATCGAAATAACGTTCACTATGACGATTTGTGGCCCTATTTCCTATTCTTCAGATTTCCGTGCATGGTCACGATTTTTGTCGCGCCATTTCCCACTTAAAATTTCGTTAAAAATGTTGTTTCGTTGCAAACTTGTAAACCATGTCTGAGAGGAATTGAAGAAATTCAGCAAATCTATTTTGATGAAAAAGACATGCACCTTTAATCTGTGTCTTAATTATACTTAGTCTCCTAAGACGTTCATAGCAATTTTTTGAAGCGGTAAGGTGCAGACTTTACCCATCTGTCACAGAGACTTTGATAGGGTAGATAACGGGCCTTAAGGTCAAAAGAATCTCCGTTTTTTTTTTTTTCAATGTTATTAAGTGTTGCCCATGTCCCCCGCCAATTAGTCTTCTATGTGAAAATCCAATATATATTTGTTTATCTACATGTTGATGGCATATTATATGTGGTATATATTTATGTATAACCTTACAATTCATTTCATCCCATATTCCCGCCTTTTAACTACAGTCGTTGTATATTTCAGAACGTGTTTATATTATATTCTATAGAATTTGGTCATGCAGTTTTAATATATCGTATTTTAGACTTCCTTTATAGCAATAACCACCATATTCAATATTAGAAATGTGTGAATACAAGTGTTTTTCGTGTATTTCTGACGTTCTAGCAGGCTCGTGCGCAGACACTTTAACTATATCGTAGGCTGCAAGGTCAATCCATCGCTGCCGTGTTGTTATGAGCCAGAGCGCTTGCGTGACACTGCGGTAGAAACGAACGATTATGATTAACGAACAATAAAAACACCACTTGACATCTTAAAGATCCTTGCACACGAGCCGGAATCCAAGTGTGTAGACCATTGCTGGGAAAGATTTTACTAACGTATCAGTTAAAATAAACTCGATCTGTGCTGAATTGGACACAATTTCAAACCAGGTAAGTATATATAATATCTCAAAATGCCTTAATTTTGCAGTATATCTCTCGGTATTTTCTGCTCAAAACGTGTATGACGACCTAATTACTTTCCCCCGCCCCCCACTGATTTTCAAACAATTTTCACGGCGCTTTAAATCGTGAGACATTCGTGCGTGTGTAAATATTACAGGGCCAGAGAGCAATCAAGACTTATAAACAGCGGTTGGGTCACGCTAACCTATTTCTTTGGCTCGTCGTTTGGTAAGTATTTCAAAGGCATGAACTCATAGTAGATAGTATATATTTGAAGATTTTTATAGCGATTTTGATTTGGTAGGGCTATTTCCAGTGTGCATGCAAGCCTGAGACATACATTCCAGAACTAGTTGTGTATATATATAGCGCAGTGATATATAGGTAATGATAAACTTTGCCTAACTTTCGAACAAAGAGTATCTCAAAGTTCTCTTCGTTAACCGAGGAGAGTGCTTATGACGACCTTGCAGTGCTATTTAAGAATCCACCTACGTTATTACAGTTTTAATATCGCGGGTATATGTTTTGCAAAGGCTGGCGTCTGCAACGCAAAATATAGCTCATAATATGTAGGTGAATACTTGGGCTTCAAATTTCAATTCAAATTGAATTTCTGCGAATATATAAATATAGCTAGCATGTTGAAATTAAACTTGTGATTTTTGAGTTGAAAGGGCCATGCATGCAGCCCTGCTCCCCTTGCCCTCCGTTTCGATGAAAATTTGCGGTACCACTCTTTAGTTACACGTCACCAAACCCTCCCGATGAAATGCGATGAGAACGAACGAGTAGTTGAGAATAGATTCGGTGTCACTCGGTAAAAACGGTTTAAAACAAATACCAGCACACGAGCATCATATCAGAAATGCCATGCATGCATACGATTCGCGATATCTATAAATAGGATTTGCAAAAAAAACGCGACGATTTGCGCTAGCTTTTCGCCCGTAGATTTCATACTTTTCACGGGAAAGGTTTTGAAAACAGTCCCGGAGAATATGCATGTATGAATCATGCACGCATTCACACGCATTTATGCATGCATCGGACGTATTGATATCGGACCAAATCAATTGAGTCATCATTGAAGTAGAATCGTGCGATATTAATCCCCTGACGAATTCTACACACGCAGGTAAGCTGATTTACTCTTGTTGTGTGTATTTTTTCCAGCTATCTCGTTCGGGACTTGACATACCCGCAAATTACTCTAAGATACGAGCGGCGCACGTGTTGCCACAAGATTCCGACGCTATCTCGTATTCGCGTGAGACGACAAATATAGCGTGATTAAACGCATCCTGTTCAACTGAGAACTCACGAGATCCTTGTTAAAGACGCGTTTATACATATATCCACTGGGCACCCTGGCTTGGATTGCATGTTCGCAAGTGGATTTGTAAATTCCGATAGAAAACCCTTCCACGTTGCGCCGTTGCTGAGTCGATACTTGGAGCGACTTGAACAGTTTCCATCTCCGAAGAGATTTCCATCGCCCCAAAGTCGTTACAGTTCTTCGAACTCCTGCCTTATCGCGAAATTCCAGAGGACATACAAGCATTCGCTATAAGAAGATAAACAGAACACTCGAGATTACGTGAAACCCGAAGACCTTTTGCTCTGCCGAGTTCACTGTTAAGCGGATTGCAAGCCATTTTGAGGCTAAATTCTATCCTGATTCAAAAGCAGTTCGTGCACAGGTCTACATTAACGGTAATAATTACCATTAACTTTGTCGTAGATACTGAAATAAAAGAGGTTTACAATTGAGTGAAAGGTTACACTCACGAAGGCGACAATTAAGGTTATAACACAAAAGTGTCCAATAATAATATACAAAGGAGGACTCTCAAACTCCAAGTAAAAGGCCAGTTATCAAGAGAAGTGCTAAAATTCTTTGCTGTAAGCACTTCGGTTCAAAGAGTCTTCAAGAGTGAAGTTGTCATAAAAAGCGAAGCAAAGATTTGCTCGTAGACTGCTTAACGATATAAGGAACATAGTGACTTTGAGTAGATCTCGAATATACATGCACCATGGCAGTTAATTCGATTGTGATTCAAAAGCTTCGCGAGTTCCTCTTGTTTCTGCAGCTCTGTTGCATTTTCGTGATCGGGAATACAATCCTGCGTTTATCCTACGCGCAACGGATTACCTCGAGCATTATGGAGAATGCAGCCGGAATGGTTTTGCCCGAAGAGATCTTCCGCAATGCGCTGTTTACACGCGAGATGATGAAGGCGCTTTGGGAGGTGTACGTTTTGGACATGAAGAAATCCGCCTCGTATGGTCAGAAGGCACCGGACCCAACGCTTGTCGATCCAAACACGGGCGAAGAGAAGCATTTATCCAAAGCGCTGGACGTGCAGAAACTGCAAGTGCTTGCCTTTGGGAGTTACACTTGTCCAGTGTTTCGCCGAAGATTCACAGAGCTGCAAGCATTGGCAGAAGAGTTCCACCAAGTCGCCGAGTTTTCAGTGATCTACATCGACGAAGCTCATCCTTCTGACGGTTGGGCGTTTAAGGTAAGACTGACTTTCAATCGTGTTTTTTTTTTAAGGAGGGCTGCTTACGACTCAACTTGATCTGTTTGAGTGGTGTGTTCTCTGGCAGTTAAACGCTGTGACATTATGATATGCATGCATTTCGTGAACAAGATTGAGTTTTTACTTCGATGTCGCATGTTAATTTGTTAATATAAAAATGCCCCGGGTAATGTGAATGTTTTTCTAAAGGGCGACGTTTTACGAACGAAATTATCGAGCCGTATATATAATATCTACATACACGGTGAATCCATGAACCATATATAATCTCTTCAGGGTATCGCTCGGAATGGAAAGTATAATAAAATACTCCCGCATGTTTTTTCAAGTGCATGTTTTTCTGTCTATATACAACAAACATGTTTTCCTGCATGATCGACGTGGAAACGGAACACTTTACGTGCTACGGATCTTCTTGAATCAAGTTCCTTGTCGAGGGAACTTGTGTCGATTTAACGCTGGGCCCGGCACCCTTGGATGCATGGTTCACCCCCCTCCCCCCATCATTCGTTTATAAACTTACCCATATGTGTGTGTAATGGTGTCTGAAAGGGTGCTATATCTTTTGACAGGACGAAGTTGAAATATCTAAGCACCAAAGCTTGGAGGATCGTCTCAACGCAGCCCAACAATTCTCCTCAGCGTATTGCAAGCACTCGCCAATACGAATGTTCGCTGACTCGATGAAGAACGAGGCGAGCACGATGTATGGCGTTGGTGCAATCCGCTTGTACGTTCTTTACAACGAGACTGTTTTATACGAAGGTGGAGTTGGCCCCACGTATTACAACGTGGAGGAGGTGAAGCAAGCAATCAAGACCAGAAACGAGTCGTGTGTTGTGGTATGATGCTGATGGGAAACCTTTTTATCTGATATTCTGCTCAGATGTCAGGAATACAATGCAAGCACACCTTTCGTGGGACCTGAGCGTCTGTCAATGCGAGGATACTTGCTCGAAAGCTGCCAGGTCAATGCAGCATCCTGGGTTTACGAATACATTGGAATGAAATAACTATACGTTAGAGCTTATATAACAAGTTGAACGTTTTAACATTTATAGTCTTTATCAACATAAACGTTCTTGTCTTTCTCGTTGGAACTTTTTATTGTTGAATGAAAAGTCTTCCAACGGAAATTCACAACCCATTATAACCCGTAATAGTTGGTAAATGGCTATCCGTATAACTTTGTCGGGAAAAATGCTTCCTTATACACAGTCCTTAAACACTTATATGGCAATTCCTTTCGAGGTAACATCATGTGGTAGCATGCACCTTTCAAAAACAGAGAACTGTTAACGGTTGTCTAACTCTCGCTCTCCTAATATATTCATCCTAATAGCTTAGCCCATGCATGCTCTGAGGCGGTTATTTAGCATAGCTACGTACTGCAGAGTGAAACGTGCAGTCCTTTATTTCAATTTGTTAAAGTAACCGTTGATGGGTCTGTCCTCATGGTTGAAATTGCCTATTGTGTTTGAGGGAACACTTAAGACGCACATACGTAATACACGCAATGTTGAAGTTTGAGTGAATACGCTGGTGACGTTTTAACAATTTGTCACAAGAATATGTGTCCGCGCACTGCAAAGCGCTCGATCGTTTGCCTCAAGAGCTGTCAACATGTTGTTAAAACCTGTCATCGTCCAGCGGTTCTCGCTGAAATGTCTTCTGTGACATATATACTACACACAGTTTCATTATTAGTGTTTGTAAGATGAGAAAATATAAACCGACTACAAACAAAAATATTAATACTTGGGTCGATTTAAAAAATCCCCAAATATATTGTACAGGAATAAAAATGACTGTAATATATGTAAATAAATACCACGCCATATACGTTTATAGTGGTCGAAATAAATGAAACGCAATTTTTGAATAATGCGTATTGTATTGTACTTTACGATTTGAAATTGGTGCCAGGTCAACGACACAGAAGACCTTCAAAGTTAATGTTAAATTTGTCCTTTTACGTTCTGTTGTTTGTTTTGAAGAGTTTCTACTGCGTCAGAAGTGTGAGAGACCCTCTTCTTTTTCCGTGTGATTATAAAACCGCTTAGAGTAACGATCACTTGTGCTCAGTATACTTTTGGGGAACACGTAATTCCGCCCATCAACTTTGATTGCCGTGGCGTATTTGCGTAGCCAATGTGCGTCAAAATTATTGTGTTCAAAGAGGGTCACGTTATCGCATCACTTTAATACGACCGAACCCAAACTTTTTTAGTCTAGGTGTAATTATTAAACGCCAATTTGTCGGACGACAATCGTGCAATCTCTCACATCAGGTGGACATTGGTAAAAATAAACGCACGCCAGCCTTTTAAGTGCCAAATCAATCCACCCAGGGTATAGCATTGAAATACAAGCATATACACTATTGATTATGTTGGGTTGTATCATTCTGGAAGCAATACGCACGAAGCATATGTTTTTCATGTACGAAGAAGAAAAGCGTAATTCCAAACAAACCTATTGTGAATATCAGCAATAACTGCTTTGTTTCGAGTGCATTTAAAGTGAAAACAAATTAGGTGATAGGTTTATGTTGGGGGTGATGTATGGATGGCGGTCAAGTTCAAAGAAATAAATCAATCGTAATATGAACTTATAATAAACCATGTTTAATTATAATTGCGCAATATATTTACAGATGCATTTTATGTGTGCATTAATAATTTCAATGATAAATCTTGCGCTGTGCCACGTGGTTTGGGAACACGCACGCACTATATACTGCATGTGTGATTCATATCAAGATGACTCGGAAAACTGTCGACGAAATGGTTGGATTTGCTGCATGTCGTTTAAAGTTTGCAATCGTCTTGGCCACTTCGAAAAGCTCACGAAAATGAAACGTTCATGTTCGCGTGACTCGCTTTGACATTTTTTTAATTTTTTGAACAATCAATCCACAAATATGACCCTTTGCTTTCGCCCCTGTTTGTTAAGACGCATTCCTGATCCGCATTGGGAAACACGCGATGTTTTTGAAGGCAAATATAGTTAATTCGTCGCATCAATTCACGTCAAATATTTTGGGGAAAAAATGAAACTGTCGCGTCCCAGGTCTGACAACTCTGTCGCATTCTTAATCACAGGCACAATTTACACACACATAAGAGAGCACTTAGTTATTTAATTTTTTTGCGCACTAAAAGAAATTGACTTTATTGGTATAATGGATCATATGTATTTATCAGCACAAGGGTCAACCCTTTTGGGCCAATATTTGCTACTTTAAAAGTAAACTGTGGATCATGGCTCGAATTATCTTCTCCCATCAAGACAAAGGGTTCCGTATATTTGACTCTATAGCGTATATTAATTAAAGAAAGTGATAGTGTATATTTAGAGTGGATCTTTGAAAGACCTAAACTGAATTCCTGCTATCGATGCGATTTGCGAGACATGTTCCCATGCATGCATTCGACAAAATTTCATCCTTTTTCCCGGCCATTTGAGAAAGATGCGTTCGTGAAATTCAAGCGCGCGGCCGAGGACAAAGCCACTTCAATTTCACAACTTGATATACGATAGAAAACAATTAGGCAGCACTTTAAAATAGATTGCGTGACTGTTTAGGATGTAAGAATTTTCCAGATATCTTGTCAAGACCGCCTTCAATTTTGCACTGCATGTGCACTTGATAATATTCTCATTAGCATGGAGACGCACGCGATGGCATTTCAAAAATAACTTTAGCGTAAATTAAGTAACGCTTGCAGCATATATATCTGGATGCGTGCTTGCTTCGAGAGAGAAGGATGATATATATATTCTATACGTGGGGTAAATACGACTTCTGCAGAGTTTTTTAAACGGTGTGTATATATGCGAAGTTGTATTAGTTTTAACTGTGAACAAAGCGGAGACGATTCTGATCACTAAAGCACACAACACAACCCATGCAGTTTTGTTTAGCTCACACTGTTCAAACTTATCACGTTGTCTGGCCTTTTGAATTTGAAACAATGAAAAAACCCTAAAAGCTGTGAGATCCTTCATAACCTCGAATCATTTCAGAGAGATGCGTGCTGATTACAACACCATATCAACAATATTGCTCGCAATTATCCTGCAGAAATTCCCATAACGAAAACAATTTTTCATCGTACATTAACTCCTGTATAATTGTAAAAAAATAAAGCAATAAAACCAGCTTTGACTTGGCGTTGTAAGGACATGCAGGTTCAATTAATAAAGGTACATCTTGTATCTAGTTTTCCTCCAAAAACCAGACTGTGCTTGCTTTAAATGATAGCTAAACCATGCACTTGAACCTTCTACAATTTCACAAGCAGGATTTTTAAGCCAATATTAGAGGCAGAACATTGTTTTCTATTTCCCTGTTTGAAAACAGCAGGAGAGTAATTAAATTTTTTGTTGCTTCTCTTAATTACTACCCGGAGCTCGACCGGTATATATTTGACTGATGGTTTCGCAACCACAATTTCAGCTCTGCATGCAAATTTCATAAAAAAAACGCTTTGATTGAGTTTTGTACACAAGAGACAATGGAATTTGAACACTTATTTGAAATAGGAGGCATGCAACTTCTCACGAGACTCCTAAAAACATCCTTGTATATAAGTGATCGTGTTGAATATATACAAAATGATATAGGTTTCATATAGTTTCGAGATATAGTTTCGAGACTTGGAATATAGTGTAGAGTTTGGCCGTTCATATTCGCACGATAGTCGTTGCGTTTAATGCCAATTGTCGATAGGCTAGGGTCAAAGAGAATATCAAACTGAGCTGATTATGCATAGTTTCAATTGAAGCCATCAGGGTTTGCACGCGATCCCAGAATCAGTGCGTGGGTTGCCGGCTCACAGCTCATGTATATTTGTGTTTCTGGCGAGCGAAAAAAGACGCGTTGTATATTATTCGGCTTTTTTTTAACCTGAGCACAGCACCCGAGTATTTTGAGGTTGTTTTCCTGCATTGCAACCAAAAGTTTACACCGTGAAAACAAATCTATTACGTATAGCTCGACATGGTCGTACCTTCCGCAAATATGCCGGACCAGATTTTGCAAAGGTTGCAAGGGAGTGCTCCTTGTAAGCTTAGGTCACTGGTTTGTTGAAGAAAAGTTTAGTTTTGCATACATGAGTGCATCATGTTCATGAACTTCGTTTCCATCAAGCCAGTTTTTCAAGGGAAAGGCCGAAAGGTTAATATGGAATTTTTTAACCTGTGCATCTAGAAGGTTCTGCACATGGCCTAAAATATCTTATCACGGTGTGTGTCCTTTACGATCCTGGCTTGAAGTTATTTTTGTCAAACTGGGTCGCTAAAATAGGCAATTATGAGGCGATGTTTATATACATTTATCTCGGGGATTCCAGGGAACTGCAGCACAGCGTGGAGCGAAAATGTTGAAATATCCCCGAGCTGGAAGTTGGTTAAATATTTGCAGAAGCAGCAGTTATAAATACTGCAGTAAAAATAGCTTAAGCATACTACGGAGGTGTTTGTTTCCCACGCATCTTCAATGCAACGGTTTCACAATATATGCATGCATCGAGTAGCTCCTATATCATTCGACTAACAGATCTGTCATATATTCATGCATGCACCGCATTTCAACACCTCGTCGAATTGGTATAGAAAGAAACTTCAACGAACTTTATTTAAACTGCAGATACAGGCTCTATCTGTTCTAGATCAGTAAGAGATGACCCTTATTAGACCTCTAGAAAGAACCGTTTAAAAATGATAAAGCTATCTATATCCAGTATAAATTTAGCTTATAATTTATGTTTCCTCCTGTAGTAACACTGGATCAATAAAAGGTAACCTTACTGGACCTCTATACGAGGGAACCGAAACTAGACTATCTTTATCATTCTAAACTGTTCCTTTAATAGGGGTTCAGTTATAGTATCATTTCTCGCTAATCCGTGATAGAAAATTCAAAACTGATATCCTAAACCAAACTAACTTTACACATGTCGGTAACCAGAGAAATTGTAATTGAATCCCATGCACTACAACGGCATTATTGATTTATATCAAGTCTTTGTGTACATTCATTTCTTATCTTGTCGTTCAAGCTATGGTAAACAATTCAAGATTTATTGTCCTTGGCGACACACTCGACTTTGAATGAGACAAAACATAGAAATATTATCAAGATAAGCAATAATAATGGTCACCAGAATCTGTTGTGTTTGCCACAAACTATAGGCTTGTTTTAATTTTCGTTTTAGCTAAACATATGTTTAATATTTCATTTTTACACTACTATCCATATGCTATGCTGTTTATTCTCGTTAAAAAAAATTTTACAAGCGACAGCCTTAGTTACAAATGCGATTAAGTGATGTTTTTATACAAATAATATTACATGCAGAATTGTTGTTCCCATTTACATAATACACAATACTGTCTGTACAGTTATAAAGCTATCCTATCAAATATATGTGAAGTAATATATACGATATAGTATTATACATTTTGTAAGAAACGTTAAGATACAATGTTTCTTTATCTAGACGAACTACACGGTAGCAATAAAACCAATATATATAACATATAAACATAATATTAGTGAGTTTACTTGTACGAGCAAGTAGTTATCTTACAGACTTATATACGTATATTCATGCTCTTGGTTTGAATTAACTCCATATTCATGCGATTTCACACAAGTGATTCTGAAAGCGATATGAGAAAGTCACTATAATGCAAACAATCCGTTCTTGCTCTGTGCCATTATATTGTGTTTTTTTTCTTTTTTTTTGGGTTGACCCTGTGATCGGCTATATATCCCCTTCGGCAAAAAGTATCAAGTACGAGTTTCAACTCCCATCAATTCTGGCCTTTCGAACAGTGCTTTAGTGGAAGAGTAATATACATGTGTGTCCACAATGCCGTTCAGGATTCATACAACATTGTTATTGCGGTACTTTTGCAAGCATTCTCTCGTTTCATCGAAGTCAAACCAAGTCGGTCCTGGGCCATTTTGATAAACCAATGTATCTTCTTCGATGACAAGGATTCTGTTTGGGCATCCGCTGTATGATTTGCTCGCCTCGTCTGTCATCGTGTCCACACAGAAACGAATTCCTGACGGGAGAAGGGAGCGAAGTGTTTGCGAGGCCTCCACACGATCTTCGATAGACTTGTGTCTTCTGATGTTGTAGTTGTTCTAAAAAATAAGTGAATTTAGAGATAGTTTAGGCTCCTACCGATGGTAACAGTGAAACACTTCTGGACAACATAAGACGATCTATAACTGGGCCTTTTGGAGTAGTAAACTGATAAAGCTATGCATTATAAAAACAGTTAGCTTGGTCATGGGTATGCTATAAATGTACTGTCAGTAGTAAAACTGACTGGTTCAGTGTTAAAATTACTAGGAAGCTTTGCTTAATTACGAGGAACTGTTTTTTTTCTTAGAGATCCTGTAAGGATTATCTTTATTGATCCAGTGTTTAATACTATACTGGAGGGAATCGAAACTAGACTAATTAACATACAGGATAGCTCTATCAGTTCAATATCAGCTCTATCAGTTTCAAGTTAATTTCAATGTAGAACACTTTGAAACGCCTTTCGCTCCAAGCAGTACTTCGTAACGTATGAAAAAAATTGTTTTGAACAAAAAAATCGGTTACCATGCGTTAGGAATTCGACAGTATGGGTTTGCAATCATCACGTGAAGTGTGTGGTCAACTTTTATTTGATTTTATTAAAATACATTGCAGAGAATGTTTATAAAATTACACTGCCAATTAACACTGTTCTAATGAGAAATAATTAGCAAATTGCTAATTTCCTTGATTATAGAAGGAATATTAATTACGTCAGGTTAAACCAATTTCAGTGAACGTCGCGAAGAGCTCTTGTGGGTATTAAGTGCGCGCCATGTATAAGCTTTCTATACAGTAATCTTATTTCAATATACGTGAGATTTTGCAGGCAAGTGCTCTCAAAAACGCCCTCAACGTAATCCAGGGTGCCGTGAGTAAGAAAATAATAATGCTGCCAAAACTTGTACTTTCATCTTCCTAAATTTTTCTCAAAGAAATCTACTATTTGCTAAAATTAGGCGATTAAGTCAAGCGGCTGGCCACTTAAACTTAACAATATTAGACCACTTTACAATTTATGTTATATCTTTCAATGGAATGAGTGGGGTTTGAAACTGAGATGCGTCTGGCAATACTGCATTACGAATGTCTGTTTCCCGGAGTAAACAAACCCAGAACCTAACCAAAGCAGTGATTTATGCTTGAAAGACGATCCACGTTTCTGTTTAAGCTAAACAACTGTATCGCTTCTTGGCTCTTTTCTCAAATGAAACGAGGTCCAGTGAGGATAATCTCCTATAAGTATATTTAAACAACCTTGCTCTACTGGTCTAATGCCATTTCTTGATTTGAATGTAACAGTTCTATGCAATTCTCAACTGTTCGTCCTGAAGATCTGGTAACATTACCTTCTATTATTGATCAGTCACCTCTTAAGTGCTAGCAGAGAGGACGTGATGAGGCAAAGAGCTAAGCCGAACCTAATTAAAACTGGAGCTACAATTTATATCCAACAAGATTCCTCACTCAAGGTTTAAAACGAGAATGAAAAGTTTAGAAAAACCCGCCTATGATTCTCTGGAAGCTACCTATACTGTATTAGAAAAAACACTAACTGCATGGTTGCCATATAAAAGTCATTGAACTCGTTAACTTAACAAGCTAATATTGTGATATAGCTGCTGATCTAGTCAGTCCTAACATGTAAATCCTAAGTGATTCGACTTCGGTAAACTTTTCCGTTCGAGTTTTGATCAATAAAAGGTCTTTTACGAAGCTGTGTGGATGTCGCAAGGCAAAACTTAATTTACCAAAGGTAGAGGCAACCTTTATTGTTATTTTAATTCAACAAATAGGCGAAGACATAATAAAATGGGAAAAAAATTTAATTCAAACAATGATTGATCGACTTTCGTACAGCGAACGCCCAAGTTTATTATATATCGTAGGGTATATAACTACGGTGACTGGAAGAAGGAATTTACTTTGTCAAAATACATATTTCTTACCTTCATCCGCCATCCATCGTCCGGATGAGCCTCCTGGACATAAATCACGACAAAATCAGCGATGTCTGAAAAGTCTCTGTGGACTTCCAACATCTGGTCCAGTTTAGTAATAATCACTGGACACGTACAACTACCAAATATCACTACTAGAGGTCGCGAGTTTTTGACAAGGTCCAACAGATGTACACTCGTTTGCCCTTTCTCGCCCGTCACCAAGGGCGGGTTTGGCGCTACGCAGCCAACTTTTGAGGTCTTGCTCAACTCGTATTTGCCGTATTTCCACAGAGTTTGAATAAGACTCCAGGAAAACAGAGTATGCCAGTAATTGTCGACTGGCATTACGATTGAAGCCTTTCTATTCATACGCTTTATTATCATTCGCTTCGCGCACGGAATGTGTTTCACGATGTTGCCAACGACGTAAAGCAGAAACAACTCGATGAAAAGGCCAACAAGGGAAAGCGTTTTGCAGGCCATTCTTTAACTGTTCAAATACTCGAGACTTGCTGCGTTTAAGATCTCAGTTGATTGCCCTTAACAAGATAATAATTTCGGTTTTGATTTTGACTATAATTCTGACGCTGAGCCTCCGGTATTTGCGACCAAATTTCTTAAGGCTAAATCGTTGTGAAATATGGACTCGTTGTGGTGGTATGATCCCTGTCTCACCGACCTACAGACCTTCGGCGCAGTTCTCTAAGGATAGCGCGCTCTCTGAGGATGCACGTTGACGATTTGGAAAGCGATTACAAGAATGTCAACAAGATTTAATAAGCTCGCTGTAAAGCCTTTGACAATCGTTTGTGATGCTCTGAGATCAACAACAACCGCTTTGAGAAACCGTTTTCCTGAAAATGTCTTGTACAGAAACTGGTCCTTCAATTACTCGGTTATTGGAGTAACGTCAATTTTTTCGTTGAGTTATGCTCCTTATATACTGACGTATACGACTCGACGAAGTTTGTCAAATGACTTTGTTTACCTCGGACTTCCAACCGCTCGGGATTTCCAACTTTCAACTTCGCTAGGATATACACGCTACCTTTTCGAAGAATGCTCGGCTCGTCCGTTCACACTGAACTGATTGGTTGTCGTGATGTACCACCGCTCTATATATACGGCGCTCAGGCCCACATTAAGTCCGCCTCCGCGCGCGTCTTTGCATGATATTACAAAGTTTATTCTCAATCGTTTCACCAACTGTTTACTTACCCGGGAAGCATAAAGCTCTGTGTGACCCAGGGTCACTTTGACGAAATTCCTGATCACGCTATCTTCCGTAAGAGATATTTAGCGGCTGGGTCGATCGGCGAACGCTGTGCTCCTGTGTACAACGTTAAGCCTCGCGCTTTGCTACATTCGTCTCGAGGTTGCGCTCCTAATATGGATAAAAAGGTATTCATGCGATATCGTGACTGCTTTAAGGAAGTGCGAACACACTCGAGTTAATCTTCATATCTCATCACGCAAACCTATCAGCATATGCAGTTGATCGGTACCAATAAGTCATTGATATGTCTTTATTGATCTATCGTGTACGCAACATTTCATATTTTAAGGTTAGAAGAAGCATTTTGCACGTTAACTACACAGAGCTGTTATTTCGACATCGTAAACCACACGCTCCTCCTATGTGTCTTGTTGTCACATACGATATTTGCGGGTACAAATCAGTTTGGTTCTTTTGTTCGTTTGTTTGCATCAAGGGTTCGTGCGTTACCACGCACCATGCTGTAAGTTCCTCATAATAAGTCTGCTATACGTTTTATCATTGGTTGGACTTGCAAATTTGCTATAGGTTTCTATATATATTCGTGCAGCTCTAGAACACTTTTGACTGCATGGGATTAATGGGAATAACCGTTCAATTACAGGGTCAATAACGGGGGTAGGTTTACTATATTCACTGTGATCTGGAAGCCTGTAGTGCATGAAATGAATATATATAAGTCCTTTAACCTCACTCATCACCTGAATTCACAGCACTATGTTTTAGATATTAAGAAATATTTTCAAGGAGATAAATTTAGCATGCATCCTAGACTGAAGATCAGAAGTAGACTTGAAAAAACGCATAATATCGCACCTGAAGGTTATGTAGAACACGTCATGTATAATTTGATAATGGCGCCGTCGAACCTCGGCTTATATGCATGGGGAGAATTTGTGTGAGTCTTCTCTGACCTATATATGTTCATGGTAATCCTGTGGGCACATTCGTTCATGGTTGCCGTTATATTATAGGTAAAACATTATTGTTGATTATTCCTGCATTACGTGAGGTATAGTTTGTATTTGATCAAACCGGTTATCTTGTTTGTTTTTTAATAACCAACGCAATTCCTTAATTTTGGGCTGTATTCTTATATGCCTCCACATAATGAGACAACACTCGACCAATATCATTTGCAGTTTTCCGCTTGGAGGTGCATAAACGTCGATAACTCTCACTTGCTTATTCCCCACAGAAAGAGCACTTGCCTCGCGACGGCAACATTTCATGCACCGAGCCAGCGAACTAACTATTTGTATACACAGACAACCAGCATACGTCTTAACAATGCTCGCCCAAAACCCAGCGGTTACTTACTCGATGCCGGTCGAGAATCACAGCATTTTCCAAGCGGGATATCGATGTGGGAAATGTCATGAACAAGATTTTGTTCGGCGCGTTAGCAGGGCAACTGCGCAAGAAAAACAAGCGCTGTTGATTGTCTTTGTTCTCGTGTGTGCTCGTCAAATGCAAAACACTCGCACCACGAGAACACTTGCGCGTCCAGTGATATCAATGAGACGGCAGGATGAAAGATACAGGATTCAATCGAAAATCGCACTCTTTTTTTTAGTAATTGTTCACTCTGCATTTAAAATGTACGCTTCTATATTTCGTAATAACTCCACGTCACTTCTTTTCTCATGCAAAAATTAGTTTCGGACGAAAATTAATGCACTTATTTCTTTGTAAGCTGATGTTTACAGATGCCGTTTGTATTGAGAAAACCCGACAAAACATGATGAGAACCGGCTGTAAAACTATTTGAATATTTCGTGTTTTTCTTTACATCGAAGTCAAAACCGGCTTAGCACAATATTTGATATCATCGTCTGTCAACTAATGCATGTTGAGATATCAAGATTGCACGATAATCGATATTGCTTTGATGCTTCTCTGGCAAAGAAAATGTTTGCTCTTTTGAATTTTAGTGAAAGGCTTCTAAGCGTGTTGAAGAATATTTCGTGTTTCTATAGTATAGTGCTCGTCTTTTTAAGGAAGCGACAAACGGTGTATGTACCTGACTATACTTCCTTTTGTCCATCCTTTGGCAACAGTTTATTCATTCAATCTACATACTCATTACGTCCTAATTGACAAGCAGTATTTCACGTTTGTTCAAAGGCAAAGATAATTTATATACTGAATGTTTTGTAAAACTATATGGACTACTAGGATATACGCAGACGCTTTAAAAACTAAACAAAACTATGGTCATCCTATGACACAGCAGAAATATCCTAAAAAGCATCTTGCAATATACTCATTGCCATTTGATCACGGAGTTTCTCCCACAAATCGTGTTCCCTGTCCAAATTCATTTCCTTAAACCCCCATATTTTGTTTTTTAAGTACGCCCCTCCATTCGGTGCTTGATAAAAACTTTTATCTTAGAAAATAACCTGGAAATCGGCTAACAAATGCCTTTGGAATGCATGAATGCAAATCCTTTGTTTCCTTAAATCCTTGGTTAGTGCATGTGACCTTCGAAGGTAATTCTCGCCATAACTGCCATAAGTAGAAACGGAATTCTGAAAGAAGCTATCGATCTAAGCCCGTATGAGTGACAAATGGTCTTTCACAGTTGCCATGACATCTCCGTTTGTGTGTCCTTGGCAGTGCATGAGAAAGTGTGTATGTACGTCCATGTTTGTGTCTATGCCAATGACTTTCGCCCTACAAATTCACTCTCGCTCTTATTCAATCCTTTTTCGAAATATTCAAGTTCTCTTATAGCTCCCTGGCAATATATATAGTAATATGGCTGTTTGTTGAGACCCTTGTTTACATTTAGAGTGAAAGGCTGTTTTCGATCCCAACGTGTTCACAAATCAATTTGATTCAAATAGTTTAAATCATCCTTTTGGATCGCTGGTTTCAGTGGAATCACCACAACAGTTTACGAAGTGAACAGGCTAATTCGTCAATGACGTTAATCGTCTCCATAGGGAGTTAGCCAACTTGTTCTTTGTGACTATTTAATTTGACTTAATCTCACCGTTACAGGACGTGTTTTTGCCTTCGTATAATGACCATCGAGCCAACATTTCCTGCAGGGAACCTATCGTTAGCGAAATGCGGATTGAGAGATGTGTTTATGTAAGCCCGCGCGCGAAAATGAAAGAGAAAAATTGGCCTGTATGTTCATTGTCTTGGCTCCTACGCTAAAAACCAGAACCCATAAACCGAATGGCTATGAAGTAATTGAGATCTGTTCAATGAGTAATTTGACTGTGAGAAATATTTTAGAATATAGGCCTAACTCACAGACCCTATATATATGAAATCATTCCACCTAATAGAATGAAATAAACAGGCAATTTTATAGAAAGTTTTATACAACTTATGCAAGCAATAAACACTCATGAATTATTCTGTATCTAAATTTGAATCGTCGCTATATTTCTCGGGTTTTTATCCATGATGGATTCTCACATCGAAAGTTGTTTTTGCGATTCGAGTCGCGGCGTTGTCATCTCCGTAGGGGAACGGGCCTACAACATCGCGTGTGAAAATAAACATTTTAAAACTCGATAAACAAGATGGCAGTGGAAAACGTTAGCAAACATTCACGCTGTGCTCGGAATACAACTGACTGACTCCACGCAGGCTTACAACTGGGAAAAATCTAACGAACAGAACATTTGAAAAAGGACAGATCCACAAACGTAGACTGGAAATTGTGATCAGATCTCATAGAGATCGATCTTGGAAAACACATTGGTTGATTGATTATTGATTGGTGACATCCATGCATGCGATCGTCTTTCATTCAACTTGATTTTGTTTCACCATGATCTCTCATGCTAAATCTAGTCCGATTTTATCGTCTACGTTATGATCTCATCCATCAGAACCTTGGCTAAACGGAAATTCAGATTTTCGCCGGTAATACTGATACGTTCACCTCAAAAGGAAAAACTGAAAACTCATTCGCATTAAACGCTAACCTGCATGTGTTCACAGCCACAGTGGCATCGTTCAAACCTTCATAGCAACCGGTGTCTCCTTTGACTCGCATAAATGATATTTCGTAGATTTTTGGTAGCAGGGAGTGAACTTCATGCAGTTACCATAGTTGTCACAACGTCGTTCTTGTCTTGAAATAAAAATAATAGACTGAGTCTTCATCATACTGCATATAATTGACAAGATATTAAAAAAGATGAACGCTAGATGCCGATTTAATTACATTTTTACGAGAATTACAACGTTAAATCACTATTTCATGGAAAACATTTCAATAAATCCTAAATTGGTCTAATTTTCATATCAAATGACCCAATATGGATGCGAGCTTATTCCGTAATATCTCGCCAGGAGTAATCGAGAAGGACACGAAGGTCTTTGCGTTGACAACATTGTGTAGACTAGCAACAGCTGTAGCACCATACAGTGAAACAACCTTCATAAATGCATGTCAGAGAAACGCTTATGAAAGCAAGGGATATTCTCTGGAAATATGTACAATGCATGTTATATAGCGTTTGCGCAATTCATGTGACCGCGCGTTCATGAATGCAGTGTTTTTTCGAGCCTTTTATAATGCCTCTCGATTTAGCATTCTTGTATGTGCAGGGTCAGCCACAATATTTCTCAGAAGCCGCCTATACTTGTGTCCCATTGACTCGCGTGCTTTCAATCTTTCTCCTTAGCACAGTCGCCATACGAACCACGGGATTTTTTGCTCGGGGCTAGCACGTGACGCTAACGCGGAAAGATTCATTCAACGCCTTTAGGAAAGTCGTGGGCTCTCCTGAACAGTTTCGATTCCTATACCACGCACGCATCGTCTCAAGTGAATTTGCCGGATCATTTCGCAAATCAAACCTTTCCCACAATCGTAGTCACGCACGCAAAGCATCAGCACAGCTCTAAGCCGTAGAAGCGGATCCGATGCAATATATTCGCTTAATTCCAACCTTCTCAAGCTAGAGAACGCGCGCAGCCAGGCGTTTCGTGCAAAGTCAAAAACTAATAATGGTCTTATTAACTTTCTGATGAAGAAAATGCCCGATTACTGCCTCTAAGTACACTTTTAACCCAATTTTTATCCTATAACACGCTGTTCAGATTTGGATCACCTTAGATATACATGCAAGATAGTGGGCATCCTTTTATTCATCCTTTAATTCATTGCTTATTACTTAATCGGTTTCTGCACACGAGACC